TGCATAGCAGGAGCGCTTCTCATTTGCTGGGTCAAGGCACTCAAACGCAACAGGCTGCCCTCCACCAATGCTTACTTGTATGCAGTCCAACAGTCAAGACAAGGAGTCCCAACCAAGAGGGTCGGCGGGTCGTATATCAGGAAGGGTACGAGGCAAGCCTCTTACACAGCGATAGCGCGGAAGTCGAGAGGCGTGAGGCTGGTGATGTTGGCAACGAGCTCTTTGAGCGTGACAAAAGCATGATGGGCTTGTGGAGTCCAATCCCAAACCCAAGACAGTGCAGGAAGAGGATGGGGAGGATTCCCACGAGCAAGAAGTCGTATGCGGGCCTCATATGCTTTCTGAGCTGCTTTGTTGGGGGGGAGAAGGGCCGATAACACCGAGGAATGGGTAGCAATATCGGGGATGAATTTTCAAAGATATTGGAGAAGACCAAGGAAGCTACGAAGCTCTTTGACGGTATGGGGATTCGGCCATGCGCGAAGTGTAGAAGCCTTCTTAGGATCAGGACCAATAGAGTTGTTGGAAATGACGTGACCCAAAAAGGTGACCGAGTCGGCAAAGAAAACCGATTTCTCCTGAGAGCAACGCAACCCACTCTTCCTTAACGCCTCCAAAACCTCTCGGATCCTCCTTTCCAACTCGTCATCATTATCTGCCCACACTATCACGTCGTCCACGTACGCCTCGCACGTCTCTCCAATCAATCCCCTCAGCGCCTCATTAACTCGTTGTTGTTGAGTGGCAGATGAATTGCGAGCACCCTGTGGCATGACTACCCATTCATACAACCACCATGGCGTAGAGATAGCCGTCTTCTCAATGTCTTTCTCCTCCATCAATGTTTGAAAGAAGGCGTCGGTCATATCCATCTTAGCGAACACCTTGCCCAAGGCTGCGCGCTGAAGGATATCCTCAATGAATGGGGGCAAGGTTTTATCGGGAATGGTAACTAGGTTCAACCCACGATAGTCGCAGAGGAACCGGAATTTCCCGTTCGTCTTGCGGAGGAGAAAGGCAGGGGCAGCCCAAGGAGAACTGGAAGGACGAAGACGACCAGCGCGGCGATGTTTCTCGATTTCTTGGAAGAATATTTCTTTCCACGCAAGTGGGACGCGAAACCCAGAACAAGCAGCTGGTTTGACACCAGGAAGAATGTCGATACGATGGCGTACTTTAGAGGTATTGTGGGAAACATCCGGGTAGTTCTCAACATTGCCTATGTCACGAGGAAGGACATTGGCAAAATCGGCTCGAATTGCCTCTGCTCGTTGCTGGCGATGAGGAGAAGGGACAACCATAGGCTGCAAGGTAGGGTCGTCAGCACCTTCCAGCAAACGGTGTTGGAGACAAAAGGGGAGCCCAAGAATGAGGTCGACATGACGAGAAGAAGGGATGATGAGGAAGGGGGAGTTCTTGTACAGAGTATGACCAATAAAAACATGTAAGAGGTGGTGTTCCTCTTCACTGGCGGCGGCGACGGGGGGGGAGAACGGCAGTAGTCTCGGCTAGAGACTAGCAGGACGGGAGAACGGCGGGGAACAGCGAAGGACGGCGGAGAACAGCGAGGGCTTGAGCGGGGGCGGTGTAACCTGAAGTGAAACAGGACCCCAAATACATATAAATAATTGTCACACAGACAAGAGGGCGGTGACTCTGGGCAGAAGTCAGTCCTAGCTATTAACGAACACACACACAGGCACCTAGGCTTTACAGGGAGACCAGGGTTCGATTCTCTGTTGGGAAGTTCTTTTTGCATTCTGTTCTTTTTGCTTGCCATGCTCATCATCCTCACCATCCTCCATCTCCCCCCCCCTGAATCATCCTCTTCCATTTGCCCGTCTTCGGGGTCTTGATCCCTTGTGTCATCCTCATCGCTGGGCGAGACACCATCGTCATCATCGATGGCCACGGTATCACTCAACAACACGTGAAGTTGCGGGGTGGCGACCTGGTGGCGACGGCGCTCTATTGCAGCTTCTCTCTCATCAACATGTACACCGCGCTTGCCCTCTCTCGACACATGAAGAGACACAAAGTATATGGCAACCTCCATCATAAAATCCATGCCACAGCTAGAAAAAATACCACCAACAGCGCCGGGTGTTTGCTTTGCCCTTCGACTGGTTAGCAGCTGGGTTGGCATGTTGAGAGTGGATGAATGTTGAGAGTGGATGAATGTGGTTGGTGTTTGATGAAAGGGGAGCGGAAGGGGTGATCTTGTGATGGATAGAGAAGAGAAATAAAATGTCAGTTTAATTCAGTTGAACGTGTTCTCAAATTTAATGCGGTCTGTTTAAGAGTGGCTCAGCTGTCAAGATGCGAAAATGGACCCTGCTCAGGGTAGGAACTTCATGTGCCTGAGTCCTGACCACTCCCTGACCACCTTAAGCGAGCTCAACGGTTTAATGCGGTCTTAAACACCAAATTGAATTCCCCTGGTGTTTTTGGAAACTGCATACAAATATCCGCACGACATCTTGAAAGATGCACATCAAAATGTCTGTGTGACATTTGGACACCAAAATGTCCGCGCGAATTACTTAGATCACATCATACAGACATCCCCCATGCGGTGATATCCGCAGGACATTCAGTTTGACCGGTGGTGTAGTAGTGCCCAGACTGCTTTGGAGAATTGGGAAATATATTGACAGATAATGATTTGGGGTATGGTATCAACTGAGGAAGCATAGTAGCGCCATCCAGGACCGGAACTTTGCTGATGTGCGTGGGGCCAATGATGTTGGACCAGATACCAGGGACAGCTTCTTGGCAGGAGATGGCCATGGAATTGGTGGTGACGGTAGACATGGTGTGAGTTCAGAGGAGTGTTGAGGGGATACATGAAAATGTCCAAGAGATTGATATGGGAGTACTTCTTCATATGTGTGGGAGCGCACAAAGTGATTGTATGTTTGAGGATCATGACCTTCTTGACCCAGTTTGAGGCAAAGATGGGTGGATGGGTTTTGTAGGAGCCTCTCGGGCATTATCATGGTGTGTCTGATGTATGTATTGTAAGGCTGGAGCTCTTGCTTGAAGAAAAGGAGAGTATGGGTACCGCACAGACTGTTGTGTATGTTATGTTGTTGGGTTTCTGCTCTCTTCTTAGTATCCATACTGGCAAATAGTATGTTTCAAATATCAAAAAATCACTGCGGGTGATTTTTCATCTCGGACGATTATTTGCTTCAGGCCAATGTGATTTTTTCGTCCGCAACGTTTTTGCTCCAGCCAAAAACGCCTGACGGAAGCAAATAATTGTCCGAGATGAAAAATCACCCGCGGTGATTTTTTGATATTTGAAACATACTAATGTGGACAGAGGCCCAGGTGGGGTGGTCGGGACCAACGGAGAGCATGGCAGAATGGGCATAGAATTTTGCATCTGTCTAGGCTGTGAACGGGGATGTCTTTCTTGTGAATGATGGCTATGGCTTTGGGAAAGTGGGTGACAGCAGAGGGTAGTATGAAAGATGAAAGAGCAGTGGGAGCTTCCTTTTTGGGTGGTCTGCCGAGTCTCTCTGTGGAGAGTGATGTGGTTGACATGGCTATTACTGTTGATGGTGTGAGAGGGGCGGGATGCAATTGTTGATGGCTGATTGGACAGTTCAGGATGAGATGGTCTACCACCTTGTACCTTGGGGTGATCATGTGAGGGAAGTGTTGGATGCCGTGCTGCATGAGTGAGATGGGTGAGATGAAGAGCATCCTTAGCAATGTCCTCAGCTTGTGGCAGGTTGTGTGCAAAGGACGGCACAACACGGACAGAGCAAGGGACAGGTGAGTCACTGGACCCAGAAGTGGCGAAGAGTGCTTTCACTTTGGGCGGGTGGGAGAGGTATGTATGCATGGGGGCTGAAGAGCCAGCAAGGGACTTTTGATTCTTAGAATGGCTACGGTGAAGAGCGCTCAGCGGCTGGCAGGACAATGCATGAGCTGGGACATGTCAAACACGAACTAAAGGGTCCAAAAGTTGGAAAAGGGTCCGTAGGAGGGGAGATCTATTCTACTTCTCTAATTACTTTCCTCAAGAGCAACCAATGAACAGTTGGCCAACAAGTTTTAGGTTGGTGGCATGCTCCTCTTCAGTAGCAAGAAGCTAACCTTGAAGTATTCATTGGGTTGAGTCTGCTGGCATCAGTCTATCATACCAAACTCATTAGACCCAGTCAATGGATTATTTCTATTTCTGCTGATTCAGTACATTTGTGAGTATAGACCTGACAGCATCCTTGAGTCTTTATTCCTTGTATGGACATTGCTGCTTCCATGCAAATGCTCTTTTTGACACACACACTCCAGCTCAAAGTCCAAATCATCACCCAGAGACTTGCCCCAGTGTACCGCATCTACCCCACATCACCCAGAAACCACATCACCCAGAAACCACACCACAATGTGATCACACCCAAAAAGACATAACTACCCTGTCACAATCACGCTCCAGCTTTTGACGGTCAAGTCCAACAATCGTGTAAAGCAGCAACAGCTGGACATGATGAGACACTTGAACTCTTCAGATGTCCTTCATTGTTTAAGCCCCTTCTATCCCCATCACCCCTTTAACACCCTCAGAGCAAACATCAATACTCTATTGCTAGGGACCTCGTCCTCTTCACAGATATATTACGGCTTAGTAGCCAAGAAAGAACAAGACAGCATGGCTTCACCCAGACAACAAGAACTTCTCTTCACAAAAAGCCTGTTTCTTCCATGACCCTCTTTATTGTTGGGAGTAAGCAATCCTTCTTGAAACTCAGATACACAATATTATATTGGTAGCGAGTAAACTAGAGGCTTGATATGTCTATATAAGCCCATAGTTCCTTTAATATGTCTGACTTGCCTATGAAAAGGGCTTAGTGGACATATCTATATCCAAACAAACTTTGCTTAAGGGCAACCACCGGCTGAGTCGGCCACTGTGGGGCCCAAGCAAGATTGTTTTGATCTTTTATTGTGATGTCCAGAAACAATCTCAATCCAGGATGGATCAACAAAATCTTGAATTGGGATAGAATTGATCTACCCTGTTTGACCTCAGTTTGGGATTGTTTTGAACTTGGTTCAGGATTGTTATTTCAATCTCAATTCTGGATCAAATGTTGCATATGCCATAATCTTGATCTAGGCCCAATTCTACTCTCCTTATGGCTACAGTACAAATATCTCTCCGAAACAGCTGAACACACACAAGAACACTATAACATCATGAAGTAATCACTTTACCCTTCATGATACAAGTCAGATCAAAACAATCTTGCTCAGATGTAAAGGACCTAAATACCAAGTAAGATCAATTAACCGGATGAGCAGCAAAAGCCATTGCATCACAATTCCAACCCTGGAATCATAATGCATTGTTGGTATTTGGACTTGTTAACTCGCACCCCGGGACCTGACCACTGGATCCTTACATCGGACCCCACAGTGCACTATCAGCAAATTGCTTGGTGTGTTAGAGGGGCCATGGGGAAGGTGTTTTTGAGCGTTGTGAGGAAGAGCTTGTGCAGTCTGAGCGCGGGGTTTGGACTCTGTCATTTGAGATGCCGCCAAACCTTGCTGTGGTGATCAGGCCTGCTCTGGGGGGACAGCTGAAGTTATCACCATGTGTAATTGAGGGTTGAGTCCAAGTACGTGAAGAGGAAGACACAGGTGTGCTTGGCTGCGGTCTTGGAAGTAGTAGTAGAGGTAAAGGAAGAAGAGGAGGGGAGAGAAGAGAGTCAAAGAATGTGTTCGAGGTCTCTGTCCCCACACCCAGCCTTTCTTATATACATGAATAAGTGACGAGACGATAGACGGAGCGACTACGTGATACGTCTACGGCACGACGTGAATAAGGGTACAAGTCGACCAGCGAAGTGTACGAAGAGGCTAAAGACAATAAGAAAGAGCAGACGAGTGGAAGAAGGTCAGGGTAGCGAATATGGGCGTGTCGACGTATGTCGGACAGCCTTACTAGAAGAGAGGAAGAGAACAAGAACGAGTAACGATAGCAACTAACCCGCAACTATCCCAATATACAATTCCCTTATACACAGTCCTAACCTGTCCCTACCCCGTTACATTACATTGTCCATTCAAGCATGGTCAATGTATCCCTTTTGGTACTCTGTAGTGTTGTGCATTGGCATTACATAGCCATAACATCACCACTCACTGACTCCATACAGAATCACCGGGCAAGAGCAGGTGATGGTTTGCGCATTCATCATCACTATCAGTTGCTTGCTGCAACATTTGATTTTGAGGATCTTCTTGTGAATGTCCAAGGTCTGTATGTGGCTTTTTGATTTATTATGATGTTCTCATTTAACTGTTCTCACACAACGATGCAGTGCATCCTCTTCTTCTGCTCCACCATTGCGCTCATCTCTTTACCACTGACACAGCTATGCCTCTGTTATCTGTTACGGCACCCACCGTGGAGTCGGCCATTCCCCCAAACATTATCCAGTGAGTGGAGAAAGAGAAGTGGAGATGATTAAATAAATAAATAAAATGGTTTGTCACAGTATCCAATCATTACAATCATTGAAAAAGTTGCCCGCCATTTGATCTTGCACACACACACCAAATCCATGCCATTCTCAAAAACTATATACTTATCATGTTCTTGACTTCACAATAATTACTTTTCTTTGTGTTCTGGAAACACTAGGCCATACTCAGTAGCAAAGGCATGTTGAAATCACAGACCCAACCAAGCTCAAACAAGATAGCTCAGAGCAATAACTAAGTAGAGTGACATCACTGCAAGACAATATCAGCATACCATCTTCCATCTTCCAACAGGCCTAGCACATGGAATGATACATACACATCACACCTTCCATGTAGTTAGTGCGTCCTGGATTTTGTTGGTCAGCATTTTTGGAATTCTGATTTAGGGATGTGTACGTGAATAGCTACTCACCATCCTGGAGCAAAAGGTTAACCAGCATCACTGATACAAAAAGAACAATAGTTTCGAAATTGGCCTAAGCATAAGAAGGTCAGGCATGTGTCAACACTGTGGGAGACAACTCACAAAGAACAAAGTAAGGTCTTTCTGCAAGGGCCAGGCAATGATGACCAAGAGTGGAATCATACCAGCAGCTATCTGAATACTGGACCCAACACTGACACCAATGGTGAGTTCCATTTTTCCTTTGCATGCCATCCAGACCGAAGTGACGTGTTCAGCAGCATTGCCAACTAGAGGCAAGAGAATGAGACCAATAAATCTGTAGAACAACTGAGTGATTGGATACCAACGATGTTTTTGGTACTCACCTCTTGGGAATGTTGTATTGTTGTGCAGTTTCGTCAATACTGCCAACAAGAATATCGGCGGAAAAGGCAGTAAGGATAGTTATGATGACCAACCAGCCACCAGCACTCCACTGGTCCATCGCGGCAACCTCTTCTTCTTCTGGTACATCTTCAGCTTCAAAGAGGCCTGAGTGGGTACGGAGTTGGAACACGAGGTAGCCGAAATAGGTGAGAAGTAGAATGATTGCAGTGCCTCGAGAGAGAATGAGGAGACCTCGCAATGTACCGTCGGGGGGATCGGGCGCGTGGTCGTTGACGAGTGTCCTCAAAGTGTCTTCAGCCTGGTCTGTCATAGACGCATGGTCTGAAAGATCCTATTAGCTCGTCACTTCGAAACTTCCGCCCAGAAAAGAGAATTGAAAGCTTACATGCAGCCGGTAAGATGAGAGTGATACAAGCAAGCGTAAGCAAGGATGAACTAGCTTGCGCGGCGGTCGCTTGAAATGTCGACTCATAAAAGAAGAAACCAGAGCTATACGTATCGTCAGTCGTAGACGAGTGGTTGGGGTATGCGGACGTACGCGAAGAAGCTCATACCGAGAACGAGTAAGAGGTTGGAAAGTACACTACCGAGCAACGAGGTCTGGACGAGTCGCAGCTGGTCTGAAGATATGGAGTCAGGAAATCGTACATGTCAAAGAACAGATGCTTGCTTACTGTGGTTCAGAGCTGCAATGGCCACAATGAGCTCAACAGCATTACCAAAGCTACCGCCGAGGTCAGCATGACTCGAGTACGCATACACGTGTTCATTTACGTTGCATTGAGCAGACCGCCCAAGGTCTGTCCCAGCTTCATTGAAAGCTGCTCAGTGCTGTCCCCGAGAAGCTGCATATACGTCAATAATACGCACACCTCACCGACCCTGCACGTACCTTGGCCAAAGGCACAATCGCCAGGAAAGATGTAGCGAATCGTGCACCCGCGCCCCATCCGAGGGACTCAGCTGTCAATCAGGTACACATTAGCAGGCGCACTGAACAGGATGTGATACCGACTACTGACAGATAAAACTCAGCGGGACGCAAACGAGCAACAAGTTGATCCAAGAGCCGAGGAGAAGATATCTAGTAGAGCCGAGAACATCGAGGGGCTTTGAGACGGGAGTGTCGCCTCCCTGGGAGGGGAGGAGGGGGGATGTCTCGAGGGCGGGCATGGCGGACGAGATGCAAATGGAGAAGAGATGGAAAAGAACAGCTTGACGTAACTACGTACGTGACAACAACAGCGGTGAAGGAATGCTCCCGCTGTCGGCGTACACCGCCAGCTATGTACTGTCATCAGCAGCAACGCGTTCGTTCCGCCGCAATCCGCCGCTTTCATTCTCGGAATTCTCAACCCGCCTGTCTTCTCACTTCTGTCATCTATCGCACCCCACAGCCCCCTAGCAGCAATGGAAGTCGATTCATCCGCCACAGGGAGCTCTGCTGCCGACAGGAAGCCCAGGTTCGAGGTCAAGAAGGTGTGTACCATCGCTTTCACCACAGGATTCAGCTGATCAGCTCGGTACTCTATTCTGATTTCTTGATGTCTCCCAACAGTGGAATGCTGTTGCTCTTTGGGCCTGGGGTGAGCTCTCCAACACTGTCGGGACAAGCGGCTGATGCAACGGGTATAGATATCGCCGTGGACAACTGTGCTATCTGCAAAAGCCACATCATGGACCTGTGCATGGATTGCCAGGCCAACCAAGGTGCCGAAAGCGAGAACGGTATGGCCACGGCTGATATATTTCGTTTGGCATATGCTCACGTGACTCATTAGGGTGCACTGTGGCTTGGGGTATTTGCAATGTGAGTCTATCTTGTGTGCCGGTCGCTTTGTTGCATGCTGGCTGCCATAACATGGGCTCAGGCTTACTCGAATTAGCACGCTTTCCATTTCCACTGTATCTCTAGATGGCTCAAGACCCGCCAAGGTGAGGCCTATTATCATCATCTTACACGACGCTGCTGACGCAATCTTGAAAGTGTGTCCACTTGACAAGTACGCTGGCTTCTTTGTTACGAGCTCGATCCAGCCAGTCAGATAGCTGACCGTTTTTAGCCGACAATGGGAACTCCAAAAGTACGGGCGCTAGTCCGAGACAAGCTCGGCACCATTTTCCGCTTTGCCATCCCACATGTACACAGTACCACACAAATCCCGATCATATATCATCATCATATCGATACATCCATGGTCGCATCGAAAGACATCTATATTCTATCTAGCCCATTTTGGGATTATCTACTCTCTTCTCGATGTTTGCGCGGTTGATTGGGACCACAGCCCATGCTTAAATCGCCCCTCAGCGCTCTCCACTTCCTGTCCAAGTTTCCGCAAACCTTCCTGCAGGGCCTCCACAATCTTGATTCGCACTTCTTCTTCTTTCCCGTCTATTAGATCACCTTTTCCTCTAATCTCCCTCTGCTGGTCTCCAGCGGGCCCTGTGTGATCTGCGTCCTGTGACCATTGTCCACCAATCCCCAGGGTGCCTGCTTCCTGATGTGCCATCTGACGCCACTGATCCACCAGAGGTTGTATTTCGGCTGTGAGAGATTGCCCGACGGTTATGCTGATTTTTGCCCCTGGTCTTGGAATAATTCGGGGGGAGCCTCGTGTCTCGTTCATAATCTGGTCGAAACCTGATTGCGAATGGTCAGTCCGAATGAGGCGGATCGTGTATCTCTGACATACCTGATATCCATATGGGTATTATCTCCGGCATCACCTGCGAATCCATGATAATGCGCCCTCTGCCATAGATCAGCTCTATTGTAGACTATTTGAAATGGCTGATCTACACTTACATTCCCCATTTGAACCGTAACAGACCTCCGGCGGGATTGGTGAGCTGTTGGTTGACTTTGCCCTCGGGGAAAATGTGGATCTCGAAAATGAGTCAGCTGAAATCTCCAGACCATCCTCCCGATGCTTACCCAGCTCCCATCCTGAAGTAACTGGACCGCCCGATCTACGGCCTCCTGAAAGATTCCACCTCCTCGATGCGTCTCTATCACCTGACCTAGATTGAAGAATTTGGCGTGTGTTGGTTTGGTGAACATGATATCGGACGCGCCCAGTGTCCAACGATTGTTGCGACAGGTGCGAGAAGGTGTGGTAAAAGGAAAGTATGTGTTGAGAGGAAGAAGCGACCACATCTGATAGAGTGTCAGTCGGATAGACCCTAACACAATGTATGCTGACGATCGTCTCACCATAGGATCATCCACAACAGAGTTGTGATTGCAAACTGCAAAGCGAGATTTAAGTTTTCTGTCTGATATCGACCATGGTATGGTAGCTTGCACGTACGGGTGACGATCCCTCTTCTTTTTCGTGGTTCACCTGAGCCATCACATTCCAGAGCATTTGTGAGTGTGGCTAGCCCGCTCACTTTATACTCCTTAGTTGTAAGGCGAAGGAAGGTTTTGGAGGCAAAGGCGAGGGTAGACAGAGTGACTGCCGAGGCGAGGTTTCGCAGCGCCATGGTGAGCGGCGCGAAGAGGGCTCGCCTGAGAGGGGTGTGTGGCTGCGGTTATCAAGCGTGCAGCGGGTATCGGGAGGGGCGCGCAAGATGCACGGGGGAGAGGTAAGTCGCGGAACAATGCTACTACAGAGTACAAAGGTCATGCATCCAGCCGAGTCCTGCTCTTTTCCCAACGAGGAGCCCAAATTTCCCCAGAAAAGTCGTGACGAAAAACGCCGACGGTCCAAAACAGCCGGCACCCGCCGCACCATGGCTGCTGGCTTTTGAACTCGAAAAATTTATCATTGCCTTACTTCTCCATAGATATAGCTAACGCTTCAAATGATGATAATAATGATATTCAATATATAACACCGCTCCCAAGCCCAGTTAGTCAACCTCACGGTCGTAGACGCTTTTGCGCAGCAATCCAGATTCCAGAGCTCCGGTTATCCGGAACGCCGTTCCCTGATCTTGCCCCATTCCCCTAATCGCGTAGATACTGCGCCCTGATGCATGGTCAGTGCTACGCCTAGTAACAGCAAAGACGCTGTATCTTACCAGTCATGGATCCTGTCAAATACTACAGTCAAATACGAGGTGTCGTTCAACAAGACCTCAAATTGCTTGATGGCATCTTCCTCGGAAAGATCGAGCATGAACTTTTCCTGCACCTTGGAGTATGGCACTGTCAGGGAATTTCTCCTATTGACAAAAATTACTCACTTTCCATACTGCCTTGTCAGGCTCGAGCTGGATGTCTTGTATACCAGCATCCACCATCAACGCCACAAGATTCAGTATCAGGTTGGCATTCTTCCGCAATCCTGTGAAAGCAGTATAACACAAGCTTTGGAATCTGGAGTAATGAACTGATCCGGTACCGCCCATTGCATCGACCATTTCCTTGCACACCTTCACAGGTGGGGGGTACGGCTTTGGGTCTCGTCCCAAGATGTAACCGAAATCAACTACAGAGGGTCTCAGCATGTCTTGAATTCCCGCATTACGTACCGTGAAAGAAATGCCCATCGGGCGCTAGCATGAGATTGTCGAGATGACGGTCTCCAACTCCCAGGACATACGTGAGAACTGAATAGCCAGCTGCTACTTAGTCAGCTTAAGGATACGTATGGAAGTAATCATACACACCGCAGCTTCTTACAAACGTATCCATTACCCCTGCCTCTATGCCATACGATCCCAGGGCTGCATCGTCGGAGTGCTCCAGCTTCAAATAATTCTGCAAGTTCCCATGTTCCGCCATGATAGACGCGACACTTTTGCTGGGAACAAATTGTATGAGTCCCTCCGAGGTGGATGTCGCCAGAACACTGTAGGGGCTCAGGCGTAGATCGAGGTTTTCTTTGCGTAGTAGACGATCCATGAGAGTGAACAGTTGGATTACGAGCTGATCTTGACGCAAGTCGTCACCGTTTTTGAATATGACAGGATATTCAGGCGAGATGTTAACGACCCCTTCACTGTCGTCTTCCGCAGTTCTTTTTGGTTCGGCTGTTTCGAACCATATTAGAAGCGGCAAAAGGTTGGATTTGAATATGCTCGACTTCTCGGCCACCACAGAAGTAACGGAAACCCGAGCATTGAGGGGTAAGGTCAAGGGCTCGGCGAGAGAAGAGAGACCGTTCTTCGGGTCTGACAGATATGCTTTGAGCTTCTCGATCTTTTTCTGTCGAGGATCCTTCGAAAGACGGACTTCCCTAGCACGTGTTGATAGGGTCTGCACCATTACACCTTGACGTCGGAGTACCTCCCTCTGGGCCGTTCCTTCGGGGCTCTAACGCACCGTTAGCTCTAGAATTCTCATTGGTATGGAAATCCTACTTGAGAGAGTTTCTTCATGAAATCATAGGCGACTTTTGCATACATCCTTCCCACAGGAGCTCGACTGTCACACTCGATCATGAGATACCAGTGAAAACGGGTACTCAAAATCGGGTTGGATACACTTCTGTCAATCAAAAATTGAGACAGGCCGCTGTCGCCAGCCTGGTCTTGTGACGGTTGCCGTTTGAGCTGATGTGCGCGTGATTTATGAGGACGTTGAGACGAGGTGAAGTATTTGTGTTCGAATTTGAGAGCTTGTACCAGTTGGAGAAGGTACAACAAAAGTTCCTGTGAAAAACTAATCAGTACATCTTGCTAATGTTGCAGCATGATACACTTACCTCGTCGTCCGCCCTTTCCAAACGTTTCACTGCAAAAGCCCTCACTTTTTTGTGCATGAACTCTGGCCCCAAAAGTTCCAGTGCGTCATCGATTCCTACATCTTGGCCCCACAAAGGAAGCAACTTTTCCACAGCCTGTTTCGTTTCGACCGGATCAGACCAGGTGACGCATTTTAGAAACTTTGTCAGCGAGCGAGGCGAACGGAACAGCGAAAATCGAAATTTCCACAGAAGATCCTTGTCGAGAGCAGACAGCGAGGCGGTAGGAGGTAGGCGAAATATGTCCTGGTAGAGGGAGGGTTGGGTGAGAAGCATTTACAACCAGAGCGTTTACTCACGTTCAAGCGATCCCTGTCCGAAGGTCCGGGTTTCAAATCCTTTCCTGCATCACCCAACCGCTGACTTCGTAGCAGCTTTCGGTGCTTGATCTCTACAGGGTTGTCTCTCCATGCGTCCGGGTCATAGGCCCTCCATAGATGGCGGTCGCTCGAGAGGAAATTCGGCGGAAGCGCCAGGACAGGTGGGACGCTCGTTGGAGAAAGATGAGCGACAGGAGCAGGCGGGACCGAGAGGAGTGACTCCTGTTCCGAGTAGACAACAGGGAAGTCGAACTTCGGAAGGTCCACGTAGAGATACATGTCTTTTGATTTGGAAGTTTCCCTCTATTGCACCGGTCAGTTGGTGACTTGAAGATCTTGTCCGACTTACAAGATGAGCTTTTTCTAATTTTCTAAAAGCAAGACGGTCGAGCCACTCCACCTTGTTGATATCGCCCCGATCAAACTCTTTTATCAACTATTTTGGTCAGTGAAGTGCGAGCTAGGATTCTCTGTCGACCTACAGATTCCAGCCTTCCCATCTCATCGTCCTCTCTATTCAGTACCTCGCTCGGAGTCGTAGAATTTGGCCTCGCGTCCGCTTCCACTCCCCGATGTATATAGAGCCGTTGTTGGCCTCGTTTGAGCGTTCTACTGCCACGTGGTGAGGTCTTATCCTCATCAGCCATGTACCCTTACCTGTGATGGTCAAAGAGCGCCATCTTCGTTCCTCCGATAGCAGTGCATCTGCCAGACTCTTGAACATCCCATATTGTGAATGTTACGGATGACTCGAGGAGGAGGGAAGGGTATTGGACGGGTAAAATTATCGTCTGATTCCATCTAGACAAGTATCAGCCACGAAACAGAGCAGAAAGAACGAATTACTTGGTTCCTCTTGACAGATCTTTCCATCCGGTTCGGAAAGGTAATGTATGCTGCGACTCTCCGGTCCACAGCGTACAGGTGATGTACAGATCTGGGATGGGCCTGCCAGCTGTCAGAACCATTCTTCTCCGCACGACTTACGTATCGGCCCTTGATCTGATGACCTTTGCATGATTCAAAGCTTCGGTATGGCTTGATTGTGGTAGCTTTCCTTCTAGGGACGTTCTGTGAAGGACGTAAGTATATACAGTATAGTCTGGAGGGCACTAGCGTACATCTTAAGGGTGACCGGGGACTTGATGTCACACAGGCGGGCGAAAGAATAGTCCCTGTCCCTCGATGGCTCTGTCTCCATGGCTGTCTGAAGTGTGGGTCACGGAGCGTCAGTATCACACCAGGATCGAAGCGACTGTATATCTGAAGGCGGAAAGCCGAAGAACAGCAGCATTAGGCACGCTCAATTACATAAGCACCACCAACACCGGAGCTTGCCGCGCCGCGCAAAAGTTGCTTTGGTTGCAGAATTATCGTGGATGGGTTAACAGTACTTGTAACAAGCATGGCGCCCTCCCAACTCGCCCAGCTCAAGAGCGCCCTCTCAAGCGCTGGCCTCAACCGCCAGTCACACTCCAAAAAGGATAAAAAGGCCTTCAAGAAAGGCGGCGCTAGGGAGACAGACAGACAGAAAAAGATTGACAAGCTCGACGAGATCAGGAGAAACCTCAACAAGTTTGACGAGCGAGAGACAAAAGTCAAGCATGATGTGGGTGGGAGAAACCTCAAAGGAGTGACTGGACGACCGAGCTCGAGCAAACAAGCAGGCTTGGAACAGGTATGGACAGACTGTTTAATGTTGAACCTTTGCTAATACTTGAGTTCAGCGACGGAAAACGCTCTTGCCTGAGCATCAACTCAAAGATCATCGGGGAACCTTCCATGATAGGCGATTCGGAGAGAATGACCCTTCCATGTCCATCGAAGACCGTATGCTCGAGCGATATACCCGTGAACGTCAACGCGGTCAGGGCAAGAAAGGTCTATTCAATCTCGAAGACGACGAAGAGGATCCGTTCGGGGGGCTTGACGAGGGAACCGCTCTTGGAGGCCTCACTCACGGTGGAAGGAGTGTCACGGACCTTCCTGGCGATGATTTCATCGCCCAAGGCCTAGGTGATGATGACGACCCCGATGAGGATGTGGCCAAAGGAAGAATTGACAAGCGACAAGTCAGCCAAGTCCACTTTGGAGGTTTTGAGCCTGCAGATGATTCTACTGATCTTGTGAGCTGTACATATTTGTGTACAGAACTGTACTGATAACCTCGTAGCCTGAAAAGAAAAAGTCAAAGCAAGAGGTCATGGCGGAGATTATTGCCAAGTCTAAAGAGCATAAACACGAACGTCAACAGCAGCGAGAAATGGACGATGATCTTCGAGACCAGCTTGATGATGAGATGGCCGATCTTCAAAAACTTCTCGCCGAAGCTCCTAGCGCTCCAGACGCCTCCCACTTGAATGTCAACCCGAGAAATCGCCCTCCCGCGGCTACTGCCCCAGGTGCAGAGGCTATCGACGATGGGCAATATGACCAAGTCGTTCGATCCCTGGCGTTCGAGGCACGAGCTAAGCCCAAAGACAGGACAAAGTCTGAGGAAGAGCTTGCCAAAGAAGAGCGTGACAGGCTGGAGCAGGCCGAGTCTAGACGTGTGAGGCGAATGCGTGGCGAGAGCGTGTCTGATGATGAAGGGGCTGGAGAAGGGTCGCGCAAGAGGAAGAGGGAAAACGAAAAGCCAGATGCGGATGACTTGGAGGACGATTACGTCGAAAATGACTCTCTCCTTGGGCCCGGCCTGACGAGGGAGCAGATTGAGGATATGGAGCTGTCGGGGGAGGGTTCGGGGAGTGAGGGTTCCCAAAGCGATGGTGGTCTGGAAGAGGATGGCTCAGAAGAGGATGATGATTTAGATGATGACCTGGATGGGAGTGACATCGCCATGGAAGAGGCAGGCTCTGAATCCGAGAGTGGTTCCGGCGACGAGTCTGGTGTCCTGTCTTCAAAGCAGAAGGCGCGCATCCCAAAACTCAGACGCGCGCCGGCAAGGATTGAGGAGATCCCATACACCTTCAAATGTCCACAAAGCATAGAAGAATTTGAAGATATTTTAGCCCCTTTGAAAGACGATGCTTTACCTATAGTGGTACAACGCATACAATCGTTGCACCATCCCAGTTTGGCAGAGGGAAACAAGGAAAAACTCCAAGTAAGCACTGCTCTCAAGAAGATGTCCTGTTTTCCGAACTGATGACGTTTCAGAATTTCCTCGGCGTGCTTATAGACTACATTCTCATCTTTGCCTCGGAACCTTCACCAACTCTCAGACAAGTTGAGGCGCTTGCTCCTCATATCACCTATCTTATCAAGCTCAACCCAATGTCTGCCGCTGGTCACTTTGTCAACAAGCTCAATGTCATGCAGAAGAACCTCGCCAGGGGCCTCGCTCAGGGTAACACTCGGGCTCAAGCTCGGACTTTCCCAGGACTGCCCGAGTTGTCTCTTCTGAGACTGGTCGGTACTTCTTGGTCGACAAGTGACTTCAGCCATCCTGTTGTGGCTCCTGCGGTCTTGCTCATGGGGCAATATATATCTCAGAGCAGAGTGCGAAAGTTGGGCGATGTGGCATCTGGCCTGTTTGTGTGTTCATTGCTTATCCAGGTATGTTCGGTCTCAACAAAACGACGCACGTGTTAACGTTCCGTCAGTTTGAGGCTCGATCCAAGAGAGTCCTTCCGGAGGTTGTCAACTTTGTGGCGTCAACAATTTTGATGCTGTTGCCTCGAAAGAAGGCTTCCATCTCGGTTCAGACTTATCCCGACATCAGCGTCCCTTCGCTGTCTCTATATATCAAGGAGAGCCCTTCGGATTCCCTCACCACCCCTGTCAATATCGTCCCTATCATTGGCTCTACCGGAAGCGAAGACGGAGCTGAGCTGGAATTGCAAAAGTGCAGTCTGCTGCTTGTGGCTCTTCGTCTGGTAGACAAGCTGGCGAGCCTGTACATCGGCACCCCAGCATTCACAGAGCTGATGGCCCCCGTCAAGCAAGTGCTTGAGGGGTCACGTACCAGCACATTGCCTGACGGGCTGAAGGGTGTCCACAAGGAGACTTTGAAGACCTTATCTCGAACCGTCACCAACTCTTTGGTCTCTCGCCGTCCTCTTGCTCTTCAAGCCCACAAGCCTATCCCCATCGCTTCCCATACACCCAAGTTTGAAGAAAACTACGCGATCGGACATCACTACGACCCTGATGTTGAGCGCAATGCCTCTGCCAAGCTAAAGGCGTTGTACAAGAAGGAACAGAAGGGTGCCATGCGTGAACTCAGAAAGGACAACAAGTTCTTGGCGGGAGAGAAGGCAAGGGAGCAAAAGGCGAAGGATGAAGATTATAACGCGAGGATGCGAAAGCAGGAGGGCAGCATTACTGCCGAGCGCGCCGAGGAGAAGGCCATGGAGAGAGAGAAAGCCCGGGACAAGCGCAAGAGGGGAAATTAAATTAGAATGCTTGCGGTGCTCTGTACTAGACGTGTTTTGATACATCTAGGTCTTGTGTAACAATGCAACTTGGTCATATCTACGCCTCTTAGCAGCAAGCACAATAAACCTCGACATGATCCCTCTTGCAGCCTTATACAAGCGCGCCAAAGACCTGGTGCAGGACAGAGTAGTGTCCTGACATATGATCCCAAAATTTATGCAGACATATTGATATAGATATATGCGGGGTATATAGTACATCTACAATCATTATGCCAATCTAATTGGCGGGCTTGCGGGCGATCCACAAAGCCATGGGACTAGGATTGTCGAGTCAGAAATGCTCAAGCTTTGAGAGAAAAAAGACTCACGTGAAAAGCTTGCTCCTGCCACCAGCAATGAGGGCCTTGGCGGCGACAATAAGACTCTCGCCGACATCGTAGGTACCTTTGGGGACAAGGCCGAGCTTTTCCATGAACCAAACAGCGTTCTGGGTGATGGTGTAACCCATCTTGGACGTTCTCCAGCAAGTAAACACTGGGGACTATCAGCTATTGTCCTTCAGATATGTATACAAGACGTACTGTCCCAAGGGGTCTGGGCCTTTCTAAGGTCTCCTTCAAGAGGGTAGTACCAAGTGACAGGGTCAGGCCTGTCGGCAAGGTCTTCCTCGTGTTCGATCTGGAAACCGACAGACTTGAGGGCGTCCCGGGCAGCGGCAAGGTTTCGCATCTCGGGAATACCGTCTCCGACCTCGATGCCGTGAGCGATCTCCTTGTGCTCGGGCACAGAGGGGTCCCAGGCATCGGTCATACACCATTCGTAGACACCAAAGACACCGCCGGGCTTGAGGCACTTGAAGATCTCGCCGTAGATACCCTCAAAGTTGGGGGCGTGGCATGTGGCTTCAATGGCGTAGACTGTGTCCGGGGTCAGCTATGAGCGTTGTAATGGAAAGCAGGACATACTGGCATCGAAAGAGCCTTCGCCGAATTGCTCACTGAGCTTCATAAAGTCGCCCTTGACAAAAGAGACCTTGTCGGAAAGTCCAGCTTTGGCAGACTTGGAGGTGGCCCTGCCGATTTGAAAGTCGTTGTTGTTGACGCCGACAATGTTGACATCGGCGAAACGGGCAATCTCTCGAGCCGGGCCTCCGACACCACAGCCGACATCAAGGACTCGCATACCGGGTTTGAGGTGCATCATGGAAGCAAGGTAGTGCTCGTGACGAGCAAGCTTGGGAAACATGAGACCAGGTGGCAATCACAAACAATCTGCTTACGGCTTGGAGGAACGCTTCGCCCTTGTAGAACCGACAAAAGTGGAACGATTCGGCTATGAAGAGTCAGGGCCTTGGGGACTATTGTGCACGGAGAGGACGTACCCCATCCGTACTCATAGAGCTCGGTCGCGCCGTCGTAGTAGCCTGTTGCTTGTCAGTCCGTGCCACGCCTGCCACTGCCACACGCACCGTTCACGACATCGGTGTACTGGTCGAGCCTGTTGGCACGGTGGGTGTCGTTGTCGTCGATGGGCTTTTTCTCCCAGAACTTGTTGTAGTTGGAGACACGGTCAGCGGATCGGGCGTCGGCGGGCATCTGGAGGGGTGAGGTGAGCTCGGGACGGGCGGGGCGGGGGACCTACTTTTGCGGTGATAGATGGGGAAGAGAAGAATTCGCGTTTTTGTGGCACGACGCGGTATACGTGCTTCTCGTACGAGAAGGGGGTTACGTAATGGTGCTGTGGAGGGCGGTTATTATGTAACACCCTTATGTAAGCGGGTGCTGCTCCTACTACTACTACTACTACTACTCTCCTCTGTCCTGCTGTCCTACTGAGCCCCAGCGCCCATGTCCGCCCCGCCCTCTCCCCGCGAGCTGCCCTCGCCGCCCCCAGTACGTGCCCGTCCCTCCCCGTCCCCGCCCCTCCCCCCGCTCACCAGCGCAGATCTCCGCCGCCTCCTCCTCCACCTCCTCCCAGCCCATCTTCGACTGGCCCCCCGCAAACGCCGACCATGTTGCCCCCCCCGATCCCTTCGACACCTTCGACCCGCCCTCCTCCAGCTCAGAAGACGGCTTCATGTCCGCGGCCAACCCCGCCCAGTCCCACCACCGCCCCGCCACAGAGCCCAGCGAACATGACGAACGGCCACTCCACAGCGACTCTACCGCGGGCCCCTCTCTTTCTGCTCCCACCTTCAGCAACCCTCCGCCATACAGTAGAACAATATCGTCCCCTCTTCCTTCCCGCATCGAGCTGCTGCGACATCCTCACTCGGGCACCCCAGATCTCAGGCACACACAAGCGCAGCCTCGCCCAAGTCCGGTACATTCAATCTCGGAAGAGCTGGCAGACACTTTGCAATCTACAATCCAGACTCTTCTGCATCTGCTGCCTCCCCACATGCTCGACAATGCGAAGGAACAATACTCGGGATGTGCCGTCCAGATCCCCGCTACTTCCTTGTCAGCTCTCCTGACCTCTATGAAAGGGCTCAATTTTCTCTCGGCACAGGCCGAGACTCTGTTCAACCCCAGTGCCATCGAAGAACATCAGACTCTCCAGAAACAAGATTTCGATGTCGGCGAACTGCTACAAAGTGTCGCCGACATGCTGAGCGGAGACGCGTGCAAGAAGAAGATCGACTTTGTCCTGTTCCATGGAGATGTTGGGCTGAAGCATGTCAGCGTCAATGGAGATTCAGGCGGTCTAGCATATGCTCTGGGACATGTGAGTTGGATCTATGATACCGCAGAGGCTGATATTGTAGATTATACGACAATTACTTGCTGTTGCGAGCGTCAACGACACCATCGAACTCGGCCTTCAGATAATACCCCAATCCTCGTCGCTACCGACTTCTGTAAATTTATCACTGTCATCCTCCGATGTTGATTGGGGCGGTCGACGCAACTCGTCAGTTTCAGACCCCGCAACTGTCGTCTCTGAAGTCGATGATCAGGCCGATGGCCCTTTGCTGTGTATCTTTGAGATCGTCCACAACATACACCAACCAGCACCCGGCTCAGCATCAGCAACCCCCAAGGCAGAGCTGAATCCTTTCACTCGCCTGGCCGAAGACAGCGCAGCCGCAAAACCCAACCTCGACACAATCTTTTGTCAACGCCTCCTTCAAAGGCAAAATGCTTTGCTCAGGTCGGATGTCCAGCCGTCATCGCCGCTTGGGTCTGGGATGCCTCGTCGAGCCTACGAGCTGTCGGTGCTGCTCCCCAGAGGCAAGCCAATCATTGAGCCACCACCGCTTTCTGCAGAAGAACAAGCCGTCCGACAGCCCTTCTCGTCCCTCGAACTTGCACGCGAACCAACCCTCCTAGAATTACAAGAATTCACAGAGTCGCTACGGGGTAGAAGAGTTGCCGTCCATGCCAATCTCAGCAGTGTATTCGCTCGCCACCTCACGAGCTACCTTGCCGCTTGGGGAATGGACATTTCCCACATGTCCATCGGAGATGGTGATGAAGGGGGTGACAGGGAAAAGTGGTTTGCTGCCACAAGGTCAGATTCGGGGTATGGAGGCTCTGTGGGGACGACTCCTACCGGAGAACCGTATCATACTACTCCCAATGCGGCGGGACAAAGAGCTCATTTCGTGATTATCGACGACGATGTGGTCGTGCTGAAAAAAGAGCTTTCCCGACTGTGCTCGGATCTCGCGCGTCCAGCAAACAAATCCCGATTTCCGGAACGCCCGACGATGGTCTCACGAACAAAGTCGACCCCCTCTATCCGTCATCTCGGACAACATCCTGTCACAAAACAAGCGCGAGTGGTCTTGATACACTTCACATCGCTTACAAATTATAATCAAGTACGAGATGCGATCGCTTCCCTGGTGGGATCGCCGGTGACTACCATCTCTGGGGTCTGCCTCCAACCGGAAGTGATGGTCATACCCAAGCCCGTTGGTCCCCGGCGATTCCTGACTGCTCTTCGCACAGCTGTCGTTCAACCAACCGTGGATCCGTTCTTTTCTCCTATCGCAACGTCGCCCCGATCTCCTGGGGGTGAATACTTTGGTGGGCATATTCCCATCCCCAAAGAACGACAGACAGGTTTCTTTGATTCTGTCGCCGAAGAGCTTAATGAGGAGCCTTCCAAAGAAAACCTCAGTTCACAGAAGGCCAGATCTCCTCTCGGCGAAGTCCCTCCCTCTGCTGCGCAGCTAGTTCAGACGGACCATGGCTTACATCTCTCACTCCCCACCCCTGGCGAGATTGTGGCGACTCCAGCTCAAGAGTACTTTTCAAAGACCCCCGCTAGAAATACCGCAGCTTCAGGTGTGGTCATCCAGAGCCCAGACGGGAGACCTTACGGAATGTTCTTTGAGCCTCCAAACAAGAGCGAGAGACGCGGATCTACCCATCGGGTGCCTTCCGAGACTCAACGACGCATATCGGCCAATCGCCGTGCATCTACGGGGGATGAACTGTCCGTTGCACCTAATTCGGCTCCTCCTATACCACAAAGATCATCCACCATATCCACAGCTGCCACTGAAGAGAGGCGGAATTCGATCGGGTCGGGCAATGCTTCGGACAGGCCCACCCACTCGCGGAAGAACTCTCGGCGCACGAACAATCTTCCAGCGACGCAGCAGCCTGTCGTGGCAGTCGGTCGGGCAAACAGTCGTGGACGGGTAGACACAGTCACAAATCCTGCAGTAAGTTCCAAACCAGGGACCCCTCCTATCGATAGCCCGATTGTGCATTCGCCTTTCGAGGTCAGCAAGGAGTCAATTTTGCCGAAACTAGACCAGGAGAAGGTGGTGCCAGAGAAGACCGAGCAAGCGGAACGGCCGGAGAAGGTGGACAAGCCCAAGAGGGCGCTGTCTGCAAAAGCAGAATTACAAGCATCGATCGCAACTTCCACGACTGCTATAAAGGCTTCTGCCAAAGCGGACGTTATTGTTCCACCGATCAACGTTTTGATAGTCGAAGGTTGGTCTTTTGCAATATTTTGTGATGTGCACTAATCTTCTGCAGATAATCCTATCAATCAGAACATTCTGAGCAAATTTTTGCGAAAGAAAAAGATCAACAATCAGTCGGCAAAGGATGGTGCAGAGGCGGTGGAAAAATGGCGGACCGGTGGTTTCCATCTCATCCTGGTGCGTTTCTTTCTGTCGACTGAGCTTGAGCTGACTTGCGCCAGATGGATATTCAATTACCTGTCATGGACGGCATCGCTGCCACGAAGGAAATCCGAAGATTGGAGCGCCACAACAACATCGGCGTCTTTCCCTCCACCCCTGCTGGAGAACATTCTCGGGGCCCCTCTGTAGGCAGCGCGTACTCTCCATCACCTGCGACACCTTTCCGCTCGTCCGTCATCATCGTGGCCCTGACTGCCTCCAGTCTGCAGAGCGACAGGGTGGCGGCATTGGCAGCAGGGTGTAATGACTTTTTGACAAAGCCTGTCTCGTTGAAATGGTTGGACAAGAAGATCGTCGAGTGGGGATGTATGCAGGTGAGTCTCTGTGGGACATGGACAGGAGCGTTGCTGACTCGATCAGGCATTGATCGACTTTGACGGCTGGAGACGGTGGAAATCCTCAGACGCTAGCGAGACTCGTCAAGGATTTTCGGTCGGCCCACAACAAGCGGCCAAGTCTCTAGCCAGCCGCTTGCGTATAGAGCGCAAAAACTCTCGCCCCTTGATTCCCTCTGCCCCCAAAGTGTCCGTTCAAGTCCCCACCCCTTCTCCTGCCCTCACTCCGTCCCTATCCACCACGACCTCGCACACCCCCAAACCGAGGCTACCACCACTAGCCACCGCCGACCCCGCTCCTTTCCCTTCGCCGAAAGAATTGGGACAGTCGTTAGACCAGGTGTTTGAGCAAGCGGATCAGAGGTTGGAGAAAGCAAGGGAGGAAACGGGTATCAAGGGGTCAGGAGAGAGGGATCAGGAGGCTTCTGCGTCCGAAGAGAGTACATTGATCGTGAGAGGGGTGCCAAAGGCTGCTGCAGAAAAGCCGTTGCCACCATTACCCAATCAATTGTGAATGATTATCGGAGAGATGGGATGTAGATCAGTTTCTCAGATATTCGATCAAGTTATCTTCGCATTATACATTTTGTGTCATCATTACTTTTCCTTATGTAGACTATCCGGAAGTTAGAAGCTGCTTCTTCATGCTATAATGTCATGTTGCACCGATAGCCAGAGTACATGCATGGCTTTCTTGGCCTCGATCCAGGGTATATGAAGATAAATAATGATAGTACACGACACGCAGGGCTCAGATCGACAAGACCCATGAGCCATCTTTGAGAACAACCCTGGCGTTCTTCATAATGTCCTCCGACTCGTAGCTCCTCTTGTCATCCTTGCCAACACTTTCCACCCATTCACTCAAGGTCATCTCCCCGCTCTCCCCGCCCCCTATCTTAGCCAGACGCTTCCTCAAACGCTTGACAGTCTTGGAGGGAGCATCGTCGGTAGAAGGCTCTGGTGCGGCCTCAACATCCTCCAACTTTCGTTTCTTGCTCGAAGGCTCGACGGGAGTAGAAGCCGGTTCAGGGCTCTCGGCCTTGGGCCGCTTGGAGTTGGCCTTTGACCCAGTACCACCCTTGTCTCCCTTCTTCTTCTTCTTGGGCTTCTCGGACTGAGTGGCCTGACCAGTAGAGAAAGCAGGGGCAGGGGCGGGGGTTGGGACAGCAGGAGCAGGGGCGGTGTCCTCAGTGACAGCCGGAGATCCCCACGATCTCATTCCGTTGGTGCTCTCCAGCTTGTTCATCGCAGTCCCATAAGACCTCTCCACCATGGGCGCCTGGAAGCCTCCCCTGCCGCCTCTTCCTCCCCTACCGCCTCTGGCTCCACGCTCGGCAAACCCTCCCCGGCCTCCTCTGCCACCACGTGTAGGCGCGGGGGCGTCGAACGTGGGGGCTGAAGACTGAAGGTGCATACGGGAAGGGTGGATTGGGGGAGCAGCGGGGGCTTCTGTGGTGGTTGGAGGCTCTGCCTCGGTGAACGTCTGAGCGGGAGCCTGAGTCTGTGCTCGTCAGCGCGAATCCAAGCCAAAAGGCCATGCGAAGTCTCACCTTCTTGCCCTTGTAGAGCGCGCCCTGGTACTTCTCGTCCTCGGTTATGCAGGAGGTGTGGCTCTTGTACTGGGCGGGGCTGTTGAAGGTTTTTGAGCAGTCAAGGCAGGTGAAGGAGGCGAAGCACCTGTTGCGGTGCTGGTCGAGTTTGGGTTTCTTGACTGTGTCTGCGCAGGCATCGCACTGGAAGGAGACCATGCTGGATAAGATGTACGGAGCACAAACAAAACAGAGATCTTTGTGGATCCAAAAAATTGTCGCCACGTCCGGACGTCACCAGTTCCTGGCACCCGGCGGCCGGCCAGCGGGTGTTTGTTGTCTTTCTCTCTTTCTTGCTCTTCTTTCCTCGAGCATAACAGGTAAACAGGCAAGCAGGATGGCCTCCCCAGTCAAGGAGCCAGGAAGGTCGCTCCTCACATCCCTCCGCCCCCCGGCAGCCCTCCCAGCTCCCGCCACCGCCCCCGACGCCGCCCATCACCTGCATCCCCACGACGCAGTGCACCCCCAGCCGTCGGGGTCCATCCTCAGAAGAGAGAGCAGCAGCTTTCCCTCCGACCATGGCACAGACGGGAGCCTGGATGGGGTCAGTGAGGGCCATCCCCATTCGCACGACCTCAACATTCCCAGCCCCGTAAGATAACCCCTCCACGTGCCCGACGTGCCCTGCTCATCACCATCATGCCCAGAGCGGACAGCCCCGCCACTCAGCCCTTCGTTTCCAAGTGGCCCAAGCCCAGAGCCCGAGGTCGTCGAGCTCGTACACCCGCCCTTCCCCCAGAGAACTTCTCGACAACGACCGCGTCATCAAGTCCGACTCTGAGTCGGGCGACGGCTATATCGAGGACGAGGATTCCTCTTCCTCTCGCTCGGGAGATTCTGATCCCGTATCGAGGTCTGTCTTCGGTAGGCTAGCCCAAATTCAAAGACGGCACTCTGTCTCAGAACGGGAAGAGGGAAAGAGCGACTCTTCCCTCGATTCTGCATCCTGGTCACCTCTAAAGCAAACCCGGCTCCCTGGTGAATCCCAACCAGGGAAACCTGGAAACACAAGTACCAGATCCCCGGACCCGGACCCTGATTCTGAGAAATCCCGCTCGTCCAGTCGCCAACGTCCTCGCGGCCGCCTGTCAGATGCGGGCCCCAGAGGAGGCCGCGCAGGCAGCCCTATGCCCGAGCCTCAATCTGCCGAGAGCGACGACGGCGGTCTTGACGAGCTCGCCTCCCGCAATCCGCCCACTCTATCAGGAGCGGGCTGGCGAAGCGATGATCCAGCGCTGTATGAGCCTCGCAAGCGAGCCGATAAGCTACAATCTGGTCGATTATACAATAGGCGTTTCAGCTTTGGTCTCGCACGGCCCTTCTTGCATGGTAGCGAACAGGTTCCGACTACGGAGGACCTTTTTGAGGGCAGGTCAGACGGTTTCACGAGCTTCTTTCGCCGGGCATCCGAACATATCCCAGGTCTTTCCCCTCGCCCAGCTAGCGATCACGATCCCCTTTCCCCTTCCGGAACGAATCACTCTTCACCGGTACCGCCCATCTTGGACGATACCCCTGCTTTGGCGCGAGGTATCCAGGCAAATGAGTATAGCGATACTCGGGGTGGGCTCGCGCATCGGCTGGAAGAAGCCCTATCCTCGCCGTCACATTCAGACAGTCCTCATCGAGGTTCGTAGAGTCCTTATTGACATGGGACAGCATACTCACGAGAGCTCAGCGATTGAGTGATACATATGGTCTAGCACGAATTCAACATTGTAGCCACTGCAGATATAATTGTACATAGAATATTAACACTAGATAGCCATCAAGATATATACCTACCCATTTGCTCCACCATATGTAAACACGCCAATGACTAATCATTCAGCGCACCGCATACCAGAACGCCCATGCTAGAATCAACGCTGTCCCAAGCCCTCCGCCGCCACAGGCAGCAATCCAGTGATACCAATGCCTGATACTTATCAGCTCATACTTTGCTGCGTTGGCAGAACGTACTGTTGTCTGACCTGTACAACTTCTCTCTCCCCTTCAAACCTCTGGTGTTTGTAAAAGTACTTCAACCTCTTCTCCTTCTCTCCCCACCTCTTTCTCAGCCACAGTTCGAAAGCCCGACTCTCTTCTTTACTGGCTAGCCCGGTCTCCTCCGTCATCTCCCCCTCCTCCGTCAAAGATTTCGTGCTCAACGAAGGAATCTCGCAGTCGGGGTGGGTGAGGTGAGAGTTGAGGTGAAGGTGAATATGGACGGTAGGGGGAGGGACAGATTTGAGAAACACGGAGAAGAGGCCATACCAGTCTTCTGGGTATCGACCGAAGGGAACACCAGGGTAGCCTATGGTGATGTCCAGGAGCTGGAGGTCGGGAATCTGCGGAAGAAGTGTTCGGAGACAGAATAGGAGGCCGGTTGTACGGGGGTGAAGCAATGTTTCAAAGTCGTCCTGCTTTGCTATCAGTTTGTCCACGATATAGCCAACAAGAGATACTGACAATTCCTTCACGTTCCGCATGCTTCTTGCTCTTGGGCCGCTCGTCGTCATTGATGATTGTCCCCTCGGGAAACATCATCAACCACAAAGGCGACCTCTTGCCACTCTCGGACCGTAGTAGGCTGGCCGATTCAGAAGCATCATCCGTGGACTGCGCTTCTTTTCCCAGTTGGCGGAGGGCAAGGGTGAGGTTGCTACGATCGGCGGCCCAAGAGCGTTGGAGGAAGATGAATTTAAACAATTGCTAGTGGAGCGTCAGCCCGCACATCGAATTGTCCTTTGGCAGATAATTTACCATGCCCCACCCCAATAAAGGAACGTTCTTCAGGCTCGCCTTAAGCATGATTACAAGCCCCCTTGAATGTCCAGCATATGCACAGATGATCCAGAGATAGATCCAATCTAGATATGACTGATGATTAGCCATGATCACCAGCCTGTCCGGCAGATTGATCTTCTGTAGTCTCCCTTGAGAGTCATTCTGTACTAGATCGTCAAGAAGAGGGGGGACGTCGGATGTGAATGTGAAGGAGGTGGGTCCGAAGAGAACCGTTATGGCGATCACTACACGTAGGCCGGCATGGTCAGACTCGGTAATAGTCAGGGGCCGGGCAGACCAACTCACGCAAACGCCCATATCCGTCCTTCGTCCACTCGATTCCCCTTGTGAATGCCCTCTTGCCCACAAACGGAACCAGTAGCAGCGGCATGAACAAGAGTTGCGCAGAGCCGATACCGATCTGTGCGAGCGTGAAGAAGATGGGGAAGAAGACTTTGGAGAAGAGAGGGCCGTGGGGTGGGCGGTCTGCTATGGGGACCGAGTACAGCTGCTTGTAGGCGCTGGACATGGCGGATGGGGTGCTGGAGGTCATGCAGAAAGGAGAGAAGAAGTGAAAAGGCAGACACAAAATCCGTCACTGCAGTGCAACAAAAGAATGAGCTCCGCCGGCCTGGCTCCGGCGGCCGTCGGTCATCAACAAAAATGCCGGGCCACGGAGCAGCGATGACGCCCATTGGACGAGACAGTAGAGTAATATGACGAGGGCCTCTCGCTCGCTCCTGTTTCATAGCTACATACTACGCCCATGGGATAGCGTATCCAGTTCACAGCCATGCAGGTACGAGATATAGATGCGTTTCCGTGACCGAATGGCCTCCTCTTGTCCTCCTACATCATCTCCGGGCTTTAGAAACTGGGGCGCCCGTGGCCAGCTTGTCGCTTCAATGAGCAGAACGATCCGAGGGGTGACCCTACATACCTGCTGTAAAGCGCGGGCCTCTGAATCGCCCTCCGCTACCGCCACTACCGTCACTGACATTATCGACATTACTCTTGGACCTTGTTGCAAAGAAGGGCTGCTGTCTAGGTTCGAAAGGGACGCTGGATTGTGGGCGGAAAGGTGCATGTTGTTGTGCCGACTGGGGCGTAGCTACGAAACGCCTTGAGGTGTTGACCATAGGAGAGTCCTATACAACATCCATCAGCAATGATTTACGATGGCAGCATTAAGGGTGGCGGCCTACCTGCTGGTGTCTATTGCGAGAGGATTGCAGCGTGGCCATCGGGGTACCAGCCATCTCGGCGCCGTGAGCCACTTGGGAGAAGGCTGTTTTGCGCTTGATCTTTTGATACAGTCAGTGCTGCTATTCACAGATATATTGCTTGAGAGACACACCTTGTCGAAATCATCTCTGAGTTTTGACAGTTCTCGATCCTTACGTCGCGACTCGTTGACAGATTCCTGGGTCTTGCGTCGGCCAACTTCAAGGTCGTTCTCGAGAGCTGATTGTAAGCTTTGCCAGAGGCACAGATAGCTCACTTGATATCTTCTTGTGGGCCACTATAGTCGAGCCAGGTAAAACGTGACCTCACTCGTCGATGGGGTCTTGACTTACATTGCAGATCACAGAACGCTCGGACCATCATCAGCGTAGTCTTTCAATGTGGGACCCTGTGGCTCACCATTGTTGAGTTGCTTTTCTGAATGATTCTGTCGCTCCTGCGTGTTCTTGAGTATCAAAGCCTGGAAAGCGCTGCTAGACAAGTCAGCTCCGTGTAGCTTCCCCGACAAAGCTAATAGGCCATGCCTCTCCTGAGACAGCTGATAAGTCCAGAAGCTTAGAGCTCTTGCCGCAATCTCCAGAACAGTGTGTGGTGGAAGTCCTGCCAGAATGGACTGTGATGAAGACTCAGCATGACGAGAGTGTTAGTCCAGATAATAGCGGTTGACGCACAGCTTTGTATTCGTTGGTTGGATTCAAAGCAGTCATCTGGATGTAAGCCCTGGGCCATCAGTCCCTCGACCTACCACTATGTCGTCACTGTGTTGTAGTCAGCGTTTGTCATACAAGGTCCTAGCTGACTTGCGACCCTTGGAGAGACTGGTTGCAAGCTGGACAGATGAGAGAATTTGAGAACAGCGTTGTCGCGCAAGGTACTGTGGTGCCATGTTGAGCGATTATCGGGTGTCTGCCCTATTTGATACGCCACCTGGCTTACCGCAGAATATGTCTGTGTCTCCAATTCAGTGATCACGTTGAGAAGAGCCAAGACTTACGAGAACAGGTGGTTACTACCGCCTGACCCTCCGTGGCCAGGAAAGCACGACACTTGAGGTTGTTGCATCGCAGCTCATTGTCGGCAGTCGACATGCTGCTGAGGCAGTAGTGGTGGACGGCTAGGTCGAGTATGAAGCTTGGAAGGAAAGGAAACTCGTCGAAAGAGGTAAAGCAGAGAGAAGTCGGCGCGCACGGTTGACGTGTGTTGTGTGTAGCTAGACGCGACGCGCATATGACTGTGCTGTTTTGCCGGCAGCGCTGAACAACACACAGCGCCAATACATCGAGCAAGCATACATGTAGCATTCTATAATAGTTTCATTACATTCAACAAATTTCAACAGGATCTTGAGATAATGGACAGCGCCAGAGACTACTTGATACGGAAGAATTGGTGCAAGACCTCTGAGAAGCGGGTGATTCCGTCATGGAACTCCTTGTGCGTAGCGACAGAGAAGGCAAGGCGATAATAACCAAATCCTTTCCCGCCGATGGCATGCTCGCCACCGGCATCGAAGCCCCAGCCAGGAGCAAACAGGACCTGGAAAGGCGTCAGCAATTTTCACTCTCGAAGCGGATATGCTCACCAAGTTGTCGGCAAGCAACTCCCAAAGCTTTTTAGTGAGCGTCAGGGTAGCATCCTCGCCTTGCTGCGAAAGTGCATGGTAGTCGGGATGCTCCTTAAAATGGACACCCAGGAAAATGAACATTCCAGCTATGGAGGTATCAGCGGGACTCTTTGATTATCGGCAGCGGACATGCCCGTGGGAGGGATAAAGGTCACGAGGGCACGGCTTCGCTTTCCCGTCTTTTCATCCCAGGCGTTCTGGGTTCGCTTGGAGTAGCAGGTCACAGTTCTCGAGCGCTCAGGGAACAGGGAGCTGCTTTCGTTGAACTCGAGATGGAACACTTCCTGGAAGATGTCGCACAGCCAGGTCTTGCGCATGTTGTACAAGGCCTTGATACCTCTCAACCAGCGGATGTAACCCTCGAAGCCCCATTGCTGAATCATAGAAGCAGTCAACGCAGTGGCAAATCCACTGGGAGCTTGGGTGGTGGCTTCGGTAGCTCGGGTGAGGCGTTCAATGAACAAAGGCGAGGAAGTGATCCAGCCCAACCGAGATCCGGGCGCAGAAGTTTTGGAGAATGTCTATTTATTGTCAGCTGTGAGCCAATAACAGAGCGGCCGACTCACATCCATACGGATGACACGTCCGTCGGTGTCAAACGCCAAGAAGCTTGGTGGTAAGGCGTCAATGAATGCTTGGTTGCCCTCGCTACCCTCCTTCATCTCAGCCTCAATCTGGCGTTGAGCGACAATGGATCGCTCGTGCTTGGTGTCCTTGGGTGTCCATTCACCAGTGTACTATGAAGTATTAGCCAATCCCCTCTTGTGAGGCGTATGGAGCTCACCAAACAGTAGTAAGGCTCGTCCTCACAAATGACGACATCTAATACGTATGAGTCTTGACCATGAGGTGATGGGATTCTTACCGTATTTCTGGCAAATCTTGTAGATCTCCTGCTTCCTTTCGGCCTGCATGGTAGCACCAGTGGGGTTCTGTCCAGTGGGAATGGTGTAGAGGACATGAGGCCGCCTCTTTCCACGCGTTTCTTCGTCCCAGTTGCCCAAGACGTCCTCCAAATGCCCAGGCAGAAGCCCTTCACCGTCCATCTTGATGGGAACTCTTTCCACCTCGTAAGGGACAAAAGTATTCTCGGCGCCGGGATACGTCCACTCTTCGACAAGGATGGCGTCTCCAACTTCGAGGAGCATGGCACAAATTTTGCCCCATCCGTCGGTTGCACCAACATTGATCAAGACGTCCCAATCGGCGTACGCGGGTTTGTATACTTTTGAGACGTACTCTCGCAAGAACAAAGGTAGAGCAGGTGGGCCTGTAGCAGATTGATATTGGAGAGAAGTCGAAAGCTCAATTGTGAGAGGATTAGTAGCACCAGAGGCATATTTTGGGATAGTGAAGGAGACGGTCGGGGATTCGGCCTTGGAAGGGAACAGCCAAGAAAGCAACGACTTCTTCTCCTTTTCCGGAGTACGAGGTGGGTTGAGGGGGAACGCATTGTACTGATAAATGGTTGCTGAGATGGTCTCAAAAGGGAAGACTTCGGGGTGAGGTATACCTATCACAAAGTCAGCACCAACATTGATCTACCATGGGGCAACGGACCTCCGGCCATTGTAATCTGTGCGTGAGTGTATCAGCGTCGGGGTCATGTGTTGTGCTTCATGCTAGGGTTGCGTCGTGACTCACCATTCCCGGGACCGCCATATACTTGTAAAGCTCTTTGAGGGCGTTTGCCTCTCGGTGCTTGGCCAGCCTGTTCAAGTGGCGAGTCATGTCCTGGGCGTCTGGCAGCCGGCTCGTGGTGTGCGCGTTGTGCTGTGCGGGTATGGCGAAAGAGGAGTCCATGGTGGATATTTGTGGGCGAATGCTAAAGAAAAGAGGCAGTTGAGAAATGGGGGCCATCTCGCGGAGTGGGCTTATCAAGAACGCAGTCGGCCACCTCCGGACATCGCCGGACAAGGCCGAATTGCATGATTTCTCTACTATGTATGGTGAATTATTCGCTGTCTTGACGTCCTTGCAGAAAGTCTCCTGCCAATGTGCGCCCAGTCTGTGCACGAGCAGGCGTACATGTATGATACATCCTCCCCTCGTTTCATGACATTATATAGATCGTTGCTACTCAAGAAACACTTGGCCCGGCTGGGCACTTCTCGGAGCCTCCATGGCCCCTCTACCCCCTATTGCCCCCCCGCTTACATACGGTATCGGCATCACTATGCTACCCAGACTACCTTGGCCAGGAACTGTCGCGTTCGCTGACCTGCTCCTCCCTATCGCGGCTTGCTTACTCGGCAACTGGAGATCACGAAGCCCGTGGTGCACTGCTGCGTACCCAGCTGAAGGCGGTACCGCAATATCCTCGTATTCGTCATGGCTAGACGCAACATCTATGCTATGCTCTGACCCCAGATCTGTACGTGAGGAGAAGAAAGCAGATCTGCTCGAGGCGGATTGTGATGGAGGAATCGGGGCTGGAGTACCCTGACCAGGTCGCAAGGAGCTTACTTGGATCAGGATGGCACATTCCCTCGTCGCTTGCGTCAGCCTTCCCACTGTCTGACGAACAGCAACCGGGAAGGAGTGAGTCCCTGACATCGCCTTGACCAGTTCCGAGACCTTCACCACAATCTTGATAAATGCTTGCGCATCATCAGGGAGAGTGGTAGTCGGCAAAGATGATGGATTGGCTCGAAGTCGCATCAGAGACTCTCGTAACGTCGCAGTAGTCTGCTCAGCCACCGAGAGGAGATGAATCAGTTCCGTATGTTGCTTGGGCGTTATGTTAGAAGGCCGTTTGGACGTGTGCCCGAAGCCCATATCTATATTACGACTCGACGCGTTGCTAGGCTGGCTTTGATGATGTATGCCATGGTTGGGTAGCGAGGGAGAGGCACCGATGTCTTCAGAGAGCCTCAGCCACGAGGTGAAAGCTACCTCAGTGGCCGTTTCGATGACGTCTAACAGGTCCTCATCGAAGAGCGTTGCGGATGCCGGCGTAGGTGGGCGAACATCCACGGAAAGCTTTCGTGGATATGCAAAGCCGGATGCCAGCGACATAGCATGACTTGAGCCAGACGATGACGAAGGATGGTGGCCTCGTTCCCCAAAGGCGAATGGCGGATGAGGGTGATCCATATGAGCCATCGCGTGATTGGGTGCACCATACTCGCTGGTTTCCTCGTCTTCAGGGGACGGGAGGGTGATAGTGCCCGATTCGGCCCTTTCGTGATGATGTTCATCCTCCTTGGAATCAGGGCTTGCCTCTGGCAATGGAGACCCCATCATCATGCCCCTCTCAACATCTTGTCCGCTGTATGACCCGGCATGCCTTCTTTCCTTGCTCAGAGGGTGCCCTTGGCCCCTTCTCCTCCCCTGATGGCCCAAGGGAGTTCCCAAACTCTCGTCATGCCCCGTAGCAGGGACTTCGCTGCGGATCGACTGTGGCGAATGCGATTCTTGGCGCTCAATGATGGGTGAGATTGTTCGACCCGTGAATGAACCGGTCGCCGCCATCGGTTGCCCACCAGAAGAATCAGTGTTGAAAGGGATTCGAGATCCGGTGGCGTCGACAAAGAGTAACACTTTTGCCTCTGGCATCAACCCGGCCATAACCTTCCAAGAGCTTGCCATCTCCGCTGTAGCTCCATACACATTAACCATCAACGTTCGCGTGTATCGTATATCATTGCCACGCATGGCAGGAACTTGCATTTTCAGAACCGCCGCGACTTTGCCGAAGACAGACACGCTCTCTTTGGCGGCGTCAAGGACATTTCGGATGGCGGCCGTTGGAGGTGTACCACGACGAGACATGGCATCAAAGCGATCCAGCGCATTGATGAGCCTGTTCATGTAAACCCCAGCAGGCTCCATGACTCTTTTGAAAGTACCTGCCACCCGCTCATTGACCGCAAAGTTGATATACTGCCTCAAAGAAGAGTGCAATTGGGATATGGCAAACAGTATACCCCGAGTAGCGTCAATGAAACGTAGAAGGAACACAGGGATCGCCTTGGAAATGGTTGACGTTGGTAATGTTGACAAGCGACGAAAGTAGGAGTTTCGCGATTCGTCTATGACCCTGTCTTGAGATGACCTTTTCTCCGAGAGGGAAGTCAAATCGTCGACGCCAGGAGCCAGATCGGGGGACGGAGAAATGTCTCCTTCGACGGCAACTGATGTAGAAGAACGGTAGGGATGCGAAGGCATAGATGCCATGATGGAAACTGTTCCTGTTGCCATCTCACCTCCCATATCGCCTCGCCTTTCTTCAATGATTCTAGCGTGGCTCAAACGTAAATCAGGTAGTGATTTTTTCGCAGTCAAATTGCTGACGCTTGACTGCCCAGGGGAATAGCTTCCGCCCCGCGTATGGCTTTGAGCTGATAAGAATGTATTCTGAGCAAAGGTGACTGACGGCGAACGGGCATGCGAACGGAAAGACGCGTCTGTTGACGATGATGGTGGCGACATGTACGAAGCCGTGGATTCGTTTCGCGCGTGTGAATTGACATTTGGTGAAGTTGACCGGATATTGTTTGCCGTGGAGTCATGGGAATCTGAACGCTGATTCTGTTGCCAAGGACGAGGAGCTGGCTGAGCTGGTCCCAACGGCATTTCCGAGGCAGAAGATACTATTGCCGGCTGCGAGCGCTCTTCTGCTTGTTGGTATCTGCAAATCGTCAGAACCAGACTGGATGTAAATAATCGATCGCCGCTTACCCAAGCGAACCATTCGGCTGACCGCTCTCCTGAGGTTCATTTTTCTGCCTCATCCACATTTTGACACTCTCAATCCACGGTCTCAAATCCTCCTCCTTTCCTCGCTTCCTGTCATGCAAGCTTCCTTTGGATCTACCAGCCGAGATGGATTCGCACAAGGGACCCAGTATACTTCGAGGCTATATAGCGTCAGCTTGGTACGGCGAAAAGAGCGTTTTCTCTGCTTACGGGCCACTCTATAGGGTTTTGATCAACCTTGAACACTTTTAAAGCCCCGAACTTGATAAAGTTCTCGGGTAGATGGACGATTTCATTATTGGTGAGGGAGAGAACCTTCAGTCGGACGAGGTGTCCAGGATCGTCAGGGAAGGATACAAGTTTATTCTTGGAGAAATCCAGGATTTCCAAGGCCGGTATTTGTGTGATCTAGGGTACGTCAGAAATGGACAACGCAAAAGAACGACGTACCGCAACGGGAAACTTTGTGAAATGATTCCCTTTCAGATTCAAGTATCGTAATCTGCTCAGCTTGCCGAAAGAGTCCACAATGGAATTGTCTCGTAAAAGATTGTAGGACAGTGCCAATCTGCAACCAATGTCAGACCAGCGGTGCGCAATACAAGGATATCCTCATACCTCCAAACACCTTTCTGGTTCTTCCCGACTCTGCAGTTGAACATGTCTACAGCTCTGTCACCAATCCTATCGATCGCTCGCCGGCTGAGATCAAGGGTGTCGCCCTCGTCCTCTGACCTCTCTAGGGCCTCCTCCACCATCTTTAGGGTCTTCTGGTCCCTTTGCAAGAGCTCGTCCAGCGAGGCATTGGATATAGACGGCGTTATCCGTGACTCTGACTCGACAGAAGGCGCTGCGCCAGCTCCTGGTCGATTTGTAGATTTCGGTGGAGGCGGCGGCGGGGACGGTGATGATAGATCGCGAAGACCTCGCACAGCCAGTTCGACATCGTTTCTGGAATTGAAGGCAACACCTTCACAAGCCAATTCGCCCTTGACTACAGGTTCAATAGGACTGTGAGCGTTGATGTATTCGCGCGAAGAGGAGCTATCCAGCATCGCGTCCCCATACTGGGAAGGGGCTTTGGACAGAAAGTCTGTATCGACTCGGAGTCCTGATTTCATGTCCGCCTCGTCTTTGTTGTAGGCATCTTCAGAGAGGTGACTTGATGAATTTGAGGGTGGAAGGGTTGACCCGTTTCGGAAAGTACCGTTCACACCGCTGTTGTCTTTTGAAAGGCCATTACGGAGTGTTGGTGTGGAGCTAAACATGATATTGTACCTTGAACAGATGTTGAGCGATTGAGCCAGTCATTCGCAAATTTGCGCCAGATGCCGGACAGAAGGATGTCGGTATCTGGAATTGGGGCTGTTATACAATATACCTGCTTCAATATCAGTTCAGCGGTCGCTCCGACAGAAGATAAGCTCTTACTCGTCTGTAAAGTTATGAGCCATGTAGCTATGCTCATATAGGTGAAACTCTTGCCCCAGATAGTCAACTTTGACGGCCTGCTGATCTCTCGATGATGCGCTATTGCGCGCACTGCACCTCGAGCAAGCTGCGGCGATTTGTGTCCGGGGAGTCCAATGGAGCCCTTGGAAAACAGTATGGTGAGACAAACTCTGAGCTAGAATTCGCGGGAGTGAGATATACAGTAAAAGAGCAGGCTAGGTTGTGAGATATATGTATCATGGCCAGGCAGACAATGACGGACGACTTCTTTGTCGTCGCGAGCGGCAGCAGGGCAAGCGCGATTACGTAATATACCCCCAAATGCTGCAATGATGGCATGGATATGGCGTACACGCGTACCATGCATGCAGTGGTATGATGCTGCTACACTACTGCTGCTGAGCTTACTTTATTTACAGTGTACAAAAACAGTCTCCAAGTGTCTCACCACCACCACAGTCCAAAGTACAGGTCGATTTTCTCTTCCAGGCCTTGCTCAGGCTGCTGTAGCCGACTGTTCCCGGCTATGCTGCTCACTAACGCGAGCAGTTTTGTGCTATCACAATCGGGGCGATCGGAAAACAGGGAATGAAGTGGTGCGTCCTCATACATATCATGGAATCTAGTGTTTGTGTTTACAGACGCATCCCACCAATTGCAGTTGAATTGAATGACTTATGCAATATCGCTGTTACTCAATCACTGAATGGCCGGACTGCAGCGGGTGTCCTGTAGTCACGTATGAGAATTACACCCCGTTGCGTTGCAAGCTAGTATGTCCTAGACATACCAGATACTGACAGTCTTCTCGAGATCATCGTCGTGTGTGTTTATGCAAGTGTCCTTTTCACCACCATGGTGCAACTTTCACTCTGAGGAGCCCGCTGTTGACGCTTCTTTGGCAAGCTGCTCGGGTCTAAACAAAAAATCAGCATATGCGATCTGGTCATGGAGATGCTACATACGACTTCCACACATCTTTGGTGGCATGCATGAGCTCATAGAGCTGCCCGACTTGCTCTTTACTGAGTCTTTCGAAAGCGTCTGTATCCAATTTCTTGCCCCTCCACTGAACAGGTTCTCCCTGTTTTCGACCATCGGGAGTTATGACAGAAGATTCCACTTCGTCCAGATACAACTTCCATTGCGAAAGAAAGCCGATGATGTGCAAGGGATTGTCGGTCGACCGAGTAAGACGGAACTCGGATTTGACGTAGGAATCGCCCATGTAACGCATCTCGGCAGGGAGCAAGCGATGAGTACGGAGGATTCGTCGGTAGAGTGGGATTGGGGGTATGAGTTGAATTGAGGCCTGGGAAACAGACAGCGGCAAGGGCTTAGACGCGCTGGCCAGCAGGGATGGGGACGGCCTCATGGTAGCAGGGAGATCGTGAACGGAGGGATATTACAAATGGGGGTAAGGGCAGTTGATGGAAGTCGATATGGCGTTGAGGTGTCGTAACTCGTAGGTCGTAGGGCAAGCAGCGTGAGACTTCGAGCGAATGTTGAATTTTTTACGACTGTTCCAACCCCGCCTGTGTCAGCAGCAGTAGTCAGCAGGCGCAAACAACTCAACTTATCTCGCGTTGAGTCGCGTGGCAAATTGGCTCCGGGGCGGGGCGTGCCGCCGAGATAGCCCGGCCGAATGCAGCCGAAACGAAAGTCGAAGTGCAGCGTCTGCTACTGACTGGTTGGGATAATCTATTCCTACATCTCTCTTCATTTTCTCTTTCGCTTGCCTGCCGTACCCCTCCCATTTCCAAGACCAAAATGGCAAGTCCCCCCTCCCTGCAACCCTTCGGTGTGACCAGATTTATTCGGGCGTCTCCTCATCAACAACGAGTCCTTTTCCACGAGGATGTGGTTGCCCTCTGCTGCCTGAGGGCCGTTGTTTTGTTCGACCCGTTATGTCCGGCATTCACGTGCTGTCGGCAAAACGGGACGCCTCTTTCGGAATGCCCAATGAGCTGACTCTTATAACAGCTTCCAGCCCTCGGAAGGTCCACCAGATTATCAAGGACGGCATTCCGACCTAACCAGTCTGTCCTCTACGCCATGGCTACTCGATCTTTCGCGTCCACGCCTGCGGGCATCGAGAGGATCAAGGTCAAGAACCCGGTCGTCGAGATTGACGGTGATGAAATGACCAGGATCATTTGGAAGAAGATCCGGGAAGAAGTGAGTGCTAGAGACATAGCAGCAACTAGAAAGTAGTACTGATGCGATGATAGCTCATTCTCCCCTACGTCGATGTCAAGCTCCATTACTTCGATCTCGGAATGGAGAGCCGAGACGCTGTACGTGCGAATGTGTCACTCGGAAGCGTGATCCTGAAGTTGACGCTTGTAACAGACCAACGATCAAATTACTATCGACTCTGCTGAAGCGATCAAAAAGTACTCTGTCGGTGTCAAGTGTGCCACCATCACCCCCGATGAGGCTCGAGTCAAGGAGTTCAAGCTGAAGGAGATGTGGCGAAGCCCCAACGGAACTGTCAGTTCTCCTGATTGAGTTCGCACATGTGATCTGACCTTTTTGCAGATCCGAAACATCCTCGGAGGAACTGTCTTCCGTGAACCCATCATCCTCGACAAAATCCCCAAGCCCGTTCCCGGATGGACCAAGCCTATCGTCATTGGCCGACACGCCTTCGGTGACCAGTATCGCTCTACAGACTTCTTGGCTCCCGGCCCCGGCAAGCTTACCCTCACCTACACCCCTGCCGACGGCGGAGCCCCTACCGAAATGAACGTATATGAATTCAAGGGGAAGGGCGTGGCCATGGCCATGTACAACACCGAGGAGAGTATCTTTGGTTTTGCCCACGCGAGTTTCAAGATGGCACTGAGCAAGAAGATGCCCTTGTTCATGTCTACTAAGAAGTGCGTACATGTCTGAGAAGTGCACATCTGCTGATGCTTCACAGCACTATCTTGAAGAAGTATGATGGCCGTTTCAAGGACATCTTCCAGGAGGTCTACGAGTCGTGAGTAACGGAGCTCTGTGGAAACAAAATCATCGATGCTGATTATGGGTCCAGCACATACGCGGGCGAGTTTGAAAAGCTCGGTATTTACTACGAGCACCGATTGATCGACGACATGGTCGCTCAGGCTGTCAAGTCTTCAGGAGGTTTCGTCTGGGCGTGCAAGAACTACGACGGTGATGTCATGGTGAGTTGCTTTTTCGGTGATCATCGTAATCAGCCTAACAATCACCAGAGCGATATTCTCGCCCAAGGTTTCGGGTCCCTCGGTATGATGACTTCCGAGCTCATCACCCCCGACGGCAAGACCATGGAGGCTGAGGCCGCCCATGGCACCGTCACCCGTCACTATAGGCAATACCAAGCTGGTCAAGAGACCTCTACCAACCCGGTTGCTTCCATCTTTGCCTGGACTCGTGGTTTGGCTTTCCGTGCCAAGTTGGACGAAACCCCCGAGCTGGCTGTTTTTGCCAAGGCTCTGGAAGAGGCCTGTGTCGAGGTCATCGACAAGGACAGTATCATGACCAAGGATTTGGCTTTGGCGATGAAGGGCAAGGACATGACCAGGGACGACTGGGTGACGACCGATGTCTACATGGCGAAGGTGAACGAAAAGCTGATCGCGAAGCTCAAGGCGAGCAAGGCCTAAGGAAGATATTCGGTGGGCGGAGAAACGAAAGCGCAATGAAGGAAGACGAAAAGTGATCTTGTATGCGGTCCACCAGGAACAGTACGACTCGTCAAGTAGACGACGCAGGGCATCTATATGCATAAGATCATGATCGCCAATCATCGTCAACTTTCCAGAGCTGTGTAGCCACGCAGGGCAACAACAAAGGAGGAAGTAAAGCGGCATAGGCCGCGTGTTGACCATGCTGAGTGATGGTACCTGGTTTGTTTCGTCGGGAACAACGACCAAAGGGGTACTTTCATCAATCGAAACAGATTATTGCCAGAAAGCTATTGTTCTCGGTTGGTTGAGCATGCCACTCCCCCGCTTTCCAGGAGGACCAACTCCATTTCTTATTGTCCCTGCCGTTTCATCGCGAAACTTGTTGTCTCTCAGCACTGCGGCCAAGTTCATTGTCCTGGGATACAATTGTACGTATATTTACCATGAGGACACGAACTGATCTTCTCTCATCTTGCACGTTTCCCTTTTCTCACGCCTCGCTTATCCTCGAACACTTTCCCCCACTTTCCCTCCCAGCACCTATCCCAACACCTATACATTCTGCAGGGAGAGCTCAGCGTTCGACGTCTTCCTTCATCAGCACCAAATTCCACCGCAGCCTCTTGAAAATCTCCAATACAAGCCAAAGATCGACTTGCTACCCGCCACAATGCCCTATGGATACCAGCTGCCTTACGGGGCACATGTCATTGTGCTTTTCCTTTCGCTCCTTTCCTCTTTGGTTCTCATGTGAGTCTAATGTATTGTTGACTGCTGAAGCTCATTCCCTGTACAGTATCCTTTGCACCTTTTCTTCCCCATTCATCTCTGGCATCAGCTGGCTCCGAAATCCCTCTTCGGCAGGAGACACTACATTCGGCTCTTTTGGCTGGTGCTCGCCCGACTATTGCCTGCCCAATAGAGTGGCCTATGAATACGGACAGCAAGTGAACAGGGCTTTGACTGGAGGCATGATGCTTTGGCCCATCGGTGAGCTTCAAGCACGTTTCGTTTGAACCTCTGCTTACAACTTTACAGCCATTATCTTCACCTTCCTCACATGGCTTGCTGTAATCCCTCTCCTCTTCGTTCACGACAACAGGGCACTTCGAACCGTTGGTAACAGGACCTTCTTTGTGATCATGATGGTGAGTTCCCAATCCCATGCCTGCTGAGCCGTTCTGACACGGGTAGAAACAGTCAACCGCCACCCTCGTGACAATCGTCGCATGGCTGTTATCTATCTATGGATGGAGCGTCGCTCATCGTGCTTTCGAGATTGCTGGCGTTGAGACCCACACGGGATCGGCCGTGAGTCTTTTAAGATGTGCTCGCCCACTCGCCAGCTAACAAGTGTCCAACAGATGTGGTTGGGTCTTACCGCTGCGCTTTGCATGTTGATGTGAGCTGTTTAACCTTCTATTCATTACCATAAAGCTGACCTTTGGAAGTGTGTTTGTCCTCGGATGGCCAGCAGAGGCTTGGGACGGTACTTCTACTCGCGCAAACGGCGGCGCTGGCGCTCGAGGATTGCCGGGGCCTCCTGGCGCACCTGGCGTGCCTACCAACGGCTACTACCACTATAAGAAGACAACCAGGGAAGTAGTTCCCAGGTACTGAGCAGCTATTGCATGGCTACGAGAGAAGGGATACTATGTAGTGTGAGGGGAATTCTGCAGATTGTGATAGGCTTGTGCATGCATTTGTGATGAACGACACGCGTATCGGCGATGGCCGTCGGCATGTGTAGTCTCCTCCAGATACGTCACCGCGGGACCCAATGTGGCAGGGCAGGAAAATGTATCTCCATCTTTCAACCATCTTTCATCCTCGCATTCTTACAGCACCGACATGTCCAACACCACAGACGCTGCCAAGGGCCTCGTTGGCAACCCCTTGACCCCCAACTTCACTCCCAAAGACTATGGCATCTTCTTCACCGCTGGAGCCCTCTGCTGCACATTGTAAGTCGACGCTTTGACAGGTCGAGACGTACCTATGCCATGTACTGATATACTGCCTACGTAGATCGCACGGTGGAATGACTCGTATGCTTGAATGACGTCCCTCGCGAACCCAGACTGATCTTTGTCCAGCTATTGATGTGGTCAAGACTCGTATCCAAATTGACCCGGCCCTCAAGGGCTTCTCATTAATGAAGGGAGGAAGGCAGATCGTAGCCGCAGAAGGTGCCAAGGGTCTATTGACCGGATTCTCTGCTACTGCCGTCGGCTATCTGTTCCAGGGTGGAGCCAAGTTCGCAGGCTACGAAGCAGCCGTGAGTGGCCCTTTCTCTTTCTGTACAGAGACCGCATCATCTAATTATCGTCTCCTCTGCCTTTGCAGAAAAAGTACCTGGTCGAGCTTTCGGGAAGTCAGGAGGCAGCCGTCAAGAACCGGACCGCCATCTATTTGGGGGGTGCGGCAATTGCAGAGTGAGTATCCACTGCAAGGGCACTGGGCACGGCTAATGATTCGGCAGATTCTTTGCTGACATTCTCTTGACACCCTTGGAGGCTACACGTATCCGTCTCGTCTCCGACCCCAAGGTAAATGTATCACAATGAGTTCTTCACCAGATGCTGACCTTCTACAGTATGCATCGGGTCTTGTGAGCGGTCTCACAAAGATTGCCTCTACCGAAGGATTTGCCAGTCTCTACGCTGGATTCATCCCCATCTTGGCCAAGCAGGTCCCCTACGCCATTGGGCAATTTACTGTCAACGAACGCTGTACGGAATTCATCTACAACCGCATGTCTCCTGAAGACAAGGAGAAGTTATCTGCCACCTCCAAATTCGGCATCACCCTCGGGTCTGGTATCGTCGCTGGTTTCGCTGCTGCCATTCTTTCTCACGTGAGCTTACTGTGGTGATTCTCTGGACGTGGCTGATACCTCGATAGCCCGCCGATACTCTTCTGTCCCAGATCAACAAGGGTCATGGCCCCAAGGGATCCATGATCTATCGCCTCGGCGCCCTCGGTAAACAGGCTGGATTCAGTGGCTTGTTTGCTGGTCTCGGGCCCAGAATGAGTGGGTATACCTCGAGTACTGAGGCAGCCAGCTGACCAAACGGTGTAGTCATGACTGCGGGTCTCGTTTCCTCCCAATTCATCAGTGAGCACCCTCTTCCATTTTGGGGGACTTTTGATGTTGACTTTTACTCCAGTGTATGGTTGGATCAAGACTGCCCTTGGCGCCAGGCCTGGCATCGAGATCCACAAGGAGGAATCTGCCAAGTAATCTGCCAACGCTCCAGTCGGTTGCCCGACATTAGAAGAACAAGAACCGCGATCGAGATCTGTAGAGCTAGGGACCATTTGTATCTGGGAATGAAGATGAATAGATTGACAAAGAGGCTTGGCAAGAGCGAACACTTGGACATGAGAAGAGTTCCAAGACGCCATCACAGAGTCGCCACCGAAGAATCGCGTCTACTTGACATTGCATGCTCTGATTGCCCTAAAAACCTTTTCGGCGAATGCATTGCCAGCTTGTCACCTCTCTGATTGTGTGGCGGCTGCAGAGAGGTTGCCAGAGATATGTAGACCCTAGGATCCTTCATTTTTACGCGCAGAATTACGCGTCCATTTCCTTTAACAAATTGATGTCGAGGCGCTCGCGTCCGTCGCCGCCGTCATCTTTCCACGTCTGTCCTGCATTTGTCTCCATTCTGCCCTTCAGGTTCTCACACATCCACAGCATTCATCTTGTCAATCGCCCAGACCTCAACCGCCCGACTTCTTGGACAATTCGTGTCCTACACCCTCGCCCAGCCCATTCTCACCTCAAACTACCCACCCTCAGTTACACGCACAATGGCTCGCCTCGGTCCCGAACGTGCGTATTCTACCTATTTCCTCAGGACTATGCCTTTCCTCCAGTACCATCGCTAGACCTGACATCTGTGTATGTAGCCCGAATCAACAGCAGGTATCTCAATGACCACATCGGCGAGACGGTCCGTCTGGCTGCCAAGGTGACCGGTGTCTCTGGAGACACTGCTACCATTCAGACAAGCGACGGAGGCACTGTGAGTGGTGCCCTATCCAGCGTTACAAACATGCAAACTGACTGAAGCCCTTCAGGTTGGTATTCATATTCCCAGAGTACGCCAGACAGACGCCACCGCCATATTCAGATGACTGACTCATCTGCAGGACATGCACATCCAGGACGAATACGTAGAGATTATCGGTACCGTGAAGGAAGATTCCACAGTCAAGGCACACACCCATATCGGACTGGGAAAGTCTCTCGGTACGTCTCAGCGGGATTGTCTTTTTCTGGTCGCCTGATTCATGTTGGTTCTTTGCAGATATGAAGGCAGTCAACAGTGTAGTAGATTTCTCACACAGTGATATCGGGTCGGGTGTATTTCACTAATAGACTGCTGGAGATGATATAACGCTGCATGTAATCATATGATGATATGTGTGATAGCGCTGAGATTGCCTGCGAACAGGCCTGAAATATGGGCAGATAGAAAAAAACATACAAATTGGAACATGCATCACTGAAAGTATATGACCGTGAACCAGAAGAAAAGCCCAACTTGCCCCTCTCTGCCGCCGTTACCCAGACCTCTTTTAAGCAGCGTTACGCAGGACTGTATGAGGCATTAGTAAAAGCATGCGATTAGATAGATGTGAGCCTTACCAAGGATAACAGAGTCTCCCCTCAAAAACATTTTCCTGTTAAAAGTCAGAACGGACAATCACCAGAGCAAGATGACGCACGAGATGAAACGGTCCTTGTTGACAGGCTTCTTGCCCTTGCCTTTTGGTGTTTCTGTCCACATCTAACGCGCGAACATTAGCTCCGTATTTACGTCTCAGGACTCCATCACCAACCTCCTTGACGTTCTCCAACACCATGTTGCAATGCCTATCGAATGCCTTCACCCTCGCCAACAGCTTCTTGTTGTTCCGCAGAGAGATCAAAACCTGGGACGAGTTTCGGACAGATTGCTGAAGGACGGAGAGGGGACCCTGGGAAATTTCATATTCTTCCAATTCTCTTATTTGTCCTTCATCGAGTTCGGACTTGGGGACGTGGGCGTATTGACTGGAAAGTGTCAGCTGAAGCATCCTCCTGCACGTTCTCTCGAGGGGGAGCCGCTTACCTCATTTTCGACAGAGGCTGGGGCCAGAAAGAGGGAATGAGAGGTGGGATGCCGGAGCGAGGGGTCGTACAGTACAAGGCAGAGTAGAATACTCGAAAGCTGGCTTGAATTCGAATCGTCAAGGTTCATGCGCGCTCTGCCGCCGCTCGCCTTTGCCACGTAGGCACGCCGCAAACATTATTCTTTTCGCCATTTAACGCATCTTTCTCCCGGTATCATTCAACGTGCAACTGAAAGACAGGAGACTGCCTAGACTGCAAGTCTGATGCAATATAGCATAGGATGTATATAAATATGAATTCACTCTAGGGAAATGTGTGTCGAGATTAGATTTCGTGTATCAAAGATCGTGTACTGCCCCTGCTCCTGCCTCGTGAAAAAAACGTCGTTCGAATTCAGTCATCATGTAATCATTCAAAAGGATTCGTTCGCCCCTTCTGGCCATCGTCACTTTCCGACACATCGTGTCCTCCGTCCAGGTCATCTCCCCAGGCGCACAGTGCATGCCACCACCTGTCTGGTCCTCGCCGCGGCGCCTCTTCCTCTACTGGTTGCCCTCTCGCGGCCTGGCCCCCTCGCCAGGTCGGCCCACCATAGGCGAAGCCCGTCTCTTCCGTGGGCGAGATGGCCGGCGATGAAGTCAACGACCTCGCGCCAGCCCGGGGCGATTCCGTAGAGACGCCGGTGACGAGAGAGGGACGACGTTCGTTCCCTGCCAGCGTCGGCGGAGGGGGAAAGGGGTCGGCAAAGGGTGACCGGGTGGTGGGGCTGATTGGGGAGGCGATAGGTCTGGGAACGGGAGACAGCGGTGGTTGAGAGTCGTACGGGTTTGGGTAGGCGGCGTTTGACGATTGAGGCCTGGTCATTGGCAGCTGACAGTCGGTTCAGAATGTATGTCATTACAAATTCGCTGTGGTTACTCACCTCGCCGACAGGCTCCTCCCGCCTTCCCAATATCCCGTCTATCGAACCCATCACGCTACTACGCTTCGCACTGGTCAATATGGAGAGCGGCCGGCGGAGTGAAAATGATCCAGACGATCTGGGCGAGGTCGTAGGCGCCGGAGAAGCCGGTAGCATCTTTGAATTGCGTGCAGCTAGCCGTCTGGCCGTATCTTTTGCGGCAAGCCGGGATAAATGCTGCATGCTACCGCGTCAGCATTGTGACACCATAGACTGGAACCGGACTGACTTGTTGGATTTGGCGTTCCTCTTCTTCGGCCTCTGATATGGGAGGGTAGCTCTGGACGCCATTTGCAGGTGGGTCCTCGAGGGGTACATGTTGCTGTTCCACGTCCCAGGCCCTCTCTTTTCCCTTGTAAGAAGGCCTTTGGACGTCCCCAATATCGACCCCTTCGTCATAGACTGCCCTCTTTTTGCCCTTCCTGCTGCCTCCCGGCGAGAGTGTTTCCTCTGAATCATTTCGCAGAGCCATGCCTGCGCGTGGCAGGTCTCCCGAGACGGTCGAGGTCGATGCTATGCTGGAGGCGGCCTGGTTGTAGAACACTGCGCCGTTGCGGGCGACCGGGGAGGCGCGGGCATTGTTAGACTCGCCTGGGAGGGGAGAGTACGACTTGGGATGGTTGCTGGGGAGGGAGGGGGGCATTGCTGGCGTCGTCGGCGTCGTCGGCGTCGTTGTTGGCGTCGGCGGTGGACCCGCTCTCTCTTAGAGATGCTACCCGCAACCCGCAAGGGACACGCCGGACACCGCCGCCGTGACGTGGCATTCCCGCGCTTGCGTTGGCGCGTCACTCTCCTCTTTCATCTGCATCCCAAGACGCCTCAGCTATACCCCACCATGGCCAACATCCACACCGTCGACATCCAGCACCTCAAGAATGGCGAAGTCAACCTCGGTGTACGCATCCCCTCTGCCTCTCAGCTCGCGCTCACCCTCTCCAGACTTCCATCATGGCTGTCAAGTTTGACGGCGGTGTAGTCATCGGCGCAGACAGTAGAACAACCACCGGATCCTACATTGCAGGTCTAGTTTCGAGGAACATGGGGTACTGCTGACATGTCCTCAGGCCAACCGGGTCACCGACAAGCTCACACACATCCACGACCGCATCTACTGCTGTCGCTCTGGCTCTGCCGCCGACACTCAGGCTATCGCCGATGCCGTCCACCAACACGCCCAGGTCTACACCTCAGTCTACGGCCAAGCACCCTCCGTCGAGACGGTCGCGACTCTGTTTGAAAAGATGTGCTATGACAACAAAGACCAGCTCTCTGCTGGTATCATTGTTGCCGGATGGGACAAGGAGAATGGGGGTTCGGTGCTGAATATTCCCCTGGGAGGCGGTCTGTTTGAGCAGCCGTGGGCTATTGGAGGTGTGTTCAGTCGCTTGGAAAAGGGGGCAAAGCTGACGTGGGCCAGGTTCTGGATCAACATATGTCTATGGTTACTGCGACGCCACATACCAGGACGGCTGGTCAGAGGAAGAGACCATCACCTTTGTCAAGAACAGTACGTGCCATTGCTTTCGTATACACGCCATGGCTGACACTGCGCAGCTCTCGCCCTCGCCATGTCCAGAGACGGATCCTCTGGTGGCTGTATTCGTATGTGTGTGATCACCGAGGACAAGGTGGAGAGACACTTTATCCCTGGAAACGAGCTGCCGAGGTTCTGGGAGGGGGCGGCGCTTGTTGGGAATGCGAATGTGAGGAGCACGGCGGTGGCTGCATAGACTGCGAGACATTGTACAGATATGAAATGTATGACCACATAAGCTGGGTCGGCGGACGCCGCCAGTGTTACATACCTCGTCCTCGACTCGACCATCTTATTATTCTTGACTCCCAAAAGGTAAAGGTCTCCCCTACAACTACAACTACAACCATTTCGACTCCCCAACTACAACAACTCCCCGCCATGCCCATCCTCGGCCTCAAGGCTCCTGGCCCCTCCGCCCCCGCCCACTTTGACCTCGAACCCCTCATCCGCCCCAACATCCTCGCCCTCCAGCCCTACCGCTGCGCCAGAGACGACTATTCTGCAGGTGTCCTCTTGGACGCCAACGAGAACGCCATCGGCCCCTCCCTCCCCAGGCTTTCCTCCACCCTTGCCTCCGACGATGCCTCCAAAGTCGCAGCCGAGACCCTGTCTCTCCTCTCGGAAGCAGAGATTGCCAACCTGAACAGATACCCCTCCCCGACTCATGACGACCTCAAGCGTGAAATTGCCAAGCTGCGTGGTGTCCCCGACGAGAACTGGGTATTCCTCGGTGTCGGCAGTGATGAAGTCATCGACATGCTGTACCGGGTGCTCTGTGTGCCCGGCAAGGACAGGGTCATGACTTGTCCCCCGACCTACGGCATGTACAAGGTGACGGCAAATGTGAATGATGTCGGGGTCCTGGAGGTGCCTCTGATCACTGAGGATGGATCCTTCCAGCTGGACGAGCCTGCTGTGAGTCATTTCTCTTTTACGAGACGCACTGCTGACACTCTTTCAGCTGGATGCAGCATTCGAGTCCAACCCCGATGTCAAGATGCTCTTTGTCTGCTCCCCCGGTAACCCGACCGGCACTCTCATCCCCCTCCCCGCCATTCAAAAGATCCTCGAGAATCCCAAATTCAAGGGTGTCGTTGTCGTCGACGAGGCCTATATCGACTTTTCTCCCCAGGGAAGCAGTGCGGCGAGCTTGGTGAACGAGTATGCCAATGTCTGTGTCACGCAGACTTTGAGTAAGAGTTTCGGTCTTGCTGCCATCCGGTAAGCGTCTTATCAATCTTGTGTGGTCATATGCTGAACGATGTCAGACTCGGCTACCTCCTCGCGCCCCCTCCCCTCATTCAGATCCTCACCAACACCAAAGCCCCGTACAATGTCTCTGTTCCTACCGCTTCCATCGCCCTCAAAGCCGTGAGCACTGAGGGCGCCGCTGCCATGAGCTGCGCCGTCGCGACGCTTAACGACAACAGGCAATCACTCATCGACGCACTTTCCTCCACCAAGGGCATTGGGCGTATCTTGGGCGGCAACCACGCCAACTTTGTGCTGGCCGAGATTCTCGGCGAGAACGGCAAGCCCAGCAACCAGAAGGCGCTGGAAGTGTACAAGACAATGGCGGAGAGTAAAGGCGTAGTTGTGAGATTCAGAGGGACGGAGAAGGGGTGCGAAGGGTGCTTGAGAATTACAGTCGGGACAGCGAAGGAGTGCGAGGAGGCTGTCCAGTCGATAGCATCGTTGCTGTGAAAGGGACGATAACACTGGGAGATTCAAGTCTATATGCATGCCATAATATATACGCTATGCCCGATGGCTATGCTGATGCCGTCCAGTGACATACCACCGTGGCTGGCATGCATGGCAAGAACAATGGGATTGCTGGTGGACAGGGCCGGAACCCTGAGGCAGCTGTTGTTCCTTCTTGCGACCTTCTTGACGACCACCTCCCGTAGTAACACCGGCCACCGTTTCCTTCTTTCTTCTCTGCTCGTTCCCAGACAGGATATCCCACGCCCTATAATACCGCGGCCACGCATCCCTCCCCATATGCCTCAGCATAACAGCGAAAACATACAGTGAGTTCACGGGCGGACTCGCATACCTGCACGACCGCCCTCTGTACGCCAAGGTAGTCTAGCTGCTAGCACCCCCGCTGCCGCTGCCCCTTCCCTGGCCAGACGGGAATGCACGCAAAGGGCATGCCCTTGCCGACGTCCACGTCCCACACATCCCCTTGCGCTCAAGCCCCGTTTGGAACAGTGTCTGCCGGCCTCGCCGTTGTGCTCGCTTTCGAGGCGGTCAGTGCAGCAAGTACAGAGTCCCCCACCCTCCTAGAACATCCACATTTCTCTTCTCCATCCCATCGCCACCATCCATTGAAAGGACGCGTTGCTCACACCCTTCCCAGCCCTTGACGACTCAATACCCGTACCACCCCGGTATCAACAACAACCCCTTGCGAAAGCACCCGCATCCGCATTGCTCGATACACTATTCCTATCGGCGACCGTCTCAAATTGTACCGCTCTATCGCATCCCATCCACGTTTTCAAGGTCCTGTAGACGGAGCAAGAGCACGTCAGAATGGGTGCCGCATGTTGCAAACCAGAGGTGTGTATCCCGGACTCCACCACGAGTTTCTCTTCGTCTCGGTATCCGTTCACTGACGTATGCATCAGGCTATCGACTTTGAAGGAGAAGTCAACCTCTTTCATTTCTATCTGTTGAGAAGTGTGGGCAAGGGCGCTTTCGGTAAAGTAGGTTTGGCTCTGCATGTCGCGCGACCATGGTAGCTGATGAAACCCTTATCAAGGTGCGAGTCGTGCAGCACAAGCACACGAAAACACTATTTGCTCTAAAGTATATCAACAAGCATAAATGTGTCAAGATGAAGGCTGTGGCGAATATCGTCCAGGAAAGGCGTCTACTGGAAGAGGTGCGTCTGGCGGTCGAAAGTGCGAGCTGCGCCGTCGCTAATGTGTGGTACAGATCGACCATCCTTTTGTGGTCAATCTACGGTATGCCTTCCAAGATGATGAGAATTGCTTCTTTGTGTTGGATTTGATGCTGGGAGGAGATCTTCGTTGTACGTCAGGCATCTAACACTCAAAGAGAGGTGCTGATGTTACCACCAGTCCATCTGGATCGAGCAGGCGCGATGAGCGAGGAAGTTGTCAGGTTCTATGTGGCGGAGGTAGCAATGGCTATCGACTATTTGCATTCCAAACGGATCGTTCACAGGCCAGTCCCAGTCATGCTGGTTGGCAGCCGTCTGACGTGTGCCATAGGGATCTGAAACCAGACAACATCTTGCTAGATGAGAGAGGACACGCCCATATCACCGACTTTAACATTGCCGTCCACTTTTCAGAACGAAGACTACTGACTGGTGTCGCCGGAAGTATGGCTTACATGGGTATGTCTGCCTTCGCTCGTCTCGGGACCAACGCTGACAGCCTATGCAGCGCCAGAAGTGTTGACAAAGAGAGGATACTCGGCTCCTGTTGATTTCTGGTCCCTCGGTATCCTTGCGTGAGTTTGTGGCTGTATAGATGGTGCCCGTGCTGAGCGTAGAAAAGGTACGAACTATTGTTTGGCAAACGACCCTTTCGGGGTCGCACCAACAGTGCTTTGACCAACTCTATCCTCAACGAGACTCTTACTTGGCCCGATGATGCGCCTGGCAAGTGTTCTCATGACGGCATGCAGGCTTTGCGAGGTGTAAGTGTGCATTCCAATCCACGGTGCTTGCGCTCATTCCCGGCAGTTTATGGAAAGAGATCCAAACAAGCGTCTTGGCTACAGGCCTGGTGGTGGCGGTTTAAACGACGTCAAGGCGCACCCTTGGTTCCGTAATATTGATTGGCAACAACTACATGACAAGCAGGTCGTGCCGCCTTTCGAGCCTGATGTAGGTTATCATTTGACACTGCGCATATTGAGGCTGACCGATCAACAGTCGAAACGAGCTAATTTCGATGCCACCCACGAACTAGAGGAGCTGCTGCTGGAAGAAAATCCCTTGAAGGCGAGAAAGAGGAAGGAGGGCCAAGATATCGAGCTCATGTCGCCGGAGATGCGCATGATGGAGCAACAGTACGTTTCACAGTTGGACCCTTCCCACCAGGCTAATCCTGTGTCCAGTTTCAAAGTCTTCGACTATACCAAAGCCCAGCGTCGGTCATACTACACACCCGCGCCTCAAGCGACCTCGGCTCAGGGTGTGACGAATGTACCTGTCGATGCCAATGGTGCTTTAAAGAGCCCCTCCGCTCGCCCGCATACGCCAAGTGACCAGACGGGACTGGTCAGCAAGACGGGACTGGACGTAGAGGCGCAGATTCTGGACGGCGGTGGGATGGCAAACATAGGTGGAAGGGGTGGTTGGCGCTCATCCGAGCTTCCGGATAGGGGCGGCCAAAGCATAGATGCCAATACGGCAAGGATTCATACGCCCTTGAGGCAGTCTTCGACGTGACTTTGTTCTGGAAATCGATCTAGAATGTTGCTGATAGTGTTGTAGAGAACCATATCCGGAACCAGAGGAGCGACTCGCCCGCGACAAGGACATGGGGAATGCTGTGTGAAGGGCTCTGTGGATCTTGTGATATTCTCCCTTCTTTATTTCTCCTTGATATACTCTATTCGGCCCAGTACAGTTGGGTCTGGTAAAACTTTATACCTCATGATTCTTTCCACAGAAGGAATCTTTCAACTCTCAGGTGCCCTATAATCGGGCCCCGTTGTCGCGCAAGGCAGATACGTAGATCTCACCTATAATCCGCCATAATGCAGTTTCAGTGGCCTCCCTATCGAGCATTGGCATAACACTTGCGTCGACAGTGACAAGTGTTGTTGAGCCTCTTGTTTCCCTTTTCGTCTGGAATCGCTCTCTTCTCAAAACCTGGTGCCGTTAAAATATACATGTACACATCTATCACCTCAAGCCGAAACTTGTGACGAGCTCTCCGCTGCCCCAGTCTTTGCGCTCAAGTCTCTCCATGTCGTGAGGGCGTTTTTGGTGTAGTGTTCGGGGGCGGCACCGGGAAAGATCTTTAAACGATCAAGTCGTCGGTCGCGGAAAGTGTTCTTGGGAAGCATACCAGAGACGGCTTTGCGAATGATCTATCCGTGAGTGTCAGCCACGATCCGCGCAAGAATATCTGAACGCACCTCTTCTGGACGCCTTTCACGTAATCTCGAAATGGGCACCTCCTTCTTTCCTCCCATCCATCCTGTGTGCGAGTGGTACACCTTGTCCATTGACTTTTTGCCGGTAAGTCTGACTCCAAGCGCATTTTCCACAACGACATAGTCTCCGGCGTCCACTGTGGTATGTCAGTAAAAGTCATAACCACACCTGTATACACACCTGCAGGATCATAGGTGGGCTTGTGCTTGCCCATGAGGACCCAGGCTATTCTGCTGGCATAGTTACCCAGGACTCTGTTCTGAGCCGAGGAGTGATGCCATACACGGTTGAGAGCGAGAGCGGTCTGGGGGAGTCTGTCAGCAGCAGCGATGTGGGCCAGCAGGCGGGGTGCTCACGTTTCCCTTGACGGCGGACATGGCGGGGCGAGCTGTGGATCGTTCAAGGCTGATGCATGAATTACATGAAATACGTACATGAAATGCAAGAAGAGATGCCACTGGCGGATATCGCCGAAACCCCGTAGAGGCTCTTGTTGTTGCATGCATGGTGTTATTGACTCTGTTATCACTGCATCCCCCCAAGCATGGCCATCAACAAGAGGAAGCGCAGAGCATCACAGGACACCAGCATCAAGGTCGTCATCCCCGCACCGGGCGCGTCGCTACGGGACTCGAAACGCGCAAAGCTGGCGGTGGCTGAAGAAGACGGCGAGGGCGAGGACGAAGACGCAGAGGGCGAGCTCGACGAGGGAGCGTCGGAGGACGCGCACGGCTCGGATGAAGGACCAGAGGATGCGCCAGCCGGCACGCCATTAAGCCAACAAGTACGCCAGGGGCTGAGCAGTGTCATCGCCGAGTGAGTCGAGCATGCCAATGGCCGACGCGCTCTGCTGACGTGTAGCAGGATGGGCAAGACACTGCCATCGCCTTTGGACAAGGTGCTGACCATATGGCTCCCTCCAACATTTGCAAAGAAGAAGGAGAACACTCTGGGCCATCTCTTGCAACAGCCTTCGCTGACGTGGGAAACGCTGGTGGTGAGTCTAGTATCGTCTGACCATCGCTGACATTTGTAGGACACAATCCATCGCTTCTCTGAGAACCTCCTTGTCCCCGTTCAGTATCCCAACCCAGTCCCAGCAAGAGCCTCATTCAACATCCCTCCACCACCCTTACCACAGCGCTACCCGCCTCACGCCATCTACAGCTTTTGCGCTTCGCTCTATGATCTCCTGCTCAACGTGCAACCTGCTGCCAGCGGAGGCAAGTTTGACGCTGAGCGCTGGGCCCTGGTGCAAAAGACGACGCAGGGGGGAGAGTGGTTCAGCGGTGTTGTGGATGTACAGGAAGCTTCCAAGCTTGTCAGAAGGGAAGGCCACAGCAGTTTGGTAGATGCTTTGGTAGGAGAGTCTCGATTGGGTCACACCTCGGTTGTCTCTTTACATGCCGCCCTGGGATCTTCCAGTGTCAAGGTGCAGAAGCTCGGCGACTCTGTCATCCGACGCGCGAGTTTAAAGGTGGACAAGTGGAAGCAGATGAAAAAGCTGAGAAACGGGTCATTTGGCAGTATCGCTACTGGCGGTGAGTCTAGTATATTGTGAACTTGGCATTTGCTGACGAGACCCAGTCACGATTCCGGCGGTTGGCTCCAAATCGTTTACACCGACTTTTGGGTTTACCTACGATTCCAGCTCTGCCACCGCGAGCCAAGGCTACTTTTCAACAGCAGAGGCCATGCACGAACGCGCAAGACACAATGAATGGGCCAAGAGGGCCCTTGCCCATGCCAAAGAGATTGAGGAAGGCGGCTGGCAGGGAATCGTCAAGGAGGGTAGTGAGGAAAAGGCGACTGGGGAACTGTCGGTGGAGGAAATCTTGGCCGAAAATGGCGAGTTAATTGAAGAGCTGCAGGCGTGGCAGGAGGTGCGGATTCACAGGGGTGTGCAGGAACCGACTGAAAGAGAAGAGCTGATAGGTGGGTATTTTTTCAATTTACGCGTCGATAACCGACTAACCTTGACACAGCAAACGAGCTGCTGTCTTCTCTTTCTCGTCTGGCTGGCCATGTGCCTCCTACCGATTTGGTTCCCACTCTTGCTGGCAAGATAGGATGGTCACATGACGCTGCCAAGCGACATCTGTCGACCCCATCACCGTCAATACGAGGTACTCTTGATCCCCGACGGCCGCATGCTCTTCATGACAATACCACCATTCGTCTGAGAACGGGCTCTGCCAAACCGGCTAGTGGGAACGGAGCCAGTGCCGGCCCAAGTGCCAGCATCTTGACGAATGGAACACCAACGCCTCCTGTTCAGAGCACACCTTTGCACAATTCCGCCCCTTCATATGCCTTGCCGCCCACCGCCAAGGTCAATGCCATGCCACCTCCACTCTCCCCTCAGTACCAGAGTGCCCCGCCTCATCTCCTCCCTCTCAATTCCCCTCACAACTTGCCGCCAACGGTTGGGTACCCCCCGAACCGTAGCCCAGCCCCTTACCGACCACCACCACCCCATACACCCCAGCCGCAAAGATCACCTTACCCTCAGTACGCATCGCCGTTACCAACAGCACCGCCGGTGATGCATGCGCGAAGCATACCGCCTCCCATGCCGAATATGCCAAACATGCCAAACATGGTCAACTATATGCGGCCCGGGCCCGGGCCGAGCAATCTACGGCAGAGCGTGGGCCATATGGCGGGAGGGGCGCCTATGGGAATGCCGCCACATATGATGTATGGACAGCCGCCAAGTAATGGGTATATGTAAAGACTTTACGTGGTGTACGAGTATTGCTTGATTAGTACTAGATATATTGGAGAGGCGGTGTTTCGGTTGTGCGTTGTGATGACAAGATATGGTGCATGTTGAATGATGCATTACTTTGATATCCGCGTCTTGTTCAAGGGCCATGAAGCAGTGGGCTATACTAGACTACTCTTGTACAGCCGTACAGGGTACAAGACGGGTCACCGAGAATCCGCTGCCTCGGGGTATATACTCCACCATCACTTAACCCCCGATGTGGTTGTCACTTGTAATATTCGGTCTCAATTGTCACAGTGGGCATTGGATCTGGTAGCAGAGTCCGTGACGTGCCATGTATCTATGATCTATTCATGCGTAGCAAGAAGGAGGTTTGTAAGAGGGATTTACCTGTCCAAGCTATCGACATCTTGATGAGTCGTCTAGGCAGGGCTTGGCCTGGGGGAGTGGAAGAAGATGCAAGTTGCTGTCTGTAAACTGCACATCAGATGATTCAGGTAGACACCAGGGAAAGAGCAGGCGACGTCTGCTCACCGTGTCACGACGGTGACCATGCTAGATTCATGTATACGCACTCCACCACTTCGGGGGAGAAGACCTTGCTGAATGCGGATCTCAGACTGAAGCAACGCGTAACTATATACATTTTTGCAGTGCAGCCCGACAGACTCGCTTCCCGCTCGCCGCTCGCCAGGGAAGGAAACCTTCTTGAATTGAGATCCCTCGATAACTGCAGGATGACATCCCCTGAAGTCGCGCGCAAAAGTTTGTTTTGATCTCTGCGATAAAGACGCCCATCCGCAGTCGTTGTTCCTCCATCCCCAGCTCCTCGGCGGCGGCGTCGGCGGCGCTCTCGAGACTGCCGTGGACATCGTGTGCATGCCCAAGCACGGCATGCATTCCCCCTCGACGCCCCGGGAGCCCTAGACGGCTTGCGAAAGCGGTGTTGTCAGCACCGCCTCTCCGCTTCGATCTATATCTCCGGATTGGCACTCGCTGTCCCACATGCTGCCGGAGAACCCGTCTATTGATTATCACAAAATCCTCCGACAGCCCTCGCATCTATGCATTTATAAAACTCCCGTCCATCTCCATCTCTCCCTCATCCTCCTCATGATCCTATGGCCACCCCCCAGCACGCCATGTTCTCCAGCTTTGACAGGGCCGATGACACCAGCATACTCGGCACTGGCGCCCTCTTCCGTGACTCGCCCCGCCCTTTCGACTCGGCAGCAGATGACGACGACCGTCGCGGCTCTACCGACAGCATGGCCTCTGTTAAAATCGAGGACTCCCAGCGCCCGGCAGCTACAATGTATGCCACGCGAAGCACCAACAAGAAGAAGCGGTCGTCCATGCCTGAGCCCCCCGTACCTGCAGCACAACAGTCGTCAGCTTCTTCTAAAGGAAAGGGAAGGTCCTCGAGAACGCCGACTGGTCCGAGCAATGCCGATGAAGATGAGCACCAGAGTCTTTCCCCTCCCTCTGGCTCCAAGGGCAAGGGCAAGGCGGGCAGTCATCCCCCATTGACGGGATTCACCAGTGAGCACACTTATTAGTAAAAAATGTCGAGTTGGCTGATTAGTCATCACAGGTTGCGAATCATGCAGGCGTGGAAAGTGAGTACTTTTCACCCAAGAGATCACCTGAGCTGACCGCTCCATAGACGACGATGCGAGCCATCACCCCTTGTGCCTCCAGATCACCCCGACGCTGCCAAGCTTCCGTGTGCCAGATGCAGACGTTTTGCGATTGATTGCGTCCGGGTCAAGACTACCAGGCGAAAAGGCCCCGCACCAGTGTAAGTCTCTTTTTGCTTCTTTAAGGACACATGCTCATGGAAACGTTACAGTGACCTCAGGCAAGTAGATGGCTTGAGCAGTCACAATATCAAGCTGATGACCCAACAGTGCTATATCCGACGCGCAACATGGATACTCTAGAAACTCGTCTGGTGACCAGATTCCGCATGCCACTGGGTCTGGAAGCTTGGAGGCCAATGACCGGGATTCGTAAGCCTAATCCACGTATCCACATCCCGACGCTTACCTCCCCACAGAATGCTTCCTCTCGCCATGTCGCCGATAAACAATGTACTCACTCCTTCAGGTCTGGATCAAACTGTACCCTGTCCAACGATAGAAAAGATTGTCAACCTGTTCTTTGATCATGTACGTCTACCTTTCGCTCCCTCGTACACACCTAACGCCATACTCTGACAGATCTATCCCCTCACACCATGTATTCACCGCCCCACCTTTATCATCGACCTGGCCGAACGGAGAGATCGATCGGATCCCGTCTTCTTTGCCCTCGCCCTCAATGTACTTGCCGCGACGCTGGTACAAATCCCGAGAGTTTTGATGGGCATGGACAAGGATGAAGTTGAACACCTTGCAAAGCTGTGTCTCCGCGTGAGCCGAGCAAAGATGGCTGGGTTCTGGGAAGAACCTACTTCAGTCGAGCTCAACTTTGGTGCGTAGATTATTTTTTTTCAATCTTTTGATCTCCCTGATGAGGATATTAGTGGTGATAAGCTATCTGGAGAGCATCGTGCATCTATTTTTGGGGAACGATACAGCCCATGTCACCACGACAGCACAGGCCAATCAACTCGCGTTGGCGCTTCGTATGAATGACGAGAGCGTGCGTCTCTCCTCTACAACACTGTGTGCAAGGGCTGACGTTTCGATTAGAGCTACAAAGACCTAAATCCCGTTGAGGGAGAGATGCGGAGAAGAATGTTCTGGGTGAGTCTATATCCTGGATGATGGCAACCGGAAACTGATTGTGAGAAGCTCCTGTTCCAAACCGACAAGAGCACGGCATGTCTGGTGAGTGTCTAGTCTGCCATAGGCTTTTCCGACCTGACCTTGCTCCAAGCTGTCGCGACCCATATATTTGAGGCTCGATGATGTTGCCGTGAGTCTGATCCCAATATTTCATTGACAAGACTGACATCTCTCAGGACTTGCAGCTTCCCCTGGAAATTGACGACGAGTATATTACATACAACGGAGTCTCGCCCCAGCCTCGTGAACAGGTTTCTCTTATCACTGGTTTCAATGTCATGACCAACCTCAACCGGTGAGTGCCTGATCATCGTCGTTGGGAGCGCCCCTGATCTTGCCGGTAGAATACTGAACGACGTCTTGTTTATGCAAAGGAGAAAGACGACTCGGACGGTTGATGAGATCATCTTTGATCTGCAGCGCGTCGACATGTTTCGCGCAGAGGTCACGAGGATCTATTTTCACATGCCCGATAAGTACAAACTGAGGACAGCCTACGATTCTAGGACAGCACAGTCAGTGATCTTCTCGAAGGGGTTTGGGACGTGCGGCTGACCTAATTTCAGACCTGCCCACGACTGGGAGAGCAAGCTGTACAGCAAGTTTGTCGAGTTTTTCAACACTGGCGGTGACAGTGCCTATGCTCTCAACAGTCTGCTTGTCTTGCAGGTTCGTCCCATCTCTAGTCTCATCTGCCCGGTCAACTGATGATCAGCAGGGCAACATTCTCGTCAGCCGTCAATCTCTTCGACTCCTACTCCTCCAGACCCGCCAATCGCTACTTCGCCAACTCGCCGTAATCACCCCCATGATCCCACAGAGTATGGGCTACGAAGAGACGGCTGATGATATTGCAAGAGAGCTGCTGGATGGTTTGAACAGTTTGCCAGTGGAATGTGTTGCCACTAATGGTCCTCTTTTGGTTCAAAAAGGTAAATCCATCGATGGGCTTTGTATGGGTGATGAAAGCTGACGTCTTTGATCAGTGAGATTCGTTGCCGTGCATTTGATGGACTCTCCCAATGCTGGGCCGGGCAGTGAAGACAACCAAGCGTGAGTACTTCTTCCTTTCTGAACGAGACAGAGACTGATTTTTGTGCTCTACAGTCAAACGCTATTGGTGCAGTTCTTGTCTGTCCTCAGCGTCATCGAGGGAATGTATTCCTTCGGCAAGGAGCTCACGATGCAGTGAGGGATTCGGAGGGGTCACCCATGAAGAAGGAGGTATAATATCAGGCTGAAGAGGGCCTATACGGACATTTTGCACAACACGGACATTTTGCACACGTACAAACGAATATTGTATTTATAGTCTCTTTAGTCCTCTTGGAAAGAATCCAGCTTAATTGACATGTATGCATGGAACAGTCGTACAATGTACGATGAAACAATCTCGGGCACATGGTCGCATACTAATTCACAAGAGATAGCAAAATTATACGTTCATTAAATGCTTAAACTAACTATAGATCATTCCTCAATCCTTCCCCACTGTCTCGCCTCTCCTCCCAAGCTTTCAAACACATCCCACATGACCTTGACACTGCTCAACAACCCATGTCCCTCCCCTTCCACCACCACCAGCTGCACATCGCCCATACATCGTTCCAACCACCTCATCGCCTTCTCACTGATCCTATCGTCTTTCTGGCCATACCAGACCTTGGTTGGATGATTGACTTTTGTGTAGTCTACCAGCGGGCCAGCGATCTTCGACTGGGAGTTGAGGATGACATAGAAAATGTCGGAAGTTGTGCCGGGCTCGGACTCGGCATGGGAGGCCTGGGTGAGCACGAGCGTGAATGCGTGGCTAGTCGGCGCTGACGGCCAGCTTGTCTCGGTGGTAGAAGGTAAGGAAGCAGTAGAAGTAGTCCTGAAAGACGAATAGGAAGGTCTGAATTTGATAGATGGCGGTGCCGGCATCTTCAAATTGATCGACATGGCGTCAAACCCTTCGCCAAACCCGAAATCATGCTCGGCGTCTGATTCTGCATCAGAGTCATCCATGCCGATAGTCGGCGGGGTGGAGCTCTTGGGAGAACGCGAGGAAGGGGTGTTGATACTAGGGGACGACAATGTTGTGACTCGAGACTCGGAGTGACCTCTCAAGCTCTTGAGCGAACGGATGTGGCCGAGCTGACCGTGCTTGTCTTTCCCCGGTGGTGTCCCGCTCGACCTCGGTCGCAGTATCTGCGACGCTTTCCGCACAATGCCAGGACCTTTCGCAGGGGTCGTCTGAGGTGTCGCCTGTGCGCTTTTGGACTCGCGGTAAAGTGCTTCTTCCTCGAGGGACGGTTTTGGGCTACCATAAGACACTGGTGCCGCGTTATGGCTCACGGGTTTGTAAGTGAGCGGAGGAGGTTTGCCCAAAAGGTAGCTTTGGAGTTTCCACTCGGCTGCTGTCGCGGACTTGATCACCCCTTTGGGCACCCATTTGAGCCATTTGTACCCTACTTTGCATCAGCGTGACCCAGAAATGATGACAAAAGACATACCTCCATCTATATCCGTACTGACCCACGGCGCAAGCAAATGCAGCGTTCCCCTCACCCTATTCCCTAATCTTTCCACCACCGCAAGCGCATACGGTGCCCCCGCGCTGTGCGCTATCAGTTGGAACCTATCCACCTTGATATCATCCAACACCTTTTCCACCACTTTGGCCCATTCATATACAGTCCGCTTCTCTTGCGGCACTTGGGTAGTCTTGCCGAGGCCCCAACGGTCTATGCAAATAATGCGCAAGTTGAAGGCGCGAGCGATATCGTCAAAGAAGGCAATGAGGTAGCGGACGCAGCCTAGGCCCATGAAGAAGACGACCGGGTGGCCTTTCGGGTGACCGACCTCTGCCCACGAGACGGTCAGTGGGGGATCGGGGGATTGTCGTGGGATGGACAAGGTCCGATTGAGATGCGGAGAGCGCAAGTACTTTGCATGGTCGTGTATCTCGCCTTCTGTATGGCTTGCAGTAGAATTCGGAGTGACTGGCATACTGAGACGCTTTGGCCCTCTGGGAGTGGTCGAAGGGGTACTCGAGGTCCGAGACAATGTCCTCTGTCTTCTAAAAGACCCTGGAGGCTTGTCGACACTGGATCGTCTCGACTGGAGTGTCGGGACGGAAGGTGTCGTGGGAAGGGAAGGTGCAGAGTCATGGTCCAGCTGGTCAAGTAACGCCTGTCCTATACGCGCCCCCAGTAAGAACTCCTCAGCACTCAAGCTGGTGTTGCTGGAGTTTGCAGTAGGTGCTGGTAGAAACCTTTTGGCGACCGGAGGCCTTTCTTGTGAAGGGTGCGATCTCTGGAGAGCTGAAGCATTCCGAGGATCCTGAGCGTTTGGTTTGCTTTCAGGAGTCCGTAAGCCGTGATACGCTTTCGGCGCCGAAGGAGCTCTTGCTCGAGGATATGTATTGTTTCGCTCAGGCAGAGGCGGATGCGGGGGTGAAACAGTGGTTATGGGCGACTTTGAAGGTACCTGGGGAGGGATGTCGAGCTCTGTTTCAACTCTAGACATTCTCTGACTTTGGGTCGGCACGATCGGCCCGGGAGAACGTTGCCCAGTCCGAGAGGGAGCGATGGGGTCCAACCTTGTCTTTTCGGGAACAGGAGGGTGAGGTCGGTGAGGAAACTCTTTCGTAGGACTCGGAAGTCTCTTCATCGGATTCGGGAGTTCCTTGTTCGGACTCGTCACTTTCTTTGGGCTGGGGAAGCCATTGTTTGGACTCGGAAGCTCTTTGGGGCTAAGGGTCTTTATGGGGGATCCTTTCGTCGGGCTGGGGAGTTCCTTCAAGCCAAGCGACTCTTTCTTGGGACTCTCCTTCCTCGACAATCCCATCTCCTTCCTCGCCCTGTCATTGACAGCCTTTTCCGCCGCCCCCAACGCCTGCTTGTGTCTGTTGATGATATCATTGATCGACAGTACAGGGACTACCGGCTTTAGATTCGGAGGGGGTGGTGGTGAAGGTTCTGGGGGTTGGTATTCGTCAGGCAAGTCGTAAGGAGCCATTATCGGCGCGGCAGGGTCCAGAGGCGATATAGGGCTATTGGGAACCGACCTCGCATGGTCTTTGCTCTTTCTGCTTTTCCTGGCGGCCTTGGGAGCCTCTGGGGAAAGAAGACTATTGTATCTCGGGCGCGAAGATGATTCCTTCTTGTTTTTGCGCCTGTCCTCTTCGTCTTCAGAGTCTGACTGAAGGATGTACCGGCGGCTTTCATTGGCAGAGATTATGCTTGCGGTGGTAGGGAGAGAGGGAAGGGAGGAAGGGGATGGGTTGAGCTCATCAACGAGGGAGTCGAAAACGTCTGTTGAGACAGACTCTGACCCTACATTGCTGTCAGTCGGTACAAGACATAAAGAGAAGAGGCTCACAACAAGATGGCTGGGTGTACGGCTCATCTACGCTGACCAGATCGTCGCCGTCTACGATGTGCATGGCTCCCCTGGCACGAGACTGTTCTACCTGCCTGACCCAGTCCTGTGTCCGATCTCCACCTCTTGATAGCCTTGGTGCCCTGTCCCTTCTGGCATGGGAGCGAGAGGTGTGAGTGGAGGACCTTGGGGCGGTGTCAGTGGCGAGGCGGATGGCGGGGAGATGTTTCCTGGGGGATGTGGAGAGGGGCATGGGGCTTGATGGGGCGGTGGAAGGGAAAGATGTATCGATGCAGACGACCGAGACACCGTTCCTTCGCACAGACCCCGAGCTTACGATACATACCTTGCGAATCCAAATCCGTCCAAGGGTCCCCCCTTGCCGCTGAATTGCTCCCCCCTCCTGAGCAGTCTCCCCTGATGATGATGCCCCTGGCACGACCCGAGCTGAAAGTAAGCCAAGCAGTGACTCATGGGCTGACCCTCGGCTTGCCTCCACTTTGGCAACTCCAGTCGCAATGTCGTCTTGCCTTGCACATATAGCAGCTCATGCGAACAGTCGTTTCCATGCGCATCCTTGCTCAACACCCTCAGAGCCATGGTCGCTGATCCCTCACAGACCATCGAGCTCCAAAAGAGCGGTAGCCTGCACAAGGAGTCATCGATCCGGTCCGCCAACCTCTCGGCTGCTCATCCCGCCATCCCTCGAGAGGGTTCACAAGTCCATGATGCTACGAGCAGCGCTCCCAGTGGACCTATATCAACTGCTCGAGAGCATCCACCCATGCGTAAACGCGACTTTGGGTTCCTACCCATTCCGCAAAGTCGCAGACATGACCCGAGCAAAGCAGTCCCGGGCGAGTTTCCCTTCACCTGGAAGATGAATGCGCTCTTTGCCTCTGCAGCTGTGTGTGTTACTATCTGCCAGATCAAATTGCAGCTGACATTTCGCCAGACAATCGCAGTCATGAATCTCTACTACATCCAACCCATGCTCGTCGCCATCGCCGATGACCTTGGGGTCTCTCACGATGCCGTCTCCAAAGTGCCCATCCTTGCCCAAGGCGGGTACGGCTGCGGGATCCTATTCATCTCTCCCCTAGGTGACCTCGTTCGACGGCGGCAGCTGGTCCTGATTCTGATGCTACTTACGACTTGCCTCACAATCGGGCTCGCCTTGTCCAAGAATGTCGCAATGCTCTCTGGACTGAGCTTTGTAGTCGGCTTCTTCACTATCACACCGCAAGTGGTCATTCCCTGGACTGCAGACCTCGCTCCGGCTGAAAAAAGAGCGACGGCGATGAGCGTGACCCTGTCCGGCTTGATCACGGGCTTGGTCATGGGTAGGATGCTGGCCGGTGTCATATGTGTGGCGGATTGGAGGTATGTCTATTGGATGGCTGTGGGCCTACAGGGATGTAAGTGATATATTTCAACACAGGGCTTTGCTTACGACAAGCAGTGATGTCGATCGTCCTCTGGCTGGGTCTCCCTGACACACCTGACAAAAAGATCGGTCTTACTTACCCCGAAGTTGTAAGTCTGACATTCACACTTGGGCCCAATCTTGACACCCAAGTAGCTTTGGTCAATGGCCAAGATGTATGTGACTTACCCGACACTGGTGCAAGTTTGCGTCCAAGCCTACTGCCTCTCCGCCGTCTTTGCTGGTTTGCACGTCCACCCCTCTCCTCTGCTATGCCCTTCTAATATGCCGTAGCTGGACGACCCTCACTTTCCTCCTCTCCGATCCTCCATACCAGTACAACTCTCTCCAAATCGGCCTTCTCGGTCTTCTCGGCCTCATCGGCGCCATCCTCGCCCCCTTCTGGGGCCGCCTCGTCGACCGCGTCCACCCCTGGTCCACCCAGTTCCTCGGCATCATCACCAACCTCATCTCCATGATCATCGCTCTCGCCGCCGCCCAGAAGAGTATAGGTGCGGTGTGTGTGGCGATAGTGTTGTATGATGTGGGGCAGCAGGCGAATCAGGTTAGTAATGGATATAGGGTGGCGGGGATTGATCCTGCGGCGAGGGCGAGGTTGAATGGGTGCAATCTCTTGGCGCTGTTTGCTGGTCAGGTCAGTCGTTCTGAAATATGCCGGGTCGCGTTGACAGAGAGACTAGACATCTGGTACAGCCATCATGACCAAAGTCTACAACAGCCACGGATGGCACCCCACAGCCGGTACCGCTATAGCCTTTATCGGCGTCGGTATCATCGGTATGCTCGCCCGTGGGCCGCATGAAGCTGGCTGGATAGGGTGGAGCGGAGGATGGGATGTAAGGGAGAAGCAGCAGATGAGTGATAAGAGTGCGAATGCTGTCACGGAAAAGCTGAGGGTGAAGAAGAAGGACCAGATGGTGTAACAGCAGGGCATAATGATAGAACACCTAGACAGTGCAAATTTACATCTACTACTGATGCGATGCTATAATGAATAGACTACAATAACGAGTGTGTGTATCACTTTAATCTCTACGCAATGATACAATCTTTATCCTTGCCCTTCTCCCCATTCCCTCCCGACCGTCTACTCGCTTCCTTCTCGCCTACGAGTTCCGCATACTTGACCTGGAAAGGAGAAGTGTAGAGATGAGTCTGATAGTCGGCACATGTTTGTCCTTATCTCACCTGCTCGGCTTTGGTGAGGAGACCTTTATCGTGTCGGGCTTTGAGCGCCTTCATCTGTGAATCAATCTCTGCCTTGGTTCGTCTTAATCACAAAGTCAGCCTAGCTCTGCAAGGACCGTGGCCATGGCTCACTTTTGCGTGGTACTCTTCACGAAAGGCACCTTGACATCCTGTCCAGCCCTCTTCAGCGCTGCAGCCGCAGCCGCCGCCCTCGCATCCATCTTTTGCCCTGTCCCACCCGTCGTCGCAGGCTCGCTATTCTGCACGACCGTAGCTGGTAAAGGCTTTGGCGACGGCGCAGTCTTGGCGGGCAGAGAGGGCTTGGCGGAGGCTCCAGCGGGAGGCTGCATGGATGGTGGGAGGAGACGGGACATGGCAGACTTTCCTGCAGGACGAGAAGGGTTGGGTACGTGCAGCTGTGGCGTTACGAGACCTGAAGAGGAGGAGCCGGGGGAAGGGGTTTGGTTGGTACACGAATGCGCGTTGGGCCGTCGATGAGTTGGGCAAAACATGTGCTGGCATGTCTATGCTAGGGTCAGCTATCTTTCTCTTGCTCACGAACAGTACTTGGACTCACATCACACTTCATCTTGACGACCAAGACCTTGCCACACGTCTTTCGCCAGCAGACCTCGCCCGCATCTCGCCGCCTCTTGACTTCTGCCTTCTTCCTCTCCTCCCCGCCCTGAAAGCCAGTGCAAGTGCCTCCGAGGATATGCTGTTCGACAGCCTCGTTCGGGTCCATACTCTTCGGGAACGGCACGATCTCGCTGCACATGGGACATGTGGGGGCGATCCTGTCGACCATGGACGGTGGCAAGGGGGCCGTGCAAGAGTGCTGCGATGGGAGAAAGTGCGGCTGGCAGAATGACTGATGGCATGCTGGGCACTGTGGCAAACGAGTCAGCTGCGGCCAGCAGGGACGGGGGGACTCACGGAGAAGGGGAGAAAGTCGTGGAGGTAGCAGGCTGGGTGGTTGCACTCTGAGCCGAGGAACATGATCTCTGGGTTGGTGGACATGGTGGCGAGGGAGAGGATGCGATGGGATCTGTTTTATATATATGTCTCGTGAACAACACCCACTGACAAAGCGTTGCCACCCGCACTATCCCCCCACTTAAGATAAGATGGAACCAAACAACAAGGTCATGGCTCTGTCGCCCACCCTTCTCGTGGCTGGACACAATGCATGCGCAGGGGAACGGCTGGCGTGCTGTCCGTTCCAGTGACACCCAGAGAACACCCCCTCCCTGCCCTCCCTGCCCCGGCTGGCGAGACATACGTGGGAGTGGGACGACGCGGACGCGTTTTAGCTCGCTCTGATTTTTACCCCATCTCCTCTTTCATCTCCATCGTCTTCCACATCCCCCATGCGCTCCCTCTTCCGCCCCTTCCCAGGGCCACTCACATCCCGCCAATGGTTCTATCTCTCCTTCCTGCAAGGTGTCGGCGCAGGCGTAAGTCTTTTCACGCAATTCACAAATCGACGGGAAGCTCATATGGGTATAGATTATTGACGGTGGGGCCAATTTCGGTATCGCATATGCTAGTGAGTCGTCTTTCTATCACACTGGAACACTGCTGACCTATCTTCCAGTGTACCACGGCCAAGATGAGATCAAGGTCCGTGCATCGCTCTCCCCAAAAAATTCGACTGACTGGGCTCTTCCCGTTAGATGTGGGTGCTCGCCAAAAACACTATTGCAGGCGATTTGGGCGTGACACCAATCATTCAATGCCTAGCATCAATGTTGATCACCTCAACACTGGTGCATACGGACCTGCACCACCATGCCGTTGCGCCACTGCCTTATGTCTGGCCTCACGTGGAGCATCTCCCAGACCCGCGAAGGCTGATCGACAAAATGTTCAACAAGTCCAGCAGAGATGGAGTGGAGAAGGAGGATACCGAAAATCGAGAGACGCCCAGCCCTGATTCAGAAGAAGAAGAGGGCAGAAAGGGCTGGGCATACTACCCAAAGATGCTCACGCGATTCATCTTTGAAGGCACCGAGGCGAATATCCTCCTCTCCCCCTTCTCCTGGAAGCTATTCTTTATCAAAGCCTTTCTCACAGCTGCCCAGGGTGCTGCCTTGGGTATCGTACTAGGCTTCCCCGTATGGTGCCTCTTTATCATTGTCCTTGGTCCTCTGTACGGGACGGACAATATGGCTGCCCCTCATCATTGGAAGTGGGCACCGATGGTCATCAAAAGTGTCTATGGCGCTGTGATAGGGTGGATCACCAATCCTGTCATTGCGGCGTTGGCCCTCGGCTCTCAAGCCGAGCGACATTTGCTCGTGGTCCAACACGACCAAGAAGCGTCCATAGGAGGCGACGGTATCGAAACTATCATTGAAGAAGACGCCGACCTCGAACCGCCCCAATTCCCTCCCTCTTCCCCAAGCTCCAACCACCTCGCTCCTCCCACCCCCACCAGCCGATCATACACCGGCCGTCCCCGTGCGACCTCTGGCGCATCCTCCATGTACAGCTCTCGCTCCCGCCCCCCCTTCATCGCCGACTGCTCCGACTTTCCCATCTTGCCTGCGCCGCACTATGCAGACGGCGATATGCTCGCCGCACCCAGGTCTGCACCGCTGCTACAATCGAGCAGGATGAGGAGTCTGAGTCAAGTCACGATGCAGATCGGCACTCCGCCCCGCACGGCTATACCCACGCTTCCAGCCAGTGGACCGCGCGAAACGCTACTCGCACCGCCTTCGCCTTCTGCAGGACAAACACCGAGTCAGCTCTTGTTCACTCCTACGCAAGGCAGGCGGCGAGGTCTTACAACATCGACCGCGCATACGGCTGCTTCGGGTGCTGGTGCGGGAACCGTCCCAGGTAGTCCCGCGAGCGGTACATGGTCTTACGCTCTTGGCGGTACGGGCGGTCGAGCTCAGCGGAGCAAAGTGCGTCCCAGAGCTGTCAGCTCGCTCAGTGGGAAAGATAGGGAGAGGGTGGGCGGGGCACTGTGGAGTGGGAGTAGGGTGGCGGGTGTGCACTTGACGCCGTCGATGGATATGGCTAGCGTCAGGGATCAGATGGGGGAGCAGAGGGAGTCGGGAGTGGTAGCAAGCAACGAGGGAGGAAGCAAGACGCCCGTGTGGGACGTCTTTGGAGTTGTCCAAGGTGCAGAGGCCGAGCAAAAGGAGGACAGCCCCGATAGCAGCAAGTAGAGGAGCCGCATAGATAACAAGTAATACCTTCTTATAATACCTGGCAAGGAGCGTCATGTAATGTATTGTTGTGCATCGTTGACAGGATCTCAAGTCATGATTGGATACTGCATACCGTCACATAAAGACATTTCGAAATCTACTTCTCACCGCCTGACATACTCTGCTCACTCAAGATCTCTATCACAACGACACTCTTACTTCCTGTTCTTCTGGTAGTAGTGGATGAGACCGGTAGTCTGTATTCATGTCAGCGGCAATCACACACACAGAGAGAGAGAGAGAGATCGACTTACAGAAGAGTCGTGACCCTTGACATCCTTGGCGTCGCCCAATTGGCTCAAGATGTTCTTGGCCAACACCTTACCGAGCTCGACACCCATTTGGTCATAAGAGTTGATACCCCAGATAGCTCCTTGCACGTGGATCTTGTGCTCGTAAAGAGCGACCAAAGAACCGAGGGTGGCGGGGGTGAGCTTTTGGAAAAGGATAGAGTTGGTGGGCTTGTTGCCTTCAAAGATCTTGGACTTGACGAGGGCAGCGTTCTTGGACTGCTCGGGACCGAGCTCCTCGACGACCTGCTTCTCGGTCTTGCCGAAAGCAAGGGCTCTGGATAGATTGTCAGCGAGGTTCCAGTGAAAGGGGATGGACGTACTCGGGCTGGGCAAAGAAGTTGGAAAGGAGAATTTCGTGGTGCTTGCCACCAGAGATAGGGTTGAGGGTCTCGACGGGGGCGAGGAAGTCGGCAGGGATGAGCTTGGTGCCCTGGTGGATCAACTGGTAGAAGGCGTGTTGACCGTTGGTACCGCTCTGTCCCCAGATGATGGGCTACGCAGTGTCAGTCCAAACTCGAGTAGGAGAGATGATACGCACGCCAGTCTCGTAGTCGACCCTTGAACCGTCCTTGGTCACACTCTTACCGTTGGACTCCATGTCACCCTGCTGGAAGTAGTCGGCAAACTTCTTGAGGTATTGGTCGTAAGGCAAGAGAGCCTGGGTCTGGGCACCTGCGTCTTATCAGCGCTGCCCAAATACCATAGGTTAGACATACCGTAGAAGTCGTTGTACCAGATACCGACCAAAGCCAAGATGACGGGCAAGTTGTCCTCAAGCTTGGTCTCCTTAAAGTGCTTGTCCATCTCGTGGGCACCGTTCAGCAACTCCTGGAAGTTGTCGAAACCGATAGAGAGACAGATGGAGAGACCGATGGCGGACCAGAGAGAGTATCGGCCACCCACCCAGTCCCAGAATTGGAACATGTTGGATTCAGAGATACCGAAAGCAGTCACACCCTTGGTGTTGGTGGAAAGAGCAACAAAGTGCTTGGCGACGTGGGCCTTCTACATGGGTCGAGTATGTCAGCGCTGCTGTAAGGGCATGGGAAAAAGACTACGTACGTCCTTGGCCGTCTCAAGGAACCACTCCTTTGCCGACTCGGCATTGGTAATGGTCTCTTGGGTGGTAAAGGTCTTGGAGGCGACAATAAACAAGGTGGTCTCTCGGTCACAGAGCTTGAGGACCTCAGCCATGTCGGTACCGTCAATGTTGGAGACAAAGTGGGTCTTCAAATCCCTCTTGCTGTAGTGCTTGAGGGCCTCACAGACCATGACGGGGCCAAGGTCGGAACCGCCGATACCAATGTTGACAATGGTATCGATGGCCTTTCCAGTGTAACCCTTCCAGGCGCCAGATCGCACAGAGTCGGAAAACTCCTTCATGTGAGCAAGGACTGCGTGGACCTCGTCAACGCCCTCCTCGGCAATCTTGAAGCCACCCTTATCGGCAGGGGGGTTTCGGAGAGCAATGTGGAGCACAGATCGGTCCTCGGAGGTGTTGATGTGCTTTCCGGCAAACATCTCGTCTCGGAACTGTTCGACCTTGGCCTCTCGGGCGAGGTCGAAAAGAGAGGAGAGGACCTCGTCATCGACCAAGTTCTTGGAGTAGTCGAGGAGGATGGAGGTCTCGGCGTTGGTGAAGCTCTTGGAGAGAGACTCGAATCGCTTGGGGTCGGCGGCAAAGAGGTCCTTGAGGACGAGTTTGTCAGCCTTGGAGGAGTGGAGGGACTGGAGCTTTTTCCAGGCCTGGTATTCTGGGAGCAGTGTGAGCGGGAGCACGGGCAGGCCGGGGGCGACTGACGGGTAGCGGGCTTTCCTTCCATGTTGTGTGATTGTGCGGGGGTGTGGGGTGGGAGATGGGAGAAAGAGAAAAAGAGAGAAGGAGATGGAAAACAACGCTGCTGACGACACGACGGGCGGGATCCGAACCGGACACGGCGGCGCGGACCGTCGGCGGGAGGGGCGGACAGAGAGCCATGTCCGGCCAGGAGCCGTTATGGAACAGATAAATTGGAGGATTTGTGCACCATACACCATGGACACTCAGACACTCTATCTCAAGCCAGAGGCATTCAAGAACGGGGGGGCTCCCAGGTGGGCTGCCACCGGCAGGACACTCGCCGCAGCCCTCAGCCCAGCCGCCGGTGAGGCTGCCATATGGGTATCCAAAAAGGTATGCTGACGTCTCTCTTGTGCTTGTACTGACACTGTGCAGCCTTCAGATAGCCCAAATGGCATCGAAAAGCTCCCAGATGCTTCTCTCTCTCTATCTGACGAGACAATACTATTCACCTCCCTCAATTCATTCTCCCAGCCCCTCACCCATCTCTACACTGAATCGCACCTCCTCTTCACCTCCTTGCAGCAAATATTTGCCGACTCGGGCAGATGGCGGCTGTCCTCTGTGGGTGTAGGCATGGGTGGAGGAGCCGATGCGTGGGATGGGAAGGGCAATTTTGGCGTCCAAGATCTGTTGGGACCACCTGATGCCGAGACCGTCATCAACATGAGAAGACTGGCGGACCTGTATCTGGACCAGCTGGGCGATCTTAAACAGATTCCTGACATTGACGTGAGTCGCGCGCTTCTTACATTACCCCACTTTGCTCATGGGCGCGTAGGACTCACTACGGGAACGCTTCGCTGAAGCCTACAACATTCTCAACCTCGCCGAGATCCTCTATCTTCCAGTAGACGGCAAAGGCGAAGGCTTTATCGGAGAAGAGCTTCTTGACTGGGTCAATGAGGTCGATGTGGCCCCCGACAACCAGCTCGGTAACGAGATCATGTCTTGTCAACATGCTTGGGAACATCCCTCGTTCTGGCCGTACATCTCTCGCTCCGTGTTACGAGGCTTCCACCTTCCAGCAGCTTCGTTCCTCCGGTCTCTCTCCTCTCACTCACACCAGCCAGTCCAGAAATTGGCTTCGTTACTCGCCCAGCACCTTTCCATCTTTCCAAGATCCTCTGAAACTCGCTGGAGAGTCGACCTCGAGTTTCTCCAAGCGCACAGGCAGTGGCTCTCCAGATTCCGTTCCGAGCTCGCTACCCATCTCGGGGGTAAAGGCAAGGGCAAATGGTTTGAGGGCATACAGGATGGTCAAAAGTGGGAAGGCGACTTTAGATCTGTGGTGGAATTGATGGAAGGCAAGATGGAGAGGGTATTGGAAGAATCGGGAGACTGGAGAGAAGCGCTCGGGGCGTGGGGCGTACTGGTTGATGTGGATCTCCGAAGAGATCACCTTCCGTGAGTCTGCCTCCAAGTAATCGCCTAAATACTAACGTGTGTAGTGAAATCATGGGTCTCATTACCGAAAAGATCCCAGTAGAGACATCCATCCAAGAGCACGTCGTCGAATCAGCCCTCTGCTCTGCCGACGTCATCAAAGCCCTCATGGCATCCTACTCGCTCGACCCCTGGCTCTCGGCCCACTTGTCCGACCTCCTCGATAAACTGTCCCTCATCCCCGACGATGAGGAGCATTTCGACATTTCCCTGCGCGACTTTTTCCTGCTCGAGTATGCCCAGGTGCTACAGACACACCCCGCGCACAAGGCTTTCTGGAGAGTCACCTGCGACTATTTGGCGTTTGCTGGTGAAGAAGGACGAGGTCGGCTGAAAGAGCACCTGAGGCGCATTGACATCCCCTTGGAAAGGGATATCAAGGGCAAGAACAAAGAGACACCCGTCCACGCCGACGTAGGGATGGACGTGGAAGTTACTCCTGCTGAAACTCAACCCGAGTCTATCAAGCTCCTCGATGAAGTCCGCTCCGCATGTACCGAGTTTCAACTCGACGATGTTTGGCGCGAAATCAGTCAAGTGCTGGCTACGCGCTTGGTGCATGCTAGGCAGTACGGGATGGCGGCGACCTTGGCGTTGATGGCGAGGGATGGTTTCGCCTTGTCCAGGATTGCGGAGAAGGTCTTGCAGTCGTTCGTTGACGAAGGTACGTTCGCGCTATATTTATCTGACATTCCTAACCCTTGGTGTAGGCCCCGAAGAGTATCTCGCCCTGGTCGACACACTTCCCCCGACCCTCCTTTCTGAAGCCCCCACAGCCCTACTCCAACTCCAAGAATCCGCCTCCGCTCCCCTCTCCTTCCCCTCTTCCAATTCCATCAGCGTTTTCGCTTCCCGCATCACCTTCCTGTCTGAGTTTAGGGACTATATTTTATTCTTGGGACAGGACGGAGGGAGGGAGCAAGCAGCTGGAAAGGTGGTAGCGCTGTTGACTAGTGGCATCGCACCGACGGGCTTCTGGGGTGTCTTGTTGGTGGAGAGTATCTCTTTGCTCGAGGGTGCGTGCTTTGCAAATGTTCCCGTTCTCAGCTGACTCTGTTTGCAGACCCAGAGATCCTGTTCTCCACAAACGAGACATTTGAGCTCCTGCGTATCCTGGAAGAAGTCATCACCAACGCCTCTTTCGCCGAAGAAGAATACCTCGGCCAGATTGCCTTGTACCTCGACCATCGCTCGCCAAAGCAAGAGCAGGGGAGTAAGAGTGGGAAGGGCAAGGCGACGACGCACGATGCGAGGAGAAAGTTGGAAGAAGCCAGGCTTGCGCTGAGTAGGAATCTGGCGAGGGCGATGGTGTCGGGGCTTGACTAGTGTCGTATCCTGATGCACTATTACTGTAATGCACTATCCCTCAAAATGTACTGCACATTTGGATACATCTTTGATTGGATACACAATTTTCGTAAGATATCTTGAATATTTCGTCTATTTGGTTTGGAACTTTGAATACGTCTTTCGTCAGCTGCTTTGATACACTACACCTCGTCCTCATGCAAGTCATCACGCGCCCTTGCCAGCCAAGACGTTGGCCAGCATCTCTTCCATCCTCAATTGACTCTCCCTCACAGTCTCCAGCTCTTTTTTGAGCGCCTCCACTTCCTCCTTGTTGGCCAGATTCTCCACAATCTCCTTCTCCTTATCCCCTACACTCTTCCCACCTGCTTCCGCCTTGGTCGGCGACTCATCACTCGAAGCAAAGACGGAAGGCCGACCAAACAATTTAGCAAGGGGAGAGTCGTACGACTTTTCCTTCTTTGCATCCTTCTTCTTCTTCTTCTGCACCTGCTGAGCCTGCTTGAGCTTGGCTTCCTCGGCCTGGGTCATGGTCCCCGGTTCGTCAGTCGTGGGGAGAGAAGTCAGACCGAGAGCTTTGGGAGTCGTAAAGCCGCTTTGGCTGTCGCTGTCTTCGGGGGCAACGGGAGGGCCGAGTTCAAAGACGGAAGCGATGAGGAATTCGGAGCCTCCACCGAGCCACGAGCTGTATTCTTGTCAGCGCGAGTCCATTAAATATGATCAGAGCACTTGCTCGAGTAGACCGATCCTCTGGACGTCTGAGACACGGTCCATAGTCGAGCTGCGCAGATGGATCGACCTCTGCTTGGCGTGATACGAGTATCGCTCGTAAGCCGAGATGGAAATGAGGATAGGGAAGCTCTGTCATAAATTCAGCATTGATCAGCGTCAATAGTCACAGTACTCACAGTCAAGCGAATAGCAAACACATTCACCCTATGCAACGTCCTCGCCGAAACGACCCAACTGATCGGCACCAACAAACCCAAAGCCAAAATATTGATACCCGGAAGATACGAAAACAGCGCATCGCTCTTGACACCCTCCACAGTCTTGACCACGCGCTGAAAGAGGTGCTCTTGCTGGGCATTCTGGTTGATGGCGGCGAATTTGGCCGAGAGGATGGCGATGAGCATGGTAATCAGGAGGACGTTGCAGAGGGCGGCGTAGGAGAGGAGGATGATGGGGCCAAAGACGGGGTGGAATGATTCGCTGGAGGAGAAACCTAGGTTGGACGAGCCGAACCAAATTTGTCTAAGACGTTGAGAGTTCAGCGGGTGATTGACGAAATGAAGAGTCGAAACTTACGCCATGAGCCAGACAATTTGTCTGACGGTCCATGTCTCCCGGCCAAGGGTCCAGAGACAGAAACAGATCCCGCTGAATGCGACGACTATATAACGTCAGCGATGTTTGTTGAAAAGACGCTCCAGACTTACTGGTGACAAGCATAAAGCGAAGGAACGTGGTCACCATCCCTCGCAGCTAAATCAAAGTCAGGCCGCTCAAGATCACAATCGGCTTGAAACTTACAGCAAGAATCACGACATTCTCTTTGATGACAAAAAAGACAAGCCTGGGAAAGATGATACAAGCCGCACAGGCAAGAATATCAAAAGCCAAATCAGACGTCTTGGGCGAGTGAGATACAAGCGCAAGGATACGGAGCACAAAGTAGCCCAAGAAGATGGCAATCTATCGGCATATGAGTTTCTTTCTTGAATGGCGGATAGACAGACAAGCTTACATAGGAAAGGTCGAAAGCATTCCAAGCGTTCGCCACATACACTGCGAATGAATCAGTCCGTGCCGATGATACCCGGGAACTAGACTCACCGGACCAGCCGTGCTCCTTGGACGCAGCGAACTCATCGAGCATGAATCCGAAAGAGAATACCATGTAGACGATCTCGACCACAGCAATATGGTTCAAGTCTCTCCCTGCTACACATCAGCCTACAGTGGCATCGCCCATTCGACACTTACAAGCCAGAGTAGCCACAAAGAGAGCCAGAAGAATGGCAAAGCTCGCAAACTCCATACTCTTTCTCCACTTGGGCACTTTCAACCTCGAATGGTCTAGCCACCCAGCCTCGTACGGGTTGTACATGTAGACCTCTTTGAGCTCTTCCTGTTCCCCAGCATGACTATGGGTATGGCTGTACACTGACCCAAAGCCAGAGTTGCCCGCTCTGTCTGGTGAGATCCGACGCTTTTGGCGAGTACGCTCAGAGACGTAAGAGTCGGAAATGATTGAACGGGAAGACTCGGGAGAGTAGATGAGTTGACCAGAGTAGACGAGTTTGATGAGGTGTTGGATCAGGGGCAATGCGAGGAGGTTCTTGGAGGTCGATACGATTGCGAGCTGGAAACGTCAGCAAATGACATCAAGCCTTTGAAAGTATTCACCTCGAGAGCGCTACTGGTCATCTCTTCGACATCTTTTCTATCCTCGCCCAAGCTTTCCCAGATCTGGTCGGGGGCCCCATCAAAGGCGCAATGAGAATAGACGAGCTCTCCCACCAAGGCAGCTTCATCTTGGACATTAGGGTAGGCTCTGAGGATCCTGACTTGTTAAGGATCAGTATGTAGGGCATAGATCGCAGGTCGAGCATACTTACTTGCCAGCAGCTCGCAGAAGGCGGCACGGGTCGCCTGTACCATGGCTGAGCTCATGTCCCCAGCAGACAGAGTAATGAATTGGATGCTATATACTAATAAGTGCCTGTGCACTGACAATGCGATGCGCTTACCGATTGGCCATGAGCGCGTAGAGGACCTGGCCGAGCGATGGGCCGCTGGCGGGAATGGGTGCAGACCTGTCGACGCCGAGCTCGCCGCCCTGGTTGGGGGGCACGACAATGCTGGATCCATTAGTATTGTATTTGTCCTCGTCGAGCTTGGGGGCATAGCGCAGGACGAGTGGGCGGACGAGGGTGTAGTTGATGGGGGGGCTGTTGAGCTGGTCCCAGTCGAGGGCGGTGTCGATGGTGGCGGTGACTGTGTGATGGAGGTCGTGGATGAGGGCGAAGAGAGCCGAGGCTGCGTCCGACTGCCCCGACATGGCTGCTGCGTGGAGAGATCAGAGAAGAGATCCGTTGTTATCTCAGGCAGGCGCGTGGGGGTGCTTACGTCAGCGGGGGTTCCCTCATACGCCTCTCTCCTCTGTACGGTGTGTTCTCTGTGCGCACGATGTACCCGCGCTCGCCCCAGCACCCCGCGTATGGCCCCCATGCCCCCTACGCCCCCCAGCAGTACTACCACCACCCCTACCCCCAGCCGCCCCCCCAGCCTCACAAGGGCACCCTCCCCCCGGGACACATCCTCTCCGTGGCCGACCAGCAAGTCCGCATAGAGCGCTATCTCTCAGAGGGCGGCTATGCCCACGTATACCTCACCACCTCGGAGCGCCCCATATACACCCCGAGCAGGAACCCGGACAAGAAGGGCAGATGGGGCGAGAAGGGGTACACCCAGCATTGTCTCAAGCGCATAGCCTTCCAGGACGACCATGTCTGGGTCGACGTCAAGAAGGAGATCGAGGTCATGGTGCGTTTGGATGTGCATAGGAGTGTCATCGACTGACGGACTGTGCAGAAATCGCTGCCTCCCAATCCCCATCTCGTGCAGTATCTGGGGCACTCGCATGCCCGCCTGCAAACCGGAGGCCATGAGGTGTTTATTCTGATGGAGTTTTGTTCTGGTGAGTCGCATATCAACTGCCGAAAGATAATGCTGAATGGTAACAGGTGGGGGTATTATTGACCTCTTGAACAAGCGACTACGCGACAGGTTGAAAGAGATTGAAATTCTCAATATATTCACCGATGTTTGCGAGGTGCGACTTACCAAGGGGTATTGGACGAGTTGCTGATCATTCACAGGCTGTGGCTGCCATGCATGCCCTCAAGCGTCCACTGTTACATCGAGACCTCAAAGCAAGTCTTCTCATTCTGACTCTTGGCTCTACTAACGCTTGGCGCTAGATCGAGAACGTCCTCTCTCAGCCCCTGTCTTCTCCTCCGACTCCCCAACGCCCCACCCCTCTGATGTTCAAGCTATGTGATTTCGGGTCCACGACATTTCCAACCGATCGGCCGCCCCAGACAAAACTGGAAGCGGACGCGTTGGCGATGGATCTGAACAAGAATACCACCCTGCAGTATAGGAGTCCAGAGATGGTCGAGCCGATGCTGGGGTTGCCAGTTGGGTTGCCGAGTGGTGAGTCATAGTTCACAAACCTTATTCCGGGCTGACCGAGGTGTAGATGTATGGGCGCTTGGGTGTCTCTTGTATAAACTCTGCTACTACACGACTCCCTTTGAGGAACATGGGCCTCTGGCTATTGTCAACGCAAAGTATACGTTCCCTCCTGTCCCTCAGTATTCTCCCCGCCTCCAGCACCTGATCGGTAAGTATTTCATTGGCAATCTTGCAGCAGCTGATAGCGCCCAGCTTCCATGTTGGTGGAACAGCCTGTCAGACGGCCGACAGTCTTTGAGGTGTTGCGTATGTCTCATGAGATGAGCGGTACAAGGCCCGAAGTGGACTATGTAAGTCTCCACAGTTCTCCAGGGCAGCGATCTAACCCGATACAGCCCATTCCATCGCGGTCCATCCCTCAACATGCCCCGCGTCCTACCAAACCCCACTCTTCAGCTTCATCCAACAACCTCTTGGACATGTCCGACTCTCCCTCTCGCAGGACGCCAGTCATGCAGCCTTCCATGGTCCCCAGCGTTCAGCCCCAGCCCCAGCGACGTGGCCGTCCCGCCCGGGAAGGTGGCGCGAAACCTACCACTCCTGGTGTTGCATCGCCTCAGCCATCTCCCGGCTGGCAATACACTCCCAAGGGTCAACAGCCCCAGCCGACGTCGAGTGCTGCCCTGGTCAAGCCCACGCCAAAGGTGCAGATCACTGACACTTCACAATCGTTCTCGAGAACGGCGCCGTCGTCTGCTATTGCCAAGTCGCCTTCACCCGTCGACGCGTTCGGGATGCCTGCATTGGCATCGCAAAAGACGACGAGCTCTGGCTTTGGGGATGCGTTCGGTGTACCGCCTTCTGGTGTGAGGGGTATGCAGACTGGGGCGAGCACGATGTCGCCAAGGTTTGGACAGGGAGTGCCGTCCAAGAAACCTTCGGGATTTAGCGACTCGTTTTCCAACACGTCCAACTTTTCTCTGTCTTCTCGGCCTGGCGTGTCGCAACTTCCTTCCGGTCCTAGACCACCTTCTTCTGCGTCTACAGCTTCCACAAGGACCACCAGGCAGCAGCTCACTTCTTCGCCGTCCTCCATGCTTTCGCGCCAACAGACGAACCAATCGTCTAGTCAGCCATCTTCTATACCCGAAGGAGACTTGTCTTTCGAGTCTCGTTATCCGAGCGTTGAGACGCTCGACAGCGAAGACGGCTTTACCCCGCCCGTTCCAGACCCAGAACGTCTAATCTCCCCAATGGTATCTCCTCCTTCCGCCGTACCTACCGGCGCTAGCTCCAGTACGACCTCATCCAACCTCACCCAGTCCAACAACTTCAACACCGCCCGTCCCTCCCAACCCCGTCTCTTCACCCGTCCCTCACTCATGGGCAACCTCACAGGCGGCGACCTCAAATCCCCACCTCTCTCTGAAAACAGAGAAGGTCTGTCAAAGGGCCAGCAAGCGAGGTCGACGCATGTGACGGGCACGGCGTTTAGGGACCAAAAGTCGCCTGCACCCACGCAGCCTGCGAATCAGGCGCCGCAGGGGGCCGAGATTGATTACTTTGGGCCGTTGGAGTCGGGTGATGAGAAGGAGCCGATCGTTGAGAAGGAGTCGGTTGCTGAAAAGGCAGAGACGCCAGAGAAGGAGACCGAGGTCAAGCCGAAGAACTTGATGGATGACGAAGATCCTTCGCTCCTCCAGGTCCCTCTTTTACCAGGCCGCTCCACCTCGCCCTCATCCGCTTCCGGCCAATCGTCTCCCGGCAAACCTACCTCCTTGAAGCTCGATGCTACGGGTGCAGCTCAAGCGACAGGCAGGTCCAATATCATGAGCGAAGAATGGTCGCCCCTCCAAGATATGCGCCGTAAAGACGCCGAGGAGCGGACTCGGGCGAGAGAAAGGGCAGAAAAGGAAAAGAGGGATGCCGATGCGGGTCGAGTCACCGAGAGGACGAGGTCGGATGATCCTGAAGTGGACTCGAGCGAAGATGATGAAGGGCCTGAAGAGCCCAATCGGTTCAATCGCCCGCCTCCGCCTGCTAAATCCCCTGTTGCGTCGCCCCGGCCATCTACCCAGCGCGTCCCTTCGGGAGACAGGACGAGACCCCAGTCCATGTTCCTTCCTTCTACAAACTCGTACTCGCGTCCTTCGGCGAGATCACCCGGTGCTGGATCGCCGTCATTCGCTTCTCCTCCCAACACTTTTGTATCCCAACCTAGCGCTGGCGCTACGGGTGGATCAGGACTTGACAGGAAAAGTTCCATCAACGGGATCGTTTCGAGGTACGAAGACTTGACAGTGAGCGGAAATACTACCGCCAGAGATAGCAGCAGGCGACCGGTGAGCCAATATGGTGCACCTCCTGCCGATACTCGTTCAAACACCAATGGTCTTTCTCGAAAACCATCTGTCGCTAGCAAACCCATGGCTCTCAGAAAGTCCACCGCCGAGATCGGGCAATCCCAACCTTCGACATCCCCTACCAAACCCTCGCAGGTCTCTCCTGTCAGCCCTGTGAAACCGAAAACGGCAACGCAGGCCAAGCCTGTCGCCGAAAATAACAATCACTCTGGAAGTACATATGTACGTCCGGGGATGACGAGGCCGGTGGTGAAACCCAAGCCTACTCTCAATACCACACTGAGTCAATCCAAGAACCCAGCTTCCCCAATTGTGCGAGCACAACCCCCGCGCGAGCAGCAGAGTGGAGGCCGAGCGGATGACAGGCTCGAGAAAAGCAGCTCGGGGTCGCAATCGCCTGAAAAGCAGCAGCCGGTCAATGCCCTCATTCAGAGGTGGAACAAGGGGGAGGTGAACAATTCATCAGCGAATATTTCAAGAGTGAACCGAGGAGGGTATATATAAGGACATTAATGAACAGATCAACGTTGAAGAAAGGAAATTGTCTTGTCAGAGCTTGATTATACTGTACTCGAGTAACGTACGTAATTGCATGGAACGAACGAGGCATTGTGATGCATAGGTTCTTGGAATATGTTAAAACGGCTACAAGCGCTTCTAGAGTGACCAATCGTGCACGTCAATCTCCTCCTTTTCAATCTCCTCTTGCTCGGCCCTCCAGTCCAACCACGCCCTGCCATCAGCAAACTCGACCCAGTCCCTCTCTTCCCATCCCCCAGGTGCAACAACATGACACCCGGCCTCAGAATTCCTCCATCGCCACTTTTCGACCTTTTCGGACCATTGCCAAAAGACGGGCCCAGTCTCTTTCTTGGCAGGCGGTTTGCCGGTGGAAGCCTTGGGCTTGGGGGCGGCAGGTGAAGCGACATTATCAGCCTTTTGCGCTGCGTCAAGAGCCTTCATGGCCTTGTTGATATCATCAAGACCAACTATTCGTCATTAGTGGTTTGTTCATGACGGTGTTTAGGAGCTTACGCTTGGGGCTAGCTTTGTCGCCTTCCACCTTGTCTTCAGCTGGCTTCGGCCCTGGGACCAACTCGGGATCAGGATCATGCCTCGCGTCTTTGTTTGCAGCCAGCTTTTCCGGCGACTCCTTGTCCTCCCCTGTCCCGGGGAGTGGGTTTACGGCCACAGCAATGATAGCTTGACCGCCGTCCGACTGTTCGGGGATATCACGAACTTCGGCGGGCTTGCCGTCCCTCAGCTGCACGTCGCTCTTGGGAGTGCCAGGGGTCTCGTCAGTCTCTTTATCCTTCTCACCCTCCTTCTCGGCTTTCTCCTGCTCGGCTTTCTCCCGGGCCTTCCTTTCACGGTACTCTTTCTCCTTTCTTGCTCGATACTCCTTTTCCCGTCTCTTCCTGTCCTCTGCCTGCTGAGCTTTGACCATGTTGCCAAAGACTCGGTCGTTGGCACTGGTCACGAGGACCTCAAAGCCCTTGTTGATATGCTCTATGGGTTTCCAAGTGAGGGTCTGATCGAGGCGGATAAGGAAGTGGCCGTGGGCAAGAAGCAGGAAGGCAGCAGCAGGCTCAGACCAATGTCGAGAAGGAGAACGCTAGAAGGGAACCATCAGCATCTGTGCCCCTACGATACGATGCACTGACCTCGGTGTTGTATGCGCATTGGATCCCGACTGTGGACAAGACGTCTTCAACGCCAGCCTTGGTCCAGTCGATTTCGGGCTTCTCAATGACTGCTTTCTTGACCTCTGGCCTAGCTTCAGCATCACCATCCTCACCGTCTTGCTTCTCTTCTGCCGGTTTCTCTGGGCGTGTGAGGTCGGTGGAGAGGTGCTTCACAGCCTCTGGGCTGTCCCAGTCGTACCTGTCCCAGAAGACTTTTACCGACAGCTGAAGAGTACACGCATGAGCCAAGCCAACAAGTAAGCAAAGAGCTTACCTCGTGATTATCTTCAACAACGAGATCATTCCAAAGGTCCAATAGCAAGCCCTCCGAGTTGCTGGGCACCTTCCTCTTGATAGTCTTCTTCTTCTCACTCTCAATTTGTCGCTGTAACTCCTTTTCCCATTCCCCAGTGAGCTTTTTCAAAGCCTCTCGCTCGGTCCGCTCTTTCCACTGGGGAGCCAGCCAACCATCCTTGGTGATATCAATCCAGCCAGGCGCATTGCCAATTGCTTTGGCATACTTGTAGTAGGCCCCTCGAGGGTCAGTGTAGACGGGAGGGTATACCATAGAAGGAGGAAGGTCAAGACGAGTGCGCAGGGGACGCTCGGGGGCAGGGGATAGCAGGATCAGAGGCTCGACCGGCTCGGTTTCTTCGCTATCTTTGTCGTCGGGCCCGTGAGGCTTGTCATCGTCTTTGTTGGGCTTCTCCTTCTTCTCTTCGACGGAAGGAGTCTGGGGCACTTTGTCATGCTTCGCCTCTTCTGGCTTGACAGCTTGGGTAGCACTCTCCTCTTTCTTCTTCTCATCCTCCTTTTCGGGAACTTCAAGTGCTCCAGGTGCGGGGGTAGGTGGCTCGGGCTGGTCGGATACAGGGGTATGAGGGTTCTCCTCATTCAGCTTCTCCTTCTTTTCGCTATTATTGGCATCTACATTCTTTCCCTTCTGGGGAGGGGCGGCTTCCTTCTCCTTGACCTCTGGATCAAGCTTTTCCCTCTTATCCTTGTCAGATACTCCTCTAGGCTTGGGGGTGGGTGCTGGGTGGATAGCCAGGGCCAGAGGAGGGGGGGCAAAGAAGCGGTGAAGAGACATGACGAGCGGAGAGAAGAATGCGAAGAAGGGTTATCTGAGGGGTGGTCAACATGTTGAATCATATTTGCCTCTCTGCACACACTCACGGCTCCAGGGTTCGTTCTTTATTGGAGGACTCTTTCCTCCAATTGGACTGGTGAAGAAATTGATAAGTAGATACAGGTCAAGATCAAGATAAAGGCTGCTCCGGTCTTCCTTCCCAGCACGGCTTGGCTATTTGAAACGGTCCCCACTTGCCATTGTCATCTCAACCCTGGTCTGCTGGGACTATCGTGTGTCAACTCCGTCCAGCTGATGAAAAGAGGACAGGGTGCGAGTCAATCCTTTGCGAATAAAGGAGGAGAGCGCCTTTGCTCAGCTAGGCTGCTGTTGAACCGTGTGCTGTGGAGGAAAGGGGAGTCACGCAAGCCATGCGACAAAGGATCCTGCATTCGAGAAAAAAGGTGCGTCATCTGCATGGGTCATACTTAGGAAAGGCGAGCCGATCTATGGTGATAGTGGAGGCCAAAGGTCAAAGGAACTTTTGGAGTCATATGTTGACTCAGTCTTGTATCGGTCTGTGAAATGGAGACAGTCGGGAGAACTGCGGCACAAGGCGAACACCGCGGAATGATCAGCCAACGTTGTGATGCGGAACGCCGCGGCGCTACTCAGCACCTGGAACGATTGTGGCTACGTAGATGTACACTTCCGAACAAGTGCATTGTCGATATCTATGATTGGAGATACACAGTCATTATCTCTATATACACGCTACTCTCAAAGCAACTAACTCCTCATTAGATCTAGCCCGCACAACCCATCGCCGTCTATTTCCCACCCATCTTATCCCTCAGTTTCTTCACCATACTGGTCTTTCTCTTCAGCTGTGTTGTTTCCTTGATTTGTCCTCCATCATCCAACAATGAACTGTCCCCGCTCGCACTCCCCTTCTTTCCCTGCCGCGTCCAGTAATCATCCCACTCGGGCAGAACTGGTGCTACCGGCGGGGCGTTTGCGCTTGGCTTTCGACGCAGACCGGGGCCACTCTGAGAAGTAGAGGCAGACATCGAGGCGGAGGCGGAAGATGACCTTCCAAGGGAAGCTTCTTTCTGCAAAGCGCGAAGCGCGCGAGCTTTGGAAGAGGGAGACTCTACGATCTGGATGCTCGGGTTGGTAGGCACCTGACGCTTCTGTTCGGAAAAGTCGAGCGGGGCGGGAACGTGGTTGACCTCCTTGGCTGGCCAACTAAAGTCGAGTTCTCCCAGGGCAGGAGCGACACCGACCGGGGATTGAGCCCCGGGAGAGTCAAGGAAGGTCACAGAGGGGGGACCAGAAAGCTTGGGTGAGGGCGCTCGGCCGTTGGCCTTGCCACCATAGAGGTGAGGGTATCGCTGCTTCTCCTTTTCGGTGACGGGAGTAGGCAGCCCATTCGAGCGGGTACTTGGCGAAGGTGCGTGGTCACTCGCCGCCTCGCTTGCCCCGTCGGACGGCATAGGAGAGGGTTCCCTCTGGTGAGGGGAGTAAGATCGTTCGCCAGACTTGCCTCGCATGGGAGAGTTGCCATTCTCACGCTGTTGGTTATCAAGCATCAGCCAACGGTTCTACACACAATTATAGCATAATCTTAATCTTTCCACAACGAAGAAAAAAGGAGAAGAAGGATACAAAACACTGATAATTGTTCTTCCGCAAGAGACGCGGCTACAACATGAAACAAAAGACCTCTGATAACGCGCATTTATCTCGTGCACGAGAAGAGAAAAGAAAGACAAAACGCTAGGAGACAAAGCTAAAAGGCTACGCTCCCTTTTACGTCGAGCTTCACCACCCTGCCCTCCTCTCGCCCTTCCATAGCCCCAATCCATCGCCTCCACCTTGGTTGGGAGCAGCCGTGGTCGCAAGACCGGGGTATCCCCCGTACTGATTACCGCTACCGCTTCTCAACTCAAACTCGGTCTCTTCCACGACAGGCGAATCCGTCAAGCTGGGGCTGAGCATCGCAGATCCTGAGGACGGGGAGAAGGGTGGACGGTCATGAGACACATCTCCCGACCCCGCACCAGAGATTCCAGCGCTCATGCTTCGACTTCTCTCCGCCATTCCCATCCCCGCCATTCCAGCTCCCGGGGTTCCACCATAACTGCCACTTTCAAGAGATGCCGAGTTCGACGTAGGATCTGAATCCTGTTTATGACGCACCATAGTCTTAATTTTCTGCATCAAGCTCTTGGTACGCTTGATGCCGCCAGGAGGGACATTGGTCGCTGTGACCACGCCACCTCGAGGGTTAGATGAGGGGGCAGTTTCTGATCCGGGGGAAGGAACACCGCCTTCTCCTTGGATAGATGGGGACATGGGGCCGAAGCGCGAGCCGGGAGAGCGCATAGGACGGCCACCAGGAAGAGGGGCCGAAACAGACTCTGGGGAATAGAGTTCTTCGGTGACTGTGGCTGGTCAGCAAAATGTATCATGAGCGTCGGGCCACTCACTGTCGATGGTACCTTCTTGTGGCGATCTGCCATAGTCTTCAAACGGCTCAGCTAGCCAAGTCGTCAGATACAGCCTTGCATGAGATTGAAGATACTCACGCGTGTCGATACCCCAAGCAGCCTTCAAAGCCATCCGCTTGGCCTCCCTCTCCTTCTGCTTTTCCATTCTCAATATCGAAGCTTCATCCTGCGGCTCACCCCCGTCGTTGGGAAAGTAACCCCCGTCAGTCGGCATGCTAGTCGAGTACTGCCCAGTCAAGCCTCCGCCTCCAGGGCGTTGGCCTGGAATAGATCGACCGGGTCGGCGTCGCTCGGCTTGCTCGGCTTTGGGCGAGTCTTTGGCGGGAGGGGCGGGGGCGGAGAGGGAGATGGAGGAAGGGCCGCGCTGAGGAGGGGGCGGGGCAGCTGGTTTGGCTTCTTTACCGAATGCACGCATGGGAGCCTTGGTGTTGGGGGCATTGTTGTTGCGGGACGGGGCAGCGGCGTCGTATGGTCCAGCGCTACACGAGGTCAGAAATGTCTCTTCAAATTTCCCACGCTACTTACTGGTGCCACACTACGACTTTTGTCAGCTGAGAGCATTTCAAAATTGAACGATGACTCACTTGCACTTCCCATTCCTGTAGGGTCCCAAGTATCAATCACGTCCGCATGTCTGCTCCCCTTTTTGTCTGCCAGCTTCTTCTTCTGTCCCGCGGTCAACTCCTGAACATTGGGGTCGACGCCATAAGAATCTGTCGACAGGGAACGACGAGGGCGAACTTTGCTGTTAGACTCGGGGGAGCCAAGCAGGTGGAAGGCGGAGCCAGTGGAAGCGGTACTGTATGCGCGTTGATGTCGAGGGCGGCGAGGGTAGGGTGGAGGTGCGGGAGGTTGAGCAGGGACAGCGTGTGGGACGCATAGTGGGAGGCATTGATTGACCATAGTGAAAAATGTGTCGTAGTATGAGTTTATGGTATTGAAGAAAGTTGGGGGCATATGTTAGCTGGTGTCTCAAAAGATAGAAGTACCGAAGAAAGCAAGTGAAAAGAAGGCCACGGATATAGGGAGCAAGGATCGTGGCGGAGACGCATGCGAAGGACACGTTGATAAAGACCCCCCACACCGCCCAGCATCGCTTATCTCCTTTATGCCCAGCCTTGCAACACCTTTTACGGCGCTCCTGCCACCTCCGACGCGCCATAGCGTGCCGACACAGATCTTCGACACGCGTCTCACTGTCGTGCTCCAACATGCCCCCTAGCACGCTGCCCAGAAAAGGGAGACTCCAAGATACACGGCTCTGAAAGACGAAACAGCACTCACCCAGTATGAGCCCTGGTGAATTTGGCCCTTCGCGGTTGGACTGTCCCGTCCTGTTCATATGCATAATCCTTGGCCCCGGGCGGCCTGACTCGGCCAACAGGCGGCTCGATTTCGTCGTCCGCGAACGGATTGGAGAGCTGTGCCATCCTAGAGGACGGCAGGGCGGGCTGGCCAGTACTGACAGACGCCATATGGTCGAGATCGTCGTCGGGCGAAGGCGGGAACGCGTCGTACTGCTGGTGGTGGTACGCAGGGTTCCCAGCGGTACCGGGCGAAGCGGTGCGACGGGGGACGAGCGGGTCGAGAGATGTAAGTGCAGGAGAACGCGAAGATGGTTTGTTGTTGGTGTTGAGCAGGATGCCTGCGTGGGTGTGATTGCGGGGCAGGTCGTCGTCAAGGAGGCCCTGGTTTTGGCGGGAGTCGCTTCGGTGAGATGAGGCGGCGGATTTGATCTGGACAGAGTCTCTGACTGCGTCTGCGAGATCCTGGTTGATGTAGTCTGGGCCGGGCTGGCGGGTGGACGAAGGAGAGAGGTACCCCTGCTCCTTTGCAGGCTGACGGGGGGCCATCGTGAAAGGGGGAGGCCAGGGGAATCCTTTGTGCTGGATTGGGCGGTTGGCGGTGTGGCTGAGGGGATTATAGAGAGGGAAATGGTGTGGAGAGTGAAGAAAGAGAGATGAGCGGCGTTGTATGTGCGGGAGGAAGTAAACAATTATATTCCGCATCCCATGCATGATCTGCCTAGCCCTGGCCTGCTGGTGACGCACCCAAGCCTACATCGCCTGCTGCACTCAGCATATGCCCCAGCGGGCCACCCTCTAGTCTCCACGTAGGCCTAGCCATAAACTCGGCCCCAAAAACCCTGATTCTCATTTTGCGGCTCATCTAAACCATACTCACAACTTGAACTTGGAGCTGCATCCATGGGGTAGTGGCCGTCCTCGTCCCTCCAGCTCAGCCCGTTAGCCAGCAGCTTTACTTGCATCATATATGCTCGCGAACTGCCCTATGTATTAGTCCGATGCATGGCTCCCATCAACAACATTCCGCAACCCTGAAACCTTTTCCGGCTTCTTCCATTATCGGTGATTCGGCTGCCTTGTTTGTCACTGTGCCGACTCTTCTCTTTCATGCATAACCCAGTGCACAGTGGTGGGTATAATGGGAGTCATAGCCCAGTCCACACTCCACAGCGAGTGGTAGGCGGCAGGTATTGCCACAAGCGCTCACCCAGAAGATGGTCCCATACCATGGATCACGATGTCAACCACCAGCTTACCCGCAAGATGAGTATTACATACATGTCGATACAAGTCTACTATCCTACATTCTGGTACACAACCTGTAATCATGGTACGTCAGTCATCGTCCAACTTCTAATTTGAGTAAGGAATCCGCTCAGTGGGCCTAAGCCTCTTATGGTTTGGCGATCCCAGCCATATCCTTGTCCGTCCCAACCACCAGTCTGAAAAGTTATCTGCACCAATCCTCGCATCGCAGCCTAGACCTCAGGCCTTGACGCTGTTTCGGTGCATCTGTAGCGCTCCCTTCCACCCTTCCCCCGAAGGAAAAAGGTTTCCAGGAGCAAAACACTGGATGATTGTGCATCTTGGATCCCTCGCCTCTCGGTGAACCTCGCAGAGAGACGATCATGCCTTGAAATCCATGACAACAGTAAACACTCTCAAGCCCAACCGAGAGCCCAGTAGCATGAGACAAACGGCGGAACAAGAGAGCTTGTATGCCGGGGCCTTTATTGCTCCCTCCACGACTCTTGGGAATGGGAGCAATCATAAACCAGGCTCTTCTCTTCACCCAAGAGCAAAGAGAAGACGAAATGGTGTACGTCCTTTACGCCTTTTACGCCCCACCTCTTGGATCTTCAGAGGAGAGGAGAGATAGATGGACGCCTGGAGCTGGGACAGACACTCGGATAGACTCACACCTTTTACTAGAACACATCATAGCGGAAAAGAATGATGAACAAACTTACAATCTATTGCATCAAACTGTCTTCCCATGACCGCCCTTCAGCGTAAGATTGTTCGGGTGGCGGCTCGGTATATTCTCGTTGGCGTGCTTCTTCGGCAGCTTGAGAATCGACGATGACTGCCCAGACGGACGCTTGGACCTGTGCAAGGCATAAGCAGGCGCCAGATGGAGCGTGGGAAACGGACCAGAGTGAGGACAAGCCCCATGCGCTTCTCCAGCGTCCTCAGCTCGGCGAGCAGGGACTCGTTGGGTGCTTCTGCTACGTTTCTAGAGAGCGCCGCAGCCTGGAATTGGTGCCCGAATTAGTTGTTGTGGTCTAGTGAAACAAGCGGGATATGGCGTACCCGCTTCACTTTATCGCTGAGCTTTGCAAACTCCCACAAAACGTCCTGCTCGAGAGAGGAAAGCTGGCCGTTGTTGGCGCTGTATGCTGTGAGCACTCAACCTGGCCTCTGGGTGTGCACGTACTATGGGTTTGTGGCCTGTACGGACATGGGGAGAAAGATGGAACGAGGGAATGTTGTTTGGCGCCTCGAATTAATTGCTACGCGTCGAGAAAAATAAGCGGGGCGGGAGGACTACAAGGCGGCCGTGCCCGGGGAGTATTTCTGTATTTCTCGCTCCATTTCCCATCCCCATCTCTCATCTGCATCTCATCTCCCTCCTCCCTCCCCCCTCCACCCAACTTCCCATCGCACTCTTTTGCCCCCACAGACACCCCCAGACACCCCCCTCGGGCCTTCTCGCCACCCATTTCAGCCCTCTCCGAAATCTTCCTCGCCCTTTCAAACCTCGGTCTCGCCACTGCTCCCCCCGCAAACCGCACCATGTCTTTCCTCGCCGACTTATCCTACAATACCACCCTCGTCTCCACCATCACCCCCACCGCTCTCCACGCCCCATTCTACCACACCGCCCGTCCACACATCTTCTCCTTCATCTCCGACAAGTATCTCTCAATCGCCGCTCCCATCCTCGCCTACTGGTTCTACTCTACCTTCTTCCACCTCATTGACACCGCCCAGTTCCCGTACTTTGAGAATCGCCGCATCCATGACTCGCCAGAGATGCTCGCGCGAAACAAGGTGACGATCTGGGATGTCATTAAGGCGGTCGTTCTCCAGCACGTTATCCAGGCTGTGCTGGCTTGGTGGTGGATCGAGGACGATGAAGTGATTCTTCAGAGAGAGATCTATAAGGACCACTTGGCGGCTATGGGCCATATGGCCCCGTGGGTGGCTGACGGGACGCTGTTGGTCTTGGGCAGGAGAACTGGCGAGCAACTGCTCAAGAACCATGGAGAAGCTATGGTGCGCTGGCTGTATTGGTGGGGTATCCCTGCTGCCCAGATGATCTTTGCTTTGTGAGTCATTCGTTACCTGCACCTGACGTTGTTCTGACCCGATCGCGCAGCTTCGTCATCGACTCCTGGCAGTACTTCTGGCACCGCGCCATGCACACCAACCGCTGGCTCTACCGTCACTTCCACTCGCACCACCACCGTCTCTATTGCCCCTACGCCTTTGGTGCTCTCTACAACCACCCTGTCGAAGGCTTTATTCTTGATACTCTTGGTGCCGCGATTGCCGAAGAAGTCTCATTCATGACTGTTCGACAGGCGACCTTGCTCTTCACCGTTTCTACGCTCAAGACGGTCGATGACCACTGTGGCTACAGGCTCTGGTGGGACCCCTGCCAGCTGTTGTTTGCCAACAATGCCGACTACCATGACATTCATCACCAGGCTTATGGTATCAAGGCCAACTTTAGTCAGCCCTTCTTGTAAGTGTCTCCGCCTCTCGCTTGGCTCAATGCTTACTTTTGCAGCACCAACTGGGACAAGATCTTGGGGACAAGAATGTCCCGCGAGGAAGCCGATGGCAAGAGCCGATGGAAGCCCGTTAGTGGCGACCATGTCCTTGCGCAAGCTCCGGCCAAGAAGCTAGAATAGGTGCCTCTCTGAGGATCCGTCAAGATCGGGGGTTTCAACGTTTTCCTCTCTTTAATTCCATACTGTAATACCATCATTCAACACCATCCATATTCGACATTGCATTAGTGGGCGGTTCGCTCTTCGTTTATGAAATACAGTAGCATGTATCGCAGGTGCGGCAAGCCTCATGAGTCATTGCTAATGATCATCAACAGCTTGTCCATTGTCCAGAGTATTGCCAGCCAGCAAACATCGCTGCTATGCTTTAGATGCCTTCATTATCGGACACAGGAGCCTCGGAATTCGGAACTTTTTGTCAACCCGAACTCGGTATGCCGCCGGTCATTTTATCGCACGACCTGTCACCTTCACCGAAGAAGCTTGTCCGTTGGCCTTCCTTTCCCATCCGTCTCATTACAGGAATCATCCTTTCTGTCGTCTTCCCCGTTTTCCTGTTTAGCTCACAGGCCCTCATCTCCCTGAATTCCCTGCATAGCAATGCCTTTACCGCCGGCTCCTTTGTGATCCGGCCACCTACAGCAGATGTGTATCTGTGTGGGTCATCAGCCACAATACAACCTGAACGGCAGACAAAAAGGATTCATACATGAAAGGTTGCCATGCCCTGCAATATGCGTGACAATGCAAGCCTTTGCGCTCTTTTGACAACTGTCGGCATATAGAAGGCGAGCAGACGAGCAGTGTCACAAGAGTAAGAAGGGATTCGATATCTGTTCAAACCTTCCACCTATCTGCCATTGTTGATCCTTGGCGTATAGAGAGATCGTTACCGCTCATCAGTACCGATACAAATCCGACCTCGAATCATGCACAACCACCAGTACCCCTCCGACAAGTCGCTCTCCAACATATTCGAGAGCGCCGGCTCCCCATCCCCGGTCTTGCCGGTCGACCCAGCGCCGGCATACTCTGCTCTCCCCGACAGGGGGACCGAGTTTTTCCTTGCCCCCATTCTCAATGGCAAAGTAGGTGACATTGAGCTTGAGACGGTGGATGGCAAGCGGTTCTTGGTCCACAAAAAGGTGTTGGAGCAAGAGACGGTCTTCTTCCACATCTAGTGAGCCTTCTTTCTGCTCTTGTGGCCTGTACTGACGACTGTCAGCTATGGCTTCGTTCCTGTTTGGCGCTTGAGTGGTCAGCCTCAAGCCGCATCTGTGGATCATGCTCCTGGTGCCCATCGTCCCCGGGAGAATGCCGCCTCTCCCCTAAGCAGCTTCCTTTGTCTCCCAAAGTTGCTTGCCTCGCATCTCTCGCGATCGCCAGCAGCCGCCAACCTGCTCGCGCAGCACCATATGGCACAAGTCCGCACCGAGCCGTCAGGGATCCCAAGCTCGCCCCCACCAGCGTTCGATGACATTCCTCCTCCCCCTCCTCCCCCAAAAGACATTACCGCGCCTACCCCTACTGCCTCCCCGTACACTTGGGCCGTTCCGGAAACGTCCCTCATCCTCACTGCCTTCCTGTCTCTCATCTACCCTCCCGGCGTCATCTCCCCTTCTCCCACCTCACTTCTCACTTCCCTCGATATGACAGGCCGGGTCGTCCGCGCCGCCCTCGGATACCAGAGTGCCAAAGCTCTGAGTATGGCAAGGGACACGATGGCTGACTGGGTGGACAGTGACCCGGTACATGTCTATTCCATGGCCAGCTTCTTCAAGTTTGGTGATCTCGCCAAACTGGCGAGCACAAGGGCTGTGGGCATTGCGTCGGAAGATTGGCCGGAGGATGCAAAGGTGCTGATGGGACGGACGGCTGCGGGCAGGCTGCTTGGCTTGCAACATTCGCGAAAGACGGGACTGAAAGAGATTCTCTCCAAACCCATGGAAGAAGATGATCATTGCTGCTCTTGCGTTCGCTACCCTATGGCACGCGATGTCTGGCAGCGCATGACTGAGCAACTGGCTACCCGGGTGGCAGCAGACAGCGATCTGATAGAGTTGCTGAACGTGGATCTGAGAGGAGGTCATTGTGGAGAGTGTTTGGTGCTGCTGGGAAGGAGTGTGCAGAGGTGTCTGTATGAGGCCAAGGATCTACCCAGGATGGTCTGAGTGTGTTACTCTGTAGGAATATCTGATCAGATGATGACCTGTATCGAGTAGTGCGATCATCGATATGCATCGATATGCATCGACCTGTTGTCACACGTAGATATTGCGTCCCAGCAGGCCGTGACACCTGTGGCTTCAAACAGGTTTACGTGAAACTCAAGCTTATGAATGTCCAGATATGTGCATATCGTCATACAGTCATACATGAGACTAGTCACAAAGGAGTCGCCTATCACTCGGAGCTTCCAGTAAACTGACAAAGAGAGACCAGGAGGAGAAGACATAACGCCCAAAACAGGCAAGTACACAGAATAACAACATAGGCTGCGATCACCGCTATCAAAATGGGTATGATCAACAAGGCACCAACAAAGGCAGTTGCCCAGATGTACGCATCGCCCAGCCTGTCTCTCAAAATCTTGCAGTCAAATCAGCACCAGCAGATGACTGCGTGCATGTTACTCACAGGGTAGATCCAACGTCCGTTTTGAACCTGCGGGGAGTTTCGCACCATCATAACAGTGGTGTTATTGTCGACATGTTGCCAACCATTGCAGAGAGGGGTGTACTCGGATTGAAAAGGCTCGGAATCAGACAGATCGAGGATGTCGATGATGTCGATTGCGGCTCTTGCCGCGACAGACTGCTAAAGATGCCTGAGTCAGCTTGACATGTTGAGTGATATCTACACCTCACGCGCCCCTGCTGCTGCACCCGACCACAGAGTTATCACCAACCTACCTTGCTGCTACTCTCGTCACTTTCTCCCTCGGTCTCATCATATGGGATGCTCATCTTGAGCCGTGAACTGTTGCTCAACGGGCGTGGGAGTCTGAATGCCAAAAGATGATGAAGATGTAGAAGCAGATACAAAATGGCGCGGTGGTCCGAGCAATTCGCGTCATTATTATTGAGCGGGTGTTGATTGCAGTGAGACTCTCGGCGAGTCATAAAACTTGTCAGTTCATGGATATGGTATGTAGGTAATATATATAATACGACAGGTCACATTGCGCAAAGTACAGGCTTCGAATCAAAGAATCAGCCTCCTCACACGGCATCGAGATGGACTGTTGTCATGTGTGTACTTCCGAGCATCATTCTTCTACCACCGTCCCATGTCAAAAAAATTGGCGCGGTAGCCATTGATAGGGATACAGCTCTTTTATTACCCTCCAGATGTGTGCCGCGTACGTTGTCACCATCCACCAGATATCGAACCAAAGTACAATCATAAGCGCTACTGCTGCCATCACGGAAAAGGGGACGAGGACAAACAGAAACAAGCCACCGACCATGAGGCAGCCAAAAGTCCACGATAGCCCATGACTCAATGTCTGGAAGATGTCAGCACGTCTTCTCAGGGATATACAAAGACTTGCCTCGACCGCACGTCCCACAACACCATCTGCAGCCACCGTCGTGTCCCCTTCCTCCTCAAAAGGATGATCGCCACTGCTGCTTCCTTCCCCACCATCGGCATCATTGGTGGTGGACGCAATGGAGGAGCCACTACTATAGAGGGATAGTCGAGACGTGCTGAGAGGGCTGGGCCAATATGGTGGGGAGGCAGGACCCTAAGACGGACAGTGTCAGAATCGATGACTCATGTTCATTGACAACTCGCACCGGCCAAGGCGCGCCGCTGCACTCTCACAGCTCACCACTCACCTGATTCTTCTGTCCCCAACCTCCCTTTTCTGTACCAGGATACAAGACGGAGTGTGCCATAGTATGTTTGGTGGGTCTGAGGCAGTATATCGCTCGGTGGGTGCGGACAAGATAAATGCAGATACAAACACGATAATGAAAGGGATGCGGACTACGGTGGTCCGAGCGTGGTTCGAGTCGTGGCGCGTGACTCTTGCTGTGTTGGTTTTCGACACGGCCTTTCAATGACCGACAAGAGTGGAAGTGTTGGAATGTAGAAGAGCCATGCATGATCGTTTAAAATGACAACAAAAGGTCCTTAGATCCGATCGAAACGATAGTACGAAACCCGATCAACCAGAGAACAGTAGGATACCAGAACCACCCCAGGAGAATGAATCCCCTCGCCTCCCACAGATTCGACATGTATCCCAGACCCCGTAACGAAAGAATGAGAGTACAGAGGTCGTAAAGAAATACCCACGAGAGGAAAAGTTACAACTATAATAGACTGTATGAGTCAAATGCGTGATTGAAAAAAAAAAGTGCCCAGAGTAATTTCCTCGGACAATGTGGGAATGCCAGGTCTCGTCTCCTCTCCCTAATCTCCTCCTCACCAACCATGGATCCTATAGCTGGTATCCATCAAGTTGATCCTCTTCCATTCTCTCCTCTCCCTCTGACTCTGCCCGCCGTCACCGTCCGTGGTCGCTGAGCGAATCATCGTCGGCGCCTGGGGTTGAGGCACAGCAGTTTCGCCTCGACCACCATTGCCCAGCGTCCCGCTACTCTGTGTTCTTCCTATACTCCCCATATTCGCCGCCTCCTCCTGCGCTGCCATCGGTCCCACTCTGGTCAACGGGCGAAGCAGATTCCCACCGGCCAGGACGTTCGGTGCCGGCCGTTTGCGCTGATCTATCGTAGAATGCTGGTGACGAGGGACAGAGCTAGCATGAGGGTCCTGATCTTGGAGGCTGTATGGATAGGGAGGATTGACATTGCGAGCCGATTGAGGCTGGCGATGCTCCACCAGGGGCTCGGGCTGGGCGTATTGGGTGAGGTTGACAGCAGAGTGGTGAGAGGGGACCATCGATGGTGGCGGACGAGTGCGAGATGAGCCTCCAGAGAGAATCCTGGAAAGGCCGGTCGACGACTTTTCGCGCTCGAGCACGACATCTGAAACTGATCAGCACCTTTCCGAACCGAGCGCCGGATGATGACTCACTTCGTCGCAAAGACTCGGACATTTCGGCCATGATGATGTTTCTCCTTCTGGTGGTTGGTGTCATCATAGGTTGAACGACTCCAAACTCATTCGCCCTCGCCGAAACAGGAAGGGCTCGAGAGGCTGCCGCCGCTGCCGGCTGGGCTGGCGCAGCATCGTTGACGGAGGCAGTAGTTGCCGGGCTAGTCTGTGTACCCGCCTCAGCCTTGGCCTTGGACTTTGCTTCTTGTTTGCTATCCAGCTCGGCAAGCTTTTGGTGAATGTGAGAAGTGTTGAGATAGTCGTCATCGCCGTCCTCCGAGTCAGACTCGAGCTCCACTACAGGCTTCGTCTTCTTTGACTGCTAGAATTAGCCACTATATCATACCAAAGAGACGGGGATGCTCACCTTGTGGCTCTCGGAACTGCTCCCCGTAGCCGCATTCTTGCCAGCAGCTTGCGAGATGTGTCCTCCAGTGACAGTGACACTGACACCAGATTGTACAGGCATAGCCGCAGTAGACTTGCTTCGTAGTAATGATGGACCAGGATGGGGTGAATGGGCTAATGAGGTCAATTGTGCGTGAGTCGGAGAGGACTTGATCGGAGGGCGGTCTTGCGAGACGGTCGGCTATAGTACGTCAGCAGACATTCGTGATTGGAGCCATGTACTCACCAGGTCTACCATACTAGCACCTCTTTGCAGAGCAGAAGCTAAAAGCCCACTTGGTGGCCTCGTTCCCATACCACCTAGCACGTTTTGCTTTGCAAACATCTCCCTCTTTCTCTGCGCATCCAGTCTCGCTTCAACCTTGGCCCTTTCCGCCGCTGCCGCCTGTCTTTCCTTCTTGCTCAATTTCGGCACCGGCGCAGGAGCTGGAACAGGGGGAGGTTGGCGAGACATGGCCAGATTGGGAGCAGTGTTGGACCTATCGCCGTGCCACGTGGTGCGGCGTTTGAGTGAATCAGAGCCAGCTTCGGATTGAGACTGAGTGATGGTCGCGAGCCCGGGCCGAGGACGCGAGTTTGAACGACGACGGTTGGGATCTCTAGTCTTGGATTGGGTTTCAGAGGGCCGCTGGGGCGATGGAGACTTTTTGATGGGCGATAAGCCTTTCCGGACTGGGGATTTGAGTTGAGAGGCAGGCTGAGGTTCTGAAATGTCTTCTTCAGACTTGGCCCCGTCGCCATCCTCGTCGCTCCAATCCTCATCGTCTTCCCCTTCAGGTTCCTCTGGCGCATCGTCCTGTGCCACCTCCTTATCTTCGTCCCCTTCCTCTTCATCACTCCAATCGCCATCGTCGTCCTCCTCGGCCTGCTCCTCCTCGTCTCCAGCTTCCTCTGCCTGGTTTTCAGCTTCTTCACCTTCGTCCTCCCAATCGCTCTCTTCATCTTCCCAGCCACTCTCTTCGTTGCCCGCCTTCTCATCATGTTTCTGGGCAATCGCCTCAGCCGCTTTGCGCTTCTCAGCTTGGAACTTGCCTCTCATGGTGGTAAGAGACACGTGACGCTTGGTGGCTGGAGACTTTTTGGCCACAGCCATGATGGCAGATGAGTCTCCTGAGCTCTTGCGTCTCGGGTGTCCTCTGGTAAAAGAGGCAGGGGGCGCCATGGTCGAGGGTGGTGGAGATTCGTGCTTGCTACTGTTATGCGGCGATGTCGCGGGCGAGTCTGAGCCACTCCCCTTGCTAGGGCTCGACTGGAAGAAGAATTTACCCTTCTTCCGCGGAGAAACACCTCTGGCACGTTCCGTGTCGATAGGCGCTATCCGGACCCTGTGAAGGTTCTCATGGGCTGAAGTTTTGGCAGCTGCTTCTTCTTCTTCGACGTCCTCCTTGAGAGCAGGCGGGACGTCGCGGCCAGACATGGACGGGATGATAGAGTTGCCACCAAGACTGCCTGCGCGGCTGGGAACGGGAGTGGGTTCAACTAGGTGAATTTGAACGCCGTTCTCGGGAGATGACCGCTGGGGCGTTTCCGGTACTGAGAATGTGGGAAGGGGTGGACTGCAGGGTATACCTCGCTTGGCGTCTTCTACCCAGTCTTTGAAGTTTCCTTCATCCTTTTCGACAAGTAGTAGCAGCGCAGCGCCAAATGTCATTCGTTGTTGGCACGGTGGCTGGTGTCGCGGGTGGGGATGGCGAGGCCCAAGTCGCGAAAAGTAGGATGTTTCTTGCGGGGTCTGTATCGATGCACTCGAGGCACTGCCCTGGGACGACGAGGATAGTGGACGGTCGTGATGGGAGAAGGAAGGCATGCGGCGTGGTTGACCCCAATGCCTACGTCGAGGAAAAAAAAGAAGGAGGAGCAAATTAGCATAGACACGTTCGGGGCGGAGGCTATGATTGGACTGACCTCCAGGCGAGGTTCTCCAAGCGCTCACCGTCTTTCACGAGATCGGCTGCACGGGTGATGACTGCAGGGGAGCGTCAGCTGTCGTTCTCCCATGCACCGGCCAGGTCGATGCACGCGACGTACCGTTCCATATTTCGCCGACATTGTTGTCCTCGCCCGGTGAGCCGAGAGCGAGCTCGTCGCCGAGAGCGAGGGCAGGGGGCGCGAGGCTGAGGAGGGGTACGTGTCTTGCGCTCTTGAGGGAGGTGGCAGAGGGGGAAGGGCGGGGCGGGGCCATGATGGGGTGCTCGCCAGGGTTAGAGGGGGCGGGGGGGCATGTCGCTGGTGGCGGGGAGATAGATGCAAGAACGCGAGCTGCAGTTAAATTCTCGAAAGCCGGTAAACGACCCTCGTTGCCGCTTCCGTTCCACTTCCGTCAGTCGGCAACGTTTCCTAATGCTATTTGTAATCCATCCTAATCACATTCTGTCGGCAGGAGCGCCATAAACGACCCACGCTGCAGCAATTCCAGCCCCTGCGGCAAGAGCAGGCCCCATCTGGGGCTCAAACACCGCCAGACCACCGCCGAGGGGGCCCGCCACACGTGTCCTTGTTGAGCGATCACAGTGCGCAGTCACCAAAACACCCGGAAAACACCTGCAGCCAGCCATGCATCTCCATCCAGCCTTGCGTGATGACGGATGCCTCATGCAATAGAAGCGACAATTATCTCCTAGCGCCATTGGTCAGCTGACCTGCTTCAACGTTGCCTTGGTGGGGCAATTCGTAGTGTGCTTGTGGCCTGTGAGGCCTGTGATCTGTGAACCTGTGATCTGTGAACCTGTGATCTGTGAACCTGTGATCTGTGAATGGTCGAGTGGGGGCCTCACTATAATCAAGAAGGCCCAAGTGGGCGGTCCAGGCATCTAAATACGTATACAAGCTGCAAACATGGCAGCACTGCTGACTGCTGACGAACGGTCGTGACGCCCCCTACGCCACCAAGGCGACAAACTTTATTCTCTCTGTCAACTACATACAGCATTCAGGCATCGAACGTCTGTCGTGCACATCTTGGTCAGGTGATGATGGCCTTACGAAAGAGGATTGTTCCCAGGCGGCAGGCGGCTACTCTTACTTTAGCCACATCTGGGTCGAGCTCGGTCACCGGGTCTCTCTCTCCTCTCCTCTAAATCACCATGGAAAATCATCCACGCCGTTGATTGTTTGATGAATGCATTAAAAGAGAAAAAGGAAAATGTCAAAAGACTAAAGGTTGGCACCTCTATGACGAGGCTGGGTATCATTTTTGAACAGAAACAATTGATAAATATAGAGACGATTTTAGAAGGTCGAGTGGGGTGTGGCAAAAACAAATCAGAATCGACGATAGCCTATCATTGTCATCAGCGCATGCCCATATACAAGTCAGATGTGCTCACCATGGGCACCTAAAGGCGCAGGCGACTGGCCCCTCCTCTGATGCATATGCATCAACTGCCTAGCATCTGGGTGGATCTGAGGCTGTTGCGCTTGCTGCATCTGGGTGTAGGCCAGTGGCGAGAACGGACCTCCTTGCTCTTCATGCATAGAGTGGGAAGCAGACTCGGGAGAAAACATGGCCCGTTGTTGAGACTGTTGGTTCTGGTGAGTGTAGATAGGTTGATGTTGTTGTTGGTTGCTGTTGCCGTATTGCAGCATCGCCAGCAGAGCTAGAAACAGTCAGTCAATGGCAAATGGGGTAAACGAATAGCGCACAGTTGTCAAATTCCTCTCTATCCCTCATACCCTTCTGCATAAACTGCCCCGGCAGCAATGGTTGCTCAAATCTCCCGTTGGATCGCACATCATACTGTTGCTGCTGAGTCTGCTGTTGCCCTCTCTGCTGCAAAGCAGGTGACGGAGCATATGCCGAGTCGTTGGTCCACGCGCTATCAGTCACGCCAGAGACAGACGCTCCCGAAGCAGAGTCATACGACCCGCCAAAGCCAGCCAGCTGCGCAGCAAGCGATGATATGTGGCTATTCGCTTCGGGCTGCTGCTGCTGTTGCTGCTGCTCGTTGCGATACCACCCATCGCGCATATTCGCGTCAGACATGCCTCGACGGAAAGGACTTTGCGTTCGGGTACTACCACCGGTGGCCCTGGCAAAGCCAAACCTCGACTCGGTACGCTGAGCATTGTGGTCGTCTGTCAACTGTTCTGAAGGACCCGGCGTGTTGTCAGAAAGCGCCGGGGAATTCTCGTCAGCCTCGAATGGCCTAAAGAACCCAGAGTAATGATCCAGCCGAGGAGACAGAGGCGTAAACAGTTCGGGCACTTCGGGTGCGTGCACTCCCAGCTCTGCTAGCCCCTCCAGAGTCTTGCTGAACGGACTAGGCTCATAGCCCTCCGCCTGCGCCTGGACCCTCTGCAACTCTTCATCGTCCAGCCCAAGCACAAACGCAAAGTCCTTGTCGTGGGCGGGGAAGGTAAAGATGATGGGTTCCGGGTAGGGGGAGTGGATAATGAAGGGTTCGTCGGACAAGGGCTGAGGAGGGATCGAGTCGGCCATTCGAGAGGGGGTTTGGGGGGCTGGGGAATCGGAGGAAGGTTCCGCGTCAGAGTCACCTGACATGTGTTCGTCGGCATAGCCCTCGGGCGATTCGGGCGCAAAGACTGGTGAAGATTCTCGAGCCGGGGGAACAGCAGATACAGGTACAGGCGCGGGAGGCGACTTGGACGAAGTGGGAGCAGGAATCGACACCGCCGTGGGTTTGGACGACGTCAAAGCCGGCACCTTTCGCTTTGGTGAGGTCTGAGCACTTCCAGGTGCCGAAGAATCCGTGCTTCTCGCCCTCGCCATGGCTGATGACTTTTTCTCCTTTTTCTCCTTGATGATGATGGGGATTGTGGGCGAAGGGGTGGGAAGTGGGAAAGCGGCATTGTTCTTGATGGGTAAGACGTTGCTAATCTTGGTGGGTCGGGAGATAGCACCGGGGCCAGGGGGGCCAACGCGGCTGGGAATCTTGGCACCGATGCCCTTGCCCCAGCTTGCAGCACTCGGAAGACCTGTGGCAGCCGAAGACACTACCAATATAAGTTGAGATCCCCCTAACTCGAATGCACTCACGAGATTGACTGTCGTCGCCCGAGGGCTTTGGCCAAGCGACCTTTGACATCAACGAAGGGACGCTCTGCGAGGGTGTTGATTGAGAAGCTTGCTTTTGCCTGGCATCGTACTCGGTCGGGCGAGTGAAACTGTGATGGTCAGCGTCTACACCCGGTATCCCTTGTTTCACCCACGCAGTCTCCAGATCTTCCTTGGTGAAACAGTCGCTCTCTCCTCCCCACTCGTGCAAGCTATGGCACCCAGAGTTGTCACACTTCATTCCCTTCAGGAAAGCCTCGCAATATCTAGTGGTTCCATAAGTCGCCTTCAGAGTCGCTCCAGGCGGCCCCTGAGGCGCTGGAATTCCATCCAACGAGCTGATACACCTCGCTGCATCCTCCCTCCTCACAAAGACAATGTAGATGCCAGGGGCGAACGAATCGTCGCCGATCGAAGGGACGGCGGTAGAGACGGCTTTTGAGTCGGCGAGGTAGAGTTTAGAGATTTTGCCGTATTGTCCAAAGTAGTCGTTGGAGCGAAGAATTGAGAGGGCTTCATCGCCTGGACTCGGAATTTTCATCCCTATCACGTAGGCGGTGTTTTTCATGACGATGCGAACACCCAAGAGATGCCGACGGCCGGTACCCGTCAACTGCTTTATCGTCTTTGCCTTTTTTGCCTTCTTTTCCTTTGCCTTTTTGACTCTGCACCTTTGTCAGCAGCAACCCCCCATAGTAGAGTCGACTCACTCTTCCCAGTCGACAGGTTGAAAGACGACGGCTTTGGTATCGTACGTCCGTCGACACCCTGGACATCGAGCATCCGAGGACAGGAGCTTGTTGTAGCAGAACTGGCAGATCTGTAGACCACATTGACATGGTTTGAAATTCAGATCAGACAGATCCAGAGGCTCTGCACAGAGAAGACAGTCGGGATCATCCTACAAAAGGATCAGCATATGCTTTCTGAAAAGGACGTTTTGACAGGATGGGCAATCTTGATCACGCAAACACGTCTATACGCGGACCTCGACATGTCCCAAACCCCATTACCGCGCCCCTTCCTGCCCTCCACTTGTCTTTCAAAGCGACTCACCTCATCGTCACTCCAATACACATCATGAAGCGCCTTCAAAGTCTCCCTGCTGACGCCTCCTGTCGAAGTGCCTGCGGGTGGCGGGTGGCCAGAGTTGCGGGTGGTGAGGGAGGGGTGGGGCTGCTGGCCGGTGGTGGGATTGAGGGGCAGGGAGTGGAGCGGGGGGAGGGGCATGGCTGGGTATACTGGCGGGGGGATATGCATGAGAGTAAGAGGATTCGAGAAAGACCCACATGGGATGGAGGTGGGTGAGAGCGGACGGGATCAAATTCGTGAGGGCGGTCTTTGCCGGAACTTGTTTCAGTGGCAACCGCATTGTCTATGAAACGTCTCCAAGTCGTCTTTTCTATTGTCCAGCAGAACAATGTCTGATCTCAAAGCATACCTTGCGGCAAAGTGAGTCACCATTCTATACCTGTTATATTCATACTCATACTATGCAGTTATATGTCTGGGCCCAAGGCCGATGCCATCCTGGCCCGTTCATCCGAACCCAACCTCAAGAAGAAGAAGAAGAAGAAGCCAAAGAACGAAGACTATATTGGTGGCTCGGGGACCAAAGGCGAGGAACCTTCGGCAGGCGGCATACTGCTCAAAGATGAGGATGAAAGCTGGATAGGGCAAAATGAAGAAGATGAGGATGTCGATGGGCCTAGTGCGTACATTCGATCAGTTTGGGATCTGGCTCATTCTTGGTAGTGGTCGGGAAGGAGCTGGCAACATTCAAGAAATCAAAAAACTCTTGGGCGACCGTTGCCGATAAATCTGCGCTCCCGTTACCAGAGGCGGGTCCGTCACACTCTGCCGAAGACGAACAAGTCCAGGAAGAACCTGAGGCGCCGCCAGTCCAAATGACAAAACGTCGCGGAGGTCTCAGAACATATGCTCAACTGAAAGAAGACACCGAGCGAGAGAAGGCTGCCCAGCGCTCAGCATCTCCTGTTGGTGACGACGACCGGCCAGACCCAACGGCGACAGTTTATCGAGATGCTTCGGGTCGAGTGATTGATATGCAGCAGCTTAAGGAGGAGGAAAAGCGGGCAGAGGAAGAGGAGCGGAGAAAAGAGGCGGAGAAGAAGGAGTGGACTAAGGGTTTGCAGCAGCGTAGGGAAAGGGAAGAGAGGGCAAGACTGGAAAGGGAGATGGCGGATGCGGATGTTGGGCGGACGAAAGATGATGTAAGGATGAACAATGATATGAAGGATGAGGAGAGGTGGAATGACCCGGCTGCGGCATTTTTGACTGTAAGAAGATTGAATTTGTGCATCTGACGCTGCTGACGTACTGCAGAAAAGGAAGAAGAAGGGGCCCAGAAGACCAAAGTACCAGGGCCCGTGGACACCTAACCGATTTGGCATACCCCCGGGGTTCAGATGGGATGGCGTTGGTGAGTGCGCCGTCAATATCCCTCGCATATCCCACTGACAATGTGTAGATCGGTCAAATGGATTCGAGAAAAAGTTCTTCCAAGCACAAAATACGCGAGCACGAAACGAATACGAACATAATCAATGGAGTGTGGAAGATATGTAGAGAGCCAATGCGCTGGTACTGTATGAGTGGAGATCACCTGACTATTATGCATGCTGGCCGCCCTCGCGGCTTCATGGATTGAAAGAAGGGACTTCAAAGCACTGCCTTGACATGCTGAATGCAACGTTGGCTTGAGGCAAGTATCAAGATCTTTACATGGATATCCGGCCTCCAATCGCCAGGCTGTACACAAGGGGTGAACAGCGAACCCAAAGATAGATATCTTTAACTGAGTTGGTTACTTTCTGTTGGTGTCAAGTTAGTGCAAAAGGCCATTTCTTCAACAACGGTTCTATCGTATAATGGTTAGTACACAAGATTCTGATTCAAAGTCTAATTTCGGACTTCTTGTAATCTGGGTTCGATCCCCAGTAGGACCTTATCTTTTTGCGCTTGAACACAGCTTTTTAATTCATGCCCATCTTCACTGGGCATATTCAACAGATGCATACAACGTATGCATAGCCTCAGAGTGAGCCAACCTTTTGACAGCATGAGACTTGTATACTCGTATAGGCTGAATGTCTGCCCACTGAGGCGCGATTAACGTTTATGTGTCTTGTGACATATGCATAGCAGTGATCAGTACATTAGTAATTATTCGTATGCCGCTGTCCACAAGAGCTATAGTACGACATTGTGGCTCTCATGGTTGTTATTGTTCACATACAGGCCTGTCTTCACTTCCGAGTGTTCAAAGCCCAGGAGAAACCGGCGCCTCACCGTCGAGTTGGTGACAGTGAATTCCTCGTCGTCGTGTCACACGTAGTAATTCCCTGAAGTGGCATTATTGGCGCTGAGTTGTGTGGATGGTTGAAGGACGCGCGGTGTACATACTCAATTCATATCTCATTGTTCTACTCTTTCCTTATGCGATAATACCGAAAAGGTCTTTTCCCCTCCAAAAACACCTTTTCCCGTCCTCTCCCCTGCTGCGTCCCAGCAGGCCGTGACACGTCGTCTCCAAAGACCTGGCCATATATACAATCTTCAATAGCCTCCCTGACCTTGTTGAGCGTGATCTGAGATCCAAGGTCAACACCGACACCAGCAGAGTGACAGCACGAGGAATCGATAGCACAGCACTCACCTCCGTCTGACCATTGAGATATTGACTGAGGGCAAGACGAAAGTCTTCGTTGGTCATCGGAGAACGCTCGCAGTTCAAAAAACTGAGGTCCATCCCGGGAAGACACCCGGACCTCTCAAATTAGCGGAGGTCGCGACGGAGGCGTCGCGCCAGGTCAGGGTTGGGGCCTGAATGATCGAATAGGTCCTGTCATGAATGCTACCTCAAGGCTCGCCTGTATCCGGGTGTACCCCCTATGTATCCGTGCGAGCATCGCCTGCAAGTCCATCAAGGTGGTGGACTGATGGGAATGGCACAATTAGCATCAATCAACTGAAGAGTTCAAGGACGAGCCACGTACGTGGTCAAGCGAGATCCTGCAGCCCTCGCCCTTGGGAAATGATGCCCGGCTGAGCTGCTCAATCGCCTTCCAGGTATCGGATGGATTAGGCATAACCTCCGTCCCCTCTCCTGTGGGGTCGTCGTAATTGCTCTCTTCGTCTTCATCCCTCGACCCGCTGTGGGGTTGATTGTCTAAGGCGTTGTCGTGATTCACCGCGGCTAATGATTCAGCACGAAGAAATGGGGTCGAGCCTTGACGAGCGCACGTTATCGGCGATGAGGGAGCCTTCTCTGGGTCCGGCACCGGATCGTCTGAAGCTGCGGGTGATTGCGATTGCGGAAAAGGGGCCAAAGATGTCGTAGGGGCTGAAACAGGTGTGCCGTGTGCTCGACAGCTCAGGAGACGAGCGTCCAGCACTCGTAGGCTCAGACTCTTCTTGTGGGGCTTGAGAGGTGCTGACCCAGCTACCCAGCCCTCCTCCTACATGAGCGGCTTGGCCCTTTTGCTGCTCCTCCGCAAACTGAGATTGCTCAGTGGGTGGGTTATCGTCACTTCTGAGGGAAGAGGAGCCAGAGGCAAGACGTTTAGCGGGAGGAGCAGAGGGCTTTGGGCCAGCGCGTTTCAATGTGGAAGTGGGCTTCCGGGCCGAAGATGATGCCGGCGAGGACGCTCTGGTTGATCCTGTTGTCTCCTCGCCTCTCTCTCCAACGCTGGTCGACTCGGCAGCCATAGTGATGAGCTTTGGCGTACAAGAAGGGATCGCTCGACGCGTCGTGAACTCGTGATCGGCGGAGGGCCGAGGGTGGGTTTTTTTGAAAATAAGGGGTAAATAGAGGGGGAAAGCGTGGACTCTAATTATCGTGGTGGCACTCGCGGACATCTGAGAGGAGATATCGGGGTCTCTGGGGCTGGAGGATTATACAGAGTCGAAATGCAATTGGTGAAACGCGACTGAATCTCAGCAAGTCGCGACGCGTCTCTCTCGGACCTCAGTGACAGTCTGAGAGCCTGACATACGTACGATCGAGCGGACGTATCCAAAGAATGAATGCAGTCAGGGTATACAGACCATAAGAGAAACCAGAAAAATGGTACAATGCAAGCCAATATGAGGGACAACCAATCGTAGATACAGGACCTTTCATCCCCGCCATTGCTTATCAGCATCAGTGAGAGGGACGTACTATTCCAAAACCAAATTGTAAGCGATGTACCGCTCTTTTGACTTTGCCTTACCATCACATCGAACAGCTTCTTCTTCGTAATCTCCCCTGTCACAGACTTGTCGACCTGCCAGACGGCTGCGTATGGTCAGAGGTGCCTGGCCGGTGGCATACTTACCTTGAGAACCTTCTCCGACAGGGATGAACATCCTGCCCGGTTTTGCCAGCTGCCAAGGTTAGAGTATCATCCAGGATTGATACGCACATTTACCTACTTGATGCACAAGATCTTGAGGCATATGAGGCGCCGCCGCCCCAACATGAATGACCCCGAAAGGTGCATGCTCTTTCGAGCCCTTTCTCCCATCTCCGCTGATCACTACAACACCTCCACTCTGGCCCGTATGTTTGTCGAGCACTTGAACGCCGTCTTTTCGGAGGTTGTCGATAGATTGAGCCACCAGGTTCGGAATGTGGTCGATGCCGATGATGCGTGAATGGGGAGATATGCGGTGAAGGACAGCGGCCACTGAAACACTGGTCAGATATCCCTCTTTTTATTGACCAAAGAAAGCTCACGATAGCCTGAACCGCTACCTACATCTAGTATTCTTGGTGCCTCCTGCCCTTCAGGTGTATTCTCAGGTAACAATTCGAGTAGATTCTCGCATGCGTGGGCGTGCATGTGTGGGGCGGAGATGGTGGCGCCATAACCTATTCTTCTGCCGTCATTGTTAGCACCGATACAGACTCTTTCGACGAAATTTCACCAACTGGGGTGCATCCTCATAGGCAGTAGTCGCTTCTGGGACATAATGCTTCCTATCGACCTGCTTCATTGCCTGGGATACGGGACGTCAGTATGATGTTAGTTATCGGGGCCGGCCTACGGCCCTTGCGATTACGCATGAAAGACACTGACAGCTGCAACCCTTGCGGACTGAATCAAGCCAGATCTTCGCATATTCTCAATGAGCTATGATTGATTATCGTAAGTCTAGGCCAGAGCAGAGGTTGCCGACTGACCTCGGCATTGCTTCGCCCGCTGGACATCCACGCCATTTTCCGTGGCACTACTACTAGTAACTTTCGTAGGATGTCGATCGTGTGAAATTGGACCAAATCAGTTCCTCTCTATCTAGTCTTAGGAGACGAGTGCAGTGTGTGTATGGCTGTCCAGATATGATAACTGTAGTAGCAAGTGTCACCTCCAGGTCAATTCTCAGCCGCGGTCGACCTCCACTTCGCCCATAATTACGTAACCGAATATTTCTTCATGAGCTCTTTCAATTTCCTCGAGTTTTAGCACTTTGACATACTTTTGCGCACCTCATTCCCCACGATGGCTTCTATCTCTGCGCCAACATCGATTGCAACCTTTCCTCAACCGCACGCGTCCACCTCAAAACTCCCGCATGTCGCTCTGAGCCCCGTAGTCGGCGACGCGAGGTCTGCCGTTGCTGCTGTTCAAGGAGATGGCGTTTGGACTTATGATGTAAGTTACATGAATGTTCTATATAACACTTCTGACTGGCTATTTAGCTGTCTACTTTGAGAGCGGCGACTTCATTCACGGTCCCCCCTGCCACCACCTTCACCACTTCCCCTATCAGCTATTGGACCACCAAGACGAAAGCCAAAGCCCCTGCTGCCAACGATGGAGGCATGGATGTTGATGAGCCTGAAGATGGGACGCTGGATCTCGAGACTGAAATTCTCAAAGAAAGAGTCACTGCGGTCGGTGTTGGAAAGGAGATTTGGGTATGGAGAGGGGAGGATGGTGAGAAGGAGGTTGTCCGGGTACGTACAGGAACATGTCCCCTGAAGGTGTATTAACAAAGTACAGATAAAATCTCAAGTCAACGCTCTGCATTACATCCCATCATCGTCCACGCCCATCCTCGCCCTCACTTCCTTCTCTCAATTCTACCTCATCGATCCCTCAACAACTACAGCTCACTCGATAATGCCCTCCTCCAAAGGCGAACTTCTTACTTCCAGGATCATTCAAGGGGAAACCACGCGTTTGGTTCTTGTCAGTGTAGATGGAAAAGTGGAAGTTTCCAAGGTTTGGGTGGAGGATAAGAGAGTTGAAAGATTGTTGGAAGGCAAGGTCGGAGAGGGCGAGTTGACCGGGGGTGATATCAGTGAAGATGGTACCATCAGTGTGCTTGGTGAGCATTTCAGTATTTGGAAGTGGCATCGGCTGACGAGATATAGACAAAAAGGGAAATCTCTATTCGACCTCAATCCGTACCCTGTCCTCCACCTCGGTCCCTATCCACTTGAATCACCCTTCAGTCGCCCCCGTTGTGTGCTCGCTTCCCTCCGCCTCCCTTCCTCTTCTGCTGGTCCCCACCTCCCACCCCAATCCTTCCCTTCTCTTGACAGTACCCTCTTCCACTCTTCCTTCTATAATCAGCACATCCCCGCTCTCCTCCTCGACCTCTTCCGGTACCATATCTGCCCTGGGTGTCCTCTCATCCAAGCACGGAGTCTACACCATTGGTGTTGTCTTGTCTCACAAACACGGCGAGAGCGACGCTTCCGTTGGAAGGAGTGTGCTGTACACTTGCGAGATTGCGTTGCCCGCTCAAGGGATTGGAATGGGTCTGCTCTTGGGTACCAAGAGCAAGACCGAGGAGTATCTCAGTGTTGGAGGTGCCGATAAAAAGGAGAAGAAGAGCGAGGAAGAGAAGAAAGAAGACAGACTGGTAGAAGCAGTCAACAAGGCGCTGAGAGCAAAGGATGTGGCTGGTGCCACCAAGGCGTGGAGAAATTATGCTGCCTCTGAAACAGTCTTCAGCAGCAAACTCGTCAAGGCTATCGTCAGCACCATCTTTGGTGCGGCTTTGAACGGCGAAGGCAGGCCTACGGGCGTCTATGCTGTAGAAGTTGCCAGAGATCTCGTGAGCAAGGGCCTCGTGAATGATTCGATGTGGAAAGAGAGCGTCGTCGTGGATGGTTTGCTGCCACTGGGTGACTGGGTATGTCTCCTGTCATTATGGGTGAACTCTACGCTAATACCATACAGGATACCATTACTGCTGCGTTGTCATCGATAAAGACCATCTCTTCTTCGGCGCTCGTCGCTTTGATTCGTTCGTCCATCACCTCCACAACTCCATCGACCTCCGCCCTGCTCAAGAGCATTCTTTCCCTCCCCCCTCCTGGCCCGACTTACAGGGTAGATCTGCATCAAGGCTTGACGGTGGAAGAGGCGACCCTGGTTTTGGAAGTGTACAACACTTGGGCTGCTGAGCATGTGGAAGCGCTCTCTTACGGCCTGACTGGCTGGGAAAGTGCCTCTCCTATCGAGGGCTCCGACCTGCCTTCTCTTACCAGTCTCGTCACTCATACCTCTTCGCTCCTCGATGCCCACCTCCCCTCATTCCTTTCCCACCTCCCCTCCCACGAGACTCTGTCGCAGCTTCAATCTTCTTTGGACCCGCTGTTGGCAGCTCAGAATGAGTATAGACAACTCCGAGGACCGGTGGAGGCGCTGCTGACGTTGTCGAGGAGGGAAGCGAAGAAGTCGGAGGAGCGCGCGCAGAAGAAGGGAAGGAAGGGAAAGAAGGCTGGCAAAGAGGAAGGCAAGTTGCCCGAAGAGATTGTGGGGAAGTGGAAGGTGGAGGATCTTGTGTTTTGATTTGTACAAGTACTCTACCGTGCATGGTGATGCATCGTATCATTTACTCTGCGATTTCGGTACAATGTTCTTGAATCATCCACAGCGATCAGGTCATCGAGAAAAAGGTGTCTCTGCTGCAGACCTCTTCCCACTATTCCCCCGAAAGCAGAAAGAAAGACGCGATCAGCAAGACGCGTCCCACTTGCTGCGCGCAGCGAGCAGTATGTAGTGGTGTCTGTGTCTCCAAGATGCAAATAGAATAGGGCTGCGTCACCCATTATGTCCTTCAGAGAATGCATGCAAGAAGCTGCCCGATATGGCTGATTTGGTGTGACGGCGGTGTTCGCCGTGCTACGGTGCTAGGCGTAGCAGACTTCCTTCTCTTTCCTTCCTCCTTATCCCCTCCCTTGGCTGAATCACCCTGTCCTCAAAAGACATCTGAACGTACGCCCCATCGTCCTCTGACCCCAATCGCACATCTCGCCCTCCCCGTCCACTTTTTTCAGGACTGACATTGCCCCATTATAGACACGCCAAGTCGTGTAGAGAAACCACTTTCCCTAAAGTCCAAGCCACTTCGGGACAACCTTGCTTGTACCACTAGGCAAGATGATCGTCCCCCGCTGGAAATACATCGGTATCGCAGGTGCCACAGTCGTCCGTCTCCATCTGCTTGCCTTCATACGTTTCATCTACTAATCTTGCGCTCTAGTTTGTCTTGCATCTCCTCGCCTCCATACACCCTACCTACCGTGCCAACACTACCCCCTTCAAGCTCAACCTCCTCCCGCAACCGGACTCGTGGTCCGGTGAGGCACCACCCGCATCTGCTGTGGTCGACAGCGAGATACTGAAGGGAAATGATGCCGCTTTGGAGGGCAGGAGAAAGGCCAATGCTGTCTTTGTTGTTCTCGGTGAGTATTCTTTGCTGAGCAGCGACACACCGACGCTACGGATTCGTTGCTGACTTGTTCCAGCGCGAAACTCCGATCTCTGGCCATTCCTCGACTCTATGCGACAGATGGAGGACCGATTCAACCACTGGGCCCGATACGACTATGTCTTTTTGAACGAAGAGGTGTGTGGCGTTGGATGGTGTTCGTTACGGGGCTAATGTCCTGCAGGAATTTTCCGACGAGTTCAAGAGGTACACCCAATCTATGACCAAGGCCAACTGTTTCTACGGCAAGATCGAGCCCGACCACTGGTACCAGCCCGACTGGTAAGTGTCGCCGCTCCTTTTCATGAGAGCGATGCTCATACTATCTAGGATCGACGAGGACAAGGCTACCAAGGCCCGAGAAGAGATGATCCGCAAAAAGGTCATCTATGGTCACTCTGTTCCTTATCGAAACATGTGCCGATTCAACTCTGGCTTCTTCTACCGTCATCCTCTCCTTGCCAACTATGACTACTACTGGCGAATCGAGCCCAGCGTCAAGTTCTTCTGTGACCTCGGTACGTCATCAGCCCATTAATGACTTTGAACTGACTTGGTTGTAGCCTATGACCCCTTCCTTGTCATGCAAGATGAAGGCAAGGTTTACGGCTTTACCATCTCTCTCTTCGAATACATTGAGACCATTCCTACCCTTTGGGATGCCACCAAGGAATTCATTGCCGAGCACCCCGAGTACATTCCCGAGGGTAACGGCATGCAGTTCCTCAGTGACGACGGCGGCGAAACTTACAACAAGTGCCACTGTACGTCCTTCTGTTTTTCTCATTGTCCGTTCACTGACCTCTCTTCACCAGTTTGGTCCAACTTTGAGATTGGAGACCTCAACTTCTGGCGAGGCCAAGCCTACTCTGAATACTTTGAGCACCTCGATAAGAAGGGTGGATTCTACTACGAGCGATGGGGAGATGCGCCTGTGCACTCTATCGGTGCAGCTCTCTTTGCCAAAAAGGAACAGATCCACTTCTTTGACGATATTGGATACAGGCATGAGCCTTTCCAGCATTGTCCCCAGGGCGATGCGCACACCAGGGGTCACTGCTGGTGTGACCAGTCCAACAACTTTGACTGGGAGTGGTGAGTTTTCCCTTCCTTTGTCCCACCACTCACTGACATTGTCTTAGGTACTCTTGCACGAAGAAATACACGGAAATGTTCTAATGACCCTCACTGTATCTCCGATCATCTTTCATGAAATGCGCATCATTATCTGCGGGCGACGTAATCAAGTTTCCATGGCCATTCATATACACAGACGAATACAACTGGGCCTTCAAATTTGTTCTAATAACTAATCGTTCTCAGTCTAATGTCTTTCAGTTCTCCAATACCATATCGCAGGCTTTAGAAAACGGTAGCAAAGCCAGCGCCGACAGCGCCAACAACCATCGCCCCACTTCCCAAGAACCATTCATAACCCATCGGCATCCCAACGGCCCTCAAAGCAGCGCTGCTCGCAGTGCTCGAGGACGACGAGTCGTCTCCGCTAGAAGAGGCGCTGGAAGATCCAGAAGCTGCCCCGGAGGTGGTGGCGGCTTTGGCACCGGTTGCAGCGCTTCCAGCAGCCGAGGAGGCTCCCGAAACAGCACTGGATTCGCCAGAGGCAACGGCGAGAGAACCTGTGGCTGTCGAGTCGGCAGCTCCGGAAGCCCCGGAAGCCCCAGTTGCGTCTGAGGCTGCCGCGCTGTCGGTAGAGTCAGAAGAGCCCGAGACGGCCGCGCTGGTAGCGCTCGAATCGGCTGCTCCAGAGGCGGAGGACGAATCTCCATCAGAGGACGAATCGGCAGAGACACTACTACGTCAATGTCAGCTTCATACGGTTCAAGCGAGAGAAGAGACACACGAGTCATCACCGCCGTTCTCGTTCTGGGGCAAAGCAAAGGCCGCCAGGGCCGAAAAGAGGGAGGCCAAGAGCAAAGTGTTCTGGAATCTCATTGTTGGTTGAAATGCTTGTTGCTGAGTCGGAAGTGACTTTTAGTGGTGCGATAATCGTCAAGATCAAGGCGAATCAAATGTGATGGAAGAGAAGGGGCGTGAGAGGGATGGGCTCTTTATAAGTCTGTCTCGAAATCCGTTTGCCACCACACTGCACTCGGACAAAGGTAATCGGCCTTGCTCGGAGACCTTCAAAGGATCGGAATCTGAGAAAGGGTCCATCCAGTCATAATCATCGCCTCACAACTTGACCGCATGACTAGACTAGAGATGTAGGAGGTAGGGTCAAACGACAAAGGAAGTAACTCGTCTTTCGGTCGGTAACGACATGCCACGCCCGGTTCGGTGTTTCAGTCGTACATCAAGGACATTCAAGGAGCGATAAGATAAAGGACTGTGACGCACTGATTGAAGGGCGGGGCAAACGTGGGGGACGGCAAGGGACTGCCTTTGCCGAAGCAGACCTTGGATGAGGTTGCTGTCGATTGAGACACCTTCCAACGTCTGCGGATAGCCGAAAGACAAATTCGGTGATTCATAGAGAGGCTACACTTGACTTATTCGGTATCACAACATTATCGGTTTAAAATGAGACATTACTACGACATAGCTATGGGGACATGAGAGAAGTTGGTTTCGCTACAAAAAAGGTCGTACGAAACGACATATCGAGACAGCAATCACAATCCAGACTGGACCATGCCGCCCATCCAAAGGTCGTTAGTAGGCAGATGCACTCCAGCAGGCTTGAAAGATCCGAGGTCTTGTAATGTATATCAGTGGTGAGTAGCATTATCTCGCGTGGCCAAACTCACTATAGTCTGAAAGATACTCTGCCTGGGGGGACCAAGGCATGACATTCGGATCTATAGCAGGTGTCAGAAGATATATGTAAAGGCTGCCTCCGAAGCTCACCCATTGGAAACATGCCCATCATCAATGCCTGACCAGGGGAAGGATAGCCGGCCATGCCAAATTGATGTGGGTGTTGATGCGCCTGCTGGGGAGTGTGCTGGGGCTGGATATGACTGTGATGGCCGTGCTTGATGCCTGAGGGATGGCCGTTGCCAAGGCCAGCCTGGTTCATCCTCAAAGTCTTGTTCACGCGGTTGAAGTTGACGCCGCCGTGAGAGTTCGTAGCTTGATTCATGGTATGGTGGATCGCTGAGCTCAGGGGACGAGGAGCGGGCAAGTCTGACCACGGGTCAGCAGATGATCGGAGAATATATGCGCTCACCTTGGTTATTGGGGTGAAAAGGGTTACCGAGAATTGAAGCGGCCAAGGTGGTAAGGACTGCCTTTCCTTGAAAAACACTGACATGGGTCAATAATCTCTCGGGTAAATATGGGACGTATCTTACTTGCTTTGCATCCAGCCATACACTACCAGCGCCTGATCCTTAGAGTGACAGTCCACCACGCATTGACTAACGGGACAGGTCAGCATGGTCATCTCCTCCCCTAGAGAGCGTGCTCACCCTTTGCTTTTTCCATTGACCTTGTGCTCCATGAACATGATGTCTTTGTCCGTGATGGTAATGTTGAGATGCTCCAGAAGTTGAATGATGTCCCTGTCTGCTGTCCACTGCCAAATGTCAGCCGGCCGTGACACTGAAAGGACAACAGCACCCACCCAGTGAAGGTCGTGAAACACAACAGAATCAATCTCTTCAACACCGGGATCAAGTCCAAATACCCTCTTGCTGGCAGTCTTCTTCTTTGTTGGGTCGCGGGCTCCAGAGTGCGCTCCTGGAAAGTTGAATCTCTGTCTCAAAGTCAGCTCATAGGGCGCTAGGTAGGACGAAGAAGCTTACTTTGAGAGGGTTGGCATCATTCTGCATATGCGAAAGTTGAAGTTGTGAGTGCATAGATGTCAAGAGGTAGAGTTATGATAGAGTTGCCACCAGTCAGCATAGCGAAATTGCAGATTAGAGGAGAAGGTCTTACTTGACGATGCTGAGTCTGGTCCTGAGACGCGAAATGAGTGTTGCCGTCCTGTCACGTCGAGTGTTAGTCAGGCAGCCTGACACAAATCGGGGGTGATGCTTGGGCTAGAGAGGCGACATACCTTGTGCAGGTCGTGAGCGTCCATGGTGAGACTGAGAGTGGAGACGGTGGGGCGAGTAGGGTGCGGCGGGACGCAGGGAGACGAGGGAGGGGTATACTATATGCTATCGGGTGGCGGGGGGTGAGAAGATGGAGATGCAAAAGAGAAATAAATCACAAATCAATATCAGTTGACGCGTACATGACGGGCGGCGGTCCGTGCGTGATGAGCCTCCACTCTAGCCGCTGGAGGCCCGTGCGCAGAAGAAGCTGGGATCAATGTTGAGTGATGAGTGACAGTGCACATGTGGTCCCCAAGTTCACCCCAGCCATTGGAAGGTATCATATAGCGGAGAGGACATTCGCTACCGGACACTCTAGTACACAAGTCATGTCAAGAGAGGCCCTTGGTGCATATTCCTCGACCTTTAGACAGCACCATCTTCTCTGAGCTGCCGTATCTCTTCCTGGGAATAACCCAGCTCAAGTAGGACCTCGTCCGTATGCTGACCCAAGTAGGGGGGTGGGCGATAGAGCTAGGAAGCCATTTCATCAGCCCGACATAATTGCTGTCAACGTCGGGACTCACTTTGAATTTAGATCCATCGTAAGAGACGGCGGGCCCGGCTAATTTGATCTTTCCTGCCCGTGGGTGCTGCATCGTCGATATCAGCGGAGAAAAACTAACGCTGAATTCAAACACTGACGTCAACTTCTTCCACTACCTCGCGAGCAACAGCTTGTGGATGGGCAAAGGTCTGGGCAATGTTGTTGATAGGGCTGTATACAAATTCGTCAGCACTGCAGCACTGCGTCAAACGAAGGGTACCCGAAAATGGCTCACGCGAATGGTACACTGACGAACAGCTGGTCAGCATGATCCACACTCAACGCTGGTAAGACTCACCCCTTTCCCTTGAGCTTCTTGCACCACTCGGCTGTAGTCTTCTCTGACAGCACTTCCCCCAACTTCTTCACCATCGTATCCCTGTACTCCACTCTAGATTGGTTCGTCGCGAATCGCTCATCGTTGATCCACTCGGGTCTGTCGAGAACAGCCGGTGAGCACAGGATTGCGAATTGCGAGTCGTTGCCTCCAGCAAGCATGATAAACGAGTCTTTGGTTGGGAAGACTTGATACGGTACGATAGAGGGGTGTGAAGTACCCCAACGGCCAGCTTCTTGACCAGCAATGAGATAGTTGGATGATATGTTAACAAGCGAAGCGATCTATTCATGTCAGTCGCCATGGCAGATAGCAAGCGACGTTGGACTTACCTGGCTTTCAAATAGACTGACTTCTACACGAGATCCTTTTCCCGTCTTTCCTCTCTTGATCAATGCGGCCAGGACACCTGACTGGGCATAGTGGCCGGTCAATATATCCGTGACCGCTACGCCCACCTAAAGATGATCAGCAGCGCAAGGACCGGCCGGCTATATGCACTGACCTTGACCGGCTTGCCTCCCTTCTCTCCCGTGATGTGCATCAACCCAGCCTCTGCCTCAATAACAACGTCATACCCAGGAGCACTGGCATAAGGCCCAGTAGAGCCGTATCCTTACTACGTGAGTAGAGTGTAACTCATGGTGTAGATATAGCTTACCGGTGATGGAACAGTATATGATCTTGGGGTTGATTTCGCGTACTTGCTCGTATGACAGGCCGAATTTCTCCAGCTTTCCGGGCACGCTGAGCGAACGTTAGGGGTATTCTTAGATAAGAAATATATTGATTGTCATACTAGTTCTCGACCAAGACATCAGCCTCTTGAATGAGCTTGTGGATGACCTTCTTTCCCTCTTTCGACTTGAGGTTTAGGGTCAGCCTAACAGGTACGGATATCAGAGAGGTTTAAACATATCACGCCTGCGAGGTATTTACGATCGCTTGTTTCGATTGGCTTGGAGAAAGTACGCAGACTCCGGAGGCAAGTCAGGCCTAGGATAGTTTTTCAGAGGTATAGGTGCCGAGGGCGGGAGCCATGAGCGAGTGTCATCGCCGTTCTTGGGCGATTCTATCTGAGGATCTGGTCAGCTAACACACCTATCGCCATCCATATGACTTGCTACATACCTTAATGACATCCGCTTTTGATCACCTGATGTCAGTATACCGACAGTAGCCATCCCAATGGACACTCACCTCCTAGATCGGACTGGGGCCGTCAGCAACGAGTGAGATAGATTATAGATCGTCGCTCACCAGCATCATAGTGGCCAAGGGACCGGCCAAAATCCGGGTCATGTCTACAACCTTGACACCTGAAAGAGGCCTCTCTTCTACCTCGGTAGCACTCGTCGACAGTCGTTTTGATGTGCGTAGGCCGACCAATTGAGGCACCCGCTGTTTGATCGCCACTGCCCTCCAAGGGACGAGGGCGGCATAGGTTCTGGTAGCCATCTTGCCTGGTATTGAACGATAAATAAGGTCGAGCGAGCGCTGATGGACCCACCAAATGATCCACCAGGAGTCCAGGGAGACAAACTACACTCGTCGGCTGAGCGCGCGCGGCGGCGCGGCATCCCGAGCCGGAACGCATTTACGTAATGCTTGCCCGTGCTCGTACAATCAAAAACTTTTAAGAACGAAGGAACAGCAGCAGTGGGTATCTTGCCAGTCTTTGCCTATAGACGTTCATGGACCGCATGGTGGACAACAAGTGACAAGATACTGCAAATGCCCCTCAAAAACTAAAAACTCCGACTCGACCCACGCCTACTCGTCTTCGCCTTCAACACCAGCCAGCACCCGGTCCCACTCCCAGTCTTCCTCTCCGCCGCTGTCCTCTTCATCACCGCCCTCATCCTGTGCAGCGCCCCGACCATGCTTTCCGACAACACTCGCAAGAAGACGGGAGCTTTGCAGACTGTCGCCGGTAGACCGGTCGTCTGGTTCAGCGAGTGCCGAAGACTGAACAGGACGACGAAGGGGTTTGGCAGTAGGAGGCGGCGAGCCGAATGGGTCACCACTCTCGGGATACTCTGGATCGAAAAAGTCGGCAAGATAATCATGGGTGATGGATTCGGTGCTTGTAGCGTTGGAATCCCTGCTGTCCCGCCTCTCTTCCTTGCCCGACTGTCTACTTTCCTTCCTGGGCGACCAACTTCTGTCTCTCCTCGCACTCATCAACCCTTCCAAAACTCTTCCCCGAGGGAGAACATCGTCGTCCGCGCCCTCTACCGAAAAGTCTTTCGCCAAGTGTGTAAGAAGAGACACAGGTGACATCCGGTATGACCAGTTGCCCCACGCCGAGTCTTCTTCAGGGTCGGAGGAGCGGCTGTCGCACGAAGAGATCAAGGAGGGACGGCGAGCATCAGGGACACCGGGGGTCATCTGGGTGCCTGCATGGGGCACGGGAGCTGAGTTGGATGTCGTGAGGGCTGGATGAGGGGTACGGCGATGATGTTTTGGTTTACGTTGAAAGATATCGACCACTTCCCCTGCCAGCAATTCGTCCTCATTCATCTCGGCTTTTGGGGTCTCCAAATCTTTGCTGGTGCTGACGTTGTGGGCGGTGAATGTAGCTTCGAAAGCGTCATGGCTCGATGCGGCGAGGAGCAGCGACTGTGCAGGAGATGGTACACGGCTGGGAGTAGACGGGGCTGCGTTGGGGTGCAGGGAGCCATTATAGTCGGTAGATGGCTCGGGTGAGAGACTGGGTAGAAGAGATGTACCGCCAAGTGGGGATGGCTGAGGCGGAAACCGGTAGCTGGACAGTATCTGGTGGGGTGTACGTGGACGGGCAGAAGTCTCGCTTCGGGTGCGGGTGATAGGAGGCGTGGAGGGTGTGCGAGGAGGCAGCATAGTGGACAGGGGAAGAGCTAGTCGAGGGAAAGGGGAGATGGGAGGCCTGGCTTCAGAAGAATCAAGATGAGCAGATGGAGTAGATGTTATGAAGAAGAACATTAGAGCCTAGCTTATAAAATGTTGGTGAGATGAGAACCATCCCGCTTCCTTTGGCACTGCGCTGTCACCCAACATGGGGCTCGCTTCGTCTAATCACTGGCAACAAATCTCCAGTTCGTTCGGCATCCCCCCAAGTCACCCAATGATTCATGTTTTACATCAAACAAGCGCCATGCGCGTGATATCATTCGCACAGTCATTCGTCCCCTTGATCCTCTTCCGCATCATCAGAACGGTCACCGTTCTCTCCCCTACCTCCCGCATTCACATCACTTTCACTGTCACTTTCACTATCGCTCTCAAACTCAGGCTCCCGCCCAGGCTCAATCGATCCTATATTGAGCGTCTCCTCTTCATCCATCCCTTCCTCTTCGTCTTCATCTCGTGTGGAACCCAGCCGACCCTTCTCCCATTCCTCCAGGACCGGTCTGCACACTTCGTCTGGGGCCGGCTGGCCGTTCTCCCAGAGGTACATGTATTTCGCGCGGACAAGACCCTTGAGAAGGGTAAAGTAGGAGAAGGTGTACCATCCAGATTTGACCTGCAAGGGAGTTTAGTAGGTGGCCCCATTCGCATACAGGCTCCACAACGTACCGAGCAAGTCTTGGACAGGTGGTCTGTGTTCTCGATGTACTTGGAGATAAATGGATCTGTGATGTCGCAGAGTTGGTAGTCGGCTCGCTCTCGGTTGAGTACTTGTCCATCAAATATGTGGACCTTCCTGTTGTCGTTGTCAACAATGCCTATTGATGTCGATGCTAGGGACATACCAGGGATCGAGAGGCGGGCGTGCACCATCCGCTATGAGCCGCTCTTGCTCATCATCCCACCAACCCTTTTGCCGATCCACTTCCTCGTCGTCGTCGGGCCGGGTAATTGGGTTTTTGATGGTTTGCTTATGCGCATAGAATGACATCTTTTGCCAGCTGGGGTGCTGATTCAGTTTTGGACCGTTCACGAACACTTGGCAACGTACCAGCGCGATTCAGGATCAAGTCTTGGATCGTAGCCATACTTGACAAGACATTTGTAGTAGACACCTGTTGTGATCACGTAGGCCACAGAGGGGACATATGCCTTGTTGCTAAGTTCTGTCAGCCAATGCAATTACCTAGATCCGTCGGTCCTTACTTTTTTACCAATCTTCTTTCTCTTTCCGTCAACTCTGACATCAAAGCCTCTCTTCCCCACACCTTCCTCTGTTCGAAAAGCTCCTTCAGTCTCGACAAAAGCGCCTTGTCCAATCCCTTCTCTGCGTCCTGTTTGACCTGTTCGTTGGGTTGCTGAGGAACATCACCAAGAGTATGTTCATGTTGCATGATTTGGGGAGCATAGCCAGTCTTGCGGGAGGTGTTGACGTATCGCGTCCTCGGGGCACCGGTGATGGGGTGTGTCGTTTGTTGAGCGACGACCGTTGTGGGAAGTTTGTAGCTGTGGACAAGTATAAGCCGGACCGTCTCGTAGAATATCACAACATGACGTACTTGAACGTGCTCGGAACTGCTCTTGTAGAGAATATGGGAGGGGGTTGTAGATCCAGTCGTGATCTGAAAGGGATGTCCGGATCAGATGTGTCGGGGTTAGGTTCAACGTAGTTCTCGTCCAATGGTGTATAGCTATAGTCCAAGATAGCATTATCTGTGATATGACATGTATGAGCTAGATCATACTGCAAATTCAAAACGTACAATCGAGATTCTTGAGAGCTTTGATGATGGACGCTGTCGGTCCCTCCGGATCGGGCGTCCAGTGGTGGTCAGCCATCGCTAGCATTCTTGTCAGCCGGGCATCCACTTCGTATCTCCATAAAATAGTTTGACGCCAAGATCAACCCAATCAAGACACATTGGCTTGGAGCATCTAAGGACCGGGTAGCCGAAACATCACGAGAGCGTGTTGAGGCAAAGTGCTAACAAGACGTAGTCGATTGACTTACCAACAAATCTCACAGTGGATCCTATAGAGCCCATTGTTTCCAACTTGAACACTCCTCCCTCCGGCTTGTCTCCACCACTGCCTGATGTCTTCTTCCTTCGCCTGACCACCTTCACAAGCAATTTGGCCCGTTGCGACCTGGTCCCTCTTACTGGCGGACCCGCTTCGTCTCCTCTGAATCTGACTTCCAGGCTTGCTCTGACCGCTGGAGGCGCATTGAAGCACTCGTTGATCGTCTCCTGAGAACAATACTGTAGGATAGCGGAAGGATGAGACACGGGGCCGGGATACTCGATGGAGGTGTAGGCTTGCTTGGGTATGCTATGCGTCGGGGCTTCTTTTGCAGTGGAAGCAGTGGAATTTGAGGCCTCTTGGGACATATGGGATGTTGGGCGCTATAGGGGAGAGGGAAGATGAATATGATTGTCAGAGCGGTAAAGACGATGTGCAAAGCGCCAAAAGACAGACGCGACTTCTTGAATCCTTCGTTGTCTCCGCACTCCCACCCCTTCTCCTCTCACGCCCATATCGTCCCGCCATTGGACCATCCACCCGATCAGACACCACCTTTAAAATCAGCACAACCGCAGCTCTCTACTGATACCTATGTTGCCCACCTAAACCGCGTATATTCTTTCCCCATCTTGTCCTGAAGTCTCCCGTGATGAAGGTGCGTCTCTGGCCCGATGGCGTATTACCGGTATATCTGCTGACAATGCGTCCATCCGCTCATATAGTATCTCCTGAACTTCCTCGAGGATGTGCCCGATGCCCCCAACATCACAGACCCAGGGTTCCAGCAACTGCTGGTCGATGTCCAGTCTGTCAAGGTAAGTCCATGCCGAGAGTCGTCTTTTTTGGCGGGCGAGCGCTCCTCGGTGTCGTCCAAATGCTGACCGTTGTACGTCTCTTCAACTTTGGATCAACCCTCTCCTTCTGCCTACCTATCACAGGGGGCAATCAAGATATCCGCGGATGCTTTTTATGAGAGTCTGGAAAATATAATCAATGAGCTCAAGACAAGCGTACGTCCTGATGGAAAAGACGACCCGATATGTGACTGACATGGGGCCTGGTCCAGCCGGAATCATTGCCATTCCAGAAGCCTGTCAGCAAAAGGGAAGCTCCTGATTACTATGAAGGTGCGTTCACCAAAGAACTTGCAAGGGCAGAGACAAGGCTGACATTGACTCAACTTTTACAGTGATCAAACGACCCATGGACCTTTCAACCATACTACGCAATGCGAAGGCCAGGAAGTACAAGAACAAGGCAGAGTTTGCAGCAGACCTTGATCTGATATGGAAGAATTGCCACGAGTACAACAGTCAAGAGGTATGGTATTCTCTGTTGAGGCATCACTTTTACTGACGCTCTTCTTTCAGACACATCCTCTCCGTTCTGCTGCCAAATTCATGAAACAGAAGGCCGACCATCATCTAGAATATCTTGCAGACCGAGCGGAACGGACCAAGCATCTACAGACTCTTCTGCCGCCGTCCTCTGCATCTACGCCAGCAGGTCCGTCCGGCTCTTTGGGAGTCAGCGGGGCAGCTGGCTCCTCGAGGCTGAGAGAAGGCTCGACTATGGGCGGCGACGAGGATGCTGCCGGAGAAAGCGATGACGCCCTTGGTGAGGGTGACGACGCCGATGGAGAGGTTGATGCGAGTATCACTGACGGAGAAGCAAAAGAAGCAGCGGGTTTTCGTGAAGGGGGTGCGGAGAGAGGAGAGTGGGGGGAGGCGCTTGGCCGAGGTGAGGATGGACAAAGTAGAGGAGTCAGCGTAGCCTCCTCGTCCCGCGCAGGTCAGGCCAATGGTCTCAAACGCAGCGTAAGTGACATGATCTTCGGGGTAAAATGATTTCTGACAATCAACTACAGCCATCTGCAAAAAGACCTTTCCTCCCAACCACCCTGGACAGCGTTCCCGCTCTTCTTCGCACCCCCCAGTCTGTTGCCTCATTCTCGCCCGTGTTTCCGGTAGCAGAGCCATCGTGGTCAGATAAGGGCAAGGCGAAAGAAATAATATCGCCCTACTCCCCGCCTTCCTGGTATGCCTCTTTCGCTGGACCATCGACTAGTACATCTGGTACGCCCTCAGCTATGGAGGTCGATGCCGAAGACGAAGACGCTCAATTCGAAGGTTGTTGGTGGGGAGCTCTGGCGTCTGATGAGGCTTTGGTAGCAGGCCTCCCGGCTGTACCAACAATGGCTACCCCCCGGCCTGTGAGGCGGAAGAGGCTGAAACCTTCTTTGCCTGTCCCGCCTTTACCAAACGGAATTGCCAACCACTCGGCAGAGCAGATGCCTTCCCCACAGAAACCGCACATTCCTCCTCGTTCACGATCGCCCTCGCCCAGCCCCGAAAAACTGCCCACAACAGAAGCACAAGACCAATCATCACTCCAGAGACCTTCTACTGAAAGCGCAGCGCCGTCAGATAAACCGATATCCATTCCAGCCATCGTTAGACGGACTGTCAACAATCTGGACAGCGCCCGGTCAATCGCGCACAAAGTCAGCGAGTTTCAGCGAATTGAAGCTGAAGGGGGCGTCCTTCCCCCGAGGAGCTTATCGCCACCTCTATCCGAGCAAGCCTCTATCGAGGAAGCTCGCCAATTACGGCGAGAAGCTCTCGCTGGAGAAAGGCAGGCCATACATGATCGACGGCGTGAAGGAGGCGAAGTCGGTCGGGAAGAAGCCGTTTTGACGATGAGGATGTGCACCGCTGGATTACTCGCCCGAGCAGGGTTCGAAGGCGCCAATGAAGGAGCCCTTGATCTTTTCACCAGGGTTGCTGCAGACCATCTCGAGAGGCTGGGAAGAACATTTAGACTCTTGATGGACGGATTGTCGCACAAAATGTCCCCAGAGGTGAGCATTGATACGTGACTTGTGCATGATCGACTGACAAGTTGCAAACAGGAGCTCATCCTCCATGCACTGCATGAGAATGGCCAAGTGGAGACCAGGGATATTGAAAGTCATATCAAGGATGATATCCAAAGAGAAGACTTCAAGGTCAATGAAATGCACAAGAAGATGCGACACGCGTTCTTTGATATTGTGAGTCACTCCACCATGACATGGACGTTGTGACTGATACACCGCTGTAGACCTCCGCGCCAGTCATTGAAGACGATCAGATGTTTGCGGACGATGGCGAGATGTTGCTAGAGTGAGTTTTTGTGATATTCGAGCGTGGCCGAAACTAACACATATCCAGTGGCAATTTCGCAGAAGAGCTTGGCGAGGATTTCCTTGGGCTTCGTGAGCTGGGAATTGCTGGAGAGAATGGCATGTCTACCCTGAGTGTTCCCCAGTCTCTCTTCTATGGAAGAAAGAAGCGACCGACCGATCACGGAAGAGGGAGGTATGTTATTCCTGGTTAAGAAGCTGTCTCCAGTCGACTGACCTTTTTTGTAGTAACGGTAAATCAGATCTACCTTATCCGCCTCCGCCGCCTTTCGTTACTCTTTCCCCGATCACTATCTCGACTACTGTTCCCGCATTACTTCACGCATTCTACAATGCCCGTGTTGAATCAGGATTGTCTCTCTCCGAGGATGATGCTTTCGATGCTGCTAGGGCCCAAATAGGATCACTGGGGCAAGTCGTGATAAAAGGTGGAAAGGACGCGAAGTTTGGAAATACCGACGCGAAGGGCAAAGGCAAGAAGAGAGATCGAGATGAAGATGAAGATGGTGAAAGGAAAAAGTCCTCAGCCAAAAAGTGAGCTCTCACAGCAAGAGGCGCGTAGGACATATGACTGACAAGAAAGATGAAGGGAGCCTGGTGTAGGAAAGGGTAACTGGAGTGAGTCGGCGGCAACGGTATCAGAGAAATTGCTTACACACGTCTCTAGCTCGCCCATCCAAGACTGAAAAGACCATCAAGATACATGTCCCAGCCATGCCGCAGGTGAATGGATCTAAGTATATCGCAGATGAAGAAGAGGAAGATGCGGAAGGAGAAGAAGAGTAGGACATGATCTCGAAGCGGTACACACATGTACGAGTACATACAGTACTCGTACTCGTACGAGCGGCTGGAAGCATTTGTTTGTTGGATACTTATAGCATTTTATACATGTGGTCAAGCACATAATCATCAATGCACACCCGCTTGCAATTCGAGAGCTGGTCGTTGTCGTTGGGGAGCTGCGGGTACGGAACCAGTACATCCTTTCGTGTTGACAAATCCGACATACAAGTATAAGCAATAGCATTTTGCATTGAAGCGCTGTTGGATGATTATAAGGCATACTACCTGACCTCACTTGTCTCTAATCTTCTAGACTGAGGCCTCCATTCTCCTGATTTCCTGACCTTTGTTCCCCTAATCTCCGCGATGAACTGCATTTCAATGGCTGCTCTGGTTCAAACTCTGGTTCTGGAAATTCTGGTTCTGAGCATCAGGAGGAGGACCCCTGGCAGTCAAACTGTGAGCAACTTGAACAGAGGCGCAAGCAGAAACTTACATATAGTCACTAAATAGCTGAGCCCACCAATCACCATCACCCGCTCCCATTTCCTGCCCTCCAAACGCTGTCGTACTCATGTCAAGCAACTGCGACTCGAAAGAGTTCATGCCCATGAGCGAGCCGTGGAACTGATTTTGAGCATCTTGTCCGTCCCCGGGGTTGGGTATATGGCCAAGGTTTGGGAGCGGGTGCGTGCCCTGACCCTGAGGTATCGAGGATTGTTGATACGAGTGTGGCACGCTGGCGGCCGGAAAGCTGGGGAAGGATGGCATGTTGGATTGGGATGGCGGGAAAGGCGCTTTGAAGCCAGATTGCGACTGTGACTGGTGCACCGGGGGCAGAGGCGGGTGTGTTTGCGATGGCATAGGGAACACAGACGCCTCCGAAGGCGACCGGAAAATGGAATCAAAATCGGGAGTATTGGACACGGGCGTTGACATATGACCCGTAAAGTTCTGGCTGCCAGATGGGAAAGGCATGTTTGATGCTGGTGGGTTGGACAGCATGCCGCTCATCTCAAACAGACCATAGTCTCGGTTCTCACTCGGTTCAGAGTTGGGCGTTGGGGGAGCAGGCATGGACTTGTCCACATACGGAAGGATCGTTTCCGGGGGCGAGACAATATCTCCCGCAGGAGACTCCCGGGAAGTGAATCCTGCTTTGCCCTTACCCTCTTTCCGCGTGGGCTCGGACTCGCCGCGGCTGTACGTCCTCTTCTCAGAGACGTTCACCTTGTCGGCCGTCGGCATTCCGCTCTCATTCGCCAACTGAGTCAAAAAGTCTGTATACTTTCCACTCTGCCTCCAAATCACCTCCAACTCCCTGCTAGCCGCCAGACATCGTTTGATATCCGATATGGCCCTTTCGCGTTCTGACGTGGTCTGTTTGCCAGAGTAGATATTGATGAGAAGGATGATGGCGGAAATCCAGGATGGCAGCATGAATGACACATTCAAAGCACGCCCCGGAAGAGCACCCTCTTGTCGGCCGCGCCTGAGAGCAGCGTCCGTAATGTTACAGATTGACCTAGCAGCATTGACGCAAACGGCCAGGGAAGGAAGATCGGACGTTCGGTGGTTTCGAGGGGTGGGAATGAATGGCCGATGGATCAATATCTGACAGTAGTAGTGATACACGTAGAGCACCGCAGACTGGAGAAAGAGCGTGTGGTCCTGTCGACTAGGGTCCCATCTCAGCTCGTGCGGGACATTATCCGCCCATGAGTTGAGGGCCGAATCCAACTCCACCACAAGGGCTCGCTGAGCGGCAATATCAGCCTTTTGTTCAGGGAGCTTGTTGATGGCGTAGACTGTCTGGAGGACGGCGCCGACAATATGATCCAATTTCAGTAATTGGATGAATGCAGCTATGCGGGACGGTTTGCCCTCGGGCTGCTTGAAATCCTTTTCGGGATCCCCCGTGTCCCAATACTCGTCGTCGACATCTTGGGGATAGTCGGCATCAAAGTCGGTGTCCTGAATGGCGACCGAACGTCCAATGGCAGCGCAGTTGTATCTGTCGATGTGGTACAGACACCAGAACGCCCGGTTATACAGCGCCCTCTCTATCGGGTCGGCATGGAGCAGAGTAGCCCGTACATGGATACCGAGCTCTTGCGCAGACCGAAGGCCGAAACCCGAGATAATCCACATGAGATGCGGCACCGCACTTCCTTGCAAAAAGTTGCAAATGAGCACCTGCGTCTGAAACTCAAACAGGTTCGGGCCCTGCATGATACTCCTGCCCATTCGCAGAAGACTGCGCATGAAACGCCACCCGGCAGAATAGCGTAGTGTACCATCAAGGTCTTGAGCGAGGCGACTCTGGCCTTCCTCGGTCATCGACCATTCTTTCGGCCAGTATACGCGTGGGTCTATACCAGTATCAGTAGAGCTCTCATGTATGTAGACGAAAAACTCACCATCTAAAAATCTCGACCCATTGGCAAACACCATTAGACACACTCTCGAGAACCCATGATTAGACTGCCACATGCGCGAGTCGTACTGCCGCTGAAAGAAGGGGCGATTGAGAAGCGGCAACTGGAGGTTGATATGATCGAAATAAGCATCGATGAGGTCTTGGTCTAAGCCCTTTTCTGGCCATGTAGAATAGTCGAGAGGATGTAGACCTTCGTTGGCAATGACGAGCTCCCATTCGGGCACTTGCCAGAACTGGAGACGTTTGATCTGATTGATCTCGTCGATGAGGTTGGAATCGTCACCCATCTGGCCTTTGAGATCTTGGAACTGGCGCATGAGATGGGCGCCAGAAGCCTTTCCGTGGTATCTCCAGTGAGCATCACGCACTTCGAGCTGGTTCATAGAGTTTGCGATAGAGAGCTGCGCAGCAGCCTCCTCTTCGACGTCCGAGTCGTCGTCTGGTGGCCGACTCGGGTCTCTTTCATACAATTTCCATGGCGAGTGCCCGAGGACCTGGTTTGATGGCGAAGCAGCTCCAGCAGCTGGTGATACCGAGTGGGTGTTCGACGTAGACGCAGACCCATTGGATTCTTTCCGATGTTCGAACTGGAGGGGTTTTATAGAGGGATACGGTGGAATATTCTGTTGACGGAGCGTTTCGCGGTATGCGACGATATCAAAGTCGTCGCGATCTGGTACCGGTCCCACATACTCGTTGAGATCAACAGCAGGACGAAGCTAATGCGTGTGGTCAGTAGACACACCGACGGCACGCAGTACGACTTGCCTGCTGTAGTATACGCTCCAGCCTGCCGCAGCGCTGCTCGACAATCTCTACATACCTGCACCCAGTCAGCACCATGCACAAGCATCGCATTTCTTCGCTTGCCCTTTCGGTGGACCCCTACGCTTGGCCTGTTCGTTGTAGGTGCATGCAAGGCTGAACTCTTCGCAATGTGCACATTCTGACCATGACCGAGACTTAGTGCCGAACATGACCGGATCCGACTTTTACTCACTTTCAGAGGACCCGCTCTGCATAGGACCTTCGCACTTGATCTTCTTGCGTCTGGGTATTGTTAGTTTATACTGTAACGCATCGCATGGAGATACCTACCTGCACACATCACAAGCTCGCTGTGTCTTCTGTCAGCTGGAACATCCGCCATGGTATGACTAATCGCACCTGTATTCTCCTCTTCTTCGCCTCGGCATCTGCAAGGCTATTGTTGATGGACCCTTGCCTGCTCACGCCAGCAGACGTGGATCGGTCGCCGTTCATGCTGTGGTGGCGCCGCGAGAAATGGGTGGGTGGGCCGATGACGAAGGTGGTGTGTATGCAGGGGATGGGGTGGCGGCGAAGGCCAGATGGTACTGCGCGATGTGGCTGTGTGCGGAGGAGGGGGGAGTATAGAAACAGGTGCGAAGGGGGCTGGTGGAAGAGGAGATGGGCGGGATTGATAAGAGGGGAGGATTGAAAAAAGGCGGATGCAGAAGGATCTCTGTTCCAGCCCGTGCAAACTTTCCAGCCCGTCGGTCGTCATCCCCCGGCACCCCATGCGCCATGCATCTCCATCTCCTGTGCCAGCAGTGTACAGCCCGCTCCCACATGCATACGTAGCCAGGCGCCATGAGCCGAGACGGGCAACTGCACTTCACGTCATTCGATTCTTCCGGACCCCAGGCACATAGAAGGAACAAATCTCACGGCCACCATTGTTTGGCAATCAATGCATTTCTTATAGAAGGTAGAGTAAAGAGTACGAGTATGTATACATGCAAAGTACACCCAAAGCGACAAAGTACAGTACAAATGTGGTGAGAAAGAAGGTTTACAACTAGACTGTATAGGCTGCAGTCTGAACTGCATGACGTCTCTGTTCTTGTCATCCAACTCTCTCGCCTGTATCGCCAGGCCCAGCCGACGGTGACATCCCACCCATCTCAACATCCAGCCCCTCTTCAATGTCCTTGGGCAGATACGTGGACCCCGAGGGATCGTTCTCCAACAGACAGCAGACGCCGAGGTTGATGAGCGACATGCCGACCATGACTATCCACCAAAGCCGACCGTTCATCACTTGGCCGTCCATAGATATCGCAAACAACGCCGAGACCGACGACGGACCAATGACTCTTGCCATGCACTATACACGTGAGCACTGGGGTCTCTTCAGGGGAGATCTGGTGCTTACACCTGCTGCTGTGGAAATGCCGTTGATAGCCCCGAGAGCAGTCCGGTCAGGACTCGAGTAATTGACGACTGCCATCAACAGACTCGAGCTGATGGCCACAATGGACGCCAGGGACAAGTACAGATTGATACAAATGGCTGTAGGCCATCCCCTTGTTTCTGGGTATAACAATGGGTGGGTGTACTGGTCGTCTTCTGGGGGCGACAACGGTTTTTCAGTCGCGGTAAGGACGTTTCGGAGGAAAGGGAGGATAAGCCATATCAGAGGCCAGCCGGCAGAGAGGACCTTGTAGCCCATGGAAATGCCGAACCAGCGTCGGATACGGCTCAGAAGAAGGATCTGGCAGAGGATCGTCCATAGTCCGTTGAGCGCCAAAGAGAGTCCTATCGCCGACGCCTGTGGCCTGTTAGTTGGGCTTTATGAGAGTCTTTGTGTGCTTACAGACATGCCTAGGCCACTTAATCAACGTCAGTCGTATCCTATACTAGCTCGAGCAACTCACTTGTGTCTATCAAAGAAGAACAAGAGCACCGCAGCTCCCCAAGCACCCTGCATAAATCTTGGAGATATCAGCCAACTGCCACAAACCTCATTCAACTCACGAATTCAGAAACTGTGTTGCAACCATCACCCTGACCTTCTTGAACCTCATCAACTCGGGAAACGTCCATTCTCCCCCATTCCCGTCTCTCGACTTGCCCAACAATTCCTGCGTCCCTTCAGAATCAACCAACGTTTCTGATTCCGACACCAACGAAGCCATTGACGCCTGTCGCTTATGACTCGCTGGCGACCGGGAGAAAGGAGAGAAGGGGGAAGGTAAGGAAGACGACAAGCGGGATAGGCCGGTATCGATGTGGAGCGGGAACAAGGCTGGGCGATGGGGCGTAGCGAGCCCGGGGAGGGATTCGTGGTAGAATAGGAGAGAGAAGAGAATACCGATTACTGTCAGGCCTGCCGCGACTAGGCATGCTGGTAGATATCAGTATGGTACGGCAAGATGAGAGTGACTTACGAAGTAGATAAGGGTACTCTTGGAGAAGAGTGAAAGAGCTGAACCAGTTGGGGAGCCTCTCGTACGGGTGCGATAGTGTACCGCCCATCGCATTCCTATCATCTATCAGTGATTGAGATGAGAAGATGGACGATTGCTTACCCGATCATGGTGCCGACTATCCATGTCAGACCATACATGGCAAAGGCCTCTGTACTGTTACTATCATCCGTTATATCTCCTATCGCAGCTTTGATCACCTTGCAATCTTGGTCAGTATATCTCCTCTGGCCGAGCTGAAGACGTACAGCGACATTCCCGTTGAGCGCGCCGCTTAATGACCGAAAGACTATCATGGCCCAGAATGACTTTGCCAGTCCGCTGGATAGAGAGTTAGTACATGATCTACCCCACAGCCAAAGGTCGTACAAGAGTGAGCCCGATATCGCCACACCCGTCAAGCCCAGTAACAGCACCGGTTTCCGCCCGATCTTACTACGCTCAAGTGTCAGCCTCTGTAAACACAACTCCAGGTGGGAAGAGCGTACTCTGACATCTTGGCCCAGTGGTAGACTGTAAAGAATTGCACAAAAGCAAACACCGATTCCTGCAATCGCCCCCTGTTATCAGCACCTTTCACGCACTGTGAAGCAGGATATGGACGCACGACCAAACCTGAATAGAACCCGACCCGATCAGGGTTATCCGTCACCCCGAGCTCTTCGACCATCTGGTTCACAAACGGGAAAATGACATTGTACGCAACTACCCCAAGGGTCGTATCAGCTAGCTATCGCGCATTGTCAGAGGAAGCTAAGACTTACTAGGCTCGGCGAGACGAACCGCCATGAGCACGGCGATCTGGGCTACAGGCAGCGGCGTAGCACCATGCTTTGAGCGCCCAAACATGGTTTCAATCTGACTAGGCGGACGGCGAAGTACTGGTTTTCTCCTCGACAGCTGCTGACTGCAGTTGACGCCCAAGGAATCCTGCGTTGATGTAGAGCTGCTGTTTCTGATGGAGAAGTGAGAATGTGCGTGACAGGATTAGGCCCGGGACGTACGGCAAGTTGCGAGAGGACTTGTGGTCGGGGATCACACAATCGCGCACCATGCGGTCTTGCCTGCTGGAAGTGGGGAGAGAAGCGTGGGGAGGTACCCCTGGGACGGCTGTCTCCGATACGAGCTTCATACTTGCACCCTGCAAATTGACTCATTTTCTCATGGGAGCCCAGAATTCCAGGCCGCTTGCTCCATCTTGAACGTCAGAAGTGGAGGCATCCCAGGGTCAGCTGCAGCGTTTCGGACATGGCCGACAGGGAGGGATCTTGTCCCGTGTGGCACTTTTGCAAGCCGGATGCATGTATATGATGTGGACATCTGTAGCTATGTATGAGCACCAAGAGAAGTAAAACGCTAGAGCCCAAAAATGAATATCTATGGGGCGTGGGTCGTAACCAGACACAGTCTGCGCGCCTGTATATGATTAAAGAATTTTGACGAGCAGTATCACAACTATACCAATCACACAACAAGATCGTCTCGAGAACCCTTCTATCTAGAATGCAGCGACGGGCGCCGGGCCCAGTACTCGCTCATTCTCCAGCCTCTCCCTCTCCCTCTCTCCTCTCGATTTCTTTTTTAGCTCCTTGACCTCTACCGCGCCTGTAGCCTCGAAGTGGCTAAACAACGTTCCCGCGGTGTGCATCTCGACAAGCTCCTCGTAGCTGCCCAAAGGCTTGCCTTGGAGGGTGATCTGCGGCAAGTCGTCGGTGCCCAGTAATCTCGCGATGGTAGGGATAAAGACAGTCTGATCTCTCCGCTGGTCGACTTCAATGACGAGTGGTGGGGGCGAGATCTTGACTTGCGAGAGGAGGCTTTTGAGCTCGCGGTAGCGAGGATCGCGCATCTTGCCGAAAAGGACGAGAGGGTAGAGGGCGTTGATTTCAGATTGGACGAGCTCGAGGTCTGCCCGAGCACGGGGACTCGCCGGATCAAAGTCGAGCACGAGCGAGGGGTCTAGAGGGAGGGCCGGGTCGGTATGGGTCATCACGTTGGATGTCGTAGCCGTCACAAACTGTATAGTGTCAGTGCGTTGCTGACTACAGAGAAGATGCGACTTACAGACATGAGAGCAGCAAACTCTTGTTCGACATTTTCAAACTTGAAAGGCTCCACTTTGACCTCCTTGCTCGCGCTCCCCACCTTGCCCGGTACAGCGTGATCGTTGAAGGCCTGCTGGACATAGACATCGCGTTTCGCAAAGTCGCCTTCTTGCATTGGCCAAAAGACGGACGCTCGGCTTGAGCCGGAGATGGTACGGGAAACGAGGATGAAGCTGAATGTCGCCAGACAGGTGGCGAGAAGTAGAAAGGGACGTAGTCTCCGAGGGATTCGGAGCAGATGGACGAGGCGGCTGGCGGTGGTCTCGTCTTGTGTATAGGGGTTCAGCACCGGGCTGGGCTTTTTCTACCGCATCACATGAACATCAAGCTGTTTGGGGCCAAGACAGAGGACTTACGGTGGGGTATGACCAAGGATAAGATTTGGGTTCGATTGGGTGTCCCTTGGGTGTACACAGGGGGCTGACTGGACTCTGCTCATGGGGGCTGCAGAGTTGGGTCCGCAGGGGATGGCTGGGGGGTAAGAGAGGGAAGCCCTTGGTGGTGGCATACTTGGGGGCAGGGAACTGGGGAGACGAGGGGAGGCCGGGGGTGAGGATGCTGGGCGATGGGGGCGAGCTGTCGCTGTAGCAGGAGGCGGGGAGGTAGGACATGGCGGATGGGAAGAGGACTGAGGGGGTCAGTATATAATAATAATATATATACATATACATATACATATACATGCATCAGGGCGGGGCAGCCGATGTTCCAGAGCGAACAGAGACTGAAACTGTAGATGGTGGTTCCTGTGACCTGTCCATCAGACACGAGCTAGGTCCGTGCCACAATCCTCTCGCCATTGTTCGGAACCGCCTCGCCACAGGTCCCCCACAGCCACAGCAGCTCACCTTTGATCACTCAGTAATGTTGTATTGATGGCCACAGTCAAAGGGTTCGTGTCGTGTTGCTCGGCACTCGCTGCGCACAGTCAGCAATCTATTCATCAATCCCACTCTGATGGGCCCGCTGATCGGCTACCCAGCAGGAAGGACATCAAAGAGGCGCCTGGATATGTATCGAGAAACGCGTAGACACCCCTGTCGCTCCTATCGCCCACCAGCACTCCAGATACGAAAGTCGCGATAGCGAGGAGTATGCAAGAAAGGTTGAAATGTTACTCACCAGGCACGCTTCAAAAGGTCACTGGCTAAACGAGCGGCGCGAGGGTTCTTGAATCTTGAGAGTCGTAAAGTCGTACAGAGGTGGCAGTATATGTATGGCAGCAAAGATGGGAAGCATCTAAAACTTGTTACAACTGTAGCCCTACGGTGATTGAAGACCACAGGCCCCTTTATAGCCCCTGCTATCGACCATCGATGCAACCGATTCGCGCATTAACGGCATCCGTTCCAAAAATTCGGAACCCCGGAACCCCTACTCTAGAAGCAAGAGATCTCTCCAGGTCTTGCAAGAAACCGTCACTGATCGTAGATTGTGCGAGTGACGCCTTCTTTGCGCGTTTTGCGGAGGGCACTCTTTTGCCATCGACATCGACCCCGACGGTCTACAAAAAGAGTCTGCTGGATTGGTGGCCAGAGGCCGAGGTAGTAGAAATGACTCACTTTTTTTAGAAGCAAGTATGCCCTGTACCAGTATCTGCGCCATGGTCTCTCGGCATTCGGACGATACAAGTTCGGGCCAAAGACCCATGTGTTAGATCTTCTATATCTCCGGAAAAAAATCACATCTCCTTTTGTCTAGTCTCTTTCATCTTTATTGTTCGCCCCCTCTTTGTCGATCACTCCTCACTAGCTCCTGCATGGTATCCTGGCCTGGTTCTCCTAGTCTTTCGGTTCCCCTGGCCTTTGAACTGTTCGAGAGACCTCTGTTCAATATGTAGCACGTCACGCCTTCGATGCGGCGTCTCAAACTCTTCACGGCCTGTATTCACGAAACCACTTTCCCGTTGGATCATCACATGCGGACATGCGGTATAGCTTCTTGGCGGGAGAAGTACATACATCGAGCAGCACCCATCCACCCACGTACCTGTATCCATCAGGTTACAGGTTGATAACCCAATCTCCAGTTATGCGGGCAGGCTGCGGGCAGGAAATTTTCGAAAAAGACAACTACGTAGTGAGGTCATCACATCGTTGCGACACTTTGATTCCCGCGATCGAGATTGGATCGACATATCCCTTCTCACGCAATAGGCTGGTCCCTTGTACGGTACGAGTACATACACAACTGACGGCTCATAGCCGGGCCGCAAATGCACGGCCCGGGCGCTCCATCGCAACCCCCTGGACCTCGGTCGCCTTGAGCGCGCGTCTTGCGTGTACTGCCTGGTAACCGTACGTATACGAAACCTCAACGACAGTAATGCAGCGTATCCCGTCGTCTCACCAACGGAGACTATCATCATCGTGTTGCCGAGTACCCAACAGAGAATTGATAAGCACTGGTGTCTTGGCAATGCCGCCGAGCGAGTCTACCTTGCCTACATCCCTCGAGGCATGGACGATTGACCGGCTTGATGTCGAGTTTCATCATGCCTCTTCCTGGAAACCCCCGATATATGTACCTCCCACCTCTCTCTTCAGGGACATCTGCCTCCGACGCCCCGCGGCTACTGATATAAAGACTGCCATCCGCAGGCTCAACTTCTTGCCCAAGTCACTTTCTCCCGACTTCCAAAGGCTTATCGCTTTTCTCTAATCTACAGCTCTGGTAGCTCTATTCTCGCATATTTGTTCCCTCTGGCAGGCTTCACCCAACACTCTCCCTACGCCCTCTACAATACCATATAACTCTTCAAAGTTTATCATTTCGACAATGTACTTCCCAGCCGCCGCCTCGCTCGTCAGCCTTATCCTCCTCCCCGCCACTCTGGGTATGGCGATCGACCCCCACAGCGTCCATGCCAGGGACCTCGAAGGGAGGGCAGACTTGACTGTTCAGCCGCAATGCAATGGCGGGTCTCTAAGTGCGCACGATTGTAACGTCGCGTAAGTCTCGTCCCTCTCTAATGAACCCAAGCGCTGATACATTGGACGATAGGCTACTCTCCTTGGGAGGAGGTATCCAAGGTGCTATCCAGTTCCTCCGGGTGGATGCTACTACCAACTCTTCCTCCAGTAACGGTTGTACCAGTACGTCACTTCACGCCTGATCTTCTGTCAACGTAATCTCATATAGAGTAGTGACCGTCACCGCCGCTGATGGTGGAACTGCCATCGACATTAGCAGTACGTCTCCCCCTCCCAGACCTAGACTGGAAGCTGATGTGGGATAACAGAGGGCAGATTGGAGCAAGCGCAAAAGGCTGCTATTGACAAGTGCGGCCAGCAGGCTTGGACGGTGACTGCTACTGGAGGCAGTACGGGCGGTAATCTCAAGATTGAGCAGTCGGCAGATGCGGGTAGCAATGCTGCTGTGACTGCAGCAACCTCGGGCTGTTCTTCGTGATCTCGTCCAGAGGTGGATTGTTGTACTTTTGGCATAGCGTGAAACATGCACGACTGTGTGATGATAGGAATATACATGACTGACAACATGATATAGAGCCTCATAGTCCATATCTATAGAAGGCAAACTACACATGACCGTGATACCGTTCTTTGGTCGTGACTACACTCCAACGCCCCATTCCGCCTTGTTCAAATAGGTGGCACTCGAAGTCCGGACGCAGAAGCCCTATGCCCAGGTCGCCAAGGGCTAGTCATATGAGCAAGGCTCGAGGCAGAAGGCTTGGCCTTGATTCGCTTGCGGGGAGAGGAATCGCTGGGATTGTCGACGTGGAGAGATAGTGCGGCGGAGGGATCCGGGTGCCTCTGTGAACCATAGTCGCTGGGTCGAGTGGGAGAGAGATTGTCGGGGGTTGAAGGGCTGTCGTCTTCAGCCATGCGAAGGGTTCGTTTGCTTCCAGCGGAGCGCAGAATCGGTTTGCGAGTTTCGCTAATCTGAAGGGCGTCCTTGGCGTGTAGATATCGGGCAGACTTGCCAGGAGTCAAGAGCGCAGGCATCACCTGATGCCTGGTCGCGAGCGTATCTTCCAGCCCGGTCTCCTCACACCCGACCACCTGTCCTCGATTCGCCTTCTCCATACTCCTCCTTGCATTATACCTCCTCTTGCTCTTCACATGCCTGCGAGTTCCACCGGACCGTCGTACACCCGAATCCGACCCATTCTCCTCATCAGACGACTCGAAAACCTTGAACTCTGGTCCATGCCGCAAGTCGTTCAACGTATCTTGAGATTTGCGCAGATCCTCGACCTCGGAAAAGTTGTCATCGGAGGATTGGTCGATGGAAGAGGTGGGGGAACGGTGCTTGATGGGGATATAGGGCGGAATCTTGTTGGATGGGAGGTAGGGGTTGCTTGGCGTTCTTGGGTACCTGCGGAGAATTCGTCGGGGCGACTGTCGTGGGTTGTCAGCGGGGACTCTAGTGAGTGGGGAGATGCTTACGGGAAATTCGACATGTGGAGTCTCGTCATCACTGCTCCAATCACCTTCCAATCTACCTCCATATCCACCCTCTTCACCCCGCTCGAATTCCACACCAGATGATTCGTACAAGTCACTGGAGTTGTTTGTGCTGGTGGTTCCACTAGTTGCCATGGTGTCATGTTGAGGATCCAGGACGTATTTGCCAGGTGTTAGAGTAGCCGAGTGGGGGTTGGGTCTGACTGGGGTCGTTGGCATGTTGAGTGATCTCTGGCGAGCCGGCCAAGTTCTTGAGGGTGAGTACGCAAAGGCGATTGGACACTAGGCTGATGATACCGTCTGTTCAGCAGTGTCTCGAACGCATAGATTGATACACCATACAAACAAGGCAAATCGGTCGTCCAGGATGGCGTGCGTGCGACTTGACGCGACGGCGAGCCCGTTGTTTGGTTCGCGCGGTAGATCTCAAGGATGGAAGGGTCGAAATTCCCAAGTCTCAGAGGGCAATGGTCCTGCAGGGTCTCGAGCACCCAAAGCGCCCTGCTGCAATACGAGGTTGGTGTAGAAAGTGAGAATGCCAACAATAGTGAATTGGTGCAACTGGTCATTACGTAAACAGGGGAATTGCGGGACCATCTGATGACGTACCCTGGCGCCAAGCCTCTATGTCGTCGAACATTTCCATCTCATCCCTCATCTGCCTCTATCACCGCCATGCTCGCCACCCTCCTCCCCGCCGTCCTCCTCCTCGCCGCCCAGTCAGTCGCAGCCCGCACCTGCTACAATGGCTACGGTAAGCCTTATCGCCACCTCCCAGCTAGACTAACTCACCGATCACCACAGGCCGTCCGTACCACTGCAGTGGCCTATCCTATGGTGCCAGAATCGGCATAGGAATCGGAATTGCCGCTGGTGTTCTCTTGCTCTTCTCTCTTTGTGGTTTCTGGCGTCGCCGGTACGCATATCCAGAGCAGCGCTTACAGCCCGAAATCCTGTGCTGACTTGTTTCCTTTGTCCAGCCAATTGCGAAGCCAGTTCTCCAAGTACAGGCCCCCAGCTCTCCCCTTCAATGGCCAGCAACAGGCGCCCCAGGGTCAGAACCCGTACCAAAACAACCCGCCTCCTCCTACTTGGAACAACAATGCTCCTGCTCCCCCTCCTGCCACTTACCAGCGGGGCTCGGCCGGCGCTTATGGCGCTAGCACGACCGGTGCCGAGGGCCACGAGCACGGATACGAGTGGGAGCAGGCTAGGCAGCAGGAGGAAGAGGAGAGGAGGAACAAGACCTCAGGTACCAATGAACCTGCTCCTCCCGGTTATGACATTGCCACTAGTGAGTGATTTTTTCCATTTGCAAGTGCATAAGGCGCTGACGAACGATAGGCACCCAGAACACTGGCAATGCTGGCACCACCACATACGCTCCCCCTGCTGGGCCTCCTCCGGGCAAGTAGAGTCATCGTGTAAAGACATGATAACATCTCGAGGTATCATTAGAAAATTGAGTGGAAAGAATTGATCAGAAGTCACTAATAATCTACACACGTTCTCAATGTCATTCATCTTGTACTATGGATATGCACCTTATAACTGCCTTGCGCAGCTTCGATCGGTGACATACACGCCACGAGGGTATGTGTTGGGTGGTGTTTGAACACGGCCAGCGTGTCCTCCTTTCTTCGCTCATCGCCTATCTCTTATCGTGCACTGTACTCTCTGTCCAGCTATGTATGCACAAAGCCATTCCATGCATCTGTTTTCCATCGCTCCATCTCTGATCAACAACCTCTGACGTACACGACGGGATCAAATCGGTTCACCCGCCAGCGAGGTTCGTTAGTAGCGACTCTCTTAATACTTGTTTGCCATCTCACATCGACACAAGTGCGCACCCGCGACCCCCAACACCCATACCACCGCCCATGCCCACCACTAGTATATCCACGCCCGAATAATTCACCCACTCTTCCTCACACGACCCTCCACCACATCTCTCGAAGGGACAAAACCACGCGATGGGGTTCGCCAGCCTCGTCGGCGAGCTGGGCATGTCTCAATCCACAAAGATATTAGCAGCCACCATACTGGGGTATACCAGTATCGCCTGCTGGCTGTGTGCACAACTACCGTGAGTCATACAGGCGGTGCTAGCGGGGGAGAGCTCGAGCTGATCGTTGTATCATTTTTCGCTTCGTTGTTTCTTATCGCTATTACGTTATGCCTGAAAACATAGTCAAGTGTTGAAGAATCTGTCGCTGCACTCGTGTGAAGGCCTGGCGCTGCCGTTTCTGATAAACTGGCTGTTTGGTGGGTCTCACAGGTGTAATCTTGGGGCCTAGCTAACGAATACTCCAGGCGATATAACCAACCTCATCGGCTGTCTTTTGACAGACCAACTTCCGTTTCAAGTATGCAAATCATCCATCATATCGTAAGCGATACTGACCTATGTCTAGACATACCTCGCGGCATACTTCTGCATCATTGATGTGGCCCTTGTCGGACAATACATCTACTACCAGAAACCCCAGCCGGTCCCTACCCCGCGCCACAACTATGCCGCTCTCACCGAATCACCTCGCCAGGCCGTCATCCTCCCTCCCAATACCGCCCCCCTCAGCCGCAATCATTCTTCCTCTGGCCCCCTCGCCTCTCCCTTGACCCCGGGTGCCCAATCCGCCGGTCTGCCGAGACAACGATCCAAAAGAGGTCTTTACCGACCCACCTCTTCCTACTTTCCCGGTCCGGACCTGACCATCACCTCTCCGCCTGACGGGTCGTACGCGGCGATATACGAAGCTGCCATTGACGTTGCCCGCGCCGCCGAACGTGCGAATGCGCGGAGTCATTCGCGGAGACGGCGGTTAAGTCGACAGAATAGCGGGGTGTTGACTGGCTCTGAACGCGGAGGGGAAGAAGGAGAAGGGATGATGGAGAGTTTCCATTCGGATATGTCTGGGAGGACGCAGAGTACTGCAAGGGGGAGCCCGAGGGTGGGGGTGGTGCCGCTGGAAGGGGATGGGAGGGGGCGGAGTCTGAGGAGGGGCAATGGGATGTTGAGTGGTGTGACGAGTTCGGGGGATTTGTATGCTGAAGGCGGGGACAGGTTTGACAGTCTTCCCCCGCCAGGACTCTCGGCAGACGGCCGACATCACCGCCATCGCGAGCCAAGCAAGGATTCCCATAAAAGCAGGAGTATCAGCATGGTCAGAGGGTCAGGTGGACGAGGGTCGAGGAGGACGGCGGGGATAACGTTTATGAGTTTGGGATTGTTGATCGGGTGGGGAGGGTTCAGGCCGGATGCTGGGAGCGATGTAGTGGCTGGTGGGAGTGTACTCAGTGAGCCTTCCGTCTCCCTGGGTGTGCGCCACCCTTTCGTGGTCAGCCCGCCGCAGACGCCAGACGTCTTCCTTCTCGAATTCCCTCATAATCACACGACAGACGAACCCTCATTACCGCACCCCGAGGCGCCGTTCTCGTTTCAGCGCACGGTCGGTAGGATATCTGCGTGGAGCTGTACAACCTTGTACTTGACTTCGAGATTACCTCAAATCTGGAAAAATGTGAGTCTAGAGAACTCGAGGTGGGCAATTGCTGATGTGATGCAGTTTCAACGTAAATCCGTGGAAGGTCTCTCCATCCTGCTGTTTCTAATGGCATTCTGGGGCAACGTCACCTATGTCGCTTCCATCCTCTTGAACCCCTCTGGTGGCGCCGACCCAGCCGATAACGCACACTATCTCCTCGAATCACTACCATACCTACTCGGTTCGGGCGGTACCCTCGTGTTTGACCTCACCATCATGATCCAATCCCTCATGTACGGCTCTGCCCCGCCCGTCGCCCTGCCGCCGGCTCCTGCTGAGTGGTCTAGACGTAGATTGGCGTCACATAGAAAGAGAATGAGGCATGTAGAGGACGGGTATGGAGGGATGTCGCAGTCGGTATCGGCAGAGAGAGGAGAGAGGGCGCCGCTGTTGTTGACTTCATCCGTGAGCGGGCTGCCGGGACACGGAAACAGGCGGCAGGGGACGAAGAGGGGGAGGAGTATCAGCCCGACGGTGCATAAGCGGGCGCGGAGCCTGGCTACGTGATGAGCTGTTGTATACTTTAGAATACATGGACGCGTCATGAATACGAATGCATGTGATGAGCTGTGCCTGGGTGCGCTTATCTCTCTTATCGCTTCGAAGCGCACCTCCACCCTCCGACTTGTCCGCCCTTGGGGATGGGGATGAAGTGAAATTTGCATCTCTTCTGGATCCGCCGTTGTACATCCCAGCCAGTCAGAAGTAGGCACGCATACCCCACAGAAGACATCCGAGCTCACTCCAGCCAGCAGCAGCGGAGAGCGGCCATGTCCACACCGCCCACAGAGCAGACCCAGCTCCTCGGCACCACCCAGCCCACCCTCGCTGCCTACGCCTCCGGCCCTGCCTCCAAGCCAGTAGAGCCAGCCTCAGAGCACCACAATATCGCCGGCCTCTCCCCGTCTCGATTCCGTCTCGTCTGCGCTTCCATCTGGACTGCCTCCTTCCTCGTCGCATTCGATAGCACCCTGGTATCTACCCTGCTATCGGATATCGGATCTGCCTTCAATGCGTCAACCCAGACATCGTGGCTTGGCACTTCATACCTCTTGTCGGTGTGCTGCTTTACCCCCGTCTATGGGCGCCTGAGCGATCTTATCGGCCGGCGTAATGCCCATCTCACAGGACTGACTCTGTTTACCGTGGGAACGTTCCTATGTGCCGTGGCTCCGTCCATGTATGGGCTTATTGGAGCTCGTTTCCTGGCTGGAGCAGGAGGCGGTGGTGTCGCAAGTGTTTCGGCCATTCTGATGACCGACTTGGTCGACCTGAGGCATCGCGGAATGTTCCAGGGTTATGTAAACCTCCTATAGTAAGGCGTTCCCTCTTACCACAAGCGCCAATACTGAGATGAAATGCAGTGGTCTTGGTGCCGCCCTGGGTGGACCCGTTGGAGGATGGATCAGCGACAATTTTGGCTGGAGATGGGCCTTCCACATCCAAGTTCCTCTTCTTGTCCTCAACGGCGTCTTGATCTACACCTTTGTCGTCGTGCCTACTTCAGAGCCTCCTCCCCCTCCTCCCCCTCCCAGAAGCCGATCAAGGGCCAGGGAAGGCCTGCCCACAGAGCAGCCGAGTAACCGACCGCAGACGTGGAAGACCAAGCTCGCGCGTATCGACTATCTCGGATCGTTCACACTTGCGCTCGCTGTTGCTTCGTTGCTCCTGTCCATGTCTATCAAGACTTCTTCTACCAAGGCATCTGGTGAAGACTATGCCTTCTCGGACCCTCTCATCTGGGGCCTGTTCCTCGCTTCTGGCATCTTTGCCATTCTCTTCTTGCTGGTGGAAGCGTACTGGTCACCCGAGCCCATCTTGCCTCTCAAGCTCCTCACCCGTCGAACACCCGTCGCCATCGCCCTCTCCTCCTTCACCATGGTCACCACCCAGTTCTCCGTCCTCTACAACATCCCCCTCTTCTTCACTATCGTCCAGCTCCGCACTTCATCCTCTTCCGGCGCCCATCTCTTGCCCAACTCTATCCTCATCGGTGCAGGCTCCTTGTTTGTCGGCTGGGTCATGCGCCACACTGGCAAGTACTGGTGGCTCGGTGTCAACTGTGCGCTGTGCATTGTAGCAACTAGTGTCGGGATGCTCTTCTGGCACAAGGATAGCCCAGAGTGGTTGACTTGGGTTGCTCAGGCTCCCGGTGGGTTTGGGTATGCGGGAGTGTTGACGACTAGTCTGGTGGCCTTGATGACTCATGTGCAGAGAGCTGGCAAGGGCGAGACGTGAGTGCTCTTATACATGAGGTAAACTTCTACTGACCACCATGATAGTGCCGTGGCTACCAGTAGTGCGTGCTCGAATTACGCGAAGGGCTAAGCTAACATCAACTAGTGACATATCTTTTCCGAACCGTTGGCCAAGTCCTTGGTGTCGCGGTCAGCTCCGCCATCGTCCAGTCTGTTGTTCAGCGCGACTTGCTCAAAACAATCACCGGTCCCGATGCAGCCGAAGTCAGTATCTCCCTTCACGCATCGTGCACTACTGACAACCCTACAGATCATCTACCTCATCCGCCACTCGACCTCCTCCATCCACACACTTCCCCCTCACTACCAAGTCCCAGCCATCGACGCATACGACCACGCCCTCAGCTTTGTCTGGGTATTCAACTTGGTCTTGTCAGTGTTTACCGTACTGGCTTTGATGCTGGTGGAAGAGGAGGAGATGCCTGATAGGCAGATAGTAAGGAATCATGTTGAGCGGGCTGATGGCTCGGCTTTCGAGAGGTATGAGTAGATCAGAATCTGATCAATCCCGTCGCTTATAGATGCATACACCTTTGCCGAGGTTCATGTATGCAAACGATATTAACAAGAAATAGCACATAGTGTACATGGCTATCAACACAGATGGCTCGCACACCTAATCCCCATTGATGTGCGGGGCATACTCGCATTCTATACCGTGCCTCTTGCAACGAGGGCATCCGTTGATACCACCTTTACACTAAGAAAGCGCCCGACGTCAGGCTCTACTCGTCAGATAGAGGTCCGATCAGCTTACACCTCGTTTAGCCTTTTGGCATGCGCAACAGGCATGGGGGTTCCTTCCACTTGGTGTCTTGCCTGTCTTTGAGGGTTTGAAGGCCTTGTCTGAGGCGTATCTGCCTCGGCTGTGGTGTTTGTTTCTGCTGCCTTTGGGGCGGCCGCGACGGGATCTGGGGTGGCTGGGCGGAGACTTCGGCCCCGGCTCCGGAAAGGTAACGGTCCTCGCTATCGGAGACGACTCGGCTGAGGGTGGTGGAGCTGAAGGACGAGCGGAAGGACTTATTGAAAATGTGTCACTCTCCGTCTTGTTGGCGCGTGATGGGGATGAGGCCAAGGACGAAATCCCACTCTTTCGCATCCCTGGCGTATTCGACAGAGTAGACAGCGATTCCGATGCGTTGTCGGAGAAGCATATCGAAGTGGGCCATGTAGTCAAGCTGGACATGTCGAAACCGGTAAACACGCCAGGACGGATACGCAAAGAAGCAGGTCTGGGGCAGACTCGATCCAAAGAGACATGCTGATATATAGCGGCGTTGTTGATTCCGGGAGTTTGAGGCGCACGGTGAGGTAACCCTGGTGGTGGTATGACAGGCATGGATCTGGCAGTGACCGGGTGCACGGGCGTTAGATGTCGGAGTAGATGTAAGGCGAGTTGAGGATGATCTTGAGTGGTAAAGTGACAACCTCTCCGTTGCTTCTTAAACCTTTCCTTGAGCATATATTTGGCGTCGTGCGAGAGATGTGTGTATACTGGTCGCACAACGTACGCCGAGGGATTGTTGGGCTGAACACTAGACTTTAGTTTGAGACAATGTTGATCTTTCCTCATGATAGTATAGTCTCCGCGGGCCAAACGTACTACAAACATACAAAGGCGTCTACGACGCGGATTACGAAGAAGAAGAGTGGCGCTGCTTTTTCTTTCATCCAACCTTACCCGCTGCATCTTGCTGGGATCTTATTTTTACGTCTCAGGATCTTCTGGTAATTCAGCTGCTAAAGGCTATGTAGTCATGGTGTTCAGTACAGTACATCATCAGTTGCAGCTACTATCAGAGCACTACGAGGCGGAATGACCAGTGCAGATGAGTCGCGCGACGAGAGAAACGACTCCTCCAGCAATGAATGCGTACACTCTGCGAGAATGTTTCCAGGGAAGCCCACCCAAGCCCGCTTCAGGCGTCGTCATGTAGATTGAGCTGGTATTGGCTGGTAGTTGAAGCTAGACTGATGTCTTGTCGGGTCTGGAAGCATGGGACGATTTGATCCATCCCAGCAGATGGAAATGGCTAATCTTCTGTACGTCACGACTTCATCAATGGAGAAGCTGCAGGTTTTTCTGAGCTCTCTGAATATGACTGACTTCTCTCCCAATTACATCCTAATGTGGTGAACATGTCCAACCAGAAGTTGATGTGTCGGCGTGATGTGTCGGCGACAACAACCTTCTCCAGCGAGATTTGAGCGAATCCGCACGCACAACATGACCGGCATCTGTTGAGTGATTTTGCTGCCTATGTGGGGGAGATTGACCTTGAGACGATATGCGGAGGCTTGCTGCCTGTCATGCTTACATTCTCCCCAGCGACACACTGGAAACAGCCATGCTAAGCTCTCATAGGTGGTGACATCAGCGACATATGCTCTGCCCATTAACAGGGCCACCCAAGCTCGACACTGCGAGCAGTGAACCTTTGGCCTTCCTAGATAATACTCTGGGTACTGCTTTACTATATCCAACACTCCTACACTTCAACTCGGCCCATACATGTGAGACTGTATATCGCAATCTCTCATCAGCCACAGCTGTCTTTCCGACGAAGCGCGTCGAGTCTTCGCGTTTCCGCTTTGGCGGCTATGGTGTTGCTTCACTTTCCGCAAACGTCTATTGCACCATGGATACCAGTCTATCCGCCATATCCGTGGCATGGTGCTTCCTCTCAGTCATTTGATGATGGCTGAGTCCCCGCATCTCATTCTGATTCACAACACCCACCATCATCACCATCGAAACCCATCCTCGCCATTATCCTCACGATGGTCTTTGAAACGTCAAACTCAACGCCCCCCAGCCTTTCCATACCTTCTACCCACACTGTCATCCTGTTTCTCTACATATATTTGAATGTCGTCGAAATCTGGTGGACGCTGATCTGGCGGCTCATCTGCGCCTCAACTTTCCTCTGTACGTTGATTTCGTCGGCCATGATCGTTCCACCTTGCTGACCCATGGCCGAGCAGTATACAGGCTCCTTTTCAATCCAGAGAAAAAGACTGTAAAGAAGGAGTTTTCTCCTTGGAAGAACCCCAACGCCAACGTCGTTGTATCATACAAAGACTTTCGTCGTGTTGAAATCCCCTACAAGTCATACGAAAACAAGAAGGTCGTCTTCACCCGTTGCTCTGGGAAAACCCCAGAGAAGCGCATCCTGAAGGGCAAGTGGGGAGAAGTCCATGAGGAAGTCAAGAAGCCCCATGCGTATCACGACAACGGCGAGCCCTGTTGGGATCCCGAGTGCCCGGAATTCGATGCAAGTCAACTACGGCAGAGGGTTCATAACACAGCTGACAGCGCGCTTAGGTACTCCCCGAGTTGAAGAAAGAAGACTATCTGAAGGAGGAGGCCGGCTTCATCAGATCTTTCGAAGACGCACTCATACCTGAAGATATCCCTCGCGAACCCGCCCCCATCAAGCCCACCCGCAAGCGCTTCTCTCAGCACTCTGTCTTCATCCAAACCAAGCTTTCTGCCTCCAAGCTCAAGGCCAAGTGGAGACTCGCCAAGATGAGGAAGGAGGAAACGCGAAGAATGGCAAAGATTGAGAAGAGCTGGGCGTGGGAGGTGTCGGAAATTGCGATGTTGAAGAAGGACCAGGCGGATCAAAAGGCGGAAGCGGACGCTGCAGAGAAGCTCTTGGCCGAAGCGCGTCTCCCACCTCAACTGCCTCTCTTTGCCAAAACAGGTACTGAGCCCGGAAGCCATACTGTGGCTATCGTGGTGACCCCACCAATGAGCTCTTCCACTTCTCTCCTTACAGAGTCCAGCCCATCCACGTCCGCACCGTCTACGGCACACACCACTCCTGTCTTGTCCCGCGCATCCTCCATGTCCTCCATGTCTTCATTCTCCACCCTCTTCTCATCGTCAACCGGCCCTGATCGCGAAAACAAGAAGAGAATCTCCTTCGCCTCCAGCAGATCCTCCGCTCCAGTCTCCGAGACCATTCGCAAGGCGCCTTGCGCGAGAGCAAAAGCCGCCAAAGGCGCTCGGGCTGTTTAAGACTATCAAGGCGCGACAGGAGTACAACGACCTGCGCTCCCCGTCTAAACCTGAGAGGATCAACTGGGGAAGAGGGGCCTCCCGGAGAACAAGTGGTGGAAGAGAGGTTGAGCATGGGGAGTCATTCGAGGAGTCGTTCTCCAGACACCGGACATTTGCTACATTCACAACGGACGCGTGCCAGAAGCTTCCATAACCCTTAATCAATGATACCGAGAGGTCCACTCCTCTGCATGCAACAACAGATCATTCGTCGTCATAATAATGATACAATAATATATACGTACGTCCGGTATAATCGACGCGAGCCTATATCCAATGTCCTTAATCCAACTCTTCTCACGTACCCCTTGAAGGTCCACCCTACCAGCACCTAGAACCCAAACGCCAACTGCGCCCTGCTGAAAACAGGGGGCTTCCACCGGAGATAGTCGGGGTTGATCGACCGTCTCGTCTTTGACATTGTCTTTTTGTGTTGTTCAATGACGGCGTCGGACAGGTGGATGATGTGGCTGTTTTTGTAGTACTTGATCATCTGGAGAGCCTGGCAGCTGTACGATTGATTAGCAAGGACACGCACTGTTACTTCAATGACTTACGTGTGCATGATATCGCCATGCGTGATCGATGTCCTCTGTGCAATCTCATCCAAGCTGATCTCATAGTCGCTGTCCAACAACAGCTCCACAATCTTCTCCTGCCAGTACGCTCTGTACCCCAACAAACCCAAATCTGAAAGCGGCTTTTCGGGTGATCCTAATTTGCCCTCGACTTTGGAAAGTTCGTAGGAAAACTCGATCAAGAGTCGACCGTACCCCTTTCGTTGATGTTGAGGGAGCGTGAGGATACAAGCCACATTATACCCTTCAGGTGATTCCTTTTCTTTGGAAAAGTACCCTATCAAGTGACAACCATACTCGTCATTTACGGTCATGCAGTAGTACATGAACGGGTCGACATCGTAGTAGAGGGTCTTGTGGTCAAGGAAACACTTTGAGATGAGACAGAGATTGCGACACCATGTGCGCTGCTTTCGCCCGTCAATCTCAAAGAATGAAATGTTGTCGAACCGGTATATTTCATTTCCCGGCGGGTGCTTGAGCGTGCACTTGGTTCTGTGCCGTACTAGCTGAGTGGCAGAGGGATAGTAGAGTAGACAAAATTCGCAGATGTGGAGGACGGGGAGGTGTGCGTATTCGATCGGGTATGGCGAAAAGTACCATGTCTCGACCTCGTGCTTTCCCATTTGAAGCTTGTCGAGGTTCTTGACACGACTGACCTCGGAGTGAGACTGTGTCATGGAACCAGACGTACGGAGCTTTTCAATCTCTTGCTTTTTCGAAAAGACGGGAGGGGCAGCCTGGGGGTTGGAAGGGGCAGCGACGACTTCGCTATTGGGATCGATGGCACCGTCAGATGCCTCCATTGTGATGTCACCATCGGCATCGGGATCCTCGTCTTCGCCTTCAGCATCTTCATCTTCATCATCGTCGCTGTCCTCTTCCACGGGCTCTGCCTTGCCTCGTCTCTTCTGAGGCACCTTGCCTGCTTTCCCCGCCTTGCCCGCCTTCCCAAGCTTGGAAGGAGCCGCCTTGCCAGTCCCCGCTCTACTAGCGGCCTTGTTGGCAGCCTTCTTCAGCAGACTATCGGAGGGCATGGGTGAACCTCGCGAAGGGGTAGCCTTTGACGGCTGAGCCTTGCCCGGTCTCTCCTTCTTCTTTGGTTCTTCCTTGGCTTTCGGCCACTCCATCTCCTTATCCAAAACAAGTCGACTCCCTCCTACCCACTCATCAAGACGTTTGTTGAACTCGACATAGTGGACGTAGTACTCGGTATCGTCTCTGGGGTCTGGTGGAGGAGCGTTGGGAGGCGGGGGAGGGGCGAATGCGGAAGGTTTGGGTTTGGGACGGGTAGATAGAATTTCAGCTCTTCGTTGTTCTGATTGACCGCCTCCGAGGGGTTTGGCGACGTATATCTTGACGCCGGGGGTAACGTCCTGTAATCAGTCAGCCATGCATGTGTTTGCAGTATGGTAAACACTCACTTGTACAGTGTATGACCCAGGTGGCGCGATGACAGGTGCAGGCGTTCCGGGTTCACTCCCAGTTCCCCTGGCGTGAGGCGTCGATGGCGTCGAAGGGGCCATGCTCGGAAGGGTTTGCCGCCACTACGCGTATCTCAAGATGTAGGAGGGTTTTGGAGGTTGTTGAAATGGGAGGACAAGAAAAGCGTGTTTTTCCGTCTGATTGGCGGGTTCCGAGGGACGGTTGTATAGTGCGAGGGGGGCAGATGGATGGGTTCAAGATGTTTTTCGCACGCCGTGTAAGAGAAAAAGAGCCAGGCCCTGCGGCGAATTGCTTCCGTCGCTGAGCGGCAGCGTCCGCCAGTTCGCGTCAAGCAACGAAAGCTGAGATAGACGCTACAGCTGTATAACTATAGTGTATATAACTATAGTATACAAACCGACAATGCCCTGCTAGACAATGGTAGACATGGCCTCCTACTTTCCCTCCTTCACAGCCCCGTCCCCCATGGCGCTGGCGGCAGCTTCCACCAACTTGGACGACCCCCATCTTGAGGTCACCGTCACTCCCTCTGCCTCCGCCTTCTATGCTGGAGAGACATTCTCAGCCACCATCACCATCCGCAATACACGCACGCCATCCCACGATGCCAAAGTGCCCGAGACGCCGCTTACTGTGCCGCCCACAGCTGAAGTCTCGACTGCCACGTCGCAAACGCGGCCGCTGCCACCAGTAGATGCCAGACATCCCTCTGATGCCCCCCAATTACCCCGGCGGTTAAAGCAGATAGGGGCTGGCCTTTCTGACATCCCTCTTAATGGCAAAAAGTTTGCTGAGAATGCTGAAGCTGGACCATCTGGTGCCCGCACCCCAATGAGGATCCAAGCAACCCCTCGGTCACCCGACCTCGACTCTGGGTATCCATACAGCCCTGGTGCAAACACTACTTTCAGAGCCCCTGGCCCGAGCTCGCCTCAACGCGAAGGTCTCATGAACTTTCGAAGTCCGGAAGGATGGGGAGGGAAGGAGAATACCATGTCGAAAGAGCTCGGTCACCAGCGCAGGGCAAGAAGTCTGGCTCTGGGTAAAGGGGCTATGAGTCCGCAGGAATTAGTATGGGCACTGGGTGGGCAGAAGAGTGAGCAGAAATACATCCAAGGGTTTGAAGCTGACCAAAGCAGCCCCACCTCCATTGCCATCCCGTCGTTCGCGCGACACTCAGATCCCAGCGCACCATCCTCATTCTCGGAAAATCTCAATCGCCAATCCCATTACTGCTGAAACCTCTGGGCAGTCGGAGGACAATACACCGCCTCCATTAGAATCTATCATTGAAGGCCAAGCGTCTCCGTCGGGCCGGCCTCGCTCATCAACTCGACCGTCGGCATCGCGGTCAAATTCACAGAACGATTTGAAACAGGGCGACAGGTCTGTATCTCAAGTATCCCCAAACAGACTCAGACGGCCGTCCCACAACCGCACTCCATCGTACCAAAATGCATACGGCGCTTCCTTCATGGGCATCCACATCGACACGCTCCCACCCCCGCCCTCTCACCCATTCATCCGCGAACGCGAACCGCGTGGCACCACCACCGTCCTCTGGGCCTACACCCGCCTCGTCGGCCACTTTCATCCTTCCAACACCTACATCCCTCCCGACCCTCTCCTACCCCTCCGCGCAATACTATTACACCAGCCCGTCGGCTCGGGATCGCTCCTGACGCCTGGAGGCAGTAGCGTATCCAACCCAGCAGGCAAGTCGTCGAGCTCGTCGAGGTGGCAGTTGAGCTTTGGCACGGGCGCGATCGGGAATGCGACGCAGCCGAGTTTGACTGGGAGTTTGTTTGGGTTGGCAAAGGAGCTTATCACGGGTGGTGGTGGAGGGAGTTTGGAGGAGGAGAGGAGGAGGGTGTGGAACATGAAGGATCTTCCGGTGCTCGAGTCTACCCGGAGTCTGATGGGGGTGGATATTCGGCTGAAAGAAGGCGAAAGTAGAGATTGTAAGTGCTCGATCCAGGACTGAGTGATGTGCTGATGTGATTAGTCGTGTACACCATGCCATTACCTACGGTCCTGCCCCCGGCTCATCGCGGAAAGGCCTTTCGCTTCTCGTACGACTTGGTCATTTCTCTCAGTGCGAGTCTACCAGGCGGCGGTCATAGACAAAAGTCCAAAGACATTGTCGTTCCTATAAGAATATGGGCGAACGTGTCTGGTAAGTGTTCAGACTCAGACTTGTGCAACCTCTGACTTTCAGCAGTGGGACATCCATATCGAACTTATGACGTCCTCCACCCCGTCATCCAGACCAAGGAAGAAGGCAACGTCCAAAACCTCGAGCAGCCCGACATGCCCTCTCTACCGGCATCATCCACACCCCAGAGTCAAGAAATGCGCCGGCAATCATCTGCATCGGATAGACATCGTATCAAGAATGGGGACACGCGCGACTCTTTACAAGCGTATGCTTCTCATCTCGTCGATACCCTCAAACCGAATGGGGAGAGCTTGCAGCCAATGTCGCCTAGCAAGAGAGATGCACGTTCTCGTGCCGCTTCACCTTCGTCTCCCGTTTTTCGGATACCCGCTACGGATCAGATAGAAGAGAATACAGATCTGTTGGATATCCCGCAGGCGCATAGGAAGGGCAAGGGGTCCAGACACAGGAATGAAAGCTTTGTGGAGGGGGACGAGGAGTTGCTGGATGAAGTTGGTCATGAGGGAGGCTGTGGGGAGGCCGTTGAGATACTAAGCAGACATTCGCCCAAAGGTAAGCTCTTGCAAATATGGGGCCCTCGCACCCACTGACTCGCGTAGCTTCTTATGATATCAACAAAGATGGTCATCCGGTCTCTGTCATGACGCTCGCCAAGACGACCTACCGGTTAGGCGAATCCGTCCTCGGCATCGTGACCTTCAACCACCCCACCTCCATATTTCGCGTTCTCAAATTCTCCGCCTACCTCACCTCCCACGAACTCATCCCGGAACCCCTCCTGCCCCCACCCGTCCACGCCGGAGGACCAGAACAACCGAATTTGCAGACGGTGCACGCCGAGTATCACACTGCTTATGCGTTATCGGCAGAAAGGCTCGCGTTTTTGCTCGACATACCGTCGGATGCTACTCCTGCGTTCAGCTTGGCAGCTGGGGAAGGGGACAAGGGCGGACTGGAGTGGAGGATCAAGTTAAAGTTTACAGTAGGCGTGCCTGCGCATGGCGTACCAAAGAGCCATAGGAGGAGCGTCGACCATTCGCGCAAGAGTGTAGATGGCCACGCGCCCGTCTCTGAAGCGGTCAACCTCATCCCCACCAAACGGCATCGATCGGGGGATGAAGCAGACAATGCATTCTACTCGGCGCTGCAGAGCCTGAACCCTGTAATCCCCGTGTCTCAGGCGTACAGAGATGCTGTGGGCCCAGATGGGGGAGCGGAATGGTCGGAAATGAGGACGGAGATGGTAGAGTGTGAGGTGCCGGTGAAGGTCCTTGCTGGCAACACGGCGTTCTTGGTGCGGCCGGCTGTGTTTGTCGTGTAGTGCAGCGTACGAGGGAGTGTATGTATGTATTTGTGTGCAGCATCTATGCATTGAGGTGGACGCGTCGATATTCCACCAGAAGTGCGGTGAAATGCACTTAGATAACAAATCGCGCCTGGCTCAGTTACAGTACGACTCGTCGGCCATCTCCTATGGATCTTCTGACTCGCGACAAGTAATGTATACATAGCCATGCACAGTCCATTATTGCCATCCCCATCCACCATGCCCTCCGTCGACCCCGCCCCCGTCAAGCTCGACTACGACCACTTCCTCTCCGCCGAGGCAAAGGGTCGGGTCCGATCCCAGCTCCGAGCCCTCGGCCCCTACCACTCCATCCCTGGCATGATCTCGGTGAGCCCTCCGCTTCCTTGGCCCGCGTGGCCGCTCATTTGTTGTCTAGTTCGGCGGTGGATTGCCTCACCCCTCTACTTGGCCAGTGAACGCCATCACCCTGTCTGTGCCCTTTGCAAACAAGTCTGTCTTCGTACCGGGCTACCAAGGTTAGTAGGTCTCAGCCCCTCTAAATACTGCTTAGTAATCATCTCGTAGGCGAGGATCCCTCGAAGCTCTACCCTTTGGCGCCTTTCACTCCCACCACCAAGCTTTCCCTGCAATCTGACCCCCTCGACCCGAACCTCACTAGGGACCTTCAGTACTCTGCCACTTTCGGCCTTCAATACTTTGTGGACTGGATCACAGAGCATGTCAAGAGGATCCACAATCCTCCTTACCCTGAGGCTGATTGGCAGGTGCACTGCACTGCAGGCAACACTGATGGATTCGACGGTGTTGCGAGGACGTTGTTGAACAGGGGCGAGTATGTACTGGTCGAAGAGTTTGGTGAGTCTTCATCTACTGGCGTGAGATATAGCTTATCGTGTGGCAGCATTCCCGGCGACTATCAACCACTACGCTTCCCTCGGAGGTCGAAACATTGGTGTCCCCCTGGATGGAGAAGGTTTGGATGCAGAGGCACTCAACAAGATCTTGTCCGAGTGGGACGAGGAAGAGCGCGGAGGTGCTCGTCCCAAGACTCTCTTGGTGGTCCCGTGAGTCCATCGAAGGACATTATGAGTGCCCGCTAATCCATTCGGCCATAACAGGACTTGCTCCAATCCCACTGGTGTGACCTACACTGTGCCCAGGAAGAAGGAGATCTACACTGTAGCCAGAAAGTGGAACCTTTTGGTCATTGAAGACGACCCTTACTGCTACCTTCAATCCCGACCTGACGGCTACGACACCCCGCTTGTCCCTTCCTTCCTCTCTCTGGATGTCGATGGCCGAGTCGTCCGTATCGACTCTTTCTCCAAGTTTATCGCGCCTGGCAGTCGTGCCGGTTGGATCACCGGACCCAAGGACATTGTCACTGCCATCATGAGGAAGGGTGAATCCAGTTCAGTACGTGATTGTCTCGCATGATGTTTGATCTTCTGTTGATCCCATGTCTTTGCAGAACGGGCCTTCGGGCTTTGCAATTGCCTCGATTGCTGGTATCATCCAAGCATGGGGCAGCCACGAGGGGCTCGAGAAGGAGTATTTGCCTCACATCTCTGGTACGTCATCCATCCCATCACCGCTGATCTCGTACTGACAATTATACAGCTGTCTACAATAGCCGCGCTTCGGATATGGTCCGCCATATCCGCAAGTACGTCTCCCCCGAGACTCTCGAGACGCCGGAGCCTACCGGCGGAATGTTCCTCTGGGTGCGTCTTCGCCTCGAGAACCATCCTCTATTGGGCAAGGTCGACCCCGAAGAGATCTCCGCCCGCACCTTCAAGCGCCTCGTTGATGAAAAGGTCCTCACTGTCCCTTCTCAATATTTCAAGGCGGGTGGCGGAATTGAGCTGAGCAAGGAGGAGGAAGCCAAGAGGATCTTTTTGAGGTTGAGCTTTGCTACTGCCGATCCGGAGCAGATGGAGGAGGGAGTCAAGCGGTTGGCCAAGGGGTTGAGGGAGGAATGGGAGCTGAAAGAGTAGACTAAGGACCCTGGCTGCACCCAGAAAAGTAAATAGAATTGCTACCATCTATTCCAGATGTAAGGGATTGGTACGGACTGGTCAGTAGGAGGAGATGTAGTGACGTGCAAGTGAAGATGATGGAGGAGTCAGGCGCAGATGGGAAGGAGTATATTTGTTTGGGTGGTTGACTTGCATACTGTTTTTTGAGACCTGCACCTTTCGTCTGCCTTTCGTTTCGTGACTCGTTCCCCGTCCGAACGGGTCTGTAAGGGTAGGATAGGTGAGGCGTAACCTAAGGGCGGTTACGTGGTGGATCTGACTAGGGGCGCCAGATGTCGACCTTGAATAGACTGGAGGGATGAAGGATGGATATAGGTGAGGAGGTTCTTACGAGAATACATCGATGAGGGAAAAGGATACGGAGACGCGGCACGATGTATATATGGGAACCTCATCTCGCAATCCAGCCTACGCATCCCTGAGACCATAGCAGCAACCCTAGTCACCGAACCCTGCGTCCAAAGTACACGTCACAACATCTGTACCAATCCCTTACACTCCCCCCGGTCTAAAACTGAGCGTCCACGCGAAGATGGGGTCAGATAGAATGGGCAACGATTGCTTAAGGGTAGCAATGGCAATGGAGGAAAGATGGGGTGGGGTGGAATGTGGGTGGTAACAGATAGGTATTGGGAATTGAGGATCGCGACATGACATAGATTGGGAGGTAGGTGGGGAAGCGGCGGACCCATGGAGTTGTAGGTGAACATTGAGAATCGGCTGTAAAGAAAAGGTAATGTAAGCAAGGGTAAATGTCGAATAAGGGTACTACACCAGGCAGGTTATGATATCTTGGGTTGAAAGGGGGTTGTTTCAATTCGAAGTAAAGGTCAGATCAAAGTTACGGATAATTACCTCGGAAACAACCAAGGGGCCCAGGTAACAAGGATCGAGAAGGAAGAAAAGAGCTTGGGCGACCTGCGCCTGCTCGATCTGCTCGCGCAGGAGCTGAACATAGCTCGTTAAATTCGCGAAGGCGATCGATCACTAGAGGCGCAGTCCCGGGAGAGGTGGTTACGAATTTGTCTACTAGGCCTGAGGGCCCACAGACATGGGAAGTCGCAGCTTGGGTAGCTGGCGGACAGTGGTGGTGGTGGGTTGTCGCAGCCTGGGCGGCTCGCAGACGTGGAGATGTGGTGAAGGTATGTCCCGGCCGGATTGGGCGCGCAGACGTGGAAATGTGGTGAAGAGATGTCCCGGCCGGATTGGCTCGCAGACGTGGAAATGTGGCTCACAGATAAGAGACAACCACGGCGGAAGATGGGGACGACGACCCTTGTAAAAGAGATCGCCTGAGGAAGGGATAAGGGCGGGGCGAGTTGGCCAAACTCGTGGTCCGCTAAATAGCAAGCAAGACTGTCAACGGGGCTGCAGACCCCAGTCCTGCGAGAGGAAAGGTGGGGAGAGAATGGGTGGGCGAAGGGGGATAGAATGGAGCAGGTCGTGGCAAGAGAATGGGTGGATGGGTGGGTTTTCGCCTATCAAAGGTCGAAAAAGGATGCCAGTCCTGCGAGAGGGAAAGAGGGGAGGGATTGGGCGGGTGGATGGATTGAAATGGGGGGGGGTCGGTCGAAAAAGAATGGGCGGATGGGTGGGGTTTCGCCTATCGAAGGTCGAAAAACGATGTATTCTTCTGTAAGGGTAGGATAGGTGAGGCGTAACCTAAGGGCGGTTACGTGGTGGATCTGACTAGGGGCGCCAGATGTCGACCTTGAATAGACTGGAGGGATGAAGGATGGATATAGGTGAGGAGGTTCTTACGAGAATACATCGATGAGGGAAAAGGATACGGAGACGCGGCACGATGTATATATGGGAACCTCATCTCGCAATCCAGCCTACGCATCCCTGAGACCATAGCAGCAACCCTAGTCACCGAACCCTGCGTCCAAAGTACACGTCACAACATCTGTACCAATCCCTTACAGGGTCATGGTTAAACAAGACTTTCAATGGACCGGCCCAGAACGCGAAGCCCCACGCTTCTTCTCTTTGCTGGCCCAGGGACTATCGACAGGCTTTACTAAGAGGTGTGAATTGTACTGCTACCATCTGGCTACCATCTATGCTACAAATATGCATATGAAGTCTTGTCTGGGCATGTGAATATGAGTACTGTGCTCTACTGTTTTCTGCTCTAGTTTTCACTTTCATCTTCGTATCAATTGCCTCCTATCGCTACAGACTCATTCTTCTAGAGACTCTCAGCTTCGCTCTCAATCGCCTTGACTGTCTTTTTCACCTTCTTTTTGGGCGTGGTCTTCTTCACAGGGCCATAGTCAGAGCCCCTTGCAGCGGTAAGCCTTACCCGCGACCTCTCCTGCTGTGTTGCCTCGTAACCTTCAACCCACTTGCCCGCACCTTCAAGAGCCTCGATTGGGGCATATTTATGACCCGTGAGGTAGCTCTGCAGGCCCGCCATGGTGATCTTCTTGGAGGTCTTGACTTCTTCAGCCGGGAGATTGATGGAGTTAGGGGTCGAGAAGATGGCATCGGCAAAGTCGCTCGCATGCTTTTCAAGGTCGGCTTGGTCTGTAAAGATGACGACAGACTTTTCAGACTTTTCGTTCACAAAGTCGAAGTTGCTTCGCTCTGTGTGGGGGCCAAAGTCCTCAAGGGGGAAGAGGTGGACGTAGAGATCATGGGCTTGTCTAGGAATGAGGAAGGTGAAATGAATGTGATCGTCGAAGCGGCCTTCGCGGATTAGAGCAGGGTCAAGTCTCTCTAGGTGGTTACTGACGTTCACAAATTAGTCGTTGGTCCTCTTGTCGATATAGACTCACGTGGTAGCAATAACGACACATCCCTCTTGACTTGAAACACCATCAAGAGCATTTAAAAGTCCCGACATCGTGACGGTCGACGGTGGCTGTCCTCCTCCACCGACGAAGGCATCACGATGCGATGCTGCTCCGTCAAGCTGAACCTCTGCTTCTCCACCATCGTCTGCCTGTAGACCATCTATCTCACCGCCAGGGGCTTCGTCGACGGCGGAAAGCATGGCGGAAACGTTGTGCCGACCGGAAGGGAAGATGCAGTCACTGACGGCAGGTCAGTAGTACTCTCAAGTAATGCGGGGAACGTACATGTCCTCAATGAGGACGATGGTCTCGGAGGGGCAGTTTCGGAGCAGAGTTGATAGCTTGGCGTCATCCATCCCTCTTTGAGCAGGGTTGACGATATACATGTCAATGTTCAGCTTGCTTGCCAGAGCGGTGACTATCGACTCGTCAGCACGAGAGCAGCTCTGTTTCTTACATTGAACCTACCGAGAGATGTTTTGCCAGTTCCCGGCTCTCCATAAAGTACAATGCCTTTGCGATGAGGAATACCTCTGGAAGCGTGCCAATTCCTATCTTTGTCCGACAAGAAACGCTTGACATCTTCAAGTATCTCTTCTTTCATACCAGGGGGTAAGATGACGGAACCCCATTCTCGAGCACGACGTGTGATCGGCTTCATCCAGGTTGGATTGATACGCCTACCTTCCACGTCAGTATCGCTAGAAGAGGCACGGTCAGAGGAAATCCGGCGTGGTCAGCTTGATTCTTGCTTCTTGATCTTTGTTTCTTGGGTTGCTCGGGATGATGGCGAAAAGCTTAGGAAGGCATGACTCACTTGGAATGGTAGATGCGCAGCTCTTTGTCTTCCTTTTCGTAGAAGCTTTGATTGACGGCGGCAATGAAATTTTGAATGATATGCGGCCTATAAGCAATCGTCCTGCGGTTCACGCCACGGTCAGCATGTAGCAGGAAAAGGAATAAATGGATGATACTTGATTTCGACGCGAGCCCCTTCGTTATACCTACGCGACAGCCGGCGGGTGATCCACAGATAGTTGCCGTTGTGTTTGATTCTAATACTTTGATCTGTTGATCTTTCGTCAGTCACGGACTATATGAAGAAGCATATACTCGACTCACCCACAAGGGGAACTTGTTGCCCAACAACGTCGCCCGCTTTCCAGCTAGACGTGTGTTCACCAGCTACAATGCCACCGGTCTCGTACTTGGCCCAATACATTTCTTTGTTGTCGGTCTGACGCTTGCCACTTCTCAGCCATCGCGCTTCAGTGGTATTCAGCTCGTAGTCATGCAGTTGTCGCCTGGCTCCAGGATCTTTTGCGATCCAGACCATGATCATTTCGTAGCTGGGATCATGGAAATTGATATGGACGGTTGGGAATATGGCTAGGCAGGAGGTCAGTACGGTCTTGAGATATAAGTGAATGAGATAGCCCACCTCGCGAGACACATGCTGTTGAGTATCCCCACAGACGTCGGCTGCTTGTCACCAAAAACCAGAGCAGGACGGCACGGACGATGAGAGGTATGAACTCCTCGGGGTTGGTTTGGCCTTTTGATAGCTGAGATACAAGCTTGACCGGAAGACTCTGCAGGTCGTTTGAAAACGCTAGAGCGGAAATGAGGAGCGACATGATTATGTACGTCCAAGAAGTTAGGTAGAGGCGAATGAGAAAACCCCAAGGTTGAAGAGGTGCGGCGGATAAGGTTGTCAAAGATCGCCCCTTTGTGTAAGCAGAAACCGGTTGTCATTGTCCTCCTTTGACCGTCATATGTTTTCAGTGGGGATACAAGGGACCTGCCAAAGCCTCATTTTTCGTTTATGTCGATCATGTCAACGTCAATCGGGGTATGCGCACTCCGAATGAAGGAGGGCAATGATGGTAGACACCAACCTAAACGAGACCGGCGACGCGTTAGATCACCTACACTCACTTACATGTCACGGTAAAATACTGATCAATGTCTGCCGATCCCACCGGCGATAATATAAGCGGACATGGACATGCCCGGAGCTGCGGGTTGTGTGATTTATGTCTACTAGACAAAACTCATGTCAACACAATATATGATCACGAGGCTTGACGATCGCCATCATGAGGACGCCTGCGACCTTCAGGGTTTGAGGCATGTGGCTGCTGAAGCGAAGTATTGTCACGCTTGGGGAGTGCCGTTGTCGTGCTGAAGAGAGTTTTGTTATAAGGGGCAAAAACATTTTCGTTACACCAGCTGCTATGCCACCCGTCTCGAACTTGGGCCAATGTTTATCGCTGATGTCGGTCTGACGCTTGCCACTTCTCAGCCATGGCGCTTTAGTGGTGTTCAGCTCGTAGTCATGGAGTTGTCGCCTGGCTCCAGGATCCTTTGCTATCCAGACCATGGTCATTTCGTAGCTGGGATCTCGAGAACTGATCTGGACGGTTGGAAAGATGACTAGAGATGAAAATCAGTACAATAGCATACCATGGACCAATCACGAAAACTCACATCGTGAAAGACATGTGTAGTCGAATACGTCCAAAGACGTTGACCGCTGGTCACCAGAAGCCATATTACAAGGATGAGACGAGCGATAAGGGGTATGATTTCCTGGGGATTGGCGCTGCCTTCCGATAGCTGAGATACCAGCTTGGCCGGAAGATTGTGAAGGTTATTCGAGAGCGCAAGAACCGAGATGAGGGAAATGATTGTGTACCGTGTCAGATCGGGGAGGTATATGAAAAGAGGCGAGTGGTACCCCGGGCCGCCCATTTTATATACTGTCCCGATGATGCTGCCGCCATGGCTGACAATGAAATTTCCTTGGTATCAGCCGTGATTCTTTGACCGTGGAACCGTTCCGAAGGGCATGAAAGGGACTCGTCGTTACAAAGGTCAGAAACATCGAGTAGAGTCGATTAGTGTGCTAATTTCGATTGAACCCGGGCTCTCGTAACGACCAAGATAGACGCCCCAAACGAGCTTCGAGAACGCACATAACCACCGACACATACGAGTACTGTACATGTCATTGTAAGATACTCGTACAGTGTTTCTGCAAATCCCGCACGTTATGACCCTTGAGGGACTCGCGCGGTCCTATGAGGTGTGTGATGATGAACCTGATCACGAAATGCTCGTCAACACATATGGCCACGAAGATCGTCATGCGGACGCTTGCACACTTACTTGCTAATCTGCCGGATCTTCATAACCACGCGAGGTCTGTCACCTTTGTGATAGCCTCGTTATTTGCCACCAGCTCCCACGTCTTTCCGTCCTGTCCCACATTGTAAACCTCTACCCCTCCTCCACTCTGTCCAGCCAAAGCGACAAATTTGCCGTCGGGGCTGAGCTGCATGGCTCGGATATTGTCGACGCCAGTTCTCACGTGTTGCACGGCTTCGAGAGTTCCATCAGAGGATAGTGTGGCGATTGCTACCGCGTCACCCTTTTCCCTGGACTCGAATTTTCCACTCGACGCTTTGCCAATGTCGAGCTCTAGTCGGTTGGAGGCGTAAAGTACGGGGAGGGAGGGATGGGCAAGCAGCTCGGCGGCATTCAAATATTTGATATACCGTTCCGGCACCGATGGTGGGGCGATGGAAATGCCCGAGTCGGGATGAGGGATGATGGGGTAGGTAGGGTCGGTCAAAGGAAAAGTGAGAAGAGTGTTTGCGAGCTCGGTAAGTACATAGAGGTGTTTACCTGCATTGCAATGTCAGCCGAATTCATGAGAACTGGAGAACTGGAGAACTGGAGAAAACTTGCCGTCTTTTGAGATGGTAGCATGTCTGGGACCAGTCCCAGCAGGTGCCTGACACCACCCTTTGACACTCAGACCGCTCTCCCCACCTCTCCAGACGACCCATACTCTGTCGTTGCCCAGATCAGGAACGTACAAGATACCATCGTCGCCCTCGATGACTTGATGGCAATGGGAGGCATCTTGGCGCTCAGGATTAGGAGGGGTCTGACCTTGCTCGGTGTAGACGAGATCAAATTTGAGCAGAGGAGAAGCGGAAGTAGCTGATAAGGTACCGTCCTGTTCGACTGGGAAATAGATCAACGAGCCTCCGAGATACTGGACAATGGTCAGTCAGGGCCTGCCAGAGTCAGCATTAGTAGCTCACATTGGCAACGACTATGCCGGAACCATCTTTCATGATATGAACTATGTTTAAATAAGCACCCAAGGCCCTAGCGGTTGACATGGGAACGCACCGTGACAAGACCCTCCCAGCGTATCTCTCTCGCTCGTGACGGTCACCTTGTCACCTTTGACCACCAGACTGAAAGCCTTTCCCTTTTCGGCCTCTGATAGAGAGTATACGATCCGAGACCCATCGGTTGACTTTTTTGCAGCTGGCTCGACCCAGGAAGCGTTCTCAGGGGCAGGGGAGTCCGATAAGACCTTGATGTCCCTGGTAGACGGGTCGAAGGCGACGAGGGAGAAGTCTGTCCTGTACCCGCTGACAAGGAGGGTGTAGCTAGACATGGCGGGATGGGACACTATAGGATGAGCTGCAAAGATGGAGATGCAAGAGATGGCCTGACGAACCCGCGCGAGCAGTATCATTTGTCGTCGTCATTTCGGCCTTCTTCCAGTTCCTTGTCCACCCTGGCGGCGAGTGCCGAACCTGCATGTAGCATCCGCTCCAGATGCCATGAAGCCAAGGATGAAGCCAATATTTAGACGTCTGTATTGATACTCACTGCCAGCCAGAGACGACAACAAGACATATCACAATGTCCGACTCGCAAAGCAGCGTGGCAGGTCCATCTCGCAACGAGACGTCACTCGAAGCGCGCCAGCAGGCCACTCCTCGACAGCGGGAAAAAGCACCTCAGCTAGATGATGTACTGCTCGACGAGACTGCTCTAGAACAAGTGGGTCTTCAGCTGAATCTCATGGCTAGCCGGCTGATAGATTTGTCAAGGAAATCGATCTTCTCATCGGCCAATATCTTGAATCACGCGGAGCTCCCTCAGCAGCCAGGATTTGGGATGAACAGATCCTGGGCAAGGGTGCAGATGGTAGCACCAGAAAGGACCATGTAGAGGATGTGGAAAGGGCTATTCAAGGCAAGTGCACCCCAAGCTAGTGCTGCTTGTCTCTGACTCGACAACGTAGACGGAGATTGGGGAGCTATCGAAGGTCTCATTGCGAGGCCTGGTTTATTGAGACCTCAAACCCAAAAGGCTTTCCTATATCTAGTGTACAGGCAACAATTCTTGGAACATGTTGAGAACCGTATGTTGACATAGCTGTGGACCATCAAGCAGATTGCTGAAGCAGGTCGCAGGTGAATCGCAGAAAGCATTCAACTTACTGCAGAAGCGTCTAAAAGCTCTGGAACACTATCAACCTGTGCCATACGATTTCTATTCGCTTTCATATCTCACGTCTGCCTCTACCGTTCATGACGCACCAACATTTCGGGACTGGGCTGGAGTCGGTCCGGAGAGAGATCGGCTGACGGGGGTTTGGAGAGAGATCATCGATTCTGAACGAGGCGGGGAAGGTGAGTCTTGCTTCTCGTGTCATGATGGTGGATGGCTAATGAATCCAGTGGGAGAACGGAGATACGTGCCTCCTGACCGACTAAAGACTCTTTTGAAGCAGGCAGCAGCTTGGCAAGTTGGTCAGATAGAGAGGAAACGCGACAGTCCCGTTAAGATCTCTTCGTGAGTCGTCATCGACCTGCGTTACCAGCACTGACTCTGTGCAGGATGCTTCAGGACTACAGACCTGTAGAGCTACCGAATACCCTCCAGCGGTTGATCCATGGACACCTCGCCAACATCAAAGCGGTTGACCTTATAGGTTCTACAGGTCACTACGGCGTCAGTGGGTCAAGCGACTGCACCCTCCGCATATTTTCCACAGAAGACGGCACGACAGAGCACGTTCTCTCTGGACATACATCCAGAGTCTGGAGTTGCGCATCGTCGCCTTCTAGGTCCACTATAGCGAGTGGGTCTGGAGATGGCTCGATTCGGCTCTGGTCTGTCGCCAACGGGGATTGCCGAGGGGCGCTGGCAGGCGATGGAGGAGACGTTTACAGCGTCAAATGGCGGCCCAATCGAGATGTGAGTACGCGCGAGGTGCGATCGACCTTACTGACGTTATTCAGGATCAATTGGCTACGGCGTCTTATGATCGTATTCTTCGTTCTTGGGATGTGGAGACTGGCAAGCAACTGCGGACATTCTCAGGCCACAGTCAGAGTACGCTCGCTGTCGCTTACGACTCTACGGGAAATATGATGGCTTCCGGGTGAGTGCGATTCTACTTGCGAAAGGAAATACGCTGACCGATGGCTAGTTCCAAGGACAAGCATGTGAGATTGTGGGATGCCGTGGGCGGTGTTTGCATCAACACCATGACCGACTGTCTGGGAGAGATTACCTCGGTAGAGTTTGACGACGAGGGAAAGTACCTGTTGGCCGGGTGCAAGGACAACTCAAACCGTCTATGGGATCTCCGGATGGTAGGCCCTTCTCGAGGCCGAAGAGTGCAAGCACTGACAATGCCCTAGCAAAGGAGTATCTACCGATACACTGGTCATCAAAACACATCAAAGAACCTGATCCGGTGCACCTTTGCCTACTCTGCATCCCTCGTTATCGGCGGATCAGAAGACGGATCGGTGTACATCTGGGACCGCGAAGGCAGCACTCCAGCCAATACTTTGAACGAAGCCAGTCGCCCACCTGCCCTCCTTGCTCCTACCGCATACGGTCCCAGCGGCGAACCCATCGCCCCTACACTGTCCCACGCCGATATACCTCTTCGGCCCCCTGCTTCGCCGGCGTATTACCCCCCAAGGGACGTGCGCGCGACGGGCGCCAGTTTCAGCAGCAGTGTCGCCCGTAGCGGGGGCATCACCGTGCGGCCGTCCAAGGTCTTACTGGGACATGGCGACGGAGCGGTGTTTGATGTCAAGTGGAAAGACGGGAGGATGATTAGTGCTGGCGAAGATGGAGCTGTTGGTATCTGGGGCGTCGAGCGTTGAAGAGGGCTTTCATGCTCGGCTTAAATAGATCGGGGATTTTGAAAGCTGATAAGCTACTCTACAGTATGTATGCACTCTGGTTATCGACCACGATCATGCCGGCAGTTCATGAAGGCTGCCGTTGAGTGAGCACCAAACAAGCATGTAAACAATTGAATACGAGGAGCCGAATGAAGCAATTGCACTCAATCACAATTCACAATCAAGCTTCAAGGGAGGGGCGGCGGCCGGCGACTTTTCCCTGGTGCAAGGCGTTGCCAGGGCACAGTCATACATATTTCTCTATGGCCACTGGTTGCCACACGTGCACTTATACTTGCATGTCACACCATGCACCAGAAGTTGGCAGATGGGATGGCCAGCATAGAGTCATTCCCGGAGGCGCGGGGCGGGACGCGGCACGCTAGCTATGTACCAAAAACGCGCCAACGCGCCTGAGCTTCCCGAAGCCGTTTTCTTCGTAGTCTTTGCTGTGGACCTTCTTTCTCCCTCCGCATCTCCTCTTCTTTCTCCTCGTTCTGCGTTTTTCCCCCGTTGTTCCCTGCTCCGCCACAAAAGATCCTTCTCTATTGTTTCGGCTTTTTTGTCACCTTCCCTGTGGCCGGTTCCGATCGTACCTGAAAAAGGCCCGTCAGTCGCTAAACATTGACCGATTGGTTCAATTGATGTCCCTCGTGGCCCATCAATCAAACTGCCCCTCTCTTTCAATAGTTTCTATTGTTCTTCAACTCTACAACCTCACAGCTCGACGCTATCCCCTCCTCCCCTCCCTCTTCGCCTCATCACAATCGATCCAGCGCCTCGACTTGAAACTCCACAAGGAGATTATATCAGCCAGGACAAAGGACGCCGGAGTGATCCATCAACGCTCTGTTGTTGTTGTTGAGTGACTCATTGAGTACTCGTAGTCAACAATACTTATCCCTGACTTCTCGCCACCCACCTCGAGCATCAATATTCCCTCACTTCCTCCCTCCCCCCACCCTCCCATCACCCTCCCATTCCCCACCACCCTCCGCGTCCCCTTCGGCCGTCCCGTCTCGCCAGTTCCGCACAGACCTTGTGCCCAAGGGACGCCACTCGTGCACCTCCACGTCGAACAGATCAGAGGAACGCCGTTCCCCTCGCTCCCACCCGTCTGGTGCATCTCGTGGAAGCTTGCATCAGCCCTAGATTGGCGGACCCAGCCACGCTAGCCCGTGCGCACCACATTAGTGAACAACACTTGCCTATTCTGGCATCTCTTATTGTGCTCTTTCCCAAGACCAAAGCTTTGATTCCTATCCGATCTCATCCCAACTCTCTTCGTCTTTTTCATCTTGCTTTGATTATTGTCCATTATAATATCAATACTATCATTGTGAGCGTCGCCCAACCCCTGCTACTCGCTCGACTGACAATATTGCAGATGCTCGCATCTAGATTTCAAGAGCCTGAGCGGGCTTCTGTCGTCCTCCCTACGGTGACCTGCTCGTCGTGCTCTGCCCCTATCGCCCTGTCCTCTCTTGGCAACCACGTCTGTCAACCTGCTCCTCCTATGCCCCGAGCACAGCCGTCGCGCCCAGCCCAGATTGCGATTCCCCAGTCACGGCAAGGGGTACCTGGATGGAATCCATCTCGCCAAGATCCATACTCTGCTCGGCCTGCATTTGCAGGTCCATCGAGCGCACACCCATCTCCTACGGAATTTGCTATCCCTAGGCGTCCATCCGCCAACACCCTCACCCCCCACTCTCCAAACTTTCCACAAGCATACTCTCCTCAGATCAAAATCCCATCTCCCTCCAGCCCGTTCTTTCCCAATTCAGCAGGCGGATACAGCTCACACGCTTCCCCGGAGCATATGCAAATGCACATGGTGGATACTACCACCGGAGGCGAGTCTGGTATGGCGGGTGTAGGGAGAAGAGCGTTCGCTGCGGCGGCCTGGTCAGTGCGAGCGGGCGTATCGCTGGCGGCAAATGCAAAGCAGCGAAGTGCCGATAATGCGCATGTCCAGGAGCCTCCGCAAGTGCGAGCACCTCCGCAGACCACGGCTTGGCCTCAGGCCCGGCCAGAAATTCACCGCTCGCACACTGCTGCCATCCCTCAGCAGCGAGAAGCTGCGCCTTTACGAGTGCAGAGCCCTGCCTCGCCCCCTCAGCGATCGTACTCTGCCATGGATCAACGCACGTCTCCCCTGAGAGGAAACGCAGGGCGGGGCGTCTCGATATCGTCATCTGCCAGCAGCCAGAGCGGACTTGCAGATTTGCTCTCGGGTAAAGCCCAGAGACTGTCTAGTAACAAGCGCGACTTTTTTGAAAAGGTCAAAGAGCTAAACAGAAGTGGCAGTGTGCTCAGTCGTAGCAACACTATGACTACCGGCAAATCCAACGACAGGATGGTCTCTAGCCCTGTTGACACTTCCTTTGATCTCGACGACGACTATGAGAATCAGCCTTCGGCTCTTCCTTGGGCATCACCAGATCTGGACGAGACGCCCCGTCTTCATATCGATACCCACTCTGCCTCACCTGAACGGGTACACCGCCGTCAAGCGACAGATAGCAGCGATACCTCGTCAGAATCCTCCAAGTCTGGTCGATGGGGTGCCACAAGTGGGCCCGAGAGCGAAGAGGTTGTCACACCCAGTCAGAGCTTCGACGGGCTGGCAGACAGAGCGCGAGGAGAGATCAGGTTGGGACAGATTGGAGAGGAAGAAGAGGATGTCCTTGGACTGATGTCAAAGGTGTCGATGAGCGATCAGGATGGGGGCCGCATACCGCCTTCCGGCTCTGTCTCCACCATCGCTTCGTCCCCAAGGTATCCTACTACAACAGTTCCCAACACAACACCCAATTATAAACACTCTCCGAAATACTCCCACCAGCGCATGCCCAGCGTCAAGTCCCCGAGCGCAAGTAAGCTGGCTCCTCCCAGTCCTTCCGGGAGCATTGCCCGCAAACAAAAGAGTTGTCAAAAGTGCGGAGAGATAGTCGGTGGATCGAAGCGGTTCGTGAAGCGAGATGGGATTGTGCTTTGTGAAAAGGACTGGAAGAAACTCTACTTGCCCTCGTGCAGGAGGTGCACCTTGCCCATTGAAAAGTCTGCCGTCTCTAGCTCGGATGGTCAGCTCAAGGGCAAATGGCACCGGGCTTGTTTCACTTGCTCTGACTGCGACAAGCCGTTTGCGGATGATGACTTCTACGTGTTGAGAGGAAAGCCCTGGTGCCAATTCCACTACCATGAGCAAAAGTGAGTTTGAAATATGATGGTATAAAGCAAGACAAGGCTGACATACGCCGTAGCGGTACCTTGTGCTGTTCGAGCTCTTGTAGGCAACCCATCGAAGGGGCTTGTATTGTCCTGCCGGGACCCGACCCTCAGCGATACCACGCCGGCCATTTCCGATGTGACCACCGCGGTAGCTCCTCGAGCTCTCACCCGTGCAAAGAGAGCATGGACGAATACTATGATGTTGACGGGAAGCGCTATTGCGAGAGGCACGCCGGGGAGATGATGAGGGCCGTGAGGAGAGGCGGCGGGAGGGAACTGAAGGCAGAGAAGAGAAGGACGAGATTAATTGATCTGTCGGCCATGTGAGAGCTGATTGATGATCTGTAGGCGAATAGTATATATATATATGTCGACTGGTTGTACCATAGAAATTATAAAGGACATTTAGAATACCATATCATTTGTTGGACTTAGCAATTATATTTGTCTCCTTGCATGTGATGTATTGTTTGACTCTACTGCAAGCTATTCTCGGGTCTTTTCCATGCTGGAGAGTGGAGATGATATGCGCGTCGCGTCGGTTGACGGTGGTTGACGCGTACAAAAAGTGTACGCGTTTTTTGAATTCGTTCATCATCGATCGAATCCCAAGTTGATGTAGTACGACTACGTATGCTTTATAAAATCGCACAGTTGACATATCAGCATCCATGCCGCGATCCTCGTCGCCCGATATAGTTCCTATATCCCCACCGCCACCACCAACAGCTTCCTCTTCGACCAGAAAGTTCACCTTGCCCAAGCGCAATCCACTGCCCTCCCCAACGTCCGGCCGGCGATTCCCAAAGATATTCCGCGAAGAGCCCAAGGGTGGACGGTCCAAAGATAAAGCTAGGATGAAGGCCAAAGAAGATCGACTGAAGAAGCGGAAGGAAGAGTTCTTTGTCGGCAAGGGCAAGGAAAAAGCCGCGGAAACGATAGAGGTCGATAAAGACGAGGGTGAGGGTGAGGTATTTGAAGAAGTGTCAAGGGCTAGGACGACAGAGAAGATGATGAACAGTCTGGGAAAGTCAGGCAATCCAATAACAAATTCTTCTATGCCTCAGAGGTATGCACGAACAAGAGAGATCATGAAACTGATCGCTGACAGTGTATTGTAGATCAGACTATGTGGTATCGTGCGCAACCGGTCATCAAAGGAGCGAATCACGGGGGCCGGTAGTCAACCAAACATATGCTCAAGTCAGGACAGACCAACTGCAAAAGCAATCCCGAGCGAATGTAAGTCTGAAGAGAGTGAACAGTAAAGCAGAGGTTGATGATGTCGAACAGAAAACGATGCTATTCAAAGGCTGCTTGTTCTATATGAATGGGTCTACAGGACCAAAAGTGTCCAATATTCAGCTGAGAAATATGATTGCTGAGAATGGTGGTCGCTTCACGTGCGTAGCATCCAGTACATGTTAGTTGGGACTCGAGCTGACAAAGAACAATTAGGACTGTCCAAACGTCTGCCTGCACCCATATAATCGCCAATGCTGGGCTATCTGGTGGCAAGACACAGAAACATCTAGATATGCAGGGTGGTAGACGGTCAAGTAGACAGGGTAGAGTCGTTCGAGTCGAATGTAAGAGGGCAAGTTTATCTCGACGCCCAATACTCATCAGTCTCGCAGGGGTCTTGGATTCTGTTGCTCAAGGTGCAAAGCTGTCCGAGGCAGGGTATACAATGATAGACAACCCTGTCAGTCCCTCTTGCCACTACAGGTGTATGGGCCCCACTGATGACCCCATAGACACAACCAAATCTCTTCACCACGCTAGGAGCCAAGCCAAAGTCATTGCAGTCCGAGTGAGCAGTATAGCCAAGATCATAGAGGACCCCTTCATGTTGTACAATTACAAGCATCTTGTATCACCAATGGACACCGTCAGAGTTTTGCGGGCGTTTGTGTTACTGATACATGTAAACCCAGTCCCAAGATGTATCCCTGTAGATACGTCACCATACCACAGCCTCTAGTCCTCCTCGTCGTCAGTGTCCTGCTGGACTCTTCTTCTCTTCCCTCTATCCTCTTGCCGTCTGTCCTCTTCCTCCTCCTGTTCTTCATAGTTGAAGTTGTAGTCCTGCTCTTCATCTTCATCGTCATCGTCGTCGTTGGTACGCTTGGGAGCACGTTTCTCAGTAAAGTTGGCTCCTCCAGCCTGGCCGTGTGTGAGAGGATCGGGTCCTCTAGGGGCACTGAAAGAGCACATCAACATACGGGACGGCGTTCCAGATAGTCAAGGATCTCTTACCGTTGTTTGGGGGGCTGCTTCTCTCGTACTTCTTCACAGGCATCCACCCAGCTGACACGATATCAGGCGTCATGTTTAAACACTCAATTTCAAGACTTACTCGCAGTAAACGTCAACAGCCGCAGACAGGTCTACCGAGTATGTCAAAATAGGTTTTTGATTCTAACGGACGACCAGCTTACTGTTGATAGGCGCACTGTACTTCTGACCGCATACTTTGCAATGCAAGTTCCCAAACATTGTCGCCTTGTCACTGGGTTTCTTTAGACCTGTTGTGTTGTTTGTGATTTTGCGACTTACAGCTTGACCGTGACGGCTTTCTCGTGATTACAAAAGAGACATTTGAAGACACTCGCTTTGGCAGTCGTCAGTTGGGAACTCCTTGAGATTGTGATGCTCACATAAAGGTTCAGCCTTCTTCTTGGCGACGGGCTTCTTGGCGGCTTTTCTTTTACCCATAGTGGCGCGAGGATGTAACAACAACAATAATCGCCCGGCTTCTGCCCGGCTTGTTTCAAGAACGAAAGCGCGCAGGCGGAGGTGGCCGGAACTCCGCTTCTTCGATTTGCGATGACAACGACGAACGCGCGTTCTCTGGGAGCGTCTTCAACTCATTCATCTCTTTCTTTCTACAATCCACAAGCTAGAATAATCGGTCACAATGGAAGAGATTGGTATCGACCTCAAGATTGAGGTAAGTGTGGAGAGTTGCTGGTGATGCGTCAAAGCTGACATGGCGAAACAGGACCCCACCCTCACTGCTCAGGCTTCAGAGAAGCAGATCCTCCTCGACTCTCTGCCTTCTGGCAGCGAAGAGCTTTACAGTACCTGGAAGCGACTCGAGGCTCACAGAGAGTTTCTCCAGCTCCAGGAGGTGAGTTTGACCATGACTTGAAAGAGTGGAGTGCTGACGGCTATCGCTCTCTAGGAGTACATTCGTGATGAGACTGCCAACCTTCGACGAGAGCTCTTGCGAGCCCAAGAAGAAGTCAAACGTATCCAATCCGTACCTTTGGTCATCGGACAATTCCTCGAACCCGTTGACGAGCGTCGGGCCATCGTTGCCAGTACAACTGGCCAAAACTATGTCGTCCGCATCCTCTCTACCCTCGACCGCGAGCTTCTGAAGCCATCATCATCCGTCGCCCTCCACAGACACTCCAATGCCCTCGTTGACATACTTCCTCCTGAGGCCGATTCCTCTATCGCCATGCTCGGAGCGGACGAGAAGCCTGATGTCAAGTACTCGGACATTGGTGGTTTGGATGCCCAAAAGCAGGAGATTAGAGAAGCGGTGGAGTTGCCCTTGATCCAGATGGATCTGTACAGGAAGATTGGTATAGATCCTCCTCGTGGTGTCTTGCTTTACGGACCTCCAGGTGAGTACTGGTGTAGACCTAAGACGTGGTAACTGATCTTGGATTGAAGGTACCGGAAAGACGATGTTGGTCAAGGCCGTCGCCAACGCCACAAAAGCATCTTTCATCCGTGTGGTCGGTTCCGAGTTTGTACAAAAGTATTTGGGTGAAGTGAGTCTGCCATCATCAACCATAGTCCATCACTGACCTCTTGCAGGGTCCGCGAATGGTCCGAGACGTCTTTCGGATGGCTAGAGAAAACTCCCCCTGTATCATCTTTATCGATGAAGTCGACGCCATTGCTACCAAGCGTTTCGATGCCCAGACTGGATCGGATCGTGAAGTGCAACGTATCTTGCTCGAATTGTTGAACCAGATGGATGGATTTGACCAGCAGACCACCGTCAAGGTACGTCTTTCGGCAAATTCGCGTGCGATCATTCCACTGATATGCTTCATCAGGTCATCATGGCTACCAACAGAGCAGACACTTTGGACCCTGCTTTGCTTCGTCCTGGTCGACTTGACCGAAAGATCGAAATGCCGCACCCCTCAAGACGGGAACGACGACTGATCTTCCAGACTGTGACTTCCAAGATGAACCTCGGTCCTGATGTTGATCTTGAAGACTGTACGTTCTGCATTCACCTTAGTGATAGTTGACTGACGGCTGGATAGACGTTTCCCGACCCGACTCTCTCAGTTCCGCTCAAATCGCTTCCATCTGCCAGGCTGCTGGTCTCCAAGGTACGCAACATGTACAACTCCGCGTGCATGCCACTAACCCCCCATGCAGCTGTCCGAAAGAACCGATACGTCATCTTGCCCGTGGACTTTGAGGAAGCATGGAAGGTAAGTGCCACTCGCTCTGTCGCGGTCATAACGCCGAAAATCCGTTCGCCGCGACTATTTCAATCGAAAATTCGAATCTCGACTGATCTTTTCCCCATCAGTCTGTTGTCAAGAAGTCGGACGAGACCCACGAGTTCTGTAAGTATCGCTTATCGCTGGATGCGACGGAGTTTGCGCTGACCATATTGCTTTAACAGACCGATAGTTCTAGTGACACAATTAGTAAGTTGTCGAAACGATTGTTTATTCGATCAATGCTGATGATATCCCTAGTGTATTCCAATCAACATGCAAGCACTGCGCTCCACAAGACCCTTTCGTTCCATCCTTCCCCATTTCATTTGTCCCGCTCAGCGACCCACCTTTCTCGCTTGCACTCTCCACAGTGTCAGCGAACGGCGTTGCACAGGCGCAGAAGGACTGCCTTTACGGGTTTCCAACGTTTTTTTGCTATCCTCTCGGGGCCTCTGAGCCAACTTCACGAGAATGGTACTTCACAGGCGTTGGACATCTTTCATCTATTTTGTCTCTTCTTTTTATGTCGGGTGTCTGCAAGGACGCGGCGCCGAGGCAGGAAAGTCAGTCGGCTTCGGGCGAATGGCTAATCTCCCATGTCGCCGGATTCTTCTCTATTACCATCCCCTCCCCCATTCCCCAACAATCCCAAGGTGCTTAACACTCTGCGAGCGATCATATCCAAAATCGACTTGCTATTTTAGGAACACCGAGAACGAATTCATGGCAACTTCTCCTTGCTCAGGTACTGTTGTCTCCCAGTTATTACTCACCAGCGCGGATTTCTGAAGCGACTGGTCTATGTATTGGGTACACTTTTGTCAATGCATCATCCATTTTATCATACCATCAGTGATTCACGCACAGTCTGCATTCATATAGGCTGCCTCGCACATCCCGTCCAGGCCAGTGTCCACAGTGTCCCGAGTATCAGTAGTCTGAATTGGGTCGGAACTGAATGAACGCTTTGCTGACTGCACCCTGTGGATTCACGATGTTCGCCATATCATATGACTTAATCAGATTCATGCTGTTGAGAGTGGTGTCTAACGATTGCGTCTTGACTATCTGGTGATTATACAACAGGCAAATCCCAGTAATGTCGGATTTGATGCTACAAATGTGGTGGTCCACGACAGGCCATCTCTAGAGTCTAGTCCTTTCCAAAGACGTCGGCAGGATTTGTCTTGGGATCCCAAGCCGTTCCCTCGAGCTTGTCCATGCTCTTGAGAGGATGTTCTTCTCTTGCTTGCTGGAGGAGCACCGAAAGACTTTCGTTCTCTTTGATAGACTTCTGCTCAGACATGACTCTGGTCAGCTTCATTCGGTGATGCAGAAAAGTGCCACGAACCTGGAGACAACCTTGGTAGTTCTTCCAGAGTGCGCCACACGCCCTCTCATATTCCTCTGCCTTGATCTGCGCCCGCGTCTTTCCAGTCGTATCAATCTCAAACTCCTCCACGTCGTATCCACCCTGAAGATGGTCTTGGGACTCGAGGCCAGCTCCTTCGCCCCCGTCGGCCGCCTGGCCATGATGCCCGAAATGAGCATGCTGTGACTGGCGGGGAGCAATCGGAGAGCGTCGAGCGATGGAAGCAGCCCATGAGGTGATCAAGGGCTTCCTCTTCCGCTCTTCTTCGGCGTTCACCTGGGCGGCAGGAGGAGGTGCAACTGCAGAGGTAGCAGATGACGAACAGGAAGGGGTCGAGGGGGCGGAGGATGTGGCTGAGGGGTATGCGACGGGACGGCCGTCGAGGGCTGGCTGGAGATAGCCCTCGAACCAGAGGTTGAAGCAAGTGTCGTAGCGATGCTTGAGAGGGGTGCACTCGGGGGAGAGGGACCTATGAGGCGAGAGCGAGAGCGTCAGCTGGGGCACTCTGAGTGAGAGGGCGCCTTACTGCATGGTGGTGGTGCGTTCGCTCGGGATGTCAGTCTGAGGATGTCGAGGCTCATCATACCGCGGCATTACGTAATAGACATCCTGGTGCTCGCATCTCGCTACAACAGACAAGTATCCACTCAGCTTCACCATGACAGGACGCATAGATGGCATTATCATACTCGACAACAACGGGTAAGCACGTCCCAGACTCATACAGAAGTCGCGCTCATGCTGCTGCAGCAAGCCCATCATCAGCTCGAACTTTTCATCCCACGCCCCCTCATACCCTTCACTCCACATAGACGCGTACAATGCCGCCCGCAAGAGAACGGCCGAGCTGGATCCGGTACTGTGGGTCAATACGCTGGACAATGGGAGGACAGGGATGGCAGGGGCCGGACTCTGTCATTCGCAGAGGGATGGGCTGTGTTTCTTGATCCCAGTAGGACTGGAAGGTAGAGTCTGATCAGTGATATAACCCATGAGCTGCGAGCTAATTCTTGCATAGTGAACCCACTATTCGGCTTCTCCTTCCTCGACTCGTTTCTTGAAACGCTTCGCGACTACTTGGGCCAAGTCACAGAGTCTATGATCAAGGACAACTTTGATATCGTCTACATGGTTGGTGACCTGCCATCTTAATATACCTTACTGATACATGGCATAGCTCATCGAAGAAATGCTGGACGAAGGACACCCTTTGACTATGGAAACAAACATGCTCAAAGACATTGTCCTACCTCCCAGCATTGTCAGGAAGATCCTTAATGCGGCCGGTGTCACAGGGTGAGCCTGGATGGATGTCAAAGATCACTATCACTAACAGCTCTAGATTATCAACAACAAATTCGGCCCCCTTCACAGCGCCCATACCCTGGCGAAAGCCTGGCGTGCGGCACAACAACAACGAAATATATTTCGACATTGAAGAATCGCTGGATGCTATAGTAGACAGGTATGACATTGCGCCTCGTGGCGAGCCCCACAGCTCATTGTTTGACTTGTAGGAAGGGCAACGTTTTGTCATCGAATGTATGGGGCCGCATCAATTGCAATTCTAGGTTATCAGGCAACCCTGACCTCTTGTTGAGCTTTGCCAACCCAAAAACCATGGACCAATGCTCCTTCCATCCTTGTATCCGGTAAGCTTCATCTCCTTGACGACTGCTTAAAGGCTCACTGCCTTCCAGACATGGGCGGTGGAAGAAGGATAGTGTGTTATCGTTCATCCCTCCGGACGGTAAATTCCGGCTACTAGAATACGAGGCCTCAGCAAGTACGGCCAAGAACCAGCTTCCCATATCCTTGAAAGCGGCCATGGCTACAGAAAGCCACAGCGGTATGTTTCGAGATCGGTGTTGTGATGACATACTGACTCTTAGCAGGCCGCTTCTCTCTCACCCTTTCTTCCCGCGTCAACTCCTTACCGCTGGAAAATATCGTCATCTCCATCTTCCTCGGCAAGGGAGCCACCTCGGTCAATGCCACTGCCACGGGAGACAGACGGCCGCTGCATAGTCACGTCGGCAAAGAGGAGAATGCTGAAGGGTTCGTGGGCGGCGGCACGTGGGATTTCGACCCTCATACGCAAGTGCTGCGGTGGAGAATAAGCTCGTTGGTGACGACAGAAAGGTCGCCCACTTTGGCCGGGTCGTTTACCACTACGTAAGTATCGTGTGTCCGTCTAAGAGAGTCCCTCTGATCATACTTCAGTGAAGCCCAACCCATCATATCTCCATCGTTCGAGGTCAACTTTTCTGTCCAGAACTTTTGTTTCTCGAATTTGAGAGTGGACAAGCTCAAAGTACAAGGGGACGTCATGTACAAGCCGTTCAAGGGGGTGAAGATGCTGGGACGGGCGGGCAAGGTGGAGGTGCGGTGGTGAGGGGGCGGGGAGGGAGGATGGTCTGACAAATGTGACTTGCTCGAGCACCGATACGTTACGCGACCGAGCCCTTTCTCCCGCTGTGACGGTGCGCTCTCGTCTTGATTGCCAACGAATAAGCACTCATGGAGCCATAGGGGAGCTATACGAAGCCATCTTTTGGGTATCAATAATGTATGACGCCTTGTTTTTGCAGTGTCGCCTCTGTTGGCGTCTCTCCTTCGCAGGTCCTTGCCATGACTATTTAGCGCCAAGTCTTGCCTGGCATACCTCATGTCAACAATGGGGTCGCAAACGAAATACCACGCCTAGGCTCGCGAGATACAACTCAACATCTTTTCGGTACATAATCTGGCAAAGCGCGATCATATATGAACCGGCCGCTTTGACCATTCTTCCACTCACACCGTCCTTTCTGCACAATCATCTCTCACACCCTCCCAGGTCGCGTACGGAAATGCCCCCCGTATGCAAGCCTCTTCCCCAGGCGTCTCTAGTCTACATCACCCCCTCACCCGCCACATACTTGCCCCTCCCCACCCCACGAAATGAGCCCCAGTCTCACAGTCCGAGCGGCCGACAAATTATGTCGTTTATGGGCGACGAATTGAGAAAGACGAAGGCGGCTTGGAACAGTACGTCTGCGAAGCATGTGAGGGAGCCCTATTGGGAGTTGATGTCCATCTTCGTTCTTCCGAATCTGAGACATCTCTTTTCGGTATGTATATCCTTCCGTGAGTAAATGTCTCCTTCAGGACAAGCGGATCACTGACCGAATTCCGGCAGACGTCGAGTATCCTGCGATGTTCGAGCCCAGCGAGCCGGAGCTTCTCTCCTGTACTGCGGAGGTCTGCTTTGTGCTCCGCTCAGAAGGCTTTTGCGGGTCCAGAATGGTAGTCGCGCTACCTATGAAGCTGCAAGCCCTGATCTTGCTCGACCCTGTTGCTCGGGTATGTGTCAGCAATGGCACTTTGCGATTGGTCCGCTGTCCCCCCGACAGCGGATACCATTCCTTCCCCACGTTGTTGCGTGCGCCCCCGGTAACGCCCTCGCCATGTCTATTCCCCCAGTACCCAACTCGACCCCGGCGCCAGCACGCCAGTCAGTCATAAGAGGGCTCGCGATTGTGCTGGTGGACATATGTGTGGTGCTGCAGAGCTCACCATGTGCCGACATCTTGTTCTCTGAGCAAGGCGCTGTGGCTTCCACCTGGTCTTTTTGTCGCTGGTCCGAAAAGAGATCATACAAGATCCATTTAGGCCTCTCCCTCTTCCCTTCCCTCGCCCGAGTCTCACTCGTACGCGTAAATCGTACCCCAATACCCTCAGCAACTCAGCTTTCGGTGAGTTTTTGCTGCCGGACGGATGCGCTATTTTCTGCCCAGCGGCCGAGATCGCAGTCATCGATCAGCTGAGAAAGTCGAAGGCGGGTTGGCATGGCATGACGGCAAAGCATAGCAGGGAGCTGCATAGAGAGTTGATGACCGCGCATGTTCTTCCAAATACGTGTTATCTCCTCTCGCTGTAGAGTACGAGTACCCTTCAAGGAGTCAATGTACCTTGTTCTTACAAGCGAGTAATACATAATGACTTGATCTCGGCAGTTTGCCAATACGACCGAGTTCCCCATCGAGTCATTCGAGAACAGCTCGGTCTTTCGAACAATTTGTTCTCGCGGATCGACAATGGCGGCTGCGCTTGTCAGAGGAGGTGGAGATCAGCTTTGCCAAGAAGATGAACAGGTTTCAGAAATGGGAAGACAAGCGTGCGATCAATCAGTATCACCGGGGGAGTGCAAATGCCAAAGCAAGAGGAGAAGAGCAAGAACACCGACGAGAGCGATATATGGGAAACTCGGTGGAAGAGGCGTAGTATGTCAAAAGGGCGATGGGATGACCACAGGGCACCGCGCGATTGTGATATGCACCCAGTATCTTGTCTGAGCATCGAAGATTGGACTGCCTGGGAAGGTAAGAAAGAGCAAGCATGCGATAAGATCGGGCTGTAGTCACGTAGCCGCTGTATCGGGTCAATGGCTGTGTTTGTCACCTTTGGAGGCCGAAATAAGGGGAGCGGAAGCAATACGGGGTAGGATCTGGACCCTGAAACTTATTATCTTTGGGCGGCGCTTCCAAGTCCGGAGGGGATGCATGTCTCTTTCTCGCTTCCTTCTTTCTCATTCTGCAGCTGTACCCACCGCCCCATTTAGACATCTCGGGTAGCCCTCCTGCACGTACGCACACCTCTTCTCGACAAAGTGTCATAACCGCGCGTCACAGGTTCACGGCTGACGCTTCCGAAATCGAAATTCATATTAGTTTGCACCTCTCCATCTCAGCAGCACCACTTTCTTCCCTTGTTCCCATCCCATCCCCACTGTCGCCGACACTCTCATCGCGACACCCCGGTCCAGCCTACCCCAACAACAGACCCGCCCGTATTCTGACAGCACATCCGCTCCTCCCAAATTTGAGCTAGCATCCGCCTGTGTGAGTGTAGTTTCCTTGGTCCCGCTGTCACGTGTGTCTCTTCCAGTGTCGTATGGGATGCGTTGTAGGGGGACTCTGAGAGGTGACGGACAGAGCGAGCTCTCAAATGTAGCACGGCCGACGTATTGCGCCCCGCAGACGTCTGCGGGAGGTCAGACGAGCGGCTAGGAGACTGGCCAGGAGCGTATCAACGCCGGGCGCTGGACTTGCTTGCGTAGGATCGAAGACTTCTTCGGCTTTCCCTGGTATATTAATGTGCCATACTGGACATCTCCGTGGTTTCCGATCGCTATTGCTGTTTCCCCTCCACACAAGACACAAGTCTGCCTCTTCACAGCCTGTCTCGTCGAGAGCAGAATGTTCTAGAGGCAAACGGAGCTCCACTCTTCTGCTCTTTCGCCTCTCCAGACGTGGACATCTGTGGGACACGCGGTTCATAAGCGGATCGCTCAAAGGCCCATGGTAAATGACTCCTTTGCACAGTGATATGCCCGTGTATCAGCCTGTCCTTTGCTCTGCGAACTTTGTCTTTGCTCGCTTGGTGGCTGTTTGGTCCTCATGCTTCCCATGAGGTAGTGTACGAGAACAGGGGGGTGATAGAGTGATCTCCTTCGCCTGCGCTGCATCTCTCATACACATGTTCTTCTAGATCGTGTGATGGGGCTTTCGACGTTGCCGGCGTCTCAGGTGTGCCAAAGGCGTTGTTGAAGATGACCAAAGCTACTTAACAGAAGCATGTTTGCCACTGGATTGTTTACGCAAGTCTTTCCATTGTCCAACGCGATCCAGTGGCAACTTTGCGCTTTCGTGCTTTACTCTGCTTCGACTACCCGAGACACGAGCCTTGCGTCCATCTGCGACCTCGCTTGCCCACTTGCTTGGCAAGACCCCTTCTCCCCGGCGGCGTTTGATCTGCGATCGGGGGTGCCGAACCAAACAAATTCATCCGCTGACGATTAAATCTTTCCAATGCCCTCTCCACGATCCATCAACCTCCCCCTCATCGTTCCCCATGCCCCCTCTTATCGACAACACCCCAAATCCCTCCCCGAACCACCTTCTCCGGACGATCCTGCAATCACGCAACCGAACTATTTCTCTGCTCTCTCCATCTCGCCACATTGCAATCCTGCACTCTCGTCTCGGTCGCGTGCACCACGCTTGCCGCCTGTCGCTGTATATCCTGACTCGCCGACTCTTGAATCGGATTCATTCTTTGTGAGTCACCAGTCAAATCTATTGTCACTATTCGCTGACATCCACCCGCAGAGTCCATCAGATTCAGAAACAATGTCTTCTACGTCAGCTTCCGGTCCTCTCAAGCGCAAGGTCGTCATCATGGGGTCCACCTCAGTCGGTAAGTGGTCAGAACGTCGCGAGTCTTGATACTGACTCTTGTCCTAGGCAAGACCTCTTTGACTCAACAGTACATTGCTCCTCCTACGTACACTGCATCTTACTATCCCACCATTGAGGACACGTCCCACAAGATCGTCAAGCACAAGGGTGTAGAGTACGATATGGAGATCATTGATTCTGCTGGTTTGGTGAGTAGTCAGCGGTAGGCGTCGAACATCCCACTGATTCCATGGATAGGAAGAGTACTCTTTGTTCCCTGGCAAGTACGCCGTCGGCGTCCATGGGTACATGCTTGTCTACTCTATCGCATCGCGGCAGTCATTTGACATGGTGCCCACGATTTACGACAAGATCCTCGATTACGCCGGATTAGAGAGCGTGCCCCTTGTCATCGTTGGTCAGAAGACGGATCTAAGGGACCAAAGGTGTGTACTCATTGCGGTTGAATATCAGGTGACTCGCTGACTCGTGCAGATCCATCACCAAGGATGAAGGCGAAGCGCTGGCCAAGAAGCTCCATGCTGGTTACGTGGAGTCCAGTGCCAAGGACAATAATAATGTCGGTGAGTAGAAGCCTTCAGGCTGCATCGCTCGAAACCATACTGAAATCCTACAGGCGTCGCATTTGAAATGCTTCTCAACGAGATGCAGAGGGTGTACAACCCCGAGCCGGAGAAGAAGAAGTCCGGCTGGTGGCCCTTCTAATCTTGGATGCTTATGGTATCTTTCTACTATTCTTCCCGTCGATGGCCCAACCTTGGGACACTTGTCTGTTTCAGTCGCCCTTCCTGCTCCCTTCTAATCTGATCGTATCGCTCTTTGCTTTTGTATGTGCCATCACCGTCTCTCCCCTATAGTCGACTAGCTACTCTTCCTTTTCTTCCCTCTTTTACTGTAATCTCATCATGACCGTCCCCGTGACGCATCCCAATCATGTGAATTTTCCAGTTATGCACAATAGATTTCTTTAATGGCGATGTCCAAGTGCACATTACCATACATAAACGGGAGTATCTATCACCGTCTCTCGCCTCCATAAAACCAACTCCCAACCCCATACCTGATCCCAAATGCGATGGCACTACCCAGCACTTGCACCCCCCCGACCAAGGTACACAGCGTCGGCTCCCTCATGGGCCCAAAGAGCACGAGCAAAAAGTTGATGAGGGTGAGGTTGGAGGTGGATTTGATATATTGTGGCTTGTCGGGTGATGGAGGGGTATACTCGAGATGAACGAGGTGCAACGCCTCGAGGATGCGGAGGGTGATGGCTGTCTTGGCGGGAGGGGGCTGGTCGAATGTCTCGCGTGAGGGATGGAGTAGGTCGGTATCATTGTCAAACCTTGAAAGTCCATCAGCGCCTGTCATGGACATTAACACTAGAGTACTCACGAAGGAAGTCTATGCCTGGGACAAGGCACCAGCCCGAACAACTGCGGACAAGACAAGATAAAGTTGAATATTTGAGGGATGAAGAAGAGGATGAGGGTCTTGGAAAAGTGTCCCTGAATGGCGACGGCGGAGAATGCCATGCCTGTAAAGTAGCAAAATGTGTCTCCGGGGAATGCAGCGGCGGGATACCTTTGCTTTCTGTCAGTGGAGAACTTAGTGATGAGAGGCGACGCACCAGTTATGCCACAAGAACCCAGCACAGATCCCGGCCATGGGACCCATGAAATACAGACTCATCAAATGCCGATCCACCACTTCTCCCAACGCCCATTCGAGAAGACGTCCCTCTGAAACACCTTTCCCAGTGACATCCAACCAGGTGAGGAGGGTAGGGGACCAGATGGGCAGGTATAAAAGGTCGTTCAGGATGACGGAGAGGGCGATGACGAAGGCTTGGAGGACTTCGACGCCGTTGATGCCGGCGAGAATGTTGATCGAGTTGGTGGTGAATGTGGGCAGGAGGACGAGGTAGATGTAGTATATGGGGCCTGCACGCTTGTTAGTGGAGTTTGATTTGACGAAACATGTAGCGTACCGAGATGTACTATGCCTCCGCTTGTGACCCAGTCACCCAGCCCGACCAGTTCTCCTACACTCTTGACCCATCCAGCAACACTCATGGGAAGTACGACATTCGTCACGCCTCCTACAGAATAGTATACCAGGAGCGTTGGGACAGCGGCAACGATGGGGATAGGCAGCTTGTGACGCCATCTGATATCAAACAGGTCGTCGATGAAGCCTAGGAGGGTCGCCGTCAGAAGTGAGAGGAGAGACGAGAGGTATAACGTCAGCTAGCAACAGAGTCAGCTTGGGGCTAGATTTCATGGTAAAGTCTTACTTCGCGCTGAGGGAACACTTCCAGGGTGCCTCCTTGGAATAGATGGGAGAACGGGAAAGGGATGAACAGCATCATCAGAGCGATATACAAGCTTGCACACGGGAGACCCAAGCTCTCTGGTCTAGGAATCATCAGCAAGACTCTGCGCATCGCTTCCCGACTCACATCCAAGGCCCGCTCTCTCTACCCCCAGGCTTCAAAAGATCTCTGCCCCGCAGACCCTTGTCGACGAAGGCTTCTCCCACTCTTGGCACTACCCATACCCCTCCCACAAAGGCTAGTATCGCGAACCCAATACTCGCCTGGAGGGCTGGTAAAGTCGGCGGGCCATCCGCAAGCAGGGACTTTGGCAAGACCCCGGCAACGGTTGGGGGGAGGTGGGAGCGGACGAGGGGAAGGAGGGGGTTGAGGATGAGAAGGAGGGAGATGGGGACGAGAGTCGAGGTGAGGAGGACGGGCGGGGGGCGGCCGTATGGCATTTTTGTTGGCTATGGAGAAAAAAGAATCGACGCGACGTGGAAGGCTGTTATCTATATCTAAGGCACGGGAGGTGACGGCCACGTGGCATGGACAGCACAGAGGATTAGAGGAACAACGGAGCGCGAGGGTTTCGCAGCGAGTGACGTCATCACTGTGGCACTCCATATATATCATCCCATCCGCTCTTCCACCCCCATCACATCCACAAGAACAATGTGCAAGTCCCCCAGAGCGATGTGGTAGACCCCCGCTGACCCCCTGCAGCCGGACTCCTCAACCAAGCTACCCAAGCCGCCAACAACCTGGCCACTCAGGCTACCACTTTGGTCAATCAGGCCGCCAACTCTGACACCGCTGCCAATGCCACTTCCCAGGCCAAGACTCTGGGATCTCAGGCAGTCGGTGCTGCTGGCACTCTGGCCGGCCAGGCGCATGCTCAGGCCCACGCCCTCGCACCTGGGATTGTTCCCGCCCCAGCAGAGGGTGTTGACCTCAGCCACGACTTGAAGCCTGATAGCGAAGCCGACAAGGAGAAGCTTGCAAAGGCGTTGGAGAAGAAGTCCGATGCGAGCGAGCTCAAGAACAAGGGTATTTTGAAAGGTATGGTTGTCTCGAGTCTTTCATTTTACATGCTGATGAGCTTCAGGCAACCCCGGAGACTCTTTGGCCGGCAAGAAGGACGAGCTCCAAAAAGCTATGCAAAAGGTCAGCTTATTGATCTTACAAGGTACACGCGACTGACACTGGGTAGGACGTTCTCGACAATGGGATCGCTCAAAGACCTCACCCCGAAGACCTTGTGTCGAAGGGTATCCTTTCCCGTAAGTGGCTATATAATGCTACAGTGGTACCTGACGAGCAAAATGTAGCCGATGAAGCCCCCAAGACCAACTGAGTGGTGTAGATTTCAGCAGATGAGGACAGGAATGAGAATAATAGGATGGGATGAAATTGAGACAGACTTGGCACGCGACTTGCCGGGTGTAATTCTACCATGTAGCTTGTATCATATGCAGCACCATGCTCGATCGTTGTACCTCATACATACCACAGCTGCACACACCATGCACAGTTTGAATATGCATAGAGTAGTCCCAGATGGCCTGTATTAGCTGAGGGACTTCGCGTCATCCGATTTGACTCCGCCGGTTCGGCGGGGTTCTTCGGTGGTGCCGCTCACTCAGACAGACAGACATCTCTTTCTTAGTCCTCTCGTCATCCCCCGCCATGTCCGCCCCCGCCATGTCCGCCCCCGCCCCCGCCCCCAGCGCCAGCCCCGCCCCCAGCCACCACCTCAAACCCGTCGGCATCAGAAACGAGCAAAATACCTGCTACCTCAACAGCACATTCCAGGCTGTGGGTCACTGCCCCCTCTGTAAACACTCTTACTGACCCTCGCTGGTACGCATAGCTGAGCGCTACTGCCCCTCTGACGGCGCTTCTATCACAGTCACCACTCTCCCCACTGCGGCCTCTTCCTGATTCCATCCTCCCCTCACCCGAAGCGACCCCCGCCGAGATCCCGTCTCTCCACCCGGAAACCCTCGAGCCACCCTTGTATAAGACACTGCCCCTCACCCGCGCATTCACATCCTCCCTCCACGAAGGCTACCGCCGCAAAGACGATGGCCACCGGATAGACGCCGGCAAGCCCGAAGAGCCGATGAGTCTCAGGGTGCTCTTGCGGGCGATAAGCAAAAAGCATATACAGTATGATGGATTCGACCAGCAAGATGCGCACGAGTTTCTGAGACACTTGTTGAATGGGATGGAGCAGGAGGAAGTGGATGTAATCAAGGTGCTGCGGCCTAAGGGGCAGACCAAGGAAGAGAAGCGACGGATAGCGGAAAAAGCCCAGGCGGAGGCTGAAGCTGCCGACAGCGAAACGGTGGATGGTACAGAGAGTGGTCTTCAGCTGGATAAAGGCTCGACGGTCGACTCTCCTGCCTCCCCCGCGAGGTTGGATCCCGTCGCAAACGCCGTGCCTCAGGAGAATGATGTCGGTATCGTCACAGGTCAGGCGATCAGGGAAGAGCCTACTACTGAGCCTGCCACGGCGCAAGTAGAAGTGAAATGGGGGAATGGCGAGACAGCGGTGGAGCCGTTGCCAGAGGTCGTCGATGGGCCTCATCTCGTCCCTTTTGTGGACGTGATCTTCGGTGGTCTTTTGGCCAGTGTCGTGGTTTGTGAAAAGTGCAAAGCTGTTAGTACAAATCCCTCTGCCAATGGGTCTTTCGACTGACCTGTCCTAGCTGTCACATACCTATGAAGGCTTCTTGGACATTTCCCTATCCGTTCTCGACAGTCCCCGCGTCAGAAAACGAGACAAGGTCAAGGCCTTTGCCAATCGATTCAAGCCCCGGGGCACATCCAACAATCGACAAGGTTCTCCCGACATTGGCCAACCGCCTTCTCCGATGCAGCTCCTCAACAGCGTCGTCTCGGATGAAGATATGTCGGATTCAGAGGTGACTGCCAAGGAAGAGTCCTTGAGGAAAAGACGAGAGAGTCTGGCGGTGAGTGAGAGCGACAATGGGGACGGCGCTTCTGGGATTGGACGGGCGAGCTCGACGAAAAAGTTTGGTGGGCTGTTTAGAAAGAAGAATTCGAGTTCTCGTCCGGGCAGCTCTTCTTCCAGTCTGAACGCTCTGCCCCTGGACAGCGAAAAGTCTTCTCGGCCACAGTCGCCTCATATTCCTCAATCAACGCATCAGCCGCATGCTCAACCCCATCACCATCATAACAAACGTCAAGCCAAGCCCACGGCGGCTCAGGCTGCCTACATTGCCAGGATCCTCGCACCTGCGCAGGGTCAAGAGGCGAACGACCCTATCGCGCGTCTTCGTGCCGCCCAGAGCGGGACCTCTACACCTGTCGAGCCTGCCAAGCAGGAGAGCGGACTGGAGCGATGTTTGCGCGATTTCACCTCTGTCGAAGTGCTGGAAGGACAGAACGCTTTTGCTTGTCAAAAGTGCTGGCGGATCAAGCATGGCCGGTACCTTCATCACGAGGCGACAGTCAAGGAAGAGGATGAGAGTGGTCAGACGCCTGCCATGTCGACCTCTTCTGGGCCTCCTGTGGGTAGACGCCCCGATGCCCGCACCACCTTGTCGGAAAACTCTGTTACGACCATGTCGAGTGTTGAGTCTGGTACGATCCCCTTCAGCCCTCGCGTGGCACCGCCGTCCATCTCCATCCAGACTGATGTCGAAGACAAGTCCAGGCTGGGCCGTGGGGTGCATCTGTCGTCGACAGCTTCTAGTGGATCCTACGTCCGCTCCCGCTCTCCCTTGGGTCAACCAGTCGATGAAGAAGAGACGCTTGTTGAAGATATGAGCCACGTCAACATGGACCAGTCCTTCACCTCTCAAGACTCCAACTCGGGCTCCTTTATACTCCCTTCCGAGGCCGGTCAGACCATCGGGAGTGATGACGAAGATGCCGAGTCGGATACTGCGTCAGAGTCGGATGGGTTGTCGGATTCAGAGACCGAGTCGGAGGAGGAGCACGATGGGAAGAAGAAGAAGAAGAGCAAGCACTTTGTCATGGGCAGGGCTTTCAAGAGGTTTTTGATTTCAAAGCCGCCTCCAGTGATGGTCTTCCACATGAAGAGGTTCAAGCAGATTTCTTCATACTCTGCTAGCTTTTCAAGTTTGAGAAAGTGAGTCCACAGTCCAAGTGTGTACGGACGGTACTGACGGGCAACAGAATCGACGACTTTGTGTCATTCCCAGAGCAGTTAGATATCGCGCCTTATCTTGCGCCCAATCGTAAAGACTACAAGATGACTCCTACGCCAAATGGGGCATATGCGCCATTCATGGACTGGCCCCACCCTATGCAAGGCCCTGCCACGGATCCAGTCTTGTACAAGCTCTACGGTATGTGCTTTTACGTATCGCCTTGATCTTGTGCTTACCTCTCTGATAGCTGTGGTTGTCCATATTGGAGATATGGTTTCTGGGCACTACATTGCATATGTGCTGGTCGACCCCGAGGTCATGTTTGGTAAAGAAGCCTCCAAGACTGTGGAAGGGGAAGGCGAGCAGGCAGAGGAGCCTGCAACACCCAGGACGCTGCCGCAAGATCGAAAGGGAGTGGATAGGAGAGTTTGGGCATTCTGTTCCGAGTAAGTCTTCACGGGCACCTTTCAGGGCTCTTCGTATTGACGTAACCATCCAGTGAGGTCATTAGAGAAGTGAATGTCGAGGAGGTACTGAGGGCCAAGGCTTATTTGTGTTTCGTAAGTAAAAGATGCGCCGGCTCGAGTCTGGCTAACGTTCATCTCAGTACGAAAAGGAGAACTGATACTAATATGTCATGTCGTGTATGAGCATTTCAAGAATCAAGCATGTCGGTGTAAGCGGTAGGATACCATTAGATAAATTAAGAAAAAACAGTGTCATAGATACGTTGCTCAAGACTCGCGCGAAGAGTCGGAGCACACCCATCACTTTGAGCTTCATGATGGCATGTGATAGTTGAAAGGTCTTTGTACTGTATGATGCATAATCTGACTACTGCACTCTCTAACCTCTAGTCTCTAGATAATCCAAGAACCCATACCCAAACTTTGTACATCTTTCAAAACTCTTGTCAAACCCATCTCGCCCGCCATAGTATGGATCGTCGATCTCTTTGGCACGGGTTTTGTGAGATCCGTGGTTGGCTTTGGGGACGGAGGGGTCGAAAGAGCCAAACATGGAGACTTGGGCTTTGGAGCCTGCTGGTTTTCTGTGCAAGAGTGTTTCGAGGCTGTCATCGTCGGTTAGCCTAGGGTATCATTGCAGGCAGCCAGTACTCACTTGTTTTGGTCCATGGCTAGGATGTAGTCGAACTTCTGAAAGTCTTGTCTTTCGACGGCCCTGGCAATGCAATTTATGGGGACATTGTGCTGCGATCCGATCAGCTTCTGGGACCACCACGATTAAGGGTATCGAGACGTGCTTTTCGGCAAACCGCGACCGTTCTACAAAGTTTCATCAGCAGCTGTGACGTTGTGGTTTGATGGATGACTTGCCTCGAGTCTGCAGAGTCTCCTTCATGGTACGCTCCAGTACCAGCGGAATCTACTCGAACATCGAATCTGGCCTTGAAGCTATCGGGTCGTGCAGTGATCTGGTGCTTCAGCACGGCTTCTGCCATTGGTGAACGACTGCAACGATGGATCATTAGCCAATCTCCATGACAATTACAGCTCAAGGTTTACCAGATACTGTGGAGTAAAGGTCACTCAATGATCAGCTTGCAGCATATGGCCATTGTCGTTACGACTCACTTGCTACAATGATACTGTCAGCTGTGAATCTGCTCGTCGAGACAAATCATCTCTCAGGACTCACCCGAGGCATACCATGAGAACGTTGACCTTCTCGGGCTGTGCGGACATGTTGCTTGGACTTTCAGGTGACACGACGGAACATTCTTTGAATACTTTTGATATCGTTCGGCTCGGCGGCGGACGGCGAACCTGGTTCGATATGGCCGCACTACTGTTCAACCTGATACATATCCGATAAATGATACATAGACATGCACTCCCCCCGATGATTGTCGCTCTCTTATGCCTCATAGACAGCGCGACTGCGCGACATGCATACCAAATGGCACAGAGAATGATCGAAGGGTGAGTACGTAAGACGGCTATGACGCGCCCCTCCGGCCTCCACTCCGGACTGAGGTTGTTGTTTGGTCAGTCCATCAGCTATTAGGTGCATCTACTCTACAGTATCTGGGGAATGCCATCCCATCTCATATAACACAACTATCAACGCACAATGGCCAGGTAAGCAGCCCATTCCGCACACAGACATCAGCTCACCACCTCCTGCACACAGAGATCCGCCCTCCCGTCTTGGCTCAACAGAGCTCGAGGATATATCTCTGACTCCCTCTGCTGTCAAAGCAGCTGGCGTTACTATAATACACCCTCAACTGCGAGATTTAATCCTGCCACTCGGAAAGGGCAGGGTGTATTACCCGCGAGGGCAGAATGTCGAAGAGATGAGATGGTCTGATGAGGACAGTGTCAGCAAGGATATCAACAGAAATGTGAGTGTGGCTGAAGACTATAGGAGTGTCGCTGACGAACATACTCAAGGGAAGTTCAAGGACAGCGTTCAGACTAGACTTTCCTGCAGTTTGTCTTACCGCCGGGTACGTGTCCCGCGACCGCGATACAATCGATGTACTTACTCGTGCTCTATAGATCCGGTCTCTTTGCATGTGGCGGGCAGCATGGCGAGCTATTCGTCTGTGAACATCGCCAACTAAACCCTCGAATCCCTTCACGCCTTCACCCTTCCCCACGCTTTCAACCCTTCAAGCTCTCAACTACTCTACCCTATAGCCGGTCTATCAACAATTCTATCATTCTCCCTCCCTCATGGCCTCGAGAATGGGCCAGACATTCACGGGAAAAGCAACTAGGGTATCTGGGAAGGGGGTCGAGAGAGTGGGAAGAGCTCGAACCGAGAAGTGGTATCCTCGGACGGGCGGAACATGGAGAATGGATCAGACGGAGAGCAGGCCAAGATCGGGGATCGTCCTCAGTAGACGACGAGGACGATTACCTGACTGACGATCAGGATGAGGAAATGACGGAGGCGCCCTCATCGCCTGTAGCGACGTATCCCAACACACTACCTGTGCGATACGTCTCGTCACGGCCCCTGCACCCTCCAACCCCATCCCAGGACGCCCGGATCAAGGCTCGTAGCCGGAAAAGAGAGGAACCTTGCCTCATCATATCCAACAATGACTGCAGTGTCAAGTTCTACAGCCTCCGATCTGAAGAGGACGACAGGGCCTCAGTCTTTGGTAATGCGCCACATTTCGGGATCCCTTCCCTCGCCCGCCATCCTCCACCACAAGGATACCATCCCCAGATGCTAACGCTGGAGGACCTTGCCGTACTAAACAGTCCCCCCATAGAGTTCCCAAGTCATCTACAATGGGACCCTGATATCCGACAGATCGATGTCGAGATGGGCGCTGATGGTCGGCCTGGAAGAGCCCTATACGATGTGGTCGCGACAGAGAGGTTCGGAAGGTTGAATGATACCGAAGAAGCTTGGCAGGCGAGGCAGCTGCTCGAGCAGTATCGTGATCGGGAGCTTGCACGAGGTACTTCAGGGCTCCCGCGCGTGGCGGGCCGCAGCCATATGTCGGATGGCGACAATGGTGGTTTCGTGTCCATCTCTGCCTTGTTGAGAGCTAATGCGCAGCCCGGCCCCGCTGCGGGCTCTGGCTCCTGGTTTGAGGGCGGGCAGGGTGTATCGCAGCAGCCGGTCCGGTCTGATGCGGAGAGCGAGAGGCTCGACTTGCCGCCGGCTGATGCTGGTAAAGGCGAATCGAGATGGCTGAATCTGGTATCTGAGGCTCATTTCCCTGTGGCAGCGAATCATTGTGGGTCCTTATGGCTCATTTAGGTGATTTCAGCTCGCTGATGACGGTAAAAAAGCTTCATTGTCACCGGATTTGAGACATATGGTCTCTGTAGGAGATTCCACTGATGTCGACATCTTTGAGATTGATGGAAGTCGGCAGTTCAGGAAAGTGGCGACTTTTACAGGTGAGCCTGGAGTATAGCTCTTGTTTTGAGCCAGAGGTTGACGTCTTTGCAGCTGCTACAGATGCTGGCTTCTCGAGTGCTTGGAGCAAGGATGGGCGAAAGTTTGCCGTTGCAAGCCAAGGTCAATCTCCGAAATATCACACAAGAGTTGAGCTGATGTCAAACAGATGGCCAGGTCACTGTTTGGGACCACCGCTCTTCCCGTCCTCTCGCCATATTCCACACATGTGCCAAGAGCGATACTCCCTCGGTTCCATCGTTCGCGAATGACCTTGGCGCCGCCTACACCAATTCTCGTGCTTCCTCTGGGATATCTGAAGGTCCTGGAGACTATCAAGTCGCAGCCGAAGACGGAATAGTGTTGAGAGATCCGGTGACGGGAACTCCGAGGACGGGGAGCAGCACCTCGGGCAAAGAGGCTGCTCGGGTTGTCAAATTCAGTCCCGAGGGGAGCAGCAGGGATCTCATGGTCTTCTCAGAGGTACGCTTCGGCATCCATACAATGTTGGGAGATACTGACAAGACGCTCTAGGAAAATTCAAATATCCACATAATCGACGTCCGCACATTCGCAACCCATGTTGTACTCCCCGTACCACATGTCCCCACTGAGACGACAGACTATAATGCACGGAACAGCCCGCGGAAGGGTGTTGACGGAGGCACTTGGGGTATAGCGGGTTTGGCGTTTGATCCCACGGGCGATTGGTTGTACTCTGGGACGGAAAAGACAGTTGTGGAATGGGATTTAAGAAAAATGAACAGGGGTGGGGAGGGTACGTGGAGCTTGAGATAATCTTGTGGACGAGGCTGCGAGTCGTGTTGCACTGTATCATTAGGCATTGTGCTTGTGTACATTGACGACTTTCATAATGATCGTGTACACTAGACTGCGTAAAAGCAGTTGTTGTTGTGCGATGAAATGCATCTGATACTACGAAAAGTGGGTTGATTATATTAGAGCTGTCGACCTGACCAGCTTTACTGGTGATGCTGCTCGAGAGGCGTCAAGACGATGGGTGAACAGTGGAAGCTCCCACAGGCCTGGTAGTCTTACATGATGCAACACACTACTGATACAAACAACACGCAAGTATATGGCAAGATTCACCAAATCATTGTCCCTTGCTTCTCATCTTCCAGGCTTAGCTCCTCCACCAAACCCCCAATGTCCGCCTGATCTTCCATTTCCCGGTCTGCTGCGACCCTTGCGTACGTTATAGGACAATCGGTCGAATCACACAATATCTTTTCGGCCGGTGGTACATCGGAACAAGACGCACAGATTCGATGCAAGTCGGCAAGTTTCGTTTCCGCGATATATTGTCGAGAGAGAAGAGTGTGGGAAGTTGTAGATGGGTCGTCCCGGCACGCGACGCATAAGGCTATCAAATAGTCAGCCTTTGTTCAACCCTACCAATTCTTTCAAGCTCACCATCAAGACATTCCCCGCCACATACGATACAATGGCTCGACTTGAAATGCGAGTCGATTCTGGACCCAGTAGCCGCACCTCTTCCTCTCTTGCCCCGTCCCCGTCCCCGTCCCCGCCCCCGTCCAGGACCTCCGTCCCTGCCTGTCCCCGTTGACCCATCACGCTCGTACTTTCCCGCCCTCTTTGTCCTCGGCATAGTATCATACCACTCTTCTACGTCCGCCCCCACGAGGTTGAATATTCGAGATAGAGGCGGGATGAGAAGGTTACGGATGTAATATTCGGCGTCTATACCCAGAGAGCGGTTGGAGAGCATCTCGTGGGGCATACGGGCTCGATCGATGAGTCGGCGGCCATCGGCGTTAGAGATCAGGTAAGGAACTCGCTCGGCGTATTGAGGTTCGTCGCGGGGATCTTTCAGTATTCGTCGATAGGCTACCGCTGCGCCAGGAGGTGGCACGCCTTTTTCACTGAGATACAGTCAGCTGATATTCAACAGATGAGATGAGAAAGCTTACGAGTAGGTGCCCAGTTTAACCTCCTTGGCTATGACAAAATCTTGTATAGAGACTCTTCCTTGCAAGATCTTGGTCCATTCCTGCCGACAAAAGTCCTTGATCTGCGACAAATCCTGAGTTCGGAAGAGCAACCTAACATATATCAGCGTTGATAGTGGTGTCTTAAACCTGATGACACACTTGAGACAAACTTCCTCCATCTTCTGCTGAGCTGGGAATCCATCTCGCCTGATCGTTTCGATTCCCTTGGCATCGAAGACAGGTTCGACATCATCGGGGTTTTCATATTTGAAACCCACGTAACGCTTCTTCGCCATCAAGACGGAGCCCATATAGACTTTTTCAAACTTGAGTGTGACCGGTTTAGGGTTCATAGCTGTGACAGCTTCGGCGATGTCGAATCCAATCTTGAAAGCTTGGTCTTTGGATCTTCCAGGAAGGGCAACAAACAGGGAGTCAGTGTCTCCATAGACAACTCGAGCATCCCAGTCCGGTCGAGAGTGAATCAGTTCCTGGGCCTTTTAGGTTGTCAGTCTACGTTGGTATCATTGACTCGAGGGCGCACCTTTTCCAGCGTTTCTCGACCAGTCTGCACAATGGAATCGGCGACTTCTATGCAAGGCATTCGTCCGGAATATGTTGCGCTCGTGTAACCATAAGTCACGTTCTGAGTATCAAGATTAGCTTGGACAGCTCGGTCTTCTTGGAGGGACTCACGGCCATCAACTTCAATCCCAGCTGCCGAGCGTTCAACATGGATGTTAGAGACTGAGAGCACTCTGTCAGCATGGATAACGTTCTTCTGCATTGGTGTGCTCACTTTGTCGCCTCGCGCACCTTTCATGGCTTGTTTGATCATGACTCGCGTGTCCAGCATCTCGGTCAACATCTTCGCTAGCAAGCTTTTTCTGACAGCAGGCTTGACAAATATCATACCGTTTGGTGTGACTTTACGAGTGCATCAGCAAAGCGATCAAAGCGGAAAGGCCGACTCACCATTGACATAGTCTTTCAGAAGCTCCAGAAGACCCTCAGATATCTTCAGATCCGTAAAGCCAAATTTGTTCGTGTTCTTGAATTTCTCAACTCGGCCTAAACATGTCGAATAGCAAAGATTGTAGGCAATCATGATTGAGGGGTAGAGTGATTGAAAGTCCAAGACGATGATAGGATGAGTGTAGTATTTGGACTCGGGCTCTGCTATGAGAGGCACAGCGAATGGCGCATTTTGCAATCCGACCTTGGAGGAACATCAGCTAGTTTCAATGATAGCGCAAAATGATACTGTACTTACCTGTTGCTTTGAAGGGGTTACAAGGACGAAACTTTCAGGTTTAGCAATGCGAAACATGAAAGATTCAACCTTGTACTGAGATCCTCGCGTCATGACAGATGTAAAATCAACGCCAAAGACACGAGCAAACTCCCTACACCTGAATGAGTACAGTATCAGACATACAGGTCTGCACAACTCACGCAGTCTTTGTGATGATCTCTGCCTGATCAATGATCTCGACATTGATGACCGCTCGTTGAAAGAAGTATTTAAGCACTCGACTAGCGTGTGCTGGTGTTTGGCTCTTCCACATGGCAGTCAAGCTAGACGAGGAGTAGTGAGGGATACGTTGGTGGAGCAGATGAAAGACGACATTTTCGAAATTATATTGAGTGAGATTGATCTCTGACCGACATATGCGCCAAATGTTGAGAGTATGCCGACCAGCCACTTTGAAAGTTGACGAGTGATGAGCGGCATATCCATCGTTCTTGCGACCTGAGCGTCCTGATACGACTCTCGACAAGTCGTCCATGATATCGGCACCTGGATAACATCAGTGACGAACTGCTATGATAACGCGATACGCACCAAACTCATGATGAGCCCTGGCGGCCAGATAACCCCAGGATGAATTATGCAGCTCCCAACCCGCCAACACATCTGGGTCCCAATACTTTGTGTTTTCTGTAACCCAATTTATTAGGTCCAATTCGCTTTCGACCACGTCAAAAGCGACACCATCGAGACGGAATCTTGAGGGGTTTGCGAGCTCTCCAATCACCACATAGCCGGCGTAGTAACCAGGGTGGACGGTAGTATCAGGAAGATTATCATCTTCGTTTTGATAACAGTAAAATATTGCAGTGACAGGATCCTTTTCCGGATCGGGCAGAAGCTGATTACGGGACTGGGCTACAAGTCAGGTCAGACAAAAGGATACGACGGATGTCTGAAGCACTCACCAAAGACTTCAAGGCTTAGGACAGTCATGTTCTGAGCTTCTGCAGAAGCGTCTCTAGCCTTCTTCTTTTGCGAAAACTTGACCCCGTATTTGTTCTTTTGGGTTGGGTGCACAAGCTATGACAAGTCAGGCGTGTTCGTTCATGTGCAGATGGATCTCACCTGAGAGGTCTTCTTCTCTTTTCTCTCGACTGTAACAGTCAGCTTACTCCGTACGGGAAAAGATGATACTTACGCAATGAAAGTGCCAAGTCATCGGCCTTGTCACACCAAGCAACAACATCTCTTGCATTTGGCGGCATGACGCTATACTCCCAGCCAGCTTTCCACGACGTTTTCTTTGTCCGTGAGGATTCGTGAACTTCTTTCGAATTCGAACGACCCCGCTTCTTCTTTCCGCCGTCAAGGGTCGCCGTAGTAAATTTAAAGTCCTCCAGATGCTCTGCCTTGTCAGACTTGAAACTGAACATTCTACCACCCAGGATTTTCGGCTTTGGGATGTCTCCTGGATCGCTGTAGAATGGCTCTTGGTAATCCACAGAAGAAACACTATATTCTTCCATGTTTCCGACTACGAATTCGCTCGTAGGAGGTGGCAGGTGAAACCGCCAAGCTTTGCCCATGGTAGGTAGGCAAGGACTGGAAGATATGCCTGTCGACTGGGAAGGGCGGCTGTTGCTTTTGGGAGACGGACCGCCAATCTCATGGACAGCATCGTCAAGTTTCACCCGTTTGCGAGGGCGCAGCTCTTTCTGGCTGCCGATAGATGGGTGAGAGTGTTCATGAGAGGAGATGCTGTCTTTGAAGGTAGGGCTGACACCAGGCATCGTAGGCTCTATATCCTGACCTTTTGAGGCTTGTTGTTTGGTGACGCCTTGTGTTGTGGCGTTGCCCCGCTCATTATGGCCATCAACCCGATTCCCTGCGTTCGTCGTTGGGACAGCAGTACGCGCGGGCGTTCCTCTCGGTGGCTCGTAAAGACCACCTCCCGCTGGCGGTAAAGAGAGCTCAATCGCTTGAATCTGCTCAAAAGTGAGATCAGGCCCAAAGAAGAGATCATCCTCTTCCTGGGTTGGAGCTTTGCCTTTCTGTGTCGACTTTTGTGATTCCTCAGCCAGCCTTTGTTGAAGGCTGGGTCTGAACGGGGTCTTGCCATGCTTCACAACCTCTTCTTCGGGAGACGAAGTTATCGGACCGGGCGTTTTTTTGGATTCAGGCAGCGTGATCACGTCGGCGGTGTTGTATCTGGATGTAGGGGTTTTTCTCCTCGAAGGCGAGTTGAAGGGAGATGGTTGCCTATTCCTAGCAAACATATTGCGTATTAGCGAGTTGGGGGTGATCAAGTCGGTCGCAGGGCTTTGGGCTCTGGTCGGCGTAGAAGGGGCCTGGGGTCTATCGTCGTATGGATTTTTGAAAGGGGATAAAAATACAGAAGACCGATCAAAGATGGTACTACGACATCGACATTAGCTTTGGACGCTAACAGGTAATGGCCGACTCACCTCAGGTCTCCAAGTCCCGCGTTATCCAGAACGACTTGATCTCGTTTCCGTTTCCTGGTCTCGGCGTCAACCGTAGAGCTTCCGGAGCGCTTTGTGGGTGTCCATCCCGCCCACCTACTGCCCTTGTTCGGAGTAGTAGGGGTGCTCTCAACGCCCAATCCAGCAGCGACCGTCTGTCGGAATATATCATCCATCTCCTCGTCGTCGTAGTCATCACCATCTGCATGTGGGGCAGGCATTTGCGTAGCCCGAATCTTTTCAGTCTCTTCGGCATGCACTTTGGCCTGCTTCGCGTCCATTTGGTCGTCCCCTTCTCCCAAGCCTGCGCGCTCGTCTTCGTTCTCGGGGTAATAGAGATCGTGTTCATCGTCCTCCTGATCATTCGTGGGCTGGACACGCTGGGAGAGTTCAGGTTGGGGTGGGAATTGTTGGGATGCTTGGGTCATGGCAAAAACTTCGAAGGGGTTTGCTTCCTCATCTTCGTCGGCCCATTCAAGATCTTCGTGAACGCGGTCTGATGACTCTGGGACATCGAAGGCGACATCCCTCCTAGGCATGCTAGTTGGAATCGAAGGGGACGGATCGTCTTCCGAGAATCGTGCCTTCCGGGTAGGCGAAGATGCAGTGTTGGGCGGAACGCTCCCAAACTGCGTCTTGGACTTTGGCGTCTGTCGTGGTATTTTACGAGGTTGCTTGGGCCAAAGCGCCGAGACAGCTTCAAACGTAGTCATGATCCACTATAATCCAGTAAGCCCGTATTCTTCACATAAAAGGGCTCCACCTACCTTGTCCCACATGAGCTTCTCCCCATTCTGACCGGAAGCACTCTTCTGAGCAAACTTTTCAAACGTCAACGGCCCGCGCTTCTTTCTCTCGCCGGCCATCCGTTCTTCGAGTATCTCCCATAGTTCCTCTGAAATTTTCCAGTCTCCGCCAAAGTGAGGTTTCTCTTCGGTAGCGGCATCTTCTTTCTTGACCTTGTACCCCAGTTCTTCTTTCGACCGTCCATCCATGCCTCCGCCTTTCGGCATCATCTCGGCTGTCCCAATACTCAGCCCTTTGAGTAACCGCCTTCTCCTCTCGTCTTCCCAAAGCTCCGCCACCGCTGGAACCAGCTTCTCACTGGGATCCAACGGTTGCCGCAAGAGCTCCACAAAGTCGTGGTGGAGTAATCTGGGAGTGAGGCGTTGTCTATTGAGTATTTGGTGAGGAAGGATGTCGATTTCAAGCCCGGTGTATGACTCTTTGGAAGGCGAGAGACCGGGGGCGTAAAACATGGAATCAGGGATGGTGAGCGAGTTGAGAATACCAAGTGTCCCACGAGGCAGGTTGGGAGGCGATTCGTAGGGGTCACCCTCTGATCATCATCAGCAAGAGTCTACACAATGGTCTCAGGCTCACCAGGGACAGGTTCTCTGAATGTGCCGCCAGCAAGATCCAACCACCCACATCCATACAGATCAAAATCACACATGAACTGCAGCACATGATTCAAATGCGCCTCGTGCGGCTGCCACTCTCGCCCCAAAACATTTGGCTTTCTCAGCTGCTCCAGGGCGACATACATCCTAGCCGGATTGGCCAAGCTGACTTTCATGTAATAGCTGTAGCCCATGTGGTAGCCGTAGAAGGGGGTGCCCTTGACGAGCATGACAGATACGACGTGTAGGTGCTTCGGGTCGACACCTCCTCCGAACCGGGTACTGTTGCCCATGGACGAAGGGTTTTGCCGCAGGGCGAGACAGATAGCATGATTGAGCGAAACAGCGAAGCGCTGGCACAGTTTCACCACCCTTTCCGGTCTGAGAGGATCGGACGAGTCCATGGGGAATGGCACGTAGAAGTACGGGTAGCACAGATGTATGTTTGCGCAAACTTTTTGCAAGGACGGGGTGGTACCGAATATCCTGATGACAGGCAAGGTATGCGGTACGACGCCGACGGGGACAGCGGTCGCGAATCGAGTGGGGACATAGTGCTGCCGTAGAGTGTATATAGGAGAGCCCTGTTCGGAAGACATGTTGTTGATTCGAATGCGCAGGAGGGGGTTGGACGGGGTGGGCGGCTGGGTGGAGGCGAAGAGGGGCGAGGAGGAAGGCCCTGTGTCGACGATCGGTGGGTCCATGGCTGCTGGTGTATGTTGGCGTCTGACGTTGGTAGTCAGCGCGTGGGTGCTGTTATGAGTTGGGCATGGTCGGGTCGATAGAATGGAAAAGTAGAACGATGAAATGGATGATGTTTGAGATTATGTACGCGTATCCGTCTGCAGTGGTTGACGCGTCTGAGACATTACAAGTTCCGTCATCGCATCGATTTTGGTAAACATCGATTCACCCCTATACAAGCATGCATCCAAGACAATTCCAACAAATGCTATAAGGCACTACACATCCTTGCTATCCAGATAGTGCTCCGCCGGCAACGCCCGCAGCCTCCCAGCCGCCTGCTCGGGCGTCAAATCTCTCTGCACCTCTCCCATCATCTCAAACCCGACCAAGAACTTTCTCACAGACGCGCTCCTCAAGAGAGGAGGGTAGAAATGGAAGTGGATATGCGCGACGTCACTTTCGGGATTGTTAGGGGGGAGCGGGGACTGGTGGAGGCCCATAGAGTAGGGGAAGGGGCAGCTGCGAGCTGTGTCAGGTTACGTGTATGATGAAGTAGATTGGACGCACGAAAAAAGATTGTCGTATCTCACCAAGACCTTTTGGAAAATCCTTGCTAGGCCTTGCACTTCATTCTCTTCGAGCTGCAAGAGAGAAGGGATATGTCGTTTGTAAGGCAACACTATTTTGGTATCAGCACTTGCTCTTGACACTGGAGAAAGACGGACCCATAATCTCAAATGGCCATACCGCCCAGAAAGGCACCACAGCAATCCACCCACCCTCCTCATCAATTTCCACCACTCTCTCCTTCTGTTGCACTTCCTCCGCCGCGTACGAACAGAGCAAGCACGCGCAGCCATCGCCTCGGACGGGGTGGTTCGGATTGGCCGCCCTGGTGTTTTGGGCGAGGTTGGTGAGCTCTACTTGAGGCTCGTCTGGAGTGCTAATTTGATATCAGCTCGGATCCAAGTTGAAGCATGAGTAGCTGACTAGGAGAGAGTCCAGACCTGAAGACGTATCAGCAACAGATCCACGTAGCTAGAGAGAACATACCTGGCCATGAGGATGAGGAGCACTAGCGCCCATCATAGAACCACGGTTCTGCAAACATAAGCACGTCTATCAGCTGAATCAAGTCGCGCTTACCTCAAAGATCTGAACATACCCCTCCCCAGAGCTCAACCTCAGCATCTCTCCTTCCTCCGCATAGACTCGCTTCCACTCGCCAATAATCTTTTCAATATCCTGCGGCGGCATCCTTGCGAGTGTAAGGTCATGGCGGGGGTGGAAGCAGATAACTTTACACCGGCCCCTAACAGGTTGTGAAGCAAATAAGGCGTCGGTGTCGGACAGCTCGCCTTGAGCGTCGATAGAAGGAAGCGGCTCGGTGAGCAGAGCGGGGAAGTCATTCTCAAACGTCTAGCCCCATATATCAGCTTGGTCCAAAGTCACCCAAGTGGTACGTACAAAAGTCTCGGTGTACTTGGGATTATGCTCTCCATTACCTCTCTCATTTCCAGGACAGAGGTTACACGTTTCTTCGTATTGAGGAAGAGCTGCCAGAACGGGCTCTTCAGTTTGGCCCTGCGTAGCTGTATGAGTATCCTTGTTCCTCATTTTCCTCCTATCAAAATTATTTCACCTTCCATGGTCGCTTGGTCCTATGAGGAGATACAAGTACGTGTTTACCAGTCAGAGGGTTGTCTGCACGAACGGCACTGTCAGCTAAATTATCCTTCAAGACGGGTAGAGACGCACATCGCCTGTGGGCATGTTCGCTGGGGTCAAAGGTCGGAACTGCCAGGCTATCGGTGGACATGGCTGCTGAAGTATAGACACTGAGAGGCTAATGTAAGTATAGACAAGACTGGAGGCTATTCGGTCATTTCGGCAGCGCCCTCCGAACTGGCGGTCGTCTCCGCGCACTCAGGTGGAGGTACATACAACAGTCAACATGACATTGGCATTCAGCATTGAGCTGGGATCCAGCTACTACAAAAGACCCATTTCAGCCTTCATGAACCTCACCCACAGCCATCAGACATCCCCATCCGACTCTGCACAATCTGGCTCAACAATACCCTCAGGGTCCGAGCCGGTATACAATGGCGTCGCATCCCACACCGCCATCACCGGCTTGTTATCATCACTCCGGGGGTTGAACGTGATATCGCACTTTACCCAACATCAGCTCTAGATCATCTCATTCTTCGAGAAAGAGAGAGAGGGGACTCACATTGACAACATGTAGAAACTGACCCCCATCCACATCAGGTCCAAAATACCCATCCCCATCTGACTTGTAGATCTTGAAATCCCTCGTCGACTTGATCGGCGCGTCACTCACTAAAGAGTCGGTGTAGTTGGTATACCCATTGCCTGTGGCTGTAGATTTGTAAGGCGTGTCGTTCGCTGTATGGTCCTGCCCATTGTGAGTATACAAGGCAAGGCGGGAGTGGTAAATCAGGCTTACGATCATCAAGACGTTTGCGCCTAGTTGGTATGTCAAGACGCCATAGTAGTGTCCGCTCAAAGTTGTTTCTGTACTCGATGCTTGGGCACTTGTTGTGGTACTTGTGCTTGACAATGTGACGTCCGCAGTTGAGGAAGTATATGAATGGGCAGAGGTGGTGGATGACGACTCGGCTGTAGACGATTGTAGACTCGTACCACCTGTAGATGTCTGGCTACTCCCATCCCCACCCCAGCTCGTCGCATCACACCCACCGTCCAAGCTTGTCTCCGAACCAAATACGACTAACACAGATGAAGTCGCAGCAAGCGAAGAGGCGTAGGATTGGTATATCGACAAGACTGCTGGTAGTGGGCAGTTCTCTAACGTTTGCGTTGGTACTGCTACACCTTGAGAGATTGAGGCCGAGGTGCAGGAGGCTTGTGGTAATTCCACCCCGAGGGAATCGTCCCAGAGTCATCGATACCAGCTGAATGCTTCAAGCGGTGGGTCACATCCAAAGCCTTTCTTTGGCTACGTACATGAGCGACCCAAGCTCTATGCGGTGAGTGGATTGAAAAGGCATTCGCTCTTCCATTGAAGGCGAGTGCGACTCTTGCCCCTGCCATGACCTGGTCCCCTTTGAACGGTATTTGTCACCAGATGACCAGATGTACTCGTACGGTACATATGTACCCGGGCGAAGTTCGGCAGCGGGTCACCGCGCATCGAAAGCCGGCGTTGACTGGCTGACGATCTGAGATCTCGTACAGTCGATGTGCCGGCGGCAACCTGATTCCCGAAAGTGATCGAGAGATTAACAGAAGGTTCAGAAGGACGAAGGACTACTTCGGTGCTCTCTTTCGGGCTGATAACCTTACGCGTGCTGCACTTCCGTCTCTATCCTGTGCAATGATTTGATGTATTACACTCGTGGCGGTGCTCACGGCAGCCATCCCACTTCTCAACCTCTCCAGTCCTTCAGGACGCCAACGACGCATATACACGCATACACACGCATACACTACTACTGTCCCTCACACAGATATTAGGGACACGCGGTCCGAGCTATCTTCGGAATCGACGAACGGGGATGCCGACAAATATACGGCAGCAGTTTACCCGTGCACTTGGCTGTTTGGCTCTGGGCCCCAAGGGAGGGAAAGAGGGGCCAAGGGGGGACCCTTAGGGGAACCCAAGGGGAACCGCAAATTAGCGCGATGACGCGGGCGGCCCCACTGGCTCAGGGAGCTCGCCCTTCCGATGTTTGCCACTATCAGATGATTCCGCTTGGCGGCCATGCAAGACATCTATCCCAACCCCATTCCGCCGGGTATATAAACATGCACAATCCAGTCAACGGCCTATCCCATCTCTCAACAGCATCTCATACTTTGCACACATATTCGCCATGTCTGAGGAAGACGTAACCCACACCGCCAGGGGCCACGGCTACAAGCAGCGCTCCCAGTACCCCCTCACTGCCGCCATGGTCGACGGAAAGCCCGTCACACAGCACGTCGAGGGCGGCTCGGAAAAGCCCGCGCTCGCCAGCGACAACTCGGACGACCACCACCCCCTTGCTCGCAAGAAGAGCCACAAGGTCGACCTCATCTCCAACACCAATGCCAAACTGGCCAACCCGCTCGGCGACCTCACAGACGAAGAGGTCATGGAGAATGCCGCAGCGTTTGCCGCAGCCAACAACTTGCCTGTGGAGGCATTCCGCAAGGGCGGAGTGCTCGCCAAAAGGCCACATGCCTTTGAAAAGTTGGCCATCTTGGATGAGGAAGACAAGGCCCGTCTAAGATTCGAGGTCGAGCATCCCTACCGTTCTCAGACATGGCAGCTCTACAGTGAGTCGCGTGCGCTTGAGCTTTTCTAGAAATACTGACTCGCGACTAGACATGGTCATTGCCTGTTCCGTGGCTGCTGCCGTGCAGGGTATGGACGAGTCGGTCATTTCAGGTGCCCAGCTCTTCTTCCCCTCGCAATTTGGTATCGGCGAGCCCAACATCAACCCGCAATACGCCAACAACCATGAATGGTGAGTCATTGCGCATTTTTGCGTGACTTTTGGCTGAACTTGCTCCTCAGGATCATGGGTATCACCAACGGTGCCCCATACCTTGCCTGTGGTAAGTCTAATTTTGGAAACCAGATCTGATATACTCACCATCTCTTCAGCTGTTGTCGGATGTTGGCTTACTGACCCACTCAACCACTACCTCGGACGGTAAGCAATCAAACTCACCCCAGAGGCAAGCGCTGACATTAGCCACAGACGAGGAGCTATCGCTGTGACCGCTTTCATCTCTTTCGTCACTTGTATTTGGGCCGCATGCACCAGTAAGCCCCTTCAAGCTTCTCTTCGGCACCCACTGACATGTGACTAGACACCTGGTGGCACCTGTTTATTGCCAGATTCTTCCTCGGTATCGGCATTGGTCCCAAGTCTGCTACCGTCCCTGTAAGTATCACATGACCAGAATGTGCCATCCCTGATGCTTTGGAATGTCTAGATCTTCGCCGCAGAATGTGTTCCTGCTCGAATCAGAGGTGAGTCAACATCCAAGAAGATTGGTGAAACGAAGCTGACTGGGTGGAATAGGATCACTCGTTATGCAATGGCAACTGTGGACCGCATTCGGTATTATGCAAGTCTCACAAGACCCCGTTCATATCAAGTACTGACAAACTCCTAGGCTTGGTTACGCGGCCGATCTCATGTTCTACCACGTGTCGGACAAGCCTCATATCACGGGTCTCAACTGGCGTCTGATGATTGCTTCGGCTGGTATCCCCGCCTTGGTTGTCATGGCCCAGCGTACGTTCCACCTCCTTCTCGCCTCCCATGCTGACCATGTATTCAGTTCCCTTCCTTCCTGAATCTCCTCGTTGGCTCATGAAGAAAGGCCGCTATGAAAAAGCTTTCCGCGCCATGATGCGTCTCCGTGGAAATGAAGTCATGGCTGCGCGGGACTTGTACTACATCTTTGTCTTGCTCGAGGAAGAGGCTGCTATCGTCCGAGGCAGGAACAGGTTCTTGGAGATCTTTACGATTGGACGTAATAGGCGAGCGATGATTGGGTCCACTATTGTCATGTTTGGTCAGCAATTCTGTGGTGTCAACGTAAGCCTCTTTTTCTTTTGCTTTGGCGGGACGCTAAATGATAGGGGTAGGCTATTGTATACTACACTGCCACCATCTTTTCCAGTGCTGGATTCTCTGAAATCGACGCTCTTCTCGCTAGTTGGGGTTTCGGAATGCTGAACGGTGAGCCAAATCATCAGAGATATAGATCACAGCTGATCTCTCGAAGCCATCTTTGCCATCCCCGGTATGCTCACCATCGATAGATTCGGTCGTCGAGCATTGCTGCTCTTCACTTTCCCAATCATGGCCCTGCTCTTGTTGTTCACTGGGTTCTGTTTCTGGATCCCCGAGGGACCGGCTAGGATTGGGTTGATCACTCTTGGTATCTATCTGTGAGTCGTCCTTTTGGAAAAGTAGATGTAGGAAGCTGACTCATGAGTAGGTATTGTATTGCATACTCTCCCGGAGAAGGACCTGGTAAGCCTTGAGAAGCAATTGTGCTCGCCCGCTGACCCTACTTAGTCCCATTCACCTACTCTGCCGAGGTCTACCCTCTATACATTCGAGAATTGGGAATGTCGCTCGCGACCGCCACTCTCTGGCTGTTCAACTTTATCGTGTCTTTCACGTTCCCTCGTTTGTTGACTGCTTTCAAGCCTCAGGGAGCGTTTGCTTGGTACCCCGTCTTTTGTTTTGTCTTGAGGAACGATGCTGACATGACTCGAAGGTATGCCGGATGGTGTGTCGTGCTCAGTATCTTGATCTTGTTCTTCTTGCCAGAATCAAAGTAATTATATCCCTTGATCCTATCTCTGAAACTCCAACTTATGTCTCGCAGGGGATACACTCTTGAAGAGCTCGACCAAGTCTTCTCCGTCCCTACCGGCGTACACGCCAAATACCAGCTTTATAACCTCAAATGGCATTTCAAGCACTACATCCTCCGCTCTAAAGAACCTCACGAGGCGCTCTACAAGTTCGACGATGATTTGGTTGATGACAAAGAGTTCTTTGAGCCTAGTAAGGACGGGCAGGTCCAGCATGTGGCGTAAATGCCTTGTACCGATAGCAACAGAGTGAGATCTCGCCCGTGGGAAGGGCTTAATAAAGTATTCGCAATCGAAAAACAAGGGGTGGTTATATAATTAGATCATTATTTGTTCATATGTGGCGTGCTTTCTATCTTTTGATGGAACTGCTTTTGGAATGGATCTATAATGCACTGTTCGAGCATCCCTTGCTGGTCTTGATGTGAACGCAAAAGTTGGAGCTGACACTAGCGATACCAGGCTGCTGCCAATGCAGCTTGTTGAGTGATTTGGGATTCCATGCATCAAAAGAAGACTACGCCTTTGAACGCTTCTTCTTCTTGGGCGCCTCCTCTTCACTCTCACTCTCACTTTCCTCATCAGAAACCACATCTGACCCCTCTCCCTCATCCTCATACACATCCATCCCTTCCCAGACCTCCTCCTCATCTTCACTCTCCCCTTCCTCACCTTCTTCGCCATCGTTGACCTTGACAACGATCTTTCTCTCGCCATATCCTCTCCACACGGCCTCGCCGATACCAACACCACCAACCATCCCGACAATATCACCCTTCTTCCCTTCCGGCCCCCAGTTGCCCTTCTCAGCCCCAGAAGGAGGGGTAGTCGCGCTATGGATACGGATGGACGCGTCGGAAGATATGGACGCAAAACCTATACGTCTTGTCGCTGAAGGCAAGAAAGACGAAGGGTCGAATGTGGGGATGGGCAGCATGTGGTGCGGTGTAGCAGTGAGGGACGAGTAGCTGTAGAGGACTTTACCTGTACGCAAGTCGAGGGCGCCTAGGTAATTTGATCGGTCTGCGAAAAAGACCTCGCTGCGGTGCAAATCAGTACCGTCCTGGCAAACGGATAGATGGGGCTTACTGTTCCAGACCTGTAGTGAGAGAAGCAATACCGCCCTCCCTAGACACTTTCCAGTCGTCCACCGGTTTGCGCTGCCTCGTATCGAACCGCCTGATTGTACCCATCTTTGTCCCGCTCACCAACGCATCGGGCGAATCCAGCCAGCTGAGGGCGAGGTGGTACACCGGCGGCCGGAGTTTGAGGTAGTTGTTGGGCATGTTTTTGGCTTGCCATGTTTGTCCCGGGAGGAGGGCATTATTCTTGCGCTTGGGGTCAGACATGTCGGTGTCGGACGATGAGGCAAAGGTGCGTTCGACATCGTAGATGGAGACGTCGACTTCTTTTCCGCCGAGGGCGAATTGGGTGGGAGCGAGGGGCGTGGAAGCGAGGCATGCGAGAGGCGATGGAACAGAGCGGGAGGAAGAGGGCGATTCGGAGGCGAAGGGGTGGAATGTGAGGTGACCAGACTTGAGAGCAGATACCGTGCCGCTGCTTTCAATCAGCGTGGGCCATGCGAAGTGAAAAAAATATCATACTTTTCAACGGGAACAAGACCAGCCCATATATCCTTTGATCTAGCTTTCACTGTCTCTTGGAAGAGGATCGTGGGGTGCTCTGGCTCTTCGGCATCTGCAGGAGACAGCTGAATGGTAGACACCTGGAAGGTATCGTCTGCCACGACAATCTGAGGCGCAAGTATGAGTTGATTGTCCCATAATAGCTCAATAGACTCACTCTGTTGTCGCCGACATCGACCATCCTCTTGACTCCTGTGAGCGGTTTGTGGTCGCCATACTTGACGGGGAAGCGACGGACGACGGGGTCTCCTGGGGAGGAGACGCCTGCGATGTTGATGCTGGGCTCGTTGAAGGAGACGTCGAGGAGGGTGTTGTTGTGGAGGGAGGGGGCGAGGAAGTTGTAGGTGCGCACCATCTTCGTTGTCTCTGTCTCTGTGATTTTTCTCAACAGCACCAAAATAATGCACGCTGCAAAATTCCAACAGGTCAACATTAACGCGGGGCTCCGAGGGCGGCGATCCCCGCCTGGTGCCATCTTCGCTTTCTTCGCGGCGAATACAAATATCATACTGTCTTTGGCTATTCCGCACCATGGACGTCGACCAGCAGCAGAACGACCCCCTCGTCGAGAAGCTCCTGGAGATCATCGCCCAGCTCGAACAGCAGCCGCAGAGTGCCGCTCTCATCCGGACACAGATCAGTCTCCTCCACCAACTCGCCATGGCGGACGAAGCCCGGCAAGCCTATGCCACCCTCTCCAGCCTCATCATGCTCCAGGAAGGTAAGTGTTCTGTATTTCCGATCGCAACACGCTGACTCGAGGATAGACGAGTGGGTGTCGTATCTGGATTTGTCAATCGAGCAGCTGGGTACCCCCTTGAACGACGCCCAAGGCTTCTGTGATGTCTTCGAGAGATTCAATGCAGCCTTGGAAGACTATACATGTACGTATAGAAACTCGATTTGGTCCTTCAAGCTGACAAATAGTAGCTCTCCCTCTCATTCTCAAACAAGTGAAACTAGTCCTCTCTTGCTATTACGCTGGCCACCCGCCCGCCACCCCAGTCGAAGATATCCCGTCCATTCAAGTTGGCGACGAAATCACCGGTCTCCTCGACGAGGATTCAACACGACTTATGTTGCAGAGTGCTGTCGCCCACAGCAATGCGTTGTTGAGTGAGAGCCAGCAAGTTTGGGATCTGTGGATCAGCTGGGAAATGGGCCTGCTCGAAGCCGCTCCGGCGGAGCAAAGGTGGGTCTATCTTGTGTGTGGGCTAGGCTGACTTTCCACAGAAGTGAACAGATACAGCAGGTGCACCAGGTCTACAATGACCGTCTGAGAATACCTCATTCCAGTAAGTCGACCCTAATCACGTTGCCTTCTGTCTAACAGCCGCGTAGCGATGCAGCAAACGACAAGCGACTATTCAAGCTTTTGCTCCACATATTGCAACCAAGAGTATGAACAGCGCTTGGTACAAGCTACAGAGATATCACAAGAAGCCAAGCGCAAATGGTCCGGAGAGAAACGGTTCGGCAAGACTCGTGAAGAATTCGAATTCCAACTCGTAAGTGCCTTCTTCCGATTGGCAACATCTACTGACTATCTCACAGGTGTCAGCCGGTGGAGACCCTTCTTCCGAGGCGCCAGTGTATTTGGAATATGTCAACTGGGAAGCCAATGCCCGCGCTAAGCCCAATGCCCACGGCAAAGCCCCCAACCTCGACCCCGTCCTCACTGCAGCCCTCTTTGAACGTGCCGTCGTACCCTATGCCAAACTCGCCGCTCAAACCCATTCCGCTCTGAATAGCGTAGCACTCCAGATCGAAGAAGCAGAGGCCAAAGAGGGCGAGAAGAAGAAGAAGAGTAAGAAAGGAAAGGGAAGGAAGAAGGACGAGCCAGAGGAAGAGGACGTCAAGGGGGTACTGGTGGAACAGAAAAAAATGGCGGAACAGGCGTTCAGGGCGTATAAAGATGCTGAAGCGTCTATCTGGGCCAAGTATGCTGCCTGGGCGGATGATAATCAGGGGCCCGAGCAGGGGCTGAGTGTCAGGTCGAGGGCGGTCAGGGCTGTACCTCAGAGCGGGACGGCATGGGCAGACTTGTTGCAGGATCTGGCAAGTATCCTCAACTTATGTTTTGGCTCAGACTGACGATTTGTGTAGGAACGAAAGAATGCCGAGCTGCAAGACCTCGATGTCTACTTTGAGCGTGCGCTGGCTATCGGCCAGCTCGTCATTCCCGCCGACCGTACAACAGACCTCGTCGAAGTTTTTCTTGCCAAAGCTGCATACGACGCTCGCCTGTCTACCCCCACCGTGTCCCTCGGTGCTGTCCACCCCGCGCTCGCCTCCATCACCCGCGGCCTCGAAGTCATTTCCCACATTAACAAGTCTGGTGATCCCAGTCTAAAGCTGGAGAAATTTGTATTAGACTGGGCTGAGACGAAGGGGCCGCAATATCTGGACCAGGCATTGTTGGTACTCGATAAACCCATCAAGTCGAGGGCGAGCTCTTACCAGTATGCGCTTCTGAGAGCTGGTGTTGAGATGTGAGTATTCTCTTGGACCTGGTACGCCAGCTGACTTGTGGATATAGCCGCCGAGATGATGCTTCCGCCGCTCGCGACATCTTTGAAGACGCCATCGCCCGTACCGACCTTGACTGGCCCGAAGCCGTCTACGAAGCCTTCATCCAATTCGAGATCGTCCACGGCGACCCCAGCACACTTCTCCAGACGAGAAAGAAGATTGAAAAGGAGCAGGAAAAGCTGGCGAAGAGAAGGGCGAAGGAGGCGGCGGCGCAAGAGCAGTATACGGCGGCTGTGGTACAAGGCGCGGCGAGTGGAGCGGCGGAGACCGTCATCAACGATGTTGTGGGAGCTGCTGAGGCTGGGCAGGAACCGGTCGCGACAGCAGAAGCTGCGACTGCTCCAGCTCCTGGGCCTGTAGAGAAGAAGGAAGAGCCCTTGAAGAGGGACAGAGAAAATACCACGGTTCTGGTCAGTGGCTTGTCCAAGGGCATCACCACCGAGCGTATTGGAAACTTCTTCTCTGGAGTAAGTCTGATGTCCTCTTTCGTCTTGTCGTGACTGACATTGTACAGTGCGGAGATATCCGTGAAATATCCATCTTGTCAAACGAAGAGTCGATGCACGACGACGCTCTGGTAGAGTTCAAATTCGCCGACGCCATCCCCCGCGTTTTGGAAAAGGACCAGAAAAAGTATGAGGGCAGCCCCGTATCTGTCTCGATGCTGTGGAGGTCGACGCTGTTTGTGACAAATTTCCCCAGAGAAATGGATGATGAGGGGATCAGAAATCTGTTTGAACAGGTAAGTTTCCATCTGTTTGGGATAGAGATGAAGCTCACTTGAGTAGTATGGAAAAATTCTTGAAACCCGCTGGCCCAGCAGAAAGTATGCCGACTCGAGGCGGTTCTGCTACATCACCATGGATTCACCAACCTCCGCTCAAGAAACCCTCGTCCTTCAGGGGTACAAAATCCCCGGCGCTTCTACCAATTTTGGTCTGACCGTCTTGATCTCTGACCCTTCTGCCAAGACAAAGCGGAGTGACGCGGCAAACTCGACAATGTTTGTTGGTGGATTGAACAACAAGAGCACAGAGAACGATGTCAGAGGATTGTTCAAAGAGGTGAGTCTCCTGCAACATGCATGTGGGATATGTATCTGACGCTTGAACAGTATGGAACTATCGGACACGTCAAGCTCGGTTGGGATCCTGTCAAAAAGATCTGCAAAGGCTTTGCATTCGTTGAGATGTCTTCCGAGGCGGAAGCGAAAGCCGCGCTCGCCTTGCACGGCACTCAGCACAAGGGTAAATACCTCAAGGTAGAAATTAGTGATCCGAACCACGCAAACAAAAAGCCCAAGGACCGGTAAGGCGTCTTCTGTTATCCTGATTACTCTAGCTTATGCGTCATATAGTGATGATGACAAGGCTGCTGAAAAACGACTTCGGTCTGTACGGCTGCACCACCTCCCAGAGAACACACAAGAAGGGCTGTTGCAACAGGCGCTGGAAAAGATTGTGCCTGTGAAACGGCTCGAGCTATTTGCAAAGAACGGGGAAGCGTTGGCCGAGCTCGATTCGCCAGCTGTAAGTCACACTAGATGGACTCGATGAGTAACATTGCTGACTATCTGCAGGATGTTGGATTGCTGCTCTTGCGTACCGATGATTTCATCTTTGGTGACAGGAAGATCGCCATCACCCCGCCAAACAAGCGCCCTCAGCCAATCAAGGAGGCTGCCGCCGGAGAATCGAGCACCTCCTCCCCCGCTGCCCCGCCAGGCCCACCGACCATGTTTACTCCTCGCGCCACCCGCAGGGCTCTTGCCAAGCCTAGGCCGACGGCCGTCGCAGCTGCCAAAGCCGTCGCTTCCTCCTCTGCTCCAACCGTGAGCCAAGGACAATCTGATTTCCGGGCCTTCGTAGATGCAAAGAACAAACAGCGGGAGGCGAATCTTCAGAGCTCGAGGGAAAGTGGGGAGAAGAGAAAGCTTGAAGAAGGGGATGGGAAGGAAGGAGAGGAGAGCAAGAAGGCTAGAACGTCAACATAGGGAGATGCTTCATATATCATGTATCCGTCTGTTGTGCTTCATTCATCCCTGCTGAAAGATAGGCGGGCGGGCGTGACCCTTGAAAGACCTTTAATAATGTAGGGCCATGCTGATTTCCGAGGTTGCGGAATCATTGCGGAAATGTCGACGCGTTCTTTGCTTTCTATACTTTCGCTCGTACCGTACGGAAACACCTCCCCATCTCGAGAATACAGATAAGAAGCAGAAAGAGTCAAGCATCAATGTCTTCACCCTATCCAGCCCGCCGCACAAGCATATACCACCTCACATCCGCCCAAACATCGTTCCCACATCCACACCATCAGCATCACTACTTTGTCACACACCCCGTACTTGTACAGTACTCGTACGACCCATTTTGGCTTACGGTAAGTGATCACCAGCTCTTGAATAGCTCTCAGCTTGAGCTTATGTGTATCTCAGCATGCTTCACCCAAAGAAATCAGAGTTCAGCTCTCCCCCTTGGTCGCCGACACCTAAGAGGGCAGTGTTTCAACGCCTCTTCCGCTACGCATCTCGGAGTGGCCAGCATGCAAAGCTGGAACAAATTGCCTTCAATTTTGTATTCCCCCATCCGTCACTCATCCCTTTGATGCGGGATACGCCCAAGAAGGATGTCCCACGTCCCAGATTCCCAGACATCGACGACGAGGACGACGATGAGTGTGACTCGCCCTCCAACCCTGATACCACCAAAAGCATCAACGACGCTGCCTCCGATACATCTACCACGATCTCCAATGATCGCGACTGGTACGAGGCCGACGAAGTTGCTTCCGATAGCGATAGCTCCTACAGCGAGGGGTACAATGATGGCTTCGCCTCCGACGAACACAGCCCGCTTCCTAGCCCGGTCCTTACTCCCCCGATTTGCCCTTGGGCCCATCCTGTGTCAGCCGACGACCCCAGCAGCCCTGACATTTCTATGCCTCGAAGGAAGTTACCTGGTCGACCTGGAAGGAATGTTGGGCGACAGGCTTACGGGAAAGTTGGCTCTCTGAGTGCACACCTTGGTAGCTCTCCGTTGAGGCAAGAGCAATTGGTGAATCAGCGATGACTGAAGACACGACAGCTGCAGACCAGTCACATTGTGCATCCTATTTATGCCGTTCAATTTGTTATCTGTGAATGAAGGTACCATGCAACCCATTGTTACTTCTTAACAAAGTGCTCAAGTCACTCTTCTTCTACATGTATCTACAAGGCGTTCCCGGCACCCATGCCAACGCTTGACCTATCATATACAACCAATACTACACAAACATAAGAAGTCGTCACTCTGGGCCATCCGGGTTGAATCCCACCCCATTGTTATTCTCTCCGCCACCCCTAGCCAGATTACCAGGCCTTCCTGCAAGACCGACTCTGAAGTGGGGTAGTCCCCTCAGACCACGGTGAGATGGTTGCTGCAGGGGGTGGTTGTTGCTGCTCATCTGCTGAGACTCTTGACCCTCGACCCCGCCTGCACTAGTACCAGCAACTTGCTGACTCCCTTCGCCAGTCGTCTCTTCTGCCCCACCAGACGAGTCTTGACCAGAGGAAGCCTCTCCACCCCCCGCTTGCGACTCTTCCTGGCCAGCAATGCCATGCCCACCTCCTGCTGCTGGAGCATGTCCTCCACGTATGCCCTGGAACAGTCCTCGTCCGGCATACCCGATCCTACCTCGGAACCCAGCTCTGCCTCGAGGAAGCGGCAAGTGTCTAATCTCGGGTCCTCGCCAGACGTCTGTACTGGGACCATGCTCCGCAGCCTTGACTGCTTTCTTATCGGACGTATTGACCTTGGCTCTTTGGCTCTTGGTCGAGTCGAGATTGCCAAGCACGAGGGCTCCTGTGTGCCACCCAGCAGCCGTAATGGCAAAGACGAACACGCCCTCGTCATCGTCATCGTCTTCGTCGTGATCGAATTCGACTTTGGTAGGTGGGACCTCTTCTCCCTTGCCTCCCAGATCGCCGAGCCCGAGTTGGCCGTTGTTCCCTTTACCCCAAGTGTACATCTCTCCTTTGCTAGTCAGAGCAGCATAGTGATAGTCTCCTGATGCTACTTGAATGATCTGCTTGTCTTGCAGGATCGGTAAAGCATCGGGACGATGGAGCAGAATATCGGGGTTTTCAGAGACAGGAACATCATCTTCGAGGCGAGTATGGCAGAGTGCTGACGTGTCGCTGGTGAACGTCGGGGTGGCGTACGAGGTGATGCTTTGGAATTGGGCGGTAATGTGGGTGATGGACGGTGAGGAAAAGTATGGGAGCTGCACCATCATCAGAGAACTGATCATGAATATGACAAGAGAAACTCACATAACGCCATCTCAATGGCTGGTCTTGCTTCAAAGAGATGTGCCAAACCTCGCCATTTGCCTTCAGGGCCAACAAAAAGTCGGCACCACTTGCGAGCTTGACCACTCGCTGGTCATCTTGAGAGTTTCGGGAGGTAGTCGACTCGTACTCGGACCACAGAGCTCGGAGCTCTTGGCTGGTATGACCTCCCCTGTCTCTGCCTCCGTATTCAGAGCGTTTGTCATCCTCTTCGTCGAGCCCCGGCCTGTCGGGGATAGACGGGAGCTCATGAACGACGTCAGGGCCAACTTTACCCCATCTCAAGGCTCTTTCATCATCATCGTCGTCATCGCCGCCGTCATTGTTTGGAGGTTTGATGGGACCGTTCAGGTCATCGTCTGCGGAGAGGCTTTCCCTGTACGCCGGCGTGAACGGGTACCATACGTGTATGGTCCCCTTGGACGACAGGGCAGCAGAGTGCTGCCACCCCGCTGAGAGCTGCACGATATGCGGCGGATGACTATTAGAGCCATGGTTGACAGGGGCGGTGAGAGCTGGGGCTGTGTGGTGATACGCCTGAAGAATTGTCAGCTCTGCAGCTCATGACCGGGCATACGTTTACTCACTCTGCCCCAAGAACGAAGCTCCCAGATGAGATTGTCTGCGTCCAAAACGAGCAGATGACATCGTCCAGTGCTGATTGCTTCAGCTTTGCAGGGTAAGGGAACCACTGTAGGTGATCGGATGATGGCGTGTTTATTCTCCCAGCCAAAGGGTCTGAATGCGAAGCCCGTACCGTCCATTTGTCCTGTGCTGAGGTGAGTATGGATCTGGTGCTGTTCGGATGCACGTACCCCATACCCACACCGATCCATCACTACACCTAGCAGTGAAGCTCCACCCTGCAGCCTGAAGCTCCACCACGCCGGACACCTTTGATTCATCCTTGCTGGACGGATCAGCGGCCAAGCTATCCCCGCCGGTCACTTGTTGCGATGTTCGGTCCCATGCGATCTCGGCCGGCTCATAAACATGTGGACCGTTGCCTCGCACGCCTTGGCCGTTCTCTGCACCGCCAAGACGTCCATTCGTAGAAGTGCCCCAGACGTATGCCCGAGGGTTCAAAAGGCCGAGATAAACACGCCGCCACCAGTCTGGTGATGGGGCAGGAGGGTGCGATGCTGGGGAGAAGGAAAAATCGCTGGTAGACTTGAGTCTCCAGAATGCGGGGTCACGCTAAGAGGGCTCATCAGACTTAGGTTCATCTGAAAGGTGATGACTCACTGATACGTTACGAAAGAAGTGGGAGACTGCCGAGAGACTGGCGATGTCTCTGAGGGGCAAGACGGGCAGGAGGTGCTCGAGTATGACCTCTGAGGGGATGTCCTTGAGGGAGAGCATGCTGGGTATAGGGGAATAACAGAATGGGTGGCAATGAAAGAGAAGATAGAGCCATGGTGACAACGGATCGCGGCAAGATCGCGGTGCTCGGCCACCCGTCGATGACGTGTAGCAATTACGTAAATGGTCATTCAACGTAGCCACCAGCAGATCATCGGGCTTTTCTATACCCCAAGATAATACATAGGGTATCTTTGGCGCCCTGTCCTGATCTACCGAGCTATCATTCACGGTCGCACAGCCCATAGCCCTGGTTCCGAATACCGAAATCCTGAGATATTGCGTGGGGGGTGGGGGCGGGGGGAGCCGGGCGTGTGTGGGGGGCGACCATCTGCAAGGCACGGCGTGCAACAAGGGACAGGCGACAACGAAATGAAAGGGACAGTAGCGTTGACCCCGTCGAGAGCTGAGTAGGCAAAGGGGCAGCAACATGTTGATCCAAATAAATTGTATCCGACTTTTTCAGATACCTCAGGATGCATGCCATGTCCTCAGAACGCTCTCTTGCGACTGCTACAGCCAGCCTCACTGCCTCCTCATGAAGGGTAGTACCACGGCAAGGACCCCATGCAGCGACCGCCTCAAGGCATGACAACACTCAAGACTTCCTTCTGATGGTAGACGATCGAATTTGAAGGTATGATCTCGTTGTCCAAGACCCTGCATGGCTGACGAGGAGTACAGCAACCTCTCCTGCAGGGCCTGAAGCCCCGTCACCCGTCGTCGTCGCCCAGAACGGCGCTTCCAACCCCCCTTTCGACAGCTACCACTCCAGTCCCGGCTAGTCTAGTGGTGTAATGTGTCGGCCGTCAAAATCTGCCGAGTTTTAGATCAGACACAAGGAAGATATGTATGGGAATGATGTGAATGCAACTGCTGCCAGAACGACGACATGGGCTGCTCTCCTGGACTCCTGGGGCAGAAAAGTCGGGCGAGTGGAGCAACAAAAGTCAGAATTGGACTTGAGCTAAATATCGTAAGGACTTTACTTCCAAATGCTGGTCTCATATTATCCACTTTATCTATCAGTGGCTTGAGCTGACCACTGATCGGGGAAAGCAGAGGCAAAAAAACATATCTCAAGTCATCAGGTGGACTTCCATCCACCATATTCGCCTTATGAATAATCGGTACTCAGAGCCGGAAAGAGAGCATAAGGGGCAAACTCGGTCATGAAACCCAGTGAGTTTCAACACCTCATATTCCCAACGTCAATGGTCACCGTCGCTCACTTTGTCTACCCCATTCCCATCCCCCCCCCTCCCTCACGCAAGACACACCCCTTCACTGCAACGAGGACCAATTGACAGAAGTGGCCAAACAGCGCTGCGCCGGTCATTGCGTCCTTCCTTTGCTGCTCTCGCTATCCACCACCACTCAACTCCAATGATATAGGTGCAAGCGAGGATAGAGGGTCGAAGAAGGCAGAGGACGAGGGAGGGGGGGAAAGAAGGGGAGCAGAAAAGCTTTTGCTTGGAAGGTTCGTCCGTCATGTCTCGCTTGATTCTGGTGGGTAACTGCTCTGACGATTGACTACAGTCTATCAGAACGTACTGCGACATCATAGGACACACTTTCTCCATGGACAGCAGACGACAACAGTAGACGGGGCGGGCAGTCGTAGTGAGCAATCTCAAATCGTTATCAGTGAGAGCTCTGCGCACTTCAATGCTTCTTGATGACGCTTTCTTTTCAGTCTGTCGGTGCTTCATTTGCACCCTTTTATCCTACTCCCCCTTATACTCCAGCTTCATACCTTGATGCGAGTTGTGTTCACGGGGAATCTGCTGCTATGAGATCCACTGGCCATCATTACCGCCGGGTAGAACTTCGGCAGTCAGTATGGATGTTAATGTCGGGCTCTTGGTGGACCGAGTCCTATGACGGTGACGATGGGCATCATGGACTGGACATGAGTGGGAAAGACCTAGGCAACGGTGTTGTCGCGTATTGAAGATCAGAGTAGTTTTTCCCCTGAATCTGACGGATATCCAGTCGAGTAGAGGAGGCACAGCTTGCAGACAGATTACGACTAGCACTGCCCAACTCACATCGACAAGGAAGGCCTGGCCAGGGGTACAGCTATGAACGAGAGCTTGGCAATAGTAAAGGACTCGTATGCCCTGGAAGGTGAGTCTCGGCCCATACTGTTCTTCTTGGATTGCTCTTTGACGGGTCACCACCGCAGATACCTTCCCAGACCAAGCAGTACCATTCCCTTCCTGCTTCTTTCTCAGTCATTTTGTCGCCCTTTGATCCACCACCTTCCTCATTCTTCACACCCCCACCAGCGTCAGCATCTGGGCGGCGCGCGCAAGCACCGACCACTAGACCTAGTTGAACGATACCACCAGCTCCTCCGCAGAGGTCCCGCACTCTGTTCTGGATTCTCAACCTCTTCTCCTCCAGCTCATTCTTATTACATGGTGACAAGGGTAGCTTAGGGACGCACCCACCACATCTGGATCCTGGGGCCAGCGCGGCATTGAGGCAACGCTGGAAGATGAGCAGCTGAGAATAGTGGTCCTATTTCGACGCCGAATGTTGACGCCAAGTGGGAGGAAAGGCGTCTTCTCGAGTTGGCCGGATGAGGGGAGATGGATGGGGGTGACCAGCTCCAGATCCAACGGTCAGCAGCAGGTCCCAAAGACGTGGGTGCCAGTGCTAACAAGGTCTAGCCGAACGATCTCTCACTCGTAAAGTCTCACGCTCTGTCCCAGCTGCCCAGTCTCTTCTATTGTGGCTCCTCCTTGTGTGGTGTATCAGGGAGTAAGCTATCGGCTCCCTGGTGATCGTCGGGACGAGCAGAGCTGGGAAGATGAACAGCTTGGGAAGGGCCATCCAACCAGCTCCGAATAGCTGGTCAATTGAGAGGGCTGCTGGCATTTGCTCGAGTCGAATTGGTGCCGGGAGCTGAGATGATGGGAGAGGAACCAAGGCTGGAGGAAGTATAGTGCCATCGTTGGGTCAGGCGGGGGGCACTGGTGGGGAGGACAAGAGAAGAGGTGTCGGTACAGACGTGACACCCTGGCGAACCAGATGCTCATAATGAGAAATGAGAGGATGGAAGTGCACATCATATCTCGGGAAGCCGATACGTATGGGGAGACTGACAGCCGGCATCCGCGATATTTCGCTGCTCCCGAGCAGAAGAAGAGAACAGGAGGACCGTTGAGTGCAGTGACAGAGCAGACCCCACCGTGCCCGTTTTGGCGTGGGATCTGGTGGGGACAGCAATTCCATCAATCTCGCCAGCTCTCCACCACTGGCGGTAGGTAATTTTTTTGACAGTGTGGATATTCAGGTAGGCTGTCAGACGGTGGGTACCCGCCATCTCGGGCCCATCCACTGGTGATCCGGGCCCCGTGCTGATGCATTTCTTCTCCATAGGTGGTAGCGATGCCTTTGTCTTCGATACCGGTCGCGAGCCCCGCTGCAAGTTCATCTTTCGTCTCGATCCTATCAATCGGACAGATGCGGGGACAGAGGTCATGGGGAGATGAATTGGTAAGAGGAGGTGCCAATGGACATAGGGGGCGACTGAGTGTAGGGCGCAAATGATGATGGAGGTCACAATGATCGACGAAAATGTTTCTGACATGCTTTCTAGTTGTATCTTCAAAGGTTCGTCTGATATATACTTTTACGGATGGAACTCTAACGATGAAAACAGGAACCATTACGCTACGACCTTATAGTCCATCACACGTATCCACAACTTTCGTCCTCCTTTTCAAGAAACTTGATGCGCTCCAAAAGGTAATCGGCCACAGGCTTGATCAATCAACATGAGCGAGGATTAAGATTATAAATGGGTATGGTCGCTTACAATTTAATAGGATTGTCCAATTGCTCTCTCTCCCTCTCTCCAGAATGCTCCTCTTCGTCCCTCTACTTCTGCTCCATCTCCTCGTCATCCCCCTCTTTGCTCTGTCGACGAGCTTCCCCAATTTCTGCATCGGTGGCAAGGGGCCTGGCAGAAGAAGAAGAGGAACGTCCTCGAGTAGCCCTTGCGTGGTGAGAATCCCGAGATTCGTATCTACCACTTCTGCTGACACTGACAGGGACTTCCGATTCGTCGCCTTCCGCTTGAGTTTCAACGTCAGCCTCAACATCGGCCTCAACCTCGACCTCGACATCAGCCTCGTCCTCCTTTTTCTCTTCCTCCGATCGGCCATCGGCACTTTTTCCCTTTCCACGCCGCTTGACGCTTTCAGCATACCCACACTCGGAAGCAACCTTTCGCCTCTCGCATTGCTCGCAGATAGGCTTACGTCCATCACATCTCAGCTTGCGCTTTCGACACGGATAGCAAGAGATCAGCTGTCGTTTGCGTGGAAGGCGGAATTCGCTTGTGCTGCCTTCGCCGCTTGGGTGGACGTTGAAGCGATCGCCATGCACAGGATGGTGAGAAGGTTCTCCAATAGAGAAAGGCGGAGGATGGACACGGGGGGAGGCGGCCATAGGGGCTGCGGGGTACGGGGCATGCGGTGCGTTGTGATAGCCGGCTGGTAAATGGTCTCTGGGGGGAGGGTAGACGGTCTGATCCTCGATAGGCAGATATACGGGCTGATAGGTTCCCCACCCACCCCTCTGACCATGCACATCCATGTCATGCATGTCTGGTCGACTGGGGGGACGATAGGCAGGAGGACTGAACGGCTCGGGAGGATATTGCCTTGCTGGCACAGGCACCGTGGTACGGGGGCGCCCAGGTGTCAGCGTTACTGTATCGAGCGGTGTTTGCTGAGGTGGCCGCCACCCTTGCTGCTGCCTCATTCCCGCGAGACTGCTGATGACTGACGGTGCTGCCTGGCGCAAAGTCGAGAGCTCTGGAGAAGGCGGGCGCGGAGGCGAAGGGGCATGCGGATACGGAGCATGGCGCCGTTTGATCTCTTGCCATTTGCCTAGTTGGTTGAAAAGCGTTATTGATAGGCTCTCGAGCATGTTGAGGTAACAAACTGACCTTGCTTCTGCAATCGCCCCCACGCGTTCTCCCTACCAGCCTTGATGTCCTTCATGGCACTCGCGTAGCCCATCCAGTACGCTCTTACCGTGTCATAGTTCCAAGGAAGAACTCCGCCAGATGAGGCGGGTGCCACATCGGGCGACTGGCCCGGGGGAGTAGATTGCTGGGGGGCAGTACCTGGAAGCAAGCGAGAGGGCTGATGAGGAGCGGAAGGCATAGATTCTGGTCGCTGGGAAGGACTGTCCAACGATGGACGTTGGTGACGCTCTTGAACGAGCGCCGTCTGACCCTGCTGCCGTAGCCGTTCGCGCTCATCGTATGGAAAGTTGAGCGAGTAGAGGAGCCTGAGAGTCTATCAGCTGGTCCTGTCACCTTGAAAAAAACCTACAGCTCTTCGCCCGGCGGCACTGATGCAAACGGCGCATGAGGCGGTGCTTCGGGCGCCTGAATATGAGTCGCCAGCGACGGAAGACCTGAACCTTCGCTCGGAGTAGGGGACGGGCGTCTAGAAGGAACATATCGTTGCTCCCCAGGAAGCATACGGTCTGTAGGAAGAATCCGGTCCCGGGGAAGTACTTGACCTGTTTGCCGGCTGGTGGCATACAACAGCGAGTCATCAGCAGCATCATGAGCCAACCCTGGACCATGAGCAGCGTGCACAGGCCTCTGGCTTGACCGATAATCCCACTGTTTGGCGCTAGTATGTAATACTTCTGTATGCCGCCGCCCGCGAGGATTCGGAGCGTCCTGAGGAGGGGACCTAGGGGAAGAGGCGCTCCTAGATCGGCGAGGTCTGTGGGAAGCAAGAGAGGGAGATGGACTTCGACCTCGTTTTCTGGGCGTTGTCGTGCTCGCCTGGTTGAATGATGATGATGAGGGGCTTGGGAGTGGGAAAGGGCGGGATGTGAAAGACATTGAAGGGGTCAAGGACGGAAGATTGATCCGAGATCGGGGTTGGGATGAGTTAGACCTGGGAGCTGGATGAATCGAGCCCCCCCTTGCATCCGTTGCGTCCGATGATGGCACCGAGGGCTGCCTAGCGCGCTCTCTTCCTCTGTTCAGAGGAGAGCTTTGCCTACCTGGCGGATAGTCGTGTGATGGGGCAGGTGGCTCCGCATTGGTGTTTGTGGGAGGAAGAGATCGATGAGATGAGGCGGGGGTTAACTCCCCTTTTTGAAGGTGTTTATTGTCGTTTGCGGGCATGTCGAGCGTCGACTATCCCGGGAGATGCTATGGAGAAAGATCTCGATAGCAATGGGGTAGGTGCTGAACTGAACAAGCTCAGAACTGGACCTCTCCTTTCGTTGGGGAAGATCAACCAACCTTGAAAGATCTCGAACGTCCTCTTTCGCGGCCAGCCACGCGGACACCTCCAACGTCCCTGTTCTCGGCCTTCTCCTGTATTCTAATGTCTACCAGCTCTTCTACCTATCCAGCCCTATGTATATAGAATAGTAGCCAAATGGTGGAAGGATGCGAAATACGAAAGAGAATAGGGTGGTGCTGAGGAATGTTTGAAAGTCACGAAAAGGCGGAGCACCGTATGCAGATGCTCCTTTTCCGTCTGCCACACCCACCTTTTCTGGCCGGAGCTCCTTTGGCAGAGTGCCAAGCAAGAACAGGCTGGCCTAAGCCGCACAGGAGAGCAGAACAGGCCGGATAACCACACCCGAGAAAAGATGTCGGTGTCTGTGATCAACAGATGTGTCCAACAGATGTGTGTCTGTATGATGGGTAAGCTTCCATGTCCATAGATACAAGGATTGCATACTGTTTACAGGCTCACTAAGGAAGTTTCTTCAGGGATACTCGCCAAAAGCTACGGCGAGACTGGGCCACACCTCTGGCTCTGGCGCGTCGCAAGTGGCAAGCAAGATCGCCGAGCTTGGTTTGGGTAATAGGATTTTCCAGGATCTAAGCGCAGTGTGGATGGCTGCTATGGCGATGGGGGCCTGTGGATTGAAGGGGAGAATACGCTTGGGGCAAGTGAAGAGAACAATGAAAGAGCCTTTGTGGAACTCGGAGGAGATCCGAGTTAGCCTTTGTTCTGTGTGATCGACTGCATAATGTCTGTGACTGTCCAGCGTCCTGAAGAGCGTCTTTGGTGATGTTACATGGGTGAATACATCTCGTGCTGCATGACTATGCTGGCACCACGTCCCGCACAGGGTGACATGGAGCGGAAAGGACAAACAGTGGGGCGGGGCAGTGTGGGAGGATGTTGGGGAGAATAAAGACTTTGTACCTCCGACGAGCTCTGATCCGGACTGCGTGATCGTCTGCGGTTGTCGAGAAGAGGGTACCTGGCATCCTTGTTGCGCGCTGTGCCTAGCGCAAACCAACCGCCTTCCAGTTCCAGCGTACCCCCGATGACTCGCACAAACGTGGCTCGGTGAAACACGCGACAGCAGGGGCATCATTTACGAGATTACGAGAAACAACGGGGGTCGATAATAAGCGGTAAGCGGACAGCGTTGGTCGACCAGCACGCTGTCGTCGGTTGTAGATAAGCTCTCTGATCAGAACAAGGCGGTGTCGCGTGGCGAATTGATGTCCTTGACCTGTCGACGATCCTTTGGGTGGCAGTCATTCCTCGCAAGACTCGACGTGGCCGGACGTGGTTCTCGACTTGAGCTTCTTGATCCTGTGCTAGTTTTGTTTCCGTCCGATGATCCCAGGTGATTTCCAGAAGATGCACGAACGCCACGGGAAATGTGCAGGAGATCTGTAAGTCATTGAGTGTTATCATTCTCCATTGCAAGCGCCCTCCTGATCAAATACGTCAGAGCCAACCTGTTGTTGTTATTATTATTAGCGTTCTTCTTCGCTTTTTGACCTCCATGACCCCTGCTATTACCTCTCCCTATTCCCCCACTTTGCATCAACCTCCGAAGCCCACCCCGGCCGCCGGGTCTGGGTACTGCGAATCACAGACCACACTCACAAGGATATACTCCATCCCTGGACCCCCTTAATACACCCGACATTGCCGCCCGAAGACCGCTGCATGGTAAGAGGGTCCAAGCCCCAGGGGATGGTGGATTTTGGGTTCCATACTTCGTCTCCCAGGGGGCAGAGGTCTGCGAACATCAGGGATGCTCGCATCGCCCACTTTGAAGAGACTTTAGCCTCGTTCCGACTTCCGATGGAAACTCCGCGTTATATCTTGATACATACCACTGAACTGTCCAGAATATCGTGGGAGGGGTGTCCAGCCACCCGGAGACCGATTGTACAGTTCCATGCGCGAAACCCTCGTCTCTGACGACTTGATCGCCGTGAAGGCCGGACGCCACGCGAATGAATTTTTGGCTAGAATTGGCCCACCGGTCACTGATCTCACTGAAGACCTTGAGGCTGACTACATAGAGGCAAGGAACCGCCAGCCACCAGGATCAATATCCGATTGCCGTGACGCCGCAGCACATGTCGACAGAACCTTCTGTTGATGATCCCTTCCGGGATCGGATGTCTGCTGATATTGGGCGAAAGAAGAGATCGCAATTGACGATCCTGGCGTTTCCACTGCAATGACGAGGCTATGTGTATGTTAGTCTCGGAGGGCTCGTATACGGGGAGTAGGAAGACTTCTCAGGGACTGTATTGGAACAGCCCTCTTTCCATGTATGAGATATTGTGGTGCTTGCTACAGTCGAGATGGTGTGGCAGATATAGTAGTCTGACAGGTATTCCAACAAAGGCCCCAGAAGTGTTATCAGCAGCAGAAAGAGGAATATGTACTTCTCGAAAGGATCGTCAGAAGAAGCGCACGGGCTTCACCGAAGAGCTCGCAATCAATCAATCGAATGCGTATTTAGAGCGGCTCTATCATTACAAGCGCGTTGCTTTGGATCAGGCAGTGGGGTCTTGTTTGTGAGCTGACAAAGTCTTTTCAGCCGCCTTTAGATGGCTGCCTTACTTCTCTCTACCACTTAAAGGCTTTGCATACATTCTCGTGTAATATCTCCAGCGGGTCTTTCGTCCCCATAGGAGTGGTATGGTGTACGTGTGTATGAGTAAGTCTATGATACATGATAATACACACTGGTGCTTGCTACACAGATAGGCTCATTACGGGTCGTCACTCATGAAAGAAATCGTCCACCATGCCCTCGACCTTACTTTCCTAGATCCATCTCAGAGGACCGTCCCCAGCGGGCGTCATGGCGTGCCCACCTCCCATGCCCAGTCGAGGACTTGGGCGAGGGGACGGCCTCGGGTCTTTGGTCTGACCATCATCGCTAGAATGCCCTGCTCCGTTGATTGGCGTTGTATTCAAGGGCCTGAGAGACTCGAGACCAGCTTTGGACACTCGGCGGCCCGGTTGCAGCGTCGTACGATCGACGGGCGCTCTGTCATCTTGTCAGCACGACAACTTTCTAAACCTCAAGTGACGTACCGCCTATGGTGCACCCATACACCATTCTTCCGAACCTCTCTCTCATCTCCGACCGCTTGTCGCTCATCATGTTGACCATTGTCCCTCGCCCCATCTCCCTCAGCTCCGGCTCCATCTCCATTGGCGGGCGAGAGGTTTGGAGGACGAGAGTAAGTGTCGACACTCGCCGACCATGTCGGCGGCAAGCTCTCTCGCATGTACCGATTGTTCTTCTCCTCCCCATCCCCCGCCGGCCCCGGCCCCGCTTTCCGCCCTCCACCGTCACCATGCACCCCGCCAGACACCTTAAGCCCTAGCTCGGACTCTTCCCACTGCATCAGCTCGGCTACAAAGCCGATGTTGGGGCTGATACCTTTACGGCGCTCAGCAACATAGGCATACGAGGTTCTGAGGGTCCAGGCATTGGCGTGGATGAGGTAGGCGAGGGTGATGGTAACTGAACGGGATTTGCCAGCTTGGCAGTGAATATATGTTGGTGCAGAGTGAAGGCGGGCGTCATCTGCGTATCATTAGGTATGATCACAAGAAGAGGGAAAGTACTTACCCAGAAATTCACAAGCATCTCGCATGCCTTTTCCAACCCCATTCTCCTCGACAATGTCTCGCATTGGCACCCGATGGTACCTAAACTTTTCTCTCAGTCCCAACCCCTGGTCGTCATCACACTCGATAGCCACATTCAAAATACGTTTCACCCCCAAGCTCTGTAGCTTCTTGACATCAACATCGTTTGTAATGTCAGGGCCAAGGAAAAGAAAGTTGGGAAGAATGGTGGACACGTTGAACGGCGCAATGGGGTTGGCAAGGCGAGTGGTGGTAGTTGAGGAAGATGAAGTGGAGGAGAGGGGAATCTGACTATCGGGAGGCGAATCGGATATCTGGAATCGGCCACGGGGAGTGGCCTCATTGGACCATCCCGTCGTTACCAAATCCTCATCCTCACCTTCCAGACGTTTCACATCCCCAAACGAACTAGGGGAAGGTGGGAGCTCGCTCTGCTCGTGTGCCAGGACCTGCAATGAACTGGGAGAAGCAGTACTCTGGCCGTTGGGCTGAGGAATATTGAGAGATAGGCCGGGTGAACGTAGTGGCTTGTTACGAGAGCACATGAAGCCACCAGGAGTCGGGGGAATGTCGAAAGAACCGAGCGTGGCGCTTCGCAAAGGTCGATCGAGGTTTAAGCTCAATTTCGGTGTCCTTCGCTCACCCAGGGTAGACCGTCCAATGGTCTTGCTATTACCGCCACCATTGATGGACAATGCGGGAAGGTCGCGCTGCTGATTGGACCCGGGCGGTCGAAGAGACGGTAATGAAGGTCGATGGGAGACTCGGAGTGGCGCGGGTGAAGAAGGGACAGGCGGCAGAGGAGGCGTCTCACCCGGCGGAGCCGATTTAGGAGGTGGTAATAAGGGGTCGTTGTGGGTGACGGCAGGCTCAACCTCACCGGCAACGAGTATTCTCCTACTTTCTGGGGTGTTCTTGATAGCATCCCAGCCGCCTTCGACCTCCTTGACCCTGTCATTACCCACAAGGCTCTGCAGAATTCCAGCCAGAGTATTGCCCACGTCGTCAGTGTCGTCTTTGATCAACGCAATTTCCGTCTTGCCTTCATCAGCCTCGTCCCACGAGTCGCAGCCTTGAGCTGTCGAGATGAAGGCACGGAGATGACCCCAGGAGAAACCCCCTTTGCTATCAGAGCCAACGGAGCTCCGTTGAAACCTCTTGGAGATGAGGGTCGGGATAGATATCGATACAGCCCGGGGAAGGTGCTCGTCCAAGAAGGATCCTAGCGGACGCGTATCGACTACCAGCATCTGCCCTGTAGCTTGCCTCTCTAATACTTGCTTGATGTCAATACTGCCCAGCTTGGTCAAAGAGTCGCCCTTGGTCGAGGGGAAACAGGACCGTTCTGGTGTCGGAAAACCAGACCCGCCCGATTCAGAACCTGAGCCAGCCAGAGGGGAATCGACAGGTCGAGCTATGAGGTTCTGCCGAACGGTCTTGCGGAGGAGCGACAAGCTCTCGAGCTCGTTGGCTAGTGCTCCGTCTGCGATTGACTTAGCATTGTCAAATGAAGCAAAATATTATCACGCACCATCATTCAAGGAAGTCACAGATCCAGCGGTAGCAGGCCTGCTGCTATACTGTCTTCCCACATTGTTGCTCCTCTCCAGTTCCAACCCTTCATCTGTGTCCATCGACGTCTTGGCCTTGCCTAGGACCAGCGGGCTGGGACGCCGGCGGGGGAGGGGCGACCTTGGCCCTGTATATGGAATAGGCGCTGTCAAGGGCGCATCACTCCCTAATGACCTCGAGCTCCAGCTCGGACTGGAATTCAAGTGCGGCAACAGCGACGAGGAAGAACGATTCGGGGCTGGTATCGTAGGAGAGTGGGCTTCCGACATCCGCAAGGGCGATCTCTCGGGAGTGTCACGGAGGTACGGCAGGCTGGTGGGAGAGGAGGCAGTGGACGATATATCTGGAGAGTAGGCATGGCGGTATGCCGCACTATCCAGTAGGGATGGGCCGGCGATGGAGGCGGGGTCGATTGGGGCAGGGGTGCGGAGGGCGGCTGCTTGTGGTGGCGGGACGGAGCGGGGTATGGGGGCGAGCATGGGCGGGGGAGGACGGGAGGTGGCCGTGGTGCGGTCGTTGCGCATAGCAGAGAAATAAGACGGAGTGGTTTTTGTAGGCGATGGAGCGTAAACAATGCGAAAACAAGAAGATGACACTGCCTCGCGTCCGTATTTACGTTGTTGCGCAGATTCCCTCGCTGTCTGTCCCTGTTTACGCGTGAGTGGTTGCTGTCTGTTGCCAAGCGTGTACGTGTATCGCCTACCCGCTGATGCCCGCTATAGAGATATGCCAACAAGGGATACGGGCTACGGCGTACATGAAAGGAGTATCACAAACGCCAACGTCCACTATATGACCAGCGCGGTGCACGTAGTCAAGGCTGAGCCGCTTGGACATTATCAATCATCATGCAGGTCAAAAGCGTGCTGAAGAGCTGGAAAGCTGGCACGATAATGCCAGCATCTCTGACGACAGCCGCATTGCTTGGGGTTGAAGCATGGTAAGAGTGAGGGCACCTTGATCGGACCGCGCAAAAATCCAAAGTCTGCAGCTTCACCCATCCACTCGAGGGCTGAAAGCTGTGCCCCAAGGCTGACGGCTATAAAGGTGTCGCTGAGTGGAGAATGAGTAATGCATCAGAACGTCGACAACCGCTTCGGCCTGCTCCACCGAACGAAGTCATCCCGACCTCTTCAACCCTGCCCCCATCTCCTTCATCGCCCAAATGGATGATACCCACCCAGAGATATCCCAAAACCCAGAGAAATTAAACAAGCCATGCAAAGTGATTGACTGTTGGTGCATACACCTGATAGTGCGCTTTTGAAGTTACTCGCTGATCTTGGCGAGGATTTCGGCGTCCTTGAAAAGGTGGTACTCCTGTGTTCGGCGTCAGCTGCTATTGTATGCAAAGCTACGACAGCTAAATCAACAAATGACTCACCTCCTCACCGACCTTGATGGGGCTACCGCCCCAACCAGGCAACAACACCTTGTCTCCGACCTTTACAGACGTAGGGGTAAGCTGACCGTCCTTGTTGACGGCACCGGGGCCGACGGCAATGACGGTAGCCTCCGGAAGGGGGTTTTGGGTGGCGGCAGAGGGGAGGAAGATACCAGAGGCGGTCTTCTACATGTCCCAATGGGATTGTGGTCAGGAAGTGCAGGCTTCCAAGGGCATGCCATGAAACTTACAGTGTCGGCCTTGAATCGCTGGACCAAGACTCGGTCAAGAAGGGGCTGGAGAGCCTTGATGTTCTTGAAGGTAGCGGCCTGTCCGGGGATGTGTGGTCAGCATTGAAAGAAGTGGAGGTGGGGCTGGCAGACGGCTGCGAGAGCAGCACATGTGTCACCATGTCCGGAAACTCTCGTGAGCGTTGAGGGGGCTTACCATTTTGAATCTACGGGGGACTTGTGGTGGTGAGGAGAAAGAGGGGAAAAGCGAGGGCTGCCATTTGGAGAGGACCGTCAGTCAAAATCCAGAAGGCACCAGAAACTTAACTATTCGTAATTAACAGGCAATCTAAGCGACCACCTCGCCGGTCCGTTGCTTTTTCAGCCACAAGTTTCTTTTTCCTTTTCCTCTCCACCTCAAAAAACAGCCACGAATCCGCCATGAACCCTCTCCGATCCCGTGCAGCCCTCCCCCGCCCCGCCAGGCTCGCCCAGAACCTCGCTCCCCGCATCTCCAAGCGATCCTTCGCCTCCAAGGACGTCGTCTTTGGCAACGATGCCAGGCAGGGTATGCTCAGGGGTGTCGACACCCTTGCCAAGGCTGTCAGCGCCACTCTTGGTCCCAAGGGTAGGACCGTGATTATTGGTAAGTTGAAATGTAGTAGGGTATACGTACATGCTGATGAGAATGACAGGCCAGAGCTTTGGTGGCCCCAAGATCACCAAGGACGGTGTCTCCGTGGCCAAGGCCATCACTCTCAAGGACCCCGTTGAGAACCTCGGCGCTCGGTGAGTCAGGCGCTACCTATCACATGTACCAAACTGACTCGTATCAGTCTTGTCCAAGACGTTGCTTCCAAGACCAACGACACTGCCGGTGACGGTACCACCACCGCCACCGTCCTTGCCCGTGCCATCTACGCCGAGGGTGTCAAGAACGTCGCTGCCGGCTGTAACCCCATGGACCTCCGACGAGGTGCCCAGAAGGCCGTCGACAAGGTCCTCGAGGTCCTTGCTTCCAACAAGAAGGTCATCACCACCAGCGAGGAGATTGCCCAGGTACGTTGTTCAATTTGTTGGGCTGCGCATGTGCTGATGTGAGATCAAGGTGGCTACCATCTCTGCCAACGGTGACACTCACGTTGGATCCATCATTGCCCAGGCCATGGAGAAGGTTGGCAAGGAGGGTGTCATCACCGTCAAGGAGGGCCGAACCATTGACGACGAGATCGAGATCACTGAGGGTATGCGATTCGACCGAGGTTTCATCTCTCCCTACCTCATCACCGACGCCAAGAACCAGCGTGTCGAGCTTGAGAAGCCCTTCATCCTTCTTTCCGAGAAGAAGATCTCTGCTTTGCAAGACATTCTCCCCTCCCTCGAGATCGCCGCCTCTACTCGCCGACCTTTGTTGATCATCGCCGAGGACATTGACGGTGAGGCGTTGGCTGCCATCATCCTCAACAAGCTCCGTGGTCAGCTCAGCGTTGCTGCCGTCAAGGCTCCTGGCTTCGGTGACAACCGAAAGTCTATTCTCGGTGACATTGCCATCCTCACTGGTGGTACCGTCTTCTCCGAGGAGCTCGACGTCAAGCTCGAGAAGGCCACTCCCGACCTTTTCGGTAGCACTGGTTCCGTCACCATCACCAAGGAGGACACCATCGTTCTCAACGGTGACGGCGACAAGAACCTCATCCAGGCCCGATGCGAGCAGCTTCGAGGCTTGATCAACGACGCCACCACCTCCGACTACGACAGGACCAAGCTCCAGGAGCGATTGGCCAAGCTCGGTGGCGGTGTCGCCGTCATCAAGGTCGGTGGTTCTTCCGAGGTTGAGGTCGGAGAGAAGAAGGACAGGTACGATGATGCTCTGAACGCTACCCGTGCTGCAGTAGAGGAGGGTATCGTCCCCGGTGGTGGTACCGCCCTCCTTGTAAGTCCCTCTTACTTTGTAAATCTTGCGGCTGACCTTTCCTGTAGAAAGCCTCTGCTACCCTCGAGGACATTGCCGTGGACAACTTTGACCAGAAGCTCGGTGTCGCCATGATCCGACAGGCCATTCGCCGACCCGTCCGAACCATCGTCGAGAACGCTGGTGAGGAGGGTTCCGTCGTCGTCGGCAAGCTTCTTTCTGAAGAGTTTGTCTCTGCCGACAAGTTCAACTGGGGTTACGACGCCCAGACCAGCCAGTACAGGGACATGATCGCCGCCGGTATTCTTGACCCTTTGAAGGTTGTCAGGACCGCTTTGATCGACGCTTCTGGTGTTGCTAGCTTGTTGACCACCTCCGAGGCTTGTGTCGTTGACGCCGAGGAGAAGGCGCCTCCTGCTGGTATGGGCGGTATGGGTGGCATGGGCGGCATGGGTGGTATGCCCGGTATGATGTAAGATGGGGACACTAGTATAAGATGAAAAATCACAAAAGTATCGTTCTGTTTCTTCTGGGTCTTTTGCATAGGTCGGGTTGTTTAGCAATGCTTGTACGCATAGCATGATGTTTAATTATGGATTCACCACTCATCAACATAAGCCCTAAGTTCTGCATGTTCACCTTGTATCTGAGTCATTCGATTAGTCTCGACCCGAGTTCAATGCTGCAATTTGGAAGAAAACCAGCAGTCAACGTCAACGAAGTGTCGATGAAGTGCCTGTGATACAGACGGAAGCAAATATTTCCAGCATGAAGACAAGAATATAATGAAACGCTCAAGAGCATTTGTTCATTCACCAAAAGCAAAATGTCGGGCGCAGCACCTACCGACACCATTTCTCCACCCGATGAGGAACTTATAATCACGACAAAAGAGCTGCGCGCAGCTCACCCAGACAAAAGCATCCTCAAACTCCTCGCCCAGCTCAAACTTGATCGTCCCGAATGGTCCGTCTCGGAAAAGCGATTCAGAAAGGCCCATTCTGCCACCTCAGACGGCGAGGGAAGCACTCCGGGTGCATCTCAAAGCGCTGGGACGGGAGGCAAGGGGGAGAAGCCACTGATTGCTGATACGGGTTTGGACCCTTCAGTCGATGTGGCTAGCTTGGCGCCCAAAGTGGAGGTGAAAATGTTCAAGGGTGGGAAGGGAAAGGGTTTGGTGGCCAAGGATGGACTGGAGATGGGAGAGATGCTTTGGCAGGAGGAGCCTTGGATTGTGACTTCTGACCCGTAAGTTAGAGCTTGGCAGAAGGACGAGAACAAAGCGGCGGCTTGGGGGAATGTCTGGCGGGCTCGGGGAACGCAGAGGTCTTTGGAGTGTGATCAGTTGGCTGACATGATTCTCAGAGGTCACTATCCACTCCTGACGCAATCTATGATGTGCACACAGTGCTTCTCCATCTTTGATCGTCCAAACCCAGCCTTATCCGTCCCATGTTCGCGATGCCCCACAGCACACTTCTGTACCAGGCTCTGCTACTCTAAAGCCCAACTCGCTTCGCACCCTCAACTTCTGTGCCCCGGCGAGAATCCCGCGGCCGAAAAGTTGATGAAGTTTGTCAGACAAAAAGGGGAAAGAGGCATGGAAGGTGTCGTCAAGATCGTGGCCAGGTGGAGGACTGAGAGAGAATGGAGTAAAGGAAGCGAGGCCGAAGATATGGAGAAGAGGGTTTGGAAGGGTATGGCGCGAATCAGCCAGAAGAGGAAGGAGGCAGAGAGGCGGGAGTGGGAGTATGTGGCGGAGAATCGAATGAAGGAGTGGCGCGAGTTCCATGCGTTGCTTATCGGTGCTCTGAACCCTCCCCAAGGCCACTACAACCATAGGAACTTTCAGAAGCTCGTCAAGACGCGCCGGAATAACCCAAAGCCCTTGACAGAGAAGGAGGAACAAAAGTGGTTCTCTTTCGGAAGCTTTTTGGAGCTGCTGGGTCTTGTTGGGTTGAATCAGGAAGACTCAGGTGGTCTGTATGCTCTGCATGCGCACTTGAACCATTCTTGTACACCAAACATTCAGGTATGTTGCTCTTTGATGGATAATGCAATCACTGACATGTGTGTGGGTAGGTTCGTAATCTGCCAAAGTCTTATGCGCCGCCATCGCCATCATCTCTCCCCTGTGATCTTCCACCGCCACTTCAGAAAGGTGATAGCTTCTCCAACAAGCTCACCATCCTCGCCCGTCAAAAGATAGAACAGGGCGAAGAGTTGACCGTGTCGTATGTCAACGTGAAGATGCCGAGGGATGAAAGACGGAAGATCCTGCGAGAGGGTTACGGTTTCTGGTGTAGCTGTGACAGATGTGAGAAGGAGAAGGAGGGAGGTGTCACGCAGGAATAAATGGATCGAGACTTGAGCATGGTCGACATGGATATTCAGCCTGTGTTGGGCCCATCACCGAGATAACGCGCTTGATATCGCATATCACCCACGTATATGTATCCTCCCACCTTACATATCACATTAGACAGGTTGCCCACAGTTGGTGCAACGCTATCAGACCTGTGTCGCACTCGTTACGTTGAACGACGGCCAAGAGATGGCGAAGAGTCGAGTCATGCTGCCCTTTTATGTCGGCGTCGTGTCTTAACTGTCTCATATGCTCCTGCGCTTGATCTTGGCGATGCTATTCTACGCAGTGGAGTCGCTCCACGACTCAGCCAGGATGCGATTTAGAGAGCAGGAAGGAGCTGTTCGGCGCCGCCGGGATACTGGATTGCCGAGCGTGCCGGGTGGTTGCCGTCTTGCCGAGAGAGGCTGATAAGGAAAAGAAGGCGAATTTCCTCAAATTCTTTCCAATCTCGATGACGGCCTTCCGTACACAATTCCGTTTTCCAATAATCTGCTGTACCGTATATATAGATCAATAGATATTCATAGACGACTTTAGATCCACGACTCGACCATCACCAACGCAACTTTTCCCGCCATGGCCTCGCCCCCGGTCCCCCCACTTCGACATGCCGTCACTCAGCCGCAGACAAAGCTGGAAGACGACCAAGTGGTTCACAACACCAACATACGGCCTGTGCAATCTAGAAGAGAGGTCGACCCGTTTCCACTTCATCTCGCTCGCTCTCTATCTCGGTCCCAGTCACAAAACGCACCCTCGTTACATCGCCCCCTCACAAGACACGATGGACTCGACAATATACCACCACCTCTACCAGCCTCGCCTCAGCAACTGGAGAGAATGCTGTCAGGTAATCCTGACCTCGAAAGACAGATGGGCGTTAATGATGAGGACGTCGGGCCGCCGCCAGAAGGAGGGATGGAAGCTTGGTGCTGCGTTGGTGCTGCTTTTATGGTGCTGTTCTGTATATTTGGATTTGGTGAGTTTCAATCCTTTCCAGAAAATACCATACTGACAATCGATCATAGTCACTAGTTTTGGACAAGTGAGTGACCAGGTCTTCCTGTTATATCCCATACTGATCTAATCATCTTACCTCTCTACCTTTCTTTCTGTGCTCTTCCCATCAACAGCTCAAATCGTACTATCTAGAAAATCAACTTTCAGATTACTCTCAATCTGACGTCGCGTGAGTCTTTATCTTTGACATCTCGCACCTGCTGATGGACACTCAGCTGGATCGGAACTCTGCAATCGTTCCTCACATTCGCTGGGTCAATTGCGTCGGGAAGATATTTCGACTCGCATGGTGCTAGGACGATCACAATCGTGGGAACCAGCTTGAATGTTGGAGCCACTATCGCGCTGGCATGTACGTATGTTCGCTACCTTGTCACGCATTGACTGATTGCCTGCAGTCTGTAAGGAATATTATCAGCTCATCTGTGCCCATGCTCTTTTCGGGTTGTCCGGGACAATCATGTATTCGCCATCGACAGCTGTATCAGGTCACTGGTTTATGAGAAAAAGAAGCACTGCGGTCGGCATCGTGGTGTGCGGGGCTGGCGCAGGAGGCATCATATATCCTATAGCTCTCAAGAAGTTGTTTGAGAAACTCAGTGAGTTCCTGTTCCGGACTCTTGCGTGCAGTGCTCATTCCTCCCAGGCTTCCGAGACAGCATCCTCATCATCGCGGGCATGAATGCTGTTTTGATGTTCCCTGCTTGGTTCTTCCTCAAAGCGCGGTTGCCTCCGAGGCAGCCCCCACCATATCGAAACATGAGGAGACCCTGGAAAGAAGCCCGATATACGTGTCTTGTGGCCGGTTCAGCTCTGGTGATGATGAAGTGAGTGTGTTTCTTTACCAAGATGCCAGGCTGACGCGTCCCTAGCGTCTTCTCCCCATATTTCAACGCCCCCATATTGTTCAACTCCAACAACCTATCTCCAGAGCTGGCTGATTACTCCATCGCCATCCTCCAGGCTGGGTCCATGATTGGCCGAGCCATGTCCGGCGCTCTTGCAGATCTCTTTGGAGTATGGACAGTCTTCCTTTGCTCCATCCTTGGGAGCTCTATATCTGTATATGCCTTCTGGGTGCCACCATCCATCAACGCTGCGACTGCTGTTGTCGGATTGGTTGCATACGGAGCTTTCAGCGGAGCTTGGATAGCGTTGGTAGCTGCCAGCTGTGGAGCTATCAGCCCCACTAGAGAGTTCGGCATGCGTCTGGGTATGCTGTGGTCTACCACTTCCATTCTCGCCTTGGCTGGACCTGTCATTTGTGGTCGTGAGTTCATTGTGCATTTATGCTGCACGCGCTGAAACCGATTACAGTTCTCATCACCTCCAACGGTGGCAAGTTCGAGCACGCTGGACTCTTTGTTGGCTCAACGCACCTCGTAGGTGCGGGCCTGACTGTTGCGCCTAGATTCTTGGAGATCTTGAGAGATGGTTATCGTCAGCTGGGTGGAAAGTCAGGCGAATCGTATATAATCAAAGAGACGAAGGAGAGGTCGGCGTCTGGATAAATCTTGTGGCGAAGACCGTTACAAAGGATTCGCGCTTGTTGTACAAGTATGGAACTATATTAGAGGAGCCCTATAAGAGCTCGCATGTATCGATGCATACCTATAAGAGCTTGATTGACCGGTTTTTGCAACGTTGAGGCGACAGTCCGGATCCGCCACCAATTTCGCCACAAGCCCACAATCGAATCTGTTATCACCTCCACCTAATTTGCCACGCGGAGGAACGAACGTTTCAACCAGCATCACCACCGAGTTCTGCTTTCACAAGTCTTATATTTTGTTTCCCGCCATTCTTATCACAACGCAAGACCGCCTGTCCGACTCAGCTCCCAAAAGAAGAGGATATCCTACCCCAGCAATCAAGAAACGATTCGAAAGACTTACGAAAGACCGATCAGTCCTCAACCCCTTCGCGTATCCCAGACCTCTTGATCGACAAGAGTACTGCCCGCTAGTCGACCTGCAACCGCTCAAGACAATAGCTGACCGAGGCAACCTTCCTCGGGCATCTTTGTCTACAGTGCGGTGATAGGCGACACCACCCAGAAATATTCATATGACAAACCTACACCTCCATTTTTGGAATGGTAATGTCAAAGCCTTTCGGCAGGAGCTGGAGGGGACTGGCGGGGGTCAGGCCCCTGCCAAGGGAGGAGGTGGAGGGGGGAACAGCGGCATAGGGCCAGGAAGCGCGAGTGGAGGAAATGGCAAGAGCTGGTTGATGAGTGGAATGACTGGCAGCAAAGGGGATCCCAATGAGAGGGACATGTATGGCAGGACGTGAGTTTCTCCCGACCATGCGCAAACAAATCAGTATTGACATCTGTGTTCCTATACTTAGTGTATTGCACCTTGCGGCATCATCCATGACCCCTCTATCATACAGCTTCTTCCAAACACTTTTTCGCAACCCGCAGATCCAGGTCAATCTTCAAGACCAAGAATCGGGCTATACTGCTCTGCATCGTGCACTTTTCTCGGGCAATATCAAAGCTGCTCGTGACCTTTTAATGAGGAACGATATCGATACGAGTCTGAAGGATACAGAAGGGATGACTGCGTACGATCTGTATAATGGAACTGTCAACGGCGTGAGTCAATCAATATATGTCGAACGAGGAGCTATACTGATTGCGAGCCAGACGAATCCGTCCCAGGATAATGATGGAACGGATCTGTTTGTGTGGGGTGTCAACCGTGGGTCTATCACATCGAGATAGTCGAGGCCAAATACTGACGATTATCATCAGGCAACTTTGCTCTTGGTACAGGCGACACTACAGACAAGGTATTCCCAGATCCTGTACATCTTCTCACCCAAGCTCAAGCCGCTGGTCGTGAAGAACCGTCACGAAAGTTTGAGCTCGTGGGGGTCAAAGACGTCGTCATGTGTAAATTTCACACAGGCGTCATCACCACAGAGTCCCAAGGAAATCTGAGCCTGTGTGGGTTTGGTGCAAACGGGCGATTGGGCCGTTCGGTGCACTCCCAACTGGCCCTCACGCCCATACCTGACTTTCAAGCTACGATAGTTCGGATTGCCCTTGGCCAAGATCATACGTTAGCCCTCACCAGTGGGGGCTATATCTTGTCATGGGGTATGAACCGATTCTCTCAGCTAGGGTACGTGATCGAGGCTGTCGAAAGATTCGGCAGAGACGGAGACGACTCGGTGCAGGTCTCCCCAAAGAGAATTGTCGGTCCTCTGAAGAAGGAATTTGTCAAGGGAGTAGCGGCGGGCCGAATGGCAAGCGCTTGCTGGACTCATGATGCTCTTTGGACCTGGGGTACCAATGTAGGGCAATTGGGGTACGATAAAGCCTCAAATCCCGTTCAAGTCAACCCCCGAAAAGTGACTTCTATGACACAGCCAGTCGCTGATGTGGTATTCTCCGACTATGCCATGGTCTGTCTTCTAGAGTCTTCTGAAGTCATCTGTTTCCACGGGGATACAAACTTCAAGATATCATTCTCAATACCCCGGCTTCTACCAGAAGCGTTTCCGTTCAGACCGCCACAAACCACCTTGAAGCCCACAATCACAAAGGTGACGAGTAGCTGTGTGGGATTCGCTGCGCTATCCTCCATTGGAGACGTCTTTACATTTTCACTACCAAATCCTTTGGAGGATTTGAGCAAGGACGGAAAGCATGTGACGGTCAAGCCGCAGGTTGTCTGGGGCTTGAGGAAGAACTTCACGGCTGTCAGAGTAAGCCTGTTTTCATTATTTCAAGGGTTTCATTCTTTCAAGGGTTTCATTCTGATTCGTTGTAGGATGTGGCAATTGGCTCTGATGGCACTGTCATTGTCTGCACTCATTCAGGCCACGTCTACGTCAGACAGCGGCTCAAGTCGGGTTCAGGACAATTGAAGTTCCGGCGCATACCGTATCTACAGCGGATCATCAAGGTGGCCACCAACGAATCTGGCGCTTTCGGTGCGGTGCGCGTAGATGCCCGACCCATACCTATCAAGGTGGTTGGGAATGTCCTCGAGGACGACCTGGGCCAACTACAGCCTCATTTCGCCAGGCTTAGCAACCAAATGACGGCCGAGGACTTCGAGAGGATGGAAGGTGTCAGATTAAGAGGGATGCCTTTGGAAGAAGAGGACGAGGATGAAGACGAGAGCGCAAACTCGGTCAACAGAGACACATCCCTGGCTCTCAAAATGTGCACGATATTGGACAGATGGAGGACCAGCGATGTCGATTCGTTATTTGCTTGGAGTGAACCACTGTTCAGTAGCGATTGCCATCTTGTCATACAAGGGTTGGCAATCCCTGCTCATAGCGTCATGCTCTCCCTCAGAGCTCCAAAAATAGCTCGACTTCTCGCTGGGCAATATCAAAGCCCTTACTTGTCTTTGAGCGTGTACGGATCTACGCCTGCGATTGTCCTTGACGCTTGCCACCCACTTGTCGGACTTTTGCTCTTACACTATCTCTACGCAGATGAAGTGGTGGCACTCTGGGATGCTCGGGTTGCCCGAATCATCCAAGCCAAGTATACCAGCAAGCCTATCCCCATTGCTGGTATAAAGAACGATCTCAAGGCTCTTGCAGAAGAGCTCGACCTCAAGCCCTTCGAATCAGTCTTGACCTATGCTGCAAAGCAACCCTTGTCACAGCGGACCCTTTCCGCCAACCTCAGTTCATTCTTCTCCCATACCTCTACTATTCCATCATCCCTCGACTCCCCGTGCGATGTTCGAATCATTCTCGCCGACAAAGAGGTATCGTGTGCCAGTGTCATTTTGCGCTCAAGATGTCCCTTCTTCGAGGCAATGTTCGGAGATCGAGATTGGACATCTGGACGAAAGAACAGAGAGGGCTCCGTGACTGTTAATATGAAGCACTTGAAATGGACGTCAATGAAGCTGGTGTTTAGGTGGATATATGAAGGGGTAGAGGACGGCTTGTTCGATTATCTTCGTAAGTTGTGCGCACCTGAACATCTGAGTGTACGCTGATTTGTTCTACAGATCAAGATACTCTTGATGGCTTCCTGGATTTTGTTTTCGAGGTCCTCGCTACAGCTGTGAGTGATGATCAAGCCACTTACTATCGAAGCTCACACAATCGTAGACTGAGCTCTTGCTCGATCGGCTTGTTCTCGTTTGCTCGCGAGTCATAATTCAACACTGCAATACGTTGAACGCTGCTTCATTAGCTTGCGAGGCTGCCTTCTATCAGGCTACGGTCCTCAAACACAGCATTTTTGCCTACATTACCTCATGCCTCGAGACTTTGCTCGAATCGGGCCTCCTCGACGAAATGGACGGCCAGACATTGCAAGAATTGACGGATTGGATCATCCATAATCAGGAAGCGAAGACACCCGTGCCCAGGAAGGGTCTGCTGGTCAAAGATGCCCTGAGCAAACACAGGGAATGGCTTCTGCAGCAAGATATCCCTGCACCTGTTCTCAAACGACCTGGTTCCGTCAAATGGAGGCTCAAAGCCGCTGCCCTTTCGCCCGTTGATCTAATTTCGTCTAACAGCACGCCCAAGGGCAAGGAGACTCCCAAGCGGAAACCACCGCCTTCGCCTCTGTTCAGCCCAGAGGCAGGTCCAGAGGGAGTTTCGTCGGTTGACGGTATATTCCAAATGGACGATGACTTGCCCACGCCTCCTTCTACTGCTTTCGATGCCCAGACTTCAAAGGGGTCAAGGGCCATGACCCCATTGAACCTTGGGGTGCCTGCTGCCTCGTCAAAGGGCGCGATATGGAAGTCGAGGACGGTAGAGACGGAGAAGGCAGACCTTCGAAGCATCATGGCCGAGACTGCTGCTACCAAGCCGTCTGCCAAGACCCCTTCCATGCCTCTCACTCCTGGTCCTTCGGCAGCGAAAGCAACATTCCCGTCCCTTGGTTCTGGAGCCTTGACCCCAAGCAAGCCAATGGCAATCAGGGGATATCCCAGTAGTGGTGGGCCATGGAGGGCTCAGGAGGCGAGGAAAACATCGTTCACGGCATTACAAGGCCAGCAGCAGGCAGGGGCAGCTACCGGAATATCACCTTCTGCTTCTACAAACGTCAGCAGGGGCATTGGTTCGCAAGCTGTACCTGTGCCTCAGCGCTCTGGGTCACATCATATCATTACCCCTGTTAAACTCCAGACTCCACCTTCTGGATCGCAACCACGTAAAACCAAGCTCAATGCCAACGCTTCGGCATGGTCTACGCCCGCCACCTTTGCTCCTCCGCCTGTGCCATCTGTGTCGTCTGCTACACAGGGAATGTCTCTTATCGCCATTCAGCACCAAGAGCTGCAAGCTGCAGAAGCAACTGCGAAATTGCCTACAAAAACCCTGCGAGAGATCCAAGAGGAGGAACGGATCAGGGAACAAGAGAAGGCTCAAGAGGAGGACTTTTTGAAATGGTGGCAGGAGGAAGAAGCAAGGGTTGCCAGGGAGAGTGGCTCTGGAGGCGCTCAATCGTCATTGCCAAGCATGGGAGGGCGCGGGGGGCGAGAGCGAGGAAGAGGTGGAAGAGGTGGGAAATCAAAAGGCGGCAGAGGCGGCGGGCAGGGGAGTCAGGGAGGGAGAGGTCAAGAAGTCTCCAGATCTGGACCAGATGGGCCAGCGGGGCCAGGGAGTAGTGCCGGCAAGGGCGGCAGGCCTCCCAGAGCCCCTCAAGCTTCAAAAGCGCCGGGCAGTAGTAGTCAGAAAGGTCATAATCAGGTCAAGGAAACTAGAGCTTAGATATATCTGTCCGACATCTCAAAAGTCGATGAATGTTGTACTCGTACTCAGGCTACTTTACACAGTACGAGTACTCTACGAGTACAGGACAGCAGGTAGCCTGGATATGATGAGCACCACATATTCGTGGTGACCTTAGCATCTACTACATATGCGAGCATACTGTACAGCGGATACAGCGGACACACGTAGGGGATATGAGTTGAGCTGCATGGAGATGTTGCATAAAGCTAATCTGTCCTCGGCTACGGAAAAAGACGGGGTGCTCGCAAGGTGCTCGTCTCGGGTGCTCCGAGTGCCTGTGCCCATGTCGATGCTCGTTTTCTCAACAACCAATGCATGAAATATCATGTAAGGATTTTTGCGAGACCGATATACACCTCTTCTGCCTTCATGTGGCACTGCATGCATAGTGGGAGAGCTTGGGGCGACAAGGTCTCAAGATAAGATTTGGGGTAAACAATTTTGGAACGGCGGCCTGCGGCGAATCCAGCGAATAAGCATTCTCCTCTTTCTACCGCGAACTTGCCCGCTCTCATATATATCCGACCAGACATCTCCGCATTCTTCCATCCAGATCCATCCAGCAACCCGCCCTCATGGACGACCCGAACGCCCCGTTTCAGGGCTATCAATATCAACCACCGCCATCACATCCACAACAACCGTCACAGCAGCAGCAGCAGCAACAGCCGCAACAGAGTTTGTACAACTTCGTGCAAGCTCAAAACCTCCAGTCTAGCAACAACCACTACTTTACTGGGCTACCTGAGCCCAATACAAGCTCAGAAATGCAAAAACGCAGTCTGAGTCATAGCTCAAGGCTTGATGGACGACAAGCTTCAAACGAAAATGTCGTCCCATCCGCTCAGTCCGCCCGGAAGAAGCCGGCAGGAATAGGCCAGAGCAGGAAGCTGAGTGCGGTGAAACAAGAGTCAAGTGATAGTAACCCGAGAGAAGAACCGAAGAAAAAAAGAACGAAGAGAACAGTTGGAAAAGCTTGCGTCTACTGTCGCCGAAGGTATGTCGGAACGAGCCATTGTCATGGCGTCAATGCAGCTGCGGTGCTGACGAGTCCCTAGTCATATGGTCTGTGAAGGCGGAAGGCCTTGTGAAAGATGGTAGGTCCTCTTTGACGTATGTCAGCGGATGCAAAGCTTATGGGTCTGATAGCATCAAAAGAGAGATTGCGCATCTCTGTCGAGACTGCTCCCCGCCTCCTCACAGTCACGGACATAACGATGAGCAGAAACCCGAACCTCAGGTATGCAAGCCTCAATTTCATATATCAGTGTGCTTACTTCCGACACCCACAACAGCAATCCCAGTCCCATCAAAGGGTCCCTCAACCACCAGGCCCTCCACCCACGTCACAAGCGCCCGTCTATCCCGAGTCCAACTTCCCCCCCTCTTGGCCTCTACTTCCAGAAGCCAATGGAAATCAGGTACCATTCGGCGAAGCCCCAGAGAGGTTACAGAGCATCAATGATGCAGCAGGACTCATGGGTCCTCCCGCTACCACCTGGGGAACTACTGCCACGAAAGAGGAGGGCGAATTAGCTGCGTTAAAGTATGATTCCCTAACAACGATAGTCGCCTTGCTGATCATTGATCTCAGTAAATTCATGAAAGACCTGGGCGTCCCCAATCTACCGAATGATTTCTTGTCGTTCATGAATCAGCTGGATAATCCCACGACGGCCAACAACCTTACTGTTCCCAGCACCTCGAGCGGCTTGCCGGATATCCCATCGCAATCCGCCCCTGGACAACCTCGTGGACTGGATAAAGGGAAAGGGAAAGAAATGTCGAGAGTGTAAGTCTACTGTTGCTTTACACGCAACCAGAACTGATTCTGTACAAATCAGCGACAAATACCTCATGGCTGCTGCGGATCAACCCAATGGCACTCGAGCGTCCCGTCTCGCACAGGTCATCAAGGCCAAGTACGATGCCGGCTTGCTCAAACCTTACGATTATGTCAAAGGTTACGAGAGGATGAATAAGTGGATGGAGAGCGGAAGAGCGGCACCAAAGATGGAAAGCAGGGCGGGGAGCGAGATCCCTGAGAGTCCACATCAGAAGGGTGTCAACAGGAACGGGATGTTGTCCATCGCTTGTAAGCTGCAAACTGTACGAGGGCGCGTTTCGGTATGTTGATGGTGTGCAGCGATCCCAGCTCCTGTCTTTGGCAAGAGCATATCTCCCGAATCCCGTCGACGAATCTTGGCTGCGCTCGCAGGCTTCCGGCCAAAATTCCGACAGATCGCCAGAACCCTGACCAATGTCGACCTGGTATTTGTTGAGGAGGCTATGGAAAGATGGATGTTGGAGTATGACAGAGCTCTTGCTTGTGAGTCTTCGAAGAACCAGGACATTTTACATATCTCACCGATACTGCAGCTATACACACCCCATCCTGCATTTGGCGACGGACTGGTGAAATCCAAAAGGCCAATCAAGAGTTTTCCAACCTCACAGGGATCCCCGCATCCATGTTCCGTGATGGACAGCTTTGCGTCTACGAACTCATGGACGAGGATAGTGCCGTAAGATACTGGGAAGGATACGCCAAGATTGCATTTGACCCAAGTGAGTTAAAGAGTGAACCATCACCATCTCTTTTGCTGACAATATCAGGCCAACGATCATTTTCCATTCCGTGTACTCTCCATATCCCTCTTTCTCTCGCTCGACACCGTCCTCGACACCTTTCCGCCGTTCCTCTGCCAGCACCTTCCAAGTCAGCCGCTTCGGCCCCACCTTCCTTGAACGTCCCCGACTTGGCTCTTCCCCAACAGGGAATTTACGCCGAAAGCCCTGGTCCCAGTGAGGGCGTGGACAGAGGGGTCAACAGCATTGGCAGGGAAGAACAGTTCAGGGAGATGCAGTGTATGTTCAGCGTCACCATTCGAAGAGATGCGTGGGGTGTACCCGTAGCCATCATGGGACAATGGATCGTAAGTGATTGCTTCTCGAATCTAGCGGGGCTAACCGTCATCCCCCAGCCTATTCAATAAATAGATCATAATTCTCTCAACCATTTTTTGGGCTTTCATTCGTTCATGTCAGGGATTTATTTCAGTAAAGTAGCAGCATAACGTTCCAAACATGGCCGCTAACGCTTTTGCGCCAGAAATGGGCATGCGAAGCGCAAATAGAAGAGAACGCATTGTACAGTATTGCTTTACATGTGTGAATAACCATTCTGGTTATAAATGCATGTTGTCATGGAGACTTGAATGAGTAAAGGGGTGTGCTATATCTTATGGGGATGACTACAAATCATAATCAAACAATCGTGAGACTTCTAGCGCTGTGAGATGGCAACAGACCAATTTTATATATTATGACAACTTTGAACCGACGTTCGTACTGCACCGCTATGACCACTCCGTCCTGGACGCCTTGCGCCAATTCGCCCATTTGTGCTCCTGCTTCTGCTTTGCCTGGTCCATCGTCAGACTTTCCGCCCACTTTGCCGACCCTTGTTGCCTAGGTCCCGCTCGACTTCTGTATATCTGTGTATACTTGTCCTTCGGCTCATTCCCTCTCCGCCACCAGATTCTGTCCCAGATCGCACGCTTCGCTAGTTCTGTCCGCATATCAACCAATGAGGGGTCGAACCCTCGTGAGAACTGTGCGATACTAGAGTCCCATGAGGCGCTACCGAGGACAGAGGAGAGGACAGTGGGATTTCTGCCTGAAAGAGCGACGCGACGCACACGCCGGAGGATGCGAAGGCCATAAGCAATGATGAGGATGGACAGGGCGAAAGCGAGGCCAGAGGCTGTGAGGAAGGCATATGGGTGATCTTCGAGATGAGTTGTCAACTTGAAACACGCGGTGAGCTTTCGCGCCAATGGTAAGCCTCAGGACTACGCACGTTCATCCCGAATAGACCAGCAAAGAGAGCGCCAGTACCGATACCAAGGGTGGCGATCGATATTTTGATGTCGAGTGCGAGTAGTGCGTTTCGACCAGAATCGAGCATGAGCTCGGCGATTTCTTGTGTAGACACCATATTGGCCTAGAACCAGATTAGTTTAAATCCACATGCTAATACATGTGGTCGATTGTGCTCACAACAGTGGTGTCAACTTCACTGACAATTTCCTCCACCTGCTTGACGAAACTCTCAAGTAACAGCTCTAGTTGCTCGTGATCGTGTAGGGCCCGAGGACGTCCTTGCGCCCGAGAGGTGAGGTACATCGCTGACAGATCCTCGTCTACATGGCACATCAGCACAGGTATCTCAATCGCTGTCGACGAGAACTTACCAGAGTCCAAAAGCTCGTCCACTGAGCTCTTCACATATCGCGCTCTGCTTTGAAACGCGGATATCTTCTTCGAATAATGCAGGAGCTTTTTGAGGTTTTCTCTGTCAATGTGGTTTTCCAGATCGTTGAGCAAATGTTTGACGATATGACGAGTGAAGGCCATTTCTTCCTCTAGAGCACTCGCAGTGGCGATGAAGAAAGACTCCAGAGCACTGTCGCAATGTCAATATCCAGCCAATCGAGAAAGACTCCACATACCGATGCTCATAACTCAAGATCACCTCTTCTTCCCCGCTTTCTTTCATTTCTAGCCCCAGTTTGATATTCCTTTGCAGATGCTCCTTGAATCTCTTTTGCACCCCACTGGCCTGTGCGCCGGCCGAGTCAAAGACAATCACCTTGTCGGGCTTGATCAATGCCCTCAGATGGAGCATTGATATCAGGATACAAGTTTTTCTAGTCAGAATGACTGGTACTAGATTTGGTGTGAGGGAATCAAGCTTCCTCAGATCCCGAGGCTGTCAGATGTCAGCTTAAATCTCAAATGATGATGGAACAACTTACATCGAGCTCATGCTCCCGACACAATTCAAGCTTGGAATACTTTTGTTCCTCGGTACCCCAATTTCCCTCGCTATCCATAATTGAGCAAGGAAGGCTCAGCTCCCCAGCCTTATACATCAAGCTCCTCAGGTATTTTTGCTTCTTCTCTCGTGGGCCTGGTGAAGCTGCATCATCTCGGGGTCCAGATGAAGTTTCGTCTCTGAGCGGCGGCGGGGGCGTATATGGTACCTGTAACGGAGGTGGACCAGAGTCCTTCTCAACGTCCACCGTGCGGTCACCTGGGTAAGATGGTGCCCAAAATGAGGTTTGCCGCCGTGATAAAAACGTCCGACGTTGGCATTGGTTGACAGTGACAGGTTCGATGGCAATTGGAGAGGCGAGTCGTGGGCGTAAAGGGAAGCTTGAGATTGGCCGCGAGATTCCCCTAGATAGCCGACATAAAGATGCCATTTCTCGTAATGAACGCTGGGTTGGAGAGGCAGACCGGTCGTAACTTGTAGACCATGAAAGCGCCGGCAAAAAAAAAACCGAGTGGAACGTCACAAGCACCGCGGCGAGCCGAACTCTCCTGGCGCAGCGGTGATGTCCGCGACTATTTACGTAAAGCTGATAGAGCGCTTGTTGAAAGCGATACATAGAGCACAACCAATGTACAACCACCAGCAACATGGCTGAAGACCGTACGTGTGCATGCTGTGATCGGTGGCATCGCTCATAGAACTCAGAAACGTTCGACTCCCTCCTCGACCTCCTTCGCCGTCTTCCTCCTACAAAGGTTGAGGACAACGTCAATGTCTTGTGCGACCTCGCCCCAGAATACGCCGACGACCTTCTGGGCAATGTTGATCAACCCCTGAAAGTACTCAGTGATGATGGTGAAGGACGAGAATTCTTGGGCTGTGACTATAACCGTGACGGAGATTCTTTCCGGTAATGCTGTCTTCACTGTCTGCAATCATCACTGAATTCAAATGATTTAGCTCTCCTTGGTCTAACAAGTACCTTCCCGTTGATACGCAAGGGCCAGTTCCTTCTCCCAGACTACGCCAGCTCGAAGTCGCTCTGAACTCTGCCTTTGACACTTACCGCGAGATGTACTTTGAAGGAGGCGTGTCTAGCGTCTATCTCTGGGATCTGGACGATGAGCCTCAGGGGAAGGAGATGGCGTTTGCTGGTGTTGTCCTTGTCAAGAAGAGTGAGTATCATCAAGTGTGGACTGATAGCATTGACTAAACGGCAAATAGCCCTCTCACCCCAGGCCAATGTACCCACAGCCCCTTCAGGCTCGTGGGACTCTCTCCACGTCTTTGAATGCCAGGAGAGAGGGCGCTCCGCCAAGTACAAGCTTACCAGTACGGTCATGCTCCTCATGGACACCAAAACGCTGGCCAAAGCCGAGGAGAAGGGATTGGAGAATGCCGAGGGCAAGGGCAATGTGGCGCTCAGTGGTAGCATGACTAGACAGGTATGTCGGCCGTTCATGGCGTAGCTCAGGCTAACGATGGATTAGGCGGAGATTGATTACCCTCTTCCCACACCCCAATCTCATGTCGCCAACGTTGGTCGTATGGTCGAAGACATGGAGCTCAAAATGCGCAATCTTCTGTCTGCCGTCTACTTTGGCAAGACCAAAGATGTCGTCAACGAGCTCCGGAGCCAAGCTGGGCTCGATGCCAAGTCAAAAGAAGATCTTTTGAGGGCTGAGTTGGCGGGCAAGTTGGGAGGCAGGAAGTGAGACGCTTCCATAGCACATCAGCCCACGAGTCATGTAAAATAAATGTAAATGGACAAAGACGCGCGCCACAAGTGAATGCAAATGTTCTAATTCATAAGATTTCCTCTATGTATCTTGCCTATCCCCGTATGTGCTATGATCACAGGTCATCGTGAATCAAGGGTTCCTTGTCTGTGGGTTTAGACTCGGTGGTGCTCTCTGCCTCCTTCTCGGAGAGGGTAGGAGAAGGTCCATGGTCTGTCTGGGTATCAAGGGTTCCCGAAGAGCTCGCCGAAGAGGAAGATGTTGTCGGTTTAGGCTTGCGGGGATTCTTCTTGTTTGTGAGTCGCATAACCTACCATGATTTTAGCGCGATCCTACAGGATGTAGTGTTCAACTCACAGTCGCCTGCAAATTCTTGCCCTTCTCCTCCAACTCTCGGACCTTGATCACAGGGTCCTTGGTCTTGTCCTCGTCCAACTTCAACTGCTCCGGCATCAACTCATCAATCCACTTGGTGTACTCTCTCAACATGTCATCCACCGCTCCCAGCTCCTCTTTCGTGTACTTGGGAGGCGTGGCAGGGTCTTCGGGCGTAGCGTTTCTGGCAGCCTCGATAGCTTCAGTCCAGTTGCCCTTGGCTTCAATGAAGAAGGAGGCAGCGAGACGCATGGCTTTCTGGAAGTCGGCGACCGCGTCGTCTCGCGCAGTGTACTCGTTGTACCGGAAGACGGGCGGCCTCTCGAGAATCTCCAAGGCAGTGTACTTTGTGCGCAACTCCCTCTCGGTAGCCTGGTCGCCAACATCGTTCAGCCACTCGAATGTCTTGGCGACAAGGTCCTTGATGGCAGTCTGCTCAGCGGGGGTGGAAAAGTCCTTCAAAGCGGTAGGCTCGTAGTCGGAAAGATGGTTCTGGAGAGCGTAGATGTAGGACTCTAAAGAGTTGAGAGCCTCCTCTCGGGAAGCCTTGGCGGATTCGAAAGCGGCAATAGAGTTGAGCCTGCGTTTGGCATCAGTCGACATTTCATACGGAACCACATTTGTCTCACCTAGCGTTCGTAGTCCTCTTCTCCTCTCCAGAGAGAGGCCTCACACCAAGGTGCTTCTCTCTAAACTTCAAGGCCACCTTAGTGGGTGCCTTCTTGCCGTCCTTCTTCTCTTCCTTCCCTCCCTCACTCGCAACTTCCTCGACCTGCTGCTTGTCGTCTTCCTTGCCGCCAAAGAGACCCTTGATCGCACCAGCAACTCCACCGTCCTTGCTTTCCGTCACATTGCTGACAAGAACAGCGTTGGCAGCCGAGAGGTGGCCCTTGGGGTCGAAGCGGATGGTCAGGTTGACAACGGGAGAGGGGGCAGTAAAGTCCTTGAGAGCCTTTTCAATGTCGTAGACTTGGACAGAGAGGATAGGCTGAGGACCGGAAGTGCCGTGGGAAGATTCGGGGTGGGCGATGGATTGGGAGAACTCGAGGTTGATGTCGCCTTCGGCGGGCAAAGTCAAGACCTTTTTCTCTCCCAAGACAGTGCCCTCGGGGAAGAAGACATCGCCTCCATTGATACTAATGTCACCGACGCTGCTTTCCTTGACCTCGATGTTCTTCATCTTGAACTGCTTGCTCAAGGCGGCACCATAGTAGGCAGCACCAAGAACGGCGGCTTCGTCGGTGTTGACGTTCTGGGCAATGCGGTCCTCAAGGTTCCCGAGGACAGACTTGAGTGAGGTCTGAACGAGAGGGACTCGGGTGTTGCCACCAAACAGGACGAAAGAGTTGATGTCGGAGAGCGAGAGACCGGCGGTAGAGAGGGCCGAGGTAAGGGGCTTGGAGAAGAGGGATTCTGTGGAAGCCAAAGCTCCCTCCAAAGAAGCTCTTGAGATTTGAGACCTGTAATCAGTGTCGTCGAAGAGAGACTCGATCTATGTGGCAATCAGCAATGAAAGTTGTGGCGAGCGTAGGACGTACGGCAGTGTTGGCTTCATAGTTGGCACTGAGAATGTGCTTGACCCTGGTAGCCTCCTTGGCCACCTTTGCAAGCGCCTTCTTGTCCGCCTTGATACCAGTCTTGCCTGATTTCTTGACAAAGTCCTCCACCAGGATATCTTGGATGGCGACATCGAGAAGAACGCCGCCGACGTTCTCCCACCCAGTACCAAGAGTTTCAATGTGGGTAGTGTTGATAGGCGTCTTGGACTTTGGCGTCAAGTATTCACTGGTCTGGTAGAATGCCAAGACAGTGGCGGTGGTTGAAAGAGCGCCCGAGTCGTAGATGACGTGGTACTCCTTTTCGCCCTCACCAGTAGCAGGATTGTAATCGGGGAAAGTCCTAGTCATGGCGTAGTTCAACGCCACACCGGTCCCTTCACCAATCATTGCCAAGCAGGACATGCCTTGCAATTCCAAAGCGTCTCGGTAGGCTCGTCGTTGGGCATGATCCCACCAGGCAGGAACGGTCACAACGACTTGGTTGATAGACTCCTTCTTTGTACCGAGAGACTCGGCCAAATGACGGTAGTAGGAGAGCTGCTGTGCCAAGAGAGCAGTGGGTGTCCACGCAGCCTCGGGCGACGGGAGAGCGGGGGAGATGTAGGAAGGAGCAGATGGATGGGGGAATACTATTGATTCGCCATCAGATGAGGGCGCGTTGGGCCAGATGGAGAGGGGAGGGAGCGCAGTCTTGCCGAGAAGAGGCTTGACATAGGGGTAATGCGTGTCGGGGAACCGCGTAGCCTTTGGGATATCAGCCCAAGTAGAGTAGATTTCAACACTTGATGTACTCACAGACATCTTTGCCTCTGCTCCGAATACTCTTTCATCTCTCTTCCAGCCGACGACACTTGAGATCTTTCGCTTGCTATCTTTATCCAAGACGACGTCGAATGGCACACCCGGTTTTATGAGAGAAAGCTTGGTAAACTCTGCTCCATAGTCGATAGCGAGGATGGCGGCTTGGATGGCCGGGGCCAGGAGGAGGAGGAGGGAGAGGAGATTTTGGGGGCGCATCTTGGGCTGGCCCGCTTTGTATCAGTAGTGCTCGTATCGACGACTGAACAAGTATAACAACCAACTGAACTTTCAAGCGACGTGGAAGTGGAGGCAGCCGCCCTGGAATCATGCTTACGTACACATTCCTAATCTTATCACATCATCACTCCTTTCCGAATTTCCAGTTGTTGACTCAGCCATCAACCACTTGTAGTCTTGTAGATATCACTGACTTGTACCATCGCCATGTCCGATATCATCACCCCCCAGTACTCCCCAGAGGAGATCGAACGCTTCAATGCAGAGCTCGACGGCAAGACCCCACAGGAGATTCTTACCTGGGCCATCGACCACCTCGACGGCTTGTACCAGACCACTGCTTTTGGCCTGTGAGCACTCGACCTCACATGCTTGAAATGGAACTGACTTGTACAGCACTGGTACTGCTGCTGTGGATATGGTCTCTAAAATCTCATTATCGAGGGAAGAGACTCACCTTGTTCCTCTTGTGAGTACCACGAAAAGCAATGCCAGCCGTACCTAACCCACCGGTAGATCTTCCTCGACACCCTCCACCACTTTCCCGAAACCCTCGAGCTCGCCCAAACCATGGCCGACACCTACCTCGCCCCTTTGCACATCTACAAGCCCCCCGGTGTTTCTACCGCCGAGGAGTTTGCTGCTAAATACGGCGACAAGCTCTGGGAGAGTGATGAGGGGGCGTACGACTACCTGGTCAAGGTTGAGCCCGCTGCCAGGGCGTACAAAGAGCTTGGTGTGAAGGCGGTCATCACTGGGAGAAGAAGAAGCCAGGGGGCCGACAGGGCCGACTTGAAAGTGCTCGAAGTTGACGAGCGGGGTTTGACCAAGGTCAACCCCTTGATCACATGGGCTTTCAAGCAAGTCAAAGAGTACATTGACAAAGAGTGCGTATATCCTTTGCTCCCATGCGGTGTCTCATGGCTTTACTAATGGCTTTACAGACAAGTACCCTACAACCCCCTCCTGGACAAGGGCTACCGATCTATCGGTGACGTCCACTCCACCGCCGCTCCCGACCCCAACGCTGCTAGCGACGCTTCCGAGCGCAGTGGCAGATGGCAAGGCAAGGCCAAGACTGAATGCGGCTTGCACACCAACTATTTCGAGATGAAGAAGAAGTTTGAGGCAAAGGCCGCGGCCGAGTCGGCCACGGCGGCTGTCGAGCTCAAGCAGCTGTAGAGAGGTCCCATGCATTATGATACATAACAATACAAGATGTCGCTTTCCTTAATCACAAGCAGCTTGCATCGCCTTGATCGCCTCGACAAGCTTGCTCTTCTCCAAGAGGGTCAGTCGGCCGAATTGCTCGACGCCGAACGACTCGGCGTCTCGAGGTGCGGCAGTCTTGAAGGGGAAAGTCTGGGTGGTGGTAGCTACCTGTAAAGGTGTCAGCACTGGTCAAGCAGATAAGTGCGTACTGACCTTATCCGTGAACTCTTCCTCGGGGTGGTAGGGGAAGCTGCCAGCAGCAAGGGCGACAGTCTCGTGGTTCTGTCCTCCCTTCTTCTTCTTGGAAGATCTGGAGCCACCAAGTCAGCTCAATCCACATACTACGCACCAACTCACTTCTCCACGACATTGTAGTCCAAACCCATACCCTCCTCGTTACCTTCCAGTCTATACCCTCGGCTCCAGATCACAAAGTGCGTGAACCTTCCCTCCTCCTTCACTTCAAGCTCTTCTAAAAGCATTCTGTAGAGATGCGGGATGAGGGGCAAAGGAAGGTTGAGCATACGAAGGGAAAAGACGAGGGCAGGGCGAATGGATGACCCGGCGGAAGGGGTGAGGGAGGATGCGAGGGGAGAACCAGATTTGACTGATGAGCGGAGATACTCCAAGAAGGGCTTCAAAGCGGGGTGTTCCTAATATGCGTATGAGCTTTCAGACATCTCTGCGAGCCCTCGGCAGCCGTACTTGGTTCTTTGCAATGTCAACGACAGACACCAATCCCCAAGGATCGCTCTCCTCGCCATCAGTTTTGATGGTGCTTCCGGCCTGGAGCCGTATACCTTCTGACAAGATAAGCTCGGCGAGGGGGTGGACATCTATACGCTCTTCGTCGTAAGAAAGAGTCTGTCGGAGAAGTCGCTTGATTGCGATGCTGTAATCATTCGTCAGCACTAGAAACGATTAAAGTGAGATCGTTGTACAGATCGACATCTGGGTTAAAGTTGTGAAAGTCAAAGTCGACATTGATCATGCTCTACCTTGATATCAGCTTACTTGTCCACAACAAACAGAATTGGACTCACGACGTCACTTCCACTTTCCGACCCACTGTCCTCATCGTCCCGAGGAGCATTCTTTCTTTTTGTGGCGTTGGCCGCTGACACGGCTTCCAAAGATGGGTTGGCGGGCATGGCTGCGGTTGTATATGAGCGTGGTTTACTGCGATACCCTTTGGCACAAGTTTCAAAAAATCTCGAAAACAGGTGCGGGCCCGGCGAGATGAGAAGTGGAGGTTTTGCTTACGTAAGACATTCCATACACATTGCTGGCGGTTGGACTTTGTGCAGCTGTGCGTTTCCAAGCAGGCGGGCAAGGACAGGATAGATAAAGAGGGAGATCAAGTAACTTCATGAATGCATGTATCAACGAAAATTACTTGAAAAATCAGGAGGACAATGAAATCACCTATCCCCTATTTTCCCACGGCGTGCAATTAGCAGACGCGAGCGCGACGCGTTCATCATGATCTCCTCGACATCCAAATTCGCATTCCTGACCTCAGCAAATCGATTCACAATGTCTCTCTGGGTAGACAAGGTGAGTCGGATGCCAGTTATTAGTCTTACTTTGCTGACTTTCTACAGTACCGCCCGCGCTCCCTCGACGATCTCCACTATCACGATGGCCTCTCATCTCGTCTCAAGTCCCTTGTACGCGCCCTCTGCTATATCTGTATTCTATGCTCACCACATCAAACAGGCAGCATCGGGTGACTTTCCGCATATTCTTTTCTACGGTCCGTCGGGCGCTGGCAAGAAGGTATGACACGTCCTACATATCTTCGATGGGCATTTCTGACCGAGTATCAGACAAGAATAATGGCGACCCTGCGAGAGCTGTATGGCCCTGGTGTCGAAAAGGTCTGTCTTGATTATCACCGGTATATGTCCATATGCTGATATGGGGTGGCAGCTTCGAATCGACCAAAGAGTATTTGTCACCCCCTCCAACCGCAAACTCGACGTCAATGTCGTCCAATCCAATTACCACATCGAACTTACCCCCTCCGATGTCGGCATGTACGACCGTGTCGTCATTCAGGATATTCTCAAGGAGATTGCGCAAACGCAGCAGGTGGACTTGAATGCGAAGCAAAGGTTCAAGGGTGCGTCTTTGCTGAATCGGTGGGAGGTCTAAAAGCTGACCATCGGCGCAGTGGTCATCATCAATGAGGCCGATGCTCTTACGCGAGATGCCCAAGCGGCGTTGAGAAGGACTATGGAAAAGTACATGAACAACATGAGGCTCATCCTCTGTTGTAACAGTACGAGCAAGATCATTGCTCCCATTCGGAGTCGATGTCTGCTCATGCGCGTTGCCGCCCCTTCAGATGAAGAGGTGCGCGCCCCCCGAAACTCACCCTTGGCATAGCACTAACAGACATGCAGATGAACCAAGTGCTCAATCACGTCGCCAAAAAGGAGCGATTTTCACTCCCCTCCTCCGCCTCATCTGCCATCCTCACCACCTCCCAAGGCAATCTTCGCAAAGCCCTCCTCGTCCTCGAAGCCATGCGCATGCAAAAACCCGACCTCTCTGGAGATATTGAAGTGGCCAAGCCGGATTGGGAGACGTATTGTGGAAAGGTAGCGGATGCGATTTTGCAAGAGCAGTCGGCGCCGAGGTTGTTGGAGGTCAGGGGCAAGCTCTACGAGCTGTTGAGTCACTGCATACCGCCGACTGTCGTGTTGAAGGTGAGTGACGGATCTTACCCATATATGGCTTCTATCTAAACTCTCTGTAGACGATCTCTGAAAGAATAGTGGACAAGGTGGATGACACTTTGAAACCACAAATCGTTCACTGGGCTGCCTACTACGAGTTGAGAATGAGACAAGGATCAAAGAAGATCTTCCACCTGGAAGCCTTTGTTGCCAAAGTCATGACTGTCTACAAGCAGTACACCTTGTGGGTCTTTGTTTTGGGCTTTCCGAACTAGCAACTAACGTTTCCGCAGAATGGGTATCGCCGAGGACTTTGAGTAGATTTATGCGATACATTTCATGCACTTGTAATTCTATATCATTTCTACTCTTTACTGTCTGGCCAAGACAGCCAAGTCTCCAAGACTGTTGATGACCATGTCGGGGACCACCTTGCTGGGGTTCTCGCCATATACTTGCTCGTGCTTGGTAACACCGCCCATGACGAGCAATGTCCGGATGTTGCTGTTGAGACCGAATTCGATATCAGTAGCGAGGTTGTCACCAACCATGAGCGCTTTCGAGGGGTCCACCTTGTGGCTGCAATGTCTTAGCTTTTTTTTCACGAGCCCAGGTTCAGAGGCACTCACTGAGCGAGGATGGCATCCATCATGGACTTGTTGGGTTTGCCAATCACCAAAGGCTCTCTCTTGGACGCGTTTACGATGGGGAGGGATAACGAGCCAGAACCAGGGAAAAGCTCTCCGTGGGTGGGAAAGGTGGGGTCGGTATTGGTGAGGATGAGCTTGCATTTGGGGTTACGCAAGTAGGTCATGGCTTTACCCAATTTTTGGTAATCTGCCGAACGATATCAGCATGCTGTAAGACATCGCAAGACCATACATACTGATGTAAGAGTCGAAACCACAAAGAACAGCCTCGACGTCGTCGTCGGGCTTGAACGCATCCCAGTTGATAGGAGGCTTGAAATCCCTGTCCTCGGGGTCCTGAATAAAAAGTCAGCACTCGTCATCTAGACAAGGAAGATACTTACAGAGCCTCCACAGTGCTTGATGCCACAAGCATCCAGTTCCTCCTCCAAACCTTCCTCTCCGTTAACATACACCTTCTTGTCCTTGGGGAACTTGAGGACTTCAGAGAGGTAGATCGCAGAGGCATAGGCGGAGCCGAAGCACTCCTCCTGTACCATAGATTCCAAGGTCAGCGTGTGGAAGAGGCAAGAGCAAGAATTGTACCTCGGAAGCACCGAGACCGAGCTTGTCGAGGTTCTCCTTGAGCTTTCTCCTAGATTTCGTAGCGTTGTTGGTCACGAACAGCACCTTTTTGCCTGCGACGCATCAGCTTTGCACTGATCCAAAGACACGAAGCCGTCACACCAGTTTTCCTGAACATGTCAAGAACCTCTTTCACACCCTCAACGACTTTTGGACCAAAGTAGACGACACCATCGCAATCTGCATGGCAACCAAGATAGTCAGCCTCACAATACGTAGCGTGTGGGGCAGCACTTGCCGAGGAGGAATACGTCTACGCTGTCCACGAGTTTCTTGTACTCTTCAGGGGTTTTGAGGAAGGGGGGCGCCATGATATATATACTTTACAGACAGACGAGATGCGATGGCCAATGATGCGCCGGAAGTCCGGGCAGCGGCGATCTCCGACTGCGTCCTCTGTCCGAGGCCGAGGCGAAAACAAACTGTCAGGGGGAGAATTCGTATCTCGTCACCAACTTGTAGGAGCACTCGACAGGGTACAACGGGAGTACAGACAAGTCAAGAGGCCGCCAAGAAAGTAGCATCGCACAAAGTTGTCGAGCACGGTTTATTGCGCAGAGAAGGCGATATCAATCAGCAAGCAATTCCGCCATATCTCGGGAACATGTCGAGAATATCGCTGTATCTCTTGGCTTTGGCAGCCTCTGCTCATTATGGTAAGCTTGATGACTTTCTGAAAGCCCTATCCTAAGTTTGCGAACCGAGTGCTGATACTGGTCATTTGCGCGTTCGGTCACAGCATCGGCACACGCCCATCACAATGCCACGGAAATTGACAAATCGGTCCCATATGATGCGCGTATCTACATACATGTAAGCCGAAGAACTACAGATCTGACAGTTTCAAGGCGCAATGCCTGAGACCAAAGTCGGCAGCAGAAGGACTGTCGTGCTGACAAGATACCTATAGATGACGCTGCAGTCATTCTTGTGGACAATTGCCTTCCCAATAGGCATGGTGCTTGGACTCTCAAAGTAAACACGGATCTTCTGACAATGCCGGCCGTCTCTAATGCTGATCTCTCAGATCCAAATACCATGTCCCTCTGCAATCGGTCAACACAATTCTTGCTTTCATAGGCATGTACTTTGGACATCATCATGGAGGGAGGCAATTTCCAGAAACAGTTCACGGGTTCATGGCCAAAATTCTCACATGGACCATGATCACTGTAAGTTTCGTCCCCTTCTGTCTTGCCTTACTAAAACCTTTATAGCAGGCCGCTCTGGGCATCTTTCTCAAACTCCATGTCATGGAACGTAATGTCCGTCCATGGGTGGTACCCTTCCACTCTGTGATAGGAAAGACCTTCCCAGTTCTTGGATGGACGCAAATAATGTTTGGAGTCGCAACCGCTCTCGACTTTTGCCGAGGAGGCAATCTGGGGCAATGTACGGCGCACTATATCATGGGCTCAGCGTTTATCGGTTATGCCGCGATCTTGGTGATCATGCTGAATTTGGGTGGCAAGTGGCTAGAGAGGAAGAAGTGCAGCCAAGAGATGTTGGACAGCAGTGTCATCACTGCCTGGGTGCGTCCTTCAAACTGAACGCGGTCCTCAAGTGCTAATGTTTGCACAGGGCATCGTGAACACTTTCACGGAGCACCATGGCGGTCCCTGGAGCCACAAGGATATGCAGCACACCATGATGGCAAGTCTACTGTATAGACTGGCCGACCACAACTGATGTGTCTGATCAGGGCGTCCTCTGGTGGGCTGGAGGTATGCTGGGTATCTTCCTTAGCCGGAAGGGGAAGCGTTCATTTGTGCCCGCCGTCATCATTCTCATGACCGGCTGGGGTATGAGTGCTCATGAACAAGCTCTCATGATCTCTTCCAAGGTGTGTACATCAGTGATATGTCTCGTTCTGTATCTGAAGCATCACAGATTCATGGCCTTTTTGGGTATGCTCTGATGGGCGCAGGTGCTCTGAGAGTTGTGGAGATCTGCTTTGTGTTGAACGATCAGCCCACTCCAAGCTCCGGGCACGTCAGAATTTTCCAACACTTGCCTCCTTACGTGAGTGTAGCAAATGCCTGATCGCCGACAAAGCTGATATCTGCGTAGCTTCTCGTTCTCGGAGGGTATGCATACATTGCTTTCACTGATCGATCTGGCTGACAATTGTCATAGCACGCTCTTCATCTCCGCCACTGACGAAGAAATGCACAACGCCGACAACCTCGGTATCGACCACGTCACCTACGCACTCTTTGACTTTTCGCTCTCTTTCTTGATCTACCTCACTATCACCTTCCTCGTCCATCTCTACTCTAATTCAGGGCGCAACTCCCTCGAATCTCGAGATGGTGACGGCGGGGAAAGAGGGAGGGAGACCTTTGACAGTGAGCACGAGGGACATGGGTATGCCAAGGTCTCCACGGACGACAGACGGTCAGGGGAAAGACGGCGAGGCGAAGCGGAGGATGGGCCAGAGGCCTTTGAGCTGGAAGAGAGAGAGTCGAGCAACGAAAGCGAGGCGGTCAAAATTGGCGGCGAAGACGAGGTCGATTGGATAGGAAGAGGACCTGGGGTCAGTCTGTAGCGTTTGCTTGTTTCATTTTATTGCGCGCCTACCATGTAATCAATCGTCCTGTCATTCCAATTATGAGAATTGAACATGATGGTCAAGCATGATATCACCATCACTCTACAACGCCTAGATATCCTCAACGAAGGTGGAACCCTACAATTCCGACTCCCGAGGCCATGGCTTCCCTAGCCCAAGCCCTCAACCCAACCAGAAAAGGAGAACATTCGTTATCACAAAGTGCATTTCGTACGAGTATCCGCACTAGATGCGAGAGAAAAAGATGCTGATCAACAATGGCCGCCGTCTAATGGGTATATGTTGTTGTTTTGGGTGGATGGCACTAGGAATTAACAGGAGAGCGGATGTTAGAGTGAATGTTGGGATTTAGGAATTTTACTCTGCAGAGAATCATTAGCAATCGATCGTGCACCAGAAGATATGACCACGTACGCTGAGCACACTGCACACCGGGTCCACCACCCTCCTCATCGTCCTCCATCTCCTCATCGCCGTCGTGGGCAGCAGCTGTTCGAGCGTGCTTCTCGTTGGGTTCAGAGAAGACAACCTCGTCGACGTGCACCTTCTTGCCAAACTTAGGCAAGGCCTTTCGGGGGGGAAGAGCCTTCTCAAGCAAGGGCATGACGTCGGTAGGGATAGTGGTGGGGAAGTCGACGGTGAGACGGACATAGAGGTCACCGAGGTCGTGGTGTCTGTAAGAGGGCATACCCTGACCCGAGATGATCTTGAGAGCATCTGAGGATCATCAGCTTACGTCTCACACAAATTCGAGAGTACGTACCAGGCTTGATGACCTCTCCGGGGACAATAGTGACGTGCAAAGCACGGTCGTCGAGGTGCTCGATTGCAAAGTCACCACCAGCCAAAGCAGTGAGAAGGTCGATGTTGGCGTTGTAGAACAAGTCGTCGCCCTTCCTTTCGAATCGAGGGTGAGGCTTCTCCTCAATCACGATGATGACATCACCAGCAACCTGGCCAGGCTGTTGGTCGCTCTCTCCAGCAAACTTGATCTGTTGACCACCCTTCATACCCTTATCGATGTTGACCTCGAGCACCTTCCTCTCCTGGTTGGTCTTCTTGCCGTTACAAGTCTTACACTTGTCCTTGGGGTTCATCATCTCACCGGTACCCTCACATTCGCCACAGGGTTGTTGGATCTGCTGCATCATAGGACCAAGCTGGCGGAGCATGACCTTGACACCGCGACCTTGGCACCCAGTACAGGTCTGGACAGCACCCGCCTTGCCGCCTCGGCCATCACAGCCCTTGCAGATGACGGATTTGGAGAGAGCAAGCTTCTGGACCTTTCCCTTGTAGAGATCTTCGAGGGAAACAGTGATTCGGTGAACAAGGTCTCGTCCACGTCGGGGACCACGCTCTCGGCCACCACCTGTCAACGGGCGTTAGTCAGCAAAGGATGGACGCCGCCCGTGTATCCAAAACTCACCACCACCGCCGAAAAAGCCACCACCGCCACCAAACAACTGGCTGAAAAGATCCTGAGGGTCCACGCCGCCGCCCATACCGCCACCCTCCTTGAGACCGGCCTCACCAAGCTGGTCATAGATGGAACGTTGTTGAGAGTCGGAAAGGACTTCGTAACTGATCCGCACTGGTGAGCATCCTGCTATAGGGAAGACTGGCAAGAGTGCTTACGCGTGAGTCAATTCCTTGAAGTGTTCGGGGTCTCCGCCCTTGTCCGGGTGGTGCTTCAAAGCGCTGGCAACCTGTCAGTGTCTTGATGGTTGAAAGGAGTCCCGGAGCGGCAAATGAGCTCTACAAGTCACTTACTTTTTCCGGTAAGCCTTCTTGATGTCGGCCTCGCCAGCTTCGGGGCTGACACCGAGGAGGTCGTAATATTTACTGTAGACCGGAGCAGTCAGCATATGATGGAAGACGAAAGAAGGGCCGGCGAGGCTGCCGCAAGCATGCCCCAAGCAGCTGAGGGGATACGCACGATTCCCTGACCATGTTGAGTGACAGTAGCGACGGAGATGTTGAAGGACGAGAGGAAGATGGATGACGGGACTCGCTGCGATACCGAATCTTCGACCACCTTCCACTAATTTCACCGAGCGGGCGTCGCCGCATCATGCTTATGTAATGCAGATTTTTATGCCTGCAACAACAATGCATTGTACGTGGCTATACCGGACCAGATTAAAAATCCTTCATCCAGTGCCTCCGTAGCTCAGGGGTTTAGAGTATGTCCTTCGTAGTTTCACAAGACGAAGACAGGTCAGGGTCACAGGTTCGAATCCTGTCTGAGGCATTGATTTTTTGTTTTTTTGTTTCTTTTTTTTTTCTTGGTACCACTGTCTTCTTCCCTCGTATTCAGATTGCTCAGCAATCAGCATCACTCGCCCTCTTTGCTACTACATGCAGACTAGGCTATGTGATACTGCTGAAGGCACACAATGATCTCGAATCTGCAAAGCAAGTGGCACTCAAATGTCTCCTACCCGTACTCTTGCTATAGAACGTTGATCAGCACGAGGATGCTCCGGTCCATGGGCATATCATTCGCTCCAGATATACATTATAGAGTCCTAGATACGACAGGTATTCTTAATATATACAATTGAGCCTACCCATTAGGAAAGTCGTGTAGCAACGACGCGTAACATCGGTCGTTCATCAAGTCTTCTCGTCACCCCCCAGCTGTGTTTATACTTTCAGCTCACCTCGGTCTAAGCACTCTGTACCTTGGATCTCCCTATTCTGCTCACCCCATCCTCAAAGATCAACGGCTCCCTCGGTTTCCAGCCCTGCCCCTTTTCCGTTATTCAAGGTAGCCCTTGTCTCGGCGAGAGAAAGCGTAGAAATGCCAGGGATAGCAGAGATAATCGTATCGGGCAGTGCAGGGATAGTAGGATCGGGAAGCAACAAGTGAGGGATTGTTGAAAAGATGTTGAGCAGAGGTGAGTCATCCGGCGATTCAGGCGATTCAGGCCTGTCAGAGACAGCCTCTGCTAACGCTTGCACTGACTCCTATGTGTCTGCTGCCGCTTAATCATGTCGGTATCGGCTGTGGCCTTCACAATTTCACGTTCTCTTTTCAAGTAGCCAGTCACGCCGCATTTTGACCACAAGGCATGAAGCGCCAAGGCAAGAGACAATGTGACGGTTGGCACCCAAGAACCGTCCAAGATAGACTTTCTCGACGGCGGATAGTCGACGAGGAGAGTGCAGTGGTCAGCTATGCGGAAGACAAAGAAGGAGACGAGGAATCTAAGATCGTCTCTGGACTTGGGGAAAAGGTTAGACATGGCGAGGTCGAAGGTAGGGAGCTATGTTATTGCATCAGTATTGGGGCAGAGCAACTATATTGGGCCACACCTCCATCACACAGCCAGCCATAAATTTGACCGAATGTCCACTGTTCAGCAGGTATACCATCAGATCGATGTAAACGCTGTAAAGTAGCACTCAGACATGTAGCAAACGACTTTCACATTGTAGACGTACGTGTGATGGACCCAACCTGTGAGCAGTGCCATCTGGTTTCTGTACTTGAAGTAGCCGATGGAAAGCTTAGTAATATGTCAACAAACTGACAAGTGGAGGGATAGAAGATCAGCGCCAACAAGTCAACACGGGAGCTCCTTTTGCTCACTCACCAACAAGATAGGTCCCAAAGAATACGACTCCAGCCCTGGCCAAAGCGCCCATCCACCCCTCTTTCCCCTTCTGATAAGTGACTTCCAATCCCCATCGCATATAGCTCCATGCAAAAGGAAGAGATGCCACAGTCATCGCGCCAGACGTGATTGCAGACAACAGATACGACCGTTGCCGTACTGAGGCAAAGTGGGGCGCAAGCAGGGCGTAAGGGTCGTATAGGCCAGGTAGAAGATTATCAGGATGGGTACTGTCACGGCCGGAATTACTACGTGTGACAGGTACAGGCATGAGAATCGGGAATGAAGGGCTGTAGATGGCTACGAGAGCGATAGACTGTGTGGCGGGATCCATGTAGGTAGTAGGTGGTGGTCTGATGGGTGTGTTGTTAAGTTCTGTTAGCCTATGGATCCGCGGAGAAAGTGTCTGATACAAGAAAAATAGACAGATATGTTTATCTATAAGTAGTTGACCGCTGAAAGTGTATGATTCATTATCGCCAGTGATGCGGAGTTGCCGTGTGAACGTGACGACGACTGGAAAACAACAAATAACAAACGTGTGTCGCTTTGCGTTAGTATCATTCTATTGCCAGCACATACCTGAGGTGACTTGAGCGACGCGGAGTTCCCATAATGCGAGCACGTAGATCGCCAGGGGGTTCTTTGAGCTGACCTGCCAGTGCTCAGCTCATGCATAGTACTCGAGTACAGCGCGCGATCCCACGATCCCAGTAGTGTTACGAGTACAACAATGTCAACAAAACGATCGAACGCCATCAGTACTGCACAATCATATATATCTATAAAAGAAAAGCTTTGAGCTCAGATCCATGCCTGAACATTGGCATCTGTAAACACATACCAGTGGCTGTACATATTCAAGGTGCACTCTGACGCCAGCATGTTGAACGACTCGACTCACAAACAAAGAACTGGGGCGCGTCTCGCTCCTTCTTCGGACGGCCGACGCACGTCGCCGCTGGTCCGTTCCGACCCGCATCCTGTAGCAAAAAATAGGCAGACCCGAAGAAATCGAGGCAGTACGGCATGGAGAAGAGCGGCGACAGCAATGTATGGCACGCGGGTCTGTTGATCTGCTTGACCCAAGAAAATCGCCCCCTGTTGTGTCGTAAATCTTACCACCACAAACTCTCGCTCGGAGAGAAAAAAAAAAAATCTATTTCATCTCATTTCTCCTCTTCATCTCAACACTGCCCACAATGACTATCGCCCCTCGCCCCTTCCAGGCCGACACCCTCGAATTTACCCCTTTACCAGCCGACTACCAACCTCGTCCGGGACAGGAAAATGACGGGCGCTACATGCTTACAGTCCCATGGAGTCAGGCTAAGGGCTGGGGAACTCCCAAGATCGCCATGCGTCGGCCCCTGGAGGTTGACCCAGTGGCGGGCGTCATGCAGTAGTAAGCAGCAGAGAAGTCAGATCAATGGAGTCGCGCTGATCAATGTCTTACAGTGCCGTGACCTGTTTTGAGGGAATGAAGGTGAGCCAATCGCGCCTTTGGTCGAGATGGACAGTCACTGACAGGCGATGTAGTGCTTCAAAACCGACAATGGTCAGTCAGGATCATTTCGCAAGTTCAAGCAACTCCCAAGCTGATATCGTAGCAGGAGACCTCCGGTTGTTTAGGCCCAACAAAAACTTTGACAGACTGAAGAGATCTGCCGATCGACTGGGTCTCCCGGTAAGTCTGCCAAAACCTGGAACCGGGCAATACTGACCTCTGGCAGTCCGATTGGGACAACAAGGAGCTTCTTCAGCTTCTCTCAACGCTTGTGTCATTGGGTGAGTGAAGAAGGCGAGATGGATGACACGGTGAAAATGGAACACTGACATGCTGCAGAGGGCCCCGATATCACCACAAAAGACGGCGGCAATCTTTACATCAGACCTACTATCCTTGAGACCTCTGGCGGCTTTGGTGTCAGAGGAGAGGCTCTTGCTCCTGAAGCGCTCCTGTACATTGTGACCACCCACAACCTGGGTGCCGCGACTTACAACTCGGCCGAGGAAGGGGCTGGTCTGAGACTGGATGCGCGTACGGATTACAGGAGGGCGTTCATCGGGGGTACAGGTAGCTACAAGCTGGGAGCAAACTATGGTCAGTCAAGCAGTATTATCTTGTGCGTCCTGCTAATGTCATCCTCAGGCGTTGTCAGTATTGCCAAGCGACCCAACTACCTCATGAACTTGTGGTTGCATGACGACAAGCACCATTACATCAGTGAAGCTGGTGGCATGAACATCTTCGTCGTCAAAAAGGCTACTGACGGATGTAAGTACAGACAGATTATGACGCACGTCTTCTAACAGACTTCCAGTCACTGAATTTGTCACGATGGGACTTGAGGATGGCCTCGTTCTGCCCGGTATCACAAGAGAGTCTCTCATTGAGCTCATCGAGGACCACGCTGCGGGCAGAAAAGACTTCCCTGTTTCCGGTATGCCCAAGCAAGTCAGGGTTGTTGAGAGAAACATCACCATGAAGGAGATCATTTCTAGCTTGGAAGATGGCACTCTTCTGGGGTACGTTGTGTATGACTGGGTCCAAGGGTGTGAGCTGATTAGAGATGTGCAGTATGTTTGGATGCGGCACAGGCGTCTGCGTTGCCGGTGTCGCCGAGATCACCTATCAAGAGGCTGACTACAAGATCCCCTCGAATCCTCTCATCATCCTCATCCGTGATGCTTTGACAGGACTGTACAAGGGAAGGATCCAGCACGACGACTGGAGTTATCGTGTGCCCCAGGACATCTAGAGGTTGCATCTTTCATTCAGATAGACTTAATCTTGTCGTTTGCTATTGGGTAGCTTTTCTCTTGCATGCATAGCTACATGCTTTGCTCTCTGGTGCTTCTGCCAGGCCCAGAGCTAACAATCAGGCCGTCAACAACATTTTTTGGTCGAGAATCTGAGGACCTGATGACGTAAAAGTCGAGTAACAGGTGCGGTAGACCGAAAATGGTCAATTTGATCCTCTTGGTGTTGTTTCTCTCTATTTCTTCATTGTTCGCATTTCCTAGCCAGTATGTCCGCCCAGGTGCCCATCCCAGTGTTTAATTCCATCGAAGACATATACCCCTCCGACTCGGCTGTCGTACGGGAACGGTAAGCAGAGCCGGGGATCCACAAGGGTAATACTGACCCCATGACGATAGGCAGCGCTGGACCTCCCTCAAAAACAAGTTTGGGGAAAAGTTTGGAGGCCAACCGGTCTACATCGTCCGCGCCCCCGGGCGAGTCAACGTTCTGGGAGAGCATATCGACTACTCGCTTTTTGTGTGCTCTTCCTTTTCGATCATGTCCCGTGACTGACGAGCTGTCCTATAGCCAGTGCTACCCGCAGCTATCGAGCAGGACATCCTATTTGCCATCCGGCCGGCTCCAGTCGATGAGGGAGATGTCCCAAAAGTCAGATTGGAAAACTCAGACACCAAATATTCGTACCCCGGCTGTACATTCACCCTCACCCCTCCCTCTAATTCCGAAAAGGGAAGAGAGAGCTGGGACGTGGGGCTCAAAGACGCCGAAGGATGGGACAAGTATGTGCGGGTCGCTTTGCTAGAGTGTCTCGAAGAGCTGTTCCCTGGAGGCAAGCGAGTCGACGAGGGAAAAGCGCCAGTGGGGCTAGAAGTCTTGATCAGCGGAACCATCCCTCCTGGCTCTGGTCTGAGTGTGAGTGCCTTCCTCCTATCGAGATCTATCTGACTTGCCCCTTAGAGCTCTGCTGCAATGGTTGTAGGCTCTGTCATCATGTTTCTGGTAGCCAACAATCTCACCCAGGGGCGCACCAAGGCCGACGTGGTATCGCTCGCCATCAACAGCGAGCATCGAATGGGACTTCGAACCGGAGGAATGGACCAGTCCGCTTCGGCTCTTGCTCTGCCTAACAACCTTCTTCACCTTTCATTTCACCCTACCCTACTGCCCACCCCTCTGCCTTTGCCGGGAAGTTTGAGCCTGGTCATCACAAACTCTTTGGCACCTCATTCCTTGACCGACTCTGCGCCGGAAGAGTATAATCTCAGGGTCATCGAGATTTTGATTGCCACGCGCCTACTTCTCAATCGCTGGAAACTCTCCTCGAGCTTCAATGAAGCCCCCAGACCGTGGCTGCGAGAGGTGCTGGGCGTCTGGTCGGGCGAAACGGACGGAGAGCATATGGGCTGGGAGAAAGAAAGGGAGGTCGTTGAAAAGGCCCTCGGAGACATTGGATGGTTACGGAAAGATGGTGGCTGGAGTAGAGAGGAGGTCATCGCTGTTTCTGGCTTGAAGGAAGAGGATTTCCGCAAGAGCTACTTGGAGTACCTGGAGAGTGCGTATAATGGAGCTTCCTGTTCTATAGCATACTGACTTCTAGCAGTTCGAGCAGACGCCTTCCACCTATACGAACGACTTCACCACACCTTCTCCGAGTCGCTTCGTGTCCACCGCTTTGTGTCTCTCTGCCAATCTCTTGGCGCATCCACCAAACCATCCGAACCCTTATCAAAGAGCTCTTTGTCTTTGCTGGGTGAGCTGTTCAACGACTCTCACTCTTCCATGCGCGACACCTATGACTGTACCCATCCATTCGTGGATAAGCTCCAAGACCTGTGTCTTGAGGCTGGTGCGCTTGGGTCGAGGATGACCGGAGGAGGGTGGGGAGGCAGCGTGGTCTCTCTGGTCAAGAGCGAGGAAGTGCCAGTGTTCCTCGATACTGTCAGGAAAGGCTATGAGAAGTATAGGGATTTGGATGATCAGGCGTGGGTAGAAGTTGGATTTGCCACCATGCCCGGGCATGGCGCGGGTATCTTCGTGGTAGGTGGCAGTGCTTGATTGAGAGCTTCTATATATCTACCATCAATGAAGATCTGAATGAAAGACGATGATATTTGCAATGCGATTCCTCTCTCACAGATTCCAATGATATTGTAGCGAAAGAGCTGAAACATATCCCGAGCATACCCACGTCGAGCACACGACACACCAGTACACCACATCACCTCTCGGACGTAATCCGTGAGAAAATAGCCACGCGCCCAGCGCCTTGCTGCGATTCTCTTCATACTTTTCTTGTCTCAGCACTCGCATTTTCATGGCCGCTTTCTACCAGCCTCTCTCACAGAGCTCCGATCCATCAAGAGGACGCTCGGACACGGTCAGCAGTCTGGGTGGCTTTGAATTCCAGCATGACTTGCTACCCTTGACACTGAGTGGAGAGGATGGGACAGCGCATCTTGTTGAGGAAAAGCACGTCGAGCTATGGCATGGTAAAACCTACTTTGGGTATTCAATACAAGTGCTGACTGGTAGTATAGGAGTTGCCTTGGTAGTTGGTGCCCAAGTAGGGTCAGGGATATTTTCGTCGCCCGGAGTGGTTGTACAGGAGGTAGGGAGCGTAGGCGCAAGTCTGATGGTATGGGTCGTTAGCGGAGTCCTGGCATGGACAGGCGCCAGGTAAGCATCTTCCGTCATACCCAGCTGCTCGAGACTAACTTTGCTGTAGCTCCTACGCAGAACTTGGCTGCGCCATACCTGTATCAGGAGGCAGTCAGGCTTATCTCGCTTACGCTGTAAGACACTCTTGCTTGGAAGCAGCCATCGCTGACGAGAGCAGTTTGGACCTATGGTTTCCTACCTGTTTACATGGACTGCCGTATCCGTCCTTAAACCCGGCAGCGCTGCCGTGATTGCCCTCATCTTTGGGTACGTCTTCATCGCAGATCTCAGACGTCTACTGATTTCTTCCTCAGCGAGTACATGTCTCGCCTCTTCTCCCATATACTATCGACCGAAACGCCCGAATGGGCCATCACACTCACCGCCGTCTTCGCTGTCCTCATCTGCTCCCTCCTCAACGCCGTCTCTCCTACCATGGGTACCAACTCTGCCGTCGTGCTCACCTTCATCAAGATCTGTACTCTAGTCTTTGTAGCTGTGCTTGGTGTCATCGCCCTTGTCAAGGATGGACCTGGAGAGGGGTTGAAGCCTAGCAAAGTATTTGATGGTACGGTAGGCGATCCCGGGAATTGGGCTATCGCTCTATACTCTGGCCTATGGGCGTTTGACGGCTGGGACTCTTGCTGCGTAAGTCCATACATCTCTTTGGCTCCTCAACCTCACTTCTATTACAGTATGTTGCTGGCGAGATGCGTGACACCAATCGCGACCTTCCGCGGGCTCTTCACTCTTCGATGGCTACCGTCCTCACCCTCTTCGTCTCTGCCAACCTCGCCTACTTCGTCGTCTTGGACCCTTCGGTCGTTGCTTCATCGAATACAGTGGCACTCGACTTTGGCAAGGCGTCAATAGGAAAGTTCGGAGCAGTAGTCTTTACGACTCTGGTGGCTATCAGCTGTTTCGGGGCGCTGAATGGTGGACTTTATACAAGTGCGTGACTGTACTTCGGTCATGGCGCTCGAGCTGATCCTGGACAAGCTGCGAAATTGATCTATGCCGCTTCCAGGGAGCATTTCCTCCCCTCGATCTTTTCCAGACTCCACCCCAACAGACGAACGCCCGATCATGCCATCCTCCTCAACAGCTCCCTCACGGTGCTCTTCATTATATTTGGTGGTGGTTTTAGAGGTGAGATTCTGGAACACTTCCTGCTTCTTGCCACTGACATTATGTGCAGTGCTTCTCAACTTTCTTTCCGTCTCAGGCTGGACCTTCTATCTCCTCACCGTCTTGGGTCTTCTCATGCTTCGCGTCAAGGAACCTCATTTGGCGAGACCCTACAAGACCTGGTTGATTACGCCAATGGTCTTTTGTCTGGTAGCGGCGTTCCTACTGCTCATGCCAATTTTTGCAGCCCCATGGGAGGCTTTCGCGGCTGTTGGTGAGCTTACAATCCCATGTAACGGCGAAGTCAGCTGATTCCCGTAGTATTCATTGGGTCGGGGGTACCGATGTACTACTTGACGGCGCGCTTGCGGGCACAAGGCGATCGCGGATACGCTGGCGAGACTGGATGGAATGCTATCCAGGCTACCTTCACAGGTTGGTTCAGTCTACGCGCCCAAGAACGCAGCTGACATGCGGACAGACGCCTGGAGCAGTTTCAGATACGACATCGACGGGCTGTTGTCCAAGCGCTGGGAGCGATCGCAGATAGAGAGACTAGATGATACGGGGGACGAGCAACAAGGGATGCTGAGGGAAGAGGTCGAGATGGCCGAGAGACGGTAGAGTCATTAGGTATCATACATACATGTAAACATACAATCGTCCCATCCCCACATCTGCTCATCGCCTCCCCTTGCCCTTTGGCTTGCCTCGCGTAGACGACGTTTTGCCTCCCCTTCGCTCCATAGCCAAAGCAGCCTTCTTGCCTCGCTTCCTCGACTCGATCTCCTTGCCCTTTCTCCTTTCCGCCTTTGTTTCCATAGAAGTCGTTCGACCGACCTTCTTGCCATCCTTGCTTTGGGCCTTCTTCTTGTCCAGCGCCTTCTGGGCTCGCTTGGACGAGGGAGGAAGCATCTTGACCTTTTTCACTTCAGGCGCAGGGGCCTCGGTTTCTTCAGGTGCGGGCGACTGAGAAGAGCGGGTGGGGATGAAGGAAGATGTGGTGGTCGGGTCAAAGTCTTCGGTGATGGTGACAGTAGCGATCTGATCGTCGTCTGAGAACTCTTCTTCCTCGTCTGCAGCGGCTGATGAAGGTCCGGCTTCATTGGTTTCGTCTTCATCTGCAGAATGTGTGAGAAGGGATCTGGATGAGATGGTACACAGAACGAACCTTCGCTCTCGTCTACAAGACCCATAGCTTGACGAACAGACTTGACGTTTGCAGCAGCTCGTTCTTTGAGTTCCTTCCTCGCCTAGAAATCGAATCAGTCTGACATCCAAGACTACCCGATCATATACATACCTTCTTCCTCTCATCCAAATGTTCTTGCTTCTCTCTCTCCTTTGCTCTGCTCCTCTTCTCCTCCACCTTGGCCTTCTTCCTTTTGCTGAATCCTGTCAACCATTCGCTACATGTATATCAGCAACCTGCTTTCCAGTGGTCCATGTCGCGAGGCGCATACCGTCTAGCCTCATCGTCAAATTTGATCTCCTCCACCTGATCCTTCCTGGCCTTCTTTGCCCGCTGGATATACGACGCTCCTTCCGTCAAAAGGGCGACGTTGGATTTTTGCTTCGATGCTGGGGCCATGGTGATTGTGTCTGGCTTGTTTTGGGTTCAGAGGAATATTTTGAAAGTGAGGACGCAGGAGCGAAAGGTGGAGGGAAGCGGTAGTCGCCGATGCTCCTGATGCTTACGTACTTGTTACGAAGGCTGGGTCATGCAGCACGAGAGGAAGCAGCACTCCTACAATTCTGCAAGAGAGTGCATACATTCAGAGCGTCTATAAGATCATACAAATGCACTGTGCATAGCCGTCGAAATATGTAGTCAACACCTTCTTTTTCTTTTCTCATTTGTGACAGACGCGTCTTGGACCTGAAAACGCGTCGGCGACCCGGGTTGGGTGATGTCTTTGCGATATTGCAGGCCATGCTCTACTTTTATAAGTCGAGGTAGCTACAGGATACTGCTCTCACCCCCTATCTATCTCGCAACCCTGCTCAGCGTCGCAGACATGCATGCCATGACTCCATACTGACCGTGGAAGATCTGCCCCGGGACCAGACGCGTCTACAAACTCGACGCTAAAACCCTCGAGCGAGCTTCTCGCTTTACGTGTTCGTTGTCTTTGGTGAACAATTGGTGAATCACATCTATATCTCAATCCCCATTCTTTCCTTTCAATCACCAACTCAGACTCGTTCTCTGGCTGAGCCGAGACTCCACCCACACACATACATCCGGCACACACCGGCAAAACAACAACCACCCACTTCGTTGCTTCCTTATAATCGGCCACGAGATACCACACCACTCTTCGCTTTGCAGCATTCACACTATGAGACCCGCCATCCAACTGCTCTCAGCCCTGGCCCTTGCCACCACCGCCGCCATAGCTGGAGACAGCTTGGGCAACAGCTATGCTGGTGCACCCAGTAAGTTCTTCCAACAAGTGGTCTTCTCCGTACTGATGTGCTCTCAGCCGATGGCATTTCAGTATACGCAGAGAATGTTTCGCAGTGTGGTACCGCCAACATCTCATGGACCGGTGCCAACGTACGTCTCTTTGTTTGTTCAAAGCTCCCGGCTGACACCCTTTTAGCCTCCCGTGACACTCGAGATCGCCGAAGGCGGCTACTACATCGGCCGCACCTCTGTCGCCAACCTCACCACTGGAAGGAACGACTACTCTACCGAATGGCTCGTCGACGTCGCCGCTGGGCAGAGCCTCATCTTTCAGGTCGTCGATGCGGACGGCAAGACCGGCTACGTCCAAAACATCAACGTAAGGGACAGCGATGATGATTCGTGTGTCAAGTTTGGAGCAGCAAACAGTTCGAGTAGCGCGGCGGGTAATGGGACGAGCAATGGTACGACTGAGAGCTCAGGGACGAGCGGGAATGACAGTGCCACTGCTGTCGGTGAGTGTCATGCAAGACCAGGGAAAGCAGGGTGCTGATGCCTGGGTAGATTCTGCCAGTACTGCCTCCAGCAGCTCGTATAGCGACCCATCCAGCGCGCAAGTCCATCATTCCTCATACACGACCAAGCTCACCATCGTGTAGCACTTCCTCCGACTCTGAATCAACCACTAGCCCATCGGCCATCGAAGGCTCGCCTTCGTCGGTCTCTTCAGAGTCCCTCTCGACTGTTGCATCCACAAGCGCTTCAGCCGATGCCAACTCCAGCTCCCCCTCGTCTGCATCTGCCCAAGCTGCAGGCTCTTCATCCAGCAGTAGCTCATATGGGGGCGTCGTCGCCGTCAACGATTCATCCAGCACCAACTCTGGCTCTTCTTCATCCACCTCGTCCACTTCAAGCTCATCTTCGGCTTCTCGTGTGGCTATCGGGGGCTGGTCGGTTGTGGGCGCCGTGTTGAGCGCTGTCGTCTTTCTCTGAACACTGGGTCAAGCATTCGGACATGTAGTATAGAGCATCTTTCCTTTTCTTCCTTCGTATCCCAGTCTACCCTCACGACTGCACCGCTTTCATATGGGAGTCTCCTTCGACAGGACATGTAGGCGGAGAAGCTAGTCTTTTATCTCGTTTTTATTCTTCATTCATTTCATCATGTAGCTACTTTTAATTCTGCTAGCAGAGTGATGCACATCACGCCGCTGGCCGGTCGGGGGACACTTCAACCCAGCAAGGACTGATCAACTCGGGCATATTGCCGCAGTCGCTTCGCAAGGGTAGAGTCGGCAGTCGCCTCAAAATGGTGTCATTGTCCGGCACAGGTAGCTTATCACCAAAACGACAAAGATCATCATCGCCAACTTTCCACCAGCTCACCCAAAACCCACACACTCGCCCCAAACACACCCAAACCCGCGGCCCACACCGTCAAATAAACGCTCTGCGCTTGAAGCTCCAGCATGTACGCCGAAGCAAGCCACACGGCCTGTGCAAGGACCCAAGCGCTGACCAGTAGGATCGCCTGGCTGCGGCTGATGGCCAGGTGCGAGAGGACAGGAGGCAGGAGCGGGAGGAACCACATAAAGTACTGGGATGTGCAGACTTTGTTGAATGTGACAAAGATGGCGGTCTGGAGGAAAAAGACAAAGTCAAGCTTTGCTGGGATAAAGGACGAGCAGAGGATGAGGGAGAGTTGCGGGAGGAATGAGGTGAGGGGATGGCGGAGGATTGTGATGACGGCCGATGAGAGTTGAGAGGAGGAAGGGAAGAGAGAGAGGTAGATGGGGTAAAAGTAGGGAGAAAAGTTGTGTCGGTGGTCAAGGCGGGTGAGATGGTAGAGATAGGTGTGGTCGAGGAACGGTTGGCCCCAGCTGCGACAGTGTCAGCTCACACACAGCTGACGTTTGCAAAACGTACATGGACCACAAAGCACCGTTGATAGCCACAAACGACACCAAAGCGATGAATCCAAACCTCCATACTCGAAGGCCAAACCATCCCCATCGCCCGGCGAGTTCTTTCCAAATGGCAGGAATATAAATGGCGGGATAGATTTTCCAGCTGACCGCCAGAGCGAGCACGAGGGCGGCCCTTCCTTCTCCTCGTCCCTTTGCACCAGATGAACCTCCAAGGCGAATAAAGTATTGGGTGGCAACAACAAGGAAGCATATAGCAGCCTCTGGAGATCCGCGGGTAGTGATGTTGAGGGTGAACGGATTGAGCGTCCATAGCAGATGAGTAGGCCAGAATGGCGCTGGGCCGGGCCCAGACAGGAGGAGCACAGGTATCAGCAGAGAAGGCAGGGCCAGGAGTATCTTTCCGAGAAAGTTGGAGAGGATGGCCGGGGAGAGAAAGAGCGGCAGGAGGGGCGTATATCTGAACGTGGCTCGATGGTACGGACTGCGGCGAGTGAGTACGAGGCATTGGATTGTTCGGTCACGTACTCGCCGATGCCCCAGCCGAGTCTGCGAGCGAGCGGTCCGGCGGCGTGCTGCGCGGTGGCAGGGCTGAGGATGATGCGGGCACCATCTGTGAGGACGCGCCAGTCTAGGTCGGTGTAGCGCAGGCCGGCATGCTGGAGGGGGTGTGCGTCCACGTGCTCTGCGTAGAGGATGAGGGCGAGGTGCGCGGCGAGGGCGAGGGCGAGGAGGGCGGGGGTGGAGGCGGGGGTGGAGGCGGGCGCCATCGAGTGTGGTGTAGAGAGCAGAAACAGGATACATAGAGTACGACGCGTCCAGGAACGCGCATTGAGCCGTGTGTTTCACGCCGCGCTACTCCGTTATTGTCTCGATACAATTACAGGGCACGTGCTGCCATTTGCATCTCTCTTTCTTTCTTTCTTCTTCTTCTTCTTCTTCTTTCCCGCACATCACGTCTCCTGTCCCGCCCCACCGACCTACAACGCTCTTTTCTCCACCACCACCGCCACTTCCAACCACCCACACAGCCTACCACCACAGCTAGCGACAGCACTCTTCACCCCTCCCGTTTTCTCACCACACGCGCCTTGGCCTGTAACGTCCAGTAACGACTCTATACCACCCACCCACCAGAATAACCCCTCGCCATGATTGCTGCTGCAAAGTTGATCGACCTCCTCCCTGCGCTTGCCCTTCTGGGTATGGCCCTTACCGGTCTGGAGAATGCTCCTGTGAGTCCTGTCCCGTCATCCAGCCCCCAAATTGTATCCTCGTGACGCTGCAAAATCGTCTCCACCATGCTCTTTGGGCAGGTAGACCATCCACCCCGGTCCCCAACAACCCTCTTGGCGCGTTACGCTGACACCCTCCTTTCACGTCATTCCCCACACTGTCAACACCAGACTGCTGCTCTCGCCGTCCCTCAAAGTCGAGAACACCACCGACACCTCGCTGCTCGACTCGCCGACAATGTTGCCCAGCAAGACAAGAAGCGCTCTGCCGGCGCCAAGAGGACCCTCCGACGACGCTCGGACGGCACCATCTGCAAGGCGAAGAACACTGAGTCTTCCACCTTTACAGACGTCTCGAGCACCGCCTCTGCCACTGCATCGGCTACCGCCTCCGCTGCCGACTTGCAGGTTGCTGCCGTTGACACCGACTCGTCCTCTGTCGCCGATGTCTCGTTCACCGACTCGGTCTCTTCTACCCAGGCGGCTTCCTCCACCGCTAGCTCCAACAGCGCCCAGTCCACCGATGTCACTGGTAGCCTTGCCACCGTCGGCACTGGCAGTACCACCAAGTTTGGTCTTGCTTGGCCCAACGGTGACTGGGCTACGTCTACCAGCCCCGACTATGTCGGCAACTATGTTGGCACCAAGACCTCCTGGTACTACACCTGGTCTCCTTTCTCTGTCGTACGTCCGGTCCCCGTTGCATCAAACACAACTGACATCCACCCAGGGCTCTGCCGACCAGCTCAACGTAGAGTATGTTCCCATGTACTGGGGTGTCAAGCAGCAAAGTGAGCCTTGCTCTCAATATGCACGTGCGCAACTGACTCTGTTACAGGCGATTGGTGGGCTCAGCAGAGCAACTGGCCTTCCACCGTCAAGAATGCTCTCTTCTTCAACGAGCCCAACCAGTCTGGCCAGTGTGACATTTCCGCGGGTGACGCCGTCCAGTACTGGATGAACGACTACCTTCCCCTTCGTTCTTCCAAGGGTGTCCGACTCGGTGGTGCCGCCACTACCAGCGCACCTTCAGGTCTCCAGTGGGTCCAAGACTTCAAGACCGCCTGTGTCCAGTACGGCAACTCTGAGGCCGACTGTACCTCCGAGTAAGTACCACTCTGCCCAAGTTTTCGCAAAGCTGATCGTGTGCAGCTTTGTGCCCATTCACTGGTACGACGTCACCATCGACGGCTTCAAGTCTTACGTCGAGAGCTTCCACGACGGTGTCGGCCAGAACCTCTGGGTCACCGAGTATGCCTGCCAGAACTTTAACGGCGGTGCCCAGTGCACTGACCAAGAGAGTGAGTCGAGCCAACGCTTGAAAAGGGCAATACTGATCTTCGACAGTCTGGAATTTGCACACCGAGATGGCTGCTTGGTTCGACCAGCAAGACTACATCGAGCGATACTCTCCCTTCGGTGTCATGAAGGACATGCAGGGTGTTGAGCAGTACAATGCCCTCATGAACCCCGACGGCAGTATCACCTCTCTCGGTGCTTGGGTAAGTACCATTTGCTATCGAGAGACACGGCTGACATTCTTTGCAGTACGCCGCCAACAGCTAAGCCAGTCCCAGTGATTTCCTCTCGCGATAACGATACCCCTGTTTTCTTCTCCCGATAAATGATCATACTCCCATCCTATTCTGTCATAGCATTCTGTGAATCCTATTACTTTTCCTGCACCTCTATTACCCTCGCGTCTTTTCCCTTCCTTTGATTGTCCATACGTATTCTCCCTTTGTATCAATTCAGCTTGACGCTGTGATGATTGCAAAGGCTTCCGTTAGTCAATTTGGAAAAAAGTCTTGTCATCGTGACATGTATCATAGCGCGCGATGTTACTTTCAATGGACTTTATACATGTTAATCAGAGGATCCTTCCCTCCCATATGCCTCGCAGGCCGTTGAATCCGATCAGCCGGGCTTGGCCCTTCTTGACCATGTCCAGGTCTTGCAGTGTCAACTCGCCCTCTTCAATGGCACCCTTTTCGAGCAAGTATCTCCTCAACACCCCGTTCAGTAGCGGGGTCGAACTGCCTATACGCGGGGTTATCCACCTCTGCTCTGTGGACCTGAGAATGGCGATATTGGAAGTTGTCGTTTCTAGTAGATGGGTACCGTTGTGAACTATGACTTCGGGGTGTTCCGTCGATGATTGGCCTAGTCAAATCAGCATTTGTGAAATAAGAAGGCATGCTCACGTACCTCCGCGGACGTAAGCGGCATCGTACATCTCCCTCTGGTCAGTCTTGTACAGGCGATAGTCTTTCTCGGGCTGATTTTCGCGGGCAATGTGGGTGACTTGCGGGTCGAGGACTACTGGTCGGAGTTGAGGCGATTTCTCAGTTGGAATATCAAGGCTGAAGACTGCTCATCGTCAGCCGGAGCACCAGTGCAGTGAGGGCTCTACTTGCCAGAATCTTTCGGCGCAGGGGGCATTTGCACCTCGACCTTTCCTCCAGGGTAAACCACCCAGCGTACTCGGAAATCATGCGGGCCTTGCTCGTCCTTTTGTTTCAATGCTGTATTCAGGGCTGTGACGAGGGTCTCATCGCCTGGCCATGTGCCCCATTTCGCCGGCTCTAGAGTGGAAAAGTGTGTAAAAGCTTCTCGCAGTCTCTCAAGGTGTGTTTCCAGGAGGGGGATGCTGCCCGCATGCTGCTCAGAAGTATACCGCAAAGTGGAAAAGACATAGGTTGGCGATGAGACCTGGATACAAAAAGGACAGTGTCAATATGCATATGCTACATTTGCCTCTATGACGTAGAGTCTATAGGAGAGGGAATCATACATTGATTTTGGGGGTGGACTTGTTGCTCCAGTCGAGTTTGAGCCCGGCATTGCTCTTTGCACAGGTCAGCGATTGGGGGTGAGATGGTAGCAAGGGTACTCACGTCCAAGTTCCACTCCTCCAATGCCTTCAACGCTGCAGCGCCCCACTCTTCTGCCCTGCCGTCTTCTCCCTCGGCCCCACCTTCGAGCTCGACGAGCTTCAAGAGCGCCAGGTTTTCCTCCGCGACGAACCCAGCTTGGACCGAGCTCTCAAATTGCTTGTAGAGGTTGGTATAGAACCCTCCAATGTTCAAGATGATAACGGGTAGACGGTGGATACCTAGTTGGTTCCAAGTGATCATCTCGAGGGCTTCCTCGAATGTGCCGTAGCCTCCGGGGAGGACGATGAAGCCTCCGGTAGAGAGGTTGGCCATGGCGAGTTTACGCTGCGATGCGAGTTAGCCTGGTACTTTTCAAGAGTGGAGGACGCACCTCGTGCATGGTGCTGACCACCTGAGTCGTCAACTTTTCTTGGGTTTCGTCCTTGACAATCTCCTCGCCAGAGCCTTCTTTGCTCTGGGCATTGGCCTCTGCGGAGGGGGCAGCGGTGGACTCCGCTGCACGTTGCACGAGAGCGTTTGGAACGATACCGTGCACATATCCACCAGCCGTGAGGGTTGATTGAGATACAACGCCTGTAGATTTATGAGCAGTGAGACAGAAGAATGACGGGAGACATACCCATTATCCCTCGACGGCCACCACCATATACGAGGGGCACGTTCGCTCGGGCCAGCGCTTCACCAACGGCCTGAGCGGCCTTGGTAAAAAGAGAAAGCTTTCCTGGGGATGATCCACAGCTATACAAGAGTCAGTCGTGGTTTATAACATGGCAGCAAGATACGTACAAGACGCAGACGGGCTTCTGGAGATTGGCTGAGGCAGGGAAAGGAGACGACATGTTGACCAAGTAGTCTTACTAGATTACAGATGGTAGATCAGAATCAGGATATAGATATATATTGCCACTGGGCTGATTCGATGTGGCCTTCGAAGCTTGTAGCGTTGTTGAAGGGAATGAGGCCGGCGGGCACCTCCACTGCCACACAAGACACCAAGATATTCCCGATGGCGCGCTGTCACTGACGTCTCAGAGATATTGCTATTCCTCCTGCATCAACCCACAAACTATACACCATGTTCATCCTCGTACGTCGGCAGGGGCAGGGGAGAGCGGTAGCTGACGGGCGATGTAGAATTGGTTCTGGGACGTCCTCTCTTCCCTCGGTAGGTCACACGAAGCGCGGACGCGATCAATCACTGACATGCATGTATAGGTCTTATGAACAAGAGTATGTGGAGATGGATAGCTTGGATTTAGTAACTAAGACTGACGTTGATCCAGGCGCAAAGCTCTTGTTCCTTGGTCTCGATAATGCGGGAAAGACTGCAAGTCACGGCGGAACACCGAGTCCTGGATATATCATGCTGACATTGTCTGTAGACCCTCCTCCACATGCTCAAGAACGACCGTCTTGCTACCCTCCAGCCCACCCTTCACCCCAGTGAGTCACCGAAAGCAGTAAAAATGGAGTGGAAGAAAGGGGCTTTGGCGGAAGGAACACTGTGGAGCTGGCAGGAGGATAGAGGGCGCAGCACGTGGAGGGACATCTGCTTATCGCTTTGTAGCTTCTGAAGAACTCGCCATTGGCAACGTCAAGTTTACCACCTACGATCTTGGTGGACATTTGCAAGCCCGACGATTGTGGAGAGACTACTTCCCTGAAGTAGACGGTATCGTCTTTTTGGTAGACAGCGCGGACCCCGAGAGGTTCTTGGAGAGCAAGGCCGAATTGGACTCTCTCTGTGAGTACGCACCAAACTTGTGTGGACATGACTTATTCCTGCAGTGTCTATCGAGGCTCTCGCCCAAGTTCCTTTCCTCATCCTCGGTAACAAGATTGACGCCGTTGGTGCCGTCTCGGAAGAGCAGCTCAGGCATGACCTCGGTCTTTACCAGACCACCGGTAAGGGCAAGGTCCCTCTCCGTGACATCCGACCTATCGAAGTCTTCATGTGCTCTGTCGTCATGCGACAAGGCTACGGTGAAGGTTTCCGATGGTTGAGTCAATACGTGAGTTGTTTTATACGTAGGGTGGAATGGAACTGACGAAAGTGCAGATCTAAGATGCTGTTGGAGGTGGAGGGGCATTGTTGTATGAGGAGCGGGAGTGGAGCTTCGCATGACTTTCTTTTACCTTTCTTTACGACTCGGCTATGCAGATACATAATCTAATTCCCACAGGTCTTATTCACTTTTAGTCTTTTCCTTCAACGAAGAGAATGCGACTCTACTGGCTCGTTCAATGTCTCCGAGAGTTCTTCTCACTTGACTTTCTACCCCATCATCGCCGCCACCTCCTTCGACATCTTCGACATCGATAAAGGCCCACTGCTCAATGTCATCCGCAGAAGCGGCAAATACCGCATCATACGTCGGCTTGATTGTCTCTAGGATCTGTCCAGCCCGTTTCTTTGCGTCTACGTGATTGGCACAGTCCCTAGCCGGCTCGCCTTCCACCTTGTCCTCGCAGCGGCAAGAGCAAGGATCATACTTGATCGTCACGACGCCTTTTCTCGGCATGGGCACGGCGGAACAAGTGACCCCATCCATATACACTCTTTCGCCCTTCCAGTGGAATGTCAAGGGCATCAGCCCCATCCCGAGTATCTCTTCCTTGAACAGACTCCACTCGTGCTGCATCCTTCTGTGCCTCGTACCTCCCACCGTGCACCGCTTGACGACATCCTCCGGACCTTCTCTCAGATCGATGAATGCCTGCTTGAGGGCAGATGTGAGAAGTGGAAAGTGAAAGGTAAGCGCGTCGAGGCGAGGAGGGGTGGAGAGGAGGAGAAAGTCGATGAATGGGTGCCGGGGGACAGGCGTACTCGCCCTATGCGGTCCTGCCCAGTGTCTCGAAAGATGGTCCCCTGCTTGGGCTATGAATTCATTCTCCACTGTGACTTGTGCCAGATTGGGCATCAAAGGAAGGGGAACAGGTGACCTTGCAGGAAAAAGGGGTAACAGGATCTTGCTTTCGGGTGGGGTAGGCAAGGACAGGAGGGTGAGAGAGCGGGTATGCGCGAGGAGGGCGAGCTTGCGGCGATGTGTGGCTGGGGACGGGATGTAGGTTGATGAGGTCAAGGACGGGAGAGGGGCGAGATCGGAAGGTAGCTTGATGGGTACGGAAGGCCATAGAGTCCACTCATCTCTGATCTCATCCCTCAACTCCCTCTCTTTTTGCTCATCTTTCTCCTCGATGATCACCTCCCCAAAATTGTGAGGCTCGAGACCGACAAAGATCTTGTGGGCATTGTCAGTCATGATGAACAAGTTCCGGTAGAGGAGAGGCGCGAAGAGATCGTATATCCCACTGGAAGTACGGAGAAGACTGGAGAGAGTACCGAAGGCATGTTGAGATTGGAGCTGCTTGGCTACGAGCAGCATCAGCTCGGGAGGGAGTCGCATGGTGGCTGGTAGAGGGTCTTTCCGAGCATCCAAGATATGGGCAGTATATATATGGCCAGAGCTCATGGGACTTTAACTCCCTTCATCAAGACATGATCAAAGGGAGAAGTCAGGGAGGCCGAGGCGTGCACCAGACAAGAAGAGTGGCAGTCACCAGGAGAAGAGAGGTGCATTTCTAGATTTGTGGCACTGACGATTGACTACAGCTGCTGACGTTGACAGGTAGAAGACGAAACTAGAGAGGAAAGCGCTGCAACCGTCATCATGCTGGATGCTGTGTGCAGCACTGTCCCTAGTTAGGTCCATGGTTCGCGCTGTTGGTCCGCCGTGCTCGAGTCAAAAGGCTATTGTAGACGGCAAACAGTGAAAGCACGTCAAGCCGTACACGCTATCCTTGGTAGCGCGACACCAGGGGCGGTGCTGACATTCAACGCACCAGATGCAACGGGGGTCAGCTTTGCGCCACGCTGGCAAGACCCGCAAGAGCGCTGCCAACACGAGCCCCCACCTGTCTCCATTGCAGCATGCCATGTCCTGTGCGGAACATGGCTTGAGTGCGAGGCTGACGAGATGCAAGAGCCACTCGAATATAGACGTGTTCTGGGCCAGGCACGGACGCGTTGTGTTTGTTTTTGCTCCCGTCGCGCACAGCTTCCCCGCTTCCCATATATCCTCGCCCGTATCCTATCTCCATCTCTCTTCTTCTTCTCATTCTTCTATTTCTTCCCATACCCACACTCCTTACCACCACCATGAAGCTCACTCTCCCCCTCACCGTCTCCCTCTCCCTCCTCGCCTCCCTCGCCATCGCCTCCCCGACCCCTCTCAACACCGACAACACCCTCGCAGCCCGCGAACACTCGGGCCACCTTATTGCTGCCCGCAACGTCGCCGCTGCCGCCCACGTGGCGGACTACGTCCTCAAGCGACAGGAGGATGCGCCCGCTGACAGTGGTGCCACGACCGGCGATGGGAGCGATGATGGGAGCGACGATGGGAGCGACGATGGGAGCGACGATGGGAGCGACGATGGGAGCGACGATTCCTCGTCGGATGACTCGGGCACGTCTGATACAGACTCTGGCGACGATGGCTCGGACGGTTCTTCGGCTTCTGCGACGGACTCTTCTGCCGACGACGGAAGTGCTGAGGCGACCGATTCGACTTCGGACGACGGAAGTGCCGAGGAAACCGACTCGAGCCCTGAAGATGGTACCGGCGAGGCGACTGCCAGTGCGACCGACTCTTCTGAGGGTACCGAAGAGACCGCTTCTAGGTAAGCTCATTCGATGTGCTTGGTGTATATATGAGCTGACTCTTTTGCAGTATCGCCGAAGGCTCCTCTAGCGCCGCGGCCACGACTTCGGCCAACACTGCCAGGTCTTCCGGCTTGACCAGGTACAACACCACTACAAGGGCCTCGTCCAGTGTCGTCGGCACTTCGGCTGCTCAGACTGTAAGTTTCAGACCTATAGCGCTATAGAATAATGCTGATGTGTCTGCCATTTCAGACCGGAGCCGCCTCCTCTTCTTCCGCCTCTTCCAGCGCCGGCCAGCTCGGTGCTGCCATCCCTGCTGGTTTCAGTGGTCTCTCCTTCCTCTCTTTGGCCCTCGCTGGCGGTCTTGGAGCCGCTCGAATCCTCTTCTAGACACTGGGTGCTACAGAAGTGAATTCAATCCGATCTTTCAAAAACGTATGGACGTTTGTCACACCTAAAATCTTTGCCATTCTATTTGTTTGTACATTACTATGCCAAGGATAGTGGAATCAGTCTTTGCGGCACGTCAGTACAGGTGTTTGCAGGGCGGTATGACCATCGCGTTTTACCCTGGACACGTTTGCGGGTGTAAGCGTAACATCAAGACACCAGACCCGTCTACAATATATAGTCTACAAGCACAAACCCTTTATCACATGCTCTTATCTAGCCATTCACCCCACCATCCCTTACTGCGTCCCGTATCTGACAGACCCCTCACGTTTTGCCTTTCGGCTCTCCGCCTTTCCACCTCGTCCTCTTCGATCTCATCCAGCTCCTCTTCACTGTCACTCCCCGCACCTCCAGGTCTATCCCATCCTTCAAAGTCATCCTTCAACTGCCTCTCATCCTCCTCCTCTCGTGCCCGCTCTGCGCTTTCTCTCAGTGGGGGATATTGCGAAGCACGGCTGGTGCTGTTGGAAGAGAGATATGAGAGGGGAACAGGATCATCGGATGGTGAAGGCGCTTGAGCGTATTCGTGCGACTCGGATGGTGGTATCAAGGGGGCGGAGGCATCGGAAAGCGATGGGATGGGCTTGCCGGAAGAATCGAGTTCGAGCGTGGCTGAAATGGATTTCGTGTACTTGTGGTACGAATAAAGCGCGATACCTAAACAATAATGAGTATCCACGTTAGAAGGTAAAGATGTGACCTACCTGTTATGGTGATGACCACACCGATGACATTGAAGGTCGTCAATTGGTCTCCAAAGACCCAGGCAGAAATCGAGATGGTAGAGACTTCTTTGAAGATTCCAGCGATAGAAAGAGGCACCACACCAGCTCTTTGGATCACACTGCATAAGAGTCAGCCTATTAAATACGCTCACATTCACCGCACTCACAAGTACTCGCTCGCTACCATAGCAAACGCTATCGACCCCGGCAAGGCAATGACACCCGCAGTTTCAATCGCCACCCACCCAGAGAAAAAGTCGCTCTGGAATATCCGTACCCACCCTTCCACTACCATGCTCACCAGACCAAGCGTTACGGCCATCAAGGGCGCAAGCCAGAATATCGTTGCAAAGGGGTTGGAGAGCCCCATCGCCCTCTTGTGCATTACCAGCTCTGTCAATGCCCAGCGCAAGCCGCCCAAGGCTGAGGCTGAAAAGACCATAACGACGCCAGCGATGGAGACGGCTGTGGTGTTGAAGACCATGCAAAAGACGCCAAAGGATATGAGGCAGATGACGAGGATGAGGCGGAGAGAGTATGGCTCGAGGCGGAATGTAAAGGCAAAGACGAGGACAAAGATGAGGGTCGATGATTTACACATGGCTACATTTGTGTCAGTATGATGGTAGCGCTTAGATGGCCTGGACCCACTGTACAGACTCAGGGTGATGGTCTTGAGACTCAAATTGGAAAGACCAATATCACCGCCCGTACTGGCAGCAGTCGGCAAGATTTTGGTCAGATAATCTCTCCTCGTGGGCCGTTCTTGTGGTCTGAACCGTTCGTGCCAGAAATGCCTGATTACAGCAGCCAGACCGAATTGGATTCCCATATGACAGGCTGTGACGAATAGTGGGTATGGAAAGTTGTAGTATTCTGGCGAGAACATCCACTTGTTGTAGAGTGATAGCAATGTAGCAAAGATGTACCTGCTCCATGTCAGCATCATCCCATAGTGATCCTGAAAGCTCACCAAGCAGCGATGAAGACCCCCGTTATGATGACATTTCTCCACCATAGTTTTCTCTTCATGGCTATGCTCGCATGCTGATGTCCACTGTGCCCTGATGGCATATCATCTGCACCTTCCGCACCCATCCCCAACCCCTCCTCAACTCTATATCCATTCTCCACCGACCTTACCCTGGCGCTCGATGGCACTTGATCCAATGCCGAAGGGGTGGGCGATGTTCTCGAAGAAGGGTAGGACGATGAGGACTCTGTGTGGTCGTCTTGGGCCGGAAGGGGGTTGTAGGCGGAGGTGGAGGCGGAGGCGGCTCGGGAGCGGGTGGCCATGCTGGCGACGGTGGGCGGGGGGGAATAGAAGGCGATGTGAGTACCTATATAGTCATGGATGTGGATACGAAAAGTGGTGGTGGAGATGGAGATGTTGGATAGATAGCGGCATGGAGCGCCGACAACAGAACGCGACGCGTAGAATGCGACAACGTGCATGCTGCAATTGTGTCGATACGGGCGGTATCCGAGACAATCGTGGAGCTGGATGCAGGTACGTAGGTCCATGTGCTCAGTGATGGCAGCAGGCGGATGACGGTCAAGGCTGCATATGTTGTATTCGACACACAGCTTGCCATGTCCTGCTACCACTACCTCAGTCCGCCGTCGCCGTATTCATATCGTTTGATCCATCTAATCACATGAATGTGGAGCGACATATACTGGAAGCTACAGAAACTACACTGACTCAATTCACCAACTTGGTGAGAATAGCAAACCCACTATGGAGACCGCCGGTCAGCCCTGAAACAGTCACATCACCTCCTGGTTACTCACTCGTAGAACTTTGCCCCCACCGTCTGGGTCACATTGGCCAGGACTGTCCTTCCGTCATCCTCTTCTATCCAATCGAAGAGAGCTCTCATCCCGGTGACTTCGGGGTCGGGATCTTGCGCTTCTGTCAAGGCGACTCTGTCAAGGCTGATCAGAACTGACGTCTCGGCGGTGAAATCATGCCTTACCGTCCTCCTCTGATAGCATTATCGATCACAATCAGCCCTCCCTTTCTCAGCATCCTCAAGCTTTGCTTCACATACTCCAATGTGCCCGCCTTGTCCGCATCGATAAAGACGAAATCATACAGCAGCCCTTCCACCGGCGCTTTCATCTTTCGTAACGTCTCCGATGCTGGCCCAACATGTACCCGGGGCTTCGGCACGATCCCAATTCTCTCAAAGTTGTCTTGAGCCACTTGAGCATGCTTCTCGCTTACCTCGAGAGTGTCCAATTGCCCGTCCTCTGGCAAACCCTTCGCTAGGAAGAAGGTCGAGACGCCCGCCAACGTACCCACCTCCAGCACCCTCTTGGCTCCAATCGACAAAACAAGGACAGTCAGGAATTGCCCTTGTAGGGGGGATACTGCAATACTGGGAAGTCCCGAGGCGAGGGCATGAGCTTCCATAAGTGGGAGAGAGGGGTCGGCAGCGGGAGATGAGGCGGTAGCCAGTTTAGGGAGAAGGTAGTGGTCTACCTCGGCATGGGTGGGAACTATGGTAATCAGCAGAGTCTATCTTGACGTATCTGGGATAGCTCACAGCTGCTCTCGCCTGGTACAGTATACTCTTCTGATGCTGACATGATGATGGCTCGTATACGTGTATTGGGTAATGTATGTATAAAGCTGGGCGGATTACCGTGTTGACCGATGTCTTGTGTAGCGTCTTGTAGATTTATGTTTCATACTCCTCTGACTTCGAGGTCAACAAAGGAGCTTGTCTATGGCGAGATGATGGGCAAGATATGTGAGGCTGTGAAAGGAGGGTAGAGCGGCAGTGGATCATCATCAGTGCAGACCACGGCAACCTGATCGATTATCATAATGAGGTGGCATTTCAGAGAATAGCGAAGGCCCGGGGCTATGAAATGACCCCCTGGGGTCATACACTTGAGTGCAAATGGCGCGGATAGACGCGGGCGGTTGGTGCAACGTTTGATGATGATGATGTGATCATCGTCTGTACTCTCCAACTATAGGCTGTGAATAGATGCGGCAATACGATCTTCCCTCACTGTGACATGCAAAGGCTTCAATGCCTCCCCTCATTATCGTCTACTTCTCGCTGCTCCATTCATGGCCATGCATGCATGTCTATGGTCATTCATCATCGGCGTTGTCCGTGCATTTACGTAACGACATCCATGCCCGGACGCGTTGCAATTGACGTGACGAATGGGGATCTCTGCTGTAAGTGTTTCTTGTTCTTCGCAGGAATACACCATGGCAGAGCCCAGGGCATCCACAGACGAGGGTATGTCTATGCTGTCCATTGCATCGCTCACCCAGCACAGAGTCTGCTCCCCTCCTCCACAACGACACCCCCACCACCCGCTCCGACACCTTCGCAAGACCCCAGACCACCCGAGAGAAGCTCTTTGTCGGCCTCGCCATCCTCTTCCTGCTCTTGACCAGCTTGTTTGTCGGCCTCTTTGCGAGCGCTGAACAAGCGTACAAGAAGGAGAAGGGCAAGCACAATGGAGGCGATGGCGGCGTAGGGTGGCACACCCTCACTGAGACTGAAACGGCCACACGGACCACTACAGAAGTCGCCAAGCCTACTGGGACCCCTGCTCCTGTACGCACCTCATACGCACGGCTGGATTGCGCTTATCTTTCTTGCAGACTGTTTGCCTCACCCCCGAATGCGTCCAATTGTCTGCGACGATCCTTTCCTCGCTCAACACCTCTGTGGATCCTTGTGATGACTTTTACCAGTTTGCTACCGGTGGATGGCAGGAATCAAGCTCTATTCCTGCTGATAGGGGACTGTATGGGGCGTTTAATGAGGTCTCCGATAACAACAAGGTAAGATCTCATCTGAGTGGTCGCGCGCGTGTTCTGATCATTCCTAGAAAATTATTCTCAAAGTGCTGGACGCGATCCCTTCAGACAAGCCTGGGAGGGAAGCCACTACTGATGAGAAGAATCTCTACAAGCTGAAATCAGTCTACTCGAGCTGTATCGACATTGACGCTCTCAACGACGTAGGCGAGAAGCCCCTCTTGGAACTTGTTGAGCACATCCTCAGCTCGTTTGGCGAATTCGACTTGATTCCTGCCCCTAAGGCTGAAGATCTCAAAGAGGAGAACTTTTCTTATGATGGTGCCTATGACGAGTCTTATGAAGTATCCAAGGAGCTCAAGGAGAGCGCCATTGAGGTTGAAGAGATGAAGGAGGCCAAGGAGCACGGTACTTTCCCTGATCTGGCGGACAAGGAGCCGGAGGAGCTTGATGCCGAGAAAGTCAAATTCAGCGAAGACAGACGTCAGAGGATCACCAAGACGCTTGCTTGGCTTCACTCCCGAGGTGCGTCTTACTAGCCCATCTTCGCTCACTGCTTACTTGCAATACAGGTGTCCAGGGCTTGATCAACTTTGAAATCGAAGGTGATGCCGGCGGTGAAGACTCGCAAATCCAGAGTCTTTGGCTCTACCAAGCAAGTGGCGGTCTCCCTTCCAAGGAGTACTACGATGAGGCTCCCATCCTCGATCTCTACCACTCCGTCATCAGTGGCATCCTCACCGAGATTGCCAAGCACACTAGCGTCAAGAAGGACAAGGAGTCAAAGCGAGACTGGGCTGAATTGATCGACGTTGCACTTGAGGAGGCTGTGGCTGAGGTTGAAGACGAGTCTTGGCCTTGGCCTTGGCCTGGAAAGGGTGAGCCCGAACCCGAACCCGAGCCTGAGCCCAAACCCACTCCTCCCGATGCAGATGAGCCCATCGACGAACGTATTGACCGGCTCGCCCACAAGGTTCTTCAGTTTGAGAAAGACCTTGTCAAGGCCGGTGCCGATCCCGAAAACTTGTTCAACCCCCACTTTGCCTACAACCCCTATCCCACCCAGAACGTCAGCAAGGCTCTGCCCTTCCTTGATATCCCGACTTATCTCTCCACCTTTGCGCCCAGGAATTTCCCCGAGTCCATCACTGTTACGCACCCGCCATACCTCAAGGCTGTGACGCGATTGGTAGATGAAACTCCTGACTATGTCTTGTCTGCCTACTTTACGACTCGCCTCGCACTCACTTATGCCGATGCCCTTGGTCCCAAGACCGTGATTAGGCAAAACACTAGGAAGTTGCAGGAAGTCTTGAAGGGGATTAAGAAGGGTACCGAGGAGAACAGGCAGGATGTTTGCTTGGGATGGGTGGATGACATTGTTGGTTTCATTGCCGGACGAGAGTTCGTCCGCGAGGCATTCTCCCCTGAAGCCAAGGAGGAAGGTGAAGGCATTATCAAGTCCATCGTCAACGCCTTCAACGACAAGCTCCCTCAAATCTCGTGGATGGATGCCGAGTCTGCCGCTGCCGCCCAAAAGAAGGCCAACGCCATCATTCCCAAGGTCGGATACCCGCTCTTGCCTAACACGACCAATCCCGAAAGCTTGGCTTCCTGGTACGGCAGGGTAGAAGTTAGTGATCAGGACTTCTTTGGCAACGTTCTGCGATCGACGCTTGTAGAGGAGTCGAGAGTCTGGCTCGGTTTGGGCCGACAGAGGAGCAGGAACAGCTGGGAGATGTACCCCCAGAGTAAGTCTGCCCCCCTTGGCATTGGCCGATCTGACATGCCACAGCTGTGAATGCCTACTACTCTCCTCCCGACGGCGAGATCGTCTTCCCCGCCGGCATCCTTCAACCTCCCTTCTATTCCCATGCTTGGCCCGCACACCTCAAATATGGCGCTTTCGGTGCCGTCGCCGCGCATGAGCTCACACATGCTTTCGACAACTCTGGTTCTCAATACGACGAGCAAGGCCGCTTGAGGGACTGGTGGACCAAGCAGACTGTGAAAGACTTTGAGGAGCGCGCACAGTGTGTGGCCAGGCAGTACTCCAAGTTCTACGTCCTCGACGCGGAGGGCAAGAAGGTGTTTGTCAATGGCAACTTGACCAATGGCGAGGATATCGCCGATTCTGGTCTTGCCCAGTCTTACACTGCTTGGAAGAGCTCGCTCTCTGCTGATGCCAAGTCGGAGCGTCTTCCGGGACTCGACTACTCTGATGACCAGCTGTTCTTCCTCGCCTTTGCGCGTGTGTGGGCGCAGCTGACGAGGCCCGCGACGGCGGTGTCGAGGGTGAGGACAGACCCGCACTCGCCCCCTTACTGGAGAGCTGTGGGGACGTTGAGGAACCTCGAAGCATTCCATGAGGCCTTTGGATGCAAGGCTGGCAGTGGTGTGAGTTTTGATCCCAAATGTATAAGCTGGGGAGGTGCTAACGAGATACAGATGAACCCTCCCAAGGAGGAACAGTGTGAATTGTGGTGATGTGTGTAAAGTTGTCTCTTGAATTGAAGTAGCATGGAATTTGCATGATTGAATGTACAAAGTATCTCCAAACTGCATATGCCTCGTTTGAAGGTCTGGTATCGTTTGCTCACAGTAGATGGCAAGTTGAGCGATGGCATCAGCCGAAGTGAGTGTGGTGGATGACCATGAGTAAAGTGAGCTGACTAGTTGTGGCACTCTGCATAGCATGCAACACGTCGACATGGAGAGTGGCGCTGACGAGAGGCCTGTATGATGGTCGGTGAGTGGGACGGTGATACGCGGGGGTCCTTTGGGTTGACTCACCCGGTGCGTATATAAGAACACCGCTTCCATCTTCCCCTCTTTCTTTCTTCCATCCATCTCCCGTCCCATCCATTCCATTCTCCTGCCTCCCCTCACCCCCACCACTATATCCCCTAATCGGCAACTCCTCCACTCCCGCCATGCCTCTCAAGCGCAAAGGGACGGGCAAGAAGAAGAAGTCGGCAAGAAAGTCGCATCAGCCAGAGCCCCCTTCACCCTCCCCACCCTCCTCCCGCGCCACCTCTCCTACCCCCACCTCTCCCCCAGCGAATCCCGAGCCCGCCCAGACCTTTCAACCCTATGAGATGACGCCCACCAAAGAGTCGTTCGACGCCTCCCTGCGACGGGCTCTTGTCGAGACGCATACGGTGCTGGCTCCATTGGAGGAGTTGATACACGCCTCGGGGCCAGGAAAGCCGCTGGAGCTCGCCTCACCAGAGCAAGGAACATCGAACGGCGTATCCATCTCCGACGGCGCCCCTGATTCTCCTTCCGCCAAGCCCGAGTTCTCCCAAGCGTACTATATAGCCATGGCGCTGCTTCCCCTCGACCTGAAAAAGTACATCGAGGAGGTCAGCGCGCCTGATGTGGACGGCTTGCTAGACGAGGACGGGTCATTCCATCCGTCGCGGCTCGAAACCGACCAACCTCCCCAGTCGCTCATGCGACAGATCTCCCGTTCGAGCCCCACAGTGCAGCAGGCGTTTGTCACAGCCTACCATGAGAAGATGAGGAAGGAGGCGGGGCCTGCGTATGATCTAATGGGCGATGTTGTGGGAGGGATGGGGATGGGGACAGTAATGGGCGGCATGGGCACTATGGGAATGAGGCCGGACATGGGGTTGAGGGCGGCGATGGGAGGTCCCAAGCACATGCTTGGAGGTGTTCCCACACGTGCTATGTCCCATAATCACAGCGATGGCTGCTGCTCCGGCCATCCCGCCCTTGGTCTCCCTACATCCCCTGCGCCTCCGTATCGCGCCTCGGCCATCGACGACAATTACTCGAATCAACTCGGTGTTGACTTGGGAGGACCCAACTTTGGCTCTGGTCTGCTTCCTCCTCCGCACATGCTCTTCCCTGCCGGCAGTATGCCTCCTGGCGACGAAGGTGAAGACGAGGAGGCGAGGCTGGCTGCCATCAGTGAGAGAAAGAAGAAGAAAAATGGGAAGAGCAAGGAAAGGGCCAGGATGAAGAAGATCGAGGCAAAGCAGGCTGGGCGAGTGGCGGGAGATGAGACAGAGAAAGCAAGTGAAGAGGATGAACCACAGGAGGCAAGTCAAGACAACAACTCTTCGACTGCTCTACTCCACGAAAGTCCAACAAGCAGCAATACCGTCTTCGTCTCCCCATCGTCTGCCCCTGAGGAGCTCATCGTCACTCCTCTCGTCAGGGATACGGGGCATGGTATGACTCAGGTGCAGCCCAAGGATACCGGAAAGGCAATCATGGAGAAGGTGAACTCTGGAGCCACAATGAAAATGCCAGATATGGAGGTCACCGCTGAGCCAGTCTGTGAGTTGTGTTCATTTCGGCAGGCTTCCGAGACTGACCGTCTTGCAGCAATTGATCCGAAGGACACCGACACAGGTGAGTACTGTTCAGATTCGGCGCCCATAAACATCTGACGATAGCAGCCTCCGAAAGTGCCGCCACCTACGCCCTTCCCCCTGCTTCTCCAGAGATACTCGTCAGCCGCAGGCAAGGTACTATGGCTGGGCGCTCTCGAACTTTTGCCGTTCTGGACAAGATGCCTGATGTGGTACCCGTTGCTGCTCCACAGGACGAGCCACTCCCTCGCCGCACGACTCCAGAGCCTACTCGACCTTCTTTGCCGACCAGGCGGTCTTCTGGGACTATGGCGGGACGTAGTCTAACCTTTACACCCGTCGAAGAAACTCCAGATCCATTGGAGATCGCGGGCGAGTCCGATGGCGAGTGTGCCGACGAGGTTCGCGTGAAAGACCAAGTTGGCTATGATGATTTGTGGGAAGAAGACGATGATAGCTCGGATGATGTGGAAACCTCATTAGCGGCGACAGCCCCTCTGACGGTCATTACGGAAGAAGAGGAAGCTTTGGAGGAGGGTGAGGTCAGGGAGGAAACCGGCCCCACGGCAGGCGCATTGGAGGTTATCCCAGAGGTCAGCAGGGTGAACTCTGTGACACCTTTGGCGGGCGCGAAGGCAAATGCAGAGGCCAAGATCCCCGAGCCGCCCGAGAAAACATCTTTGGGAGTCTCCAATGGGACGACAGTCACCACCAATATGTCGCTCGAGCCACCTTCGACTGTGGGCTCACCCGTGCCATCAGACACTACCGAAGTCGATGACCAACCCACTACAATCTATCGTATTCCCTCCGAGCTCTCAGGTCGCCGAAATTCTGAACCCTTTGTCAGTCCTCTCCCCACTCCTGATATGGAAAGGAGCCTCTCTTGGGGCCCGTTGAAGCCAGTCTTCAGAGTCCAAGGTCGTTCAGAGATCGGGCTGCCCTCCCCCAGACAGGAGAAACCAGTGACGCGCCCTGGTGTCTTGGAGAGGACCATGTCCACTCCAACTGGGTTTGGCCATGACTCGCGTCCCACCGTGTTCGGAGAACGAATGGCTGGTGCTCCCGGCTTGCGTCGTAACAACTCGACCGGCCTTGGGCGATGGTCCACGACCAGCTCTGCCAGCACCTCGCCCGATAGATCTAGGCGAGGCGGCGATATGGGCTCTTTTGGGCGTCCTCAAAGCGCCCACGTGTATACCGACAGATCCCCTGGGAACCGCTCACCTCTACTTCCCGATCAACAATTGCCTTCCGATCCTTCTACGGCCCGTCCCGACATGAAAGTACATCCTCTGGATAGACCATGGACCCTCTACTTCTCAGACTCATCTGAGAAAGCCGAATCTCAGCAGAGCGCTCGCGAGTACGATTCGGGCTTGGTCAAAGTCTTTCATGCCGCCTGCATCGAGGATCTCTTTGGTAGCTGGAAGGCGTTGAGAAGGGCGATTGCGTATAGCAAGGGTAGGGAGATCGAACCAGAGGGGAGACCGTTGGAAGGTGGAGGGGGACTGGGGATGTGGCTCATGGGTGATGACACAAACTTTCATCTCTTTGCGGATGGTATCAAGCCAATGTGGGAGGACCCGATGTGTGCCAAGGGAGGGAAGCTCATGATGGCTGGTGACGCCAAAAAGGTGAGTCCTGAGGTGTCTTGCTAGACGTCATTGCTGACCTTAGACCGACAGATGGACGATGTCTTTTTGGAGCTGTGTCTCCTCTTGGTCGGTGGCAATCTGGAGGTTGATATGCCTCCTCTCACAAAGCCCTCCGTGTGCGGTGCTATCGTCTCACGCCGAAAGACGACTACAAGGATTGAGGTTTGGCTGGGCGGAAGGGATGTTCCGGATAAGCGTTGGGTGAACGATGTGCACGACAAGCTTTCGAACTTCTTTCCGCAGATCAGAGTGCTCCCCTATAAGTCTTTCCATAGGAACTGATTAGTATAACCCGCTGGTATCGATGTATGTATGGAAAACAACGCGAAAGGCTCTCTCTTGAGCTTGGTTTGTTCTTGGGATTGGAGGCCAAGAAAAGGAAATGGGTCTAGCCATGGAGGGTGTGTATCCTGAGAGGGGCTACAATAATAGAGGCACACATGAGTACCATAGCATTTACAAAAGAAGACGTCAATGGGGACGGAGGGATGGACTTGACGGAAAAGAACACCCTGACCCAGTGAGTGTCTGCTCCCACCTACATGGACACGATTCGGCTGTCAAGACATGATTTACAGGGACTTGGTCGCACCGTGTGGAGGGATGAACTAGTAAGTGGGCTGAGCAGAGTCGGGAGGGTCAGCCATGTATGACGAGCAGTGATCAGTAGAGTGCTATCATCATGATACATACAAAGACTCCAGCCCATTTTGTTCACTCGAGTGTGACATCCTCATGATCCCAGCATGATGGTGAGGGCCATGGCTATGCACGCCAGCGACACGTAGGGCGATAACCGTTCTCCTATTCTAGCAAACTTGAAGAACAGCCCGAGGAATCTGCAAATCAAGAATCAGCTTCTTGTCACCCTTGTACCCTTCCCTCTGGGACATGATGTGACCATGCATTCACTCACCCTTCACGATTTCTGTCCACCAGGTTCGGCGCGGTGCCGCGAATATAGGTGCAGGTGCAGATCAGAAGCAGAAGCACGAGGAGGAGGGACTGGAAGTTGAACAAGGCAGACTGTGTGATATTGGTCAGCATGCTCCATGAAGTGGATAAGCATCAGGCGTTATTGGTCGAGCCTGGTGTGACACGGGAGAGCAGACGTACCATTTCAGGTGTTTCGGGCTCCCAGTGGCGTGGATGAGCGTGTTGACCTGGCTTTTGGAGGGGAAGTGTACGCGGAGTAGCCTTGTCTGCGATTTATGGGTGTAGTAGCGGGGGCTAAAGTATGGGGGATGTGTGTGGATGAGAGATGAATGAAAGTCAGAGATGAATGCAAGAAATGATGATGTCTACAGCGCGTTTGTTTTGACGCCGCGCCCGATTTTACATTTGCGACTGAATTCAGACTGAATTGTATCGATGGTCAACAGAAGTATAACAAACATCCCAGGAAGCCGGCGGAAGACATATCAAGCATCATGGGCCAGCCAAGCAGGAAACCCCTGCAGCGCACCCTAAGTCAGAGCTCCAGAGAAAGCTCTACGGGGTCCAGCTCAACCAAAGCTCCTGCCTCGGGATCGTCGCAGTCCTCAGCGCCCAAGAAAATGAGTAGCTTGAGCTCGGTACGTGTTCATACTGTGATGATCGGACCCTGTCTCACCTGTGATGACCATAGCTGCAAGCTTTTCATTTCAAAGCCCCAAGCAGCAGCTCCCAATCGAAGGCAGACCAAGATCGAATACTCATGCCCCCTCCTTCAAAGTCGCGATCGACTTCTCCTGTCAAGTTGTCTACAAAGCCTGTTAGCTCCGGCTCCACATCTTCACAAAAATCTGCACCTGCCCCGAAAACCGGATCAAAACCCAGCTCGTCAAGTAGCAGAAAGGGCAAGGGGAAAGAGAACGATGTGATTGAGCTGTTGAGCAGCGATGAAGAGATCGACGAGATCCGCCCAGCCAGCCCGGTACGGATTGTGGGGAAGCGAAAGCGGAAAGAGGAATCAGGCATGTGATTTGCTATTGTCATGGCCACCATCAGCTCACACAGCGTAGATGTCGACGTCGTTGAGGAAGGCGTCAGTGGGACCTCTCAAATGTGGACCGAACTCTATTGCCCTACTGCCGAGGTATCATCATGAACCTATAGCATAACATCAAGGCTGACCATCATGTAGTCGGATCTGGCTCCTGGAAAAGCACGGGTACAGAAGATCAAAGGTTGGTTACACGAAGCTCTGTTTGGGTATCCCCCAGAGGTGACAAAACCACCGCCTCCTCATCTGAGAGACAAGCTACGGAAGTACCGTGTACGCAAGCTCAATATCTATATATGCTACATGAGCTGATAAACGCTTCCACCAGAGAATACTTTTCTTAACAGGGCCAGCTGGTGCAGGCAAGACGACAACTTTAAAACTGCTGGCTCAGCAGATGGACGTTGACGTGGATGAATGGGGTGAAGGCGTAGAGGAGTGGGGCATAGGTACTGTGGGAGGTGGCGGATTTGGTACGTGTCTCTACTCCCTCATCCCAATCCCCAGTGCTGACAAGAGACACAGAGAGAGAATCGTCGATATCCAAATTTGCTTCATTCATAGATCGTGACACCTCGTCTCTATCCCTCTCAAGCTCCCGTACAGCCACTCCCCAAAAGAAGGCGAGGGCGCGTATCATCCTCCTCACTGCTCTACCAAACTTGTCGCATCCCAAAACCATGGAAGGCTTTCACGCCTCGCTCCTCCGATTTTGTCAAAGGTTCTCGACAAACTCCTGCCCAATGGTTATAATACACAGTGATGCAGGACAATCCGGAAGAGCGGAGGATAGCTGGATGGATGCCAGTCGGGACAGGGGTGGACGTGAGAGAGGTCTAGAAATATTGGGCAAGGGTATCAAGGATGGGGCTTGGTGTCAGGAGATCGAGTAGGTATCTTTCAATCCGGCCATGGTCTGGCTGACAATGACCCCAAGCTTCATCCCTATAGCACCAACTTTCATGTTCAAGGCCCTTTTCCGTATCCTTACGTTATCCCCTCTACCGACCGCTTCACACCCCGCCAAAGCCACTCTTCAACTCATCTGTCAATCGTCCAACGGCGACCTTCGCGCGGCTATCAACTCGCTGCAAATGCTCTGCGGCGGAAGAGGCAAAATCGCAAACGGGCGCGGAGCGGCGAGGGGTAAAGGAAAGGGTCGAGGACAGAAGGACGAAGGACATGTCGTGGTTAAAAGAAAAGGCAAAGGGAGCATGGGTGGAAAGGGCGGACTGCTGGATGTCAGTCCGGAGCTACGAGCGGTGCTGGATGCGGTCACGAGGAAGGAGCAATCGTTAAACTTGTTCCATGCTTTAGGAAAGGTGTTTTACAACAAACGTAAGCATCTCTGCATCAGACTGTTGTTTTCCAGCTGACCAGCGGACAGGTCTGGGCGATCCAAATCAACAAGAAGATGAGAACCAAGAAACCCTCGAGATGATTCGTCAACTTCCCAAAGATGATGACCTCCCATCGCATTTGAAAGAGTTCACCCGCCGCAAATCACTAGTTCAAATGGAGACTTTTATCCCCTCCATACCCCTTGACGCATCGTCTTTTGCGCTATGGGTCCACCAGTCGCTTCCTTCTTTTTGCGAAGAGATAGAGCAGGTGTCACAAGGTCTGGACTACCTTGTAGAGAGCGACGCTATGAGGACGGATGATGACATTGTAAGCTTTGCCGTAGAGATTCCATACGAAGAAGCTGATCAGATCTAGTGGCAATCCCAACCTCAAACGATTCAATACGCCCTACAACTCACTCTCCGAGGCGCTGCCATGTCCCTCCCATCCCCAGTCCCGCGCGGCAAAGCCGCTCATCACAAGGTAGTCAAACCGACCTTCTTTTCGGAATGGAAGAAGGAGCGAGAAAGCCTGGGTGCGTTGGAGAGTGCGGGGAGATATTTGGAAAGGCGGGGTGTGAAGGCGTCCAATGTCCAGCTGGGCCAGGGTACGGGTGTACAGGATGTAGGGGAGGGGGCTGTAGGAGGGACATGGGGAGGTCTGCTGAGCAGGAAAGAGATGATCTGTGAGATGGTGCCGGTGCTGATCAAGATTCAAAACCTCTCTGGTCGTGAGTTTCATCACTCTAGCACCATTGCTTGACACTGACAAAGTGTACAGAACCTCTCCTACCAGTATCGGCTCAGCCAGCCACACTTCCGAATTGGACACCTGTCCGCACATCGGCCGCAAGTAGCCAAAGTAGCCAGAGCAGGTTCACCCAGTCGGCTGATGAACTCACCGCAAAGTCGGAACTTGCGATAGAGGATGAGTCATTGGAAGGCGTTTTGGGAGACTGGGACGAAGTGCCTGGGCATGTAGTCAACGAGGAGGAAGTTACAGGGGGAGAAGAACCAAAGCAAGGTATATGGGATGATGAAGGCATCCGAAATGAAGGGGAAGAAGAAGCCCAGTTCATTGAAGACGATGACATCGTCGACGATTGGGATTAGTTGTATATGATACCTGTAGCCGTATGCGACTCCATTTGTAGATCACTGAAAGGTGTGAGGATCCATATTCCATGCCTTGCGTTGATACAGATAGATGGGTTGAGAGAAATGAAATACTAGGGATTGGTAGGTAAGAAGTCTGATAACCCCTTGCAGAATATAGGATCACACTCGTCCCCTTTTCCGTCCTTGTCCATCCCGACTCTATTGCTATACAGTTTTCACCCTGCTCTCCTCTCTCCTTCTTACGAACCAGCTGTCTCTGCTTCACCTCGTATCCCCCTCATCATTCCCCACTGCTCACGCCAATTCCACTGCACTCGCTGTTTACACAGGAGTCAACATGCCAGCAGCAATCATCTCCTCCTGGGTCATGGTAGAAGACTCGATCATGATTCCGACACCGAACTTGGAAGCGTTCTGGTATATTTTGTCAGCTCTGAACCCGATATCATAAAACATCGCGACAAACCTTGGCGTGGTCAATCTCACCAGCGACGAGGAAGGCGAAAGCAGGAGTAAACCTCTGCTCCAGATACATGCCGATCTTGCCCCCGCTGTCGATCTGTCCCCTGAAAGTAGCCATCCTAAAGTCGTACTTGGCACCCAAAGTCGTCACAGCAGCCCTCTGCGCGGGACCCATCATGCTCGCGCCTCGGATAGCAGTCTGGAAATCAAGGGCAACGTCGACCTTGTCGGTGAGTTTCTGGTAGTATGTAGCCTGGACGTTGCCGTCGGGCTGGAGCTGACCGGTCGCGACCCAGCTGGGGACGAAAGGCGAAGGGACGCCGGGGGTAGTGGGGGTAAGGGCGGCGACGGGGTTGGGGAGGGAAGTGAGCTTGGCGACGTAAGAGTTGGCGAGGGCCACCATGCCGGGTTCGGGGTGTTGGATGACAGTCTCGAAACCGAGAGAAAGACGGGGGGTCACAGAGTGGAGGAGGGAGGCCATGTGGATGCCGGTGAAGTCGAGAGGAGAGGGGTTGATGGATTTCCAGGAGAAGGTAAAGTGGTCACCGAGGTGGTCGTGCTCGAGCTGGACCATGGTGTGGCCGGGCTTGTCGGTGACCTGAGGAAAGGTGAGCACTTGTCAGATTTGAGGCAGATGAGAGCTCACCTGAGCCTGGACCTTGGTAAGGTCTCGAGCAGACCAAGTCTGGTTCGCTCGCATGGTCAAAGTACCGCTGCCGTCCATACCACCTTGCAAGAAGCTCTGTTGTCCTTGATCAGCGTTTGGTCTTTTTTTTTTTCTGCCGAGATCTGACGCACCTTGGCGTTGGCAAAGATGACACCAAAGTTGTAAGCAGCGGGTCTAGAAGACGATCCGAGGGAGAAGGAGTGGGTGAGCTGGAAGGCAGGGTTGCCAGATATGACCTTGGCGATATCGGCTCTGGCACCGTCAAACATCCAGTTGGCCAAGTGGACACCTAGAGAACATGTCAGCGAAAGCGTCATTTGTTGCGTTTTCGATGATTCCTCGAAAACCCCCGCATGCGTATCCTCCTTCTATCCCAATCTTGAATCAAAGTCTCAACTCACTTGACACATCCCTGGTCAAGTTCTCGACAGTACCGGGCTGGACCAAACCCATGTTCTCCTTCCAGCCGTGGAAGCTGGCATAAGTGTTGAAGACGGGGCCGGCGACGGGGTGGAAGATGTTGGCGACGGTGTCGAGGTAGGGGGTGAAGGCTGAGGGCCCCGCTGGCTTTTCAGAGATGGCGGACATGGCAGGGGGTGGTTTGCAGGTGGATGGAAAAAGACGACGATGATGAAAGCGAAGAGTGGAAAATCGGGAAAACGGCGCACAAAGTCAATGTGGCACTCGCCGAATTTCCATCTTGCACTGTTTTCTGTTCCCTCCTATGCATGCATCCAGCTATACCCCATGGCCGCCCGTACCCCAGACGCACCCCAGGGACCCACGCCAGAAGCGCTCGCCCTCTCGGCGTCCCTCTTTACGTCGTCCATCGCTGCGTGGATCCCCGCCAATTTTGGTGTCCCCAAGTCTGAAGTCGACAAGTCGAAGGAATTCGACAGGGCCTTCAAGGAAGAGCGTGGGGGGAGACTCGGTCTGGGACATCCATCTATTGATGACCCCAAAAGACTAGCTGCGTTCAGCGCTGGCGGCGGTGGGCTCGCCAGCTTGAGTAAAAAGCTCGGCAAGGAGAAGAAGGAGAATGAAGGCGCCGAGCAGCAAAAGGGCAAAGGTGGCGACGATGATGAAGAGGAAGAGTCGAGAGTGAGGTCTGTGGGAAAGACCAAGAAGAACACTGCCCAAGACCTCTTTGGGGGCAAGAAGAAGAAGAAGCCAGAGGCGCCACAAGTCCATCCTCTTGCACGAGCTCAAGCTCTCTCTGTCGTCGAGGCTCCTGCCGAGGCTACCACTCCTGAATTCAATTCCCCTCCTACCACACCCGAATCACATGTATTCCCGGGGCACGTTGAGCTGTCACCGCCGTCTACGCCCCCCAATCACATGCCCACATCATCACCTGGTGGTTCGGGCATCTTTCCCTTCCAGGGCCCTTTTGCTCTCGAATCTCCTCAGGCCAAGCGCTTGATGAATGAGAGAAAAGAGAGGAAGAAGAGAGAGCTCGAAGAAGACGATGAAGAATCGGGAACGGAGGGCCAAAAGGACTCGAAAGAGGAGGGCGCGTCGCCTCAGAAGAGCAAGTCCAAAACTCAACTACGGAGGGAAAGTCGAAAGAAGGCCAAGGTCGCCAAGGGGCTATGAGGGGGTGTAAAGTGTTTCGGGTTTAGTGTAACGACCTCACGAGCGTCTTGTCTTGTTGTACTATCATGTTACGCCCATAGTCGTGCATTAGTAGTTGCAGTCATGGTGCGGCTTGCTCCAAACAGCTGCCCTTGGAATGTTCAACCTGTAGCCTGTTGACATGCAGCTCGGCGGTAGTAAAGTTGCGACGCAATGGACCAGTCATGTAACGTTGTACTTGTGAATGCTCTTCTTCATGCTTCTTTATTTTGTATACACTACTTGTATCAATGGCTCTACGCTCTAAGCAGACTTGCCCTTGACAAAGGTACCGACAAAGTCGGCAAAGTACTTGCCCTGGTGGGTAGCAATCTTGAGGTCGGTAGCGGTAGGCTGGAGGTGACCATCGGCGGCAGCAACGGTGGAAGCACCGTAAGGAGAGCCTGAGATTTGTTAGTTGAGTGAGGTGCGACACTGGGTGGGTCTACGTACCACCCTGGATCTCATCGATACCGCCAACAGCGGGATCAGAGTAGGCGATGGGCACGTAGACGAGACCGTGGTGGGCAAAGAAGGGGAAGCTGCGCTATGTCAGTGAGGGAACGATATTTCCGAAATATTTAAACAACGAACGTGCTGATAGCGGTAGACTATAGAAGCGTCAGCGCAATGCTAATGGACTGCAGAGGCAGCAGTACGCACCTCGTGACCAGAGTGCTGGCCAGCGGCAGAAGTGAACAAGCTGACAAACTTGCCAACAAGAGCACCCTTGGCCCAGAGAGAACCAGTGGCGTCAAAGAAGGCAGAGACCTGAGCGGGAACTCGGCCGTATCGGGTAGGGGCACCAAAGATGATACCATCAGCCTCGACGAGGTCATCGGGGGTGATGATGGGGTACTTGGGCTTCAAAGAGCCGCCGGCGTACATCTTGGTGAGGACCTCCTCGGGAAGGGTCTCCTTGCTGCGGCACGTCAGCAAAAGGTTAGTCAATGGTGGGCAAGACTTACATGAAATAGGGCTTGACGATGGCGCCAGTGGCCTCAGCACCCTTGATGACCTCCTCAGCGAGGGCGCCGATGTGGCCGTAGGTGGAGTAGAAGGCGACGATGATGACGGGCTGCTTGGCTGGAACGGCGGACCTGTGGGGGGTGAGCGGGCATAGCCAGGGGGGATTGACCTACATGATGAATAGATGGGGATATAGACCACTCTGGGTGCGATATTTATGTGCCGCGATTTCGGTTGCGACTTGAGAAAGACAGGCCCAAAACGGAAGGTGATCCAGGCACAGCCACGTGGTTATCTCGCATCTCGGGAACATTGACTCAGCGCACGCCTACCGGCACGGATCCGGGAGGGTGGGGATAGGCGTGCATACAACGTCATAGCAGGACCAGCGCACTTGAGCTTTCTTCAACATCTCTTCAATCGACGCACCATGGGCATCTTCGACTGGTTCTCCTCCAACAGCTCCGTTGTTCCCGTCAACAACGACATCCCCAAACCCCGCTCAGACGCCACCGTCAACGCGCCCCCACCAGAGCAGTACAGGACCGTCGCTCAGTTCGTCAGCGTGCGTTCGATCAGTGCTCTGTTATCAACATTGCTGATGGGCAATCAGGAATCGCCTGCTGGGACATACATTTTCGACTCGAGAAAGAACGATGACAAGGCCGATACAGAGCTTTGCCGGCTGAATCCTAATGGTGGTAGGAGCTGTGTCAAGGTGAGTGTGATCCCTTTGTTCTGGTTCTGCCAAGATGCTGATGTCTTTCGGTAGGTGGCTATGCACAGCGCTGCTCTTTTCAAGAGCATGCAGGCTCTCGGTACGTTCAGTATGCTAGGGGTTGCAAATTGCTGACTCTGATTAGGCTTCTACTGTGCCCTTCCAGCGGAACCCACACGGACGCATATGGAGTGCAACCACCTTCCCGTCAGCAGATAGGATCGTCTGTGCAGGTGCTTTGCAAAGGAACGGGAAGAAGCGGAAACGCCAAGATAGCATTGAAACAGCCCGGCATGGGCTCATGTATCACAACTCTGTATAGAGATGCGAGCTGAATAGGCATTTGCTGGAGTATAGTGCATACAAAGGAGAGCTATAAAGCTAATGCAGGACATTATAATGCACAGAGTTTACCTCAAAATTCGACAAAAAGAGCACACTATACTTGCTTCTAACGGTAGTAGGATATTTGTGTCAAGGGCAGTACGCACTCATACTGTCGCCCTCAGTGTCAGCTCGTTCATCACGATCGGCACGACACTCACTCTTCTCTTCTGTCAACATCGGGGGCAAATACAACGCACTAATAGTCTCCTCATCGTATGTGCTTCCTCCCGTCTTCACACTCGGTGCCTTGTACATGAACGCCCCCACCGAACCCGCCGAGCCCTTTCTCCCGTCCTGTCCCGCTCGTGGCGATCCGAGCATTTCTTCTAGGGATATATCGACATCTTTGGATGTCGCAAGAGCGGAAGAGGTCGATGTGAATGTGCCGGTGCCCGCAGAATGGGAGAAGCCGGTATCGACAGAGCCCAGTTTCAGGAGACGTTCTTGGCGGGCTTCGGGAAGACACGGCAAGATGGCATGAAGCACACCGTTGTAGAATCGTTTCGTCTCGATGCCTACTCGATCGTGAGTCATGATCAATCCACAGTCGACAAAGCGCTCACTGGTGGCAAAACAGAGAAAAAAGACATAGCTGCAAGCAACCACCGTGAAGAACGACAAATTCAACACCAACCTCCCGCTCGGCTTGACCTGATCCCACGCAAGACTTTCCACCATCCTCAAATTGTGCTCTGGCGGTCCTCGATGGCCCATGGGCTGGGGGCCGTTGTGGAATGACATGAGGTTGAAGATGGCTCGGAGACCGCACGTCAAGAGCTCGGCGAGGGTGAGAAACATGAGCCGGTAGAATTGGTCGCGGTTGATGGAAGCTTCAGAGGCGATGAGAGAGAGCATTTGCTGGCGACGGAGGTGAATGTTGACGAGGGCCATGACTGATGAGGGGTCAGTGTTGGTACGTGTGGAAGAGCTAGGGACTTACTGGTATACGTAGCACAAGCTACCGCTCTGGAGTCTTCACGTCAGCTCACTTTTCGAATCCCGCCTGGAAAAGCCTACATCAGGATCGGCACAATCGCCATCCAAATCACGCCCCAAGCATTCCAATACGTCGCCGGCTGAGGCCCAAACCTCTCCACCACATAAAACCGTCTATCCATATTACTCAAATGCACCAGGACACCAACGACAGGCGCAGCGATACCGGCGGCAAGGTCGAATAAGCGGTGGCGCCGTCGGGAAGACTCGTCGTAGAGTGGTGAGTGTGGGCGGAGGGAGGTGTAGGATTCGAGTTGTCTGGCGAGGAGGAGGTGCGCGGTCGGCAGGGCAAAATTGTAGGCGACTACAGAGGCGTGAGTCTGAGAAGAAAGAAAAGAGGGGTGGACTGACCGGTGATGAGCGCGCTAATGTCGCCCCACCACTTGGCATTTTGATCAGAGTTGTCTGCCCATACCACACCTAGGATCCATCAGCTCAACGCCCGAGCAACATCCCCGAGAGACTCACAATTGACTATATGGACAATGTTTAGCAGGGCCATCCAGAAGATCATCGTGAGCGTGGCAATATTGCCCGTTCTAAGATGCCATGGTAGCGGGTAGAGTGCGCATACCAGGGCAAAGCAGGAGGGTATGAGGTATTGGATGTTGGCAAAGACCATTGTAGTAGTGGGTAAGGGCGGAAACCAGACCAAAGGTCGAGTGATTGAAAGTGCGATAGAGAGCTTTGAGTTCTGTGAAGGGAAGGGAAAGGATCGACGAGGAGGAGGTCACCTTAAGTACTCTGCTTTCGGAATCGCCAAGGAGTTGATAGATATAAGAGCAGTCAAGGATCCCTTTGCTCCAGCGACCCCTTCCGTTCTGCGACGATCAGTGATCGATTTCCCAATAAAGCTGCTTTTGCTGATGAACCCTAGCCTCTAAATGGCAGGCAGATCCTGTCCGAGGCAGAAGACGAGAGAAGAATGGGGGTCTCTTGTGTAGATCTCTTGAATATCCTTGAAAGGGTTTGTGTGAAGAGGAAAGACGGGTGTCCAAAACGCAATTTAGCTGGAATCTATCAGCTGTCGATCGCAGCCTGTCACAGCCTATACCGACGTGGAGGAGGACAATTGATATGTATGGGTGAGATGGAGAGGTGATTGATGGGACGAACTTGGAGTGAAAAGCGATGTAGGATTGCGTGCGCTATTGAGTGGCTTCTGGTGTGTGAGGGATTCCAGGGAAAGGTTGAAATGATGCGTCGGGTTTTTTAGACACTCGACCACACATATGTTGTATTGGCTTACACAAGTGCGCAGAACACCTGCCTCGGGTAAGCCGGGCACCAGGCGCACCAGGTGTGTGACGGATAATTGCAGCCCTGTCCTCTGTGTGTAAAGCCGGGTTGTGTGGAGGTTTCTGATCTCGAGACTCGGAAGACAATAAGAACATGAAAGAAGGGGTGATGTCTGAGGTCTGAGGGCAGTGAAACCTCGTTGACTTCGGAGGCAGATCCGAAAACGGAGGTCTGGGGTCAGTTCTTCCGTGGGGGCATGGCTGGCCGACGTGGGGTAAAGGCAACGAATGCGAACCTGTTTGGTACCATGGCATGGCTTTGCGGGACCCACCTCGGCATGGTATCTGGTGCCAAACTGTGGCATCGATAGCCTCCTCTGGAATACGGCAGCGCAGCAGCTCGCGCAAGAGATGCTCGGCAGGCAGCAGGTGCGAGCTGAGAGGGTCAAGTGGGAATGGCCAGTGGCTTGATCGGAAAGCTGTTGGAGCCAGAAGAAAGCCGCTTTGGCCTTCATCGACCCTTTGAGCGAGATCCGACCGCAAGCGCCGAAGACGATGTGATGCCGTTCCTGGCCACCCATTGTCGTTCAACATTGAGGCTTCTCTTTGACTTTCAGCAAGCATATCTTATTGACAACTGGTACGGGAAAGACTGTGAGCCACTGATCCACAGCTAATAGACTGGTGGTATGGTGTTCGTATAGTACTTTACTCTATAGCGCCTCGGGCACCTAGACTCTAGATGAGGAGGGACATCACCATCTGATCGAATCATCCATCTATCCGTCGTATCACCTCACAAGCGATGATAACACCACTGACGCGTCGTTCTTGCAGTGGAGATGATCATGTGCTCTAACGACGGCTTCTGCTCGTTCCATATACCTGAAAGGCCCGAGACCACTGGAGAAAGAGGAGATCGAGGAGATCATCCATCTCGTCGTCCGTCGTCGTCCGGCTTCCGAGGCGTGGTCAGCCATAAGTCTTATGAATCACCATGTGCCATTGTGCATTGCAATGCTCTGATGATGGCTGCCATGGTGAGGTTCCAGCCGAGTTGCCTCCCAGAATGTAATGGTTCCAGAATCCACGAGTCAGAGCACGAGTCAGAGTATGTCATAGAAGAGAGAGTCTCCTCATGTGTCTCCTCAGCTCGGAAGAAAATATCATCGAAGGATGGCTGATGACCCTTAGAGATCTTCCCTGGATAAGCTCTCCCCTCTTTCCACGATACATAGCAGGACCCGAATAGAGCACACACTCAACAACGCCCCGTGACTCCAAATCACGGACTGAAAGCACATGCGTACATAAACATGAGCACGGGCACGGCCTTTGGGGCGGTCTGTTTGATCCGTTCGCGTCGCATCACCGGTAGTGAAAGGCTACCTGAGCTCCGGTTCGATGGCGGATAGCTTGTCGAGATGTTCGCACTCTGCAGTCTGACATGCGGTGGGAGTCCCTCCGGATCCAATGAGCCTCACATAGTAGCGAGGCAATGTTCTGTAGACGTAATCAGAATCCATAGACTATCGTACAAGCAGATCCCAAAAAAGTCCGTTGGTTCACCTTACACTTCAAATCACCAGACATTCAAGCCTTGCGCCTGCCCCAACGCCAAAAGCCTAGTCAACGTGCCCACCTGCGCCGGTGTCACACCTCCATGATCCGTCGTCTCTACCAGCTTCCTCACAGTCTCCATCAACTCTTCCGGGGTCTCCACCCCCAGCTCTTTCATCGCCTGTTCCATGACTCGAGTTTGCTCCTCTGTAGCGTGGTCACGAGGGGGGATCGGCACGTCTTCGATAGGTAGGAAGAGGTTTTCTTCCTCGTCGTCGTCTTCGTCCCCTGAAGCCGGGGTCTCTGGGGGAGGAGTGGCGAGTTCGTCGATTTCTTCTTCGTTGACAGCCTGACTCTGCTTCGCCTTCGCCTTTCCCTTCCCCTTGGCACTGCTTGAGTTGGCAGCACCACGGGCCTTCTTCCTCGGCCTACTCTCCTCAACCTCTTCCTCCTCACTATCCTCGGAATCACTCTCCCTAGCGCCCGGGCTGGAAGCAGGGACAAAGTCCGCATCGTTTTCGTCTTCGTCGATATTGAAGAGATCGCTGAAAGCCAGCTCGGCCGGAGCGGCAGGAGGCGCAGAAACGGGGTTCGGGGCTGGGGTGGGGGCGGATTGCACCATGGACAGGGATGCGAGGGAGCTGTAGTCTTCCGCGTGTACTCCCGGTGTGGGGGCAGAAGACCCAGCCGACCGGCCGGACCTGGGACGGGCGGCATCGGGCTCCTCGGTAGATGTTCGCGAGCGAGGAGGCAAGGGGGCATGGACTTCGGGCACAAAGTGGGGATGGGGAATGCCCGAGTTGGTGAGGACCCGCTTTGTCAGCTCAAGTCTACGAGTGGTCAGCTTGGTACGATAATCGGGATGCACGACTTACTCTCTTTCGAGATTGCGGCAGTGGGTCTGGAGCTCGGCATAGACATTGTCCTTCTCTTGGAGCTGTTCTTCAAGTGTGCCATAGTGCATCTTCTTTCTCTTTCTCGATTCCTGGGCTAAGTCCAAGTCAGCATATTCGAGAGACCCTGTAGTGGCGCAGCTTACCAGCAACCTTGTTTCGAGCTCTCCTTCTCGCCAACAACTCATCTCTAGGCATCGCCTTCCTCCCGCCTTTACCGGTCGGAGGCAGCGGCCACTGAGGCAGCTCGGGCTCATTCCCCTCTTCTTTATCTTCACTCGGTTCTAACCTCACTCGAGGTCGCTTGTTCTGCCCGTCACTGTCCTTCAAGGCAGCCTGCAGCGTCTCTGCGCCATCCCACGCAGCGCCTGCCGCAGAGTTCTCCCCAGTCTTCCAGAACCGCCCCTCTGCTTGGCTAGAGGCAAGGTTCGCCAGTCCTTCATACTGAGTATCAGAGGCTTGCCCCTCACTACCAGCTCCCTGCACATTCTCCAGAGCATCCTTGATCAACTGAAGCTGCGTGTCGTTGCCGCCAGTTTCAGAGCTACCGCCAGCGGCTGCCGCAGAGGACGAACGCCCAGGTGTGGGAGGGAGACCAGACGGACGAGATATACGGCCGTATCTCGTGACCTGGGCGGGGGTGGGCGGACCCGGGGCGGGTTGAGCAGTGGGCGCTCCGCCAGCAAAGAGCTGGGCAGATAGACTGGAGGGGTTGTTGGCATGGTATTCTGCAAGGTAGCTACGGATATGGGGAGCGTTGAGGAGGGATTTGAGCGCGCTAGGGTTGAGCTTGTCGCCATTCTCGTTCTGCGCCAGTGAGTCTGTGTCCAGATGCACGCTGAGCGATGGCTTACATGGAGGGAGGGGTCGATCATGTCCATGGCGATGTTTGCCGCCGGGGCATCCTTGGCGTTCCCCGCTGCCTTCCCGCGCTTCCCCTCGCGCACGGAGGAGGCAGCTGCTACGAGGGCGTCGAGGCCGCCCATGGTGTCGTCGCTGGGCATTGTTGTTGTTGTTGTTGTGGAAGTCATGACGCAGGAGAGCAGTGACGGGGAAGATGGGAAGCGGGACATTATTCCACGGCCATTTCTCGTTTTTATCCCGCCTCACTCAACATGGACTTCGTTGTATTATACTGCCATCTATGCTCCAGATCGTGCACTAGGCAAAGGTGATTCAAGCCATGCTGATAAAAGTGCATTAAGGTGTCTCTTCTATGCTCTCCTCCTAAGCGCTAGCCTCCTCAGGCTTCTCCTTCGCCTCCATGTCCTTTTCTAATCCCTGCAACGTCCTGACCAGACTTCCACCAGCCGCCTGTCCAAGCACACCAACCAGGCTCCTCCCCTGTCCTTCCAACATCCCCACAACCTGTGCCCTCAACACATCCAGCTCGGGCAGCTTGCCCAGCTCTTCCAGCTCCTTCTGGTTCATCACCTTGTGTCCCTCCACCAGGCCCGCAACCAAGTTGAGCATGGGCTGGGCACCTTCGGCATTCTCTCGCCTGAGTGATTTGATCGTTCGCGAGAGGGAGGAGAGGATTTTGGCGAGGTATGTGGGAGAGAGGGATGTGCACGTGAGCACCGCCCTCTGGCCCGCGAGGTGGGGCATGATGGGTGAAGATGACGAGCCAGACACCGCCTGGAACACACCCGACCTCACTACCTGCAGTTGCGCGGTATCAATCTCTGTCCTCTCCGCCTGCTCTTCTCCGCTCAGAGAGGGATCCCAAGGCTTGACGGGGCGCTTGATAGCGTTCACTCCCCGCCGGAGCTGCGACCATTCAGCAGCGGTGAGGTTGGCATGGTCGAATACAAGCAGTAGGGGGGATTTGTGGAGGACATTGGAGTAGAGGTTCCAGAGGTACGTTTTTCTGGGAGTGTAGACTCGTGAAGGGGAGGCGGTGATGCGGGGAGGTTTGGGGGAGGCAGCCGCCGCCGCTGGGCGGGCACAGGAGGTGGTGAGGGTGCGGGAGGGGGCTCTCAAGGAGGCGGCGGGTAATCTGGGGAGCATTGTTTTGGGTTTTGTGGTGGACACAGAGAGTAAGTCGGAGACAAGATTTCGAGGAGAAAGAAGCAAGCGTAATTTGGGGTAAGTAAATGTAATTACGCGCGGCCGATCATCATGTTGGGTTGTTAGCCATCGTTTCTCGAGTATATTGTCTGTGTTGAGTGGCATAAACCTCTGTGGAAGCTGAGAGACGGATAAGGAAGCGCTCGCTGCTGTGAGACAGAAAGTTCGTGCAGGGCACGCGAGCAGAGCAGGCGAAACAACGAAACGACAATGTCTATAAAGGACAAACTGCTGTCACTGTCAAGCTCAAACATCATGCAGATAAGTGATAAGTCAAATTACAAAGGCCTGTTAATTGGTTAGAGCGTGACTTTGGTGGTGGCATCGGGACTGCTGGCGCGATTGAAGAAGGCACAGATGTCACATCAGTCGGTATTTGGTAAAAGTCATGACAAGATCCCGAGTTGCTGGATTAGCAGAGTGTTGCTTTGAGGGCAGCAGCCTTGGCGGAGAATCGATCATGATCCCACATAGAAGAGAAGATTCGTTATTGTATACATCACTTCGGCTCATAGCAACACTCCACCTACAACGAAAGGTAGTCCCTCACTTCTTGTTCTGTCAACTTTCTAAACGTAGGAGGCAATCTCTCTCCCGGCTTCTCTTGCATCTGTTCGATAGTGGGGACGGTAACGACACCGATTTCGATGGTTTGCTCAGTCATTTGGCCTTCAAAGCCTTCTTTGAGGGTGAGGAGGGCGGTGTGGATGGCATCTTCGAGGGAAAGGTCGTCGTTGTATCTGTAGGCAAGGTGTGAGCGTCGTCCTTGAAAACATCCAAGTCAACTTACCGCTTCTCCAAGAATGTTTTGCCGTTGACCATGTTCTTGCCAATTGCGCTCGCCTTCCACGCCCAGTAAGAGCCCGAGGGGTCGATCTGCCACAAAGACTGGCCACGGTGGGCGTCCCATCCAGCAATTAGAACAGAGATACCGTAGGGCCTCACGCCACTGCAGCTTCGTCAGTAACGGTCGACAACCAGGGGGGCAACTCACCCAGACTGGGTCGCTTTCTGCATGACAGCCGCGACTTCCTGCACCAACACCTTCGTCGGGGGATACTCTCCATAGACCTTCCAATACGCCTGCGCAATCTTTCTGGCTTTGGCGACGAGGACACGGAAATCGGGGCCCATTCCAGAGTATACAAAGCCGATATTCGGGCATATGGGAGCGACCTTTTCGAGCGCAGAGGTGTCGAGAAGAACGGAGGGGGCCTTCTTCTCGGTCGCAATAACTACACCGTTGGTGGCTATACGAAACGTCAGACACTTGTCAATGAATTGGGGCTGAGCTTACCTTTGATACCGAGAGAGGTGGTACCGCCAGCAACAGCAGCAAGAGCATGCTCGATCTGCACGAGTTTGCCAGAGGGAGAGAAGGTTGTAAGAGAGAAGCTAGGGAAGGGTCAGCACTCTTCCACGGGCAGCACGGGACAAGACTGACGAGTACGCGCCGCCGCCGCCTGGAGCTGCCATGTTGAATGATAGAGGGATGTGGTGATCAGAGTCCATACGAGACGACACCAAGCGCGTAAGCGTCAGCGACAGAATGCCCTTACGTAATCTACCCCGGCGATCACCGCTGTGGCATGGTGGTGGCTGAGGATAACTGGAGATCCATCTTTCTGTTCTCATAATCCCACCTACCCGCAAGGCATCCCCCAGCATGCCCCCAAAAAGAGGTGGCCGCAAAGCTCGCCCCTCGCAACCTCCGCCGCCACCGCCGCCGTCCCCCCTCCCCCTCCTCCCGGGCGATCTCTCCAAGCAGCTTCAAGAGTCGGTATCACAATGGGACGACAGCGGCACGGAAACCCTGCATACGATAATATCATCTCTACTAGAGGCTATTGTAGACACGCCATCAGCACTGTCGGCTGTCCCCTTGTTGCACACCTTCGTCTTTCTCCTCAAGTCGGAAGTCGACGAGAAAGAATTGACTGGGGTATTTGAAGGTGTTCTGGACGAATTGGACGACGCAAAAAAGGAGAACTTCTGTGAATCTTTGGTGGATGCCATTGAGGTTTTAGAAGATGAGAGGGAAACTCTGTCTGAAGGTCAGACCAAGCAAGAAGGCGAAGATGAGTCTAGAAATATCAATGTTTTGAAATATCTTCTCGTATGTCTCACACTGGCTGCCCTGTACTCCCCCTCACGTCTATTAGGAATCAAACTCTCTCCCAGCCCATATCCCCAATCTTCTATTGACCCCCGATCGCCTATTGTCCCTGAACCTGCACCCCATGCCCCGGAATCCAAAAGCCCTGCAAAGCGGCCTAGTCAAGAAGAATACCTCATTCTTCTTCAAACAACGAAAATTCAATCTTCTGAGAGAATGCTCTGAAGGATTCTCGGGACTCATTGTCGTCCTTACCTCCCCCGACACGCTCTCGAACCCTGCCGATGAAAGTGATATCGACAGACATGAGCGCGCCGAGCGAGTCTGGGGCAAGATCATGAGGCTGATAGGCTACTTTAATCTCTCGCCGCCTCGAGTGCTTGATATCATACTCGAAGTGGCCAGCTGTCATGTGGCCTACCACTGGCGATTCTTCCTCGAGCTGCTTCGATGCTCCCCCTGGGGAAGCGCTGCGGTCGAAAATGCAAAGGGCAAAGGCAAGGAGAGAGAACCGTCCCTTGGCTGGAAGGAAGAAGAGGTCAAGGGGATCGAAAACGTCATGTCTGAAGACGGTGATCGCGTCCTGAGCCAAGTTCTTGGTTTCAAATTCGGCTACTTTAGAAGGAACGATGCCGGCGATACTCCATCTGGCGTCGTATTCGTCGCTGCCCTACTGGTCAAGCACGGGTTCGTCACTCTTGCCGACTTGTTGCCATTCCTTGCGCCGGACGACTCGGAAATGGAAACAGCCCGCCAGACATGGGCTTCATCGCTGGCCTCCAGGTCTGGGCCTTCAAACGCGCTGACCAGCACTATCCTCGATGACGACGAGCCCCCAAGCAACGGCGGATCGTCCAAAATGGACGGCGGCAAGAAAGCCAACTCCAAACCTCCTCCTGAGCAAAGGATGCAGTTCTGCCATGCCCTGCTTGCCATTGGCGACAAAGCTTCAGCCGAATATCTGTTGGCAAGGTGGCCCTGGATTGCTCAGAAGCATACTGGAGTGGCCGATTTGATCATGAAGATTGTTGATGAAGCTGTCGACCCTATCTATCAGCAGATATGTGGCAAGAAGGATGATCTCGATTATAATGCTGTTGCGCCTGATGCTCTGGAGCAAACGCAACTAAAGAAAACGAATCTCCTCACTCTATTCTTCCCCGTTCCTCCAGAAACCGCCACAAAGAGATTCGAATTCTTCTATCCTGACTGGAGCGAATCGCTGGAATCATGGACCAACGAGCAGGAGATACACGAAAAGGGTTTGCGATGGATGGGACTCATACGAGGCTTGGGCGGAAGAAACGCTCGGCTCATGGTCAAGCTTTGTCGTATCGGTGTCGCCAACTTTGAACGACTGAGACAAAACAAGCAAACCGCAATCGATTCGTTGGAAGTTGAGCCCCCGGCTCACGAGTTGATCGATTTGCTCGCCCCCACCACCGATGAGCTCAAGCCATGGCTCGACATCATTCGCATCTTGTTACTCCCTGCTCTCTCTTGCTCGTCTGCTTCAGCGGCTTTCGACGTCGAGCTTTGGGACCTTCTCAAATTATTCCCATACACTGTGAGGTATTCGCTCTATGGTGAATGGCGAGATAGCACCTGCAGCGCGAATGGACGCAATCCTTGTCTGGCCGCTACCAACGCAGCAGCACAGACTACGAAGGAGGTCCAAAAAGCCCTACGACGCGTCACTTCCACCACTTCCACTGGTCCATCTGCTGCTTCGCAATCCGAAAGGCATAGTGCACGTGCGTTGGCCAAACAGAGTCACGGCAACCCCGTCTTTGTTTGGACCACGGCAGTCACGCAAGTGAAAGCTTATCCCAATATCGGAGAGGCTATCGTAGACGCGGGAAGGTACATGGCTCAGCTGTCCTTTGACGTGGCAACGTTTGTCATGCTGGATACTCTCTCAGATGACAGGGCGATGCGATTGAACGAAATGGGTACCGGCGTTGCTCTTTGGCTAGAGCGTAAGTGAGAAAATCATCGTTCGGACTCACACTCACCTTCTCCTACTAGGTCTGTCCAAGTTTGTTGGTGACTTTAACCGACGATACGCCAATATGGACCTTTACCCCGTCCTTCAATATATCATCAACCGTCTTATGCGCGGTCATTCTGGCGACCTCATTATTCTTGAGAAGCTCATGTCCTCCATGTCCGGCCTCGAGCCCGTGCCCAATGATGGCGTCTCTGAAGCCCAACTTCAAGCCTATGGTGGCGGCCGTGAACTCATCCGCGAGGCATTTGCCGCTACACGCATCAATGTCGCACCCCCGCCCGAGCCTGGTGTACCAGGTGCCCCGGGCGGAGATGGCGTGCAGAGGGCAGGACCCGTAGAAAAGGTCAAGAATGTGAAAAAGAGTCTGCCAAGGCTGGTAAATGCTTTGAGAAATCAAGGTCTGGCCATGCCTATCTGGATCGCTTTGGCGCAGACAAGACAGGCGGTGGTTGACAAGCTGGCGGATACGCCCATGAAGGCCATGAACCTCGTACAAGATACTGTCAGTGTGTTGCTGGTTTGTAGGAAAACACTGTGCTCATCTATTATAGTGCCATAACGCCTTCATTCAATTTGGAGATTTCCTGGTGGACAACTTGACATCTAACGAACACGTCAATCTCACTCCGGACCTTCAGCAGCTCTACGAAGACTTCGGTCTCGAGTATGGTATGGCGTTCCAGATTCTCCGCCCCCGTCTCAATGCCGGAATTGAGAAGAGCCGGCAAGAGGAAAAGGCTGCAGTACAGGCAAGATTGGATGCTGCCAGAAAAGCGATGAACGGGAAAGAGGCTGAACAATCTGCCACCGCCTCAACTAGTGGTGCTACCTCGCCTTCCAAGGCAGAAGACAGCCCTTTGGCACCAGGTTCTCCCGTGCCGTCCACCCCGCCCATGGTTAGCACTCCTGCTCCGGAAGGGGATGATGTTGTCATGGAAGATGGCGAAAATAGTGTATCTGCTGGCACCGTGCCTGTGCCCAAGGCGGGTAGTAAGGCAAAGGCATGGTGGCCATCAGCTCTGACGTCAACAATGCACCAGACGAGACAGCTTTTACCCAAGGATGCCAACGATGTCATGAGGTATGTCGTTGTGACTCGCACATGACACTACCGACTCTAACGAACCACTCGTGTAGCGCCCCATTCTTTGTCATATTCTGGCATTTGACCACTTCAGACATCTCCTACTCGAGCAAGTCCTATGACACAGCCATCAAAGCGATCCAACGTCATATCTCCACCGTCTCCTCTTGGCGTATCAACACGAATATTCCTGGCGCAAAGACCAAGGTCCATGAACAACAAGACGAGCTTGCCCGTCTTCGCTCCCGCGTGGAGATACTGAAGAAGGAATCTGTCACTCACGGGAACTTCGTCAATCAGACGATGAAAAGACGTCTCAAATTAGAGAGTGGCAAGTGGTTTGGGAAATCTATTGTGGACAAGAGCTTGCAAAGGATCTTGGCGCTGCAATTGCACCAGTACTGCTTCTACCCGAGAGCTATCCTTTCGCCATGCGATGCTGTGTTTGTTGCCAAGTTTGTCAGGCTAGCTCACGACCTTGGCACGCCCGGTTTCTCTACCCTCTTCGTCTACAACAACGTGAGTATCCTTGTTACATAGTCGCTCTAGCTAAACAAAGGTGCTCAGATCTTCAACGACAACCTTGCTGCGTGCATATTTTCTTGCACTGACAGCGAAGCTCGTAACCTTGGTAGATGTCTTGCTCTCATCCTCGAGGATTTAGACAAGTGGCACCAGAGCGAAGAAGTCTACGTCAAAGAAGCTCTCGGTATCACTCAATCCGCTTCGGGTGAGGAAGATGAATCAAAGAGGCTTCCTGGCATGCTCTTCAGAAGCAAATCTGGGGAGGAGATGAAGCAGATGACTTGGCAGGAGTTTAGAAACTTATATGCCAAATTCCACAATGCCCTGACTAGAGTAAGTGACATTTCTACGATCTGCTATGGACACGTGTTGACTTCAAACAGACATTGATTTCTTGCTGGAGCGAGGCCGAGTTCATGCACAACAAGAATGCCATCATTGTGGCCCTTCAGGTCATCAAATTCTTTCCTCTCATGGAAAGTAATGGTAAGCTTGTCGAAGCTGCCGTCAAGAAGCTGCAGGCGGGCGAGGTTGGTGAAATTCCGAGCGACTTGAAGATGATGTGCACATCGTACGTTCATCACCGTGTATGACCTTTTTTGTCATCTAGTATCTGATTTCAATTTTAGCTTCCTGTCGGGTCTCTCGAAGCGTCAAACCATTAGGCCGTTCGTACCGCCCTCTGTCTTTCACGTGAGTTACCAGATGTCTTCAGATCTGTCGGCTTGATGCTTACAATCACCAAGCGTTCTGCGCCTGTCGCTCAACCTCTGGCTGCACGCTTGTCCAAATCTTCTCTTCAAGCTCCCTCCACTCCTTCCCGCTCCTTGCTCGCCAATGAAAACGGCAGGACTGCTTCTTCAGCTCCTGGAACGCCTGTCCCGCCTGCCCCTTCTGTCCCGTCTGGGCCGGCTTCGTCTGCCACGCCTGTGGTCGATCAAGCAGCTTTGCGTCAGAAAGTAGAAGAGAGTCGCAGGCATACAGAAGAGCTTCGGGCACGGGCCGCCTTGGAAGAGAGAACGTGAGCCAACCTTCTCTGGATCCCTTGCTTCTATTTCTAACATACCCAACAGGATTGCGTCCAGCTCGCCTGCCAATCACCCAATCCCCAACCGCCCCAACTTGCAAAACCGTATGGGCAGTGATGCTCACAATGCCTCTCTGAATGCTCCCACCGGCCCTGCCGCCCGAACGCCCTTGTCTCGTCCTTTGTCTAGGGCCAACACACCTTCCAGTACAATGGGTCCCCCAGATAGCCAGTCGGAAGAAGCTATTCGAGCTCAGCGTGCCAAAAGATTCCAACGGCCCCCGCCGCCTCCGCCGTCTCAAACTGCGTCCGCTACCGCTTCACCTGTTCCTGCTGGAACTGATATGAAGTCGGCTACCGACCTGACTTTGGGAAAGGGGGTCGAGGACGAGGACAATACTCCCGGCACCCCATCGCCCCCTGCCGATGGCTCCGCTACTCGTGGCGGAACCCCTACACACCCTTCTCGAGCTTCTCCAAGTGCTACTTCTCGCAATCGAAGAGATGGGAGCGTAGAGTCTCGTGCGAGCGAGCGATCCCGCCGAAGCGGCAAGAGGGATTCTCAACGAGAAAAGTACCGGGATGCCAGCCGTGACAAGGAGCGAGACAGGAATGCGCATCGCGAGGATGGCCAAGATAAAAGTAGAGAGGCAATCGAATCGCAGCGAAGGCGCCATGAGGAAGACCTTCGTAGGGCTCGAAGTGATGACCCAAGGTCTGGCGACTGGGACGAATCTTCTCGAAGACACAGCAGGCGAGACGACGAGAAGCGAAAGGACGGTCGGGACAAGACCGAAAGAAGGAGAGAAAGCCGCAGAGACTCCAAATACAGGGAGGACGAGAGTGGGAAGCGCAAGCGGGAGGACGAGTACCTAGCGTCTTCGAGGAAACCCGATCACGAAACCTCTAGCTCCAGTGGGAGGCGAGGTCGGGACAAGTACGACGATAGAGATTCTCGTCGAGATTACTCGGGCCGTGAGGGGGATCGCGACTCGCGCGACAGGCGAATCTCTCGGAGAGACGACAAGCACGACTCACATCGTAGCAGTAGGAATAGAGGAGATAGGCAGGATGCGTCGGATGGTCGACACCGAGATGGCCGAGGGCACAGTCCGGCCAACGAAGCTGAGCCAGCTTCGCAACCTCGTCGCGCATCTTCACCAAAACCAAGCGGAGCTCCAAGCGACGGTGGCCCTGCTGAGAGAGGTCCCCATAGCCTCCCTGCCAGACCCACTACTACCAGTGCGGAAGGCGGGGCGCTGCATAGTCCTGCCTCCCAAGGAGTCCCTAGTCTCTCAGCACGCTTGGGTGGCATGCGATCACCCCCTCCGCACATGAAAAACAATTCGGTTCCTCCTGCCTCACAAGGGAAGACGAGCGACTCTGGCCCTGCTCAATTCAGGGGTAATAATAATCTAGGCAATGGAAATCGGGCAAACCATGGAGGCGGAGGCTGGGGAACGTCAGACAATGGTTGGGGCACACGTGGGACGAAGAAGGACGAGCCGCGAAATGAGGAACGTCGTGAAATAGGCGGTCAGCAACAACACGGTCGAGAATCCAGAGTTGAGGAGCCAAGGGAAGAGACGAGGAAAGAACAAGTGACACAGGAAGAGTCTAAGAAGGAGGGATCTGGCGCCGATAGGAAAAGAGCTCTTGAGAGTAAGTCAATCTCCGTTACTTCAAGATACTCTGGATGGTCGCTTAACAATCCCGTAGGAGGCGCCCGCGAAGATTCTCCTGGTGCTGCAAAGCGACCCAAGATTGACCGCAATAAGAATCGGCCTGCTCGGAATGACGGAAACGCCGCTTCCAGGATGTTGGCGTCAGGAGGAGTGATGAAGAAATAAGCACTTGGATCGGTGCAGCGTGATCGGCGTGTCTTGAAAATCTTTGTACTATGCATATATTGAGCCCGAGTAGTGGGCGTTGAGTCTGCAAAAGTATTGCCCCCACAGACTCCACCCTGTCACCACTTGACTGGAAAAAAACTGGGATCAACTATTTCATGGATCGCTCTATGTTCTATTCGCCTCATCCATGACTCTACTCCTTTGACATTCTGACGAGATCACCGGCTCTCTCTATGACATAAGTCGGGACGACCGGGCTTGGATTGGGGCCGTAGATTTGGTCGTATGTCGTTACGCCTGTCATAACCAGCAGAGTCCGAATACCGCTGTTAATGCCAAACTCGATATCAGTATGGAGGTTGTCGCCTATCATTAGGGTTCGAGCAGGGTCAATGTGGTGGCTAGAAATTGGTCAGCTTGAGCCATTGACATTTGAAGAGAAGAGATATACTGGGCAACTACAGCATCCATCATAGTCTTGCTAGGCTTCCCAATGACGACGGGGGTTTGTTTGGCGGCATATACGATGCCCGCAGACATGGCGCCTGAGGCTATAGGACACTGTCAGAGATGACATACGACCAAAAGTGAACACGACTCACCAGGAAAGATGCCATCACCTATGGGGAACGTTGCATCTGGGTTAGTGAGGATCAATTTGCATTCGGGGTTGTGAAGGTAAGTGACGGCCTTGGTGATCTTCTTCAAGTCTAGAATCAACATCAGTTTTGCCTAGTATACAGAAGGAGCGGCTCACTGATGTAGTGGTCTGCTCCACAAAGAACGGCACCCACTGAAGGGTCAGGGCGGTAATCCGCATAGTTGAGGGGAGGCGTGAATGTACGATCTTCGGGGTCCTGAACAATGGTCAGTGCCCGGAACTTATGATTTTAGAAACGAACCCACACTTCCACCGCAGTGAGAGATTCCCACTTCATCCAGTTCCTCCTCAAGGCCTTCGTGGCCGAACACATACACCTTTTTGTCTTTGGGGAATTTTAGAACCTCCGATAGGTAGACAGCAGAGGCATAAGCCGAGCCAAAGCATTCTTCCTGCCCTCCTTGTCAGCGAGACCCTGAGGTTTCTTGTTAGCACTTACTATTGAAGCTTCAAGGCCATGGCCGTCGAAGGTCTTCTTGAGATCTTTTCTGGACTTGGTAGAGTTGTTGGTCACAAAAATGACTTTCTTTCCTGAAACGACCGAGCGCATTAGCATAGAGCTGCGACGAAGCGACGTTGTATAGCCTTTGTGTATTCACCAGAGCTCCTCAACATTTCAAGCAGGTTCTTGGCGTTCTCAATGAGATTCTCCCCGAGGTAAAGCACTCCATCACAATCTGATGTACCCGTCAGCCAATGTCAAGGACGCCGATGACCACATACCAAAGAGCACAGTGTCAACTGAATTGACGAGCTCGGCGTATTGGGCAGGGGTGTTGAGGAATAGCGGGGTCATGTTGGGCGACTACGTGTGCTGCATGCAACCACTCTAGGGTCCTGTTGGTAGCAGAGCGATACAGAGCGATAATCAACAAAGGAAATCAAAATAAGGCTGTCTTCGGCGGCCGGGTGCCACACCATGTATTATCGCCGAATTACCGCCTCACTTGTGATTCATTGGGTTTAGCCAGGTCGAACTCAATCCTCTGATTCCTATTTTCCATATCGACTTTGGCCCTCAGCACAGCATTCCAGAGGGTCAATCCTGACAAAAGCAACAGCCTCCAATTTTCCCCATCCCAAATTTCGCCCTACTTCATCCCCAAACACCATGTCCGACCGATCTCGCTCAGGCTCAGAAGGTGCCGGCGACGAAATACGACCTTCCGGGGAAGACCGCGACTCCTCCGAGGAATCTGAGGAAGAGGACCCCGAAGAAGCCAGGCGCATTGCGGAAGGTTTCATCGTTGATGAAGATGAGGAAGATGCTGAAGGAGAAGATGAGGATCCAGAAACGCGACGGAAGCGGAAGAAGGAAGAAAAGAGGCGCAAGAAGAAGGAAAGACGAGAGAAGCGGGCCAGGGAAGAACAGGCGGAGCTCTCGGAAGATGAGCTGGAGCTGATCGAAGAGAATCGGGCCATGCGAGAGGGTCGACCGCACAAAAGGGTCAGAATGCGAAGCGGTTCAGAGGATTCGGAAGGCGACAGACCGGCGCCGACGCTTCAGGACATGTTCCGGGATGATGAAGATCGTATGGATGGCGATGATGATGACGACTTGATGGACTTTATCGAAGAAGACGACGAAGATGGAGTTCAGGGAGAGACGGAGCATGAGAGGAGAGAGAGAAGGAGAGCCGAGAAGGCCAAAAGGAGAGAGCAGGCAAAGACTAGACCTGAATTGACTGGAGTCGACCGATCGTGCGTTTTCCTATTCATTTCGCGGTACAGCGTCTGACCATACTCTAGATCTTGGGACGAAATCTTTGCGGTCTTTGGAGACGGCCAGGACTATGACTGGGCACTGGAAGGAGAAGACAGCCTGGATTTGGACGAGGCGGATGAGGCTGCGAAAAAGGATCTTCGCCTCGAAGACGTCTTTGACCCTGCCGAGATCAAAGCACGTAGACTCCAAGATGAGGACAAGGCGGTGGCCAATGCCGACAGACCAGAACGACACCAGATCGTCAATTCCACCCTGTCAGACAATCCCGTCTTCGCTACCGAATCTCTCTACCCTCCACCTGATCTCGCTGCCAAGTGGCTGGCGCCGAAAATCTCACTCCGTACCCAATACATGTTCTACGATTTAGACGTCGAATATCCTCCCCAAACTGCCGACAATCCTATGCCTCATCCCGTTTACCGCAGACCTGAGCTTCAATCAGAGTTTGAGAAAGCCGTATCTTCGGCATTAAACATGCTCTTTGTACAGCACTTGGAGGTCCCTTATCTGTGGCACTACAAGCGTGACGCTTTCAGTCTGCTGGAAAACCAAGGCCAGACTTCAATCTTGTTCCTCGAGCGAGATGAGATTTGGCAAGTTTACTCTCTCGGGCAACGATATCGAGCAATCTATGAGCGAAACCAACAGACACGCCAGCTTTGGGACAAGATTGAAGCTCAGAGAGGCGTAGTAATCGACGACGATTTCTCCCCAGACCTCCTCTTCGAATTCTGCAGTGCGAGTATCGAGGCCGCGGGTGAGGGTGCCGAGTGGTTACAATACCATTTCGCTACCGAGATGCGGGCGATCAGAGATGAGCAAGCTCTCGACGATGCCACCAAGAAATTGCCCGAGAGGGGAGATCAGGAAGACATCAGGCGAGGGCCAATCGTCAAGCTGGCAGAGGTAAGACAAACTCTCTGGCCAAGATGTTCAAAGCTGACAAACTAATCACTCAGGCATTTGGTTTATCGGTCAGCAAAATCGCTGCTATCTTCACCAATCCTTATGGACAACCTCAATCCATCGTCGACCCCGACAGAAAGCCACTCGATATGGCGGAAGAGTACAACAGCCCTCTCTTCTCTGACAGTGCGGCTGCTCTCAACGCCGCCAAATCCATTGTCATCCAAGAATTCGCTCGTCACCCCGCTTTCCGACAGCAGATCAGAGAGTTCATGCAGGCTGCTGCGTACGTCACTGTCAACCCTACCGACAGAGGCATGTCTGTCATCGATCAATATCATCTGTATTACAACTTCAAATTCCTGACACGGAAGCCAGTCAGTGCTTTCAAGAATCAGCCCCAATTCCTGCATATGCTCAAAGCAGAGGAGGAAGGTTTAATCCACATCATTATCGAAGCTGGTGATGGTCAACTGGGGGACTTTATCAGCCAATTGACCTCATGTTGCCGCTCGAGTGACTATGGGGACGTGGCGCAGGCGTGGAATGAAGCCCGAGCCGAACTTGTAAATGATTTGACTCGAAAGCAGCTCGTTCCCACAGCAGCCAAATGGCTGAAAGAGTTTTTGAGGATGGAGGCGGAAGAATATATTGCTGAGAGATGCCGTGAAGAACTGGAACTTGTACGTCAATCGATTGCTGTATAGATTGTGCTCATATCCCAATTAGCGAGTCAACGTTCGCCCATATGCTACGCCCGACATGGAGCAGGGTGAAATTCCTTCCGTCATCGCCATTACAAATGGCAAGGGTGACATTCGTGATGCCGTCATGACTGTCGTACTCGATGACGAGGGCAATATTCGCTCTCAGACCAAATTCGACAATCTCAAAGATGATGAGGAAAAGATTGTCTTTACGGAGCTTCTGGAGAAACGAAAACCAAAGGTGGCTGTCATCGGCGGTTTCTCGGTACAGACCGCGAGACTACGCGATAACGCCCTTTCGGTCATTCGTGAGCATGCTATTGAGATGCTTGGGCAACAACCTCCTATTGCCGATGCGTATGGCGTAGAGGATGGTAGATTCGCGTACGAGATGGCACAGTACGAGGAGAGGCTGAAAGAGCACCTCATCCCTCTCATATTCGTCAACGACGCTACCGCCAAACTCTACATGGGTTCTGAAGAGGCCGAAAAGGAGCACCCGAATCTGCCGCTCAATGGACGTTATGCTCTGGGCTTGGCTCGTTATGTGCAGAATCCTCTCAACGCTTACTGCAAGCTCGGCAGGCAGATCGGCTCAATCACATTCATGGAGCATCATCAGAAACTTGTATGTCCTTTCATATTGAATCTTTCATATACTGATGAGACATAGATTCCTGAAGAAAAGCTTCTCTACCACCTCGAAAGGGGTTTGACGAACTCTGTCTGCTCGATGGGCATTGAAATCAATTCATGTGTCGCCGAACCCTATCAACGTGCCATGCTCTCATACATTTCTGGTCTTGGGCCCAGAAAGGCTGATTCAATCATCTACGGCATCCAAAAGAACGGAGCTCTCATCAACCGCATGACCTTTACCGACCTCGGACTTGTTGGGCCTACCGTCTTTGAGAATATCGCAGGTTTCCTCACCATAGAGACCGATTTGAACAACCTCCTGCTCGAAGCTGAAAATCCTCAAGAGCAGCCCGACCCTCTTGATCTTACCCGTATCCATCCCGAGAACTACGAATTCGCTCAAAAGATGTGTCAGGACGCATTGGACCTCGATGTCGAAGACGTCGCCGACAGGCACAAGTCTGAGGTTGTTCAGACCCTCATGCTCGATGACAAGCGAGCCAAGAAGCTGGGTGAACTCAACTTGGATGACTTTGCTTTCAATCTCCAACGTCAAGGCGAAGGCAACAAGCGTCATACTCTTGGTGAAATTGTCAACGAGTTGATTCAATACCGTGCCGACCGACGACCTGCTTTCTATGTGCCCAACGATTGGGAGGTCGTCACTATGGTCACTGGCGAGACGGAGCGGACTGTCGGTCGAGGTTTGAAGGTTACTGCTTCCGTGAAGAAGGCTTTGACTTCAAGGACATTCCTGCAGCTCGAGTCCGGTCTCGAAGCTGTTCTTGAACGAGACTATGTGGCCGACGACGACCAGGCTCCGGTCACCAACTGCGAAGATGTCTTCAAGGTCCGCCAGGCAGTCAAGGGTGTTGTTATTCAGGCCGAGCCTGCTCGTTTCCAGGTCCGCATCTCGACGCGACCGTCCGATATCAGGCAGGGCTTTGACTTTCTTCATCCCTTCAAAGAAGAGCAGTATACCGACAATAATCGAAGAGAGACTGCAGAGGCTGCTGCTGCTGCCAAGAAGCAGCGTCGGGCGGGCAAGGTGCAGCGTATCGTCAATCACCCCAACTGGCATGTGCTCAATGCTGGTCAAGCCGAGCAGTTCCTCGCCAGTCAGCATCGCGGGGACTGTGTCGTGCGTCCATCATCTCTTGGATCAGATCATATCGCCGTAACATGGAAGGTCGATGAGGATGTGTACCAGCACATTGACGTTCTGGAAGTCGACAAGCCGAATGAGTACTCGTTGGGCCGGATCCTCCGTGTTGCCCAGCAGTACAACTACAGTGATTTGGATGATTTAATCATCAACCATGTCAAGGCTACGGCGCGAAAGTTTGACGAGATGCAAATGCACGAAAAGTACAAGCCCGAGCATGAGCTTGGTGAGTTTGTTCAGTATTACTAGTCTTGTAGTGAGCTGACAATATACAAGACGCTTTCCTGAAGAACTACGTGCAGGCCCATCCCGGTAGAAGTATCTACGGATTCAGTATAGATAGTGGCCGACCAGGCTACGTAAAACTGTGTTTCCTCAACAAGCCTACCAAGGACGGTGGTGTCATTCAGACTTGGGTAAGTCAATTTCGTTTTTGCAAAAGGCGAGGTGCTGACGCTACAATCAGCCCGTGCAAGTCCTTCCTGGAGCCTACAGTCTCAGTGGCGCCGTTGTCCCCGGTGTGACCGAACTGTGTAACGCTTTCAAGATGCAATATTCGGTCAAGCTCGCTGAGCAAGGTCATGGTGGCAAAACCCCTGGTATCTCCCTCGGCAAGACCCCCCTTCATCTGGGCGGCCGTACACCAGCGCTCGGCTCTCGTACTCCTGCTCTGGGGTCGCGAACGCCAGGTGTAGGCGGGATACCCACTCGCACGCCTGTGCACCCAGGAATGGCCATGGGTCGAACACCAGTTCATCCAGGCATGCCTATGGGCCGTACGCCGTTGCACTCTGGTGCCCCCGTGAGCCGGACGCCGGTGCATCCTGGTATGCCAATGGGACGAACGCCTATGCACCCCGGCATGCCTATGGGCCGAACGCCTGTACACCCTGGCATGCCCATGGGTCAGACGTCGATTCATCCTGGGCAGGGTCAACCGGGAGCATATGGGCGCCCACCACCACCGCATGGGACGGGGAGGACACCGATGCATGGACAGGGGCCGTCGGGAAGATATTGAGGTGTCTTTTGGTCTCGAGTTGTGGGCGCAGGGGGATTCATGGATGGGGTAAACTAAGGATTTGCCCGTGTACAATTAGGGTCATGACGCAAATAGCTGCAGTCTCGTCTTGCAAAAAATAGGTATCTGATTGTCATCATGCATAGTATCAAGAGTGCTCGCTGCCACATGGATGTGATGCCTTGTGGGACGTGTATCGTAACAACAATGCATCCTGCTATTACCACAAGAATAACAGGCTCGCCGACCTGCATTTACCCAAACAAAAAGAAGTAGATGATCTAAATTCTAGGTAAAACCAAGTAATGTACAACGTCCTAAAGCCAGCGTTCGTCGTGAGGTTTAGGCGGAAACTGCGGGAACTTTGGGGAAACAGGCAGCAACGGTGCTCTTGGGGTGCTTGGAGTCGACATGTTGTTGGAGGCTGTATGCGTTGAGATAAATTAGCAAGACGTACTTTAGAACAAGACAAAAGGGAAATCAACATACACGGGGATTTTGGAGGTACCCTGGAAAGTGGCCTTGCAGACATCACACTGGATGGTCAAAGAAGCCTGATCGTTTTCAAGTCAGCTCTAGTTCTCCAAATCGTCTTCAAATAAGCCACAGTCTGCAAGATACAGGTCCTGCCGACATCCGTCCACTCATGAGCAGATGTCTACAACCCTAGCTGCACGAGCTCACGCTCCCCTTGATATCCCCTTGGCGAAAAGGAATGCAAACTTACAGCGTTGGTCTTCAACTGAGAAACGCCAGCACCCTTAGCATCCTTGGCGTTCCTGTCCCTCTTCTGCTGAGCCTTAGCACCCTACAAGATGCTTGTCAGCGCTGTCTGGAGAACAAGTGGCCCTTGCGACGAAGGCTTACGTTTCCCATTTTGAGTGTTGTAAGATGTGAGGAAGATAAGATTAAAATGGGATAGGGGTAGTCAACTATGGACTATTTTGAGAAGTATGGGGAGATGGGAGAAGTAGATCTAGATAGATACGGACCTTCAGAAAAAAATAAATGATCGGCCAGAGCCGCCGCGCAAGGGCGGGTTACGTAAAGCCACGAGGCTGGATATGATGGAAGCTTAAGAACGTTAACCGTCGGCGGCGCGTGGTGATTGTTTTGACGATTGTTATCTTCATCTTGGACGGCATCGACATGGCAGAAAGTATAGACCACAAGGGTAAGTAGGGATGGCTTAGACTACTGGCGCTCATGGGTCTCGTAGACAAGGAGGGCGTTCTGCAACAGCTCGCAGCATCTAACACATTCGAGTAAGTTGCTTAACCCTGTCTTTCAATAATGCTGACGACACATATCCTCCCAGTACCGACTGGCCTACGCTGAGAAGCTATTTCGAGTCTTCCCTCGAGGACGCCCTCAGATTATTCCTGGATAAAGGTCCAACAAGACCATACAGACCCCCCGGCGCATCGCCACCAGAACCAGTATCCCAAGGATCTGTAACTAGAACCGAAACGTCCTCCCCCGCTTCCGAAAATCCGAAACCCCCATCCGACACTCTCCTCTTATCCCCTTCACAGTCCACATCAATAATCGAACCGGTGTATGAGGAGAACCTGCAACCCAGCACACCGGGTGGTCTCGTAGTACCACCCTTTCCGCCAATCGACCGATCGCGCCGACGAGGGCCTTCGCCTCTCATGGTTGTGAGGGCGAATGGGATACCGAGCCAGAGGATAGCGGGCTCGGCTCTTGAGACACTGGATGATAGAAGCTGGGAAGAGGAGACGGCTATTGGTGGTAGAAAGTTGGTGGGATGGCTTGATGAAGAGAAGGGCAAGAAAGAAGTAGACCGTATGAGAGCGCTTCTTGGTGAGATGGAAGAGTAAGTTGCTGTGGCTCAGAATGGGTACTGTCATGCTTATATGTCTAAAGACCACCATTCACGATCCAGCGTCTGGCCGAATTGTTTCTCCATCCCACATCTCAACATTCATCTCTAGGCAAATTCATTCGAGCTATCGAGAAGTCCTTACTTGTCACTACTCCCTGGGAAGCTCCATCTTACGACTATGTTCCCCCAACCACCTTTCCGGAACATGTTGGAGGGTCTTCCTCTTTATCATCATATTCCTCCCCGGTGTCAAACAGCTCGAGCAGCTTTGACGCAGACACCACTGTTCCTCCTGGCTCAACTACCCCGCTGTTCAGCCCTATACCGTTCCTTGTCCGACCTTCGTTGGATCCAGCCGCAGCTTCCACAAGCGAGAGCGGCCAATTAGCGACAACCAGCAATGAGTCCGCAGAAGGGCTCATGTCGCCTCTCTTGATCAGCGAGGAAAAGGCGAACTTTTCCGCTCGTAGTCCGACGCCAGAGCCCGAAGAGTCCAACGCAGAGGCGATCCGAAAGTCGGATGAAGCAGCTGATCTGGACACGGAGATGACCCCTCTCTCTCCTGAACCGGCCGACATTCCCCGGCCCTCTGCCCCCGGCCCTCTCAACGACCCCACTTCGCCCACAGCGCCCTCTGTCGATCCAGGAATCACTTCCTACCTTGGCAGGGTGGACGAACTTGACACTGGGCCCATACCTACAGATTCTTTGGAAGATGCTGGTGTCAAGCGGCGCGCGTCCAACGCCAGCTCGGTCAAGGCAAACCTCGAAGCAGAGCTCGACAGGGGCAATATGGTGGGAGGCCAAGGGGAGGGCGGAAATCTGGCGCCGCATGGGATGAGCGAGAAGCCAGTGCCGCTGAGTAGTACCACCGTGGTGCCAGAAGAAGGGGCGGCGTCGGGGGGTGAAGGGAGGGCTATCAAAGGTCTCAGAAGAAGTGAGAGCGAGAGGGATTTACGGGAAAGGTTCGTAAGCGGTGGAGTGCAAGAGTCGGAAGGTGGTGATGTGGACGGTGGTGCAAAGGAGGACGATGGAGAGACGTCTGAGGCCAAATAGGATAAACCGAATGCGCCGACCTGATGCATAGCGCTCTTCTGCATTGCTTCCGACTCTTCATGGTTACCAGGCTGGCTCACCTCGTCTCAATGGACAAGGCGCTTCAGGGTGTACTTTGAACCTCGAGACTGGTCAGACAGCATTCCCTGTCCTCCACCACGCATCTGTTGGGTCATGCCAACGACTATCGTGTCGTTTGGGCCCATAGCCAAGCTCCTTTTAAGGCTGGCTCAAGACGACTCTTCATCCTTGGTTCGGGGATGAACTTTTGGGTCGGGAAGGCCGATCGTCGATATATCGTCGACTAGAGAGTCCAGGCGAAGGCCTTCCAGTCTGGTCTCGTCGTATCGCATAGCCGACTGGCTCCCTTCCCTTGTAATATGCACTGAGGCACATTTCCACGCCTTGATGTCTTTTTTCGAGACTTGAGTGGTGGACATCCTCAAAAGCGCCTTATCTTTGCTCGCGCGTGTCGGACAGCCGACAAACGAGATGTCGTTGGCTTCTGGCAGCACAACCTTCTCAAAGACTTCTCGCCACGTAGATTCGTCATTGAGCTCATACGGAGTCATGCCGTTCTGATGTGTGGAAGAGGAGGAGACGATCCCTACCCTGGTCGTGGCCTCAGGTTGAGCCAGGGATTGCTACCTATCACTCGTACATTGATTGACCTCCATCAATGATGACCATACACCTCAATCGTCCTATCCTACATCATGGCATCTTTTCACCTCCCTACTTCCTCCCTCCCCTGTACTCGTACTCGAGTACTATACGAGTACTCTAAAGCCAGCTTGAAAGCACAGGGTTCCTGCGGCCTACACCGACCATGTCACCTCCTTACCATCTATCAAGATTCGGCAGTCCTGAGTATAAGTAAGGGCAATGCCGCTTAGAAGCACAACAATGGTTCTTGAAGAAAGGGCGTCTTCGTCGTTGGGTTGGAAGGAGGAAGGACTGAGGGCCGTTAAGGCTTCAAGGGTCTTAGAAGAAGTCATAGCGAGAGGGGTCCACGGAAATTTTTGCGAGAGGTGAATTGTAACAGACAAAGGTGGTGAGCAACGACAATGTGGACGATACATAGTAGTGCAAGAAAGAAGGATGAATAGGAGATAGTGCAGAGCGCAGACCTATGCATAGCGCTCCTTGCATTCTTTCTTTCTAGTTGTTACACTATCGAGCACTCATCAATGAAGCGGCTGACCCATCTCAGCTGTGTAAATCGGATTTGCGAGGATCTATATCATTTAGACGACGGTCTCGACTGTTCGCATGAGGCAGCAGGACCAAACAAACATATGACCCTAAATATTCAGCGAAAAGCCGCCTGTTTCTGCCTGGCCTAGGTCTCATCATCGTCCCATACTCGGCAAGCTTATACATCAACGATGTCGGTGTGATCTGATTCCGACGGCGCTAGCCTCTTGATGAAAGCCGACGGCATTGAGCTCTTCACTTCGGCGACAGTATCGTACGAGAAGTTGTGATCGAGGAATTGTTATCAATACGTGGGCTCGCTGTACTCTCCATGCCCGTCTCGGGGGCTGCCACGGCCTGGGGCTGTACGCTACGAATGCACAGCCGGAAGTACTTGTCGCCATGGCACGACGCACACACCGGATGAAGACTGGATGCGTCGGCAGGCCGCACTTCGGACTTGGTTCGCTTTACACGTGGGCCCACTGGAGATGCCCGTGTCCACCATCTATAAAACCCAGGCCATACATCCGGTATGCAAAAGCCCCATCCCCTCTCTCTATTGAGTACCATACTGCACTTCCTGTGACCATCTCGTCTCCGCTATGACCGCCTTCAACTCCCATTTTGTCTTTGGCACCACCGCCGCCTTCTCCCACGTCCCGCCCGTCATCTCCCTCGCCCTTGCCCTCCTCACATCTACCCCGGACCTCGTCATCTCCATCCTCCTCCACAAGAACAACGAAGAAAACTCGCTCAGCATCATCGAGGGCACGCCCCAAGATGTCGTCTCCAGGCTCAAACTGGTCCTCATTGGAGAGAAGACAGAATGGAACTCGGTGTCTTTGAGCTATATTCAGATGATGGAGCTCTCTGGCGGAGAATATGCCAAGATCCTTGCGGCGAGTCTCTCCATAACAGTTCGGTGCATGGAAGACTGACACGAGCTTCAGGACTGCGCCCCCTGGCCCACGCCTACCGTCTTCATCGGCGACTACACTAGTTTCTTCTTTATTCCCGTCAAGACCAAGGTCGAAGAGAACTTTCCTCACCTCAAGCCAGCCAAATTCATTGGGTACAACCCTCAGATGGCTGCCGAAGCTCTCTTGTAGGTCGCTTTTGAGCACGCTGATGCCGATCTGATTGTTGACGGAATAATAGGTGCGATGGTGCCGAGGAAAACGGCTCTCTTCGTTGGGTTGACAAGGCTTTGGCCGAGTTTGACTCTGAGGCTGTGGTCTCGCTACAAGCCAATCAGCTCTTGAATGGCAAGACCAAGTCCGGAGACGACAAAATTATGCCTCCTGAGGAGCAAGCTGCCCGAATGATCAAGGCTTACCGAGCGGTGAGTGAACTTGAGGGATTCGAAGTGCGAGTTGCTGATGAACATGATCAGTGCGTGACTGAGTCCAAGCATGTCGTCAAGATCCCGGGTTGGACCCCTTTCCGTCAGTTCCTCCAGACAGGCACACCACATCAGCTGACAAGCGCGCAGACGTCTCCGAGCTTTGGAGTCTCAAAATCGACTGGACCCAGATGAACGAGCTTGCCTGGTTCCAATGGCTGTCCGGGCGCCAAGCAATGGCGCAAGTTCCCGAAGCCTGGATATCCTGCTTCCCTTCTTCCGTATTTGAGCCGGAGACTATTGCAGCGGCCAGGAAGGACGAGTACATCACCAATGGAGGTAAGAAGCCGTACTTTGAGGTGGGGTGGTTCGAGAGGAAGCCCAAGGCGAACTGGGGTGAGGGCGTCAAGGAGTTCCTGGACAAGTACGAGGCAAAATCGGTGGTGTATATCAGGTGAGTATATATCTGCTGACAATCTGTCAGTGTGCATGGCTAATCCTTGTCCAGCTTTGGCACAGTCGTCAATGCTGGATTCGGTCTCCCCGTCATCTTTGACTATCTCGAACAGACCAAGACCCCCTACATCTACGCCTGCGGCAACCAGTACGACTCTCTTCCCCAGCACGTCAAGGACACGCTTGCCAAATCTCAGGCCCAAGGATTCTGCATCGCTCCCAACTGGGTAGACCAAGTCGGCATTCTCAGCCACAAATCTGTCAAGGCCTTTGTCTCTCATTGCGGTGTCAACTCGGCCTTGGAGGGTATCTTGGCTGGTGTTCCTATTGTCGTAAGCTTGGATGCCTGTGGATGATAGCGGAGTTTGACGAACGATATAGAGCTGGGGTCGACGAGGTGATCAAGTCTTGCTCGCTTCCATCATCCACCACAAGGGTCTCGGTGTCGAGCTTCTCCAGCACCGCGAAGGTTCTACGATCGGACATGCGACCGCCCACCGCCCCGAAGTCACCGTCACCGGCAAGCCCGAAGACCTCAAGGCTGAGCTCGCTGCCGCGTTCGAAAAGATTGGCGGGCCGGAGGGCGACAAGATGCGAGAGAAGGCGAACGCGTTGGCTACTGAGATCAGGGCAAAGAGGACTGGGGATTGGGAGGAGACCATCAAGCTTTTCGGCCAATTTGGTAGGGAATAGAGCCATAGATGATGCGAGGCAATAATGTATATGTTTGTTATAACGATGCCTTTTGCTTCTTTTGCAAGACAGCGAGCGCTCTTTCACGAGCCACGACGAGTCGTTCGAGCTTAGCCACATCATCGATAGCATCGTAATTGGGGTTTGGCTTGGGTTTGATGAGTGGAGCGGGTGTCTCGTCGTCTGCTTTCGCTTGGGAAGAGCTGGTTTCGGCGATGGCGACTCGCAGGAGGGTGATTTCCTCGTCCAGAGCAGTCAGAGCCTGACGTAGATCGCGTAGGTGGACTAGACTGTTGAGGCTGTTTAATGAGGTTTGAACTGTGGTTGCTATATGCTGGAATCGGATCGGCTGCAAGACGTCAATATACGACCAACTCGATTGATCAGGCTACCTACGCCGATCATGTCACCTCCGTACTATCGACGAGAGTCAGCAGCCACCACGAGCGCGTACAACGATCACACTCACCCACCGTACACATACAGAGAGCACATCAACAGCATGGTGCTCCTTGAGTACTTTCAAGATACGCTCCCCACCAAACTTCTCGCCGTCGTCATCAAAGCTTTCGATGAGTTGATAGGCGTCTTCCCCTTCCGTCCCATTCTTGCCATCTTTCAGACATAAGGACCTGCAAGCCCACATCCTATGGTCAGGCTCTCTGGCCCGCGCTTTCCCGGGCGCCCTGCCTTCGCCGTCCTCGAATGCTCCCTCACCCGCCGCCATGGCCAACGCTCCCACACGGCTGACGACGTCCAGCTCCCTCACTATCCGCCTAGCTTCCTTTGCTACTGTTGTTTCGCTGGTCGCATGTGCTGGGGGGACAAAGGCTATTGAGAAGGCGAGGAAAGTAGAGGATGAAGAGTGGAGAGGTGGGGAGTGTGATAGAAGCAGTGGAGGGGCTTTGGGATGGAGCCAGGAATGGAGGCTGGCGGTTTCTGCTCGAGGACGTTTGGGGTTGTCTGGGTCGGAAGGGGATGCTGCTCTCTTGGTTGCGCTCATTGTGCAGTCGACGCTGCAGAAGTAAAGAATTGTCGGGATCATCCCAGCTGTGACGACAAGAAATCGCCGTCAGCGAGCGGTGTCATGATGGCTGGATGCCGACAATACTGCGATTCATTCTTTGCATCTCCATCCTCGTAACATATTTGCATGAGGACTAAGAGTATGGCCAACATATAGCCTGCCTTCAGCTGCATGCACAGCACTAAATTGCGTCGGATGCAAGAGCAGAACCAACCGAGGGCGACGCTCTCCGCAGTGTATCGAGCGAGGGGCTCAAGGGCTGACTGCACGACATATGCACACCACATGATCTCAGAGTTCTCAGAGACTCAGACTGCTACCCATTCATGCATGGACACCACAAGAAACAGGATCAAAATACCTCGGTCGACGCCGTTTTCACCAGGTCGACACGTAAAACGCGTCCTCTTTACTCGTCCCACTTGAACTTTTTTCCACATCTCTACCCTCAACTCAAGAGTCACCAAAATGGCCCTCAAGGAGAAGCCTCTCCTCAGTCGCTCCCATATCGCAGAGCGTATCTGCCAGGGCCAACAACTCATCATCTGCCACGATCGCGTCCTCAACACCTCTCCATGGGCTCCGTATCATCCCGGCGGCGCACTCGCCCTTTTACATTTTGTCGGCAGAGACGCCACCAACGAGATCGAAGCGTACCACTCGGGCCTGACGCTGGAGAAGATGAAGAAGTTTACTGTGGGGCGAGTTGAGCTTGGAAAAGGGGGGTGGTTGCCATTGACACCGCCTTTTGCCCTGGGACTGGTAAAGCACCCAGACGGCGTCAATGGCCACTGGGCTAAGGAGGGAGATGTGACCCTTGGTCAGCAAATATTTCAGCAAGCCATCTCGCTTGATCCTACAAAAGCACCCATCCCATCTATACCGAATCCAAATCCAGCAAAGAGTGACACCGAAGTCATTACGATCGAGCCATCGCAGCTGGAACCTCCTGGATCTGATGTCGATATGGCTCAGGAGCAACGGCGGTCGGACGACTATAGAGAACTCAAGAGGAGAATAGAAGCTGCAGGACTCTTCCAACGGCCTGGGCCATTGGCTGGGTATGGGACGGATCTGTTGCGCTATGCCTTTCTTGTCTTTGGGGCCTTTTACTTCTATTTCAAGTGAGTCAACAGCGTGTTAGGATATTTCGAGGCTGACCAGTATAGCACCATTGGTTGGGCCGGACAAATGGCATCTGCCACCTTCCTTGGTCTGTTCTACCACCAAATGGCCTGTAAGTCTGATTGCTAAGACGATGTCGCCACAACACTGACCATATCCGTAGTCGTTGTCCACGATGCGGGCCATACCGAGATTACTGGGGACTGGTGGTGGGATAGGGCGATTGGTATGACAGTCGCGAGCTGGATGGGAGGGCTCAGTGTGGGCTGGTGGTGCGACGTAAGTGTTGAAATAGTTCGCTGTGGTATATACTTGAGCTGACATTGGCCAGAACCACAATATCCATCATCGTAGGCAACCATGTGTCATGATTTGATCAAACTGACATCTACTTGACAGTGGTCACGAACCACCCTGAACACGACCCCGATATCCAACACATCCCCTTCTTCGCCATCTCTAAAAACTTTTTCAACAACCTGTGGTCTTCATACTACAAGAGGGTCATGTGGCTGGACGCCTTTTCCAAGATCATGATACCTCTCCAGTGAGCAATCTGTCTTCGTGTGGGATCAAGTCTGACACTCTATGAGGCATAAATTGTACTATGTCGTCCTCTCGCTCGCCCGCTTCAACCTCTACGCCCTCTCCTACATTTACCTCTTTGGCCCCAAGCCGCCCCGTGACGCCTTTTTCGTATACGAAGTAGCCGGTGTCGCATTCTATTGGACATACTATCTGTCCATGTTGCGTTATCTGCCGAATTGGCAGATGCGATTTGCATACTTGCTGGTCAGCCACGTGATGGCGAGCCCGGTTCACGTCCAGGTATGTTTTCCTCATAGTGAACCAGGTGCAAATTGCTCATTTGGTATCTCAGATCGTGCTCTCCCACTTTGCTTGTTCTACAGAAGACCTCGGCCCCGCCGAGTCCTTCCCATCTCGCCAGTTGCGTACCACCATGGACGTCATCTGTTCGCCCAACATTGAGTGGATTCATGGTGGTCTCAATCTTCAAGTCACGCACCATCTCTTCCCGAGGTTGCCGAGGCATAACTTGAGAGAAGCGAGTTTCTTGGTGAAAGAGTATTGCAAAGAGCAGGAAATACTGTATAGAGAGCATCTGTTTATCGAGGGGTAAGCGCTAGACTCTATGAGCAACAAGAAAGATACTAATGAAGTTGGCAGTAATCAGCATGTGCTCAGCACTCTTAAAGACGTCGCCAACCAGCTTGAGATTCTCAAAAAGGTTGCCGACAAGGAGATTGACGAGAGAATGGGTAGATAGACTGCATATACATAGACGCGAACTTGTCCTGACATGTTCATCACCATCATGTACAGAGTATTTTATGATACAAGAAAACATCAATATTGCAATAGTGTATACAAGAAGAAGCAGCAGTATACAAATTAACCCATCAAGGCTCTCCACAGCTAAGACATTTGTCAGCGACACACCATGATCATACGATTGGAGCCTACATTTTCACTGAGCGCATCCCCGATCTTTCTTCGTGACTCTTCGTGGGCTGTTGCTTCGGCAAAGAAGAGACCCTTGCCCGTCTTCTTCTTCTTCCCTTTTCCTGTACCAGGAGGCGCTCCCATTTCATCCGGCATCTCATTTCTCATCTTCATCGCTTCCCACAGTCCCCTCGGTGTTTCCCACTGATCCAACAACGCCGAGACCTTCTCGGCACTCATGCCCTTCACACTCATCAACATTCTGGCAAGCGTTTCTTTCAAAGTCACGCATGCAGACTTGGTGTTGAGGCTTTGGTATCCGTCGAAAGACGTGTGGAAAGTGAGGTTGGGATGAGCAATCTTGAGATGCTCTTGCAGGGGTTTGTAGGTAGGGCGAGACAGGTAGTGACTGGGGATGACATGCAGGGGCTTGTTGCGGTAGGATGACTTTATGACGTTGGTCATGGTGACGAGGAAATCTATAGAATCAAGGAGACGGTTGGTCTCCTTCATAAAGAATCGGTTGTGCACCTGGAGTTGAGATTTGCAGGTCATGATGGCAAGAGCGTTCTGCTCCATCTCAGCCTTTTTAAAGTTCTCCACGATATAGTAGACATGGCCGATACAAGCGTTTTGCAGTCGAAACTGGTCTGTTGTCAGCATCGCCCGCTTGGTTGCCGTCACAACTCACGCATTGCTCAGTGTATCGCCCATCCTTGATGGAGGTGACCAGATCGTCCAACCTTTTCCTCTCCACAACATAATCCAGCACGCACTCATCTTCCTCTCCGCCGAGCCCATCCTTCCTTCTTGCAACCCAGCACATATCCCCAAGCTTTAGCGCTCTCGTCTCCACCCTGAGACCCTTCTGCTGCAATGTTTCCCAGATCATATCTCGGCTTGTCTTTGATTCAACTTCACGGGAGTCTACCACCAGGATGATATCGAACGAACCCGGGGGAAAAACAATAGCATTGGAGAGGGTGAAGGAGGGAATGGATGCGGAAGGAGGATCAACGGGCGGTACAATGTCATCCTCGAACCCTGGCGGTATCATAGGTACGGAAGCATTGTTGGACGGTCGCACATTGGCCCAGGGGGCGTCTGCGGGACGAGAAGGAAGGAGGGCAGCTGACGACCAAGACCTGCTGGGCCCTGCGGTGGCATCAGACGCTGGGCCAGCGTTCAACGCAGAGAGAGAAGATGTGCGAGGCTGAGCACCGCTAACTGCAGATGTACGCGCGAGCGTCGAAGACATGCCTGAGCCTTGGTTCAAGAGTGCCTCGTAAGGGTTCGGGCGCCTAGATGGGGCCGGCCTGGCGAGATCTGCCTCCGTCAAGCTGCCGCTGGATTGCTGCTTGCGCAAAGCTTGCAACTGAGCTTCCAAGGGAAACGGCTCTGCGGCCGGTCGCTTCTTTGCGACTCGGTCACCGTCGGCGAGATCGACAAATGAGGCCTCGCGGCTCCCCGTGAGAGACATGCGAGACCGGGGTAGGGAGGCGCTTAACGGACTGCTGCCCAAAGCTGGAACACTGTCTCGACTGGGAGGTCTAATTCTCAGCTCGCTCTCCTCCATGGGTGCACTGCATTGAGGCGGAGCGTCCGTCTCCAATATGTAGCCAAAGAGGGTAGGTTTTCCTGACGTGTCTCGAAGTGTTGCCGAGGCGAAATCGTCCACAATACGAAGAGACGCGACGAAAGCATGATTGCGCTGAGCGTATCGAAACTCGATGCGCCGCAGGCTCACAAACGTCTCTGGATCGAGACGCATACGCGCCTGCGTCATGGCCTTGACCCGCTTGTTGGAGGGACAGATATACCAAAAGTGGAATCGGTCACCGGAAGATGCCGCGACTTTGGTTGCAACGGCGTTGAAGTCGCCTAGACGAGAGGCCGGGGATGAGTGTGTTTTTGTTTGGGGCACGTAGGTAGTTGTCATGCCATTAGGAAGAAATGATGGGCCAACGTAGAGGTCACGGGCGGACAGGGGGCGATTTCGGGGAGTATCTTGGGCTTGGGCAATAGGCTGCGCCACGTTTGCAGCAGAAGTGGGAAGAAATGGGTCTCGTTTAAAGTGCGAAAACTCGGGTCTGACATTCCGTATCGCCACTGCAACATCACTGCCTTGTCATCAGCCATCTGATACGGCCAAAGATTGATCACTCACTATCCCTCCTCAGTCAGGCAATGCTTGTGCGGATTGCCCGTGACATACACATAGCCCTTTGAGACCAGGGTCTTCATGCCACTCCAAGCCGTATAGTATGTCCCCTTTTCCGAGTGCTCAAAAGACACATCGCAATATTCTTGGGCCGTGCGAATGATCTCTGATTTGGTAAGGAAAACTTCTGTAGTCACCTGTGGCTGGTCGATCGCGAGGACGAGTGCCATCAGAATGCCATATGCGCCCGTGCCCTGGTTGGGGATATATGCCTTGGAGGCCTTGGGAGCCTTTGGAGCAGGAGCTTTACGCGCCTTCTTTGGGGGCTCGTTAAGTCCGTCATCGTCATCAGGTGCAGTCCTGGCTTTGTCCTTGGCCTTCGTAGTCTTTGGAGAGGGTTCTTGACACTTGCCATCAGCTTCTTATCCCACGATTGGCACTTGACAGGAACTCACTCTCAGGCTCGGGCGGTACTTCCTTCCCATTTGCTTTGCAATATTCGGCCCAGCGCTTCTCCAGCTGCGAGACGAGTTTGTCTCCGACTGATTTGAGGCAGACAAGGTCGCGAGGTCGGGCGTATGTGACGGGGCACAAGGCGATCGATTTACAAGCCCAATTGTATGTCTCTGCCGACTTGGATCCTTTTTCTCGGGCAGCATCGCGAATCTCTACAGATGGTCAGAAATGTGGAGATTCAAGGCGTGTATGGCTGAACGCACCTTCTGTCCATTTCAAGAAGAGTGGATTACCGCACTTCGTTTTCGGCGCCATTGTTCCGATGGAGGCGCTCGATGCAAGAGTATCTCCAAGAAGTCAAGATGGCCAGCAAGATGGCGCAGGGGCAGATGAGTTGGCGAAGGGGTGAGGGCAGTCGCAGAGAGGAGACGGGTCGCAGGAAGGCGAATGTCAAGATGTCAAGAGTTCGCGACGCGATTTTTGTGATGATGGTGGTTGACGCGTATGTACAACGCGTGTTTCACGGACATGTCCGCCATCATGCGATCCCTTTTGTTCTCTGCTGGCTGATGACGAGAAGTTGGTTGACATCCTTCTGACGACCTGCATTCATTCAGCTAATTCCTTGAGGCGGGCATCTCTATAAGGGATAAGCCGTTGCACTCAAGCCCCGTATACAACCCAGTTCCAGTACAGAACCGGCGAACACCGTGGTGGCGCAGAAAAAGCTCTTTTTCTCAGTATATGAGGTATCGATTCGAGGACCTGCTTCCATGCTGGAATACAAGTAGATTGTCAGCAGGTGGTGCCAGGAGCTGAGCGCAAGATGATTCAGGTGTCACGAAAATTCTCATTCTGTATGGAGCAGCTCTACGTGTTGCTGGTAAAGTAGGGCCGAGGAGCCGCCGGTAACCGACGATTTTCTTCTAGCGCCTCTCGGTCACTGCAGAAACTTCGCCGACAAAACAAACTTTTGCATTCGACGATAGCATGCTATCTGTTGTTACATGCATCGCTCGGTGCTCCAACAACATGTTGGGCCTGCTGTAAAAAGCTGTGCAGCATGGCTTCGCGTCGGCGCTGACCATTGTTGCCCTTGTGATTGGCGGAGCCCCCGTTGAAATGGCGCATCACTCAACGTTACATTTTAGCATAGTCGACCAACGTCGAGGGTAACGCGCAGACTGGCGCAGTTGCTTCCCGTTTCCCTTGTTACCATTCTTTCATCTGCTTGCCAGCTCCCGTACGTTCCATAGCTTCTCTTCTCCTCAGAATGTTCAAACGCCGCCGATGATAGTGCTCGCTAAACTTGGTGATTGGCAGTGGTGTTCATTCTCGAGGTAGGACGTGTCTCAGATCTGGAGCAAACATCTATGGAAGAGAACGGACGCCGCACGTCCAGTGTTGACTTGTGACTTTGTGAGCGAAAGATTCCGAGCTGTGAGAGTGGCGATACAGGGCTGGAGGATGTGCCACGTCGATCTCCTCAGCTCAACATGCTTGACAAACATGCATCCTGCGGCCTGGTGCACTCGCTGACGAGATCCGAAGACTTTACGGCCTACGGCTTACGGCGATTAAAGCATTTCCATCTCCGGTGCACAATCACCCTGGGTGTGTGAGTGAGGATTTGCAGATCTCTGGGGCCAACCGAAGACGCGATTCAGGACCTCGAGGACACCCATCTCATAATACATAGCCAAGTGCAGAGAAGGACACGCGTTGGCTGTATGTACAGTGCATAGAGGATGACAGCCGAAGGAGTGGATGCGACGGAGAGAACAGCTTGATCCCTGTCCCTCGCGGCAGAGGATGGAGAGCGTCGAGCGTCAAGCAAGGAAGATGGCGACGGAAGGACTGAAAATCGGCGTGCCTGTACCTGAGGCTAGCCGCATGGGGGAATTCTGTGTGGAGAAGTAGAGAAACTAGCAGGTTATCGAGGGGCAGAAGATGGAGGAGAATAGTCCGGCAGCGTCGAGTGTCGAGAGAGTAGCGCATAGTCATACTGCGTGCATGCATGCAGCCCTCGCACGGAAGCACGTAGAGGCAGGGCGGGCGGCGGGGAGGGGCGAGGAATCGGGAAACGAGGGATGGCCCTGTGGATCTCCTGCAACTCTAATGGGACCCTTAATGGGCCACGCTCGTCAACCTTCCATCCCACAAACTATTTTCATCCATCTCATCCATCTCATCCATCTCATCCACATCTCCCACAGCACACCCGCCACCCCGCCCGCTCCTTTCTCTCCATGTCCCCGGGATAATTTTCTCCCCGGATCCTTTTCACCGTCTACTCTCGACTCTGGCAGTACATCTGAATCAACCCACGGCGACAAGGGTCACAAAAGACCTCGCCCCATCCACCCCACCCCCGCCCACTCTCACACTCCACCATGACCTCGTCACCTCCCTTCGACGAGGACCGTCCTCGTAACAATCCCAATCCCGCCCATTCTTTCACCAACCTCCCAGAGTCCAGCAATGCCGTTGCCGGGCCAAGCTCCCATGCAAGCTATTCTGCACCGCCAGCACCTGACGCGTGAGTCGATCATGCTGGATCGCGTCCGGTATCTGACTGCAGACGTAGTGATTATTTCGGCCACCCACCGCGCGCGATCGATATCCCAGCGTATTCTCCCATGGATGTACAGCCAAACGCCATCGCCGGGCCCAGCTCTGAAGGTGCGCTGCCCAGACGGAGAGAGTCGGATGCGTGAGTCCAGCCACAAGTCTTTTGCGCTAGAATCTGACCACAGCACGCCTCATACAGCCCGCCCATGTCGCCGTCTTCAGCACCCCCGGTGCCATCAGCAATCGCCGTGATGCATCCGTCACGGTTCATCCACACTCACCACCCCCGCCGCGCGTCTCTGATCCCTCTGGGAATGAATGTCATCTCGCCCGTGGCGCCTGAACACTTGCGCGAACGCGAGTCAATAAATCCCGCGAGAAACGTCGGTTTTCAGCCAAATTACAGCCTGGATGTCTACAATGCCCTGCAAGCATCGCCAGATGCCAGCCGGCGGGATTCTGTTGTCAGCACGACGTCGACATTGACGCTATCGCGTCCTGCGAACTGGCCACCCCAGCAACAGGCAACACATCCTTTCTACCCTCCCAATTGGAGCTCCGGTCCAAGGCGGTCTTCCCTTACTCCATCCATCTCCGCCGTCGCACCCCCTTCTCCGACGCGGGCTGTCGCTAGCGGCCGCTCGTCAAGACCCTTGACGAGTGAAAGCGCCCAGTCAAAAACGAACGGGCGCGATACCGCCAGTGGATTCCTGTATTCTGCCGCCAAGGGCGATCACCACGCGCGACGAGGCAGTCTGCCGCATATAGGACACCGAAATTGGGCAGGCCCCTCACAGAGATCGTGGAATCCAACTCTGCCGCCTTCAAGAGGTTCGGTCGACCATGAAGATACTCTACCCAGTGCAGACTTCAAATTCGGTTCTGGTCCTTCGTCCGCACCCTTTTCGCCTTTTGCAGGGTCGCCCCGAGGCAAGGAACCGAAAAAGCAGGAAGATATGAGCGTATTCGAGCAAGCCGAGGCGGAAGAGGCTGAGAGGCAGCACCACGCATTCATGGCAGCCACTTATGGCGCGGACGGGCAAAGAGCTAGAGATAGACTCAGTATCGGCGGACAGTCGGGATACTCGTCAGGGTACTCGAGTGCAGGTCGCGCAGGAGGATTTAGACGGCAGAGCTTGATGATGTGGGAGCGGATGGGACTCTTTCGGGGCAGCGGAGACGAAAGTGCTGTTTCTGCGCCGATTGGCCCTACGCATAGCACGCATCTGATGGAAACGTCTATAAATGACGATGACTTGGGTCCCAGGCGGGGAAGTCTGCCCGTAGCGATCCCAGGAGGGGTGTCTAGGAAGGAATCGAGGAGAGAGGCAAGAGTCGTCAATCTGGATCTGTCACCTCCAGAAGGAGAGGATAAGGAGGAAGATGAAGAGGAAGCACGGGAAAACATTGGCGAGGTATGTGCTCTCCTTTACAATTCGAAATCTCATCTAATTAATCGCAGGTGGTACCAATACCAAAACGTCCACTTCCACCACTGCTACCCCTTTCCGATCCCGGACCACGCCTACTCCCTTCAACTCTCGCACTCCACCGCGCCAACCATCTCTTGAATGCTCGAAATCTTCAGTCAGATCCCTTGCCGCCGCCATTGCCTCCTTCTCTCCACCCACCAGACCCTGTCGACGTGACCGAGTTTGATATCGATTTCATCCTCGCGGGCTCGTCGGCACAGCTTGGAGGACAGCCTATTGGCGCAAATGATTCTGTAGATGGTCTCGGCGGACCCGCTGGTTTCGGCGAACTCTCTGGGCTACCTGCAGGAACGTTTCAGCTCGGGCGGGAGGAGGAAGATACGTTTGCCAAGTTTGTCGGGCAGTTTGACGACGAATACGGAGACAGGCGAGGCGAATGGACTTTCCGCTCTTGTCGACACCGTTCAGCGTCAACTGCTCACCCGTCACACGACCCATTTGATACTTCCGACCCAGTCAGGGAACCAAAAGCTGAATGGGAGTCTAGTGGAGCCGGCAAATACGAGCTGTTTGCGAATGGCGAAGTGCGGAGTATCGTCACTGGCAGGACATGGAGAGTTCAGAAGATTGGTTCTCGAGAGTACGAGCTGGAAGATGTCAAGCCGTGGACAGGCGGTCTGCAGCCTACTGTTGAAAAAGGCGAAAGATTCTCCCTTGCAGGCAAGAATGTCCACCGAGACCAGGGTGGTGTGAAACTCCCCTACTTCAACGTAGGCGCCTTCCTTCCCGACGCCCCATCACGGCCCTCTCCTCTACGCAAGTCTTCTGGTGCCGCGGGCAAGCTGCGCGCTAGCATGTCTGAAGCCATCCCCCAAGTTCGGTCGCGTGCTTCAGGAGGCCGCTCAGATAGCGAATCGTCAAGTGCCACCCTCTCCGGGCTGTCTCAATCCTTGTCCAACGGTCCCAAACCACGCAAGGAAAGCGACCGTACGCGCGCCCTGAGAGAAGATATCCTCTTTGGCTCTGGACCCGGCAACACTGGATCTAAAAAGCCCCATCGAGATGCTAGCAAAGAGTCGGAAAGTGCCGAAAAGAAGGACAGATCGTTGGGCGGTGTACTCAAGCGTGGATTGTCCAACCTGAAAAACTCGAGCCTGGTGTCGTCAGAGGAGAGGCGGCTTGCAAAGGAAGAGAGGGACCGTGAGCGAGAAAAGGTCCAGGCCCACTCGTGGAGCGGTTCAAGCTCGTCAAGTAGTCATCATGGCTGGTCACCCCACTCCCAACAGGCCAGAGATGCCGTAAAAGATTACCGCATGTCCGCTGGTAACCTGGATCATCAGTCGCATCTCGACGGTAAGACGATCTGGGAAGAGGAGCAATCAGACAGGGTGCGATGGCTTGCTGGCAAAGGATGGGACGGCGTGCCAGACGATGCTGTGGCGATGATTATCCCACTCCACGGTGAAGCCTCGGTACCCGGTACACCTACATCTCCTGCTCCGCTTTTGCCCCACCAATTTCCCAGTGGCCTTCCCAAGGGCATTCCTTCCGGTATCAATCTTGGTGACCATGTCGTGCCTCATCCGTTCTTCAGTTCCGGTACAAAGCAAGCACTGCTAGTATGGTATGTGCCCTTCAACTCGGAGCACGGGGACGAACCACGCCCCTCTACTGCTTCTTCGAAATCCTCATCCACCTCTGGCGGTCATTCTGTCACCAACGAAACACCTCTTTCGGGCTCGCTGCCCAAGTTCCAAAAGCTTTTGCGGCGGAAGGCGAGTAGGGATGGGATCAAGAGGGATCACAGTCAGGGACCTGGTCAGGCGGACGGTGTGCCAAATGCCAACTCTCCCGCCCTAGGAAAGGATTTGAAGCGATCAGGGACACTGGGACAGCCGTTACCATTCCGAAGTTTCCGAGTGGTAGCCCGGGTGGTGAACTGCAAGGAAATGAGGTCTGACATCGAAGGGCAAGAGGGCTCGACCTCGTTCGAGCCGGTAGAATGGTCCGGGAACGGTGGCTCGTCCTCTCGACCCTCGACGGATGCGCTCCAGTTTGCACCAAACGAGACGCCTCCCGACGCTGCCATTGCTCCTTTCCTTTCCCTCGACTCTCCACCCTCCGAGGACGGAGTCGCCGTTGAAAGCCCTGCTTTACCATCCGGGCGAAGCTTCCCTACGGTCATCGCTGTCTGCCACTCTCGCTCCCAAGGCGTCGAGTTTGTACTCGAAGGTCTTGATAGGCTTGGGCTGTGCAAGGGTGAATCGGCCTGGGGACCAACAGGGTATGAAGAGTGGAGAGGGACGGGATTGAGCGAGCATGGGAGGGAGCTGGTAGATCTGCTTTGGGCGGGGTGTACGGCAGTGATGGGGTTGATGGGTGTTTGAGAGTTGTAGGGTGTGAGAGTGTCGAGCAAAGGGGAGCTTTGCGTGTATCATATGTAGAGAGAAAGGGGATACCATTACAATATAACTGGGGTTCCTGGTATATACATAGTCCAACCGTTTTCGTCGTTTTTCCCCTCCTATCAGTCTTTTTATCACCAAGGGTTTCCTATCTCTAGCAATTCTTTGTACAACTACTATGATCATATATCATGCATTATCGACGACAGATGATTCTGTTGTACTTTGCCGCATACGTGTCTTTGCTTTGGTATGAGTCCAAGCAACTCCTTGTCGAACGTTGCAGCACCGACCTTTGGCTAATCTATAGCCTGAAATTATGTACGCGAGGAGCTATCCACGATCGATTATTGATAGCCTACAGCTCAAGAGCTCGCTTCCGTAGGCCAAATGCCAAATATTCTCGTAAAAGATACTAGTGTCAAAATAACGCAAGGTGCCCAAGATAAAGAAAAGGCGAGATAAGACGGACAAGGCGAGATAAGGTGGCGGCCATGTGCGCTACGCCGTCGCCGGACTTGTTTAGGGCCTTCACGTCGATGCCTCGCTACCCCTATCGCGATACGGCATGATACGATGATGCATGCAATAAGATAAGAATGGGTGTCCCTATCTATGTGCGTACAGCTCTGATGCAAGTCAAATACGACACAGAGGAAGAGTTTTACATGAAATCGTCCTCGCTGGCGGCAGCCTGTTCCTCGAAAGCATCGTCAGTGTAGAGATTGTCATAAGATTTGGCCTTCTTTTCTTCTTCCCAAGCTTTTCTTTGTTCTGCCTCTTGCTTTGTCTGCACAGGACCAATCAGTATCGGGGCGAAAGCAAGAAGGCTCGACTTACCCGTTCAATGGCATTGGCCTTCTTCTTCCTGCCTTCCAGCCGCAGACGCTCCTGGTGCTCCGCCTCGTGATCCACCTCCTTTTCGACCTTGGTCTTGTTGAGTCTATTGACAATGGCATTGTCTCGTGTCGGTACGTGTGCTTGGATAACTTGATCAGACTCTTGTTCGACATCATTTCCGTCGACTGGCTCACCTCGCTTGACCTTTTTGTCAGAGTGGAATGAGACTTGGCCTACGGGCATGTCTCCATGTTTCTAGTCCATTGTGAGTCGCCTTTCTATGACATGGTAGACGATGGTGCTCACTTTGAGATTAGGGAATGGTGTGTAGATGACCTGCATTCTATTGTGAGCACCGGGCACTGGAAGGTTTTATTACTCGACTCACAGTGATGTTGTCCTTCTTATTCCCTACCATGAATGAGCTGCGGCCTTTCAATTAAGAAGGAAAACTCACCTTCGATACTGTTGGCCTTGACCAGCTGGGCCAAGTCGTTCACGAGAGCAGACGGTAGCTTGTCCCATTCACCGTGCGGTTGTCCGTCGGGTTGTCGGAGGTAAACATGTGCTGATGACAGCTTGCTATTGTTCATAAACTCATTCAGTGATTGAGCTCCCTCGTAGCACTATAGATGCTGTCGATCGAGAGACGCACTCGACATGGAACCAAACATCGGTCGGAAGGCCGTATCGTAACAGTTCCTCGTCTACAGCATATCAGTCTTGCAACCTCCTATAAACATAGCCACAGCATAGCTCACTTTCTACTTTGTCTCTTCCCCTGCGTTACAGAGTCAGTATACCTCGAGGCCAGACGTCGGAGGGGACACAACGCACATGTAGATGGTGACTGGCGGACTGACCGCTAAAAAAGCAAGCGTCAGCGTTGCCCAATCGTTTCGTCACTGTACATACCTTTTGATGTGAAGAAGACGACCATGGTTACAGTAGCTGTTGCCTTGGCTCGATACACTTTTGGGGCTTCAAGATACTGAATGCATATTAAATCTCAGACGCCTTGATTGCTGCTGTTGCTGCCTCCACTTGTGTTCGCTTATGTAAGGCGGTATTTGCTGTGTGGCAATATTTGCTTCCGTCGATGTTTACAGCGAACTGACTTATGATGGATTGATTCAGAGTCAACTGTAATCTCCGCACCATGGCGTTTGTAAGTCACATTATATTCAGGTATGCACAAGCTAACTGGATTCTAGGCGGACCAATTCGCTGTACCAGCCTACATTCTACGTCACTTTGACATCTCGGCCAGCCCTTGGATAGATGACTCTGTGGCTGGATCTATCGAGCAGCGCAGACACAGCTCGCCGGGAAAAAAGCTCTTCTATGACAGGCTGCTAGACATCGCCGGGATTAATGGTGGGTACTGTACTTCAACGATACTGCCCCAGCTAACATTGTCAAAAGGCCCATCAGTGTACCCTCCTCGAAACCCAGCGGATATTCGCAGACTCCTCCATTCTATCGACTCTACAGATCTCGATAGACTGAAGAAGGATTGCTACTTTTACTATCTCCTCAAAGACTTTGACGCGCAGCCCAAAGCTGTCGTGGTCAACGGCTACGGGGAGGGAGACGAGATGGACCTGGATAGTGGGGCGCTTGTCAGGCCTGGTGATGAGCAAGTGGTGGGGCGCGCGGTCCAGTTCGCAAAGAAGCGGTGCATGCCTAGTCAATGGAGGCTGTTCATTGACGGGTATTGGTCTCTCGATCATGGACTGTGGGAGGTGAGCTTGCATTCTTCAATGTAAGAACAAGGCTAAAGTTTGACATAGGATGCTGTTGGCAGTCTCTCTGATCCCTCGATCTCAGAGATCAATTTTATCCCCGAGATAGTAAAAGCCCTATCATCTTCCGTTTCTACTCCCAGACTCGCCTCAGCGTTACTGCACTCCCTCTTGCTCACGACCCAGACGGAGCTGCCGTTTGGCACACCGGAGAATGAAATCAGCGTGGTAGCGACAGCTTCTGCAGCTTCCTTGAGTGAAGCTTTCGCCATCATTCGACGAGCACCGGATGCGCAAGATCAATCAAAGCTCCGTGAAGCTGTCTGGTGTTGGGCTCTGGGAGCACCCAAGACTTCTTGCGGCCAGGGCTCTCACCCCGTCCAACCCAAGGCGTTGAGAGAGTTGCTGCATATCCCGCTCTTGCCGAGCGAAGAAACCCACTTGATCGACTTTCTCTCCCGTCCCTCTCGCACCATTACCACAACCGCTATCTCGCAACTACACGACCTCGTCACTCTCCGACTCATCCATCAGGGCAACTACAGTCAAGCTCTGCAGCTCGACAAACAGCTAGCTGGCAGTGCAGGCAAACAGGAAGACAAGGAGAGAAGAAGCGAGATTGTCAGAGGATTCATCTCGGTACTGCCAGAAGTGCATAGGAGAGTGCTGTTGGCGGATTTGGAGAGTGGTGCCGGCAAGCAGATGGTGAACGGCAATACGGAGGATGTGGACATGGGATGGACAGACGGCATTGTAGATGCTCCTACTTCTGTATCCACACCTCCTGTGGCCGTCCCCGCTCAGCCATTCGCATCAACACCTGTCAGATCGGCCTCTTCGTCCTCCCTCGCTCATATCTCTCGTGCCGCACCCCAGCAAGCTTCCCCCGCCCCTGAACGCGTCAGCTCACCGTTCCACGGTCCCCCTCGCTTTGCTGCCGCCCCGGATCCTTCCACCTCCATTTCTTCCCCTCGCCAGACCCAGGCGTTCAGCGGCAGTCCTTTCAGCTTGCCTCCAAAGTCTGCAGCTGCCCTCGCACAAAAAGCTGCACAGGAAAAGAAGGTGTTGCCGAAGACGGTTGTGAATGATGACGTGGAGGAGGAAGAGGCCCTGTTGAGAGGATCTGTGAGAGGCAAAGGAAAGCCGTCTGCAAAGCAAGGAGAAATAAGGAGGTCTGCGAGACAATCATCAAAGAGCTTGGAGCCTGAAGAGTTGGATGAGAACCACCCCATCGAGCCTATTGCTGAGGACATCCCGTGGTCTCCCCCAGCCGAGACCCTTTCCAGATCCACCAAACGCGCATCCTCTATCAGGCGCGAGACTCGTGCTACGGTCTCTCCCCCTCCTGTACCATCTGCACGACGGTCGACTCGTGCCCGCCAAAGCGTTGCTGCAGTAGAGGACGATGCTCCTCCTGCTCGGCGCACTCGCGGTGCCTCTGCCCACCCCGAACCACCCACCCCCGCCCGCTCGCGCATGACCCGCTCCGTCTCTCGCGCCCTAGCCGACTTTAGTGACGACGAGAGCGTCCCTGGCTTGCCTCCTCGTTCTACCAAAAAGACTGCACCTGCGAGTACGAGGAAGAAGAGAAGGGGAAGTGTAGCGGCGAGTGAGGTCACGGAAGATGGGGATAGGGCTACCGAGCTCGAGACGCCTCGGGCAAAGAGGACGAGAAGAAATGTAGCTAGTCCAACGCCCAGTGCTGCTGGGAGCGAGGTAGGAAAGGGAAGAAAGACGAAGGAAGTGGCTACGAGAACACCGAGAATGGCTACGAGGTCGAGAAAAGCATAGAATAGTATATGCATGGGCGTCTAGAGCGCCGCGATGTCCAGTGATTAGTGGCAGTACAGAGAGTCAAGCACGCGACCGTCCTCTGCGAACACTCCAGGCGCTGAAAGAGAGCCTCAAGTCTTCTTGTCCATTCCTGCATCCAAGCATGCATTGCTCGAGAGTCTTGGTGAGCGTGATTCAAGTCAGTACCGATCACCACGCGGCCTGCTGATACAGCGCGCGCGACTCACTCCAACGGCCAGTCCTCATAAATTCGAGCATCTGCCAGAAGCCATCCAACAAATGAATGTTAGACTTGCCAAATGGCAATCCCTGAAGGTTCTGCCAGCTCACCTTGTTGATTCTCGTCATCAACGTCAAGAGGGGCGTCGGCCTTCACCCAGAGACAAAGAGTGCCGTCGGCATCCAAGTTGGGCTTGGTGAAAGTGTCGGGGGCAAGATGTCGAAGGCACACTTTGGCATCTCAGCTGATGACTGGCCCGATCGGGTTATACACGCACTTTTCCACCCCCAAAAGGGCGGCCCAATGAACCACAACCTCAGCTTTTCCCAAGCAGGGACCGCATCGCAATTCGCACGGGTTGTATGCCGAGCCAGCAACAACAACACACGGTCGGCTCCGCTTCTTCAAGAATGCTACAGTAAACAATTCGGGGTATGGCTCGACACGAAATTCGGGGCTCTGCGAGTGTTAGAAAGCGCCCGGTACGCCGTATGCCAGGAGTTTTGAAGACCCGGACTTGAGCGGCATGAAAACAAACACGCGACCGTCTTCTGTCAACAAAGTAGGCGCTCAAAAAGACAAGGACTCACAAGAAAGACGCCACAGGCGCCGCCAAGCTTCGGGTTTATCATCGAGACGGGCGCTTCCGAAGATTCAGGGACGGGTTTTTTTTTATCTGATAAGCCGGGATCTGGCTAGGATTCAAGTCCTTGTCCTTGTCCCACTTTTTCTGCCACACACCATGACCCAGCAGCCTCTCCGTACAGTCGTCGTTCTCGGCACCTCTTATGGTGGCCGCAATGCCTCCAAGCTGCTGGCTGATGGGCTACCGCCCAACTACCGCCTCATCGCCATCGACAGGAACACTCATTTCAATCGTACGTCGCCTTTCTGCACCACTACAGCGCGCTGACCACCAACCGCAGATGTTTATGCTTTCCCCCGCTACACTACCATGCCCCAGCATGCTCCTAAAGGTTTCATACCCTACAAATACATGCTCGATCCCCAGCCCCCAGCACCTTCGGATCCTCTCACACCGCCCCAGACACCGCCCGCTGAGGCCGCTAATCTTCCCGACGACCAGCAAAAACTCTCGGCTGCTCGATCTCGCCACCAGTTCATTCAGGCATGCGTCGTCAAACTCTCTGCTCACTCGGTGACCATCGTCCGACCTACGGGCGACGGAAAAGCTACCGAGGGACAAACCTCCAGGTCAAAGGGTAACATGACCTATGGCGAGTTTGACGGACCTGAAGAGACGATCCACTTTGACTATCTCCTATACGCGCTCGGAGCTACCCTCCCTGGCCCTGTCAATGTCTGGCAGACAGTTGACAAGGCTGCGGTCGGCGATGAGAGGCAATTGGGTACAAAGAAGTGTGGTCTGAGGTTCATGAAGCTCCAACATGACAAGTTTGAAAAGGCAGAGAGGATCCTGATCGTTGGTGGAGGTGCGCTCGGGATAGAGTATGCGGGAGATCTCAAGTATCTCTGGCCGGACAAGAAGATTACCCTGCTTCATTCAAGAACTCGGATGATGCCGAGGTATGACATTGAACTGCATCTTCAAGGTGAGACCTTTCTGTCGTTGGGTGGGATATGGCTGACGCTGTCGCATAGTCGTCGAACACCTGGCAAAACTTGGAGTTGAGATTGTCCTCGGTGAACGAGTCATGACATGGCCCGACGAACCCGAGATTTTGGATGGCAAGCCCAAGATTGTCACCACCGACAAGGGACGAACGTTCGAAGCCGACCTTGTGGTGAGTCGTCTCCTTGCCTTGTAATGATTCATGTTGACACCCTCGTAGCTCCCATGTACAGGTCAGAAAGCCCACGTATCCCTCATGGCTGAAGTGGATCCCTCCCTGATTTCTGTTACTACCGGCCGTATCCTCGTTCTCCCTACCCAGCAAGTCCACTCTGGGCCCATCCCTTCCTCTGCCATAGACTCCACCGCGGAGCAGCTCTCAAAGCTTAACTTCACCGCTCCTCTCACACCTCCATCCTCCGCAGCCTCCATTACTACAGGCAGTGCAGATGGCAGCACTGCACCAGACTATAGCCATATATTCGCCATCGGTGACTGCGCCGAGACCTCAGCCATTCAAGCTGGGCACACGGCCTACTGGATGGGCGAAGTCGCCGTTCGTAACATGATGCGTCTCATTGACAGAAGAGAGGGAGGCCCAAAGAAGGACGAAGTATTTGAGAATTACAAGCCAGGACCTCCGGCTATCAAGATAACTCTTGGTATTGTAAGTTGATCCTACCAGTCAGAGAGGAAAAGGTGCTGACGTTGGGTCTAGGTTGACGCGGTGATTGCGAATGGGGAAGGGGTGAAACCCAACAAGGAAGGAGTGGAGGATATGCACTCCATGGTCATGTGGCCGGGGCTCAATGCGGAGGGCTTGAACGTGATGGAATAGAAAGTCGAGTAATATCAGTCAACCAAAAGTAATAGATAAAGAAGGGTGTTATAGCTGGAATCGTATGTCATTTTCTAGGGACTGGACGTTTACATTAGTCAGTGGGACAATATAGGTAGTATGCTATGGATATATATGTATGTACAGTACACAGGTATCTGAGGCAGGCAATGTGACCTAGATTGCTGTTGATTGTGGCAGCCAAATATTCTGTTACGTAAGCAGTTCGCGCTACTCTCAGCCACAAGGGATAACGCGACGAACGCACCGGACAGCCCCTACAAGCCCCCACGCCCGACACCATGTCCGCCCCATCTGGCATCAAGGTGCCCGACACCATCCACCAGTCCTTCTCCAACGCCCTCGCCAACCCCGACACCGTCCGGGCAATCGTCTTCACCATCGAGGGCGAGTCATTCAAGCAGCACGCCACAGTCCAGCCCAAGGGATCGCACAAAGACGATATCGCGCTGGTACCTGCCACTCTGCCCAACCTCAAGACACCGGCGAGCTTTGCGTACCGACTCGATAGCAAAGATGCTGGGCGATATGAGTGGTTGATGGTCACCTATGTTCCCGATGATGCCGGCGTGAGTGGACTGTCGAAACACCAGAGGCCAAGCTGATGACTTGTAGGTCCGAGCCAAGATGCTGCAAGCATCATCGAGATCTGGTTTGATGAAGGCACTTGGGGCCAACAACTTCAAGCACGACTGGTTCGCGACCTCTGTTGTGAGTGCGCATCTATCTCCTCATGGTAAGACAAGCTAACCCGCTATAGAACGACCTGACTTCTCAAGGAATCCACTCTCACCTTGTCCACATCGCTTCCCCGCCTCCTCTGAGCGCCACCGAAAAGACTCTCGCCGAAATCCGTGAGGCCGAAGCCGTGGAAGCCAAGCGCGAAGCCCTCGACCCCGAAGCTGCCGCTCGGCGCAAGAAGGCCATCGTCGGTCTCGGAGGGCTGATGAGCTGGGGAGAAGGTGTGGGTGAAGCGCTTCAGAAGGTTTCGCAGAGGAGTGACCAAGGGTGGATCGTTACCCTAGTGAGTACTGGTGCCCAAAGGGAATTGGTCTAATATCAGGTCTAGGAAATCCCCGCATCGAACACTGCTGCCATTTCTCTGCTTCGATCTGAAGCTTGTGCCCCTTCAGAAGTCGCCTCAAAGCTTCCCCCTAAATCCCCATGCTACATATTCTACTCTCACCCCACGCCGGCCACCCAAGCTTCTCCCTTCCCCGCTAAGCCGTCGACCACGGCCGCTTCTGCTCGCAATACCTTCCAGGGATCTCAGGGCGGACTGAGGCCAGTCAATGCCTCTACTGTGGCCCCATCTGCAGAGGACGACCAGAAGAAGGAAGGCGAAGAATCTGACCAGACTTCTGCAAGCCCCGTTCAAGAGGTCACCGAAGAGGCGCCTAGCAAGGGAAGAGTCATCTTTGTCTATTGCTGTCCCTCGGGTAGCCCGGTCAAGTACAGAATGGTCTACTCTACATCAGTCAGGAGTGTGCGACAAGACGCGATCGACAAGGCCAACGTCGACATTGTTAGCAAGGTGCGTCCACAACCGTGTGTCAAGGGGCCGTTCTGACAACATGCAGCTCGAAACGTCTGACCCCTCCGAGCTCACCGAATCATACCTTAAATCATCCCTACCCTCCAACAAACCCACCCACTCCTCTTCCCTTCCTAATCCCGCTACCGCATCTAGCAACACCACGTCCGCTCCCTTTGGCAGTCCTGCTCGGGCAGGAGGTAACAGCGGTCATGCCTTTGGTGCGCCTGCTCCTCCTGGCATGTTTGGTCAGCCCCGGCCTATCCGCCCCACTGGCCCTATCCGGTCAGCAACCACGGCTTCACAGATCCCATTGCCTTCTTCGAACCCTAGCACTCCGACTGTAGAGAGCCAAGGCGAAGATAGCCAAGAGAGTATCAGGAAGGCATTTGATGCGTTTGGACCGAGGGTAGGCGCTGGTGGCGGGGGTGGATTTGCGAGGCCGAGACCTGCTGGGAGGAGGTAAATCTGCGAACGGAAGCGGGAGATGATGCAGCAGATGAGAAACTGTACTCGTAAGATAATGTCGAATAGATAACGATATATTTACCCAAGAAGTATTTCACGTGACATCCAGCCTATTCTTTTCGACCACATACGTGAGCATGTCTACCGGGTTTTCCTGTACACTCTTCAAAGGCATGGGTCCGACTAGTTTACATGGCGCCGTATTGGTTACAGTGGCGTAATTACGATCCAGGCGCCACATCACTTACCACAAATAACTCCGATTGATACAGAGTTCCTTTTCAGATACCACCCTTGCTTCTACAGCTTCCTACTAAAGGCCCAAAGCAGGATATTTGCCCATCCCGCCGAAAGTAACTGAAGTATGAACGATGAATGACAGATTATACGTAAGCCCGTCGGCGATGTCCGCAACCTGACGTCAAGGCAGCCAACGTGAAGCGACCTAGATATGTCAGCTTTTTTCAGCATCTACCTTCTCAAAGCACCCACCATGCCCTCGCAGCCCCCCAAGAATATCGCAATCGTTGGTGGTGGTATAGCTGGCGTATCTACCGCCTACTTTCTCGCTACACACCCCTTGCGCAACTCTTCGACTCGTATCACCCTCATCGAAGGCACAAAGATCGCAGCAGCGGCGAGCGGTTTCAGCGGGGGTTTCTTGGCAAAGGACTGGCATGGGAGCGCTACCTCAAGTCTGAGCGCTATGAGCTGGGACCTCCATGCGAAACTGGCAGAAGATTTCGGAGGAAAGGAGAAGTGGGGTTACAGGACGGTTGAGACATTGGTGAGTCACTGTCATACTGAACTTCTGCTGAGGCTAGCGTAACGCAGTCGATCGAGACGGATGCCACAAGCAAATCCAGAAAGCCTTCCCCTCTTCCCTGGCTTCCAAAAGGACTTGTACACTCTGCTCGTCCCATGGGTAGCCACTCAACGACAGCCCAAGTTACTCCTGGGCTGTTCACCCAGTTCTTCTCTGAGCAATTTCTTGCTCAGCCCGAGACTTCTTTGGTCATGGGTACTGTTCAGTCATTGACTACCGACCCCAAGAGCAACACGCCCAAGAGTCTGGTTATCGTCTCACCAGATGGCGACAAGTCTGAGCTTGAAGCCGATCTTGTCGTCATAGCCGCGGGCCCTTGGACCGGCCGTCTCGCCGAGCAACTGCTTGGTGAAAAGGTTGGCGGACGTTTGGGCGTACAAGGCTCAAGGGCTCACAGTATCATTTTGAAAACCAAGGAAGAGCTGTCGGCTACGTGCCTGTTTACCAGTATGACGATGGAAGATGGCTCGATGGGCGAGCCAGAGGTTTATGCTCGGCCAGATGGAACTACATACATGTAAGCCTCGTCGCTTAAGTCTATCGTGATGTCGCTGATGGATTTGACAGCTGCGGAGGCGGTGATGACGAGCCTCTTCCATCCTCCCCGGCTGACATATCTCCCTCCCGTTCGGCCATCTCCAAATTGCACAAGCAATCACAAGCTCTTTCTCCCATCTTCACTCCTGAACAAGGGGTTGAGATCGTATCCGAGCAGGCATGCTACCTACCGATAGCCGATAGAGGGCGACCTCTGGTGGGTAAGGTAAGGGGAGTGGAAGGGGTCTTTGTTGGTTCTGGGTGAGTGTTCCACGCGTGATAGTTCGCTGAGGAGTGCTAATGTGTCGGTCCAGTCTGAGCTGTTGGGGTATCACACAAGGTCCTGGTACGGGGAAGGTATTGGCAGAGCTGATACTAGAGGGCGAAGCCAAGTCTGCCGACATCTCTAAACTTGCTCCTTGAGCTGGCCTCTGAGCGATCTACAAAATGAAATCTCTTGTATATTTTGAAAGGATTGAAACCAATGTGTCATCGCAATCTTGTCAGGCTGTGATAGATAGTTAGCGTGACTTGCATGACATGTAAAGCCAATGCGCCTGTATTTGAGTTTCAGTGACTGACAAATGCATCGACAAGTAAATAGACCCCCTTTGACTCGTTGTTTTCGAGGAGGGTTATGCTACACCCGATGTTCTTTCGACTTGTGAGCAGATGGATGACTGAAGATCATGAGTCAGTTGACCATTCGCTATAGCTGATTTGTATACTACTCACCCTCAGAGACCCTCCACCAACAATATCAAGACTTGTCTTTCCACAGAGGATCATGGATGCAGACCTTCTTCCATTGAGACCTTTCTGGAACATCAGAGCGTTTGAGATGCTCATGTTCCACTTTTCAATCGATGGTTAGCTTTGATCTGGTGGTATGTGACTCGTTCACGACCAACCTTCTATCCTGTACAGAATCACCTAGACTGCTGTTCTGTTATGTACTCTCTTATAACACCGGTCGGTCCCCCCCCCCGTTCATTGCTCATACCATCTTTCCCCCGGCACCTGCCACCAATCCTGCGACACCCCTTGCCCCTTTCCCCAAGTCTCCCACGCGACCAGAGTTCTTGGATGCCAAAAGAGATATGACCAAGCAGGCGCCTACGAAAGCAGTGCTGTACAGTAGTCAGTCATCTCATGGATCGATGCTAGGGTACTTGAGAGATGTAGGGCTTACAACTTGTAGAATGTGATTCTGGAGGTGGCCCGTTCTTCCTCGGGTGTCCGGGATGAGGCAAAAATGGCTGGCAACCAGCTGTCAGCAGATGTATCGTATGTATCGGGTCTATCGTCCAGAGACTTACAACGCAAGTTTGGAAGGGCCATTTTGATTCTTTTCGGGATGAATACAGCTTTAATCACTAATGGGACGTGGGATGGAAATATGAAAGAGGAAATAAGCGGAGACTCCAGACTTGAAGAGCCAAAACAAATCGACCGCGGCCAAATCTCTGACCTTCATTCATTTACATTGCCTTCCACATCTTTGCTTCTACCACAAACAGCTGTTTACAATCCCAAACTCATGTTTAAAAAGCGCTCTAGACCTGCCTCTGTCCGCGACAAACCCCGGACCGAAGATGTAGAAGAAGGACAAGCTTCGGGCTCCGCCACTCCTGCCGGCGAGGACGAAGATAATGGGTACTTTCTCTTCTGACTCTCTAGTATTTGTGCTAACACGATGACAGCCACACAGTTGAAGAGCTGATACTACTTCGCAAACTGAAAAAGTCTCAAACACACCAAGGCATAGACCTCGAAAAGCTCAACCGCGGAGCCGACCCCGCCGACAGGGCGAAAGCTGCCAGGAGCAAAACGGAGCAAGACATCAAGGGGGCCGATGCGTATGGAATACAGAAGGGAGGATTAAGTGGTGGTGGTGGTGGAGATAAGGATGAGTGAGTCGCAAGTGCATCTTGCCAGACGTCCAGCTGATGAGAATAGCGATCTGGCGGATGAGACGGAGAAGGTGAAGAGGCTGGTCAGAGCCAACAACTTTACGGGGCAAACCAATGCTCTTGATGTGGATAAGCACATGTATGCTCTTTCGTAAACAGTGATATCACCATTGCTAAAATGCTGTCACAGGACTGCCTTTATAGAAAACGAGCTCGCCAAACGTCGCGGCCAAGCAGCCGCCACCACCTCCGAGAACCCCGAGCCGTACGACCCTCAAGCAGAGCTCTACAAGATTGCCGAAAAGTATCAACAGCTGGAGACGAGCAAGAAGAAGAAGGTGGACGATGATGAGGGGAATGTAACCAACAGTCTAGGAATGTTGACAAGTATACCAGAGGTGGATCTGGGAATGGAGTAAGTTAGTCGCTGATACCTAGACCTTGCTGACCAAGTCCAGTAATCGTCTAAGGAATATAGAAGAGACAGAAAAGGCAAAGAGGGCGATGATGGAGTTGCGAAAGCAAGAGGCTGCGGCGGCGGCAGCGGCGGCGAGGGAGGCGGAGGATCCGGGCTATGCAGCCGCAAGATGTGAGCCTCAAGTCCCAGCTTCGATCGATACTGACATGGATCCAGTCTATCGACCAAATCAAAGAGTAGCGTCAGACCTCTATACCTCCTCATCATTCGACAATAAGCCTCATGTCTCAAATCGACCGGAAACAGCCACAGACGAACAAGTGTACGAGAGGTTCAAGAAGAGGTGAGTTGCCCATATGTTATACGGGACGAGGCTGACCAGAGACAGAATGAAGAAGTAGATGTATCATTGTCACATCCCTCATGCATCCGGTGCATCATTGTCACTCGATCCTGAAAGTATACTACATGGCGAGGCGCTAACCGTGTACAGAGGGCGGTCAATAAATGTATGTGAAAGAATCGTATAAATGTCGCTTCAAAGTTCGTGTATAGCGCCCTATCCTACAATTCCTCATTGACATCCCCAACCATCGAGTGAATCGTACTCCTAGCACATGCTCCCTTCGCCCCGATGATCTCTCGATGTCACCTGTTCCTCAAGCACCGTCTGGCTTGGAAGATCTGCTCTCTGTCTGTGATACAGCGGCTGTGGGAGTGCCGACGGGGAGAGGAGAAGAGCTCGCGGAACCAGTACCAGACGCCTTGAGAGAAGCGGACCAGCCGCTGGGTGCCTGGTTGAGCGGATGAGAGGACGAGTTGCGCCTAGTGTCAGACTCGGCTGCCGGGTCATCGGATGTGGCATTGGGCGACAAAGCAGGCGAGTCTGAATCATCGTCATCGTCGGACGGCAGCTCGGAGGAGGTAGAGTTGGACGAGTCGCTCTTCATCTCGGTGGAGGTGTTGTTGGACAAGGCCATCTTCGTGGCGTTGGTGCAGTAATCTTCGGGGCGAACGATAAAGTTCTGGAGGTACGCAGAGGTGCGAAGTGAGTCGATGATTTGGAAGATGCTAGGACATGAGTATCAGGATTGTGAGTCTGTAGGGGCTGAGAGAGGACGTACAGGGAATCACCAGCATCTCCATTTACAGTCCACAACATGTTTTGATCGGTGAGGTTTTCGTACCTCTCCCTCCAAACCACACCTATGTTGCATCAGTGGAGCTTTTCGACAGTGAGTCTCAAACACCTACCGCTGTAATACCCTCCTACACCGATCTGTACTGTGAAAGGCGCCTACATCCAGAGTCAATGGCAACCCTCGACGCTCGAAAAGGACCCTTTCAACACGCAAGGGAAGAAGGCAAACTCACAGCATCGACATCCGTATCAACCCAGGACACGTTGACCACTTGGCCTTTACAGAAAGAGCTCGGATTGACTTTGAGGGAGTGGTCGTTCTCGGGTGCACCTGCTCGGCGCCAATCGGGAGAGACGATGGGAGTGGCTACAGTAGGGACGGAGGCGGTGAGAGCGAGGGTGAGGATGGCGTAGAGGGGTGCGAACATGTTGGATAGGAGGCGAGGTGCTCTTGCAGTGTATATGTGGCTGGAGATGAACCGCAGTACCAGCTGGGCAGGAAAGGTATTGAGCAAGAAAAAAAGGTGGAGAAGAGAATGAGAGATGGAGAGGTGGTATTTGTGCGTGTACGGCCTTGCCGGATGGCTTTTGCGTGGTGCGAACCCAACAATAATGCCACTGCAGCGGTGTAGCAATTATCCCCTCTGAGCTGGCGGGACAAAGCAGACTGAAGAGAGCCAAATATGCATGACAAGCATATACATGACAAGCATATACATGACAAGCATATACATGACAAGCATATGCATGACAAGCGTAGCCTGGACCAAAAGCGTGGCCATAGAGGATCTGGTGGATGAAAGTAAAATCACACGCGCGATAGACCTCGCTCGTCCCTGAGCTGGGAGATGCGCGCTGAAATGCGTCTTGCTCGGCAAATCTTCCTCTTCTTGTATCTAAACGTTTTTTATTCCCCATCTACATCAGCAGCCTCCCCATAGCATCCCCCGCCACCCTTCTCTATCCCACTGCCCATCCGGCCACAAAAACCTCTGCAAACCATGTCCGCCGGCTCCCACTCCTCCACTATCTCCTCACAAAATCACGGCATCTCCCTCGCAGCCTCATCTGCTACTCTCGTCGAGCCTTCCGAGAGCACCCCTCTCCTCCATGGATCTGAAAGCATCAAAGGCAATATAAGCCAAGAAGTCTACTCGGACTGTGAAGAAGAAGCAGAAGGACGAGAGGTCGATGTATATGTCCCAGGACAGGCGACCTTCAATCAGACTGTAAGTCGCATGAGGCTCTTGATAGTACAAACTGACGCTATTCTAGCTGCTTAATGTGCTTGGTGATCTGATTGGAACAGGGCTTCTGGCTTGCCCCATTGCCATCGCCCACGCTGGCTGGGTCTTTGGTCCTCTTATCCTCTGCGCCGTCTGTGGAATCACCCTATGGACGTAAGCGGGATCGTCTTTGATCTGAGGCCTTTGCTGACAAATGTACAAGACTCAAGATTCTGGTCAGGATCATTGAGAAGGATAGGTCGATGCGAAATTTCGCCGATGTCGCTCGATATGGCCTTGGGCCAAGGTCGGAAAAGTGGATCGCTGCGCTGTTCATCTCGGACTGCTGTATATGGATGTGCGTCGGCTCTTAGCTTGAATTGGTTACTTTGCTGACATACGCGCTTAGGGTCGCACTCATTGTGCTCTTTTCCGACTCTTTCGAGGTGGTCTTGCCTATGTTGAGCAGTAATCAGTGGAAGGTTGTTGGTCTTGCTGTGTACGTTACAAACGCTCTTTCATGATTGCATACATCTGACACCACCTTAGCATCGTTCCCCTTAATTTCATCCCCCTTCGATACCTTTCCTGGACTTCTGCCTTGGGTATCATCTCCACATGGACCCTCGTCGCCATCCTCATCTTCACTGGCCTCGCCACCCCGACCTCCCCCGGCTCCATCTGGCACCCTGCTCCCACCGACCTCTGGCCCGTCCACGGCCCTGTCAAGTTCGGCCTCTCGTTTGGTCTGCTCATCTCGGGCTTTGGAGGGCATTTCTTGGTACCGAATCTGATCAGGGACATGAAACACCCAGAACAGGGAGAGAGGGTGTGCGAGGTGGGCTATGGAATCTGCATCGTGGTGTATGCGTTGGTCAGTGTGTTTGGATATTTGATGTTTGGGAGGGATGTGTCGGACGAGGTGAGTCTCTCCAAGCTGTTGAGGATTCTAGCTCACTGTGTAACAGATCAGCAGGGATTTGGCCAAGACTAGTGCTTTCTCGCCACTTATGGCGTCGATTGCAGTCTGGATGGTGGCTATCAATCCTCTCACCAAGATTCCTCTCGGTCTGCGACCTGTCAGTCCACAACACAACAGTCCCGGCCCCGCTAACGAATGCCACAGCTCACTGACGTCGTGTACTCCTTTTTCAACCTCCAGCCTACCATTTTCGTACCCAAGGCGCATTCCTCTAGCGCCTCTCCCACCATCCCCAAGCCCAACCCCAATGACCTGCCATCTTCTCCCTCGTCTAGTGTTTCCTCCACTGCCACTCTTGAAGACCCTCACTACCTGCACGCTCTCTCCAATGCGCAGAGGCATCACGACCGCCGCGAAACACTCAAATCAGTGTTCCGCGCCCTCGTTGCCATCTGTCTGCTCGCCTTCTTTGTCGCCGGCGCCTTGGTCTTCCCATCGTTTGAGACTCTGCTCTCCATCATGGGCGGGGGTATGTCGGTAGTGACGAGTATTCTGATACCGATTGCGGCTGGCGCAAACCTTTGGGGATGGTCTTGGTATTCGAGGAGTCTGTTTGGGATCTCGAGTGTGGTGTGCGTGATTGGGTTGCTTTGCGCTTTGTTAAACAACCAATCATGACTGTTGCTGGGCTGGAGATTTTTAGATAAGTAGATGGATGGGGATAGAGTGATAGATCACGACATCTACAAGTATTTGTAACATAGAATTCTTCTCCTAAATTGCTTTGCCTGTTTTGGTTCGGCACAAGCTATAAAATGTTTATACTACCGTCTGACTCTTGGCGAATCGGCTTGTCTCTATACTGGCCCAATACTATCTGTTGTAGTCCTACGCATGCAATCTGCAGCTTCTGTCTTACTTTACTTTGAAACTGAACGACGCCGATTCACTTTACGTAATGTAAAGCGGCGATCACCGCTAGCCAGAACTTCATCTTACCTTTCGGAATTTCTGATGGGCGCAAATAATCCGCCCCACCTCTTTCCCTCTCTTCCGTCCATCTCCCTCTTACCTCTCCCAAAAGCACATCCAATCACATCTCCAAAATGGCCTCCGCTGCTACTGAGCCTGCTACCCAGGGTCTCCCCCCCGTGGGCGAGATGACCAGCCGTGACTAGTGAGTCTACATTGACAGCTTTTGTTGATGTCCTCAGCCAGGCCGAATGCTAACCACCACCTCTTTATAGCTACGCTGACAGGTGAGGAACATTCAAAGTGATGCAAGTGCAGCCGAGGAAGACATACTGACGTTGATATAAAATTATCTTCTATAGTTACGCTCACTTTGGTACGTCTTGTTGACACTTGCTATGAGATAGTACTGACATCCTCCGTGTAGGTATCCACGAGGAAATGCTCAAGGACTCTGTGCGAACTCTGTCTTACCGAAACGCCATCATGCAAAACCCCCATCTCTTCAAGGACAAGGTCGTCCTCGATGTACGTCCCGATCACCCAAGATGGTCTCGTTTGAATGCAGAATGCTGATCCCATGCGACAGGTTGGTTGCGGAACTGGTATCCTCTCCATGTTTGCCTCCAAGGCTGGCGCCAAGCTTGTCATTGGTATCGACATGTCCAACATCCTTGACCAGGCTGAGAAGATTGTCAGGACCAACGGTTTCACCGAGGACCGTACGTGGAGCTTTCAATAAAGTGACTGTGAAGTCGAGACTGACAATTGAACAGAGATTGTGCTCTGCAAGGGCAAGCTGGAAGACGTTGAGCTCCCCGTCAAGGAGGTCGACATCATCATCTCTGAGGTAAGCCTGTTATTTCCCCACATGAACTCCAACCAACAACCATCTGCAGTGGATGGGTTACTTCCTCCTCTACGAATCTATGCTCGACACTGTCCTCCTTGCCCGAGACAAGTACCTCGCCAAGGACGGTCTCTTGTTCCCTGACAAGGCCACCATCTTCTTGGCTGCCATTGAGGACCAGGACTACAAGGAGGAGAAGATCGACTGTAAGTTATTCTTGCACTCTCGAAACTCCGTGCTCATGCTAGCGACAGACTGGAACGATGTCTATGGCTTTGACTACTCTTGCATCAAGGAGATTGCGCTCAAGGAGCCTCTCGTTGACTGTGTCGAGCTCCGATCGGTGGTCACCAACCCCTGCGCGATCAGGCATATCGACATCAAGACTGTGACCAAGGAGGAATTGACTTTCAACGTACCTTTCAAGCTCAAGGCTACCCGAAACGACTGTACGTCTGGCTCGTCGATGGATAACATAGCATAACTGACATTCTCTAGACGTCCACGCCTTCCTCGGCTGGTTCGACATCTCCTTCTCTTGCTGCCACAAGCCCGTCAACTTTTCCACCGGTCCCCAAGCCAAGTACACCCACTGGAAGCAGACCGTCTTCTACACCCCCAAAACCCTCACCGTCTCCGAGGGCGACACCATCGAGGGTACTCTGTCATGTGCGCCCAACGGCAGAAACCCTAGGGACTTGGACATCATCGTGGACTACGAGGTTGTCGGTGAGGAGGGAGAGAAGGGAAGGATGGAGTACAAGATGTGAGTCTGGCTCCTTTGATACCACGGGAGAATGCTGATTCCTGACCATAGGTCATAATTTCTTTCCTATTGTACTATCCTTTGCATATACAGGTACTAGAACCACAATCTCTTGGTCATCTCTTCAGCTGTGTACATTATATACTAAATGCATTAGTAAAACTTCTATATGCATGATTCGTCATCAACTATGATACAAGTATCTTCTGTCCGTATCACATCTAAGCACCAATCCTCTTTCTCTCTCCCCACGCCTCATCGACTCTATTCAGTTCTCCCTGTATACTCCTGACGCCCTCCTTCCTCTCCTTCCTCGCCACATCCCAGCCCCCCTGGATGTTGACCCCATCCAACTCTAACAGCGCCTTCAGCAGCAACTCGCTCAACCTCGCATGCTCCTTTTGCAACACTTCAAACGCCGGGATCTTGGCAGGACGGTTGGTGACGTGGGGAGAAGTGTAAGAGATGAAAGTGGCGATGGAAGGTTTCAGAGGGTCTAGGAGGTTTGAGACCAGGGATTCGATCCAGTCGACCAAGACGGGTTCAGAGTCTGTCTCGGGCTGCTTGGGCTTTTTGGCGACGGGAGCAGCTTGCTTGGGAGCAGATGAAGCAGGGGCAGGGATGTCCCCGCCCTTTCCGATGAGCACCAGGTTGGCCCCTTCTGTGATGCCATATGCCGACACGGTCAAAGACGTGTCCTTCAGCACCGCTCCTTTGTGCACCAACTTTAGCTGGTTGACTGGAAGACCTGTCTGGTTGGAGAGGGTGGCAAGGAGGGTGGCTAGGGGGGTGATGGAAGGTTGAGGGATGGGAATGTTGAAGCTGAAATGATGTCAATGTTGATTCATCGCACGTTTGATGTGCAAAAGGCCAAAGAGCGCCAAAGAACGTACCGATCACGCCCCCATTTCACCTGCACAGTGATGGCGCCCTGGGCAGCCTCTGCCTGGGCGCGTCGGAAGGGGTTGAAGAAGGACACGGTGGCGGCTTTTGCGAGGACTTGGGGCAAGACTGTGAGGGGTCAGGATTGGACTAGTTGACACACGCGAGGGACGTACAAAGCAGGGATATGAGTGGAGACAGCAGCTTGGCAGGTGTTGCGCTGTGAGGGATAGCAGGGTAGTTGTTGAGAGATGCGGTGGGATATAGTTGAAATAGAAACCAAATAGAAAGTGGCCGATGCAAGAGGAGATGGGCGGCCGCGGGGGGCTTGCGGGAGCAGATATTATATCCTGCAGGATTTTCCGCGCATTAATCCCAGGCGGCCTGCGAATCAGCTCCTGCTCTTTCCGATGCTTTCTTTTGGCTCTTTTGGCTCTTTTGGCATCATCCACCGCTCAAAAACAATGCTCGCCTCTGCCTCCCGCTCCCTCCTCAGGGCCCGCCCCCTCGTCGCCACCCCCCTCCGCCCCCAGGCCTTCACCGGTACGTGCTACAATCTCACTCCGCCCGACCACTGTCCCTCGGTCTGTGTGACTGACATCTGTTACTCTAGCCGTCCGATACTCCTCCGGACACGCCGAAGAAACCTTCGAGGCCTTCAACGCCCGATACGAAACCTTCTTCAAGTCTGTCACCGACCTCTTTGAACTCCAGCGTGGTCTCAACAACGCTTTCGCCTACGACCTTGTGCCCTCTACCGAGGTCATCTCTGCCGCTCTCCAAGCGAGCAGGAAGGTCAACGACTATGCTACTGCTGTGAGGATCTTGGAGGGTGTCAAGGAGAAGGTCGAGAACGTTGGACAATACAAGGCGTACTTGGCGGAGCTTGAACCTACAATCAAGGAGCTCGGTGAGTGCAAATGGTTCGAGATGGGTGAGGTCCGTGCTAATGCAGTCGGCAGGTATCGTGACCTCCGAGGGATTGTACAACCAGACTCTTTAGATGGGGTTGTAATCTTTATGGGTATTTCGGGATGCAAAACCTGTTAGGCTTGTCGGCGCGTCTGTCGTCTGCTGTGGCAGAGCCAGGGAGGATTGTGGAGTGGGAGTGTTCTCAGAACCACGCAAAGATCGGGGACATTTCAACAAGACTGATTCTGGATTCATATCGCGACATGACAACAACGCTATTCGTGATTCGACGCGCTCTCCCGGCCTACGCATTCCTCAAACTCAAGCAATGTGCGGCTGTTCATCGAGCTTTTGCGCCAGTGGCTTAGTGGCCGCCGCCTATGGATCAACATCAGCAGTGCCCAAACAATGGATGCGAAAAGGACGAACAGCAAGCACCTTCAGGCTTCTCGCAGCTCTGGGGCTCCTCAGGTTGGTCCTCGGCGGGCTTCTCCTGGGTCTCATGGGCGGGGGCCTCGGGGGCAGGAGGAGCTTCAGTGAGCTGGATGGGGACGGGGGTCTCGTCGATCTTCTGGGCTATGGTCGAAACACTTAGCTCTTTCTAGACAACTCGACTCGCAGACGGCTCACTGTTGTCAGACATCTTGCTTATTGGGTTGATTGTTTGGCTTGGTTGGTCTTGTAGAAAGAGTGAATTCAAGTCGTTGGTGGGGATTCTCAGTCTCGATATTTCCAGCACCTTATATACCCATTGCGCTCAGTCCCCCATGACCGCTCAGCCCTCGCAGACTCGCGCGGCACACTCGCCGCATTCACCTCAAACAGTGACATCAACGACTGACTCGCCTCTACTCCCTTCAATGTGGGTGATCCAACGAGAAGGAAGGCAACGCGAGTCTATCCCTTCTGTTGATCCTTTGTCCTGGTGGCGCATCGACAATCCCCCTTCCTTGTGAGTCCAAGGATGAGTCGTGTGCCGTGCTTTGTCGGACGATCGACTCGATGCGTGGTGGCGCCGCTGGTCTGGTCATTCGGGTGGGGCTGAGGGGAGGTGTGTTGTACGTAAGGAGCATCCTTGTCGGCAGAGGGTTTGCTTATCACTCATCGGAGGCATGCAAGGATCAGTGCGTTACTGAGGTCAACCGTAGAGCACCATCGACAGATCGGTAAAGGAACCGCTGATCTCAATCAAAATGAACGTTCATCTGTGGTCATCTGTGGGGTCGTGACAGGATGTGTCCCTCGACACTTGTTTCTACCTTTACGTCTGCCCATGCACCATAGCCCTAATTGTGTGCAGCATGCTGTTGGTATCATCCTTTATCGGCTGGTCAACAACCCTTCAAATGGCGTGGGTTGTTCTTCTCCGGCAATCTCGAATGATTTGCCATATTCCCCGGATAGCCATAGTGAGTTTGATTGAGATTTCCCTTTCTCGTAAGCCTCGAGGGGAGCGTAAGAGTTGTAGGATTGTCTCGCTGATTTGGAGGCGATGCCTTTGCAAGGCGCATGTTTGCGGCTCGTGGCTGTATACTTTGGCTCCAGGCCCGTGACAAGCTAACCAGCTGTTCTACCGACCAAGATCAGATACATCGACGGCCAGGTGAGGTGATGAGCAAGAGAGCCAGATCGTTGTCTCCGTTTATTCCATTACATACAACAAGCCAAAGGTCATGGTAGAAAACAGCTATGCGACCCTATACAGTCAGAAAGCCTTCCACCACCAGTACAAGCATGTTTTCCCATCCCACTTCTTTGCTTGAAAGCTCGATCAACATTTTTCTCTTTCGCTTGAGCAATGGCCGACATCTCCCACGCCTTGTTCCTCTCCAGGGCATACTGTAGCTTACCTAGCTCTCCCTTCTCATAATGATTGGTCTTGAAAGGTTTCCGAGCTTCCAAGTCTTTGATTGCCTTGGCGACTGTCTTGCCCTGCAGCTTCATCATCCGGTCAAAGTATCCCTGGAATGAGGGTGAAAATTTGATCAATGTTTCTGTTGGCGTTATCGTATGAGCAGCTGTTGACAGAAATGCCTTGCCTTGACGCGGCGCAAGGGCGGAACACGCCAAAAGAAACCGACGTTTACGACTCACAACAAGAGATGAAGCCGCCTGGAAGCAATCTGTGTGCATGGGCTTATTATTATGGAAGATAACTATGCAAGAGACCGTAACTCTTTCGTCTATCCAGTCTCTTTCTCATTTTAGATTGAATCATCATCCTTACAACAACGCCTTTAGTCGATGTTGCTTCCACCACAGCACCCGAGGAAACCTCCAGACTTCTTCTTCTTCTGCGCAGATTTGGTACCGGCAGGCTTGTCGGCAGTGGTAGCAGCAGCGCCTGCGGCGGGCTTGCTCTCGCCGGGCTTCTCAGCGGGAGTGGCTGTAGAGCCGGTAGTGCCATCCACGGGCTTCTCGGTGGAAGCTGCAGTAGCGCCGGTGGTACCATCAACAGGCTTGCTCTCGGGGGTGACGGCCTTGTCTCCAGTCACGGGGGCGGTGGTAGAGTCGGTCACGGGAGTCTCAGAGTTGGTGTTCTTGGAGGCGACGGCAGCGGCTCCAGCAGCCCCAGCACCGGTGACTCCGGCAGCACCGACGGCAGGAGCAGCAGAGCTCTCGCCTTCCTTCGTAGCGGGGACTTCACTAGCGGGCTCAGTGGAAGTGGTGCCAGCAGCGATAGGGGCAGAGTTGCCGGCGGCGCTAGATTTATACGTCAGCCTTGCACACTTGATGACAATCAGACGTACGTGATGGCGTTCTTTCCCTTCACAAAAGTACCGACGAAAGTCGCAAAGTACTGTCGGCTATCAGCAACTGTATGATTTTAGGAGGCATGGAACGTACGCTGCCTTGGTGGGCGGCCACCTTCAAGTCGTTGGCAGTGGGCTGGAGATGGCCATCGGCAGCAGCGACAGTGCTATAAGAGCAAGGTCAGTACACGCAGAAGCCAATCTGTCTTGTAGCGTACCTGGCACCGTACGGTGAGCCTAGAAGCAAAGTCAGCTTGAAACATGATCGGGACGTCGCTCATGACTCACCGCCTTGGACTTGGTCGACGTTACCGACAGAAGGGTCGGTGTACCCGATGGGAACGTAGGCGACTATGGGATACGATCAGTATAGTAGCCATGGGCGTCTTGTTTGAGGATACATACGACCGTCTGCAGATCATTAGCACGTCTCTGTAATCTGGTCAACAAATAGCTTACGGTGGGCAAAAAAGGGGAAGGTGGTAATGTGAGTACTCTATAGTCTTGTCAATCTTGTTTCTCGTCACGTTGAACAGTCTACAGACCTCCTGACCAGAGTGTTGCCCAGCAGTGGAGGTGAATGTGCCAACAAACTTTCCTACGAGAGCACCGGTAGCCCAGAGACCGCCGGTCTGGTCGAAGAAGGCATCGACCTGAGCGGGGAGACGGCCGTACCTTCAAAACCGCATCAGCTTGAGGCCAGTACCTTGCAAGAGATCAATCACCTGGTGGGGGCACCGAGCAAGAAACCGTCCAGCTCTTTGAGGTCGTTGGGTGTGATGACAGGGTACTTAGGCTTCAAGGAAGAGCCAGCGTGCATCTGCAATGCAGTCATCAGGATTGCCCTTCTATACCAGCCTCAAACGCCTCACCTTGCCCAAGATGGTCTCTGACAAAGTCTCCTGACTACAGAGCTGGTCAGTGTCCAAACATGCTCATTGCGGAAAGCCTCGGCTCACATGACATAGGGCTTGACGATGGCGCCAGCAGCCTCGGCACCCTTGATAACTTCCTCAGCGAGGGCGGCGACGTGGCCAAAGGTCGAGTAGAATACGACACCGATTACGGGCTGGACGGTCCTGGAAGATGGGTCAATATTGATGTCAACAAATCGACCCGCGCGCGTCGATTCCGCGATCTTGCGCGGGTGAGTTCTATGGGAGAGGCACTCACATGATGCTGCAAGATGTGCGTGTATTTGATGGAAAAGGAAGAAGAAGAGTTGGAAAGAGAACGCTCGGAGGCCCGGAATGGGAGTCACGCTGACTTGACTGCTGAGAATGCTGACGAAAGAACCCAGGCCCAGGCACAGTTCGCCCAAAGAGGAAGCTCACTCGCGACGGCGAGGGCCGCATGCAAGGTGTTCCGAGGCCATCAAGCCAGCGAAGCAGATGTGAACGAAGAATCATTTATCGCGCGCTTCTTCGTCGGCAGTGCATCTCGACAACCATATACCCACAAATACACCACCATGTCTCCGCCTCTCGTCACCATCTACGTGCGTGGTCCACCCTTGTCATCCACGCTTCGACTGACATGCTATCCCCTTTGTCTACCGCGATAGACTACCAGCCTGACTTCTGCCCCTACTGTCAGAAAGCATCATGACCTACTCAGAAGGTATATCATTTTGTTTCGAAAGGGTTTGGGACCCTGGCTGACTAGCTGTAGCTCTCTCAAGGGATGGGAGATCAAATATGTCGTATGCTCGGACACTTAAGACTTTGGTTTCTAAATACTACTGACTTAGGCGTAGGAACACGACCTGGTGATGGAAGAAGACGCCAAGCGAAGGTGGCAACGAGCAAAGCCCACAGGCAAAGTCATCGGTCTCCCTGGCTATCTGGTGGGAGGCGAGTGGATTGGGGTGAGTAGTAGCATTGTCCCCTTGCTCAGGCCCTACGGCTAACAATTTGCGCTAGACAATGGATGATTTCGAAGACGCCGTTGAGACCCAATCTCTTGTTCAGTTTCTCAAACAAGACCTCGACATTCCCGACGAACCTGCCCCCGCCTCTGGCGCTGCCCCCGGCACGGCGCCCAAGCAAAAGTCTATACAAGAGGTCGAGCTCGAGAAGCTCATGGGCGAGATGACGAACGATGATCTTGACAAACTCATGCAGGATCTCGACGTGGGGGAGGATGCTGGAACGATGGGTCTGAGGCACCAGGTCCAGGCGGAGGCGAAAAAGTCAGAGGAGGCCAAGCCCGAAAAGGAGGAGGAGAAGCTGGAGAGGCGGCCAGAAGAAGAGGAGAAGCCACTTGAGGCCAAGAAGGGGGAAACGGAGGAAAAGGAGACGAACCGCTTGGCTATCGAGTCTACTCGAAAGGCTGATCCCAAGCAAGTCTCGAGCGGAAAGTCTGGTTATTCCTTGGAAGGCATAATTGTCGACGCCATTACCGGCAAAGAGACGGCAGGCTTGAGCGTGAAGCCTGCCGAGGAGCATGAGGAAGACGATAAAGAAGACCCAGCTCCATTGACTACAAAAGACGTGGAGAGTGTCGGCACGACCAGGGGTGAGGGGAGGCGTACTGTGGTGGATGAGATCAAGGAGGCGAATGAGTTGGAAGACAAGGAAGAGGCGGATATCACCGTGGCGAAGTCAAAGTCAGAGTAGATATATGGGGAAAATGTTGTAGATAGATCATGTACTATAGTCGTATTCAGGTGGAAGGGTCCGTATGGGTTTCAAGACTCTTGCTCCAGCGGCCTTGCTCCAGCGCAAGAGCTTTTGACGCTCCATTGTTCAGTCGACAGGAACCCTGCAGCTGGAAGGAGTATTCCAATGCTTTGAGATGTTTCTCAAGCATCCTGGGCTGATACATCCATTGGTTGAGTGACGACTCCCGCGAGAGGCGCGAGAGTGACATTACCCGAACGGAAGCAAAATTTCGCTCACTGTTACTGTTCTCGACTAGATACTGCACTCGCTTTAGCCACACACCGACTCGAGCCCAGAAGAGGGCGCGTATGATCACTGCAGCACAGAGACTGCCAACATTCAACCACACCCTTAGGAGGCGCGTACTCGCCATCCTTGCAGACTTGTGCTGACTATTGCCGTAGAGCAGCCATGTCCAGCACCCCCATCCTCCAGTGCCAGGACTGGGCCTCCATCAGAATCACCCCATCCTCGTCGTCACAACACCCCCTCGACAGCCCCCAGTTCTCCATCCCGCCCTCTATCCTCCCGCACCTCGAACAAGCATCCAAGCACCTTCACGCCTCACAAACCGTGGCCGTGCCCACCGAGACAGTGTATGGGCTCGCAGCATCATCACTAGACCCCGAAGCGTGTCAGCGGATATACAAGATCAAGAACCGCCCATCCGACAACCCGTTGATCATACATGTCTCTTCCCTCGACATGCTCCGGCGTGTCCTTCCTCCAGGATATGTCTTTTCGCCACTCTATCTTGCGCTTCTGAGTGCATTCTGGCCAGGACCATTATCTCTCTTGTTCCCCTCCTTTGCTCCTCCTCCGCCCCCAGCACCCCAGACGAATGCTATCCGTATGCCCTCCCATCCCCTCGCCCTCGCCCTCATCGCCCACTCCAACCTGCCCCTCTCTGCCCCTTCAGCCAACTCTTCCGGCCGGCCGAGCCCCACCCGTGCAGAACACGTCTACAACGACCTCAACGGTGCGCAAGGTCTGGGGTGTATAATAGACGGAGGGGACTGTGGGGTCGGGGTCGAGTCGACCGTCGTCAATGGGCTGGAGTGGAAGCAAGGTGGGGGAGGGAGGGTGGATATACTGAGACCCGGGGGTTTGGGGGTGGAGGAAATCAAGCGGATAGTGGATGAGGTCGACGGACAAGAAGGCAAAACTGAAATCCTGGTGCATGGAAAGCCATGGCGGAAGGCAACTCTGCGGGAACCTCCAAAGCCCGTGTTGCCTCTTGGCGCGCTGGCTGACAAGATTGTCCTACCTCCTTCGACCCCAGGAATGAAATACCGCCATTACTCTCCCCGAGTACCCGTATTCCTCGTCAAGCCGTCCAACACCTTCCCCCGCCCCTCAGGCGTTTCTCCAGAGACTCCGTCGCATCCTTTATTCGTCCTACAGCAGATCGCTCAACGGATATCTCCTAAAGGCGCAAAGAAGCGGATGGGCATACTTCATTTCGAAGATTCGCCTTTCATCACTCAGCTCATGAGTTTGCCACGGGATGTGGAGCTCATTGCCGTCTCGCTCGGTCCCTCAGCGGCCACAGCAGCTCAACGTCTTTTCGCGGGCATGCTCACCCTTGAGAGCGTTCCTTCTCCTTCCTCGGCTTCAGACGAGAAGGGAGGGGTCGATGCTATCATTATCGAAGGCTGCTCCGATGAAGGTCTGGGGCTGGCAGTGATGGAAAGAGTTGGCAAGGCGGTGGGAGGGGGAGGGTTACTGGGAGATGTGGCGAAGGATGATGGGAAGGTTGTGGGGAGTGGGAATACGTTTTGGGTTGATGTTGTAGAGATATGAGTGCGTGAGGATGGGGGTCATGCATGGTTGTATGATAATCAGCTCATTGGGCTCCTTCCCTCGAGCCCCTCAGGTTTAAATCTGTCCAGGATTGATAGGGCGTAATCAATCGCGTGAGGCCCAGAATAGGGACATCCCATAGACTCTTACGGACCTGCTATATTAGACGCCTCACCATTGGTGGAACCAAACAAGACGACTGATATCGGCGATGACCGGCGGCCGGTGGTGACGATGGATCGCGTTCCCATTCCTGTCCCATTCTCATCCACTCAACTCTTTCTCATCGCTAGACAACCATTCTATGCTCCAGTCCCCCTCTCCTCTGAGAAGACTCATAGGTCAGATACACACGCCGCTAATCCGAAGAGCCGCCATGTCCACAGCCACCAAGACCAAGATCGCCGTCGCTCAAATCCGATCTACCGGTGACCCTGTAGCCAACCTTCGCAGGTCTGAAAACGTCATCCGTAGTGCTGTGAAAGAGGGTGCCAAGGTTAGATCCCCTTATTGATAACTCGAAGGACGGCGGCTGACTGCAACGGTTCAGGCAATCTTCTTACCCGAAGCGTCCGACTTTATCCACCCCGACAAAACTCACTCCAGGACACTGTCCCAGCCACTGGCGGAGCACACTTTCACCTTGAACCTTCAGAAGATCGCCAAGGACCTTGGTGTGGTTATCTCTGTGGGAGTGCATGAAGGCCCAGAGGATGAGAGCGAGCAAAGAGTGTACAACACGCATGTGCTTATTGGGACCGAGGGCGAGCTGTTGGCGAGGTATCGCAAAGTGCGTTATTCTTGACCACCAAATATCTCGAGTATTGACAAGGATGCGATAGGTACACTTGTTCGATGTAGAGTTGAAGAAGGCCCCAGGGCCGGATGGGACTGAACAGCCGCCCCAGCGAGTCGGCGAGTCGGAACGTATCTTGCGAGGCGAGTCTATCACTCCTCCTGTCCAGGTAGAGGGACTAGGGAAGATTGGACTGGAGATATGCTACGATATCAGGTAAGAAACGACCTGCTTCTGGCCGATGGCAGCTGACATGGTCGCAGATTCCCAGAGGTATCTATCATCTTGACGAGGCTTGGAGCTCAGATTCTTCTCTTCCCCTCTGCATTCACGATCAAAACTGGGCGAGATCACTGGCACACTCTCTGTGTAAGACTAAGCTCCTCGCACAATACCTAGACGCTGACGACGTTCACAGAAAGCAACTGCTATACAATACCAAACATATCTCATTGCCTCCGCCCAATACGGAGCGCACAACGAGGGCCGGACTTCTTGGGGCGAGACTGTCGCCTTTTCTCCATGGGGTGAGCAGCTAGGAAAACTAAGGAGCGTCGACGATACGCCCCCACCCCAGAAAGGCGAACAGGGTGATCAGGAGGTGGAGCAGTTATATGAAGAAAGCGGAGAATACTTTATCACGGAAATTGCGCTAGACAAGGTGGAGGAGGTGAGGAAGCAGCTGCCTTTGGCCATTCAAAAGAGGGCAGATGTTTATGGGGTCGTGGGGGAGCATGCCAAGATCGATTGAGATGATGCTAATGTACATCATGTAAATGCGAAAATGCTATTGTTACACTTGTTGCTTGGGGTTACTCAAAGCCTGTATTCTTCGCCTAGCCGCTTGACTCTCCCTTCTGATTTGCCTTTACTACTGAGGACATCCCCAGCCCTTATCCAGGGCCATAGTATATGTGACACACGGGCAGTGACCAGGCCGAGAGGTATCTTCACCATGTCAGCGGGTCATGATTTTTGTGGGGCCGAAGAAACGTACAGGGCCATATGTGTTCGAGTCTCTAGTCTGATACTTTGAATCGCCTTCGACCCAGCAGTGCCCTGGCGGTATACGAACAGGCGTAGGTGGTAATGGTGGTAATGGTGCAACCTGTCGTCAGACATGAGCGCTGTAAACAGTATCACGAGTGTATGTGATGACTTGCAAGGTCTCCTTCTAGTGCTACTATCCGCTTCGTCGTCAAGAGCTCTGGGTTTTGAGGTGACCTTTCTCTTGCATAAGCCTTGGATTCAGTATAGGTTCGGATGGGACGTACCACAAAGTTACAACATCACCTCTCTGGTATCTGTGCATAGCTACAGACCACCGTTCCAGGAGCACAACATCCTTATCAAGCGGTTTTGACGACAATTCTGGGTTGAATGTCGGCTGTGTACCCTCAGCTCGGGCGAGATGCCGTATATGCAGATGGGCTTACCTGCATGCTTCCTCCGCTTACAGTGGCTAATGAATACACATGCCTGGTAAAGAATACTCCTACAGGTACCCAAGCTAGCAGCCGACTTTCCATCCAACGAGTCAGTTTCATTGTGGACGGGCGCCGAACGAGCAAGAGGCAGACTCACACGGCATCGCGAGCAGCCTTGGTCTTGAAGAAATGTCTCGCCTGAGACATCGGTTCGCAGGTTGAGAGTTAATGGCAGTATGCTATGGGTACTCCGGGGGTCCGACGGTGAACGTTTGACTCTATCAGGTAGGACAAACAGCCCATGATACCTGTTTTGAAAGAGAAGATGGACAGTTGCTTACGTCACGTGACCTCGCGTACAAGGAAATGTCGAGCAACGGCTTTCCGTTGTGCCGTACATGTACGCTTTCTTCCATCTCCCTACAATTCCTCTTTTCCTTCATATCCCTTAGACGGAATCATACAATAGACAATGGTCAAGTGCACTGGCTGTCAAGAAAAGGAGGCCTCCAGGATGGAGTGCCCCACCTGCAAGAAGTGAGTCCAAGGAAAAATTGGAAGTGCGAGGGGTCAGAGGGGGGCGTGAGTGAGGGATGATGGTGATGAGCAGGTGGCAAAGAGCTAACGGCTTAAAGACTTGGAATCACCGGGTCCTTCTTCTGTGACCAGGACTGCTTCAAGAAGAGCTGTGAGTTTGTCGCCTCTCGTATAGTACTCTGCTTAGATCTGGGCTGATTAATACTCGCAGGGGTATGCCTTCATTACCAGAATTGAGCAGATAGCAATACTGACTCACTCGCAGGGAACGCACAAGACAATCCACAGCTTTGTCCAGATGGCTACCCAGCACGAAGAGGATAGTGCATCTTTTTGTCTATTTGGTCCCACTACAGAAAACTTACGTATGATCACAGAGGCTACCACTCTCCCTCCCAACATGCGAAACTACAAATTCACCGGTCCTCTCCGACCCGTTTACCCCCTTTCGAAGAAGCGGGAAGTGCCTGCTCATATCCCTCGACCAGACTATGCCGACCACCGTGAGTCTACTTTACTAAGCGCCTGGCAGAAGTGGGATAGCTGATGAAGGTTGATTTGTAGCCCAGGGAATGTCACTTAGCGAGGCTGTCAGGGAAAGAACTGCCAAGATTTTGACCAAGGAGGAACAAGATGGTGTTCGTAAAGTCTGCCGCGTACGTCCCTTGTCGATCCTACCGTGTCGCAAGCTCACTCGCGCCACAGCTTGCCCGAGAGGTCCTCGACATTGTCGCCGCTGCCGTCAAGCCGGGAGTGACGACCGACGAACTCGACGCTATCTGCCATGCCGCCTGTATCGAACGTGATTCCTACCCCTCGCCGCTCAACTATGTCAAGTTCCCCAAGAGCATATGTACGAGTGTGAATGAGGTCATCTGCCATGGTATCCCGGATCAGAGGCCGTTAGTGGAAGGAGACATCGTCAACCTGGATGTCACTCTCTTCCATGGAGGTAAGCAGACACACAGAGGGATGAGCGGCTGTTGACCAAGAGGCAGGCTACCACGGTGATCTCAACGCTACCTATCCCGTGGGCAAATGTGACTCTGAATCACTCGACCTCATCGCCACTACCAAAGCTGCCACTGAAGCTGCCATCGCCATCTGCAAACCCGGCGTACCCTACCGCGAGATCGGCAACAAGATCGAAGAGATCATCAAGCCCAAGGGTTATGGTATCGTCCGCCGATACACTGGCCATGGAATCAATCAGTTGTTCCACTGCCTACCTACGATCGTGCATTACGGGGGTTCAAAGACACCCGGTAGGATGGAAGCTGGTCAGGTGTTTACGATAGAGCCTATGGTCAACTTGGGAAGCGCGAACCTGGAGCATTGGAACGATGACTGGACGGCGGTCACTGTGGATGGTAGGAGGTCGGCGCAGTTTGAAGAGACCATCTTGTCAGTACTTTGATCTTTGACCGGGTTCATAGTGCTGATTTGTGTACAGGATCACCGAGACGGGCGCCGAGATCCTTACTAGAATTCCCGCTTCTTCGTCTTCCAAAAAGAACAAGAAGAAGAAGAAGAACGCTTCCGCTGCTGCCAATGGCACTGCCACTCCTGACAGCTCAGCGACTCCCGAAGTGGGCACGCCTGCGTCCGAAGTAGCAAAGGGCCTCAACGGGCTCGAGGTTGAGGCTTCTTCATAGATTTGACTTTTCCTCTTTCCACTGGGATCGATGATGCTGGCATATGTATGCACTTTCTATGCTTGTGGTCATCATGTACGTACATCATACATCTTCGATACCCGTAAAACCCAGTAGTATTACATTGAATAGCCACACGACTATTCGGGGATGGTCTTCAACTGTACCAAGATCAGCGAATCATATCCACCTGATTTGATGAAAAGACATGAAAACTAACTTGCAGACCATGGATACCCTTGATATCCTCTTTGAGACACTCGTTGACAAGCTTGTGTTGCTTGACAGTAGAAAGACCCTTGAAGGCGGGGGAAGAGATAAGGATCGCGTAAAATGAACCACAACCGCCTGTAAAATGACAAATCAGCATATTTTCGGGGCATGGACGGGCAGCTTACCAGAGACATCTTGGACTTCGAGTCTGCTGCCAGGAAACTGAGCCTTCAGCTTGTCATAAATGACCTGCTCGCCACTCTCGGTCGAGGCAGTATATCTTCTGATGCCCTGGACTCGAGCGGCCGAAATATTTCTCGGCGATACGAGAGCCGGAGCAAAGCGGGGGAGGCTGAGGGTGGACCGTGTGACAAGACGATAGGTGGCGAGGAGTGATCGGGGCATCGTAGCGGTGTATACGGGGTCGGAAGTGGAGAATGTTGAGCAGTTCTAAGATTGAAAGAGGTGATGATGAAAAGTGGTTACGTGGAAGATGTCGAGGAACGCGCTCGAGGAGACGGTCATGGTGCACTCGTGGGTTGTTCTTATATTGTCTCCCATCCCATCATCAACAATGGCGGACGCAAAGCTCTTCGGTGAGTGCTCAAACTCACATGTCCTCCAGTGCTGACTAGCGTAGCGCGAGGTAAGACCTCAGAGCTGAGGGATGAGCTCCGAGCGTCTGGCGACAAGCGCGACAAGGGCTTCATGAGGAAGAAGACCGCCCTCAAGAAGATTGTTGCCAACATGACCATGGGAAATGACAGTGAGTCGTGCACAGACTAGGATGGGACTGACCAATGTAGTGTCACCGCTCTTTCCCGATATCATCCAGTGCATGGGCATCCAAGTCCTGGAGATCAAGAAGAGTAGGCCGGTCCTCTTACGAGCAAGGGTCGGCGCTGACTCTGAGCAGTGGTATATCTGTATCTCATAAACTATGGCCGTATCAGACCGGATGAACTCAACCGGGCTATCAGCAGCTTCCTCTCTGTACGTGCTCGGACAGCGTGTAGGATGCGGCTGACAAGTCACAGGACTGTGCAGACAGAAACCCCCTCATCAGAGGCCTGGCAATCCGAACCATGTCTTCTATTCCATTACCCAACATTGTACAAGCCCTCGTCGATCCTCTGAGGCATGGTCTGCAGGATGCTGATCCATACGTCCGAAAGACCGCCGCCATCGCGTGAGTCCCTTTACCGATCCTGATCTGCCTCTAACCATGACTATAGTGTGGCCAAACTCTACGCCTCGGAGCCCGGCAAGAAGGTGATTGAGCGAGAAGGATTCGTTGGTATGCTGCGAGACCTGCTCGCGGACCACAACCCCACGGTCGTCGCCAATTGCGTCGCCTCTCTTGTCGAGATATCCGAGCGCGGCGATGACATTACGCTCAAGCTCAACGTGAACGTCGCGGGTAAACTAATTGCTGCGCTGGGAGAATGTTCAGAATGGGGTCAGATCTACATCCTGGACTCACTCTTGTCGTTCATACCACAGTCGCATTATGAGGCAGAGCAACTGGCAGAGAGGATATCTGTCAGGCTGCAACATGCCAATAGCGCAGTAGTGTTGACCACGATCAAAGTCATCCTGTATCTCATGAATTATATGGAGGATGAAGGTCTCATCAAAGCTCTGGAGAGAAAGATGGGCCCTCCTCTCGGTAAGCATCCCAACGTCTGCAAGTCCTTCTCTGACATTTCACAGTGACTCTCCTCTCCTCTGGTTCCGAAGTGCAATACGTCGCCCTGCGCAACATCCTCCTTATCATCCAACGTCGCCCTTCCATCCTCCAGAACGAAGTCAAAGTCTTCTTCTGCAAATACAACGACCCCATCTATGTCAAGCTCGCCAAGCTGGAGATCATGTACCGCCTCACTCGCGAAGAGAATGTGTCAGACGTGCTGGCCGAGCTCAAAGAGTATGCTTCCGAAGTAGATGTGGACTTTGTGAGAAAGGCTGTGAGGTCTATCGGGAGGTTGGCTATCAAGATCTCCCCCGCAGCGGACGAGTGCATTCGCACACTTCTCACCCTCCTCCAGACTAAAATCACCTACGTCGTCCAAGAAGCCATCGTCGTAATCAAAGACATTTTCCGCCGCTACCCCAACCAATACGAAAGTATTATTGGTACGCTGTGTGAGAATCTGGATGTGCTGGATGAACCGGAAGCAAAGGCGGCGATGATCTGGATTGTTGGCCAGTATGCGGATAGGATCAACAATAGCGAGGAGCTGTTGGAGGATTTCGCGTTTGGGTTCAGAGAGGAGCCTGCCGAGGTGAGCTGTTCTTCTTGGTAATGACTGTGCTGACTCGTCTATAGGTCCAATTGGCATTGCTCACGGCGGTGGTCAAGCTGTTCATTCGAAGACCTACGGCAGCCCAAGAATTGCTACCAAAAGTACTCAAGTTGGCTACCGAAGAAGCCGAAAACCCCGATCTGCGCGATAGAGTGCGTCTCTCCTTCTTATCGAGTGATATACTAACGAGACGCAAGGGATTCATGTACTGGCGACTACTCACTGCCGACCCTGCTGCTGCCCGTGATATCGTCCTCTCTGAGAAACCACCGATCTCTACAGAGACGGACAGGATGGACAAGGGCATGCTTGATCAGCTCTTACTCCACACTGGTACCCTCGGCAGTATCTACCACAAGAACCCGCACACCTTTATCCGTACCGCCAAGCCGCGATACCTCCCCGATTCAAACGCGTTGAATGCTTCTTCGAGGAGACGTTTGATCACTCCGAGGGGCTTTTCGGCATCGGCAGCGGTGAGGAGTGTGGCCCCGCCGGTAGTCCCTGCTAGACCGGTCTCTACTGTCAATACCACCCTACAACCCCAGCAACCCCAGCAGGCGGATGCGCTCAATAGTCCCATATCGCCGATTGCTGCGAGCAACGACCCGTACGGCAGTCTGATAGATCTTGAGTTTGGAAGCCAAGGTGGGGCTGGAGGATATCAGACGGATGGGCCGAGGCCAAAGGGCGCGGAAGAGGATCTGTTGTTTTGATATTCATACTCTCTTTTTTTTATGACTCTTACGATTGTCCGGGGAAGCCGATTACCTAGTACTGGACAGAAGAATGCACTAGGAATGCTGCAAAATGATGCATGGCCCCGACAGCTGCTCATCGAAAACACCTGACTGGGATGGGCGTGATAGTTGAATGGATAAAACAAGCCCCTCAATCCCCCGTGCTGTTTGATTGATGCGTGTATATAAAGAAAAAAAAAATGCTGGGAATGTCAATGCCGTATCTGCAAGAGAGTGAACAGAAACCCAAAAACCGACGAAAAAAGGAAAACGGGACGATATGCTACGAAACAATGCCAGGATGATACAAATATGAATGTCGAGCTTCTCGTGCAACCGTTGCACGAATGTAGCGGACTGAGGTTGCTCTTCTCTCGACACTGCCGACGCCTCACTTGTCCAATCGCCCATCCCTGTTCAAGTACCCATAGGACGATGGCGGAGGAATCTCCTGCCCATCTGATCCGAAAGACGGATAAAACATACCCATATCGCCTTGTCGAGGATACCCCTCCATATGCTGCGTCTGCGAGAGTGTAGGCGCAGGGTACTGATGTTGCGGAGCAGCAGTATAAGGAGGCTGACTATGCGGTGGAGGCATGGCGTACATGCCTCCCATCTGCGCACTGGACATGGGTGTACTGGGCGGAACGTCCATATTGCCTGAAAGACTGCCCATGTGATATTGCCCGTTCTGTTTCTGGGAATACCCTTGAGGCATGTCAAAGTATAACCCGACACCGCTGTTACCCGGTCGACTGCTGCTCGGCCCGGGACTCTGGCCTGGAGCGCCCATGGGGTCGCCTGCGGTACTGGGCCGGGAGAGGTCACCGTTGGACAGCAGCTGGGTGGTGGAGGAAGAGCTGCTTTGCGGCCTGGAGCTTGGTAATTGTGAGTAGCTTGCCTGACCGCTGTATAGCGACTCTGCACCAGGGTGCGAGCTGGGCGGCACGGAGTATTGGGACGATGTCGATAGGGGGTCATACACCTTCATCAGGGGTGAAGCCGGGTCGGATGGTTGTGGGACTCGGTACGGTGCGCCACTAGACGTCATGCCTTCCACTTGGTTTGCGGGAAAACTGGCCGACTAACGTAAAAGATGACGTCAGCGAAGGTATCCTAAAGGGCAAAATCACTCCGAACGGAGCGAAGGGTTCAGTCAACTTACGTATTTTGAGATAATCTTCTGCAACGCCACTTCCAGGCAATCCCACGCATACACCTTGACATTCTTTTCGATATTGCGCGGTCTCGGATTAGGCAAGTTCATTATTTGCTTGAAAAACTTGGCGGTATCAGGCTTGCTCTTGTCGACGGTGATGGGTTTGAAGCCTTCGAGATTACGCCTGATCCGATTTTTTTCTTCTACCGTGAAATGCGTCCCGACAAGCGCTTCGAGGAGATAGATGATATCGACAGACGATATGAAGCAGGCATTTTTTTCTTCCCAGAACATGCAAGAGACGACGATTGAAGATTGGATGGATGCCCATTCTGCCTGGGCTACGACCTGGAACTGGGCGTGGATGGTGGTTCCTTCTTGTCGGCGCCAGAATTGTACCAGTCGCCGACGTGCTGACCATTCTTCGCTATTCCTGCGCCTCTGTCAATATCGGGACTCGAAGAAGCGTTGAAAGATACTCACCATCCCTTGGCCACACCCGTCAGATCACCCGTCAGATTCAGAATGGCCTTTTGTCCCGTACTGACGTAAGGCGTGTTTGCCGCATTTAACGGCGCGCCTCCAATCACCTGCGTAGCACGCATAAAGCTTGGTTGGGACATGGAAGAGGATGAGCTTGATGGTCTATTCGAATGTGAGCTCGAACCCATGGTAGATGTCGAGCTGTAGGGGCTTTGAAAAGATGGTCTTGATGGCGCGTCGCTCACTGCCAAAAGTCAACTGGGGTCATCTCAATGTGGTTCCACGTACGTCTGTTGTGCGATTTACTCGCACCGCTCCATGATGTTAACGGATCGTACTGCTTCATTTCAGGGGAAGAGATGTAACCCGATGGGCGGCGTTGAAAAGGCGATTCCGTCGGCGAACGTCGAGTTGATTCTAGCGGTTCACCGCTCCGTTTCCGCGCGAGGTTTGCTGGAAAACAAAAATCAATTCTCCATTCCTCTTTCACCTCGGATCACTCACAATCTGAAGCATATGTAAACTGGCCTAACGGCACCGTCTCCAACACCTGCGCATCATCACTCAATACCTGGATTGTCACTGGTACAGCCTGCGCGCCTGTCCCCTCTGGCGACCGCCCCATCGCTGCCAAACTCGGCACCGTCGCTTCGAGCATACAAGACGCCCTATACCCTTCCGGCTGCATCACCTGTGCACTCGTCTGTACTGGATGGTTGCCAAATAGTAACCGAAGGGTTCTTGTACCCCGGCCGCCTGCAGAAGGAGGCGGAGTCGCGGGATGACCGGCGTTCAGTGGTGGGTTTTGGACGTCGACATCGCACGTCACGCTTACAAACGAGCCTGGTGTCCCGCGGGATGGTCCCCAGCGGTGGATGGTCACATAGCTACCTTTTGATACGAGTGTAGATGGGGGTGGGGCTACGCGTGCGAGGTCGGGCGGTAAAATGGCTGACGAGCTGAATCCGTACTGAGGTTGAGACGACTCGGCAAAACTCTGGCGAGACGAGTAGAAAGAGGATGAATAGGACGAGTGGGCGGCTGTGGATGACATCTCTGGCGAGAGGGAGAAGGAGGGGGAGGGCGGGATGGTGCTGGGGTTGATGGGCGCCTGGGAACGGGGGACGTAGTATGGATGGGCTGCGCGCGATGTGCCGGCTTCGGGCTCGGACGGCTGGTATAGACGGGTAGGTTTGTTGGAGTCTCGCGAGGTAGTAGAATAAGACATGACAGGGAGATCTGCAATGAATCAGCCCGGGCGCAGATAGAAAAGCATGGACAAACAAGAGATCTAGGACTGACCTGGGTGGATGCGGGCCTGGGTTCCGGCGCCGAGCGGCGGGCAATGTCTAGGATCTTTCGAGCGTTCCAAGCCAGCTAGGAAACGAAAATCACGGGTCGAATAGGAAAGTATACTGGAACTCCCGTGCGTCGGAGGATGAGAAATGGGGACTGTGAGACACTGGTCAACGAGGGTTCCTCGGCGCTCGTCTGCAGTCGTTGGACGGAGTGAAGAATAGGGTGTAGTGTGGGATCAAGAATACGGGGGCGATGAGACGAGACCAGGCGGGGGGTTTGGGGGGTTAGGTATATATAGGAAGAGAGAAAAAAAGAGAGGAGAAGAGTGGGAGTGCGGGAGGTCGGCAAGGCTTGAATTGTAAAGGTAGGACAATAATGAGCTGGGGTGACTGCCAATTTACCGAGAGGGAAATTGCCGGCTGTGGAGGTGGCTGGGTGAGTTCTGTGCGGTTGTGAATTGTGATTGGGCTAGCGAGTATACCCCGAGAGACCCCGGCACTGGGCAGGGATGGACAGACGCCTCTGATGAGGGGAATTGGGAATGACAGGGAGATTTGAGGGCTGGCATTAAGGATTAAGGTGGGGCGAGCATGTTGACGAGTCGGAGCCACGGAGAATATCGAGCGGAGGATTCAGGGAGGCCTCAGGGATGGCTCAGGCGGGCCGCCAGGGGCAACTCAGATTCGAGAGGGCTTCGAATGGCGAAGAATTCGAGGCGATCCTTGCCGATCTCTTGATCCCTGGGGCCTGCGCCTCCAGCCGCAATAAAGACTTAAGAGGAGGGATGGCTGGGAGGACGCGCTGGCCCATGGCCCATGGCCCATACTGTACCATCTGACCATCCAGACGGGAGCTGATGCTGCACAGGCAAGGGCTAGTGGCGGCCCCTCCCGAGCTGATCGCGACTGCCCATCGAGATATCCAACACATCCCCGTTCAGGCACGAGGTACGCGCCCCCTCGGCCGTAAGGATAACATCCAAGATAACATCCCCTGCTCGCACCCCAGCCCCAAGGGGATTTCAAGGGGAAAAGGAGAAAAAGGAGAAAAACGGTGGGCGGTGGGGTAGGGGCGTTGCACGAGATAGGGTAAAAACCGCGCTATCTTAGTGTCCCTGCGCAATTAACTCAATCAAGCTGCAAGCTGCCAAGCTCTGCAAGCGGACATGCCGCGTTGCCTCAGTCACTGCCGGGTTCATTCAACGTCCACCACACCACATCGAGAAAGTATGCCACACTTTGTATGTCCATTCGCACCTCTGCCTACCCATGAAGGTAGCGTACGTCACGCGAGACGCAGAATATCAAATTGAAAGAGAAAGGCGGTAGAGAAGACCCAGCCACCAGGGCGGCGCTCGGCACCTATAGCACTCGCTTGTAGAAGGATCAAGAGGCCGGCATGGAATCACAAACCACAGGCAGAAAAACACAAAATGGAAAGAGAGAGTGGTGCTGGACTTACGTGGCTCGCAATAGACGAGAGACAAGGGAAGAACGTTTGAATGCTGATTTCTCAAAGTCAATTGACAAGGGCTGTGGAGCGATTGTACTGGTGGTGGTGGGAGAACGCGGGTGACGTAGAGGGGGAGATGGGAGAGTGATCTATGCCAACTCTTCAGCTGTTACTCCACCAGCTCTTGCTCTTCATCACCTTGGATTCGTTGACAGGGCCGTCCTTGATATGACACAGCTCTGTCCGGTTCGCGTTGAAGAGTAGAGGGAAGAAATGGTTGATGCAAAAGACAACTAATGTGAACCCGGTATGGAGTGATTATTCATCAACCGAGAGCTGGGAAAGGACCCTAGAGACTGGCCCATCATGTAATGGGTTCCCGCCCGGGGTTTTCCAGCTGATGGCGATGGCAGCTGGGGTTGCTAGGCCTGGGAGAATTGATGTGGCTGTTGTGGAGGGTGCATTCCAGTAAATCGCTTCTTGTGGAGATGCTTGTGCTTTGAGGGCGTTGATCAGCCACCGAAAAACTGCATGACGGGCCGGATGAGGAGGCCGGGTGCAAGGGGTGGAGGGTGGGGGCGGCTGCTGGAGTCAGGCGTAATCAGGAGCATATGTTTGCTGGCGACTTGGCAGTTCTTGACAGTACAGGCGGGTGAATGTAGTTGGATCGATTGACTCTAGTATCTTCTACCTTCGCTATACCTGATACAATTACTCACAAAGTATTGTCTTGCAATAACCCATTCCATGTGCAATCCCTCACTCTTCAGACGGGTGGGCAATGGCTCTCTCCTTAGCTTCCGAGTATTTTCACAGAAGAAAGTGAGTCCTAAAACCTCGGAGTGTACAATTTAAGCTCGTGTGGATCCATAGAAAGGAGGGAGTAGCTATGCAGCTGCATGCACGCCAGGCGATGCATTGGACAGTGACCGCAGACCGCAGAGGCTCTCTGCATGCGATCGCGTGTCGCGTGCATGTTTTAATCGTGTATGACGTCCTCATCCCATCATGATCTGTGCCGTTCAGAACGGCTGATTGACTTCTACTCGAGACTGTTTTTCCCCTGGTCTCAGAGCTCAACGTACCACAGGGGTGCGAGGTATTCGCTACATCGGTTCTCCCCACTCGGGCGCTCTGCCGACAGCAGCGTGCGTATCTCTCCATCACTCAAGCCGCATCTCATCTCTGTGTTGATAAACGCCCTCCGGGGTCTCCGGCCAGGCATCTGGTGTGCCCCTTTCGAGGACAAACATTGTCTCGATATGGCGTTACGTACGTACAGTACATAGGCATAATAACGGTTGTCCTTTCACTCACCGAGTGCCTGTTTCCTGGTGACGTGTTGATCTGTCGTTGTCTTTCCCGTTGGCCGTCGGCCTGTCCGCTGACTGCTCATCGGTCACAGGTCAGAGAAAAGATGGAGAGATGACCAACATGTTTATCAAGAAGATAAGTCCGGTGACAGTCGAGGCAAAGATTCGTAGAGCATACGCAACAAGGGTTATATGTCAGGCAGTTGGGGTAGGTGGCGGGGTGAGGCAGGCAGTTGGCGATCAACGCGGGGCCGGCAGGGGGATGGGCAGGGGGCAAGGCGGCAAGGGGGCAACAAACAATTATCGCATTAGAGGAAGAGTATAAAATCTATGAATGTGTTTGAGGCGTGGTTGTTGGGCGGAAACAATCATCTATAGGACCGTGCGTGACATTATAATGGCCCGACGAGAAGAGGACATGCTGATGGACTCATTCGCTGGAATCGTCGCTGATGCCAATTGTCCTACCACCTTTCCTCATGGTAGCTGATATGACTCTGTTATCTATGTATACCTCGTCAAGCAGCCATATACCACATACAGTCACCCAAGACGGAAGGGTCAAAGACTCAGCGTCGACGCTTGATTAATCAACGTGCCGCCGTGCATCTCGTCATACTCGCCCAAACCCAATTGAATATTCCAAAGTCGCTCTCACGGAAAGAGGGAGAAGATACTCCTTGACCGATGCACACGCCAGAGCCTGGAAAGCTATCCCTCAACATATCTCTGGTGCACAGCGTCAGAGATGATACTTCCGTCTTGCCAACGCCCAACACCCAATCAACCATATACATCATTGAACCATCTCCCGATTTTGGTCATTGGTCGACAAAGATATCCTGAACAGGTGACAGTGGGGCGAGGTGATACACCAGTGATACACCAGCAATTTAGACTGAGTGGCTAGCGTCATACCATTATGCGTAGCTATACGCGTATGCGCGTACCGCTATTTACTCAGATCTTGGATCTCCCAGATCCGATCTGATGACCCACTTACTTGGACACAATCATGCAAAGGTGACCACGAGTCAGGATGAGCGACTTTAGTAGACAGAGAGAAGACAAGACGCCCCGTTTGTGCCAGTTCCGGTTAGAGGGATGAAAGATACATCCGAGCACTACATACTCTGATCATCAAAACCCATTCTGGCTACAGCCACAGCTTGACAAGCTAAAAGGAAGCGGAAGCAGAAGCGCTCAAAGCAGGGCCAGCCTCGGGGCCGAGCAAATGAGTCAACCTCTTTTGCGCAACCTCCACAGCCTTGTCCTTGACCGCGCCCTTGGCGCCCTTGCTCAACATTTGCGGGGCAGACCCATCATCGAGGCCCAACTGCTTGTTGTTCCAGACAGGCTCGGGCGTCAAATCCTCCGCCATCCCAACACCGGCCCTGCCACCAGCAGCCTTCCAGTCTGCGATGCGCTTCAAGCCGAGCTTTTCAAAGACAGAGTTGACAGACGAGACGAGGTGCGCAATCTGTTCGGTAGTGTGACCGGGAGTGGGAGTAATACGGAGTCGTTCCTCGCCCACGGGGACGGTGGGATAGTTGATCGACTGGACGTAGATCTTGTGCTTGGCCAAGAGCGTGTCGGACGCTTCCTTGGCGAGGGCGGCATCACCCACGAGAACGGGGATGATGTGCGACGGGTTGGGCACGACGGGAATGTCGAGGTCCTTGAATTGACGCTTGACCTCTCGCGTGTTGAGGTGCTGCAATCGCCTGTCGGCGATAGACTCTCGCTGGTAAGCGATAGAAGCCTGAGCTCCGGCGACGATGGCAGGGGGGAGGGAGGTGGTAAAGATGAAGCCGGGCGCGTAGGAGCGGACGACATCGACGAGGTCGGAAGAACCCGCAATGTATCCACCGACGACACCGTAGGCCTTGCCGAGGGTACCGGTGATAATGTCGATACGGTCCATCACGCTACCCTTGACAGGCTCGGGAGAGTCGGTCGTGGCGCGGTGGGCTTCATAGTCGAGGTGCTCGGCGACACCGGCACCGCTGGGACCGTACATGCCGACAGCGTGCACTTCATCGAGGAAAGTGATGGCGCCATACTTGTCGGCGAGGTCACAGATGGCTTCGATGGGAGCGACGCTACCGCACATGGAGTAGACACTCTCGAATGCGATAATCTTGGGCACCTCCTTGGGTACGGTCGCGAGTTTGGCCTCGAGATCGGCAAGGTCATTGTGCTTGAAGATGACCTTTTTGGCGTTCGAGTGCCGAATACCCACAATCATGGATGCGTGGTTGCTTGCATCGGAGAAGATGACACAGCCAGGGAGCTTGGAGCCGAGAGTGGCAAGACAAGCGTCGTTTGCGACGTAGCAGGATGAAAAGACGAGTGCCGCTGATTTTCGATGAAGCGAGGCGATCTCGTCTTCAAGCGCAAGATGGAGGGCTCCGTTACCCGCAATGTTACGGGTACCACCAGCACCAGCACCGTAGCGGTCGAGAGTCCGTCTGTAGATTGTCAGCAATGCCGAGTATGCACGCAAGACACTCACTTCATCGTGCCCACTACCACGGGATTCTTGCTCATGCCCAAGTAATCATTGGCACACCAGACGTCCACCTCGTCCTTGACACTGGCGGTATGCGCCACAGGGAACTTGGCAGCAAGCCGGTTGATATTGTTAAAGTATCGGTATGATTTGTCCTTGTGTTTCTTCTCCAACTCGTTTTCGTAGAAACGTTGGTAGTCGTAGGCCCCAGCTTTGGCAGCGTTTCGTCGGGCATCAACAGACTTGGCGTGAACAGCCTTGGTTGAGGAGCTTTGAGCAGGCTCGGCCGCAGCTGGCTGTTCGGAAGCAGGCTTCTGGCTCTGCGAAAAGTATCAGCAGTCGGTTCCCTGATGACCACTGTCGCGCGCGAAAAAAAAAAAAGTCGACCCACCTGGTGCATCTGCGCGACCTCTTTGGCACCGGCAACGCTGGCGTAGCTCCTAGAGGCGGAGATGGTGGCAAGCTTGGGGCCCATCATGGGGCAGCCCAAGGCAGACTGGGTGAGAGCCGAGCCGTTGGTGTGAGTGGTGTTGGCCATGGCCCGAAGGGTGGCGGGGCTGGAGTGGCCCAAGAATGGGCAGACGCCGGAGAATCGGAGGAGCGAGGTGACTTGCATGTCGGTCGGTCGGTGGTCGGGTGGGTACTGAGGAAGACTGAAGAGGGGGTGCGGGTTATATAGAGATTCTAAAAAGTAGAACCGAGTCACGTTGCCAAAAGTTGCTGACAACGAGCAGTCGCTTGCCTCGAAACGCCGCTCCAATCAGGCGCGGTTCATAGGGCAAAGTCGCCGGTATCCATATCCGTGCATGGAATCTCAAGCTGTCGCCCTGATTCTTTGGATGCATGACAACAAGTACCGACGCAATGATGCATGCATGAAAGACACATGCCAGCCGTTCATAGTCAACATGGGTCCTTGTAGATCTCCGTCTACTTTTTGGTAACAGGTGCAAAAAATTCCGGGTTTGGCGTTTGGCGAGTACCGACCTGTTCTTTACAGATTCTTCGTAGCGCGATCAATCGCAATGGACATTCAGATCCCCTCAGCAAGCCTTACATACCTCACCATTCCGATAGGCCCACTCGCTTGTCGTATAAGCAGATCTGGAGACGTGCCATCCGGAAATCTCGAACAAGCACCAGTCAACAACAACAGGGCCGCGGCGGCGCGGAGGTGGTGGAGGCGGTGACATCCGCCGATCCATCTCCTTTCACTTCTTTCAAGTTTGGCCTGGCGATTGAGGTGGGCGCTATAACACAGCATTCACATTGCAGCACGGAACCAGATCACCCACTTGTTACCATCGCTCAACGAGCCTCCCTTCCCCAGCCCATCGAAGTAGGTCCTTTCACGTTTTCGCATCGCAACGCTGAACAGCCAGGCCGCAGAGTTACAGCTACTCTCCGTGACACTTGAGGCAGCGTTCAAGCCTCGTGTACCACCGATATTTCAAGTCTGTCGCCCATTTCGCGCCCATACGTATAGTCTCGTCGACTTGATCTACACTCTCCATCGCATACTTGCTGCGTCAATATGCCCGTTGTACCCCAGTACATCTCGGTCGGGTCAAATCGGTCTTCTTCCTGCTCCGCCTGTACCTCAGATGGTCTTCTCTTCTTTGGCGCTGGGAAACTCATCGCCCTTTGGGACTCTACCTCACCACGAGGCGTTCATGTTACGCTCCCCGGCCACAAGGGCCAAGTCACTACTGTCAAGCTGCTTCCAGATGGGCGGCTAGTGAGCGGCGATAGCATTGGAGATGTCCGCATCTGGGCCGAATCTCAAGGGCAATGGAAGAGCGTCATGTCCTGGCAGGCGCACAGGGGAGCGTCCGTCTCGGCCATCGGTGCCATGAGCGCGAAAGGGCATCTGGACGGCGTATTGGTGACTGGAGGGTCTGATGGTTTGGTGAGAATATGGAGAGTAGGAGGAAGCAAGCCCGAGGAGGTACAAAAGATTGATTTGAAGGGTCGACTGGCTTTGGATCTGGACCTAGCGTATTTGCCTGGGACGCAAGGTAAGCCGGATTTGACTCGCACTGGCATCTCCTGACGTTATCTAGCTCCTATACTTGCAATCGGGTGTACCGACCGCCGGATCCAAATATGGACATACGCGTCCAACATCTTTACCCGGTCTTTGTCACTCGAGGGCCATGAGGATTGGGTACGGTGCTTGCAATTTACTCCTTACCCGTCTTCATCCTCCACCAACGATCTCCTCCTTGCTTCCGGGTCCCAAGACAACTTTATTCGACTATGGCGCGTCTCTCCTATCGCTCCGCAAGAAGCCGCCGCGCCTGATATGGACGAAGGGTTGGAGATGTTGGACGAGTTTGAGAAGCGTCTCGCTGGAGAGGGTGGGGGCAATACGCAGATATCGACCAAGGCGCATATCCTCGGCGTGCAAGATGGCGACGATGCCATCAAGTTCAACATTACCCTTGAAGCACTCCTCGTCGGGCACGAATCTGGCCTCACCAATGTTCATTGGTCTACTGCCCCTACAACCCTCTCGACCACTCCTCTCCTCCTGTCCACAGCCGCCGACAACTCTTTGATCGTCTGGCAACCTTCCTCTGCCTCGATCTCTACCGACGGTATATGGGTTCCCACGAACCGATTTGGCGCTATAGGCGGCCGGGGATTGGCCTTCTATGGTGCTATCTGGGGCCAGGACGGAAAGAGTGTGCTCGCGGGCGGGTGGAATGGCGGTTGGGAGAAATGGGTGCTCGGGGAAGATGGATCGTCGTGGGAAGTGAAGCGGGGTCTGACAGGTCATCATGGCGATGTGCAGAGTATCGCCTGGGATCCTAGAGGCGAATACCTCCTTTCTGTCTCTTCCGACCAGTCTTCTCGTATCCATGCCCAGTGCGACCTCCCCTCATTCCCTCAACCTGTCTGGGCCGAGATCGCTCGCCCGCAAATACACGGGTACGACATGACAGATGCGACATTCATTTCGCCTTTCCGTTTTGCTAGTACGGCGGATGAAAAGGTTACGCGAGTGTTTGACGCTCCGGAAGGGTTTGTTGAGTCGTTGAGGACTCTGGGGGTGAGCAAGCGGAAGAGGGACGAGGAGTTGAGGCCGAAGGGTGCTACGGTGCCACCTCTGGGATTGTCGAATCGAGCTTTACAGAAAGGTAAGCTGGCCCCATTTCATTGTATATTCTGCTGACGCTTTCAAGCTCCTGTCGATGGCGACAAGGTCGAAAAGCAAGGCCAAAATGAAGCTATCGTCTCCATCTCGCACACCCTCACCACCCTTCCAACCGAAGAAGAACTTGCCACCTCTACCCTCTGGCCAGAAGTCGAAAAAGTTTACGGCCACGGATACGAGCTCGTTGCCGTCGCCTCGTCACACTCTGGTAGATTCATCGCCACAGCGTGCAAAGCGACCAATGAAGAGCACGCTGTCATTCGGGTTGTCAGCACATCAAAGTGGGAGAGCGTCGGGCACGCGCTACAGGGCCATAGTTTGACAATCACAAGACTCGGGTTCAGCGGGGATGACGAACGGATACTGAGTTGCTCGAGAGATAGAGGATGGAGGGTGTGGCAGAGGAGGTCGGCGAATGAAGAGGACGGATATGCGTTACTGGCGGGAGAGGAAAAGGCTCATGCGAGGATGGTGTTGGATTGCTGTTGGGCTGGAGAGAGGAGCGATATGTTTGCCACTGCGTCTAGAGACAAGACTGTGAGTAGTTTGGGTTGACGTTTGATCAAGACTGACGGGAAAATGCAGGTCAAAATTTGGATACCATCGTCCCCTGATAGCTCCCAATGGGTATCTTCGGCGTCTGTCAAGTTGACCGAAGCGACCACAGCCGTCGCGGTGGTTGCAAAGCCCTCATCAGACGGTTATCTCATGGCCATCGGTACGGAGAGCGGGTCAATATCGGTCCACTCAGTCAACGCCGAGGGAAGTGAGGTCGCGCATTTGGAGACTCTCGATCATCGGTAAGTCTTCTTGAAATCGCTAGATGACGAGTCGCTGATACAATGAATAAGGGATACCCACGTGAGCACTGTCAACAGATTGGCATGGAGAGATATCGATGGTGCTTTGAGTCTTGCGAGCTGTAGTGATGATCGAAGCGTCCGGGTGTTTTCTGTTGATTTATGAGATACGTAGAGGGATATATGTCTGACGGTCTCACATCGCAGTGCTTGATATGCACACATTCTAGTATAGATTCTCTTATTCGGGTTCACATACGTATGGCATTGCGAACATGGTTTCTATTATTCGCGTCGACGACGACGCAAGCCTAAGAATCGTGCATTACGTAATGCATTCCGAAGCACAAACAAACAACAAACGGACGGGCTCGTCGGATGCAGTACTTTCTCTCGGACTGACCACTATCTCAACAGAAATCACCACTATTCACTTCAGACAATACGCCGGGTCCCTTCATTGCTCGTGCTCCAACCAAAGCAGTCACCAACATCCTACTGAACGATACCACTATGTCAAAGCTCGGGCGGCCTTCCAGGTCGCTACGCCATGCCGAGCAGACGGAGCCTCAAGGGGCTGAAGAGCAAGTTTGGGATCAATGAAAGGTGGAAGTAAGGGCTAAATCTCTGTCTGTAGCCCCGATAGCACCATGTTGTCCGCCGAGTTGTCAACCATCAATTCGCAGCTCATGTCGCATGGCTGGGCTAAACGGCCATTGAGACTGAATGCGCTCAGTGAGAAGGATCACAATGATGTCGTAGCAGTTCTCTTCGAGCTTCTAGGTGCCAGTGTTGTGAGTGGCTATGTACACTGGCAGAAATAGTCGACCTAACCAAGCTTGTAGAGCAACCTAGACGTCCTTGAGACGCTCAACGGGCGGCACCGTACCCTGGAGTATGAATATGAGCGACTTCAGAAAACTGCCAACAACTTCAAGACCACCAATTCGCGTCTGGATGCAGAAGCGCAGGCTTGGAAGTTTAGATGCGCCGAGATGGAAAAGAGGCTGTTGGCGGAGCAGAACAAGACGAAGGAGCTAAGAGAGGAGAATGCAAGAGGACGTAAAGCGCTGGAGACTGTCAAAGTTGCTGCAGTAGTGGGTTCTTGATCGACTTTCAGGCGACCATGCTAAGCGTGTCAAACAGCATGAGACAAAGAAAATCCAGACTTGCCTGGACAAGGCTCTTGGGCAGTTGGCCAAAGTGGGAGACTTGGGACATAAGCCGCAGGGTCTTGTACTGCTCAACCCCATTCCCGCTGGAAGGATACAGCCTGTTGCAGTTAGTAGCTGTGCTGTGTTGCTTGTCCCACGTCTGATCCCAATCCGCAGGTCACCCAATTTCCGCTTCTCGAGCAAACCCTTCGCGATCTGACAGATATCCAATCTAGTCTGCAGGAAGAGACTGAAGCTTTCCGCCACGTAACAGTAACCACTGGGAACGCTCTTCGCGAGGCTTTGGCCGCGTCTATGGGACAAGAAGTAAGCTCATGGTGCTTTGTCTGCCGACCCATCTGACCAGATACTTCAGCCACCCCAAGGCCTGCTCCAATCGCAATTCTTTACCAGCCCCAGCACCATCTCTGGCTCTCGCTCTAACACCTCTCAATCCGCCTCTTCGCTCTCCCACCCCAACATCGCCCAAGAACGGCTTCAATCCTTGATCGCCGATCTTCGCACCCGTATCACAGACCGGGTCCCTCAATGGTCGCCTTCGACCGGTGAAGCGCAAGAGAATTTGACGCCTGAGGAGATTGAGGAGCGCAAACGAGAGGAGAGGGACGCTGAGAAGCAACAGAGAGATCTTCACGATCGAATCAAAGACCTGGAGGTGGAGCTGGAATGTGCAAAGAGGAAAGAGGACGAAGCTAGCAAGGTCGTGGCTGATTACGCCAAGAAACAAATTCAACAGGAGTGCGTTCTTGCGCGTTTGGGGGAAGTAATGCTGACATTGGCAACGTACAGAGTGAACGTCAATGATAGCAAAGACGACTTTGAGATGGAGAAGCAGAGACAAGCCTTGGACCAGGAGAGGCGCCGATACGCCGAGGAGGCCGTCAAGTTGAGAGAACAGCGCAGACGATTGGAGGTGAGTGAAGATGGTCTATCCTGCACGCCGAGCTCAACGCTTTTCCAGGACGAACGCGCAACGTTCTTGGAAGACAAGCGACAGAAGGAAGAGGAGGTTGCTGCTCGTCTGGCTGCCATTGCCGCTGTTCCTATAGCAACCGTGGCCGAGACCGCAGTGATCAATCAGCCCATTCCCAAGGAACATGAAGTGCCGAAGGGCCCGTCTGGCTCCAACTGGTTCCATCAACACCGACCGCACTCCCCCTCTCCGCTCTCACCTCAAGGCCCCAGAGTACGCACACCCAAGGCTCATATGGCTGGCGCCAGAAGGAAGAGCATGAAGACGCCCCTCTCTCGGCTTGTGCTGGAAAAGGCCGTGAGACAAAAAGGGAAAGCAATGGGCATCAGCGAGCTCCTGATCAGAGAGAAGGATGAGGTCTCCCGGGCAAGCGTCCTCGGGGCAGAGAGAGGCCGGAAAACCAATCTCGGTTCGAGTTCATCTGTCCGACCAGGGTCGCCTTCCAGAAAGGGCAAGGAGAAGGCTGGAGAGAGCACAATGGGGAACTCAGTGATGACAAGTTTCACCTTGGCCAAGAGCAGGACGTCTGCTGGAAGCACTGGCTCTGCGGGTGGCACAACCAGAGTGACACCTCCAGCCGTCAGAGCTCTTGCGGGCTCTAGCAGATCCAGAACCAGTGGTGAAAAGCCAGCCGTACCTGAAACCGGAAGTATGAGGACAAGCACTGGGTCTGCAGGTACCGGTGCGGCCAGAAAACACGAGATCGGCCAAGCTGGGGGTGTAGGGCCGAAAACTGTCGGGAAGAAGTCTGTATGGAGGGGATAAAGGGGCTTACTTGCGAATTTGCAGTCAACGGACACATACCACTCATAATACAGTACAGTATGTTGCACATATATCGATGTATACCTTGTCCTGAAAATCGTCAGACGCTTAATTTCAACGCAGCGCATAGCGTGCAGCCTTAACATCCTTGTTAATAGCCGAGAGCCAGAAGGAAAAGGGCGCGTTTATATAATTCCGAAGATGGCAGATAGCATAGACCCCTCATGGGTAGCCACTTCGGTTTATATGGGGGAGACATCAGGTGGCGTGCAAGAGTTAGATGCAAAAAGACAGTCTACACGAAGTGTACATACGCGAGGCGACTTCTACTCAAGCTTGACCGTGTAGCTGTCAGCTGGAATTTTTGAGCTTTCGGGAAGACAGAGAAGAGTATATCACAAATCAAGGGAGGCCAGGTTCAACGAGACAGAAGTGAATGAAACTGAATTTGGTTCTGGGACAGCCCTGGGACCTCTCAAGTCCGTCTCAGCCACTTCGACGCGACGCGTGTCCGCAGCTTCGTGTCGTCTCCGCTGCGTCTTGGTGATTGAACGCCATCTAATCATACATGCGATGCTTCAATTATGTCCTCTGACACGTGTTACGGCCTGCATTGAGCCACCCCTCACGTAGACATGTACTGTACTCTAGCGTGCAATAGAACAATAATTCAGTAGCTGTATGAATAACTTATATATATATATATTTAAGTACGTATCCTTACAATAATGAGATTACGTATATAGACGCGCCCTCGAGCCTCCTCCTCAGACGTTATCCCATTATTGTCTGCAGGCGTCCTCTCTGCAAACCCTTGATCACATATTTCAGCAGCCATGGCCGAACAAATTGAGTGAGTAGACACGTCAAGCAGGACAGACACGAGCTGATCTGGCCAACGCGCAGCAACAAGCAGGCTTCTACCTTCACCCCCATTCACCCCTTTGACATGGATACCCCGAAGAGCTGGTGAGCAAGAACATACGAAGCATGTATAGTGTTGCTGAACAAGTGCTCTAGGGGTTCTACCATCGGTATGCTGTAATGAACTATCGTGGTGACAGATGGCTAACTACCGAACGATAGCTTTGATGAACTGGGACACGTAGGTACCCGAATGTAAACGCACCGACCGACTGCTGACGTGTACTACAGTGACAAGATCGTGTTCTCCAAGCGCTCCCTGTTGGAATTCCTCAAGTGTGTCATACCCAAAGTTGTCGTTCCAGAGCTGATATGGTTGCTCAGGTCTGCCGACGTGACTGTCAACCAGAACTTTACTGAAATCCAGAAGCTACCCAGTGAGTCTGTCTTCCAACGATGACATGTCACTGCTTACGCTTGTGTCAGAATACGCTACGTTTGGCAAGTTCTCTCAGGCCGCTACCGACGCCGCCGTCGCCGACCTTGTTGACGCTGAGATCGGTGATCCCACCCACGCCTCCAATGTACCCTCTTCCAAGGCCACCGTCCCTCGCGGCAAAACCGGAGTCAACATTTTCCCCGAAGAGTACGAGGAGGAGGACGCCTTGTCCCTCGCACCTCCCAGAGACGGTGGCGACGGTGTCGATCTGGAAGTGGAGAGGCTTGAGAAGCTGAGGATCCATGTGGAGAAGCAGAAGGAGGGCGGAGCTACTATCGAGGAAGTGACGAAAGATGCGAGTGGAAACCGAGTCAGCAACCCTCCCCCTGGTTTCAAGCCCACCAGGAAGGTCACCCAGGGTCAGTTAGGATATTCCTGCATGGTGTCGAGTGCTCATTTTCCTTGTAGCCCCAGGCGGCAAGTCTTCTGTTGGGTCTATCTGTGCGTTGACCTTCCATGACTCGATGTGGTATACGCTAATGGGTGGTAGTGTTCGGCGACGACTAGATGTCATAGAAGAACCTGAACGGCAGCATATCCCACGAACACATGCATCAATTGCGGTAACGGTGACGTCGCTGCTATGATGCTATAAAGCATGACTTTATCTCGAGAACGATCAAATGCTTTCGATCCATATCACGCGCCTACTCCTCGCCAGTGTACGCATCGGCATTCTGCACGATGGCGTGGATCCAGTCAATCATCACGAGATGTCCAGCGATGGACGCTCTCTCATCCACTGTATGCTGTATCGCATGTCAGTCCAAGAATATCCATGACATACAAAGCAACCTACGGCGTTGTGGCCAGAATTGGAAGAAGCGGCCCCGAAGCGGTACACGTTCTTGGTGAGGTTGTAATACATCTTACAGTCGGTGTTACCGCTTAGAAGAGTCAGCGACATGACACAGTAGGATCATTGACAGCTCACGTAGATGCGTAGGGTGAAACGATACGCTCCTTGCCGTCGGGGCCGGGAAGGGAAGCTCTGCATTTCATCAGCTGAGCACGGCAGTCATTGGAAACTCAGCTCACTTGACAGTACCCGCAAACAGTTCCCAAACGCCTCCCTCTGAAGGAGTCCTTGGAGCAGGCTCCAACGGCAGACCAAGTACATCCACCTTCAAGTACTTGCCCTCCAGCTCTTCAACCGGCCTTCCATCGAAAGCAGAAAGAGCCAGCTTGTTGTCCTTGGCCACCTTCTCCGCCCAGTACTTTACGTGCTCTTGAGTGGAATTGACACTCTCGGAAAAGTCGATGCGAAAGTTGATCAATGCGGTCACGAGTTCCGGAAGAGCATTGACCTTGACACCGCCATGGATAACGTCGACTGCGGTGGTTGTGCCCAAGATCGACTTTTCGCTGACAGAAGTCTCTGCGAGTGCCTTTGCGAGCTTGGGGTATGATTTGGGTCCTTCGGAAGATAGAAGGGACGAGTAGGAAGAGGGGAAGGTTGTGCTGTACTCGGAGCCGCAGGCAAGGGCGGTAAGGTAGGGAGATGCGGAGGTGAGCTTTGTCTGGAAGGGGTTGTCTTCGAGGGCAAGAAGGAGCTGAGACATGATGCCGATGCCGCTGTGCACGGGAGGTCGAGAGGAATGCTGTGGAGGATGTTAGGGGTGTATCTCGTACAAGGGGTAGTCTTACGCCTCCAGCAGTCCCGACAGAAATCTAAGGCCAGAGTCAGCTTATTGGGTATGTGGTAACCACGAGTTCGCACCTTGATGTCCAGGTAACCCTTCTCGCCCATTCCAGGTAAAGCAAATGCCTCTCCGTAGAACTACCGACTCTTTGTCAGTGACGCTCCTCCTCTTGGTAATGACCCTACATCATCTTGGGTTCCCCCGCCTTCATCAATAACCATCAACAAACTATCCTTGCCATACCTCTCCTCCAGGAAGGGCGCGATGTGACCTTGACCACGGCGAGCAAACACTTCTTCTTCATCGTATCCGTGAGAGAGGATGATGGTTCGGCGGGGCTTGAAGCCGGTAGAGAGGAGGTGGGTGATTGTCTCCCCTACGACGAGCAATCAGCATTGTCAAGGAAAGAGGCATGGAGAAGAAAGACGCACATTGAGCGATGAGCAAAGGTTTAATGTCGGAAGCGCCTCTACCCCAGATGTCCTTGCCGTCGTTGTGGGCCGAGAAGGGCGGGTAGGTCCAGCGGTCGTATGTGTCTTCTGGTGCGGGGACTACATCGTAATGGGACATCCTTTGCAGCTCCAGTCAGTCCTTCGCTCCTCTGTAGTAGTCAGTAGTGATCGTAAACCGGACGCACAAGAGGAGGGGCTTGAGAGAAGTATCAGAGCCTTGGATAGTAGCTAGAACACCGAGAGCTGTTTGTCTGATCAGCCTCGTCAATCAACAAGTGCTTGATATGACTGACTGTTGATATACTCGACATTGGCAACCTCATGCCTATCTCGAGACAGTCAGCATTAGAAGAGAATAATGAATTGTGGTCTTCTTACACGAGAGGATACGTCTTCTTGAGCCACTTTTGAAACTCAAAGAAAGGCTCCCATCTGGGATCTTCGTTGGGCTCTCCGTTATCATCAAAGCTTTGAGTCGGAATACGCTATGATACCCAGAAGGTAAGTCTCGGCTCTGTATGAGCTGTAACCTGAACAAAACTCACAACAGCCTCCTGATAATGCTTGATCGCCCTCTCCTTCTCCTCCTCCGTAAGCTCCCAAGTAGTGTTGGGGTACAGCGCCTTTGGCTGCCCGGGGCACTTGGCCCATCCCTGCAGCTCACCAAGACCAAACTTGGAAACAGCATCATTCTTAAGAGCTGGATCTTGCTCAGCAAACCCGCTAAGGAAGTGTCTACCAGACTTGTGAGCGGGGGAAGATGGGTGGATGAGGGATGTAGCGAGAAGGAAGAGGAGGGTGAGGAGGATCTTGGGTTTCCAGGATGAATGGCGGGTTGAGGCCGGCGAGGGCTGGGTGGATTGGATGGGGAGAGGAAGGCTGGTGTTGTTCTTCTCGGACATGGTGGACAGCGGTATAGACAAGAGATAAGAGAGAGATGGGATGAGTCTGGATATCTATCTGTACGGTGATATGCGCTAATCGTCGGACATGACCGATGCCGCTTGAGACCCTTGCTGATAACCTATAGTCGTCGCTTCGGTACATATTAGCTACGTAGGTAGAAACAGAGCGTGGGAAGCTGCTGGCGAGTCATAAGGTGCAAAGAGCCGGATGTATACATGATGATATCTCTAGTGATAAGACTCTTCTCGGAACTTTCGAGCCTCAACAAGATACGTCGGGCACCCGAGATCGCCTTTCTTCATGCCACGCTTCTTCTTTTTACCATGTAGGTGAGCTATATGGAATGGTCATTCATCATTCGGTGGGACCTTGCCACACAGGCTGAGCTTCTTCATCGGTGGATGGTGCTTGCATCGTTCTACGGGAAAGTCAGCGAATATCCGGATTGCAGCTTGGGCCGGCAACTCACGATGGCGCATCGACGGCGGGGACAAAGTTGAGAGCAATGTAGGCAGCTCCGACCACACCCACGACTGTGCCGCAGACGTAGAGGATGGTGTAGTAACTACGGAAAGTGTCAGCTGGTACAGAACTTGGGCTCATTCGGTGTTTGAGGGCAAAGAGCCAGAGAAACTCACTTGAGCATCAAGACACCAAGCAGCAAGTAGACTATCGCCATTGGTCAGTCTTCCACCCCGTACACATACCAAGTAACCACTCACAGACACCACGTCCAAGGAAAGAGTGCATGAAGCTGGCATATTTGTGGACCAAGGCCTTGTGCTCTTCGGTAATAGGGCGGACTTCGAGGAAGATGATCACAGCACCGATTCTGAGCAGGCATTGGTCAGCAGATGCTTGAGAAGGATACAGCAGCTACCGCCCCAGAAGTGCAGCTGACCGCCGTGCACACGTCAATTATCGGAACACCGACAACAAAGAGACCTGCACACGATAACAGAATTGAAAGACTTACAAGACCTCATAGATACCGATGATGATGCTTGAGAAGTGGTGTTTGATGAGGGATCCTATTCCGCCTGCTACTGCGAACCCTCCAACGGCGCTGATAGAAGCGGGGAATCATCAGCTCATGACATCTCGGCACTCTTGGAACATGGATGCATCGAGTGTTGAAGCTTACATGTTGACAATTCTATGTGATCCGGCGTCAGCAGACTGTTGAACTACCTACATCTTCGAGCCCAAGAGTCCGTTTCACAAGCGTAACGCGCCCAGCTTGGGAATTGGGCCCCAAGGCTTGGTTACTCACCGGAAGAGCTCGGCGGGGTTTTGGGTGAATCTTTCCATTGTGTGAGCGGATGCTGGGGCTGGACTGACTTGCTAGGTGATAGATGGGAGATGTAGAGGATAAGAAAGCGATGATGGCATGCAAGGTTTTGATGTCTCGCTGTCGCTGCGGCTGCCCGAAGAGGCAGGAGCGGAGGTCGCCGCGCCTTCCACGACATGACCGACGCCGTGTCACAATAAATGCAATAAGAGGCTCTCTTTCCCATCTCATCTATCCCAAAATGCAGCCAGAAGCGCCGCCCCACACCCCAGACAACCCCACCTCCCCCGCCCGCCTCTTCCCACACCACACCCCGCAGCCTGCCGACACCCCGCCGTCCCTCCGCCACAGGACACCACGCCACTACCACCACCATGACCAGCCCGCACATATCAATACCGTCAGGATCAGGTTCAAGACGCCCCACTCAGACGCTGAGGCCGGCCTGGATAGAATAAAGGAAGGCTGGGAGTTTGACCAGGACGTCCTCGTAGGGGACATCAAGAATAGACTGTCTGAAGGCTCGCTCGAAGGCGCCGGTCGCTGGGTGAGAGATGGCATGCGGTTCGTCTATAGGGGGCAGATCTTGAAAGATCAGCAAAAGATCAAGGACGCTTTAGGGGCAGTGAGTGTGGCTACCTACATTGACCGATATTTGCTGACAGGCATGTGCGCAGGACCCAAGTAACGATCAGGTGTTTACGATTCATATCGTGGCGAGACATATCGCAGACAGCTTTGAATATGCTGCTGGAAGCTCTACGGCGGCTCTCGCTGCCGTCACTCGGATTGAGGAGCCCACATACTCTGCCGCGCAATCAGCCGCCTACAGCTCTCTGAATTCGTTCGCAGTGCTGGAATCCATCCACTTCATCCTATTCTTGTCACGCTATAATCTCAGCGTCATCTTGGGACTGAAACCCATGGAATGGCACGAGACTTCCCCTCCTCCGATTGTGGACATTGAAGAAGCTCGACAAGGGGTCATATCCGTCATACGAGCCTTTGCCGGTGTGCGAATGGCCAGCGAAGAAGGGTGGGAAGATTGGCACATTGCCTGCTCGGGGATCTCTTCCGAAGAGATGACTGTGGGATATACTGACCCCGCTCAGAGGGGAGTCATCGAAAACGACATTCGATCTACATTCTCTTCTTTGGTGGGACGCAATTGGACCGACAGGTATAGCCGGCAAGTCATTGAGACCGAGATAGAGTGAGTCTATATCCTTAGAATACAATGTTGTGTACTGATCCAAGTAGGGGGCATGTTTACACTGTCCAGCTTCCTTCTATGGACCAGTGTTCGCCCGAGATCCTTGCTCGTCTCTACGTCTACCTTCGGCAACTTGCTTTGGTGCCGCTTCTCAACAATGTGCTATACGATGCCATGTCGCAACAACAACAATCCCAGCCGGCCTTTGCTCCTACACCAGCCCCTACGCGCACGGTCCCTGTCCCTCCCATCCTCATTCCCACTCCTACACTGGCTTCCTACGGCACATTTCTGTACCACTTCTTCCACGCCTTCTACGGCCGATTAGACGGGATCCTCCTACGACAACTTGCCTTTGCCACCATCCGCGTCTTTTTCCTCTTCTCGATGTTTACCTACTCGTTAAAGTGGACAGACCCGATGTACTGGGTGATCTGCGCAGTGTCGGCTTTATGGTGGGCATCGACGTATTGGCCACTCTTTACGTTGGCGTGGAGGTCGGCTTGGTGGGAGACGTATGGACCGTTGGAGGATGCTATACGAGCGAATGGAGAGCGAAGAGGTGGACCTCAAGGGCGAGACCAGGCCGCTCCTCGAGTAGCTGAACGCCAAATTCCCACTCCCCGCAATCACACATCGATGCCTCGAGGCCACCTTCTCGCACGCGCCCACCTCGCCACCGACCGCAATCTCATAGCCGCCAGGCGCAGGCAACCTCCACCCTGGTGGCAGACCCAGCTTGCGCTGCCTATCGTTCTTTGGGTGATCACATTGATTCCAACGTATGAAGCGCAACGGGCGAGGATCATTAGGTTGAGGGAGAGAGCGATGCGGGAGCGTGCTTTGCCTGCGGGTGGCGATACTGCGGGTGGTGCTGCTGGAGAGGATAATGTACCCACCCCGGAGCCGGTCATTCCTGAGGGGCTTGCTCCAGTGGCAAGACGGTACTATGAACGCGTCTTGTCTAGGACCGAGCGGATTGATTGGGATGAAGAGCGTGAAGCGCAGAGAGCTATGGGTGCTGGCGAAGATGGAGAAGGAGGTGCTGGTGGCAGAGCTTAGATATGATGATGTAGAAGAAAGACTCTCCGACGAGTCTGTTGTAGAATTGTATATATCCCGCTGGATTCATGTATGACACAGTATCACTCTGCCACTTTGGACCAGTCATCACGCATGCATGTGTGCAAAGCTAATCGATCCTGGACCCCACGTCTGATACCCCACCACCATCCCCGACAGCAGTAGAAGTGTAGTACGTAAAAACTCGAGACCTTGCCATCCGCTTCTTCTGTCTTGTTGAAAGACATGAAAGCGTTTGCCTTTCCATCATTCGTTACACCCTCAGCTTCACCCTTGTCACAGTTACCTTCTTGCACGTAGAAGCCGTCTGCCCCATCGCGAAGCATGCTTTTACACAGTACAACGGGATCGAAGGACTCACCATCACCACTCCCGCGCCTACTGTAAAGGCTCTAGAAATCTTGGGTAGTTTGGCGGGAGAGGGTCGGTACGGGTTCAGTGGGAGGCTCGTCGTCCGGCAGATTGTCTGTTTCAGCGTTTGATAAAAGGGAGCAGACGACAAATGCCTGTCTAGGATTAAAGGGAGTAACATGGTGGACTTCTACCGAGGCAGCGACAACACGGAATTCCGGATCGGGATCGCGACGAGTATTCACTTCAGTCGGACCACCGCTCATCTATACAATAGTTCATTGAATTAGGACCAGGTGAGTTTTTATCGAGTTGAGCACGAAAGGAAACAGGCAAATACCGCTTCGAACATGTTTGTCATTGTATCGGCCCAGGCTTTCGACAGTACTCCCCCAGTCTTCTCATCAACCTCTTTCAACTGCTCTCGCAAGTCGGCCAAGTCTCTGAAGGACTGCTCTCTCTCCCTGAATGTGCCTCCGTCAACTCCTTGCGTCTTCTCTCCAATCCAATTCTCTATCTGAAATTGACTACCATCCTAGTCGTCGGGGTTGAACAGGTGGCCTGCAAGGTATCTAGACGACTGAGACACGAGGCCGCTGTTTCCGGTGTCGTTTAGCAGATTGCAGGATGCTGTGAGCGCAAAGACGACGGTCCTCTCATCCGGTTGCACTAGACGCGAGGAGTCTCTTATTAGCTCGTGAACAGAGTCGACGAGGGCATTGTTGAATGATGAAGCGTGAGCAGTCGTCGGCATTTCTGCCAGAAGAAGATGACTCAATGAAGAATGGTGAGGTGCGAAAACATGGTCGTTCTTCAGACAAGTAATTATATCTGTAGACTCTGAGAGCGAAGGACGGACTGCGAATACGAAGCAGAGGCGTGCCGTACATCAGACATCAGCGGCCGATGAAAGGATACTGATAGTGCTCTTTTGAGGAGAGGAGGTTTTCTTTTCTGGTCAAAGCCTAGATTTTAAGCTTGGGGGTAAATTCGTCGCTGATGGTAAATTTCATGAAGGAGGTGGTGTTCTGAAAGGGAACATAATTACATGACATTGTCACACGTAGTAATTCCTGAAGTTTGTCACACGTAGTAATTCCTGAAGTGGCATGAGCGCTGAGTTGTGTGGATGGTTGAAGGACGCGCGGTGTACATACTCAATTCATATCTTACTCTTCTACTCTTTCTCTATGCGATAATACCGAAAAGGTCTTTTCCCCTCCAAAAACACCTTTTCCCGTCCCTTCCCTGCTGCGTCCCAGCTAGGCCGTGACAGACATCTACCATTGAGCGCCCACCACATTGACGTGAGTCGGCTGATCCGATATGACCTTGTTCTCTGTGGCTTCCTTTTCTGTGAGATCTTTTTCCGGCTCAGCCACGCCCTCCGGGTCTACGGCTGGTGAGGCGTCTCCGAAAGCTTGGAACTCGTCCTCTTCATCGACTTCGCCGATACCCGGAAGAGGAAAGAGGGTGCAGAGCGAGAGGTACATGACGCCCGAGATGCAGAATCCCACTGAAGGTGATGTCGTCAGCAGAAGCCTGGAAGATTACGTTGATGGAGACTCACAAGGCCAGCAGATGTAGTAGAGTTTGGTGGCTCCACTAGGAACAGTCACCTTTGCTCCCACAGACTGCAAAAATCCAGGAAACGCCGGTCCTACTCCGAAAGCCCAAGCAACAAACGCTCTCCAGTTGACACCTTTGTTGTAGTAGTAGATGGAGCTGGGAGAGCACTCGTACTATCATCAAGGTCAGTATGCGCTGGATAGAATATAAGTGTGACTTACGAGAGATGTGAGCTTCATCTTTTGTTTGTGAACAAAGTAGTAGTCAAACACCATGAGACCAGTGATAGGGGCCAGGAAAACGGCATAGCCACTCATGACGGCAATAAACGCCGTGGCTCCAGACATCTGGTCAAGTCAGTGTGATGTACTGCTCTCTGGGAGTTATCACTTACCAGAGCCCAGGGGCACATGCCGATTGATATAGCTAGGGTGATATAGGCTGTCGCGACTGTTAGTCATTTCAGAAGCTGCTTATCACATTACTGACCTCCGCGTCGGATGTTGATATATTTGGGAAGCAGTGAGGCGAGATCGATGCCTCCGGCAATACAATTTCCTGGGATGTTGAGTCCCAATTGCGCAAGAGTGAACACCAGTGCTGATTGTTTAGCCGGCATGCATACCTTTGATATGAGAAGCACCTACAAGCGAAAAAGACGGCTGCCCGAGTGCCATTATTGCCATATGTCTGCATTGCCGCAAGCAAATCATAAGGGGTCCAGAGAAGAGTCGCAGTAGGGTAGAACTCGGAGGCGCTTGATGCCAGTACGATACCAATGGTGGAAGTCAGAACACCGGCGATAGGTGTGACGATGGCTTGAGTGATTAGCGGGGCCCTGGGCTTGGTTGCGAAGCGGGTGTAGTCTGACCTGGAACATAGTGTAAGAAATCGAATCTCGTAACAAGGACTCGTGACTCACATGTTCAATATGCCTGCACAGACACCGCCCAAAGTAGAAGATATACCGTGGAACATGGCCCATGCGAGGGCGGAACCCCGAACAGGGGATACCCCGATGAGAGCAAGACCCTCGGGCTTCATCAAGGGACCACCGCCGTGGGATCTAGCAAGGGACCAGATGAAGAGGATGATAGCGGTGAGGGAGGACAATATGGCGATAGTCACCATCGGTCTCCGAAGGTGCTCTGGGGGTATGAGGAGACATGGGATACAGATGATGGTGAAGAGGAAGAAGCACAAGAAGTCGGCGGAAGTCATGTATGTGCTGGCGGGCATCGTGTTCTTCATAGCTTGCGTGATGTATCAAATCAGGCGCACATGTGCCACACTGGTGCAACTCACTGTAGATGCTTGGAAACATGGAGCCAATGAATACTTTGAGACATTGTCCACCAAGCCAGCCTTGAGTAGCAGTCCAGGTGAATGAGAGTATGATTCGGTTGGCAAGCTATGTCCTATCAGTGAACATTTGTATGTCGTAGATGACCATTTCGAGTCTCACCGGAAAATACGACGCTCGCAGCCCCCAGACCATACGGTTCCACATTGGAAAGCCGACATGCCAGTAAGAGCCAACTTGACCGGTGCACCATACAGCACCTGCCACGAGGAAGTTGGTGATGACACAGACAGTCATGGCCTGGCCTATAATGACCTCTCAGCTATCACGTAGGTGACCTTTGGAAGCTTGCCTCACCCATTGTCAGTCCTAGAGATAGCAAGCTGGCACCCGCAGCGAATCCTGATACATTAATGGCCGAGCAGATCCAGAAACCTTACGCAAAGCAACATGTCAGCTTATCTTAATATCAGCTCCCTGGATTATCACGCTCACCAGCATACGACCATACACCCCAAGTCCTTCGCGAAGGAGGGAGTGGTACATTGTCTCGGTTGAGCTTGATTGACAATATCTGAGCACTGCAAGGTGGAGCAGAGATGATGACATACCCAACGGTTATTCTGCCAGACTTCATCCTCTCCTTCATGCTGTGGCACTTCGAGCTTCTCGAGGGCGGTCTTTAAGTCAAAACCATGACCAAAGAAGTGACTGGTGTCTGATGAAAATGTAAGTGAAGTCGCTCATCTGCATGAACAGCCCACTCACACCTTGAGAATGTTATATACATCCCGTCCTGACTGCTATCACCTGTCAGCCCAGGTCCTTATCTTGAAGGAGGCGCCGTCTCTGCTTGGCTGATAATAGCTGCTCCGGATGGTATGTAGCCTCGACGAGCTCTCCAGTAGGAAGTAGGATGTATGGAATTGATCGCGCCTGATTCCTGGGAGCCTCTTGAATTGATAAGAACGATCCACCTTACCTCCTGATACCGTCACACACCGACACAGTCGTATCTATGCAGAAGATGCCGTACACTTACAGCACCGGTGAGATTGTGCCTGGGCCCAGGAACAGGCGCCGGTCAATTGTAGATGGCCGAGTCAATTGTAGATGGCCGAACAGTTGCCGAACAGTCAATCGCTCTCATCCACATCTCCATCCGCCATGACCAGCCATCCTCCAGACCTCCGAGTGGGCGTAGACGTAGGCGGGACCAACACGCAAGTCTCCATGGCAGCCTTGGAGGAGCGCGCTGACCTCGAACAGCGACGCCGTCATTCTCGACCTTACTCCCGGAGCAGCCCAGCCTGTCCTCGCTACCCACAAAGCTCCCACAACAGCCGACGTCACTTCTGGCATCCAAGCTGCCATCAAGACTACCCTCGAAAAGGCCAATGTCGACAAGAGTCGAATCCAGGCTGTCGCCATAGGGACCACATCTTTCGTCAATAGCCTTGTCGAGCGAGATGCCTCCAAGCTGGAAAAAGTGGCTGTGATACGACTCTCTGGACCTTTCAGTAGACTGGCTCCGCCTTTCGTGTCTTTTCCTTACGAGCTTCGACATGTGTTAGAGGGACCTATATTCTTTGCTCAAGGCGGACTGCAGGTCGATGGAAGCGAGATCACGACTGTGAGTCACGTTCACAGCAAAGACGTACTGTACGAGTACTCACCGCTGTCATACAGGTGGACCCTTTAGAAATTAGAGCTATCTGCGCAGAGATCAAAAGGCAGGGGATCGTGAGCGTCGCTGTGTCTGGGTGCTACTCCCCGATAGACAGGGAGATACGGCAGGAAGAGCTGGTGCGGGAGATCCTCTTGGATGAGGTCCCTGGCATCAAAGTGTGCATTAGCAAGGAGGTTGCAAATATCGGTAAGCCCATCGAGGCTCGAGGTGGGTCTGCTAATACAGCTGGACAGGGCTGTTACAGCGAGAGAATGCCACCATCCTCAACGCCGCTCTGCTTTCCTTCGCTAAGCTTACGGTGGCAGGATTCCAAGAGTCGACAAGAGCCCTCAATCTTTCGTGTCCCCTGTTTCTGACTTCGAATGACGGTACCCTTATGACTTGCGAGCAGGCCGCAAAATTCCCCATCAAAACGTTTTCCAGCGGACCCACAAATTCTATGAGAGGAGCCAACTTTCTGGCCACCTTGGGCTCAAAGGCGAAGAGGAAGGAGACGGCGCTAGTGGTGGATGTTGGCGGTACGACGGTGAGTGGAAGCGACACATTGCGGTACTGTGGCGGCTGATGACTATCAACTTAGACGGAGATTGGTGTGCTCTTGTATGTCATGACCCGCCCTCCCCACGAAAGCAGAGCTGACACCTTCTAGACCTTCAGGTTTCCCTCGTCAGGCCGCTTCATACCACGAGCTCTGTGGCGTCCCTCTCAACTTTTCCATGCCCCACGTCTACTCTATGGGTCTTGGCGGAGGATCAAGGGTCCGCAAGGATGCCTCCGGCAAAACCACCATCGGTCCTGACTCTGTGGGATACAGAATACATGAGCAAGGTCTCATCTTTGGGGGTGATGTCCTCACCACCACTGACATCGCCGTCGCTGCCGGAACTTCGGTCACCATCGGTAACCCAGAGCTCGTCAAAAAGATCGCCCAAGACGATATCGAGGCTGCCCAGGGGAGGATCAAGTCCATGTTGGAAACAGCCGTGGACAGCATGAAGACATCCACTGCCGACGTACCCATATATCTCGTCGGCGGTGGTGCTATCCTAGTCCCAGATGAGCTCAGGGGTGTCAGCAAAGTCCACCGCTTTCCCTTCTACGATGCTGCCAATGCCGTGGGCGCCGCTTGTGCTCAGATCTCTGGAGTTATCGACACGTTCGAAGACACTTCTACAATGTCTTTGAGTGAGGTACAGAGAATTGTTGAGCAGAGGGCTATCGACAAGGCTGTCGCTGCTGGTGCGGATCCAGAGAGTACCGTGGTTGTCGAGAGCGAGGCTATCCCAATCGCTTGTGAGTTGCCCGACACTCGAGGGTTCGGACATGGCTGACAGGCTTCTACGCAGACGTGACTGGTCGCTGCAGATTCTATGTCAAAGCTGCAGGCGAATGGAAAGGCTCTTCAGCCTCGGCGGCTGACGATGCCGCTTTCGAAGACCCCAAATTCGACTTTACCTGGGACAAAAAGACACCTGTATCTCCCGTCCAAGCTGGAAACGCTGACCGTCAAATCCCAGCCGAGGACATCGTCCGCTCCACCTCCGAGCTCGTGGAATACAAGCCAAAAGTCATCAACGGCGAATGGTTCCTCTCCGAGATCGACATTGAGTGGATTGCCACGGGGTGTTATATCCTTGGTACGGGTGGCGGAGGCAACCCGCGTCATGTCTACCTTGCGTTGAGAGAGATGATGCGTGCCGGCTCGGAAGTCCGGGTGATTGATCTCGAAAGTCTGGACCCCAGTGAAGTCGTTTCGTACGGGGGCAATATCGGTTCGCCCGAGGTTGCCGCTGAGAAGCTCATGTCTGACGGGTGAGTCTTTCCATCTTCTTCATAGATCGAGGCTGACAATGCTACAGGGCATCCAGAACTATTCGAGCTCTGTTAGACTTCATGAAGCTCGACAATCTTGGCGCTCTTGCTGCTCTTGAGATTGGGGGTGGTAACGGTATGGTCAACATGGTCTCTGGCGCCTCCAACTATCTCAACGTTCCAATCATTGATGGCGACTTCATGTGCGTACTGTTCTGGTTCCCCTTCATGTTTATAGAAGCTGACGGACGTACAGGGGACGAGCATACCCCACCGGCTGGCAGACAACCGTGAACGTGTATGCCGAGGATGATACTGGTTCTCTAGTCCTTCCCACCGCTATGAGCAGTGGGGATGGCACCACCATTGTAAGCTCTACACGCCACTATCCGAACCAGGCTAACTCCTACACAGTTTATGACCACAGCCAAGCACTACAAGGATATCGACCGCGTCCTCCGTGGTGCTTGTATTGAGATGGGCACCAGCGCGTCGGTCGCAGCCCGCCCTCTCTCCAAAAACGAACTCATAACGCCCCTCATCCGTAATACTGTCTCGCAATCTTGGCGTATTGGTAGAGCAGTTGCGTTAGCCAACAGGCAAGCCCAAATAGGAAATATCGGAAACATCCTTGTGGACGTTCTTGGAGGACCCAAGTCAGCGAAAGTGTTGTTTGAGGGCAAGATTCATTCTGTGGGTCGCAGGTTGTACAAAGGGCATAGTTATGGAGAGATCGAGATACACGCATTGGCTGGGGACGATGAAGATGAGACAGGCCCGAAGAAGGAAAGGTTTAGAGGGGTGATGAAGAGTGAGCTTGCTATCGAAAATAAGAGCTTTGCTGACTATATCAGTCCCATTCAAAAATGAGAATCTGCTCGCAGAGACAACACTCGATGGAAAGACAGAGGTGAGCTTGAGCACATGCTAAACAAAACACCACTGATCAGACTCAGGTTGTGGCCGGTGTCCCCGACCTGATATCCGTCCTCGATGCCCAGAACGGTACCGCCCTCGGGACACCCGAGTACAAGTACGGTCTTCGAGTCATCGTCATCGGTATCACCGCTGCTCCTCAATGGACTGATACTCCCCGCGGTCTCGAGCTTGGTGCCCTTCCAGCGTTTGGCTATGACTTACCGTACAAGCCTTTGGGAGAGTACGTGAAGCCGAGAAGTGTTGTAGAGGAGTTTGATACCACAATCTAGATTGCTCTGCGTCGGAGGCTGTGAGCATATACCTTCGTAGAACACAAAATGACCTTCAGTCGTGATCCAGATATGCAAATCATAATTACATGCCGGGAGTCGACAACATACCAAAACACATAGTCTATGAACACCACAGTCTGACCTCACCGTCCGCTCCGCTACTAACCAACCACGGCTTCCCAGCCACCCATCTCAAATCCAGCACACCCAGCCCGTCAATGACCTTGTGTCCTCTCAGAATCTTCAAGGGCACGATCAAGGGGTTCTGCATCAAGTCCGAGTAGATGGTGCAGTGGAAGATGTGGATGGTGCCATCGTCTGAGGCGGAGGCGAACAGGGGGAGGGTGGGGTGGTAGGCAACCGATCGAAGAGCTTTGTTGTGGTACCTGTATGATATGAGCTTCTGTTTAATTGATGTGTAATAAACTTACCGTAAAGTCTTGTACGGCTTTGCGCTCAAGTCCATGTCAAACCACGCCAACTTCTTGTCATAACTTCCGATGATCAAGTTGTCACCACCGGGGTGCACATCCATCGAACTGATCCACTTGACACCACTTTGCAAAGTTCTGATGAGCTTTTGGCCAGCAAGGTCGTAGAGGCGGATGTAGCGTTGAGTGGCAGCGAAGAAGTGGGGTTTGGTGGGGTGGAAAGCGACTCGCTGGATAGCTCCAGGGGTCTTGCGGAAGGGAGATTGGCTGGCATGGCGGGAAAGTTGGTGAATGAGGACGGACTTGTTGGCGGCTAGAGACATGTCAGTCAAGTCAGACAAGATAGAACCAGTAACGCTCACCCTCAGAGGCAACAGTCGCAAAGTAGTCACCCTTCCTGTGCCAAGTCACCTGCTTCACAGTACCAGGCACCTCAACATACACCAACACACCTCGCTCTCGCTCCTTCTCTCCGGGCCTGCTCCATTTGATCGCCTCTGTGCCTCTGACTTCCTTTCCGGCGCCTTGCTTGGTAGTAGCAGCACTGGAAGCGAAAGCGGTGTTGGCATGGGTGAGAGTAGCAGCAGCGATGTGAGGGGAGACAAGAGCAAGAGGAGCAAGGACAGCAAGCTTGCCCGAGACACCAGCAACCAAAAGCGACTCTTCTCTTGAAGGAGACCACTCGAGATACTGGATAGCACCCGCATGCAAGTCCCATCTCCAAACCTCTCGACCGTTACCCAGGTCCCAGACTCTGACCACACCATCCTCGGAACCAGAAGCAACCCATTGTCCATCCGGGCTGGTGGACAAGCTTCGGACACGGGTGTCTCCGGGATGTCTGTACTGAACAGAGGGGGCGATGGGGAAGGGCTTGAGCTCTTTAGGGGCGGGGAGTTTGGGAATGAGGGATTCGGGGTCGATGTTGAGTTTGACCCGACGAGTACGAGGAGCAAGGTAAAGATCGAGACAACGCTCAAACTTCTCCTGCACCAAGTTCTGGTACCTAGGTACCAATCGCAAAGCGCTGTGCTTCTCAGGCAAGAAATCCTCTTTACGGTCCTCCTTGTCGGTCTCTGCGAATTCCTTCTTTTCTTCTTCGGTCGGAAGATACTCTTCGGGAGGGTTGTAAGACTCGGCAGTTTTAGGGGGAGGGAGTTGGGGAGCGGGCATGTACATGGCGTGAGGGTTATGTTGATCGGCATCAGACCAGATTGGGTAGAATTTGGGCTTTTCAGCAGTCGGCTTGTTGGGAATGATACGTCCTTGGCGGATCGCTTTGACAATTTTCATGATCTGCGAAGCGTCAGCACATATACAATGATGGAATAACAAGACTGACCTTCTGGTGTTCCCACTTGGATGGCACAAATCTGCTCTTTGGTTCAGGCGCAGCACTGAGGGGCATAACCCTCTCCTTGCCCTCGCCAGTAAACCACTCAATGGTAGGCTGGTACTGATCAAAGTCCGCGTCCGGGTTTTCTCCCTTCTCGAGCCTCCTGATGATATCGAGCTCCTTGTCGGTAAGCTGGACATTCTGCTGCATGAGCTTGTCTTCCGCAGAAGTCCAAGCAGCAGTGTCATCGACGTTGGCAAGGAATTTGTCGAGCTCGTCGCCTTGAAGGGGTCGGAAGATTTTGCGACCATTGACATCGTAACCGATGTGAGGGAGGTCATCGTACCATTCCATAGGGATGTTGCCAACAGTGTTGGGGTTCTACGCAGGTCGTCAGTTTTGACGATAGCTGACAGTGGTGATCACCTACGTCTTCGGTACTGCTTTCACTTCCATAGCCCGCCTCGTATTCGTCGTACTCCCTCATGAAACTCCCCTTCACAAATTTACTGGGCACTCTCCTTCCAACACCCTCCTTCGCCGTACTAATCTTGGCGTCAGTGCCGATAGCATCGTTCGGTTTGATGGTGTTTTTCGCAATCATCTTGGCCAGCTTTTCGTCGGTAGAGATAGGTTGGCCTTCTTCGTCGTGAGAAGACACGGATGAGGCGGAGGATTCGTACATGGCCTCAATGTCGGAGGAGTTGTATCCAGATTCGGAGCCAGACTCTTCGTCGTCTTGGTCGTACTCTTCGTCGCTGTCATCTGCGTCCGAGTCTGCCAACTCAAGTTCGTCGCCCCCGTCCTCAAGCTCGCTGTCAAATTCAGGGAAAGCGTCTTCTCCGTCCTCTTCGCCGTCTTCCTCGGCGAGCTCCTCATCGTCGCTCATGTCGATGCCGCTTCCCTGGTCTCCAAACTCATCTTCGCTCTCTTGTTCGACCTGTTCAACTGCTCGCTTCTTGGTGGATTTGACGGGGGCGATGGTCGAGGGTCCAGCTTTGGGCTGCTTCGCCCTTGCTGACGACGCTGGTGGTTTGGGGGCCATATTAGTGTTGGTTCTGGCTTTTGCACACGGCAATGGACGATTTTGTATTCCACAAAATATCTCGACGCCTCCACTTTCCTCGGCTGGGAGAAAATCAAAAAACCGCGCTCAACAATTCATCTTACTGACATCTGGCTGGCAACGAGTGCACGCATGACTCTGCATTTGCTCTGCATATGAAGAGAAGGTGGGCAGTGCGGAGCTATACGATTGTTGTACGTGTCCAAGATATACCATCAATCTCTGAACGTCTCTACTCACCCTTCGAGTCAAGACTCACAAGCCAAGGTAACCGACTACCTCTACAGTACCTTGCCTTGACGGCCCGACAAGCTCAAAGTCACAGCCGACTAAGGCCACAGACATATCGAAAAGCCCTTTACATTCTGTCTCAGAGAAATATCACGCCCATATACTAATTTCTTAATGTACTAACTTGGTAGTTTTCAGCGCTGGCTAGCGCTCAACACTTCGTCCAACATATCCCTCTAAAAAAGAGTGAAGGCCGCGGAGACGCCAACCGCAGCCACCACAGAAACAACACCGACAACGTCAAATCGCCTCAAGGCAGAAGACGAGGATGAGGAGCTCGATGAGCTCGTGGAAGCAGCAGACGTAGCGGAGCTAGCGGTAAAGCTCTCAACGGCACCCCCGTGCGCATCGGTAGTAGTCGACAACACCCCAAGGAGTTGGTGGTAGCCGACGTGGTGGGAAGTTCAGTCAAGCTGATAGTCTCCCCGTTTCCCTCTCGAGCCTGGTCGCCGGTAAAGTTTTCGCCCTGCAAAATCATAGACTCGTTGAGAGGGGCAATGTCAATGATGACAGAACTGTTGGCGCAGGTGAAGGAGGACTCGGCGAATGAGTTTTCGTCGACGATAGTGAGATCTGCGCAAGCGTAGTTGTACTCGGCTGACTTGTTTCCAGCAAGCTATATTCGTCAGCAACCCACTATAGCCGAAAATGTCTTTACTTGCCTCATAGATGACCAACATGGTGACATTCTCGCCAGTCTCTACCCCAAGAGAAATAAACTCGGGCCCGGCAAAGCAATACTCTCCAACAGACATGGCAATGATCGAGTTTGTGTAGGTGCTAAAGTCGTGGAACAGCTCGGGGTCGCTCTGGTTGACCCACAAGACGTCCATGTTGACGATGGGGTATGTGGAATTGAAGGCGATGGTACTACCAGTGACAGGGTAGGCGGTACGAGACTCGCCAGGGGAGATACCACCACAGGGGTAGACGCTGGTCGGAGTCTGATGCGTATCCGCGACCGGGAGGGAATACCCAGTTGAATGGAGCTTCAGTTAGAGACTGTAAGAGTGGTCAGCTACTATGGGAGACATGTATGATCGACCTACAGTGATCTCCACGGCATGGACGGCAGAGGCTATACCAATGGCGGCGAGTACGATCTTGAGCATTGAGGATATGACCGGGTGGGTGTACTTGGTAAGTGAGGAGAACAGGAAACCCACTATCTACAGAGTCTTATATGATAGATCTCGACATCCTTTTCGGCGCCTTCGGCTCACAAGTCACAACACGGACCCGAAGGAGCGAGGCTCAGCTGTCCCTCATCCCTCGCATGTACTTGGAAACCTCCGAGATTTTCCATTGCCTTTCCTGGCTATCTACACTCTGCTGTCTTATCAGATTGCGTCTATCGGCCGATTTATCATACTTTGGTCCCTGGTGGCATCAGGGTGTACTCTATCCTTGCGGATTCTCCCATGTGCTCCATGTGCTCTCTTTTCCATGAGATCTGTAGTTGAAACTTACTTGGCGTTTGAGGTTAGATGCCTGCCGTACATGCAGCGAAGAGTCTCGGAAGCTCTTCTCATACTACAGACCCGCCTTCGGTGTGCGTTGGTTTCTCCGGGGCTCACAGATTCTGCGAGACTCAATGTCTCTCATCATTATTCAGGTCAAAAAGCCAATCAGTATCCATCCACTATCATAGTCGATCCCCGAGCAGGTTAAGCTTGTCGGCACTCGGCAGTCGACGTCCAAACATGTCACGTTGACTCTCAACATTTCGGCTTCTCTTTCTCTTCACTCTCGTTACATCTACGTCTCCCCTCGGCGTCACTCTTGCTCATTGGCCTTACTCTAATTGTACAGTTTAAGGGCGGATGCATTCTCCGGCCCAGTCATATCGAGGAGTTCCTGAGGACCACAGGCGATATAAGCCGTATGGTCATCTACTTCGAGCTTCTTCTCTGCGATTGGCCGACTTGCTTCTCTTCAAACGGGTCTTGGCCGGCCGAATGCATCTTTATCGGAAACCTCCGAGTTGAATGACTGTCTTCCACCCTACAATGCCAACCACGAGTCAGGTGGGTGCATACCTACTGCACTGAGCAGCACACACGATACGACGTTCTGGGCACGTATGAGAAGGTTCCATGCGTAGGCCGAAGGCCGACGGGAAACGTATGAGCGGCATGTACCTGTCGGTGTTCCCTTGTTTCCCATGTGGATAAGACTCTGATCAGACTGTCTCACCAAAAGTCCCCTTTCAACACGCTTGTCATTGTACTCTTTCGTTGACAGCAACACCCTCCCGTTTACCCCATGTTGCCTCTTCTAGCGCTAACAGCGCTTGCTGCCACAACCGCTTCAGCCAGCACAGACATGATCCAGGTGTGTCTTTCCGCTGCTATCTCCGCTTTGAGTGGTGCCCAGATAGATGACCGAGTCTGTAGCGCTTCAAGCAGAGTCCAGTCGAATGGATCTACCCTCCTCCAAGATCAGGCTTCAACGCGAGCGTAGCAAATTATGCGGGGTGTGGTGATATGCCTGCTGGGTCACGCACGTACTTTCCGATGTGTAAGTCCCTCTCCAAGGTTGATGGAGAATCTCGACTCATTGCAAAGGAAACAGCCGGCGGACAGCTATCATTCAACTCTCTCACCGTCGCAGCTGACATTTCGATCCTTCACGTCGCTCAGATCAACCCCGTCTCTTTCCACTCTTGGACAGCGTCGGGTGTCGATATTGAGGACATGAGCCCTGGAGAGTTTTGCGCCTCTGCGCCAGATTTTGAGTCCAGCTATGAGGTGGGCGATCAGTTGACGATGATCATCATGTACCAGGTGCGTTGATTGATATGACGAGGATCAGCGACAAGAACTGATGGTACTGATCTTAGCTTTACGGCGACAAGACGGGCTATTACGACTGTGCCGACATATTACCTTGGTCGAGACGTCCAACTATACCGCACCCTCCTACACCTGCTCCAACACTTCTTCACTGCTTACGATGGCTTCTGGTGTCTCAACCTCTGCCGGCCAGGAGAAAAGTGTCTACGCCAATGGCACTTCCTCCTCTACCTCTTCCTCGGTGACGGTGACGACGACCGCGGGCGTCAGTAACGGGTCAGGTCTTAGTGCCGCAAAGGGAGGCGGTATAGGAGCCGTTTGCGGGGTTGCCTTTGCCGCTGCGCTGGTGGGAGCAGCTTATGCGCTGGGATACTTGCCATTCAAAAAGAACAGAGGGGATCTAGAGCTGGTCCATGATAGTGACTCGATGAGGTCCAACATTCCATTGAATGGGACAAAGTTCAACGGGAAGAAGCAAGTGGTTTGATTGAGTGTTCATTGAGGGGCTTGCAGGTTATAGACGCGTTCATAGATCAACTGGAGATGATGCTATAATCAGTATTGGGTTGCCCACGGTATACTTCCAGAACTGACCCACCACACAAGCACATAGATTGTATGCATACGAATGGAAACTTGTTGAAGACCCCCTTAGGCCTTACAGTTTCCACTCTGGCGGCATCAAAGCGAATGCGCTTATCCGTCTCGTCCAATTTCGCCATCTCTTGTTCTCCCTCTCTCCCATCTCCCCTCCATCTCCCCTCCATCTCCCCCCACGATGTCTGGCATTCTCCAGGCCATCAGCGTCATCACCCCCCTCCCTCCCCAGCCCCTCTCCAGGGACTACGACGGCTTCCAGGTCTGCTGGAAGATGTTCTGTTTCCGCCCCAGCGTATTCACCTTTGAAGCCTGGGCGTTCGGTCTCCTGGGACTCTACCTCTTGGCTTATGTTGCTGGCAAGGCTCTCAATGTCAACAGAGCCAAGTCTACGTGAGTCTTATCCAAAACAAACAGGAGGTGCCGCTGACTCTGCATTCAGTATCCAGCCATACATCACCCTCATCCGCTCCCAATTCTCCTCCACGCGCCCCCTCGTTCATTCTTCCCCTGCCCTCCACCTCCTATTTGCAACCGGTCGCCGCTCCGTACTCGCCTTGCACACCACCATCTCCCTCTACCCCATTCACGATTTGCCCATGTTCCTCTTTGGTCTCGGTAGGAGCTTTATCGAGCCTACCTATGTCTTTGAGGAGAATGTCGTGTTTGACTTTACCATCGGACACGGTGCTGATGGTGTCTCTGATGGCACTGGTGTCTTTGCTATCGTCTCCAAGGATGGTATGAAGGACGTCAGGTCTAAGCGCTGGGATTTGGTTCGTCTTTCCTCTTTCCGCTCGAGCTACATCACTGACCGATCCCTGTAGACTTTTACGAAGCTCGCCGAGACTTCTGCTGTCCCCATCACCCATGCTCTCTTCACCGAGCACTCTGACCTCACCGACCTCGTTCTCAAGACCCCCAACGTTGGTGTGTCTGACCTCTTGAAGGACTCTGATTCTCTTTCCGTCTTGAAGTATCTTCTCGTACGTTCTGCTTACCTCCAAATCAATCCGCACACTCTGATCAAACGCCTTTTAGGTATCCGACGTCGCTGCCGAACGCCCCGCCCGAGGCCCTATCGCTCCCAAGTCCAAGTCCCGACACGTCATCCTCTCTGTCCACAAGCCTTCTTCTCCCGCCCAGGTTGAGGCTGTCAAGGCTTGGGTACAGGTCGCCCTCAACTTGTCTGATCTTTTGGCCAAGGGTCCTAGTGTCTTGTTCAAGCCTGACGTGAGCTATCACTACATGATTGAATGAACATGAAACTGATGAGAGGTTGACATAGGTCGCCCGTAAACTGATCAAGACTCGTCAAACCGTCGATGCTTCCCTCCTCGCCGCATACCAAAAGGAAAAGCTCCTCGACTCTGGCGAGCCCACCGCCGAAGAGACTGCCGAGGAAAAGAGGCTGGCAAAGAAGAAGGCCGAGAGGGCCAAGATGTCTGAGAAGGAGTTGAAGAGGGCTGAAGAGTTGGACAAGAAGAGGGAGATGAGAAAGCTGCAAAAGAAGCAGATGTCCAAGTAAGGGGCTTAAGGGTATCAATGGTGATACTGCGGGGAAATAAATATTGCGGGGAAATATGACCGGGGGAAAAAAGAAAGAAAGTGACGAGCCAGATGTGGTCCATAGACGTTGTCTTATCTTGCATGTTGGGATCTGGCCCGAAAAGCATAAATATTTGCAATCAATCAGTGTCATGTTTCGTTTGGAATAGAATGCAATAATGGTCTGCCTTGTATCTTCCTGGATGGTTAAGATCTGCACAGAGAGAGTATTCCAGGTCCCTGGGACGCCTGGAGCGTGGTTTGAGCCAACTTCAAAGTGCCGGGGGTTGCTTCTCACTTCCAGCCCCGTAATCAACACAGAGCTTCTTACACAGAACTTTTTCACGAGCAAGTGCAGTATGCTCTTGGCAGGCCGTTTGGGTCGGAGAGAGGCTCAGTGGGTTCGATTCAAGTCGTGGAGCCACCAGATCAAGTCGGAAATTTGACGCCCATGTCAACAATTCCCTCCCCTCCACGATTCTGCTTCTCACTGGGCAAGCAAAAGCAATCATTATTTTGAGCGACGTCTCCGCCCGAATATCCCTCCACCGCTAGGATCCACCACTGCTCTCCACTCCTCCCTGACATCTCCGATAAAGCCGCCATCACGAGAAAAGCGACCGAGGGCACTGTCGATATCCTTCTTTTTAGAGTATGCATTTTCCACTACTGGCCCATCTATCCGCCCATCTCTTACATCATAGAGAGATCGCCAAACTTCTCCTACAATCGTGCACAAATGCAAGTCAGCTCCTGCTCCTATCTCCTTGCCTTGCCTCAAATCAAGAAGACGTACCCTGTAACCGGGGACAGTCCACTTTCCCTTCTTAACCATAGTCTCGACAGCCTTGGCGATTTCGGGCCTGGCCTTGGAGACCTCGTCAACGGTAAGGTCCTCGAAAGGTCGGGCGTCCTTGATGTTGGAGAGGGTGGCTTGGAGGGAAGACTCCTCGGCGGAGATCTTGGAGACGGTCTCCTTGGCGGCGGCGACCTGTAAAAGTGTGAATTGCTGCTTGCTGATCGCTAGATGCCCAGGGGGGTATGGGGGACGCAGACCACGAAATCACGCGTCCCACCATTCCACCCCCCCGCGCACTTGATTCCACTCACTGCCTTGCCCTCGAAAGCGTCCACAACACCGTTCCACTTGCTGACATCATAGTCGACAGCCTTGAACTCGCCCAAGACCTTCTCGGCGAGGTTGACGGCCTGCTGGTCCTTCAACACGCTCTTGTACTGGGCGAGGTCGAGCTCGGGGACGGTGCTCTTAAGGGCCGAATTCTTGTTGATGGCGGCGGTGTGTCGGGCACGGAAGGATTGGAGGGCGGTGACGGTGTGCTTGTCGAGGCCGAGACCGGTGTAGATCTTGGACCAGTCCTAGGAGAGTGCGATTGGGCAGGTCAGCGTGGCCCGTGTGCTCGCTCGAGGGGTGGGATGGGCGTGTACGTACGACGACGGAGGCAGCGGATTTGGTGGCCATTTTGTGTGAGTGGTGGATGAGAAGGAGCAGAGGAGAACAAGAGACGTCGGCCGTATTGGAGGAGGATGCAGCAAATTACGTAAAGTGCCGGGGTTATGGGCCGCCGCGCCGCGTGTGGCACCTCCATGCTCATGTTTACGCTTCCTATGTATTATTCCCTTGTCTCTATCCGCCATGTCCGATCTCAGAGCAGCATCTCCAAAGATCGAGGACGACGATGCCAACGTCGATGAGGTGTGTCCTTATAGTTCACTGACCGCTCCGAGCTTATACGGAATCATTAGGAACTCGCCTTGATGCAAGCTCAGCTCGAGGCTATGGAAGCCGAGAAGAACGCTCTCGCTTCTGCTTCTGCCCCTGCCCCTACTTCTGGCACCCCCGACCACCAAGCACCCGCCGACGGGACAGGAGAAGGAACACCGAGAGCGAGTGGAGAGGGAGCGGATGAAAATATGGAGGAGGATGGAGAGTCGACGGCGTCTGTGGATCTGAGGAGTGTCTATGTTGGTCAGGTAAGTGTGTCTATCTTGGGAGAAGTGTGTGGGGGTATTGATGAGTGCATAGGTTGACTATTCAGCTACACCGGAGGAGATTCAGGCGCATTTCCAAGCGGCTGGAACTATCAACAGGATTACGATTCTTTGTGATAAATTTACGGGGCATCCTAAAGGGTCAGTCGTCTCGCAGATTGATGGTTAGCACAGAAGTGCATAGGATGGAGTGGAGAAAGCCGGCAATGTGGGAACCTGCCACAGGAAAATGTCGGAGCTGCCTCTCCGCCCTTGACTGCTACCCACGCCACAAAGCAATACTGACAATCTTTACAGATACGCCTATGTAGAATTCGCCGAACCATCATGCGTCCAAAACGCCCTTGTCCTCGACAACAGTTCTTTCAAAGGACGTGCCATCTCCGTATGTATTCTCCCTTTGCCATCTCCCTGGTTCTTCACTGACGATGGGAAATCACAGGTCAAAGAGAAGAGGACGAATCTGCCGGGAATGAACATGACGAACCGGGGACGGGGACGGGGCAGAGGACGGGGGGGATATAGAGCCAGAGGAGGGTTCAGAGGACGGGTCAGGTATGTCACCCTCTACGTTCTACACGCAAGATCCCGACTGACATGCTGGAATAGGGGACGAGGACGAGGCTACTACTAATATTGTATCAAAGGCATGGAACATGTCTTGAAGAATATCATACCATATAGACTGGAAATGGGGGAGAGGAGAACACCAGTCTGTCGACAGTCGCGCCCAAGGGCTATACAAAAACAACATGTACCAGTAACAACAAGCCCAACCAATATGCCTCGAATGCAGATGCCAGCACAATGTCGCATTTCTGGTGCAGCTGCAGAAGTCAATGGTCGAGCTTCAGTGAATAATAAGCAAAGAAGCATCATATGATGGCAGAAGCATTACGTAATAGCGCTTCTATGTCGCTCGCGCGTCGCCAGCTGACTGCTGTGTCCCAATTGATGTACTATTTCTCCAAGCACACGATGCAAGTCGACCCCGCCCAGTACCTCGACGCCCAGCTCGCAACGTCCCCCGCCGAGCTCAAGCCCTGGTGGACCAAGATCAAGGACCAGTATGAGCGCAAGTACGTGGTCCGAGAACGACACGAGTAGACCAGGACTGACTGACCGGCTCTCGTCAGACTGTGGCATAATCTCACAGTCACCCTCACCCAGTTCGTCTTCTTACCGGGCACCGGCGAGTACCAGATTGAACTCTTCGACAAGTGGGTCATCGTATCGTCTCGATTGAACATGACTGATATACTCTCAGCTTCATCACCACCATCGAAAGCAAGATCAATGCTCTCAAGTTGGTCGAGATCTCTCGCCGAGTCGGCCGTGAATACTCTGGTGTGTCCCCCTCGTCTATATTGTGTGATAGCTGCTGACTCGACGCTGCAGAACCCGACCGCACCCTCGCCTTTCTCCAATCCGTCCACTCCCGCCTCACTTCCCCATACCCCGTGCCCGCCACAGAAGATACCCCCGAATCCCCCGCTCCCCCCGCCCCGGCCGCTTCAGCTTACGCCCTCTCCCTCTCTTCCATCGCCTACGCCCAGCTGCTCCTCGGCGACCTCCCCGCCTGTAAAGTGTCTTTGGATGAGTGTGAAAAGCTCTTGGGCGAGCAGGATAGTGTGGAGCCGGCGGTCAATGCGGGGTACTATGGTGTGGCGGGTGATTACTACAAGGTGAAGGCGGATTATGCGCCTTATTACAAGAATGCTTTGCTGTATCTTGCTTGCGTGGATGTCCAGAAGGAGTTGAGCGAAGAGGACAGAAAGTCGAGGGCCCATGATCTCTGTGTGGCTGCACTGTTGGGCGAGACCATCTACAACTTTGGTGAACTCGTAAGTTCGGTCGTCATTTGCCGTCTCAAAACTCATGGGAGTACAGTTGCAACACCCCATCCTCCACTCCCTCACCAACACTGAATTCGACTGGATCAAATCTCTCATCTCCGCATTCAACGCCGGCGAGATCGGTAAATTCGAATCCCTCGCCACCTACCTCCCCAACGAGCCCATCCTCGAATCCTCCATGTCCTTCCTGAGGCAAAAGATCTGTCTCATGGCGTTGATCCAGACTGTATTCGAAAGGCCGAGGGATGGTAGTAAGCGGGAGATGAGTTTCCAGAGTATTGGGGAGGCGACGAGGCTGCCGGTGCATGAGGTGGAACACTTGTTGATGAAGGCCTTGTCGTACGTCCACTTTGCTTACCGGTAACAGACTGCTGACAAAATTGTCAGACTCAACCTCATCCGAGGCTCTTTAGACCAGGTCGACAGTACCGCCGACATCACCTGGGTCCAGCCCCGTGTCCTGGAAGGCAAGCAGCTCGACATCCTCGGGGAACAGTTTAGAGTTTGGTCGGAGAGTGTGGGTAAGACTACGAAGAGGGTGGAGGAGCAGGCCAAGGCGGCCAAGACTGCTGTGGCAGTGCAGTAGATTGCATTTTGGATACAAGAGATGTAAAGTATGAACATTGACTCGTGGCAATGCAGTTCATCTGTCTGCAAACCTATAATCCTGTAATGTAAAGCATATGGTGCAATCTTGTCAAGACGTCGCAGAGGGTATACAGTTCTTCATCACAGTTCGTAGTAGCTGTTGTATACAATGGGCACAAGACGCTTATCCCCGGGCCTTGGTCAGGTCGGCACCGAGTGTGTAGCTCGTCACCTTGTCCCAGTCCATCTTCTGCCTAGTCACCGGGAGAGCCCTTCTCAACCTGTCCAAAATCAGTAACCCATCAGGTACATCTCAACAGCCCACTCACGCTCTGAAGGCCTTGTCACCCAGCTCGGCATAAACATCATTGAGCTCCAAATGATAGAGCGTCTCGATCTTGCTTATGCTTGTCACAATCTGCGAAGCCACCGACTGAGTCCCCTTGGGCTCGGCGGGGTAAGGGAAAGAGGCGGTGTGGTTGGTCGCGAGCTGGACATTGCCTTGTTCGTAGTAATGGACATCAACGCTGATAACTCCGTTGACTTGGCCAGCAGCTTGGTCTACAGTCCAGCGTGTTCTCCAGCGCCCAGTCCTGTAGGTGGAGTCAGTAATCATCCGGGGGGAGTGGCGAGAGGCTTACCAGAAGTTGCTAGGGTTGTATCGGTTGCCGACCACTTCCAGGGTGTACACCGGGTTCTCAACGCGCTCCTGCTTCTTCTCCTCAACGCTCAACGAGCCGAGCTTCTCCTCGACGTCTTTGACCGGCGTCTCCTCTGGGGCCACATCACCCTCCTCGGCCACAGCGGGAACTTCTTCCTCAACCACAGGACTCGCCTCCTCGGCAGCAGGGACCTCATCTCCCTCCACCTTTGGTCTTTCCTCGGCCGACTCTCCAGCTTCTCCAAGACCTTCCTCCTTCTCCTTCTCCTCCTCGACAATCTCATCAAGCTTCTCCAAGTTTTCCGGCTCTACAAGCTCTTCCTTCCTTACATCAGCCACGTCGCCGACAGCGGGTGTGGGAGCAGGCTCCAAGTCACCGGCGTTGATTTGTTCTGGGACGACGTCGGTCACTGGAGGGACGCTGGCACTGGCTTCCTCGGCAGGTGGTGTAGCTTCAGGAATCTCAGAAGTCTCAGTGGCTTTGGCGACTGGCTCGCTAGACTCCTTGGGCGATTCGACGGGGACAGCAGCGGCTGGTGAAGGCTCTGATGGTTGGGACTCCGGGTTGAGGGGGAATTGAGAGCAAGAGACGGAGGCGTAGCCGGAGGGGAAGTGGTTCTTGGTATAAGATGTAAGTGATTCGGCCAGCTCGGCGCTAGAGGACTGATCAACGTTGTCCATCGGCCTTCTCTGGGTGGCTCACCGGAACTGCTCTTCGTCGTCTGGAAGCTGATACGGCTGATAGTCTGACACAGTCTGTAAACAATGGTGTTAGTTGGAAAACGATGGAGCCAATATAGCCTTACAAATGTAAGATGATCGAATGCAAAGCTCCTCTTGCCAGCAGCGTCGATATATCGCTCGGTCTCAGCGCCGGGGACGATAGATGCCTCCGACAACAGTGACTGCAACTTGTCAGCTCGTTCGTTGGCAGTCAAATGTACGAATCACATACAGTATGAGCAGGCGACCCTTCTTCCTCTGGGTGCTCAACAACATGGAGCTGCTTGAGGTTGTATGCCCTCAAAGCAGGAAGGACATGCGGCATAAGGGCCTCGTCGTCGGCAATGATGGCTCGGATATCTGTTATTCGGCATAATCAGTTTCTGCAGAAAGGCTCAAGCCATGTCCGCATAGAGCTAGAGCCTAGTAGATATAGACATACCATTGATCACATCACTGCACATGACCATTAGCTTGAATGCGGTTCAAACGTAGACGACACTCACTTGATCTCTCCTGGGGGCGTCTGCTCGACGAGAGTGGATGCGAGCTTGCACTTCTGTTCCAGGGTAATGTCGGACATTTGTGGCCAGTGCTCTTGAGTTGGTGTATGGCCGTTCGAGGGATCCAAGACGATGACGCTGTGCTCGACGCGTCAAATGTCTTCTCGGGCATTAGCGGAAGCAAACGACCGTTATTTATTGTGACTCGTGTGACTCTTGGACATTCTGGTGCATACTTTCCGGCTGAATGCCAGGTCTTTCTTGCCGGTCTGCTATAGAACAATAATAACACTCTTGCTTGATAAACAAGTCTGCCGCATCGTCCGCGCGCTTTACAGGTCTTTCAAGCGACGTTGATTGACGCGACGGACGGAACGAAGAGAAAGGCTAGGCTCGACACAAGCCCCTCGCTCCGGGAGGCGGCTGCTACCGAGCCTAGAGAAAGGCTGCAAGTTAATGAACTCATATCATCATGACCCCCACCCTCTAGACGAAAGGAGTCAACAACGCACACGTGTACCGGGTCTTTGGAATCAGTCTCAGTCCTGTGGCTTACTGTATCTGGCTGCCACAACGGCGGTGATATCGGGTCAGAAGTCAGAACAAGAGGACGGCGGCCAAATGCGACTTCGAAGTAGGATCCTCTTCTCTTCCCTTGTGCATCGCATCGGAAACAATACTGACTCGTGTCGAAGTCCTTGCTAGTCGATGGCCCCAAAAGCCGCGCCTTGAGAAGTCATGGGGATGCGTTTGAGATTCCAGACCTCATCACTGGGCCTTACTCGGTCCGGCTCAGGCATGCCCCCAAGGCGTGTTGCCCGCGTGAACAAACAACGACACCGTTCAACCGATTTTAGCACTGCGCATTGTTGCAGCGCGCAAGTGTATTGTGGCCGCATACAGCATGCAGCGAGGCAAGGGAAATTCAACAACAGCAAGTACGTATAAGTACAGCAAGCATCGCACGACCTTTCGGAACGACGATTGATGCCTCAAGCTTCCTTGCTCGAGATCGTCTCAATACTCATTCTGATACTCACTTTTCTCAGCATAACAACTCCCATGGAACCCAATTTCTCCCCCTTCTCCCTTCCTCTCCACGCTCCCACTCCCAGACCCGTATACCCCGTGTCTGCCCGTTCTTCACCCAGTATCGCTCCGCCCCTGCGGAGTATGTCCGCCCAGCCAACTCTGGACTACTTTCCCTTTTCAACCGAGAGCTCTATCCTCCTTCTCCCAGAAGCCTCGCATCCCCGGCAGTACTGGGCTCAGAACAAAGGCCACGAGCGTAAAGTGCGGCTCTTGGCGCGAGACATGGGCTACGAGCACGACTCTCTGCCTTTCTTGCCCGACGAACCACGATACGCCCCAGCCAACGCGCCGCGCCGTCCTGTCTCTCGAGCCGAGCAAAGAACCCCCCGTCCCCATTCGGAGGTATCTCCCCCGAGGGCTCTGTCGAGCTCGTACCCTACTCGACACACGCATGTACCCCTATCACCAAGGCATGCCTGTACTGCACCTCCTCGGGCAGCATCGCCGTTGAGCGCAGGCGTGAGACCCGGTGCCACGAGGCAGCACCCACAGGGGCCACGGTCTCCCCAACGATCTCCACAGTTGAGACTATCAAGTATCCAGAGGCCTACGTCTCCGCGGTTCCATCGCCCTGTCTCTCCTACCCTCCCAGACCTCTCTCCAGACTCGCCCGAGCAGTACAGACACTCGACTGTATCTCTGCCTTCGCCGTCCCCCTCCCAGCCTGGTTCTCCGGGGACTGCAAAAGACAGCTTGAAGGGTATCTTGGGCTGGAACGGGGGCGAAGACGATGAAGGAGACGAGAGGTATGGGGATGTCTGGAGAGGGGTGGTGGAGAGAAGGCGTTGGGATCAGCAAGTGACTTCGAGTAGGTATCAGTCAACTTGAAGTGGGCACGACCTAACAACTTTGAAGGGTCGCCAGTACTACAAGAACCTCCCAAAACCCGCCACCGCTCCTCCACCCTGCCTTCTTCCATACCCCGTCCCAAGACACCCCAACCACTCTCTTTCCCACCGACCAAAACATCCTTCCTCCGATCTCTATTCTCTTCTCCACCCATGACACCCTCTTCTCCGCTCCCTCCCAAACCCCCTTCGCCCATATTGAAAGCGCCGCCTACTTCTCCGGTCTTGGCGCCTTTGCCACAGAGATTTGATGTAGAGAGAGTGTATGAGAGCTTGAGGAGTGCGAAAGGCGGGGGGCAGGTTTGGTTTGATGAAGTTGAGGGAGTCGGGTCGCCTACGGTGGAAGAGGAAGAGGAGGAAGAGGTGGAAAAGGTTGAAGGGCTGAAAGCTCAAGAAACAAAGAAAAGAAAAACCTTTCCTTGGTAGAGAGGCTTTGTACTTTACCAGACACTTATAGCTGATCCGTTGACATTACCCGCTGTAGCTAGATGCCTGTAACCATGATCAATAAAGAGACACTTCTACTGTACGTGTTGTCGTAGATTGGTATCTTATTAAGGACTGTATACTTGTATCTAGCCAATACACCATACATGTTCATGTCCGAACTATTTTGACAAAAAGATTCAAGCCCCAAGATTGCAAGCGCCACCTAATGACTACTGTATAGAAGAGGACAAGTCTGTCAAGTCGACCTGTGGATCTGCAAATACTGTTAGCCAAGTCCACAACCGGAAGCAAAAAAGGCAGATACTTACGGACGAGGTAGTACACCTTCTCGCTATCATCCGTTGCACCCATCTCCTCCTCCTCCCCACTCAGGCCTTCCCGAACGTCACCCCTGATCTCCAGCAAGTACTGGTCCTTGGCCAGCTTGGTAAGAGCCTTTGCAATGAGCTCCCTATGGGTTTCAAGGTCCTCCTCCGATTCGACTTCGTCCTCTTTTTGCTCGAGGTACCATTGGATGAGCTCTTCTCTGTCCACACCGGTACTGGTTTCACGCTCGACCTCGGAGAGGTGGAGGACACAGAGGTTCATGATCTCCATGTACTTGTTGTCTGCGGTACAATGAGCGAGATCCGGTGCGCAAGCAGAGATGAAAACTTACAAGTGATACGCAGCTTCTTCCTGCTGCCTTCGGGGATCTGCACGCTAGCACTTCGAGCCGACGGCTCCTGTTGCGCCTGCGCTGAGCTGCTCGTGCCTTGCAAGTAGCTCGACTCGGCCTCGTCAAGCGCCGCAATATCCGCCGCACTGAGCTGAGGATCCTCGTCCATCCCATCGTCGTCATCCCCAGGACCACCTTGTCCGTCTTCATCCTCATCATCGTCGAACGAGATGTCGTCCTGTTCAACGTGAATGATGGATTGCCGCAAGAGCGAGTAGGCTTCACGGACGATGGCGGGGGTGATTTCGTGTTGACAGTTGGCTCGAGCGATGGCCTCGGACAGACGGATCATACTTTCGAGTTGACGAACAGTGATACGGAAAGAAGACTTTCCGGGTCCACCTTCGTCTTGTCGAAGTGAGCGGTACTTTTCGACGAGGACAGCGCTGGCGGCGGACGTCAACTGTACAAGACATGTCAGTAATTGCCCGTTTGTAGATGATAGAACTTACCTTGGGGCTGAAAGTTCGTGCGTATCGGATGTACCTCTGCAAAGCTTCTGTGCTGAATTCGGGGGCAATAGCATCATCCCTGAATCTATGCACATTGACAATGTGTTGCGCGATATGCAAGTCCACATTCTCGTTGCACTCATCCAGAACAACAAAGAAGAGATCGAAACGCGACATGATGGGCGCGGACATTGCCACATTCTGGCGCAGACTCATCTTTCGGTTGTATCGTCCGCCGATGGGGTTAGCAGCAGCGAGGATCGAAGTTCGGGCGTTGAGGGTGGCTTGAATACCGGCCTTGGCGATAGAGATGGTTTGCTGTTCCATCGCTTCGTGGATAGCGACTTGATCGGCAATGTCCATCTTGTCGAATTCATCGATGGCGCAGATTCCGTTATCGGCCAACATCAAAGCACCAGCCTCAATGGTAAACTCGCCAGATTCTTCGTCTCGAACAACAGCGGCAGTAAGACCGGCAGCAGACGAAGCTTTACCAGAAGTGTAGACGGCTCGCGGCAAGAAGCCACAGACGTACTTGAGGAATTGCGATTTGCTCGTAGATGGGTCACCAACGATACAGACGTTGAGATCACCACGCAGGTGGATACCCTCCTGGGTCTGTTTGTGTACACCGCCCATGAGCTGAAGAAGGATACCCTTCTTGACAATCTCGTGGCCGTACACCGTGGGCGCGATACTTTGGACAAGAGATTGGTAGATGTTGTCTTTTTCAAGCATGGCTTTGAGCTCGTCGAGCTCTGCAGTGGTGAGGGAACTGATCAAGGAAGTCCGTTCATCTTGACCGTCCTCGACATCACCTCGGACGTCCATCACACCCGACTGTACTATATCAGCGTGATACGATGCACGATCACAAAGTGACTTACTCTTTGGTCCGCATTCTGCACCATGCAAGACAAGAACGCCGTCTTATACATCAAATCTCTCACACCCAGAGCCTTCAGTCCAGTCACACCCTGGCTTGCAGGACCGCCTTCACCTCGACCTCCCCTAGACTCTCTCATCATCTCTGCGTTCACACCAGGCAATCCCAATTGCGAAACATCGGGCACGACGATGAATGTTCCAGTAAAGGTAGATTTGTCACCAGCCTTGGCGCGCTCGACCGTTTCCGATCGCAAAATGACATCCAGAGAACGGGGCATCGAACCGGTTGGGATTTCGTTGGCGTTCTCTTGGATGCGGACCTTTTGCCAGTCGGAAAACTTGGACTGCTCAATATTGAGTTGCCACAAGTTCCTGTTGTTACATGTGATGTTGGGGCAAAGCGCGGGCTACACAACATCAGCTACGCGCAAGATAATCATGTCTGGAGACTCACTTCGGTATACTTGAACTGCTGTTCAACATCGTAGACGGCAGTCCTACAAACCTCACACGTAAACGTTCCGCTGACCAACTCTGGTCTCACTTCACTCGTCCTCGTAACAGTACCACTGATACTCATCAACTGTCCAATCTTGTCCATCCTCAGGTCTCGAATGCCGCTTGTAAGGGGCATGTTGTAGAAAGCAACATTGAATTCACGGGTAACGAGGGAGGAGGTGGGAACGGATTGATTGGTGTTGACAGAGGTGGAGTGGTAGAGCCATGTGGGCTGATACTTGCGGACCAGTGCTTGGACCGCTCGTCGCAGGTAAGGAAGGAATCTGAGAGACACAAATCAGTCAAGGCACATGGTTATCTATGAATTGAAGGCATACCGGTAGTATTGGGATTGGATGGCTCGAGCAAGAATCTCCTCACGCTCAAGAAGGTGGCCAAAGTCGACAAACAAGGTTGTGCGTTGAGTCGCTTCCAGGTCTGCGATCTGATTGACATAGTACTTGCCTTCCTCCTGCTGGGCCTGAGGCATACCAGAAGCAGGGGTATCGGGGAGGGCAATGTTGTCGGTGAAGCTGTAATGATCAGCACCGGGACCATGGACAGTATTGACCTCTACTCACTTCTCCAAGAACAGAACAAAGCTCTCCATGACCTTTTCTCCGGTCGTGTCCTTCACTCGTGGGATCGAATCAGGGTCGACTCTACCAGCTCGAGCACCTCTTCCTCTACGGCCACCTCTGGGAGGCCCATCTTCCTCGGCCTCGGAGCCTCCCGGAGATCCGTTGGGTGATCTGTGCCCGTTGGGACCACCGCCCGGAATGGACCCGCCGAGACCATGTACATCGTTGAACGCGAGAGGGTCGACGATGGGGCGTTGTCCAGGGTCAGAAGGAGGAGGGGAGGCGGCCGGAGCTGAAGAGGAGGGGAAATTGAGGTTGGGGGGAGATGACATTGTTGAGGAGGGGTGGATGGGGGAGGGAGGGGATGTAAAAGTTAATGTTGGTGGGCGAGACGCGTCTCGATAAGGGTAAAACGCGTAAAAGACGCGTTCGTATTTCCGATCCCCCGGTGGTGTGGCACAATGTATGACCTCTTCAACATGAAACAAGGCCAATGCATGTCTTTCTGTCTTTCATCCCTACCAGGATTGCCATTGGCTCCAGTCAATCATAAGCGATGCCAAGGTTGTATATCAATCACTGGTCACTACTTCAATTCCTGGCCAGCGGTGCCGTTTTGTCATTGATCTAACCATCTTCAGGTTTCTTTCTCCTTCAGGACTTCCATTACTGTTGCTGATCACATATTTCGGACATCTGCTAAATGAACAAAAGTCCGGTTGGAAAACGGGTGAGGTGGCATGGCGACTTTCAAAATCATTCAGCGTGGGAACAGAATGGGATGGAGCGATGTCAAGTTGAACGCCACGGCGCGTTGGAGTTGCTCCCAAGCCTCACTGAGTACTATCACATACTATTGCAAGAGATGCCCTGAATTTGCGACTGGCCAGACAGCATGCAGACCGAGTGGCCATACTACTTCACCGACATTGACGGTCAATCTTGCGGAGGTGCCTTAGAGATCAGCTTCTTCTGAAAGCAAGCGCCATTGCCGGTATGGCTGTTTGCACGATGACGAGACAAGGAAGTGGCGAGTATCCCTAGAGAAGCAGCATTGTCACCATGTACACGATCAAGCATGCATTCACCCCCGCTCAAGCGCCAGCAATCTGCCCCAAGCCGCCAACTGAGACAAGAAGTCCCGTTGCAGGGTTCGGAAGGGCCGAGGCGCGCTGCGTGTAAACAAAATCAAAACAACTGTTGGCTCTTCCTTTCCATCGTTCCAAGCCACAAATCCATTCTCACGACTCTCTACAGCGACGCAACCCGCCATGGAGGACCCGGCGTCCTCTCCATCCTCAAGCACTTTCCAACTCGACTCCCCTTCAGCAAGCACGTTGCTCCGCACCGCAGACACATTGGAAGGCCTTGCAAAGCAGCTGGAGAATCTCAAAGACGACTCTGACGCCAGTGGTGGCGATGGGGAGGTACTGAGATGCTGCTGTGGAGCTGCTGTAGGGGACGAGGGTAGCGAGTGTCGCATGATGAAGGACAAGCAGAGGACGGAGGATAAGCTGAAAATGAGTGGCGGTAGGTGCTTTTCTGTGGTCGTGATGTCTGTCACCAGGGCCAGGCCTCTCAGTCAAGATGCCCCTCAACATTGTCACCTTTCCTGATTCTCGTACAAGGGTTCGCAAGAGCTTCTTGTACTTGCATCCTGGTTACAAGCTGGACCAAACAGAGAAGGCATCTTGGCTCTAGAGGTCTCCCTCTTGTGCTTTCCTGTTCGACTAAGAAGACTAACGCGGCTTGTCACAGAACTTGGTACAGCTTTGCTACAACGGTACGAAGTTTTGGAGAAAAAGAATCGAAAAGAGGGAGAACGGCATCAACAATTGGTATGTCTCTCATTGGTCGCTTGCGATCGTCTGACTGATGATATTGGCCATAGATTGAAGTCAAACGAACTGCTCTAGCAGCCAGCGTCAAGCGCGTTCACAACTTAGAGAAAGCCAACACTACGCATATGCAAAAATACGCAGAGATGTCGAGAAAGATGGAAGTCGTGGAGAAGGTATGTTGAGATGATACTTCAGATGCGCAATGCTGACCACGCTCGCTAGCGTTACGCCGAAGCCATGCACACCCAGACACTCACCCAGCAATCCCTCACGCATGTTCGCTCCGAGTTGACCAATCTGAGAGATACCAACGCCCGACAGACTGTTGCGCTGGCTTCAAGAGGCGGCGTGGAAGAAAGACTGCTCGATGCGGAAAAGAGATTCGAAGAAGCACGCGATCTGGCGGCAGAAGAGACGAGGAAGCTGAGGGATGAAAGAAGAAAAGTCCAAAGGGCAGAATCGAGGATCGCAGAGCTTGAGACGCAGCTCAGGATGGCCACGAAAGAGGCGGACGCTGTTCGCGAGGCGAGAGCACACGATGCACAGGATCTTCTTGCGAATGCCAAGAAGCGTCTAGAAACCTTGCACGCTGAGGTGAGTTGAGTTTCGATGATCTCAGAACCACCATTGACGTCTTGTAGCTTTCTGAGGTTAACAACGGAGAGTCGCCCGAGCACTTACCCGAGCACCAGAGGATCCTCGAGGAGCTTGTCGCTAACAACACGTTGTTGAAACACGATGCCGCCGAGCTCTCTCATTCACTTGTGGAATCTCGTGATGAGGTCCGCACCCTCAGAGACGAAATCGAATCTCTTCGCGCATCCATCGGCTCGTCCCGGCTGGCTTCTCCTATAGACCAATACCCTCGCCTCGCCCATGAGCTTAGTCCTCGTTTCTCCCATTCACGCACCGAGTCTACACCTATACCGGGATGGAACCAATCCAGGCTCAGCCCTTGGGAACATAGTCGTAAACTTTCTACCGGCATCGCTGGGCTAGGCATGGGCCCAATAGGCGAGGCTGAAGGGAGCGTTGCCTCAGGTGATGTCAGATCTACGCCGGTCTCACCCGTGGTGGAGAGTCCTCAACAAGAAACGAGACCTTCACCTGGAGGTGGAATAGGATATATGGTCAATGGGGTTCTCAAACATCGACCTGCGTCTGCCAGATTCAGTGGCGACTCGCGTGTTATGAGGAATTATGCTGTAAGTGTGCGAGCATCGTCGAAAACATGTCACTGACGAGTAACGTAGTCACGCACAATCGGCTCCATTGATGAGACAATATCACAGGACGAACCTCAATCGCCTGGCTCAGACTACTTCCGCGCCGCTGATATCAGTCGAAAACGCCGCTCTCTGAGACTCTCCCGCCAGTTCACCCCATCTCCCAACGACATTTCAGACTACTCGCCGAATGCCTCGACCATGGTGGACCAATCTACCTCAGTTGATCTCCCTTCCCCCGTCTCCGAATCTGCCGTTCCGGAAAGGAAGTTTGAGAGTCCGAAGCAGGCGTCTAGGAGGACGCTGCTACTTTTGACAAAGTCCAGAGGCGTGCAGACAGATCCGATACCGGAAGAGAAGGTGACAAGTGAACGAGGACGAACACAAAAGATCACTACTGCTTCGTCATCAAGAGACACCTCGGCCACCGGCGGCAGCAGTGCTTTTGCAACACCAAATCCTGAAGACGGCCCTGCGAGCTCGCTTCTGGTGGTTGTCGAGCATATGAGCCGCATCCTGGCCAAGCTACGTGCTGCCGACGTGCCTACCCTCAACAAACGTCTGAAGAAGGCCAACCTGTCCGGGGACGTCATGCATCTCTCACAGACGACTCTCCGTTCTCTCCAACAAGAGATCAGCGAGGTACGCCATCATTTCCGAGGTATCCACAACTTTGGCATGATTGATCCCCGCGATTTCAACCTTCTCCTTCGTCTTATGAAGGACGTCTTCAATGACCTGGTCGAACTCCAGGCGGTTGTGAACGACGTCACCATCACGCCGGCTGTGGCAAAGAAGCTTCAGCGAGCTGCCTACAGGGCCGAAGAAGACGAGGCTGCCAAAGCAAGCAACGTATCATCTGGTCTGGGCTGGATCGCAGCGCCCATCACCAAATTCTTTGTCACTCCCGCAGACGCTGAAGGCGATGCAGCAAACGATACCAGCCCCGGTCTCGCAGCGGTCGCAGGCCTCGACAGAGGCAAGTCTATGACTATGCCCAGGAAGGCTGTGCCAAAGCAGCAAGCGATGGCGAGTGCAACTGCGACCCATGTGAGCGTCAATTTCGGTGGGACGGGGATGGTGAGGAAGATTGCGCCTGCAGTGGGCCTATCGGGACCTGGGGGTGAAGCACTGTCAAGTCCTGTGCCCCCTGTGGATCAGAGGGCGGTGTCAGGGCCAGCGACTCTAGGAAGGTCGAATGGGGGACTAGCGCCGCCGCAGACCATCAGAACGCTAAGGAGCGTCAAGTCCAAGGCGAATCGGAATGATCTACTAGGAATATTCGCAGGTGCCGCCCCTCGATCTTCCACCCCAGAACCCTGGACGGTAGTCAAGCCTCCAGATGCAGGCTCGAGAGCCGCTAGAGGCCGTCAGTATGAGGAAAAGACCGTCAGACCTTTCGCTATGGACAGGAAGAAGCTATCATCGGCCGTTGACGCTGTCATCGATCAGTCTGCCATCGAAGAGGACGATGATGTGGCGATAGCTGGGAGCTATGAACCACCACTTCTAGAAAGACAACTACGCCCTCGTGGCTTGTCAGATAGCAGCATTCGGTCAACTACCGTCAGTCTCGCAAGGGATTTCACCCACCATATTCCGGCAGCTGCCCCAGCACCTAATAGAGCTGCCGCCTACGGTACCACGCCGTCGACAAGTGGCTCAGTGTTCCAGACGCTATCGAAGAAGTTCTACAGCTTCCGTGCTCCCGAGACACTCTCGCCGGAGCCCGAAGATAGTTCCCAGCTGGGCAGTACACCACCCCAGCCACCCTTGATCACCAAACAAATCCCTTCTCCTGCTCGCCCGATACCTCGCTCCCCATCCCGAGCATCGTCCGTTTCGACTACAACCTCTTCTACCCGGGGCGATCGCTCGTCACGCCAAACGGGAGCGTCGCCTGTCACGGCCAGCTCTTCACAGACGAGGTTCTTTGGGTATATTGCCAACTCGTTAGCACCTGGTTCAGAGGCGCTGGAGCAGGGTATGGAAGGGGAGCAGGAATTCGTGGGAGGGAATTTCAGGCAGGGAGCTATGTTGGGGCACGCGAGGCTGGATAGTGGCAAGCAGAGGAACATCTAGATGCGTTCCACGCTGTAATTTTATGTTCAATTCATGTTCCGAACGGACGCTTCTTGACGCCTTTTATGGTTCTCATTTAGATACTATTTTATTGCACGATTAACGACCTTCAACATCTCTACCACATACATATATCTATATTCATATCATCTTACTTGGTAGCCCATGTTTCATCTACATCCACTTCGCCTTTTGGCTCGTTTTGTATGATGTGCTGCCGGTAGTCCATCATCAGGCTCTTGCAACCGACGTTTGTCTCGAAAGAATGTGTGGGGTTGACTCTATGATAATACATACAACATGGGTTTGACCACGCACATATGCAGCTCTCGAATTGATGCCAGGCCACCTGCGCCTATTGTCTCCTACCAGGCCGCCGCTGTCGATGATCAGTCACTCCCACCCATATCTGCTTGGTTCCCTTACCTTCCCTCTGCCGCACCTCTTCTCCAGCATCATCCTCCTCCCTGCCCCACCCAGCAATGGAAGCGATATGCTGGAAAACCATCCTGGGCCGTCTTTCAACGTCCTGGCGCTTACCTTCGATATCCCGAACTATGAGAGGGTGGACGTGATTAGAGGTGAAGACCCGGCTGGTCGAGAGCCGGATTTAGAGGTGTCTCCCCGGAATACCAGCAGACTCGGTGGAGGATGGGACTGGGGAGCTTCTCATGAGGTTATCACGATTTCCGCGGCCCCCGCTCTCCCCTCTCCTCCACCCTCGCCTGTCTACAACACCACCCACCACCGACGACCTCCATCCATAACGACAATCGCCCCTCCCACAGCTCCCTTTCAAGTTCGCCCCACCTTTACTGTAGAGGCGAGAGCCATACAAGAAGCTGATGACCTCCTGCGTCGTCGGCTCTCATCATCTCAACGGGCAGGAGAAGGGGACGAGGGTTCTGCCATATGGTTCGGTTGACCGCTCATTGCACGTCTGGTACTGGTGGTGTCGAGGAAAACCCTGCGGTATCAAGAGGCGGCCATAAAAGATAGACTGACCCGGATAGCAGGCATGGATAGCAGAAGTGTTGGAGAGAACGAGGATGCAAGGCTGTGCTATTCATAAATTTCATAGGCTGGCATTTGTTTTGACCACTACCGATCTCTTGCGGCGATCACCGCCCTTCTTATCTTTCCTATTTTGTACCTGATCCGGATCCGAAACGGCCATTTTCGAGATGGACTTGGTCGCAATCTTGTTATTGCATCGTGTACCCGTCTTCTCCTCGAAAGTCATCATATCCACAACATCCGGCTAGATGTCTCAAGCCTCGTCAAGTGCGGAAGTGCCAGGCTCTCAGCAGCACCCCCCGCCCGTGCCAACCTCTAAACCTCCACCTCTGCCGACCACCACTGCACTCGTGGTGGCAGGCGTCACTCGCAAACAGAACATCGCCTGCGACCAATGCAGAACCAAAAAGATCAGATGTCTGAGAGCAGACAAGACTGAGATTGTGAGTTGCAGGTTCAGACATCAGTGATAGTCAAAGCTGACTGGCGCGTGACTTACAGTGCGTGCAGTGCAAAGCCAAGGCTTCAGAGTGTACCAGTGAATACATTGATTCTCTAGCAAACAAGAAGAAGAAACTGGACGACGACAGTAGCTCCTCCAAGCGAAAGAGAAAGAAGAAGGAAGATGAGTCTCCTCGTCAAGCGGCAGCCATACTTGCACCGGCACCCCACCAGAGACCCGAGCCAAGCAGGAATGTCAGCGCCGAAACACTCAGGGGCCATACACCTTTCTCCTCTATAAGAGGCGACATGTCTGCTGGCCTCAGCATAGTCCCCGTGAACCATGGTTCAGGAAGTGAATCTGCTGCCAACAGCACAGAAGATTTCGTCCAGATAGCCGAGTCAGTCAACGTGCTTGTACTTGATCGTTTCACTGACGGACATCAGCTCTCTACGTCAACTCGCTCAACCAGAACCTTCGATGCCCCAGAACTCCTCCTATACCCTCCCTTCTCAAGTACCGCTTCCTCCTACGACTATAGCGTCCTTTACCCAACAACCATCCCCATCCGAAAAGCAGCAGCGCCTCTTCCGGTATCTCTTCTCTGCCCATCCGGTACTGTCTGGCGAGCTTGGGTATATCGATACCTCCAGTATTGAGCAATGCGCGCGATGCGAATCTGATCTTTGGGATGAGATGGGTGGCATGGTCTGGGAAGAAGGCCCCAGTGCTGCACACGCCTCCATGGATGATGATGCGTTGGACAAGTTGGCTCTTCCTGCTATGTATCGACAACAGCTGATTATCATCTCAGGTTGGTAGAAGAACTCATAGAGCAATACTTTTCCACTGTACATCCCCGCTATCCTTTCGTCGACCCTGCCACCTTCCACGCCCGCCTATACACTCCCAATACCCACCCCGAAGGCGCACTTCCCCATCCCTTGCTGGCTACCGTCATCGCTTGGGGCGCTAGAATGAGTGACTGTGAGCTCATCCAAGCTGACAGAGAGGAGTGTTCAGCAAGGGGGGTGCAGGAAGAGGGCAGGAAAAGAAGCCGATTAGTTCAGGTTGTCAGCATCAGGACGAGGGAGGTATGTGAGAGTCGGAAGATCTGGAGATGGGCGAGCATGGATAATGTGAGGGCTTTGTTGAATTTGGAGGGGGTTTTGGGGCGTGAGTTACAAGTACACGGCGATGCTTTGCGATGCTGACTTGGCGATAGAGGTCCTCCATCAAGGCAAACGTGAGTTGACCCAATGTTGTCATGTCGCTGTAGATATCAATGGCGTCGCAGACTATCAAGCAACCTATGCGTCAGCGGCTGTCAAACATCTCATTTCCTTTGGATATCACTCGACGAAAGGTGTGATGACTATAAAAGATAGCAAAGAGCGAAGCGACACAATCCACATATTCTGGCACGTCGTATCGAATGACGGTTACCGAGCAGTGTTTCAACAGATGAAGCCCTCTTTGTAGGTGTCTTCCCAGTTGCTGAGTTGTTATGCGGGCTTATATGCTACTAGACTCGACGAAGACTACGATTTGGAACCACCTGGCAAGAATGTAGATTTCCGGAAAGTCACATACATCGATGAACCCATAAACGAACTCGTAAGACGAATCATCCCCTTCTGTCCTCTCTGACTGACAAGCCCTCAGGCCTGGTTCTCGGCTGTCGAGAACGGTGCTTCAATCTGCCGCGCCCTCGCCCTCTCCCTCTCGTCCCCTCTAACACACACCCGGGGCATTCCCCTCACCCTCTTACGCAACTTTATACACGCCGCAGATGCCTATCAAGAAACCTTCCACCGTATTCTCCATCTCTCTTCCGACTGGCCCGAAGACTTTTTACAAGTGATCAGGGCGTGTGCGCATGATACGTCGTATCACGCTCTATGGCTGGTAGTACAACGCGCGGTGGCAGAGTATGGGGTTGAGGATGAAAAAGAGCCGGGGCAGGGAAAGAAAGGGTTCAGTGGGATGGGGGTGGGAGCGGAGGTAGAGGGTGTGAAGAAGAGGATACAGGGTGAGAGTGAGCATGCGGCCCTGAGGATCGCTGCAACGGTGGCAGTGTTGATGGAGAACGGGTACTTGCGATCAGACCCGTAAGCGATATTAGTCGATGGTAGACAGTGGCTGACACTCCGATGATAGACTGATAATCAACCAACCCATATACGAAGCGGGCCTCTACCTCGCTAAGCACGGCAAAGTAGAATGTCTTGCGTGTATAGTGGGGTTGAAGCAGTACTCGACGACGTTCCCAGCCATCTGGTCCCAGGTCAAGGAATTGGAGCGAGTGTATGAGAACCAAGTGGCACAGGATCCATCTGTGGGGCAGGTGGGTACCCAGACTGAGCCGAATGAGCAGCAGAAGCAAGCACGGCTTGAAGAGGGCGTTAATGAGATATGGCAAGACATGCCACGAACGTTTTGGTAGAGGTGAGCTGAAGGTCGAGTCGACGGTTGGTTAAGATCTTGTGGCGATGGCGGTCGTAGCGTACTGAGGGCTATATAATGTAGATAGGTGATGCAATGGGTTCCAAGGATGTTGACTTCTGATCAGTTCCATCTGCTTCTTTTCCTATGACGACATTGCGAAAATCTGATGATCTGGTATGCTATACATCTCCATCCCTTAGATCTCAGCAACCTCCCTCAACCTCCTGATGGTAGATCGAACGGTGGCAGCGGAAGGGGTACCGAAGGTGTAAGCACCGCCGGCGTAGGCCTTGTTGCAGCCCTTGCAGTTCCAGATACCGACGTTGGATCGCTTGACGGCGACCTATAGACAATGTCAGAAAAGTTATTGATTGTGAGAAAAGGGACTGACCTTGCCACAGTTGGGGCAAGAGTATCGAGCGTGCTGAGTGATTTCCATCTTCTTGACGCTGTACGATGTTATTCGATGATCCAACAAATATGTTGAATTGACTCACGTCTTCCTGAGGGAAGCACCGTAACGGGTACCGTATTTACCGGTCACACCGACCTTCTTGGTTCGCTTGGTCTAAGAACGAGTCAGCAATGAGGATGAAAGAGTGTGTTTGGCAATGGGTGGGCAATGGCTTTCGACGGATTTCGGTGTTTTTCGATGTGCGATTCAGCGGTGAGAAGCATGGTCTCCCGTGTCGATATGGCGAAGCATGATGACTGTTGGCGATGGAAGATGATCGAAGCCCAATCCCCACCCCAGCTCCCCTTCCATCAAATCTTCCCACACCTCTTCACCACCACCCATTTCCACCTCCCCTCGTCCGTGTTGTCGTTGTATCCTTGTCGAGTGCCATCGCCATGCCCGTTGCAATGTCGCTGCTGAGTACTCACCATGTTTTTTTGTGGAAATAACTTGACGGCTGAGAGAGAGGAAGTCACTCGAAAAACCTCAAATCGTGGCCAGCACTGCTCTGCAATTTGATCCCGTCATTTGGTCCCGCGCCACATTTCGCGAAGGGTGCTTATCACCGACAGACTCGCTGTTCCTGAGTGCATGAATCATGATGCATAGGTGCGGTCCTCATCACCATCTTCATCGCCATCGCGACGTACCCGTGCATCCTGCTGGCACTATGATTGGGCTATTCGATGTCCCATGAACGACCTTCCGCCATCCTGTACGCACAGCGTATGTCTACCCCAGCCAACAGCCACACGGTACTCTCTTGCATCTGACATCATCCGGTATGAGATCTGACGGGGGAGCTCTCGGCCTGAATTCACTGCCAAGTATGTCACCATCACACAGCTGCATGATGTGCGTTCTTTCGACCGCCTTCAAGCCATCGCGACCAATGTACGGCCGACGACATGTAGGCCATCATCTAGGATCTAGGGACTCTTTCCATCACTTAGGTACACTCGACCTCGGTAAAGATGGCAAACATAATGATACAGTATATAGGGCCCATCGCCAGTCCATCACATGGCTCTCCCACCCATCTCTTCTTACCACGAGCAGCCCGCCCATGGACATTGATCAGTGATGGTCACCTATATCGATATCCCCTCAGCTCCCAAGCGCCTCGCTTACATCCTGTCGAAACCGGGTAAAAGAGTCGCTACTGAAATCGACCCGTCCTTCCCCACCGTATACCTCTGTCACCCGCCATGGACCAATGGCTACTTCTAGTTTGACCCTATCCCTGTTTGTAGTGGATATAGAAAGTTCATCGTTACCGTAGCTATCCTCAATTGGAGGACTCTTCGTTGAACCAGCACTACAATCTGCTTGCCGTTGACTTGCCCGGGCACGGACCCAGTCGTATCAAAGAACCTTTGGAAGGTAAGATTTCATGGAAACGAATGAGCCTCATACTCTATGAGGCTTTCGTGAGTCCCCGCATCTCAGCTCATTACGGATGTTGACTAGTTTGAAGCAAGCACTGGACGTCAAGAAAGCCCATCTTCTTGGGAATGACATGGCCGCACTGGCGCCTATGTATATGGCTATAGGCCATCCCGAGATAGCTGAGAGCTTGATTATGATCAATCCACTTGGACCACCCGAACCAGAATCTGACCTCATGGTATTCTAAGAATGGTTTGCCGTGAGTCGTCCGCCTATAAAAACGACAATCAGAAGCTGACTTGTATCCTCTCCTGTCAGTTGCAAGCAGAGCTTATGGAGTCCCAAAATCCGGATCTCCTCGATATCCTGGACACCATCCTTGTCAAATTCTGCACGGGGCAGATGTCGAATTGGATCCTCAGAGATATCTGTGATGGTCTGGCCGATTTGGCGAGAGCTAAACTGCTCTGTGGAGAAGTGAGCGCAAATTCCAGATGCCTTCAGAGGATGGATCCAAGGCTGACCAACAGCTGCTAGTATGAGGCTTACCACAGAGTATTCATGGCCCTCTTGACAAGTAGATTTGCGGCGCCTTCCACGGAAGAGCTATCTAGGATGGACTTTCCTACCCTCATCATCGAAGTGCGTTGTGCCCCTCGTCTTTTCGTCTGCTTATGTGTTCTAGTCTCACACTATAGAATTTTGTCCCGGGGGAGGAAGACGATCCTGACTCCGGAATTGACGTATGGGTCGATATTGTGGGCAAGCTCAACGCTCTGTCCGCCTCACGCGGCAAGCCTTCTCTCGCAGCACGACATGCACTGGTCGGAGAGTCAATCACCAAATCCAACTCCACCTCTCGCTGGACCACGATGACCCACCCCGGGCTGTAAGCCACTTCCATGCTTCGTAGACGACTGACAGACGAACGTAGCCTCACACCTCTGCTGAAAGACTTCATCGAAAACACCACTTCCTTTTCCCTCTTCGCCCAGACTGAAAGTCACCTTGGCCGTTGTCAGCCACGTGAACCCGAGTATCCTCCCGACCTAGGTGACATCCTGCAAGGTTCATCAGCAGCGTCGTCAAGTCAGGGTGCGATCAAGACATGGGCGGATCTTGTCGATGAGATGCAGCAGGGTGAAGGGATTTCGGAGGTGTATGTGGAAGTAGAGGAATAGGATAGTATGTACTTGATCTGCACGTATTCCATCGTATACGCTGAGATTGTGACTTCTAGACGCCTGGTGTCGACTCATGGATCTCGAGGTAATTAGTAGTGTCGTCGCTGCCGCGTTACCCCGAACCCCGAAGAAACCGTGAAGCAGGAACTCCAAGCGTGACGGTCCTTTAATCACCTCCGATCCCTCGTGTGCATGTGTGGTATCCAGGTCATCTAGGAACCCAACTGATAGATTTGCTCTTGCGCCCCCGGATGCCTTGGACACATAAAAGCGACATCTTTTTGCTATCAACCCTTAACTGATCATCAATCAATCATGGTCACTTATATCGACATCCCATCAGCTCCCAAGCGCCTTGCTTACATTCTGTCGACTCCGGGCAAAAGAGTCGCTACTGAGATTGACCCGGCCTACCCTACCGTGCTCCTCTGTCATCCGCCAACTGCCTGTGGATACTACTACTAGTAAGTCCCCCATTGCAGTTTCTGAAAGCTCACCGTATCATAGCTATGGTCAGCTGGAGGACCCCTCTCTGAATGAGCACTACAATCTTCTCACGATTGACATACCCGGGCACGGTGCATCTCGTATGAAGGAGCCTTTGGAGGGGGAGATCACATGGGGGCGGATAGGCATGCTCTTCCATGAGGCCTTGGTGAGTCCTGGTATGCCAGCTCATGACAATGTTGACTTGTCTGCAGCAAGCTTTTGGTGTCAAGAAAGTCCATCTTGTCGGAAGTGACATGGGTGGACAGGCCGCCTTGTCCATGGCTATAGCTCATCCCGAGATGGTTGCAAGTTTGATCATGCTCAGGCCGAATGGCCGACCTGAGCCAGAAATTGTTGCTATGGGGTTTGTAGAATGGTTTGCCGTGAGTCATCCCCATCTCTAAACGGAAGCCAGCAGCTGACAAGTACCGTTCTCGATCAGCTTCAAGCAGAACTCATAGAGTCCAGAGACTTGGATCTGATCGATATCTTGGTTTCTATCCTTCTGGAGTTCGTCACCGGGCAGATGACAAACTGGATCCTGAGGGACATATGCGAGGGTCTGGGAGATCTGTGCAAAGCCAAATTCATGCGGGGGGAGGTGATTTTATAATGTTTGAGGTTGGGTGCATGGCTAACCAAAGATGTCAGTATGAGGCTTTCCACAGCGTATTCTTTCCACTCTTGATAGCTTCAGTGGTGCCCTCCGCTGAAGACCTGACCAAGATGGACTTTCCTACCCTCGTCATCGAGGTACGTTGTATAGCTCGCCTGTCCATATTGCGCACTGACCCCTCGCTCTAGGATGTCGTCCGCATGGAAGGAGATGAAGATGGTCATGATCTGATCCCAGTCAACAAAGTATGGGTCGAAATCATTGACAAGCTCAATGGCCTCGCCGCCTCACGTGGAAAACGTCCACTCGCAGCACGACATGCTCTGGTCGGAGAGGGTGTCAACAAATACGGCGCCGTCTCTCGTTGGACCGCTCTCACCCACCCTGGACTGTAAGCCACGTCCGTGTCTCGTAGACAATCACTGACAGATATCTGTAGCGTCACACCTATGATCAAAGACTTTGTCGAAAACACCACTACCTCTTCCCTGTTTACCAACACTGAGAGTCCCCTTGGCCGCTGTCAACCCCGCGAGCCCGAATATCCTCCCGACTTTGGCGACATTCTGGATATTCTACAAGAGTCTTCCGCAGCATCAAGCAGTCAGGCGGAGACCAAGACGTGGGCGGATCTGGTCAGTGAGATGCAGCAGGGTGAGGCGTCGGCGGTACAAGTGGAAGTCGAGGAATAGAAGTCCTAGGTGTGCACATATTCGATCATATGCATGACAAGATTGTGACTAGCCAGCGCCATGTTCGGCGCACCGATGTCCTGGAAAAAAGTTAGGGACTTACATGTGTACGTAGCAGCTGCAGGGTCAAATCGATAGCGCTCGGTCCCTCGACCCACTTGTTGGCATCTGTATCGGCCGTATCATGCGAACATCGCCGTCTCTCTATGTAGCCGGGATCAGGGACAGGACTACTCGGAGACAAATGGCTGGCTGGGCTCGCCAGGGGTTGTCAGGAAGGACATGACCACACGACTACGAATACATCGTTAGACTGCCATCAGTAATCAGACATCGACACCTCCTCACCCAAGTATATTATATGTAGCTCTCGCCAACGCTGTACGTGTCACTTCTGCGTCTTCCCTTTACATTAACAATGGTCACCTACATCGACGTCCCCTCAGCTCCCGGCCGCCTCTCCTATATCCTGTCCACGCCGGGCAAGAAAGTGGCCGCAACCGAAATCGATCCATCATTTCCGACAGTACTTCTCTGCCATCAACCATGGGTCAATATGTATATCTAGTACGCACCTCCCCAACCTTGCCGAGGCAGAAGCTGACAGTATAAACCAAAGCTATCCTCAATTTGAAGACCCCTCTCTAAATGAGCACTTCAATCTCCTCGCCATTGACTTGCCCGGCCATGGGTTGAATCGTCTCAAGGAACCTCTGGAAGGCGAAATCACATGGCCCCGGATGGCCGGGCTCTTCTATGAAGGTCTTGTGGGTGATCCCCTCACTCCGCATGGAGTAGTACTGATACCACTGCAGCAAGCCTTAGGGTTGAAGAAAGTTCACCTCGTGGGGAGCGAGGTAGGGACCTTGGCACCCATGCATATGGCCATCGCCCACCCGGAGATTGTCGAAAGCTTGACTTTGGTCAATCCGCCGGGGCGGACAGATCCGGAGTCGGTTCTCTTGGGCTATGCAGAATGGTTCGCGGTGAGTCATAAGTCTAGACAGAGGAAGTGAGAGCTGATATGCGAGGGCATCTAGGTCCAAGACGAGGTTAGAGATACCGGTAACCCCGATCTCATCGACATTCTAAGCGCCATCATGTTGGGGTTTTCTACGGGCCAGACGACGAATTTGATCCTGAGAGGTCTCTCTGACGAACTGGCAGTCTTTGCGAAAGCCAAAATGTTTCATGGAGAGATGAGTTCATCCCATCAGGAGCCACCAAGCAAGTCTGACAGAACATGCCAGTTTGTGCCCTTTCACGGCGTGTTCATGCCACTCCTTAAGGACAGATTCTCGGCGCCTTCCCCAGAGGAGCTCTCAAGGTTGGACGTCCCAACCTTGATCATCGAAGTGAGCAGTATCCCTCGCTCCGAGTTGATTTGGCTGACAAGGTCCTCTAGAACGTCGTCATAGGGGACGAAGAAGAGAGCGAGGCAAGCGAAGACGTATGGGTCGACATCGTTGACAAGGTCAATGCTCTCGCCGCTTCACGTGGTAAGCCTCCTCTTGCAACACGCCACACTCTGGTCGGAGAGGCGATCAGCAGATTTCACGCCACCTCTCGTTGGACCACGTTGACACATCCCGAGCTGTGAGTCATTTCTCACCACCTCACCGACATTGACTGACCACAATCTCGTAGGCTCACGTCGCTTCTGAAAGACTTCTTTGTCAAAACCACCTCTTCCTCACTCTTTATTCACACCGAAAGCCCTCTTGGCCGTTGCCAACCTCGCCAGAATGAAACCGCATTCGACGTTGGAGACATCTTCAACTTTCTTCTCGATCCGTCAATGGCATCGGCAAGTCAGGCAGAAGTGAAGACGTGGGCGGATATGGTGAGTGAGATGGAGCAATGTGGAGGAGTGAGTATAGAAGAGACAGAGGTGTATGTGGAGGTCGAGGAGTAGGTCAGGGGGGGGTAGAAAGCCTCCGTGGCCTCATATTGTATGCGTGTTGTATCGAATGGTGGTGGTTATGGTTACCTTGTCATGTATAAAGAAGATTTGTGATGACCACACCCATGCTTCGACAGCGGCGCAATGCGTAAGTGAGCGCATTGACGAGAGCCGTGACGACACATGATGGTGTCCTATCCAGGGCCTGTAGCTTGATCCAGGATACCCCACATTCTTCCGTCAAATCAAGTTGGGCGCATTGTTGTTCAGAAATGCGGCTCTCCCTTCCTGTACGGTGTTTGGGTGGCCTCCGACGAGAGGCTGCCTGGCATCTGCAATGCAGCCTGTCGCTCAACACGCCTGTAAGGGCAGCAGCGCAGGCAGGTTCAAGGGCTTATAAACCTTCCACCCTGCCACAGGCACCAATCATATCTTCTTCCATCGATGCCTCTTGGTTTATTCTGCAAGATGCCCTTCCGATTCGGTTCGAAATCAAAGAATCGTCAACGTCAGGCCAGTACCGCGTCTGCTGACGCCGCCCATCCAGCTGCCGATCATCCAAGATCAAGCCAGAATAGCCCAGCAGGAGGGCCACAAGACAGTCACGCAGACGATTATTACACTGGTACTGAAAAGGTCAGCGAGCATGGGGACCACGAAGGAGATCACCGAGCCGTTGGGGCAGGAGGGGGACAAAGCAGCGGAGAACAGCAAGTAGGAGCGGGACGAGAGCAGCGTCCGCAGGGAGGGACTGAGCACGGCGGGAAATCGGGGCACGCTCGGCAACATGCCAATTCAAGTGTGAGCATTACTACCTTGATTGGGTCAATAGCACAGTTGATGAATTTGCCATGATAGAGGTCACGGACCCCGTCGCCCCCACCTCTTCGTCCCACACAGGAAGAGTTCGCCATGTCGTCCGAGGACAAGTTCAAAGCGGCACATAGAAGAGAGCTGCTCGCTATGAGAGAGATCGGAAGACTTGAGGTCAAGGAGCAGCAGGCGGCAGATGCGGCGGCGGCGCAGAGGTATGATACCGCAGCGAGAAAGTGGCGTTGGTTGAGGGCGAAAAAAGGCGCAGAATTCTTGAGGGAGCAGGCCAAGAGGGAAGAGCTAGAAGGGCTGGGTAAATTTGTGCAGTGAGGGATGTAGGCAAACTGCGAGATGCGCTTGTGGTGAATGAAAAGTAGGGTGATCGAAGTTTGTCGTGCTGTATGATTTAACATGTGTAGTTTTCTTCTTTGTCCCGGAAGGTAGGTTGAGTATTGTGTATGCCATGCTATGGATCCTGTACCTCCTAGGTTTGGTGTGCGTATGGAGCACATCCCCGAGTAGTTGATTACCGTGCATTATTTGGAATTCTGCGTCTTCACACCAGTCATCCGTTTCCCTTTTGTCCCCTACATACCATATACCTAAAGGTACTTGTTCTCCTTCAACCAAGCCTCGACATCCTTGACATCTCTCTCAACCCAGTTGCTAGCAGCAGTGATAGAGTCGTAGGTTTGAGCAACGGCGAGCTTGTACTTGCTGATGTCTACAATTCCGCGAATCAGCCGAATACTTCCATGTATATCTACATGGCGCAACGTACCCTTTGTGTCAAAGAACTTCTTGGTCGCCTCGAGGTCCTCCTTGCTCGTGAGGGAAGCGAAGGCGCCCTTGACGAGGTACACGAGTCCGTAGCCGTCGGGGTATCGCTTCATAAGCTACGAGGGGCGTCAGTGGGGTATGGTTCCCAGCTGGAGGATGGACTTACAGTGTCGTACTCGTCCTTAAAGTACTGAGCAAGTTTGTGCCTAGTGTACCTGTTGGCACCGAGACCGAACTTGAAAACTAGTCAGCATATGATCATTCCGGACATGGTGCACACTTACGAAGCCAATGTAAAGATCCTGGTCCTTGACCTCGGTCTTGAGCATAGCAAAGGTTCGCTCGATCAAAGCCTCGTCCCTAGCACTACAGAGCGCGTACAACGCATCGACCTTGCTTGAAGGGTTGGCGGGCTTCCTGTAGACATCCAAGATCTTTTCGTACTCGGCCTTGCCACCGTGCTGAATGACGTTGATAAAGATGGACCTCTGGAGATCAGGAGGAATACGAGAGTCGTCATTCTTCTCAAGGAAGGGCTGGAATCGCTCCTTGATCTCCTTCAGCGTGCCCTCATCCTCAGCAGCAGCCAAGGTAGAGATGGCGAGCTCTCGCAACTCCTTGACGTCCGGCGCATCGTCCTCGGCATTCTCAAACCCAAGCTTGTCGCCCAAAGGCTTGAAGAGCTTGACCCTGAGCTTGTTGACGGCCTTGCGCACGTCCTCGGGCTGTTCCCACCAAGCCCCGACGACCCTGCTGAGGGCAGCACCGATCTGAGACCAGGGCAAGAACTCGGTCTCGTCTCGGCCGAGCTCGTTGATGAGCGAGAGGGCACCGCTGGTCTTGCCGTAACCCGCACGGGCGAGGGTAGCAGCGTCAGACACGAGACCGACCCGGTCCTCGATAGTAAAGCTGGAAGCCTGCTGACCGAGCTTGACGAGACGCGCAGGAGAGTAGGCGACGCGGTAGACACCGATGGTAGAAGCGTTGAGCTTGAAAGAGTCGGTGTTGGCGACGTCGAACGTGCCGGTACGGTCTTGCAAGATGGCCTTGTGGTCGACAGAGACCTTGCCAGACTTGTCGAGGGTGGCGATCTCGAGAGGGACGTACCAGAGGGTCTCGTCATCTTCGGGCTTGACGTCGCCAGTGGAGAGGAATCGGTTCTGGGTGACGGTGACCTTGCCCTCGGCAGACTCGTCAACCTGGATCACGGGGAAACCGACCTTCAATGTCCAGTTCGCCATAATCTTGGCAACGTCGAGTCCAGAGGCCTCAGAGATACCATCCCACAAGTCCTTGGTGACGGCGTTACCGTAAAGGTGCTTCTTGAGGTAGATGGAGACACCCTTCAAGAACTTTTCCTCTCCGACGACACCTGCAAGCATTCGCAAGACACTGGCGCCCTTGGAGTAGGAGATGGAGTCGAAAATCTGAGCGATTTGGTTGGAGTCGGGGCAGTCGACCTCGATGGGGTGACTGGAGCGCTGAGAGTCGAGCTCGAGCGCGCTCTGCAAGTGGGTCTTGAGGAACTCGGCACGAGGCTTCCATTCCGGCCACACTCGCTCGAGGATGATCAGCTCGCCCATGAGGGTGGCGAACGCCTCGTTCAACCAGAGTTGACTCCACCACTAGTAGGTTATGGTCAAGATTGGCGAAATGATGCGGTGTATAAAAATTGAGGACAAGGAGTGCAAATATATGATAGGGATGAGAAGAATGATTCGTCAGCGCAAACCGGGACTCAATGACTCTAGACTAACCTCCATGGTGACGATATCACCAAACCACATATGAGCAAGCTCGTGGCACTGCACCACAGCAACCCTCTTCTTGGCGGAAAGGGGCGACTTTTTAGGGTCAAACAAGTAGGCAGTAGTTCGTCCAGTAATCAAACCCCAATTCTCCATCGCACCAGCATCAAAGTCGTGCGCCACAAGCGTATCAAGCTTGGGCAAAGGGTAGGGAATATCAAAGATCTCTTCATAAACCGGCAACGCCCACTTTTTAATGTCGAGCGCGAATTGGGCCTGCTTGATTTGGTCCTTGGTAGCAAAGATCTTTAGGGGCACAGTCTTGCCGGTGAGCTTGGACTTGTGCTCGCTCTCGAGATGCGCAAAGTCACCCGAAGCGTAGGCGACGAGGTATGTACTCATGAGGGGAGAAGTCTCAAACTTGCTAATCTTCCACTCGTCAGAGCTTCCAGACGTCTCGGTCTTGCCCTCCGTCTTGGCGAAAGAGTTGGCGTTGCCGAGGAGGGAACCGATCTCGTAGTTGTCGGCAAAGACATTGTCGATGGAAGCGTTGGAGGGGGCCTTCCAGGGCTTGGAGGAGATCTCGGGCATGTTGGAGAGGTTGGTGTTGCCGTTGCGGGAGATCATGGAGAGGGTGAATTTGGACTTGATCAGGGGCTCGTCCCAGCATCTACCAGAGTTTAGTTTGGGCAGATAGAAGAGGGGCATACTTACGGGAAAGCCTTTCGTGCAGCAGTAGCCTCGAATTGAGTCAAACCGTAGCTATACCAACATCAGATCATCCTTCAACGAGTGAGACAGCACTCACATGGGCTTCTTTCCATCCTCATCCGCATCGCCTTCGCTCCTGTAGTACCCGTGCATGGCACTCTTCAACTCAGACTCGAATTTGAAGAACACCTTGACATCCTTCTGCCCCTGCTTCAAACCGCCCCCAGGCAACATGTCAAGCGGCACCGTCCCCCTCTCCTTCTCCTCATCAATCTTGAGCTGTTCCTTGGGGATCACCAAAGACGCCGTCGTCTTCAAATCAGACGTCGAGATGGCAATGTGCGTGACGGCAAGCTCCTTGTCGAGGTGAAACACCAGCGCCGAAGTGTTTTCTTCAACATCAAGAGTGACGATGAGCTCACCAGAGAAGGTAGGAGGGGAGGAGAGGAGGTCGGTCTTGACGACCAAGTCGTAGTGTTTGGGGTGGACGTCGGTGGGGAGGCGGTAGTCGTCTTGAGCGGTGACGCCCCCGGTGGGGACGGCGGTGGTGGCAGACATGTTCTCAGAGTCGTGGCTGCAGAAACAGAGATTGCGGCGGGTTGAACCAAGCTTGGTCCTCTGGAGGTGCTGTCTGTGGTTCTACAGTAGGCAAAGTATATCAGTGTGAAGGGCCACGCACGGGGGGAGAGGCGTACGAGGAGGGAAGAGCGGAGTGGGCTGTGGGCCAGGGCGGGCAGTTGGCGGAATACTTGCGGTGTCCGTGTCAGTTGCTGATTCCTTGCGAGGGCGCGGGAGAGCATCAAGGGATACAGAGACAGGAGAGCGGATGGATGGATCACAACGCAACGCGGCTTCCTCCACCTCCACCCGGCGCCTATTCTCGAGGCCCACTCTACGATATGGCAATGCATGCACAAAGACACTTTATGTTGAATAACAAGACAAGGGGGGACCGGAAGCAGTATATACGTTAGAATACAAGATTGGGTTTACTGATTTTACTTTGTCATGATGTTGAAATCTAGCTATATGGCGGGCGGGTACAGTGTCTAATGTCGCGCAACGCTGGGCGATCGGATGAGGGTCAAGAACTGTAAAGGTGAGCATATGAATCCCATAGTAGCAAAAGAGCTAACCTCTTCTCGAGTCTTTTGCTGCTGTCTGAAGCAACCGAGCATGGTGCTGGTGACTGTGGTAGCGCCAGGCTTCTGAACACCTCTCATGGACATGCACATGTGGCTGAATGATATCAGAAACAGCTAATTGACGCAATAATCCACTCACGAAGCTTCCATGACGACGGCAACACCACGGGGTCGGATAGCCTCCTCGACAGCCAAAGCGACTTGCTTGGTGAGTCGCTCCTGTACTTGAAGCCGACGGGAAAAGGTCTCGGCAATACGCGCGAGTTTGGAGAGACCAAGGACAAGCTTGTTGGGGATGTAACCGATAGAGATCTTTTGCAAGTGTCAGCAGTTGAAACCCATCAGAAGCAGATGACTCGCCTTGCCGGTGAAAGGCACCAGGTGGTGCTCGCAAAGACTGAAAACCTCGATATCCCTTACAATCACCATCTCGTCATGGTCCTCGGCAAACACGGCATCATTAATGACGCTGACCAGTCTCTCCTCGTATCCCTTTGTCATCCACAACAAAGCCTTGGCGTATCGCTCGGGCGTACGCTGCAAGCCTTCACGGTCGGGATCTTCGCCGATGCACTCCAAGACGGTACGCAAAGCCGAGGTGAGGAGTTGCTGGTTGGCGGCCTTTTCTTCGGGGGTAGAGTGCAAACGGAGGTGGGTAGACTTGGCTGCACTTTGCGTCAGCCCGAGATTAAAGAGTCATCAAAGCGAGCTTACCGGGCCAACCCAGACCATGCTCATCAGCGATACCAGCAATGTACCCACTGCTGCCACCAGTGCTCACAACACTCTTGGCAGCATTGACCAAACTATCATGATCCAACCCATCCTTTACAAGCTCCTCCCTGATCTCACCCTGCAGCTCGGCCATAGTCTTTCCATCAGGCCTGTGGTCCATGTCATCATCATCCTCCTCCTCCCTCGCGTTCAAGCCAGCCCCGGCCCGGCTCGTACTGGGGAAAGGATAGTTTACACTTCCAGCAGCAGGGTTGGTGGGAGTCGTTTGGCCCGAGGCGGGTCGGAAGCCGTAGCCTTCCCGGGGCTGGCGGGGGTAGTGAGGCGCAGTGGGGAACGCTTGACGGCCCGTAGCAGGGTTGGGGCGGGAGAGCTTCTTGTCTTCAGGCCAAGGTCGGGTGGCCCCGCCTTCAGCTGGCGCAGGGGAAGAAGCAGATGCAAGGGACTCTGGCAAATGAGCAGAGCCGGTGGGGGGCGAACGGGCGTTGTTGGCCATTCTTCCTCGCTCCCATGAACCGGTGGAAGACTCGGAGAGGAGGTCGAGGTTGTTGCGGTTCTGGGTGGGGATGGGGCGGGCGGACTGGGGGACGGGGGGGTCTGCGGGATGGGCGGGCATTGTCGCAGAGGGGCGAGCGAGTCACTGTCACAACAATTTCTTGACAATTTCCAACAACTTGAAGTGGAGACATGATCGACTTTCGGCAAACTTCGTGCCCAGTCACGGCTTACGTAAATCGGAGCGCGCCACTTTGTTTGGTCCGGCGGCGGTCATGCTGAAGGTTGAAGAGCTACATCGCTTGCTGCAAGGTTTACTACTAAGGCTACACTGTTCTCTGTCTCTGCTGCTATCGTATCAATCATACAAATGGCACAAAAGTACACTGTCCCCGCGTCTAATAACGATGGGTTCGACGGTGATGAGTTGACGTAGTCGTCGTGGTCGTCGAGGGCGCAGTGGTATGGGCCCTGTGGGTGTGGCGGCGGTTGTGCGACTTGGCAGGGAGGTGGAAGAAGTGACGAATACGCGTGCCGAGGCCGGGTCTACACAGCATGTCAGTATCTCTATTATCAAGACCAGAGCTTACATACCGAGTAGACCTCATGCCCATCGCGTGGAGCTCGTGCTGGGCATTGTCCCTACCAGCATGTGTGGTTCGGGGGTTGTTGATAGCCTGTCGACGGTTAGCAATGGTCTTCAAAGTCAAGTTGTGACTTACAGCCCTGAGGCCGCGAGCACGGTTGTCCCTGTAGACGCCGTGGTGGTGGTGGTGGGTGGTGGTGCGAGGTGTTCGGAAAGGCATGACGGATGACTGGGTGGTGATGAGAAGAAAAAGAGGAATGGACGGTGAGCGGCTCTCTGATATATCTTCACGAGTCGAGGTGACATCACTCCCATCAGCTCAAAGGAATGGCCCCACCTGAGTGTCCGTGCGGTGAACTGATCTGCGCATCTCTCGTCATCAATGCATCTGTCCTCTACGCCTTCTCAAACTCCTTCTTCGCCAACACCATCTGCTCGTCCAGCTCCTTGCACATCTCATCCACCAGCTTCTGCACTGCATCCGTCCCATTCGCCTTTCGCCCGCCGAGAGCCTTGAAGCCGTCGGTACGGGCGGTACGGATCTGCGTTTTGGCGGTTTCGGTCGTTTGTGACAGTTGGCGGAGGATTTCGGTGCGTTGTTCGACTGTTGGTCTGCAGAGAGGGTCAATACTGAGAGAGGATACGATATGCAAGACTGACCGAGCGACGGGAATTTTGAGCGTCGTGCCGCCCATTCTTTGTGGAGAGATACCGGGAAGGTTGGCACCGTGAATAGCAGATTCTACCTGCTTCAACGACTTGAGACATATCAGTGCTGCCCCATCATAGCTCTTATACACTTACAGCACTATCCCAGACCTCGACAAACAAGGTGTTTCCCTTGACCGTGACAGACGCCAACGAATTGAGATGGACAGTTCCAGGCGTATCGGGAATCGTCACTCGAACCGAATCCAGAATAGCTATCCTCCCATCAGCCTCACCCTCGCATCTCAAGTGCAAATTTCTCACCAGGAGTCACCCTTCCCCTTCCCCTCTCGACACCTTCAAACACAACAGCCTTCGCCCAATGAACCGCCTTCTCCATCTTCCCCCTAGCCTTTTGCACCACCTCCTCGATCACCACCTCCCCAGCTCCCTCCGCATCGGCCGCACCGGCTTCGTCATCTTCCGTCACTCTGATCTTTTGTTTGGGCGATTTGGCGCCTTGGCCGTGTTTGTTCTTTTTGAGAGTGGGGAGGGTGGAGGAGAAGGGGCGGACGAGTAGGGCGGTGGATAAGGCTGGGGAGGCGATGGGGGTTGTTCGGGGGGTTCTTGGGATAGCGCGGAGAGAGCTTCGGAGGGCGAAAGGTCGCATTTCGATGCTCTTATGTTGTTATATGCGAGAAAGACGGGTTGTCCGACTTTTTGTAGCACCGACTTTGACAAGACTTTGAGCGAGATGACGCGCCAGAGTGGTGCACGTGACTTTAAAAAGTTGACAACAAAAGTCAAAAATCAAGTATCTCTGTGCTCTTGCTCACCCATTCCAACTTCCAACAACCTCCTCGAGAGCTTCAAGCACGGGACTGAAGATGGCTCGAATCACATCCGTCGGCATGGGCCGCAAGAAGTTTGTCGCTTCAGCCGCTGAAGAGGCTCAAGCCAAGACCGCCACTGACCCTCAACAACAACAAGTCGAGAAAGCAGACAAGCCCGCGAACGCCGAGTCTTCTTCCAAGCCCAAGCCCAAGGCTGGAGGGACTGAACCTGCTGCCAAGAAGAAGAGGCGCGGAAGGGAGAGGACAAAGGACGAGACTGGCAAGAGGGTGGCTATTGGGGAGAAGAAGGGGGCTGATGATGGCAAGAAGCCTTGGGGCCGGGATGCTAATGTTGCTCGCAAGTCTGATCTCTTCTGACTTGTACCATGCTAACAGACTGGTGATAGGACGCGCCAATCTCTCTTCCAAACACGCCGAAGACAGGATCAAACGACGTGCAGAGCAAAAGAACATGAATGTCACCTGTTTCGCCTGTCGAAGTATGGGTCACGCCGCTCGAGATTGCCCCAATATCTTGTTGGCGGCTACCACTGTCGGTGCACCTGTAGAGGGTCAGGAGAGCGAAGCGCCTCAGAACGAGGTCAAGAGCTCGAGACGGAAGGGCGGCAAGAAGGGCGGTGATGTGACTACAGGCAAATGTTACAGGTACGTATCCGTCCTCTCGAGGTCTTATTCTGGCTGACATGACGATCAGATGCAACAGCACAGAACATGGGCTCTTCCAATGCACTGAACCCGTGGACCCCACAAACCCCACCCCCTTCGCCACCTGCTACATCTGCCTCGCCTCCGGCCATCTCGCCTCACTCTGCCCCAACAACACAAAAGGAGTGTACGTCAACGGCGGCGAGTGCAAAGTATGCAAATCTACCGCGCACCGGGCTAAAGACTGTCCTGATGACAAGCGGGAAAAGGTCAAGGATGATGGAGAGCAGAGGAGGGGAAGGTTTGATGTGGTGCTCGGTGTTGGCCAGGGGGCTGGAGCAGATGAGGACGATTTCATGGTGGAAGCTCGTCATCGTCCTGCGGAACGGCCTACCAAGAACAAGAGGCATGCCCCGGCGAGAAATAGCGAGAGACCTATGAAGAGGATGAGGGAAGTGGGAGATGAGGGACCGGTGTACGCTGAACAGGGGGAGATTGTACGACAGCCGGATGAGGCGGTCCCTTTGACGGGCAGGAAGAAGGTCGAGGGTGTCAAGAAGGCCAAGGTGAAGGCTGTCGCTTTCTAGAGTCGTTGTATATGTATATCTTTTGGGTCTTTGTCGTGGACTCTTCGGTTCACTGAGATGGATAGTTGGGGCATACAATGCATAATTCTGATAACAGTATGTACAGCATAAGTAGGCTCGACACACAGCACACCGAAATCAGATCTCTCGTGACCATGGAAAGGAGCACTCGTCCCTCCGACGTCGTTGCGTGATGTCTTGAAGGCCAACCGCTGAATGTAGCAGCCGAGCACCACCCGTCTAGCGGTCCTCTCAAGGTGTCACCTTTCAGTGGGCGCAACATAATCACGCATGGTGTTTGGCAGTAGCGCCCTTGGTGGGCCGACAAGGCTCGACCTGTACTCGACGTTGTCTCAAGCGGTCGCTTGCTCTGCCGTTATTGATACCAGGTCCGTATCGAACAGCTCAATGAACTGAGGATGGCCAATCAGTACTGTAAAACGATCAGAAACAGAACCGACTTACCTGCTCATTGAGCACTCGAACCTTCATGCCCGCGTACCGCCTATACTCTTCCAGTATACTGCTCAACGCCCACCTTTGCAGCTTTCTGAAACACCCCACCACGGTGCCCGTTCGGTGTCGGCCCATGTTACAACAGAGTAGCGTGGGAAATGTAGAAGAACGCAGCAAGAGGGAAAGTGCTTGGATGATCAAGGGTTCTGGTGGAGGAGGGAGCGGGGGAAGGTGGTCTGTGATGCGTCAGCCGTCTCGCCTCGGGGATCTGCGCGAGACTGACATTGCCCAGAGATGGGGACAACCCCAGAGTCGGTATACGGTGGCGGGAAATGCGGATTCAGACTAGTCTGAGGAGCGAGGTTATACAGCTTGATCCCCTGTGACTCAATGAAAGACAAGCTGAGAAGGCGTCAGTAGGGATCTGAAGACCGGGCGGGCGACTTGCAAGATGTCTGAGGGCTCCTCTGCACCGACCCATATGATGGTTCTGAGGTTCAGCTTCTCAAGAAAAGAAAAGTTGAGCTCGGAAGGCTGAGCTGAGCGGTAGAAGCCTGCTTGGGATGAGCGCGGATCGGAGGTGAATTGAGCGGGCTTACCATCTTCGACGAGGCCAAAGTTCATAGGCGGGACTATCTTGGCCATGTTGAAGAGTATGTCTCGATTATGTATCCAGTGTAGTATATAGTAGTGTTTATGGAGGCGTGATACCGATAGATATTGAGGCAAATAATGCAATCCGAGGAAGGTACTCGGCCACGAAGAAAGACAGAGAAGATAGAAGTGGTGACGTCGAGACTCCGTACATCTCCGCTTTCATCACAACAATCATCAACCATGGGAACGAGGGGTCTTCTGTACATCTATTGCAATAACTATCAAACAAGACTTCGCCGGCCCGACAATGCTACCTCCCCGGTTCAATCAGCCCCAAGAACGGCCGCCAAGTAACCCCGCTTCACACCCAGACGACGCAATTCGCCTTACCGACGATGATGCTGCTTCATCCCGTTTGTACGCGCGCCCACCATATCCGTGAACTTGTTCTCACATGCATATAGATCAGCCACTCAACTGGGATACCTTCCCGACCCATTTGTCTCTCTACTCTACAGAGCACCCATGGCCCACGGCGCAGCGCCGAGCGGACGGGCAGCTCGCAAACCGCCTTTGATCAACATTGGGACTCACCACCGGACTTGGGGAATAGACCTTTTGGTGGAGCAATTCCTGGAGCGAGGTGGAAAGCAAATAGTCAGCTTGGGAGCTGGAAGCGATACGCGTTTCTGGAGATTGATGGTGCGCCGGATGCGGTACCCAAAGACTCCTACTGACATCATACAGTCTAGAGACTCTCCACCAAGCATTCACAAATACGTCGAAGTCGACTTTCCTCACCTGACATCCCCTAAAGCCCAGCGTATAGCTCGGCACCACAAACTCTCTCAGTACCTCTCTCCCATTGTCCCCGGTGTGTCACCCACCCTTCCTGGTCCCGGCTCCAAGTCATACTCAATTGCCCAGGGTGGTACCGAACTGTCCTCCTCCCTCTTTGATCTCATCCCCCTGGATCTCCGTCCTGCATCTTCGTCCTCCAAATCTATCCCCAGCACCCTCTCAGCAGAATTGCTCCCTCACCTCGATCCTTCTCAACCAACGCTCTTCCTGGCGGAATGCCTCTTTCCGTACATGCCCCCAGAGGACTCGGAAGCTATCGTGGGATGGTTCGGAGAGACGTTCAAGGACTGTGTGGGGGTAGTTTATGAGATGGTAGGGCTGGACGATAGCTTTGGAAAGGTCATGAGACGGAATCTTGCTGTGAGTCTTGCACCATCTCGTAAAGGGCTTGACTGACTATAGGTCAAGGTGCGAAATCTTTCCATACCAGGATCAGTCTTCCCCACACCAGCGTCACAAGCTGGGAGGTTTCAAGTATCTCAACTGGGTGAAGGTAGATTTGATGACGCCGGGGCCAGAACGTTGTGGCAGGTTCGCGAGCAAGCAATAGATCCCAAAGAATTACAACGGTACGCGGGTATCATCATCCGCTATACTCCATTCTGACGTGGCGCCTTAGTATCTCGAAATTGGAGATCCTGGACGAGATTGAGGAACTGAGACTGGTGCTTGAGCACTATGTGATAGCATGGGGAACGAAGGGGGCTGGGATGAGCTCTATCTCCTTGTAGACATCAGTCTGCGCCATATTACGATGATAGATGGATGGGGCGAGACGGCAAAAGATATATGCACATGCAAGAAAGCCCGATGTCACTACACTATTGAGAATCATTAGAAAGTCTCCTCCTCGGGCTCGAGCCCTTCTTCACCCTCCAAAAACTCGTCATCGGGAACCTATACACCGTGTCAATCGGGTGATTTCTGCAGCTTGCAGAGTGAGCTCACCTCGAATCCTTCAATGGTAGCATAGAGAATGTCCTGGATCTTGGTCATAACATCGGTCTCTTCTTGAGATACACCCTCAACCGCTAGTCGGTCCTGAAGAATGAGCTCGATGTTCCTCAGCTCTACATTACCCCGTCAGCTTTTCATCACCCAGATGAAACCACTTTGTGAGATACGCACTGTCAAAGTAAAAGTCTCTCTCCTTCAACAGACTTTCACTATGCGCCTCAATCTCTGCCACCCTCGCCTGCATAGCGGCCACCTGCGCATTACTGGCAGCACTGGTGGAAGTGCTACGGGAACCGGGAACGCTGGCGACATGAGCGGTACGGACACCTGTCCGAGCAGCAGCGGCAGAGGGGCGGGTCGCAGTGGAGGTAGAGGGGATGATACCGCCGCTGAAATGACTGATAAGCGCTGAATTAGGGGTTTAGGGGGCTGTGACTAACGCGCGACCTTGAGCGTCATAACCCTCACCGCGAGAGTGCAGGTCCCAGTACTTTTTCATCCATTGCAAGAACTCCAGATTGTCCTGCATCTTGCACCTGTACCCCAATCAGTCAGCTTAGTTTCATGGAACCTACCGCGCGCGACGCGACCAGAAGCGAGTCCACCTACTTGATGAGTTTATCAACCGGTATGGGCTACACATCACCGGTCAGCAGCGTTCATCTCCATCTGCCATTACTCTCCCGCATGAGCCCATGCCCCGATACTCACCTTCTCAATCTTGTGCCTCACAAAGGCTTTTTGCAAAATCTTGAAGTTGTCCAGATACTCATACTCCATCCTCGCGTTATACTTGACCCTGGACATGGGAAGATCACCATAGATAGAGTCGGTAATCTGGCAGTAGACACTGCCGGTACCGCATTGTTCAAGTTTGGTGACGACGGTAGGGGCGAGGAGGTCGTTCAGCCAGGCGAGGAGTTCTCCTCGGGCTTTAACGAGAGCGAGTCAGCTTGTCAACCTAGAGATCTGTGATGGACGGCCGCTTACATTCTCCAACATAGACAGACATTATGTGCGGAATCTGCAGCGGATGGGGGTGGGAGATGGAAAGGATTGATGGAATTGAGAAACAACAACACGCAGAAAGTCAAGACGCGCGCTCGGGGAACACGATTTTTACGTAAATGGCATCGTGCTTCTGCTGCCTGCACTGCTGCGCTGCTGCTGGTCGTTAACCCACATTGCATGTCTGGCTTGAGGTCTCGCCAAGTCAAAAAGCACATGATGTCATCTCTACTATCCAACTCCCAGAAAATGCTGCGTGTATAGTGCTACTGATGGGACAACCCTTCTCTTTACCGCCTCTAGCTACACGTCGCTCTTTGTAAGATGCTACTCTGTCGCCTCTCCTGACTTACACCCTAAATACCCTCGTAGATGTATTCACCTTGTATATATATGATCAAGAAATGAGAAAGAAATGCTACAAATTTCCAAGACATTGTGTTGTTCCGAGTTGATAGCTCAACTTTTCAACCAAGCTTAGTGTTGGAAGAGGTCATGGAAGACGGTCGGTATTTCCGCAGACTGAACAATCTCGTTAGCAACCATCGAACTCCTCACTGGCTGGGCTCACTTTGAATCGATAAGCACACTCCGTACTCCTCAACATCTCCACATCCCCACCCGCAGCCTGCACAAAGCTGACGATCACGCCGTTCACGGCTCCCTGCTGTCCCTGCCTTCCACCGCCGCCACTAGGCGGGACAGCCGCCGCCGCTCTTTGAGCATAACCTTCAACACTACGAGGCAGATCAAAGTTGATCACCAGAGGCGACCATGGCACCTCGGGTGGTTTAATGTTGACGTCACATACTACCAGAAAGCGAGGACCGTTGCCTGAGAGCGAGAGACGCCATTGCTGAAGGATAGCCTTCTTTTGCTGCTGAGACATATCCGGAGTCTTCAAGATTGTTAGTTTGAGCGGCTTCAGGAAAAAGAACTCACCAGGTAAAGAGCCTCCCAGTTTCTACTCTTCAACTTCCAGATGACAGCCTCCAGGATCGCAAAGCTTCCAACATGGATGATCGCCTGCCATAGCGGATAGTCGTCGAGCATCTTGACAAGCATGTTGAGCTTGTACTCTTTCGCTCGGGTCTGCTCCTCGTTCATCTGCCCTGGTCCTCCCTGCGACCTGCCTGACCCGATCGTCCCCGGTCCAACTTCGGCTTGAGCATTGTTCCCGTTCTGGGCACTACCAGTGATGGTCAAGTAAACATACGTGTGCTTGAGGTTGACACCGGGCGTCACAGAAGACACCGACTCTTGCGAGTTGTTGCCTCCTTCCCGACGGACCAGAACCCGAACAGGGTCGCGCACTTGGAGCGACTGGGAAAAGTTGATGACGTCTGTAGGGATGGTGTTGGAGAACAAGCACGTCTGCCTGTCGACTCCGCCGGGTCCACCATTCGAGACGGAGGGCGGCGCGGGACTTTGCCCAGGCGCACCGAATCGACTAGCTCCGCCTTGAGCGCCGTTGGCGTTGGGAAAGGGTGTCTTGCTGGCGGGGTTGAAGGGCGAGTCCCGACCAGCATCGTAAGGACTTGTGAGTCCAGGAGAGAACGGAATGGGTCCACCAGGGGTAAGAGCGCCTCCTCGTCCACGAGGCGGCGGAAGAAGCTTGGAGACGTTGAGTACGTGCTCGTAGAGGTTTCGTGCAATCAGTTGATCCACTTCGTCAAGCTGAAAAATCGTCAGCTAATGTTTTCAAACTTGGGTGATGGACTTGCGATCAAAAGCCTGGTGTCGTCACCCTGCAAACCACCTCGAACACCCATGACCTCGTTCACCTTGGCGGGCGTACCGACAAGCAAGTGAATTTGCTCCCTCTGCATCTGCGCAATCTCATTCTGCAAATTGCTCGATCCAGAAGCGCCAGCTGCGATACCGGCACGGATACCAATCGGACCTCCGACGCCTCGAACGACTGATGCATGTATGAGCTGTTGTACCCATTGTTTTTTACAGACGTACGCTTGTGGCACTGCATGGCCTGGTCGACAGTGGTGGTGATGATGATCACGGACGGACCGGCATACGGACCTGTAGGCTGTAGTAAACTTTGACAAAGATGCAAAGCAGGTATGACACTACTCTTGTCAGCTGTGCAATGTCTCAAAAAATCAGCAAGCTCACTAGGAGATGATACGCTCAGTAGTAGGTGGTGCTTGAGCAATGATATCCGACCCCTTAATCATGAACGGCAACACTCTTGTCTGAATCTTGTTGGGCGGTCCAATTCCGTATTTCGAGATCGACCTCAACAAATCCACTTTGAGGTTCAAGTGCTCCCATTTGCTAATCACGATGCCTCCGCCCGGCGCACCTCCTGGTGTCAACAAGCCATCCCTTCCCTGTCCTCCAGGCGTCTGCATACCGCCCGGTCCAGGGCTAGGCCAATCTCTGGCCATCGAGTCCCTCGCTAAAGCACTCGAACCGTGTTGCCCATGCGCATGATGCCCAAGAGGGCCATGACCATGCGAGTGGCTGTGTCCATGCCTTTGGAATTCGGGCTGGACCACAGATGAAGAGATAGAGCGGTTCATGTTGGGACGGGTGGGGGACAAGCCGCCGAAAGAAAGGGGTAATTGTGTGGAGGGCATTGTAAGGGGTCCGGTGTCTATACCGCCCGGATGCCGGGGCGGCACGCCCAATGACAATGGCCCAGGATGCCTGTCTCCAGCTAGGCTGGAAGAGCCGAGCTGTTGCGGCTGGACAGACTGGGTGGGGGGAGGGAAAGAGGGTTGGCGCTGGGTTTGCGTATGTTGTAAGCGCTGCAATTGCGCGACCGAAGTCGACAGCGCAGATATCTGCTGAGTGAGGGCAGAGATGGATGCGTCTTGCGGGGGGTTTTCGTTATTCGTGAGTGCGCTCGGGGTGGTGGCGCTGGGGATGTGGGGGGATGGTTTTGGTTGGTGATGCCCGGGGAACCCGGTGTTACTGGCACCACCGCCTGCCTCCAACGCCGGGTCAGAGTCGAAGGGCGAAAAGACAGGTCTCTTGGGAGGCTCTGGTGGGGCAAAACCCGACCTGTTGGGAAGGGCGGACCTGACCAGATCGGATAGTTGAGCAACCTGGGTCGAGAGGGCACCGAGCTGGGACTCGGTACGAGACACGCGGGCGATGAGGGATAGGTAGGCCTCGGACGACTCAAATTGCGGGGGAGAGGCAGTCGAGCGCCCCGAGGACGGGTGGGGCGGGGTAGAGTGCACCGACATGGCGGGAGGGCGAGGAAAAAAGAAACGGAAAGTGCAAAATGAGATGGACAAACGAAGATGGTGACAAAGAGGAGTCATTTCGATCTGCATCTGCCCGTGCCTTGGGTGCTGCTTGAATTCGAGGCCGAATCTTCAAGTTCGGGGTGAGTGACTTGCAGGCCGTACTCGGGGCTTTATGCATGTAGCAGGACACGGGAGACATAGGGGACATGCACGGGAGTATGTATTCTGTGCATGTCGGGCCAGGGGGGGGGGGGGGGGCAGATGCCGCCTGCACATCATCTTCCACGTCCAGATATAACTCATCAGGCCTTCCCCGAAACGTCCTTTTGGGCCCGCTTGCTGTGTCCGAAAGCTTACCTTGGAACTGTGATGGAGATGGGTTCTGAACTCATGGCCGACATGCTTCGAACGCATGTAACGATCAAGTCGTGATGCGCGCAAGCAATTGAGGGGTTGAGGATACAAGTAAAGGCGATAAGACGGACTCTACAGCAACGAACCATATCCCACCCAGAGTCTGGAGCACAGGTACGAAGTAAAGGCACAAGCGATACACGCATGGTATTTGGGGTCAGTCATGACTCTCGAATTGAATCGCTGTCCGTCCCAGATGAGCTGCGAGTCCATAATTGTGTCCCGTCCATTGCGCCAAAATCCGTAAGAGAATAGTACATCCTGCCTCAATCACTAAAAGCCGGATAGATCTACTCGGTCATCTCGACGTCCTTCTTCTCCTCAGCGGAGGCGTTCTTGGAACCCTTTCGCTCGAGGATAGCTCGCCTGTCCTTGTCGAGCTATTTACAGTGTCAGCTTATGCAGTGATTCATACAATCGGTTGGCGTACCTTGAGGGAGGTGATGACAACGTTGGAGGGGTGGATACCGACGGGGACGGTGGCGGCGTTGGACTTCTCGATGTGGACTCGGTCGACGTGGATGACCCACTTCTTTCGGTAGACCTGCAGCGATATCAGTCTCCGGCCTGTATTTGCGAGTGGATTATACACACCTGAGTGACCTTGCCCTCTCGGCCCTTGTACTTGCCACGGACGATCAGAACCTCGTCGTCCTTCCTGACGGGGATGGATCGAGCCTGCAAAAAGTCAGCTGCTGCTCCTTCCGCAGACCAAGACGACACTCACAGAGTGCTTCTGTCGGAGCTCCTTGCTCAAAGAAGAAGACATGATCTTCCTCTTCTCACCACCGGGAGCAGAGAAGTGAGCCTTACGCGACTTGCGTCGGTCAGAAGCGAGGCCTGAGAAAAGGTCAGCGCTGCTTTACGAAAGCTGTGCAGGGGTAGCAGGGCATGTGGAGGGGCGTGGGCAGGCGAATAGTTGTGTCAAATTTGGGGTGTTTGTCGCAGGATAACGTTGTGATGTGCTGGCGCAAGGTTGAAGTTTGACCACTATTTCCTCCTTTTCTTTTACTCCTCTCAGCCCTCACATACCATCCCTCCCAGTCACCACTCCCGTATTCACTCCCTCATATTCTTCTCTCCACCGTTGGTTGTCGAATAAGATTTTCTGCCGTGTATTGCGTGATGCCGATGCCACCGTTTGCCAGTGCGCCTGTGCTCCACATGCCCCGCACCGTTCTGCGAGGTCGACTCACCGAAAGAAGACGCCATTTTGTATAGATTGATTGATGGATGGAGCAGTATCTCGTGCACCAAAAAGACCTCCAAAACGCCAGCCCCAGCGGCTGCAGAGGGAGACTGAGCGGGCATCGCCGCCGATACGTTTCGCCGAAACTCCGTTCAAGCTCTATCGCCGATGGATGCGCCTGGGTAATAATAACGACGCGGTTAAAAATCAGAAGGGTACGTCGTGTATGCTTGCGACTGAGTTGCGAGTGACCCTACTGGAAAGTACCTTCACTTCAAACAGACACTGCCATGGAGCACGTATCGCAGATCCCGACAGCATCCTTAAGGTACCTCTTGTGGTACGTCGTTTGCCACAATTATGTCACCCACTCACCGCTCAGAGGACCGTGTGAGTCTCTGTCCTTTTGTATCTATGTATGTTAGACCCCCTGTCCTCGACGACTGTTCCCACGTACGACTTCCAGCTCCCATTCAGACCACGTTGAGCCATCTCTACAACAGATGCACCAGCGTTCACCTCGCTCGAAGCTTGTTACATGTCTGTGGCAGCGGTGTGTGATATGGACCTCTCGCTTCGGCCTGTAGTATGACACCTGGCCAAGCTTCGAGGGGATCACGTCTACTCTCTCAGCCTCTCGAACCATGAAATGTCAAGCATCGTCTCGAACCAAGTACTGCTGGTGAGCCAGCCAACGTCAAGGATGTTAAGATGTCATCGTTCTGGAGGTGAGTAGCTACGCAGCAAAGTCATACTTGCTGATCTCACATATTCCCCTAGCTCGCGTCCCGCTATGCACTGTCAATGCCACCTTGTCATCTCCATGTATTGCCTTCAAGGCCAGTCCACGACGTGCAGATACCGAGCAATAAGCGGCATTGCCCGCCTGACGTCAGACATCCTGGTATGCGCGTCGGGCATCGCCTGAACCCTTCCTTCTCCTCTACATCTCACTCATTGATCCACCATGGCATTCAGACCCACCTTCTTCTCCTCCTTCCTCCACAACCACGCCCCATCTCCCTCCTTATTCTCCCGTAACATCCGCACATTCCACGCCCGCCCATCTTTCACCCCTCGCGCCGTCGCCATCGCCCGACCACACCCTTCCCAATCCCGAGCATTCTCGCCGTTGGGCCTCGGTATCGCTGCTTCTCTGTCTCTCTTCACCCTCTCTTATAGCCTTCCATCCAAGGCTGTCAAATGCGAGCAGACCAATGGCTGGCACGGATCCTCTGCCGCCCAACAGCTGCCAACCCGAGCGAACGTGTCTGGTGAACCGAGGAGCATTTTGGACGAGAAGAAGCCGCAGAGCATTGTGAATACCTACGAGCTCAGTTTCGGAGCTGTCTGTGGTATCTGTGCCGGAGTATTTGTCAAGAAGGGTGCGAAGGCTCTGGCATTCTTGCTGGGTGGCGCGTTCGTCTTTCTCCAGGTCTGTCTGCTCTAACGATGACCGAGTCGAGCTGATGACGTGATCAGTACATGTCTAGCAAGTCGTATATCACTGTCGACTGGGCCAAGATCGGTTCCAAGTATGACTCTGCTTTCGGCACCAAGACACCTACCGGCGTTCGAGGGCCTACTATCGGCAAGGTCTGGGGAGGCTTTGTTGACTTCGTCACCGCCAACTTCCAACGTACGTTCAAGCGTTATTGCACGAGAGCACAATGCTGACCATTGGTACAGAGCGGGCAAGTTTCCTCGCTGGCTTGGCCTTGGGTCTCCGTCTTGGATAGACCTGCCACCACTGCTTACGTTTCCCATAATGTTATCATCGGCACAAATACAATCATATGCAACGTGCATCTATACACATGTCCTTCTTTAATCCTTATAATCTTATCATTCTACTGGATCACAATCTCCCAATCCTCAACCACCGACACACCAGGGTTCTTCACCCTCAGCTCGCTAGCCTTGCCCTCCTTCTTACCCTTGGCAGCCTTGCCATCCTCCCACTCAAACTCGACCTGCGCGCCCGTAGACTTGAACACGATCGATCGAGGCTTGGCAGAAAGACCGAGGACGACGATCGAATTGATCTTGACGTCCGCGACAGCCTGCGCAAAAGCGTTGTCCGGGTTGAACACTGTCACAGCCGAACCCTTCTTCCCGCTCTCCTCGTGGTCTCGGCCCACCAGCTTGCCATTATTGAGCTCAAACTTTTTCCACACAAATTCGCCTTGCTCATACCCATAGCCCTCTCCGTCATCGAGATACAGCTGGCCTTGCGCCTTGCCGTCTTTTCCGACAGAGATGATGAGTTCGACGGGGTCTTGCCACATCAGTGGGGAAGAGCGTCGGGGGCGGGGACGGTTGGGGATGATGTGGCCTCCTTGAAGGAGGACGGGGAAGGTGGAAAGAGGGGTGTGGAGAGTGAGGGTCGTACGGGGAGAGGATGGGTAGAGGCGGTGGGTGAAGAAGTCATAGTACGGCTGTCGTCATCGTCAGCTTGATCATCCAGAGCTCTCAAATGCTCACTTGGTCGTCAGAGATGTAGACTTCTGTAGTCACAGCACCCTCCACAGTGACAGGCTTCACCAAGAGGCCTTCTCCACCAACATAGTACTGGTCGTCAATAGCATACCCCTTGTCGTCATCAGGGAACACGGCGTATTGCGGCCTGATGATGGGCAAACCCCAAACAGCAGCCTCCTTGAAGGCGTTATACCAAACGGGCAGAAGCTTGTACCTCAATCTGAGAATGTCTTTCAGATATCCCCGAGTCGGCTCTTCGAAGAGATACGGTTCTCGGCGTTTGGTATCGATGTGGGCATGGGCACGGAAGAAGGGCATGAAAGCACCGGCTTGGTACCATCGGACAAGAAGCTCGTGGGAGGGGTTACCGAAGAATCCACCAACATCGGCGCCACAGAAAGACATGCCGGCAATGTTGTTGCTGAGTAGCATGGCGGTTTCGCCGGCGAGATGTTCCCAGTCACCGAGGTTGTCGCCAGTCCTGCTTTGCGTCAGTCGCGTCACTTTTGATGTAAGCTAGACCTTACCAGATAGCACCAAAGCGCTGAGAGCCAGCAAAGAAGGATCGGGAGAGGACGAAAGGCCTCTTGGCGGGTGACTCTCGCGCGATCAGAGCTTCGGCAGTTTGATTGTGCTACCCTACATCAGTGACATTCCCGTCAGAGCCAAAGTACGCACGAAAAGCATGCCGTTGATGTTGTGCACATCACGGTTCTCCCATCCCCCAGCATGCACCGTATCCCTCGGCACGCTAATCTCTGGCCCATCAAACACTGACGGCTCATTCATATCATTCCAGACAAACAAGGCATTCGTCGAGTCCTTCCATGTCTGGAGATTAAACATCCTCGTCCACCATTCCCAAGCCTTGGGGTTGAAAAAGTCGACCCAGACGGAAGAGCCGGTCCAGCACCAACCTTCAAAGTTGGAGCCGTCGGGCTTCTTCATGAGGACATCGAGGTCCTTGGCGTCAGAGTAGATGCGGAAGTCGTCGGTCTTTTTGATGTGAGGGTCGATGATGGCTACCATCTGGCATGTTGTCAGCAAACAACCATCAACACAATTGACGACCAACCTTTCTGCCTTTGGAAGCGACGGCCTCAAGCATGGCAACAGGATCAGGAAACACCTTCTTGTTCCAGTCAAAGTACCTGTGCTCCTCCGCATACTCGATATCCAACCACGTAACATCCAAAGGCATATCGGCATTGTCGAACTCGCTGTCGACAGTCAACACGTCATCCTGGTCGTTATAGTTCCACCTGCACTGGTGGTACGCCGTAGACCATTGCGGGGGCAGAGGTGTGCCCCCTGCGAGGAGCGCATACTGCTTGAACAGTCCGTCGGGGTTAGGACCGGGTAGAAGAAGGAGATCAAGGATACCAGATTCAGAGATCCAGTGCGTCTTGGTGCCTTCCTTGTCGTGCAACACATCGACGTAGGTATCTGACCCGACGAGGTTGAGGACAGCCACAGAGTGATCTTTGTTGTGTGCATGGACCAGAGGGACGGCACCGTAGAGAGCCATGGGCGAATCGGCAAGGTACTCGAAAATGTCGACATTGTAGAGACGGTAAGGATCAGAGTAGTGGGCGTTGGGGCCGATGGTGTCGGGGAGAGAGAGGGGTGAAGCATGTTCTGGCAAACCGTAGATGTGCTGCACACCAGGGAAAGAAATGTCGATGGAAAGACCCTCGGGGCCTTTGGGCTTGCTGTCTGTCCACTTCTTCCACTTTTCGGTGAATGCATCGGCGTCGCTCTCTTCAAACCAACTCCTGTCAAGGGCGTCACCACCCAGGACAACCTGTTCGCCCTCGCTCACTTGAGCTTCGACGTCCTTGACGCGGAAATGCTCCATGTGGAAGAGAGAACGGTCATTAAAGACGATCTCGGGCTTGCCGTTGCGGAGTTGAGTGATCTTGAGCGGGGAGTGGACAATCTCGAGCGAGAGCGAGGACGAAGGGCCGTAGGTGATCACGCTCTTACCGTTGCTCGTCTTTATACTAGCAGACGCGTCGAGAGCGGGTTCAGTGTCGAGTAAGACCCATCGAGCAGTCTCGTTATACCTCTCAAAGGGCGTAGAGGACTCCACCTCGTCGACTCGCACACGGGCAATACCATCGCCCTGCTGGAGGATGTCGACACGAAGCTCGAATTGGATCTGGGGGTAGAGCGAGGAGCTGACGTGCCAGTTCCACGATCCACCAGACTCTGATGGGATGGGATCAGCCACAGAGTAGGGCGACTGGAAGCTCTTGCCAGCAGCTTCCTGCTTGGCACCGATGGACCTAAGTCTGCGACAGAAGGAGGCCTGTGAGCATTGCCTAAAGTCCTCGTGCTTGACAGCGAGTGCGAGGGGAAGCAGCGCGAAAAATGTGGCGAGTGCGAGGACGAGATGCCTGGCGGGCGGCATGGTGCTCAGGCTGCTTTTGGGAGAAATAGACACAGAGTGCTGCAGTGACAGCATGACGCGCCGGGTGGAGGCATGGCATTAGCGGCACCAAATACAATCCTAATTCATTACAAACTCCTGGGAATGTTCTCGGCATCGGAACACGCCGCGTAATTCTGCTCGAGCACCGGCGAGTAATCGCCCATCGATCTCATCTTCCTCAACACCGTCTACATCACTCAACATGTCCCTCAGAGCCATGGCCTTGCGCCGGCTCCCTAGATATACCCCAGTACGACCCCTCCTCGCTAGGGGGTACGCCACGCCCGGCTCACCAAAACCCTCAAGAAATCCTCCCCCTCCTCCAGGTCTCGAGTCGGTCTTTGGTGGCGGCAAGCAGGGCACTACTTCTGCGCCCAAGCCTCCCGGAGTGACCATCCCAGGCGGCCCATCATTACCAAAGAAGCCTGATGTGGGCCTCCCAGGACTGGAGGGCGAGGAGAACCGCCCAGAGGATCAGAAAGATGTCGATGAGCCAAGGAAGAATAGGTTGAGCGAGCAGTTGAGTGGCAAAGCTGGAAAGAAGGTCGGGACGGGAGGTGGCGGTGGAAGCGGAGGAGGTGGTGCCGGTGGCGGTCCCGGTGGTCAACCTGGAGGTTTCGGTGGCATGACACCCAATCAGCTGCTCATGGTGGCGATCAGCACTTATGCTCTTTGGAGTATGTCTTCTCCAGATGACGTGAGGAGCAAGGAGATTACATGGCAAGAATTGTAAGTTGTTTTACATCTACCCATGTCCATTTGCTCATGGCAATCAGCCGAAACTCGCTTCTGGCCCGAGGCCTCGTCTCTTCTCTCGAAGTGGTCAACCGAAGCAAGGTCCGCGTCCATGTCCACAACCCTATCGGCCAGAACGGTGTCCAGCAACCCAACGCTTCCGGCACTTCTCTGCCCTCTCCCCCTCACGGCCCCGCCCCTTACCAATTCACCATCGGTTCTCTTGAAGCCTTTGAAAACCTTTTGATCCGGACTCAGGACGAACTCGAAATTCCTCCTTCTGAAAGAATACCCGTCTCCTATCGAGAGGAAATCTCCACATTCCAAACGATCATGCACTTTGCTCCGACATTGATGATTGCTGGTCTGCTTCTCTGGATGGCTAGAAGAGGCGGAGGAGCGATGGGCGGTGGTGGTCCCGGAGGCGGAATTTTCGGTGTCGGCAAGAGTAGGGCCAAGATGTTCAACAAGGATGAGGAGGTCACTGTGAGGTTTAGGGATGTTGCTGGTATGGATGAGGCCAAGGAGGTGAGTCGATCGTCTGCCTTACGATCTTGACCTGACATTGCGCAGGAAATTATGGAATTCGTGAAATTCCTCAAGGAGCCCCAAAAGTATGAAAAGCTCGGTGCCAAGATCCCTCGTGGTGCCATCCTCTCTGGTCCTCCTGGTACCGGTAAGACCCTTCTCGCCAAGGCTACCGCCGGTGAAGCCGGTGTCCCCTTCCTTTCCGTCTCTGGTTCTGAATTCGTCGAGATGTTTGTCGGTGTCGGTCCTTCCCGAGTGCGTGACTTGTTTGCCAACGCAAAGAAGAATGCCCCCTGTATCATCTTCGTCGATGAAATCGACGCTATCGGTAAATCCCGTGGTAAGGGTGGCAACTTTGGCGGTAACGATGAGCGAGAATCGACCTTGAACCAGCTGCTGGTTGAGATGGACGGTTTCGGCACAAATGAGCACGTCGTGGTGTTGGCTGGTACCAACAGAGCCGATGTCCTCGATTCGGCCCTGATGCGACCCGGTCGATTCGACAGACATATCGCGATTGACCGTCCCGATATCGGAGGTCGTCGACACATCTTTGGTGTCCACCTTAAACCCATCACCCTCGAACCCGGACTCCCCGCTGAGCGTATCGCCGAGAAGCTCGCTCTCCTCACCCCTGGTTTCTCTGGTGCCGACATTGCCAACGTCTGTAACGAGGCTGCTCTCCGAGCTGCCCGTCATGGTGGCGAGTTTGTCACTGAAGCAGACTTTGACGGTGCTATCGAGCGAGTCATTGCCGGTCTTGAGCGCAAGTCTCGAGTGCTTGGCAAGGAGGAGAAGAAGACTGTCGCCTACCACGAAGCTGGTCACGCCGTCTGCGGTTGGTACCTCGAGCACGCCGATCCTCTGTTGAAGGTGTCCATCATTCCCCGAGGTGTGGGTGCTTTGGGTTACGCCCAGTACCTTCCCAAGGAGAGATTCCTCTTCACCACCGAGCAGCTCATTGACCGTATGGCCATGACTCTTGGTGGTCGAGTGTCTGAGGAAATCTTCTTTGGCAAGATCACCACTGGTGCCCAGGACGATCTGCAAAAGATTACCAAGATGGCGTTTGAAATCTGTGCCAACTATGGTATGGACTCTGCTATCGGGCCTATCTCTTACGGCGGGCGTGAGCAGCAGGGCGAGGGATTCCAGAAGCCCTTCAGTGAGGCTACGGCGGAAGCGCTGGATAGGGCGGTGAAGAAGCTTGTGATGGATGCACACACCAAGACGACGCAGTTGTTGACGGAACACAAGGAGGATGTGGAGAAGGTGGCGCAGTTGTTGTTGCAGAAGGAGGTGATTACGAGAGAGGACATGAGATTGACGCTTGGCCCTAGACCTTTGTGAGTGCTTCATATGTTTTACGCGTTTCCAAAGCTGACGAGACGATAGCGCCAACAAGGATGAGATGGATGATCTGATAGAGCGCGAACTGGACCGAAAGAGGAGTGAGAAGTGAGTCTTGCCTCGCGATCGTCATTGCCTATGACTGACAAATCTCCAGACCCAAGAGCGAGAGCGGCCCTACACCCCAGTTGGCCTTCAAGCCCACCAAGATCGACTGAATAATAAATCTATTCTAGACTGGGAATGGCTGCCTGTTCCGCTGTAGCTTTTGCCCCTTCTCAACTCATTTGCGTCAAGATAGTCTGATCTTATGCTGCTTCGTCGCACGATCATTACAATCTCTGCAGCCTCTTGACATATATAACATGCATTGCGATAACCCGTGCAAAGATTTGGAGAGTGCGCATCGCTGACGAATGACTTGAACGCAGAAGAATGTTCTCGTAAGGTAACGGAGTTAAAGAGTCTTACCCAAGTCTTACCGCGCGTCGGCGGGTGGGCGGGTATGTGGGGCTCTTTTAGCCGCCACCGATGTCGAGCCTTCCCATCCTGCTTCCTCTTCACCTACTCCCTCCCCTCCTTCTGCCCTCATGTCGCCAATGATGCTCCAATCTCGACTCTGGATATACCAGGCTGCATGGATGCCAACAGCATGACCCATGTTGCTGACAGTCGGAAGATATCTGCCTTCATGAGCATCAAGAATGGGGGGAAATTCTTGGTGTATCCCTCGGGCTCAACCCCTATGCGCGAGTGGGCTTCACCCGACACTTTTGCAGCCTTGCTCCCAGACCTCTTTCCTTATGGCTGTGGCGTGTTTGAGGATCCCCTCCGCCCAAAGAAGGTGTCTTTTGCTCTGCTCATGTGAAGCACCTTCTCAAGCTAAAGGATCGACGGTTTGCTATGCACACCACCTTCCCCTTCATCTGTCTCAACATCATCCAGCGACGCCAGTCGTCTTACCAGGCGTCACTGCAGACGCCTCTGTCCACCTTTGACCATCTCGCTCCTCTTCTCGAGGCAGTAACGGTGGACACTCTTGCGTCCATCCAGGCGAAGCTCGCTAAGCTGAAGCCAGGTGTTCGTTTCAACCCAGAGACTGAGGCAGAGAAGGGTGCGACAGCGCTCTTGCGCAAGGTGACTCTAATGTCGTCTTCCATGTTTGGGTCTGTTGGCTCACATCGGAACATGAGGGAAGAGCTCCGTGCCCTCCTGCGGGATTCTGGCATGCCTAGCTTGTTTGTGACTCTCAACCCGGCGGACTCGAAGAATTTTGTGGTCAGTGTGATGGCGGGGCGAGATGTTGATCTGGATGAGAGGCTTGGCTTGGGTGATGAAGTGAAGGAGGAGGTTTCTCAGAGGTTCTCGGCGGCGTCGACGTATCACGGTGCTTGTGCAGAAGGTTTCCACTTCATGGTGGAGAAGTGAGTACCCACTATCATCATCTGATGTTCCATCTTTGCTGACAGCAATGACAGGTTTATTGACGTCTTCCTCGCATACGGCTCCCCCGAGGGTGGCATCTTTGGCAAATGCCTCAACCACTACGGCGTCGTCGAAGCTCAGGGAAGGGGAGCTCTTCACATCCACATGCTTATCTGGCTGGAGCACGCCCCTTCGCCGCTAGAGCTCAGAAAGCATGCGAAGGAAGACCCTGAGTGGGCCGCTGAAGTGTGCCGCTGGCTTGACACTTGTCATGTCCGGGTCGTTGCCTGAAGGTGCCGTGCCCAGTGGGCGATATCCTCCTTGTGACGATGACGCCCTTGCCTTTCGCCAACGTGGTGAACATTGGTCCCTTCCTCTTCTGCAGCCGCCACCTCACCTCCCACCTGATATGTCTGAAGAAGACTGGCAGAGGGTACGGCAGGATGTGTTGGAGGTCTTGGAGTGCGGTCAACTGCATGACCACTCCTTTACTTGCTTCAAGCACCTGCCTAAACTGCGTCGGGCTCAGAAGGAGGAGGTTTTGCAGACGCACTTCAATGACGACGGCACCATCGATATCAAGCGCACACATCCAAAGCTAAACATGTACAACCTCATCCTGGTAGCAGCGTTTTGCTGTAACATGGACATCAAGTTTGTTGGCTCGGGGATGATGGGGATGGCTGCTGTGTACTACATCAGCAACTACATCTCCAAAGTCGCCCTCGACACCCCAACAATGTTCGCAGCGATTGAGGCCAGGTTCAGGCGATTACAGCGAAACGCTGTATCATGATGAGGTTGTACATGTTTAGCTTTGGATGTGTGCGCTTGACATCGATGGTGCCGTCGTCATTGAGGTGCGTCTGCAAAACCTCCTCCTTGGGAAATTTGTGTTTCTCAGCCCCCTTAAAGCAGAAAGTCTTTGACCGCAACTCGATGCGGTCTTGGGTATAACCTATCCCGCTCTCGTTGACCTCGAATACCGGCTTCAGGTCCTCCAACTTTTCCGCCAAGGCGAGGTTGTGGGCCTTGTAAGCCCGGAGGCAACGACCCAAGGTCGGCTCGTCAAGTGGCGTGACGGAGATGGTGTATTTGGCCGAAGGAAAACGACGGGGGAACCGACTGCAGGGGAAAAGATACGGAACGGAGATTAGTGCGCAGTTCGCAAGAGAACGTAAACTGTGACTCACGTTGACATCTCGGTCGTCAAACCCGTCACGTCGACGAACTGGACGCTGTCGCTCGACGGGTCGAGAGTGCCATAACCGAGGCCTGACGTGGCGCCGACCGTCCTCTAAGGTCACCGTCAGCACCAGCGACGATGGCTAAACAAACTCATATGAAAGGTCCACTTACAGCGGTGTCGGGGTTCCAGAGGGACCCGGACATGGCGGTGTTGAAGCCGTGTCCCGTCTTCTGGCCTCAAATCCACATCACATCACTGTACGCTTGCCGTCAGTCAAAAAGTAGAAGATAGATCGTCACCGGTGCTCACGTTTCGCCGATGATGTTGCCACCGTTAATCTTGAAATTGATGTCGCTGGTCGGGACGTTCTCCACCCAACGGTACGCGGTGGCGGCCATCTTAGCCACCATCGCGCTCTTGGTGGAGGTCGGGAGGAGCCCGACAGCCCTCCTCACGTCGCAGAACAGACCGGCCACCTCGCCGGCGAGGTCCCAAGAAGCGATGGGCGCAATGACAGCGTTGGGTGACACCGCCACAGCGTCAACTGGGTAAGTGGAAGTAGATAGCGCCATTTGGTTGAACTAATGCCGGGAGGGGAAAATAGATTCGTAAGATAAAAACCGGGAGGACGTCTGGCTCCTATAAGAGCGCAAGCAGTGGGCAGGCTCATGGCCGAAAAACGTTCTTCTTGTTAAGGTTGTTGGATCGCCGGAACCGGCCATGATGGGGCTAAATTCGTTCTCGTGTAAATTATTGAATCGTCGAAACCGGCCATGAACCTTCGGGGTTGACCTTTCTTCCTTTAAGTTCAATCGTCGAAACCGGCATGGATGAAGATCATTTTACCGCGTCACTCGTTCCGCCAGTTAAACCGCCAGCGCGCGTTAAACCGCCAGCGCGCGCGTAGTACAACAACACGATACATCAGTGAATCGAGCTCGTTTGCATACTGTAATATCACCGACTCCGAATCCGTCCAGTATCATATATGGAGGGCGGCATAGTGTAGACGTAATGACTTCAAAAAATGTTTGCATCCGTTACGAGAACCTGCAGCGAACAATTATGGCATGAGATCGCGAACGATGGGCGAGTCCAGGCACGAGATAAGGGATCTGGGTGGCGATTTATTATTTATTATTATTGCGACCGTAAGGGAGATCACCGGAATGCAGCGGGAGAGGTGACAGGGGGCAATTCCTCATCTGCATTTCCATCTTCAAGTCCAGCTCGACCCACGGCGCGCCCGTCGCCTCCCACACCCCCTCAAACACACAGTTCCCACGACGGCATGGCCTCCCTCCTACCCTCGTTCCGCAACAGCTCTGCCTCAAATACCTCTCCGCGTTCCCCCTCGCCCCCCAGCTCTTCGCATGAGCTTTCGCCAGAGCTGCGCACATCAGCAGATGCCCCTCGTCTTTCGCCCTTTGCTTCGCCAGCCGGATTGCTGATACCATGGATCAGCGAGTCGCCCACTTACTCTTCTCCTCAGCCTAGGTCCGCGCGATCGCGCTCGCGATCTAGGGGAGCCATACTTGGCAGCATCACAATGGCAGGCGCAACGGGATTCATTGACGAAAGTCATCCACATCTCGTTGGAAGAAGCCAGGAAGGGCCTGCTGAGCCTATGGACATCCCGGCGTCCCGTGTTAATGAGCCTTCTGTGGGGCCTTCACGGTCCATTCCCGGATGCTCCTCTAGGGTGGCGAATGTGCCAGAACAATCGCCTATTCCGACTTATGAGACAGCTTTGAGCCAGTCCCTCACTTCGCCCGTACACGATGTGGTATCCCAGCCGGTTTCCCAGTCGTGGACGGAAGATCTGAACTGGGCGAGAGACTATTCTGTTTCCGCGAATGGAGGTCGCCAGAGGCAAGATATCGACGACTATTTTGGGCTGGCACCAGACGAGGGGGAAGAAGAAGAAGAGTCTCCTGTTCGAGGGAGAAGTGGCTATAGAAACCCTCACGGCGACTCTGCGGAAGCGACTGGAAGAGCACCGATGCCTCCTGCGTATTCACCAGAAGTCGGAAGGGACGAGCTGCAAATCGTATCTTCTGCTCACCTCTCTCCCGACCACCCTGCCTCCGGCTTCTTCGACGCTATAGCGACTTCGCCAGATGGCGCTGATCCGCCGCCAGCCGTGTCGCCCAATGACCCGGGGTTGACTGTCGGTAATAAGAAGTTGAGCGTCAGGATCGAGGAGGGTAGTGCCAGGCGCTGGAATCAAAACAGCACAGGACCGATCTATATCAAAGCAGGCAGAAAGGGAAAGGTCAAAGGGACCGTGTACGTCGGTCCAGTGGATCACGCTCACAAGCTAGAAGTATCTGTAAGTCGACCCGCCGGGAAGCCACTGAAAACTCATCCTGTGTAGATTCTGGGCTTTGCCAAAACCTCATTCTATGTCAGAGGACAATTCAGCATGATCGATACGCTTCCCTTGGTCCGATCTTCTCTTATCCTATTTCCACCTGCCCGAGACTCTCAAGATGACTCGTTGAAGCGAGCAAAAGACGGCACGCTTCTCATGGAAGGAAATTCTGTGTTCCCATTTGAGGTTGAGATGCCGAGCGCGTATTGGAAGGACCAAACCAGCGAGCTGCCTCCGACCTGCAATATTCAGCAGTCAGGCCTGCAAGCGTCGGTCGAGTATGTGATCAGGATCAAGCTCGCAAGGAAGGGTCAGCTGAGAACGAACGAAGAGTGAGTGGCAGTTTCATTCTCACGACACGGGCTGATCATATTTAGAATTGGGATTCCCGTTATCTATGAACCTAGATCCTACATCCCTCCTCGCCGTCTCAGGCTACTCGCCATTGCCGACGACAGACACAATCCAGGCTGGCGAACCATCGACCTGAAGGGCGGCAACCCCGTCTGCCCGGAATCGCTCAGTGCTCCGATATCTGCTACCCTGACTCTGCCTTCGCCTTTCATCCTGTTTATCACACCGAACCAAAAGCTACCCACCATCCCTTTCCATATCCACTTTCATCATCCATCAGGTGGTCTGCCTCTCAAGGTCTTTTCAGACCCAAGAGAAAGCGATTGGGTGATACGATTACAAAGGCGGGTTGATGTCAAGGTTGGCGGCGAGAAGGAAGTCCGATACACCGAGCTTACTTGCAAGGTCGAGGTCTGGGAAGAGGGAGGCGAGGTGATTGATTTGAACGCTCTGAGAAAAAAGAAGGCCACCGAAGGGTCAAAGCCCCGGAGACCGTCAGAGGACGCCGAATCCTCGGCCAATGCGCAATCGAAAACAGAGTCGCCGAGGAAAAAGTCGTTATCTCTCACAGACCGTCTTCGTCGTATGAGCTCGACGCCAGCGGTTGCTACTCTCTCAAATTCTCCAACAGGTATCTCATCTATTGAGGAGCATCCTCCCGTCCCATCAGCACCTTCATCGTCCAATCACGAGGCAGTGCTGGGCGACGGCGTCCAAGCGCACCTCGCTACAGACATTACCGTGCATGGCCGTCTGGACGTGCAGCTTCCGACGACTATTGCCACCTCCGACAGCATGCGAAAGATGGTACAGAGTTTCAACACACCAGACTTTACGGTGCTGTACATGATGACAGTGGGCATCCAGCCGAAGAAGGGGGCGGTCAAGGAGAATTTTGGGTTCATGTATGGTAGGGCGATGGTAGAGGTTGTATGGGGGCGATGATGACGATATTTTGGGTCTTTATCTTGACGGACTTTGGGTATATGATTTCGTTCTATCATCTTGTGCTTACGCTTGCCGCTACTTGCAATTTGAGATGCATGCTTTGAGAGATTGTACTCGTATCAGTAAAGCCAGTAAATGAAATATATTGTACTCTGATCAGCCAACATCATCTTGCCGTCTCGCTCAGTCTCGAGCAACACACGGCTCCAACAGCTCCCGTTTACTGTCAGAAACGTGCACGTCTTGTTGCATCAACTCATGGCATGGATGTGTGTTCCTAGCAGCAAAAAGTATAAAGGCCTTTTGAAATGTGACTTTTGGCAGCAGCAAAAGAACCCTTTTTTTCAATTTCGTTATGGACATCAATTGGAGAAAGAAGAGTTTGAAAAAGTGAAAGAAAAGAGTGATGAATGTGGGGAAAGGGGGAAAAGAAGAGGCGAAATTGACAAAGCTGGATTGAAGGGTGAAAAAGGAGGAGTTATGGAGTTGAGAGAAGAAGGATAGAATGGAAGATGAGGAAAACAATAGTAACTCTGCACAACCCATGCTAAGGGACCCCATTCGCCAAGACTTCAGATCATGCCCCCTTTTTGTCGGTTCCTACACGAGCACAAGAGTACACTAGAGTACAATATGTGCACCGTCCAAGATTGTCCCTTTGTCTCGCCATGGTCGTGACGCCACCAAGCTAACCCAAAATTAAGTACGTGAGAAGAATGTGAAAAAAGAGAGTGAGAAAGAACAGGAAGATGGCTTTTTGGAAAGACGTGTTGATTTTTACGCGTGTTTTTTTTTTTTGGTTGGTTGATGGATGGATGTCGGAACAAGATTCCTCAACAAGAGATCGTCGCAGGAGATGGCACCCCAGATCTTACAAGTCCTTGCCAGGGCTCCTGATGGTCACCACACTATGCTCGGGCGAAGTCGGCACAGTGGATCCCGTCGCGCTCCTGCTCATGGCCACCCCGCCCAGAGAGTCTGTAGCAGTGCTCGCGGAGAGCGACTTGCGCATCGCGATGGAAGCTTCGGCAGAGCCCGGGACGCTGGTGTTGGTACTGGCGCCGCCGGCCGTGTCGGCTTCCATCTGGGCGATACGGTTCTCGAGCCGCTTGCCGACGGGGGTGTGGCGGAGAGGAGGGAGGAGGGGGAGGATGATCTCGAGAAGGTCGGCGCGCTGGACGGGGTCCGCGGCGAAGAGACCGGTCTGCTCAGAGTATTAGTCGTGTCCTGGATAGGCTGGACAAGACGTACCTGGAGGGGAAAGTTGGCGTACGAGTCCCTCAAGAGCCTGTGCACCTGGTTGGAGCCGTCAGGCTGCAAGCCAACGAGTTCATCGATAAGGGCACGCTTGTCGGCGGGATCGGCGTGGGTAATGGCCTTTTCGACGACGTTGGACGCAAACTTGTGGCAGGCGACTAGTCTGCGTGAGTATAGAACAAGAGGTAAGGCGGTGGCTTACGTTGGATGATCCTGCCCTTGAGCTGCTCGATGACCTTGTTCCTGTCCTCGGGCCTGCCCATGGTGATCACACTCTGCACCACGTAGTCTTGTCTCTCGTCAGCTCCGCTTTAGTGTTGCTATATGATACTCACTTCCAAACTGGTCTTCGGTCAAAGTCAATACACACTGGTGCATCTCGTCCAGCAGTGTCCTCTTCATATCCTCGTCCAGGTTCTCAAACGTCTTTTGCAGGACTCTGCAGCCGTACGGGTGCTTGGCGAGTTCTTCGACGTGGCCGATGAACGAGTCGGGGACGGATTGAGGCGGGCCGAGGTTGATGAGGCGCTGGAGGCGAGTGAGCGGGGTATCACACGCGTTGAGGGACATACCTGGACAACGTGGTTGGCGTTGCTCGACTTGACGCATTCGAGAATGTGCGGCTCGAGCTCGGCCACGAGCTTTGCCCTCTGCTCGCTCAAGACATGCTCCAACGCCTTTTGCACAACCTAGACATCTCGTCAGCCTCTTCTCCATACGAGCAGATAACGACCCACCCTGCATCCATACATCTGCATCGACAATTGCAATACATGCCCCTCCATCTTTTTCGCCAAAGCCGCCTTTTGCATCTGATCCCCATGCTCAAACATCTTTTGCGTGACATAGTTGCCAAAGACGTCGGTCATGAGCTGGTACGCGTTGGGGTAGATTTCGTCAAACAGCTTTTGGCGGTCGTCGGGCGAGGCAGTCTCGAGCTTTTGCTGGATGAAGCGCGAGCCGTGCTGGTCGCCGGAAAACTCGACAATATGGCCAAAAATGTCCTATCAAAGGCGTCAGTACAGCCTTCAACAAGGAAAGGACGTACATTGAGCTCCCACTTCTTGAGCTTGTTCAACCGAAAGTCTTCGAGCAACGCACTCCTGACCACGCCAGTATCATCATACCGCCTGCTAGACCTGGCCACATAGCCACTCGCATACCCCTGCGCGGGGGGGTAGGCAGCCAAGCCGCCATACTGCGCAGGGAGACCGTACTGCCCCGCGCCGGTCGCGTGGGAGAAGAGGGCACTCTGGAGGGCGTTCTGCCCCGGGTACTGGCCGAGGGAGGGGTTGGTGCTGTTTTGGGGGCCGCCGCGGTGGGGACCTTGGGCGTGGCGGTGGTTGGGCTGATAAGACTTTTCCCGTCAGCCTAGTCGACCAAAAAAAGAGTAAAGTTTCACCCACGTCCTTTTTCCTCTCGCCTCCTCCGCCCTGGACGTACATGCCTTGGGGAGGCATCCAGAAGGACCTCTGGTCGGGGTAGCCAAAGTAAGGGTTATTTTGCTGCTGGTTGAGCTGAGGCCTGTACCTCTGGCCGTCCGCAGCGCCTTGCTGTCCTTGGGCTTGGTTGCGGTCCTGCTGGTTGCCATAGACCTCGCCGGCGGGGCCGGAAAACGTGTCGAAGGACATGGGCTGGAGGGTGGGCGACATGAGCTCGACTGGGGGCGCGCCGTAGCCAAAGTTGGCCGGAGGCATTTGGCCAGCATAGGCGCTGGGGTCGAGGGCGCCGGAGGGAGTGTAGTAGGGGTATCGGCCCTGGTGGGGATGTCAGAGGGGCATGGCAGAGGGGGGGACGCACGGTGGGGTAGTTGTTGGGGACAGGGCTCTGTGGGTGGTAGTGGGTGTCTGCGATGGCGAGGGCGGACATGCGGGCGAGGACGTCGGGGCTGTCGTAGTCGTGGCCCGGGGCTGCCATGGTGGAGGTAATACAGCTACAGTCGCACAGGTGAGCATGAGAGAAGGGATCGAATCCTCCTCATCCTCAGACACCCGCGGCCCATGCACCAAACACGAGGGCAAAGGAGGGCCACGACCCAGGGCGCAACACCCCACACCAATCGGCGCCACAGCGGAGCCATCTCGCCATCACTCGTCACTCCTGCGTAGCACTCACTGTATTAGGATCAGTCGTGAGAGGCCAAAGATGCACTGTCCTCGTCAACTCCCGGCCTCGACCCCACCGCCCGCCACTCACCTATGCTGATGTCGTATAATCACAGTATGCTGCTTGTGCGTATGTACACTTGATATCCGTATCCTCGAGCAGAGGTAGCTTGCGTTTTATTCACAGACTGTTGAAATGCTGAACGATGAAAAAAGGTGGGTGAGCAAGACAGACCCCTCTTTACGTCAATCCCGTTTATATCTCTTTCGCTCGAGGGTGATCCATCAAGGGGCCGGTGGGAGAGGGTCAAGGGTCCAACCGATATACATACCGAGTGAAGCCTGAAGCGGGGCAACGGCCCGACGACGTGTAGAGGCCTAGAGGACGAGCCTTCTCACACACCATGGCATGTCACCCGTCACGTCCTCCACCCATCACCAGCTCGTCGCGAGCAGTTCCAAGCACTAGACGCAAGCGGCCATAGAGCGGTCCTCAGCGTAGGCTACGGAAAGCCCCGGGGTAGGGGGCGGGCAGGACCGATCAAGAGAGGCAGGGACCGGGTGGTGTGTTTGATGAGGACAAGGGAGACTTACTTGTACGGGTCTGACTTTGATTTCTTTTCTATACACAAGTGGGAGGGAATCAGTGAAGCCGTAAGTAGTAGCGTTCTATTACATCTCATCAGCTCCGAGTTCTCTCGAGACCAGGCGCAACTCACAGTTTCTTTCTTTCAGTCTCGTGTATAGCGTCTGCATAAAGATGGTCAACGACTGTCAAAAGTCAGTATCATGTCCAACGAATGACTCTCCACTCTAGCGTCATCCAAGAACAATAGGCAGACCGCAGCGGTCGGTGCGCTCAACCCCAGGCCCTTAGCGGAAACGCGTTCACGCCCGAATCGCTTTTTTACCCCGTCACTGCATCTCGCCATTCAGCAATTCCCCTTCTTGTCTTATCATTTCTTTTTCCTTGTCTTGTCCAGGCCGGCTCAGGATTATCCGTTGGGGGAAGGGTTCGGTTGAATAGTCATGGCGGTAACTGAAAATACGTGCACAGACCCAGTATTTGTCCAGAAAGAGTAACTTTTCGACTTCAAGGGGTTATTAGTTGTTCGGGCGGTCCGAGGGGGATTTGGTTCCGCTGGACCCTGAAGTGGCTGAGGTGGAGGTTCTTTTGAATTGTTCTCTCAGAACAATAGGAAAGAGAGAGGGGAGAAGCTTTTGACTCTGCGAGATCTGAGGGTATTGGTAAGGGCTGGGGTGAGTGCCGTCGGCGACCCCATGGAGAGTCTTATCCAACGGAAGGCGAACGTAATGATGATTTCCAGAAACCACCTGCAGCTTTGTACCACCAACGATACGAACGCGACATAAGAAGCATGTATACCATGTAATCCGATACAAAGAACACCTAGCATGTAACAAATTCAATCCTAGAGAAAGAGACCATGTCCAATACCCACATCTAATTACCCTCCTGTCCTCCCGACACAAGCACCTCGTCAGCCTTCAACCTCTTCACCCCCTCATCCAGACCTTCATCCTCTGCGCCCCGTTTCTGCCCAATCACATGCGCCGACAAATCCTCAATCTCAAAGTGGTCCTGCGGCAGCGCCGGCAGGTCGTCCTCGTCGTCCTCATCGAAGCGCTTGGGCTCGGGCTCGGGCTCGGGCTCGGGAGAGCGAGGCGCAAGGGTATGCGAGAGGTGGGGCTGGACATGCGGAGGGAGTTGGTCCAGCGCAGCTTTCGCCTGCGCCTCCATCTCTGCCGCCGACAGACCCTGCTCATGCTCCAGCTGATGCTGCACATGCCCACCTTGGTTGTGCTGCCCCTCGAGACTCTCATACACATGCACCCCTTCTCCATCTGCCTTGACTTCCAGCTCAGCAAGCGTCTCGGGCATCACAGCGCTGAGCGCAATGAGGGTCGGGTCAATATCGAGGTTGAGTTCGTGTTCGTGCCCTTGCTCATGCGCGTGCGAAGGGTCGGGTTGGGGGATACCGTGTGGGTTTTCACCGTGGTGTTCGTGGTGGTGGTGCTCCATGCCTCCGTCAAGGCCTTGAGGGAGGTCGGACGCGCCGTAGGAAGACGAGGGTCCCGCGACGGAAGGACGGTTGTGTAGCGAGTCGTTGTTGGTGAGCCCGGCAGCAAGCGCTTCGCGGGCAGCCTTTTCGCGCCGTTCTTTCGTGGCTTTACCGGGTCCTCGTCGGCGGACGTGTTCGTCCCACGTACAAGTCTCGCCTCGCTTGGTGCAGGTATCGCAAACGGGCTTGGTACCATCGCACCTGCATTCTCGTCAGCACGATATCAATTTCAAAGGATGGTACATACTTGAGCTTTCTGCGCCTGCAGAAATGACAAGCTAGAGACAGTTTTCTGCCCTTGCCCCGCCCATGCTTTCCCTGATCGCTCCCGTCACCTTCACTACCTCCGTACCCTCCATTACCTCCATCTCCACCCAAACCATCGTCGCCATTCCCATGTCCATGATCATGCCCCTCATGTCCACCATTCTCTTGCCCGCCTGAACCGTTGTCGGCAGAACCCCAGCCATCTCCAGCAAGACCGTTCAAGGTGGACGGCACATCCCCAGAAGAAGCATAGTAGATTCTCCGGGTAGGAAGCTGGATAGAGACGATCGACTCGGGCTCGGGGGGCTGGTCGTACACTGGTTCATTGTACTCGGTCTTGACCTGCATGTCCCAGTATGCCTGCTGAGCCTGCTGGGGCTGTTGAGCCTGCTGGGGCTGCTGAGCCTGCTGGGGCTGCTGAGGCGGAGCTTGGTGGACGGGCGTAGGGGCCACAGGCGAGCACGCAGGGGGTACACCGAACAGAGCTGCTTGGGCAGTGTACATCATGTTCTGAGGCGTGGGCATCGAGTTGTATTGGTAGTTTTGGGGCTGCTGGGGAGTGGAGGGCGCGGGATAGGACGGAGCAGGACGCGAGTATGGTTGAGGGGCGGGACCCTGGTCTACAGGCTTGGCCATAGCCTCCACGTTCACACCAACATAGTGCCTGCTAGCAAAATCCTTGTGGAAGACCGTATCGTTCGCGTTGATGCGCGCAAAAGACGCGGCCATCTGGAGCTGCTGAGTGTTCTGCGCGACTTGCTCTGCAGTGGGCACGGGGTCGGCGGCCTGCTGCTGCTTCTCGGCAGCCATCTTCAAGCTTAGAAGGTGCTTAAAGCGCGAAGGGGCGGGCGCCTGAGAGTATTGCTGCTGGGGAGGCATCTGTATGTGGGCAAGAGACTCGTTATAAACGCGATCTATGGGCGAAATAGGACACGTAGGTCAGCCATCCATCATCCTCGACCTATTAGACGCGTCGATACTCACTACCGTTCCATCCATCGTGATAGGAGCTCTGCATAGTATGGGGTGCAGGCAGCGACATCGCCAAAACACCTGCCGCGCTCATTTCGTGATCTGTGGGTTCCTGCTTGACAGTGACAGTGGGGTACGCTGTGCTGGGCTGGGTATATGGCTGGTTATCCCAGTAGTAGGGCTCGTTCTGCGGGGTCCAGTTGGGGGTTGTACTCATAAAGAGAGGTGGATGGGAGCAAAAACGGGACCAAACAGTGCTTGAGATGAGATTGATCCCACCCAAGGCCGGATGTTTGCGTGTCGAAAAAAAGAAGCCGCTTTCCGACTGTGGCTTTGAGCTGGCTGCGCGTTGGACTGGGCGTGGGCTGGGGGCTGGAGGGGGCGGGGTGGAACGGGGCGGATGGATGGCGGTGTGGTGAGTGGATGGATGTGGGATGTGAAGAGTGGAGCCTGGCTGCGGAGTGAAGCGGAGAACGGTAAAAACCTGAGGCGGCGTTTGGGTGGGAATTTGGGGGCGGGTCGTGGCCACTGGTGTAACCGGAAATGCGCTTTGCTTTGGATTCAATTTCACGCTGGCTACCAGGACAGGTAGAAGGAGGGTATAGAAGTGGAGAAGGGCGATTGCGATACGGTGAGCCAAAAACATTCAGAGCTATCCCGCCCGGTCGTTGGGTGTGGCTGTTTGCTCAATGCGCCTGTCTCCCGGTCATGTTCATGACGTTCTCAGTCTTGCATTCATGCATACACTTCCCTCTGCCACTGATCACAGCCTGCAGCATATAACTAATGCATGCAGTGATACCACTTGTAGAAGGTACTTCCCTAATGTTCCCTTACGCTATCCCACTGCACGGACGGTGTGTACCCAACCCTTCTCCCTGATTGCGAGTAAGAACACCACTGGAACGAACACCAATAGATAATGTGGCGCCATCCATCCTATACTTGCGTCTGAATCACAATGCTCACCCGCAAGTCCCGCTCCCCACGAGCGTCCCTCTCCATCCCCAGCCCCAACAACAACAACAACAACTCGTCCTCAAACTCGCCCCTCGCCTCGCCAGCTTCCTCCGCAGGAGGCAAATCCTTATCGTCTGGGTACTTTCCGCCAGTCAACCGTCCAGCACCCAAGAGGGTGAGCAAGGATGAAGCTTTCAAGAATGTCAAGGCTATGGAAGGTCTGCTAGCGGCTTGGAACGAGTATAGGCATGCTGTTACGCTACAAGGGAAGGCTGGGAGAAAGCTGGCTGGAGCATTGAGGGATATGATTGGGTGTATGGACAAGACCGAGGTTGCAGGTGAGTTGAAGCGCGTCCGAAGATGTGTATCTGACATCCTGTCTAGCACAGACCATGAGACCTGCCGCAGCTATGATGGACGGTGTGGCAGACCTCACAATCAAGTTGGCCAAACGAGTCGACAAAGAGTATGAGGATGCCAACGCTGATGCTTCGAAGCACTTTACTCTTTTGGCTGTAGGTCAAGCGTTGGCGCGTATCACATCACTCACAATCTGCACAGAAAGAAAGCCGAAGCCATGACGCTTACTTGGGAGCTATTGGCAAGAAGCACGACAAAGCAGAAAAGGCTTATCGCAAAGCCTCAAAGACCCTCTCAGATACCTCCAACGCCCATGCCGGTCTTCAAGCGCTCAAAGATACACTTAGCGACGATATCAACAGAGCCCACGAGTAGGTCCTGTCTGTATGCAATGACGAGGATCTGACTAGGACCAGAGACCACCAAGGTCTGTTGGGATCAAAGCAGGCAGTGCTCCTGCTGCGTCTAGCTTCTTCTATGGGAGTCGTGGCTACCAGCCAGTTTGCATACTTTTCGGATAGCGTTCGGAAGGCCGGGACTGTCTATCCTGATATCGAATACTGTACGTTATTTCGCCCAACAGCAGTGCCATACTCATAGCAGGACAGTCAGAGCCTTATCCGACATTCGATGGCACTCCGCCCTCCCCCCGAGTCTAGACGAGCAACACGAAGACGCCGTCCGTGCCGAGATCAGGCTCATGAAAGCCCGTGTCGCTTTGGGAGAGATGGATATCGTTGGCAAGGATGTTTGGGACGGGTCGAAAGTGACGGGTAACGTTGCGACTACGAAACCCGCTTCTGGTGAAGGGAAGAGTGTTGAGAGCAAGCCAAATGCCAAAGTCGCTTTTGAAACTCCTCCAGAGAATGCCGAAAAGGAAGTAGTCCCAGCTCCCAGCGTTGAGAAAAAGCCGGAGCCCCAGTCCCCATATCGCAAACTTGCTCCTTCCGACCTATCCAAAGCATCCTCTCCTCCCACCGCAACCCAACACACACGCCGTCCCGGGCTCGTATCCCACGCGTCAAGTGACAGCCAGCAGAGCGGCAGGTCTGGGTCGGGACAGGCTGCTGCCGTCATCGCACCGCTGGCCCTAGTCAGAGGTTCGGCAGAAGGCAAGGATCAGGGAGAGAAGAAGGAAAGGGGCGACATGGAGCAAACGGTGGCGAGGGCAATCTCGAGGTATTCTGACAATGATTTCAGAGGGTACCCAGACCCAAGGACGCCGCCGCCTATCTCGACCGTAAGTCGTTGTGTGATTGGTATGTCTTGGCTGATGAGTGCGCAGGAGAGCCACCCAAATAGCGCTGACCGTCCCAACCCTATCCCGTTACCTTACTCTCCAACCCGCATGTCTGTTTCTCAAATGACCGCCGCCATCGACCCTTCCCGCGCCGCTCGTCAAAGCCACCGCCACTCACAATCCGTCTCCAACACCTCTTCTCAGCATACACTTGTCCATGTACAAAGTCATTTGCCGCAACATCGCCATCATCCTTCGATAAGCCAGACGGCGGCGCAGGCCTATAAGGATGAGGTGTATAGGCAGGGCGAGAGGAGAGCGCAGGGTAATGAGGCGGCTGGACAGAGTGGAATGACACGGGAGGAAGTTGTCCCCAGGCAGAGCGAGAGGAGGATGCAAGAGGAAAGCGACAATGGAAGGGATCGCTTGGGCCAGTATCCTTATGAGCGGGTGTAAGTATCTTTCACTCTCATCCCAACCATCACTCAAGCGTGTGTAGCGTTGAACGTCCCCGACAAAGCAATCGCTCCCGTCGAGTAACGATGCCGCCGACCTACTCTGAGCCCGCATTCGTATACCACCGGCCCCAGCCTCCCATCTCCCACGAAGACTTTTACTACGCCTCCTCCCAATCTTCCGGGCACGGGACCCATGGAAGCCATAGAGACCGCCCGGCAATGCTTGATCCTACCCCAATGTACGGGGAGACGTTGTATCACAGACTGCCCGGAGGGTATCCCGAGGGTGAACGGGTAGTGGAGAGAAGGCCGAGCGGGGTTATTGCGCCGAGGCCCATGCGGCCACTTGGGTCGTCTGCGGAGATGGAAGAGTACAGGGATTGAGTGTGATATCTATTGGTAGACAATATTGGGATTTAACGAATATATGACGATTCTATGACATGAACTAGATTTTACGATTCGCTGTCTTTTTGACATCAAACGACACTATCACGATCGAAGAGAGGCGCATGACACTGCTTTGTTCCTCCGCGTATGTCAGAGAGACAAGACGATGCATGACTGGTTGAAATGTTGCATGATAGCTGCCATCTGAATGACATAGTGGGCTATATATGTAGACTCGCCTAGGTGAATCCGACGTCACATGCAGGGACACTTGAAAAGTAAACAACCCACCGCGAAAATGTCGGCGATAAGCTTCCACGGTGCAAGTGCCACGGCGGAATTACAAGTTACACTGCCACGGAATGAATCTCGCATTAGCGGCGAGGTCCGCCGATTCGAGGCAGGGCGACATGAATTTCGTGTCGCTGTCTCTTCTTGTTCACACATCAAAATGGCTGTCGGCAAAAACAAGAGGCTCTCAAAGGGCAAGAAGGGAATCAAGAAGAAGGTCATCGACCCCTTCACCAGGAAGGGTGAGTTGCAGGAGAGGAATACCAAGGATGGGCGCTGACTGCAGTTTGTCGAATCTTTTCACTCCTATTCCAATCCCTTCCTCAACCCGCACTACAACTCCTAATCAACAGAATGGTACGACATCAAGGCTCCTGCGTTCTTCGAAACCCGAAACGCTGGTAAGACTCTTGTCAACCGAACCCAGGGTCTCAGTGCGTATCAAATCTTCCAAGTGGAGGAAAGGGTCGCTGACCCAATCGTGCAGAGAACGCCAACGACTCTTTGAAGGGCCGTGTTCTTGAGCTCTCCCTTGCCGACCTCAACAACGACCAGGAGCAGTCTTTCAGGAAGATCAAGCTCAGGGTTGAGGACGTCTCTGTTGGTCTTTTGCTTTTCTCAAGGGGGATCATCCACTGACTCTCTCATCAGGGCAAGAACTGTCTCACCTCTTTCTACGGTATGGACTTCACCACCGACAAGCTCCGCTCTATCGTCCGAAAGTGGCAATCCCTTGTCGAGGCCAGCGTTGACGTCAAGACCACCGACGGTTACGTCCTCCGACTCTTCGCCATTGGTTTCACCAAGCGACAGTCCAACCAGGTCAAGAAGACCACCTACGCCCAATCCTCCCAACTCAAGGAGATCCGAGGCAAGATGGTCGAGATCATGAAGCGAGAGGCTGAGGGTAGCGACTTGAAGGAGTTGGTGCAGAAGTTCGTCCCCGAGTCTATCGGTCGAGAGATTGAGAAGGCTGCCAAGGGCATCTACCCCCTCCACAACGTCTACGTCCGAAAGGCGAAGATTGTGAAGGCCCCCAAGCTCGACATGTCCAAGCTCCTTGAGACTGTCGGTGAGGCCAACGACGTGAGTTTGCTTTCATGTCGACTCCTTTAAACTGTACTGACTTTTCATCCAGGCCAACACCGGTTCCAAGGTCATCAAGAGCGGAGAATTTGTTGAGCCCGAGGTCCTTACTTCCGTTTAAGGTGGTGAGGTGCATGTATACCTATGGCTTAATCTTGTGGCGGCTGCATCTCGCGGATCATGGTTTTCATTACTGGATGTGGACAATTGTATCATAGTCGCGAGGTGTTTGGAACACTGTATCTATCGATGGAAGACAGACTGTCGGGAGACTGCAACATTCCTCGTGCCGTCCGCGAAACGTTTGATCATTTGCAAGACATAAGTATTTCGGTCCACAATCTCGTCGTGTTAAGACATGGACGAGATTGCGAGAAGGCGGAAGAATTGACGAGAATGGAGAGAACGAGACCTCCACATGTCGGACATGACCGAATCCGATGACGAGCAGTATAAAGATCATCGAGTACTTGCATCCCATCCCTCCCAATTCAAGATACTTTTGATGCCTTTTATCTCTCCTGCCATCTACCGATCCACTGTCCAAGCCGCCCGTACTCGCCTTCCCACTGCAACCGCCCGATCAACAGCTGGCATCACCCTCCCATTTGCTCTCTTCAGCTCGTCAGCTCCAACGAACGACATGTCCTCCCAGCCCAAAGTCCAAAAGTCTGAAGACGAGTGGCACGCTGTTCTGTCACCCGAGCAAGTGAGTATCCTTGAGACGAATTATCAGACGTAGGAAGGGTGGCGATCGGAGATCAGAGTGGGGCGAGTGAGGTGAGGTGGAGATCGGTGGCGATTGTGATGCTGGCCAGTAGCTGATATGGTGTCCAGTTTCGTGTATTGAGAGAGAAGGGTACTGAAAGACCCGGATCGTCTCCCTACGATCACTCCTTTGACGATGGTGTCTACCGTGAGTCGTCTTGTATGAAGTGTGAGTCATGAAGCTGAACTTGCGCCGCCGACAGACTGTGCTGGATGTGACGCCCCTCTCTATACTTCTAAGACAAAGTTGTAAGTGCAATTTATCAACCCTATATTCATATCAGCACAACTGACCTGCCTTGAAGCCAATCGGGCTGTGGCTGGCCTGCCTTCTACGATACCGTTCCAGGGGCTGTCAATCGCCATGAAGATCGTACCCTCGGAATGACCCGTACAGAGATCACTTGTAACAACTGGTACGTGACTGAACTGATAGTTCCACGTCAGACTAATTGTTATGCAGCGGTGGACATCTTGGTCACGTCTTCAAGGGCGAGCGCTTCGGCAACCCTATTGACGAACGGTAAGTCCTTCTTGTGGTATGCGGACGAATGTGACCTGATCACCCCCAAAGTCACTGTGTCAACGGAATCTCTCTCAATTTCAAGAAGGATTAGGCTTCATAAACTAGTCCCAGTATCTTGGATGTAAAAGGTAGTCGATGCACAATTCATTTTTCTACACTTCTATCCACATCTACTCCAACAACTCCATCACCATCCCCGCTGCAACAGTTTCTCCGTTCCTTCTGACAAGAACCCTCCCCATCTCCTTGTTGTCTGCAGCCGTCTCCAACGGTATACTGGGCACCCTCCCACTACTGTTTGCCCTCAATGTCACCTCCACCATCGCCGTCATACTCTTCTGCAGCACCCTCGGCTTCTCCTTCACCACCTTGCCCTTGTCCAATATGCTTATCAGCCTGCTTATAGTCGCCGGCAAGTTCATAGAGTGATGGAAGAGTTCCACAGGCGTACCCGCGATGATGGGCGATTGGAGGTCGAATACAAGAATTTGAGCTGAGAACCTTGTGATCAGAGGGACCGGTAGGGAGGTAGGGCAGAGTACGGTGCCGATGCTGAGGTGGACGGGGTCGATGTTGGAGAGATAGAGGGTGACATTTTGGCCGGCGACAGCATAGGGTGCAGAGTCTTCGTCGACCTCAATGGCTACAAGAAATTAGCTGGTTGAATATGATGATCCAACTCGAACACTTACTTCTCACATTGGCCACCTCATCACCGGGCACAGCGCGAACTCGGTCGCCAACCTGTATCACACCACTACAGAGCCGGCCCGATACAGCTACTCCAGAAGCAACAGCCGTTTGTCCCTTGAACACATTTGACACTGGAATTCTCAGAGGAATCTCATAAGGTCTTGCAGGGACTTCTACCGTATCCAACGCGTCGATGAGAGCTGGACCAGAATACCACTCTTTCAGCGCGGGGAGGGAATTGCCGACGATATTGATGCCCTTCATTGCAGCGAGGGGGAGGAAGGTGGTTTTGGTAGCGTTGAAACCAGCCGAGAGCAAGAATGGTTTGAGAGATTCGACAATCTCGTCGTAGCGGTCCTGTGACCAGTTGACCTATGCCATGTTAGATGTGCCTCGGATGCAGCAGATTCACACTTACGACATCCATCTTGTTGATCCCCACAATGATCTCCCTGACGCCCAAGCTCCTCACCAACCACGCATGCTCCCTTGTCTGACCGCCTCGCTCGAAACCAGCTTCAAACTCTCCCGGCGATCCATCCACCACCAGCAACGCCACATCGGCCTGTGCTGCTCCTGAGATCATGGCGGGTATGAAATCCCTATGGCCCGGTGCGTCGAGCAGCGTAAAGTTGCGGTGTGGGGTGGTGAAATGTGTGGTCGCAATGTCGATGGTGACACCTCGGTCGCGTTCATCACCGAGAGCATCCAAGCCCCAAGCGAAAGCGAAGGATGATTTACCGACTTTTTGACTGCCTCGCTCATTGGCAATCTTTTCCTTCTCTGTGAGCTCGCCAATGTCATACAGAACTCGGCCCATAAGAGTTGATTTCCCAGCGTCGACATGGCCTGAGACGCATAAGTACGATCAGACAGGGACAATATGAACACTCACCAACGACGATCAAGCTGACATTCTTCTTGCCCGACTGCTCCTCTGCCTCTTTGGCCTTTGCAATCAACTCCTCCTGCTTCAAGCTGATCACCACCTTCTCCTTGTACCTCTCCCTCTCCCTCTCCTTCTCCGCCTCCGTCATCTCCTCACTCAAGCCCAAAGCCTCCATGTCATTCACCAGACCATTCTTTCCTGCACCAACTCTGGGGGTACCGCCGGTCGACCCAGGCTTACTAGAGCCCTTGCTGGAAGAAACTGTGGGAGAGTTGGGTTGTGAGGCGGCGAGTTTGGATTTGGCGTGAGTCGCTGGGGGCTGAGTGCGGGGTTTACCGGGGAGGGACAGAGACTTTGCTTGCGCTTGTTTTTGTTTCGCAGCTGCATATAATGCAAGAGTCAGCTCAACGGACCATAGCGCATTCTGGATGTGACCACAGCAAAAGTTGAAGAAGAGGAAGGAAGAAGAGTCAGTAGGTCAGAAGTCGGCATGTTGATACAAGGTTACATCTTCAAATCTCCTCCTTATTTCGCTCTCGGCTTGACCCCATTCCCCACAGCCTGCTTCTTTACAGGCACAGCAGCGTCCATGTTTCCCGTCCCCGCTCTCCCCTGTCTCTTCTTCAAAACGATCTCATCCGGGCTCTCGCCGAATGCGCTTTCAAACTGTTTGACCAGCCGGGACAAGTCTGTCACCAGCGGGGCATGCAGGTTGACAGATACGGGCTCTGGCGGCAGGTGGCCGTTGACCTTTTCGTGAGGGTGGCAGGTGGTTGTGAGGATAGAAAAGAATGAAGACGGGCAGGAAGGGCTGGGGACGACCCGAGACGGGTCAGGTAATGACTTGACGCTGAATAGAGATAAGACGGCATCGTCCACAGGGACAACATCGACAGAAGGCTCATCCACGTCCATCTGATCTTCCCCATGGGCTGCCTTTGCTTCAGCAGCAGCCTTGGCGGCTTCCTCCCTCGCAATCCTCGCTGCCGCCATCTTTTGCGCCAGCTTTGACAACGGCTTCTTCTCGCCAGCTTCTGACGAAGCAGCAGGCTGGAGAGACGGAGGAGTAGCAGGTGTGGAGGGACGGCTCGGCGTTCGCAATGGCAGCGAAGGTGTCGCAGGATTTGTCGCTGCCTCACGTCTCTTTTGTGCAAGGAGAGCCAGCTTTGACATTGGCTTATCCTCCTGCGACGGCAAGGAAGTACCCGAGCTTGCAGGGGCAGGCGACTGCCGCCGCGAAAGCGATAACCGCTGTAGAGCGGTCAAAGGCGGTTCAATGTCGCCTGTGCTTGGGGTGATGGCGGGGATGGGAAGGGTAGTGCGAGGACGAGGACGAGGATTTTGACGTGGTGTCGGTTGGAGATAGGAAGGGGGAGCTTCGCCTGAGACGAAGCTCAGCAGGCGGCTCTATTTTGACATTGACATAATGCAGCGTGCCCTCCTTGGGCCCTCACAGGCCCCCATACGAATGCTGAAATCAAGAATGGAAAAGAAAACAAGATAAAGAATAGAAGGAGGAGATATGTACTGACCTTTCTTTTCTCGATCTGATCTGAGCCATGCAGCAGCCTTCTCACCATCGAACCAGTAGTGCCAGACAGAGTCCGCGATTTCACCGTCCGGTATCGGCGGCTTGACGTCTTTCAGGAGATTTTTCGCTACCGCCATGGCCTTGCTGAGGTTGGCTTCATGTACTTCAGCAGTAGTCATTGCGGCATTGGGGTGTGTCCTTACCGGCATCCTCTGCGGACATGCCTACTTCTTCCTCTTCGTCTTCAAGTTCCTCTATAGTCAAGTGAGCCAGGGGATCTGTATGTCAAAGCTAAAACATACCATCGAGGTCGAGATTTCTGACGAATCTATGGCGCGACATTGTTTCGATAGTCCAAAAAGAGATGTGAATGAGGATAGGATCGACTCCATTCAAGTCGATCTGGAAGTGGCAAGGGTCGGCCATTGCCGCCATTACATCATGTCGTGGAAGATGTTGAATTCACTGCATCGCGACTAATAATCAACTAAATCAAAGTCATATACAGTACAGTACGAGTACTCGTAAACAATACCCTCGTAATCCTAGACAATGGACAGCCTTCCCATTGCCTTCGGCAAACAAAATCGACAACCATCTACATCGACCAAAGCCAAGAAGCCAAGGCCCAAAAAGGCCAACGGCGGGCCGTCACATTCCTCGCACCCCCAATTACCCTCAAAACCGCCCCAATCAGCTCAGGGTAGAGGAAGCAACCAGACTGAGCTCGGCCAGAGAGGAGCTGCAGGATCATCTTGGATTGCAGGCGCGGAGAAGAGAAAGGAAGAGGCCAATGGAGGTGCTGCAAGCTCCAAGGTGTGTCCCCATCCACCATGGTCTAAACGTCAATTTACAAGAATCTGCAGAGGCCACGTCAATCGAATGGGGCTGGAGCAGGACGATACGATGCCGGTCCGAAGGGGAATCATTTCAGTCGAGGACAAAACATCGGGTACCTGCTCGCTGAGCACATGTTTGAAGATCCTTGGGCCAGGCTTCCATTCAAGCAGAGCCGATGATGACTTCTATATGGGAACCCGGCATTCACTGTAGAGGGCTGTAACAACTACTATGCAACATGTACACGTATGCCACTTCTGGATGAGCGATGCAAAATCGTTGGGCCAAAGTTCAACCGAGCTCTCTCGCTATGCTATTCTATACATCGAAATAGGCTACAACAAGGCAACCAGCCTTGTACCAAGCCCCGCATCTTTTATGCACCCTCAGCACTGTGTCTTCCCACCCTCCCCATTCCAAGCGTGTTTCAAAGTGAGCCCACAGCTCAGAACTAGAACAATGACACCAAACGCCGCAATGATAGCCGCGGGCAACTTCTTTCTGCTCGTCCAAGGACCAAAAAGGAGCGTAAAGTATGCGCCAGCAGGGAGGATGAATGCCAGAGCGGATGCTGCGAGACCGCCGGAGAGCTCGAGGACGATACCGAGGTCGCATGTGGTTAAGGCCACTGTTCAGACATCAGCTTGGAAGGTCGTATAGGAGAATAGATAGACGTACAGAGCATGGTGGAGAAGACGATGGCACAAGTCACGAGGACATGCCGTGTCTGACTAAAAGATTTGCCTTTGTAGAACGATTCATCAATCACTTCTCGGCAGACAAACACCTCCAGGGGAACTGCGACTCGTCAACAAGGACTCGCTATGCGTTTCCGAATAAAGACATACTGGTGGTGGACATGTTGGCGCCAAAGCAGAAACGAGCAATGTTGATCAACCAGTCGTCTTCAGCAAAGTTGTTCAAGATATTGCCCTGCAAGACGGTCATTCATAGGCCTTAACAGTGTTTCAGATGAACACACCTGTGTCTTGTCGGTGAACGTCACGTATCCAGTCACTGCGACCAATAAACAAGCAATCAGACTGACACCAGTCGAAATATGCGTGACTGTATTGAATCTACACCTCCCATCAGATTTGCGCCCAATGAAGATCTACCATACTCACCTGTCCAAAGTAGGCACATGGATACTCCGGTAGATGTAGTTGCTATTGTGGTGACAAGCGTAGGCAAATGAGATGACGCCGATAGCCTGGAAGACCCCCGGCTTGACGAGCGAGAACGTGTCGAGCGAGCTTCCTCGCAATGACACATCTACAGCTACACTTCTGAAGAGGACAGAGAATACGATGACTCCCATCGAGAGGAGCGCTATAGAGAAGTCAGCGAGGTCTTTGCAAAGTATGTCCAGACATACCGAAACCGGATGACTTGGAGAGCTTGACGATGTCTCGATGCAGACTCAGAGGCAACGAGATGAACACTGTGCACAGACAGATCACGACCTGGCGGTTAACCAGAAGGCCGAGTATCGCGTGCTCGGAAAGGGTAGGGAAGATGTAGCTTATGACACGGGGTATGGTGTCGCCGATAATCACATGGAACGCAGCAGTACTATGAGCAGGTCAGCCGAGGTTTCGGGTCAGCAACAACGAGAAGCTCACCCCCCAAATGCAAAGATGAATTGAAAGAAAGAGACAGAATAGCCGCCTAGAGGTCCGAAGCAATGGTCCATCGTCTGCCACGTCTTGTCAGCTCCTGCATGTCTCTCAGAGAGCCCGATTACTCACTTCTGTGTAGGACGTTTTCCCACTCAGTTTACTCGTCAGAATTACTAGCCGGATAGTCCAATCTGATATCACGGCGATGGCTATTATGAGAAAGATCCCCATAACGAACCCTGCTTCTGCGACGGCATATGGTAGTCTATGTAAAGTCAGCTCTGACAACAAGCATACGAGATTGATAAACATACCCTATAATACCTGCACCTATGATGGAGTTGGCCATCTACAACACGTCAGCAGAGTCACAGGTCTCAGGTAGTCCAACTCACATTCGTGACAGCTTCCATCAAACCTCCTCTTGAAGCAGAATTCGGCCCTTCAATCTCCAGCAGGTCTAATTGCTCAGACGTGATTGCCGAGTTTCTTCTGGAAGGGCCGCCCGCCAGCAAAGGGGCCGAGACGCTATCTTCCATCTCGAGATCTTCTTCAGGCGCCCTGAACACTGTACGCGTGTCAACCGACTTCTTCCCCGACATGGTGCTTGCTGGTACAGAAGCAAAGTATAAACTCACATATATCGTGGTCCCCTCTTTCAACGTCCCCAGCGTCCTTGTCCTTTGAGCCTCTTCTAGATCCCCGTCTTGACGACGATATAGATCCATGCGCGCTGCGGCTGCCCGCAAGATGGCTCGAGGATCGGGACCGACTGGGGCCTGCTGCATCTGGTATGCCGTCTGTGATATCGACGAGGGGCATTGGGGGTGATGTTGTAGGTGGAGACATGGCTGACTGTGGATGAGGTGTAGATGCATAGCTGCGACTTTGCCTTGCTGTCCTCTGCCCGCTCAGTTGACGCCGCTAAGAAGGGGGCCCCGGCTGTCAACAGATCTCAAACGCGCCTTGTCGACTTGTCGTCGTCGTTCTTTTCCTCTCGTCACTGCTCCCCATGTCCCTCCCGTCCTCCTCCTCTCTCCCGCCACAGACACCCTCCAAGACATCACAGGAATGCGCGCCCAACATCAACCTTTCGCGCGATGACAGTATCGACCTGGACGCCATAGCTGCTGAGCCTGAGGAGGAGGCTGTCCATTTTTGCCTGCTGGCAGAGTTTGACATCGATGCCGGAGCCACACTGGCCTATCAATATCCGTATCCCATGGGGACGGATGAACAGTGAGTCTTGTCTTTATCGGTTCGGAAAGCTACTTACGCCCGTGCAGCCAGCTGGCAGAGCTCATGCTTCCCGACGGTGCCCACCTGCGACCCGAAGATTGGACAGTCTTCTACCTCGGACAAACAGCTTCCAATGCGGTCGACCCGCTCCTCTCGCATGAAGCTGCGTCGCTGCGGTCCGGCACCTCAGACTCGGACCATCGGAGTACAATGATGACGACGGGAAGAGCTACGAGAGGTGTGGCTGGGGGTGGATTGTTGTATGTCTTGAACTGTGTGAGGATGAAGGAGGATAAGAGTATGAGGAGAGGGGCCATGGTCAAGGCGCTGGCCATCTGCACCCCAAATCCCTATATTGGTATCTACAAGGTGGGTACCCTTGTGTCACGACGAACAATGCTCACAGGTGCCAAAGCCGCTATTGTTACTAGCCCTCGAAGAATATTTCAACAATCCCTCCCCTGAAATCCTTTCTCGTCTATACGACTCTGCCAATGCCATCTCTACAGCCGGTATGCCCCGCCTCTCCCGGAACGAACGAATCCTCTTGCGGTCCTCCGAGCGCAAAGACCTCTTTGAAGAAAAGTTCGGCATCGCTGAACCTGGGAGCGGGACTCAAGAGACATTTGAAATAGGGAGCAGTGAGGATCACAGCTCGGGAGAAGGGGCAAGGAGCGAAGAGCTGCATGCGGCGTCGATGGGGCACCGGAAGACGCTCAGCAGCAGCTCTGGTATCAGGATGACGAGAAAAGGAAGCTCGCAGTCTTCTCGTATGCTGGGGACACCTTCGTCGTCCAGAGAAGGAGGAGTCACACCGGACTTTGGAATGGGCGAGGGTGGAAGACGGAAAGGTGTTCCAAGAGATACGCATTTCTTTGAAACAGAAGCGAGGTTCAAAAAGATCACGGTCCCTATACGAATCCCGATGACCATCTTCGACGAGGATGTTGGTGATGTGAGTGCATTTCTGCCGGGAAATGACCACACAAAGCTGATCCTGAATAGTACTCCATCATCGAACTCGTCCAAACCTTTTCTCAAACCTTGACTCCCTTCCCCCCGCCATACCATCCTCATCTTCACACCAACGGCGCTTCAACCCACCCCATCATCCTCATTTTCAATGCTCTTCTCGCCAATAAGCGCGTCATGTTCCTCGGCCACGGTCTCCCCGCCAACCAAGTCGCACGTATGGTGCTGGCCGCTTGTGCCCTTGTCTCTGGATGTGGCCAGGTCTTGCGCGGGTTCCCCGAATGTGCGTTCCCGTATGCGAATCTAGCAAGTCTGGATATCCTAGAAGAGTTTTCAGGGTATGTGGCCGGGGTGACGAACCCGAGGTTCGAAGATCTGCATATGACTTGGGATGTGCTCTGCAATCTCGAGACAGGGAAAGTGACAGTGTCCAAAAACATGAAGTCGGGGAGTATCAGTACGGGGTCGGTAGGGAGCCGAAAATCGTCAGAGACAAGTCTGAATGCCAGCCTGGTCAAGGTGGAGGATGATAATATCTCTGGGACAATGACGCCCCAACCAAAGATGATTTCTACCTCTCGGGCGGACTGTGTCGACAACCAGTTCATGGAAGAGGTACGTTCATTACATACTCAATCGGAATTGAACTCATACAAGGCAGATTGCGGCAGCAATGGCATCCCACTACGGAGAGTCCAACATCCGTCTTCGTCTCACCGATTATCTCCACCGCTTTGTCCGTCTGGCAGCTTATCAAGAATACGCCCACACCGGTTCATCCAAGATCGGCTATCCCACGGTACACTACCATGATGGCCAGTTGGGCAGTGGTGTGGTGTTTGCGGACGAACAGATGAAGCAAAGGGAGATGTGGGCGAACGGACATAGGATTGATGCGTGGAGAAAGACTAACAGTTACAAGCTGTTCTCCAAGGTAAGCATCTCGCGGTCGGATGATGCCCCATGCTGACAGGAGGTATAGGATTGGGAATCTCGCACCAAGCGTCGAGCCATCGAATTCGACATCCATCATCAGATCTCTCGCCTCCGGATGACGAAAAACATGTCCGACTCTGAAGCCGACGCAATCTTCTCGTCACTTGCAAACGGTGTTCGCACGTACGAGCAAGTGGTGGAGCTTTTGACGCATTTGCCGCCGCATGGAGGTGGAATTATGCCGATAGCAAATGGGCTGTTCCACCAGTGGCTGGGCGTGAGGGAGAACACGGTGGACCTGTTGTTAACTTTGCAGCAATACCCTGTAAGCGCTGCCCGATGTCGTTCCGGGAGACATTGCTGACGACTAGGCAGATTGGGCGGATAGCAGTCACAGCAATGAACTACTTTCACCGCAAAACTCTCGCTCAGCTCCTCGAACGGCGCGAAATGGCTTACCGCCTGCAACGCGAGCGGCAGCTCGAACAGGAAGAAGGCTACGGGTCGCCTACAGATGGGTACAGTGGAGGCTTCGGTTGGCCGGGGAACACTGCTACGCCACAGAGTGGAATGGCGAGGGCTTGAGATATGATATAGATTCTGGGGAAGCTGCCTGTCTTGATACTTGTTGTAAGCACTGTATAATGGGTTATGGGGTCTTGATGCATTCTTATCCATAGCTGCTGCTGCTGCTTCGAGCTGAACAGGTCGCAAGCAAGCTGCTTTTCTTTCTTTCAGGGGTTCGATGAGAAGGAGACCATGACCACGTGCCAGCTATGTTGTCGACGTGACTGGTGACGGGACGAGAGGTATGTAAATAAGATCTTTCTTTCTCAGGCTAGATCAGGTCTGATGAGTGTGTTCAGACGTGACTCGGCCCGTCAAGAGTTTACATGTTAACGTGATACGTACGAAGGCGAAACCGGTCCGAGCCCCGAGCTGACGAATTGCTTGAGGTCAATGGCTTGTATTGATGGGCTCTATGCATGTACAAACAAGGGTGCTAGGACACATCTTTCTACTCAGTGAGTGTACATCCCATGCCTTAACCACTCCTTGCCATCGGCACGTCGTACGGCAACAGAAATAAGGTTCGGCTATCTACCGGACTCGGCCCGGGAGATGTCTTTCATTTCCTCTTTCGTCTGTCGAACCGTCATCTCATGTCAACACATGACCGCTCTATCCCGCATACATATACAAGCATGAACGACAGACTCGCATCATATCTCCATCGATCAATCCCAGTATCAGCAACAACATGGCTCCCCTTCTCAGCAACGGGGTTCGCATAGTTCTCGCTCTCTCGGCTATATCTCTTATCCCCAGCTTCGCTCTCGCAGCTTCCCGAATCCAGGTCAATGGCCTCAACTTTACTCTCTCTGGTCCTTCCGTCAGCTATCAATTCCACGTGAACGACGATGGAGACCTCATTCACGACTACTTTGGCGCTTTCGCTGCCGACCCGATCCGCGACCTGACAGAACCTGGAAATGGCTGGCGGTCACCTTTGGCCCAGCATCGTCGTGAGTTCCCAGACCAGGGCAGAGGCGACTTTCGGCTTCCGGCCTTCCATATTCGCCACGACTCTGGAAGCACAGTCTCCCAATTCGTATATGGAGGCCACGTCATTGTCGAAGGCAAGCCTGCCCTCGACGGTCTGCCGGCGACATGGGGCAACGCGTCCGACGTATCGACTCTCCAAGTGTACTTGGTTGACCAGAAGTCTTCCCTCACTGCTACTCTTTCATATTCCATCTTCCCGGACATCGGCGCCATCACTCGAAGCTTCAAGCTCAAGAATGAAGGAGAGGCGAATGTGACTCTCGAGAGAGCCATGAGCTGGAGTCTGGATCTTCCGCCGGATGATTGGGAGATGGTGCAGCTCTCTGGGGACTGGGCGAGTGAAGGGAGGGCTATGAGAAGACCGGTATACACTGGGATTCAAGGGTAGGTCCTACCGGCTTCTCAAAGAGCGGAGCTGACCTATCTACAGCTTCCAAAGCTCCGCTGGCTACTCCTCTCACTTTCATAACCCCTTTCTTGCCCTCGTACACCCAGATACAACCGAAACCACGGGATCTGCCTACGGATTCAATCTCATCTATACCGGCTCTCATACTACCGAGGTTGAGAAGTTTACCCCTGGCTTCACCCGAGTCCTCATGGGTTTGAACCCTCTACACCTCTCTTGGGTCTTGTCTCCTGAAGAGACATTCACGACCCCCGAGTGTGTTGCGGTCTATTCTGAAGAAGGCCTGGGAGGTATGAGCCGGGCATTCCACAGGTTGTATCGCGAGCACCTCATCAGGAGCAAATGGGTCGATCAGACCCGGCCTGTGCTCATCAATAGCTGGGAAGCATTCGGCTTTGACTTTACCGAGACGGATTTGGAGGGCCTCGCCGAAACAGCAAAAGATCTCGGTGTTGAGCTTTTCGTCCTGGACGACGGATGGTTCGGTAACACCTATCCTCGTACGAGTGACGAACAAGGTCTGGGTGACTGGCAATACAACACTGAGCGCTTCCCTCAGGGGTTGGAACACTTGGTCAACAACATCACTTCCCTCACCACAGCTCGCGGTGAGGCTATGAAGTTTGGTATCTGGGTCGAACCGGAGATGGTCAATCCTCGCTCATCTCTCTACGATGCCCATCCCGACTGGGTCCTCTCTTCCTCCAGTTACAATCGTACTGAGACGCGAAATCAGCTCGTACTTGATGTGGGACGACCCGAGGTACAAGAGTACATTATCAATTTCATGACAGACCTCCTATCCAATGCGAGCATATCGTATGTCAAGTGGGACAACAACAGGGGTATGCACGAGCTCCCTCAGCCCTCCTCTGCGCACAGCTATATTTTGGGTCTCTACCATGTCATTGACACCCTCACCAGTCGCTTCCCCGACATCCTATGGGAAGGCTGCGCGTCTGGAGGAGGACGATTCGACCCCGGGTTGATGTATTACTGGCCGCAGACCTGGACGTCCGATGACACGGACGCCTACCAGCGTCTCTTCATACAATTCGGCACCTCCATCCCTTACCCTCCTTCCACCCAAGGCGCGCATGTCTCGGCTGTGCCAAATGGCCAGCTGGAAAGGACGACGCCCTTGGAGTTCAGAGCGCATGTGGCGATGATGGGCGGCAGTTTTGGCTTCGAATTGGATCTTGGCAATATGACCGAGGGAGAAAGAGGTCAGGTGAAGAAATTGGTCGAGGTAGCGGAGAAGGTCAATCCGCTTGTCATATCAGGAGACATATACAAGCTTGCCTTGCCAGAGACAAGTAACTGGCCGGCCGCATTGTACGTCTCCAAAGACAAGTCGGAAGCCGTGCTCCTGGCGTACCAAGTTCGCTCGACGATCATGACCGTCATACCCGCCTTGAAGCTCCAGGGATTGGAAGAAGATGCTACGTACAATGTGAACGGGACGACATATCAGGGGTCGAGCTTGATCAAGGCGGGGCTGAAGCTAGGTTGGGAGAAGGGAGATTATCTGAGCAAGGTGGTCTGGATCACGAAAGAGTGAAGGCGGGATAGCTTTTGTAACACATCTGGACGAGACATTGCTATAACCGGACAATGTATATATGTGAAGGTTCCAGTACGTTTAGAGGGGGCATGCGTGCGGACTGGCTTTTGAATATGGTATCATCGTTCAACACCGCCCCATCGGCCGCCGCCGCCGCCAACAAAGACACGCGCGCGCGGCGCCGGCAGAGCAGATGATTTGAAGCCTCGCTCACTCTTCGTGTATCTCTTTCTCCTTGCTGAATATACATTCCGAGCTATGGTGGCTCGCAACTGGAACCGCATTTGGTAAAGTGACTCACTGCAGGAAGAAGAAGTGGCTGACAGACAATCCAGGGTGGCAGGGACAACTTTACTCATCTCCTTCATCTCATTCTCGAGCCAAATCTTCGTCATATGGCCTTGGTATGGAAGGGAGTTGAGTGTAGATCTGTTAAAGCTTTTAGGCCCCTTCAAGTGAGCATCTGTCCCAGTGGCAAACAGTGTCAGGATCAAGAGGAGCTGTATTAATATCTATAACTACAGCTGCGCGGTGTTCATGGTGTTTTGGAATTACCGGCTGGTTGTGACTACTTCTCCTGGAGAAGTACCCGACGGCTGGGTCGGTTCTTTCCTCATAATTGTAGCATATGCTGACTTAGTGACACAGAGACCCACCATGGGTGCATTGGACGGTTTAGAAGTGAAACGCGGAACGCACACCCCGAGGTACTGCAAAACCTGTGAACACTACAAGCCTCCGAGAGGTGAGTAAAAGGAAGGAGATCCCGGATCACGAGCTGATGAATATCTAGCGCACCACTGTAGATCCTGCAAGACATGCTGGGTGAGTTTCGTCACAATCTTCGGGAAGACCGACGCTGATCTTGTGTAGCTGAAAGTAGGTCTGCACTGCGCCTGCCGGGAGATTTGCACTGACTAGTTCTCTTCACCCGAATTGTTCAGCTTGACCGTGAGTTCGAAAAGTCCTTCAACCGACTTTGGCTAATCTTACTTGCAGACCACTGCCCTTGGGTTGGTAATTGCGTCGGCTTCTTTAACCAAGGTCATTTCATTCGCTTTCTCCTTTGGGTAGACATCGCCACTACTTTCCATCTTCTGATGATGTTACGGCGCGTCATGGCAGTTGCTCATTATTACATCGTGAGTCACCCTGGACGCCGTTGTTTGAGCTTGCTAAGAGAATATAGGAACCGAGCCTTTCGGATGTCCTTTTCTTGGTCTTCAACTTTGCTGCCTGTATTCCCGTTTGGCTCTGTGTTGGCATGTTTTCGATCTACCACCTCTACCTCGCTTCCGGGAACAGCACCACAATAGAGGGCTGGGAGAAGGACAAGGTGGCTACTCTGATCAGGCGCGGAAAGATCAAGGAGGTCAAATATCCCTATGTGAGCTGTCTCTGCTTTCTTGCTCTGACGAGCCTACTGACCGCTCGCAGAATATCGGGATGTACAAGAACCTAAAGTCTGTGCTTGGTCCCCAGCCTCTCCTCTGGCTCTGGCCCCAAAAGATGCGAGGAGACGGGCTCTCGTTCCCTGTCAACCCTGAAGCAGGAGGTGAGTCTGCTTCCGATGACTGGGCTGGAATAGTGGCGCCCAACAGGGATCTGGATGGTCCTCGGGTGGGAGGCGGAACTCCTTCGAGTACTGCTGGAGGAAGCGGGAGCGGAACTAATGTTGGCCGGGGTACGGGGGAAGAGCGTGCGCGCCTTGCGAGGTCAAATAGCGGTACCATGGTATGAGTGATGATGTGAGTCGGCTCCTGATGAGGCTGTAGATAGACAATTGACATTGAATACAGGGTCACCCTGCTGACTCGTATTTAGACCATGACTGCCAGTATTTCTGGCCTCCTCAGGATCCCTCCCGTTACCCCAACCCTCCTCCTCGTCCTTCTACTGCATCGCCTTTCACATATGGGGATGGCTTCAATCCCAACCTTCGTCCCTCCAATGCTTTGCGGTCACGTGCATCCAGGTATCATGAGCACTCTCTAGATCCCAACGATCCCAATCATACCTTCGAAGAAGGAGAAGGAGAAGAGGCCTATTCGTCCGGTGAGGATCGCGACAACGACTCTATCCGCACCTCCTCTTCCCCCGAACCATACCTATCCGATTATGACGAGTACAATGAAGGTCCTCTGGCGCCAGGTGAGCGTATGACGAGGGTGAGGAGGGGAAGTGAAGGGTGGGAAGTGATGCCTGTGAGAGGTGGATGGTATGCAGGGGGAGGACCCGGTGTAGGTTATGAAGAAGAAGAACAGGGGACGTGGCAGGAGCAGGAGCAGAGGGTGTGGGATGATCAAGCGGGGGAGGACGGGGAGAGCTGGGAGGGGGTGAGGGGAAGCCATAGGCCATGGGAGGACAGGGGACGGTATAACATTTACTACCCGGAAGAATAGAAGTGTCGCATAGCAGTTAGCATAGTGTCCTCTCCGTCAGCATAGACTTGTGTGTATAAACAATGTAAGGGTAGCTTGACATACTTCTATCTGTTCTATTTCATTTTATCCTACTCTATAACAACACATCGTTTCAAAAAATCTACAGAGACATCCTCTACTCTACTCCGGCGCCAAGCGCCTCCGCAAACCTCCTCGCTCTCCTCGCAACCTCGCCTCTTTCGCCCATCACTGTCAGTCTCAGACTGACACCCTTGAGATCCTCGTCCTCGTCGAGCGAAGGCACAGGGGTGACAGTAAAGTTGGAAAAGGCGTAGTTGAGGATGTGGGTCTCGTATGGCTTGGTAGGTGATGTCAAACGGACGAGCCCCTTCACTGTAAATGGCGTCAACGACAAGCACTGATGATCAGGCAGAAGACACACCTCTATATATCTCGAAAGAGAGCTTTGCAAGCTCCTTCTCGAGTGCCTCCCTCTCGAGCGGTTCGACTTCACCCACCGTCTCCACTTCTTGCTCTCCCTTCTCACAAGTCCCACAAGCCTCCCCATGCGCATGGTCATGCTTCACTGGCCTTTTCCCCTTATACACCCCTTTCACCTCCACCTCGTCCCCATGCCATTTCCCCTCCTCCCCGATCACTCCCCAGTCTTTCCTCTCTTTGCCCGTGGCATCCCACAGCTTGCTGTCGAGACCAAATATGATCTCTGGCTTGGGTGGGTTTGAAGGGGCAGGGCCGATCTTGATCTTGGGCGTCTCGTCGTTGAGGTCGTTCAGCCTGTCTAGGAGCACGTCGTATTCACGCTCGTTGGGAATCTGATGCTTGTTCAACAGCAAGAGATCGGTGTACTTGGCTTGCAATTGCGCACTAGGCGAGGAATCTTCATATCCCCCAAAATTGACACAGTCCACTACCGTCACCACTCCATCCAGCTTGAACCCCTGGGGCTCCAGTTCTTTGATCTGCAAAGCAAGGGTGGCAGGGAAGGCAGATCCGGAGGATTCGATGATGATACGGTCGGGCTTTAGGGTGGATTGGACTTCAAGGAGGGCATTGGAAATGAGCCCGACGGAGGTGCAGCAGAGGCAGCCGTTGAGGATCTCGGAGACACCGGTGATGTTGGATTGAGAAGCAAGAATCGAATCGACTGTTCCAGATGAGCATCGGAGGGGACGATGTGGATATAGAGGTTACCTTCGACATCGCCATATTCGTTCTTGAGGAGCACAACTTTGTAGTCCTTGGGGAGCTGCTGTAGCAGAGACAAGATGGTCGTCGTCTTTCCCTGCAATTAATCATTAGACCATTCCCTGATCACTACTGTCTATCCGAGGTTCGAACGTACAGCTCCTACAGTCACAATGAGCAAGGAAAGGGTGTCAATTGAGAGTCCACGCACCAAGAAAGCCGGTAAAGCATGTGACTGGGATAGGTCCTTTTTCCGAGGGCTGAACAGTCATTTTAAGATGTTTGCGGGGCGGAGGAGCGAAGATGAGAGCTATAGTTGCGCCCAACAATGGATAGGAAAGGTGAAAGAAAGTCGGATGCGCGCGAGACAAGAAGCCGAACGTGATTTATTAGACGTGCAGTGGACTTTCAAAAGTCCGCTCAGCTCCTTTCCCAGTTATCTTATCTCCTGAAACTGAGGCTGAAATGAACCTGGCGAGTCGCAGAGGCCGCCTTTGAATGGATAGAATAATATACATCTACAAAGGCTTCACTGTACTTGTACAAGAAGATGGGTCGATGCGGCCCTTGGCTCTTGCTGCCGCGGCGCATAGCCTACTCCCAGATACCCTGGATCTCCTCGGAACTGTATGTATTGCAACGGTATCTACTCCCGCTTCTTCATAGCACTGGATGGTGCTGGAATCATACCAAGTATGCCCAGGGTGAGAGTAAACAAGGCTGTCGCTATGAATCCGTCAGCACTCACCATCCTACATGGAATCCATGTGAGACCTACCTCCAGCCATACTACTAAAGATCCCCATCCCCTCTCGGCCCTCCATTTGCTCTAATGAGGCATTTCCCACTGCCTTGAACGCATCCAGGACACTTTGCAATGTAGTCGTCTTGCCAGCTTGGGACAGAGAAATGACGAGGCATGTCCAACCACCGATGATCGAGGCTGTCAAGAGAGGCACTATTATACGGAGGCGAGCTGATTCTTGCCATTTGGGATACTGCAAGTTTAGTTGAGCTGGAGTTGATGGGGACAATGTGGTGCGACACTCACGTTGGGGGTGAATCCGCGGACCCAAGGCAGAAAGAGGACGAGGTAGAGGAATATGAACTGCATCATGATCAGAAAAGGTTCCCTAATAAGTCATGGGGCAATGTCCCAGATGCTTTCGCACTTACTATAGTCGCAATATGCAGTCCCAAGCCAGTAATCAACACCCGTCTATATATCCACCCCATCAGCTTGTTTCCCCACCACTTCCCCGTCTTCCCCACTTGTAATAAACCCACCTGATCCACCCATGTCTCGCCTCTAATGTCCTCTTCACCACATCTGGGTAATCCAGATACCAACATCCCAAGCCTCCCACGAGAACGTATTTGCCGTGCTTGATGAAGACGGCGGTGCGGCTGGCAGGTGAGTCGATGGATGCTACGACGCTTTTGGAGGATTGGGAGGGTAGTGATGTGCGACGTCGGACGGGTGGGGGGTTGGACATGGCAGGGACAGGAGGGGCGGGAGTATGTTAAGTAGTTGTTGGTGAGAGAGGATGAGAAAGAGTTGAAAGATCAAAGTTGGGATGAACGTCATGCAGAAAGAAGTGTTAAGCGCGGATTACACGAGTACAATTCGGCTGTGTTTACGTTTATCCGGTTCCGCCCATTACAACTTCCATCTTGGTTTGTTCAACAGTCGAGCAAGAGCAGAGACACAGCGTTACAGAGTGCATAAGATTACTCCACAGCTTTGATTATTTACTTCTGACCAGTTCCCCGTTCTCCATTCTGTATTACAACTCTTAGAACGCCTTCTTGTACTGCTTCTCGGACTCGGTGTCAAAGATGTTGATGGGCCAGCTAAGCGCACTCATTCAGTTTGGCGACCATAGAACGACCTCGAAGTAGACTTACACAAGGTCATAGTCAGCAGGAGCATTTGCTCGCGCGTAATTGGCCTTGCCAATCTTGTTGATGGCCTCAAAGTCCTCCTTAGGGAGCTCAAAGTCTTCAAAGTTGGACTTGATTCTCGAAGCAGTAACACTCTTAGGAATGACCGAGAAGCCCTGGTATGCGCCCCAGGCAACGAGGACTTGGGCAGGGTCCTTCTTGAGCTTCTCGGCAATCTTGATGATGTCGGGGTTTTGGACGATGCGAGGCTTGCCGGTGGTGTTGTTGCCGAGAGGAGAGTAGGCTGTGATTACAATGATTACAATGCCCTTTTTATTGGCTACGCAGCTGTTGGCCATGATCAAGGGAGCGGGGCTTGAGATACTCACCATACTCATACAGTTCAGGCTGGATTAAGCTGGGGTGGGTCTCAATCTGGTTGAAAGCAGGAACCACACCGGTAGCCTCAATGAGCGCATTCCATTATGTATACATGCGTTGAGGGACGGTCCAAAGCTGGAGGTCTGCTGTACCTACGTACCGTACTATACCAGGTTGTGAACCTCGGGAACCTGTCAAAGATCTTCTCAATCATGGTAGTACTTGTTGAACTTTTCAATCAATTCCGGATCATGCTAAAGAGACCATCCATTAGCACCCACACCACCTGGATAAGTTATGGACGCACGCGATACCGGGATTGGAACCCAGAGAAGCCATCGCGGAGGACATAGATCTCTTGAGGTGTTGAGGGGTTTGGATAGTGGTGTGCTCTGGTCTCGGCGTAAATCTAGGACATGGTCAGTTTAGGCGGCCTTCCAAGTACAATTGAATAGGAATAGAGAAAGGCGACATACCCTAGCAGCCTTTGGGCCTCTACAGGTGTGGCGAAAGCTTCAGTATACGGTCATCTTTCAGCATGACAAGGGAACATTTACGAACCTGGCTTGTGATAGAGCACAGTCTGACCAAGGCCGGCATGTCAGCATAACCCTACCCGATCACTCGTGAGGCTTACGGAACACAACCTTGGGCACTAGAGAACGCAATCACACAAAGTCAGCTTCTATATTCTGACGAGGTGGACGACACGCGCGCACCTGTTTCCAGCTTCTCTGCCAATTCGTCAACCTTGGCGTGGAAGGTATCGCTCGGATAGTTCAGGGCAGTCACAATGTTTCCTCCCTGATCATCCTTCAGCACCTGTACCCCGTAGGCCGGTAGGACCCCGCTGTGGGCTTACAGCGAAATCACTGTCTCTGACGTCGACAACAGCCCAATCCTTCACCTCCGAAACAGGCTTGGCTTTGATCAACTCTGCCAGCTCCTAGGCAGCTCGTGAGCTCATGTTCAACTCTGTAGTTGAAAACAGCCCACCGATACGTACCTCGGCGTTGATATACTTGAAAGGCAACGAAAACGACATTCTCTTGATCTCGATTCTCTCCCTGATGCTCAGACCTGATACCGTCGAATATCTGTATAATTGTCTTGTGTTCCTACAGACCAGCGTGGGTATATGGGGCATGCAATGGTGGGGGCGAAAGCTGATATGGCCCAATGATGTGGTGAACAATGCACATACCAATCGATCATTTCGGCTGCCTCCACTTCCTTTTCGCCGCTTCGCGTTTCTTCTGGTCAATCCCCATTCGCGCTTTCATTTCCATTGACTGTTCTGAAATATTCCCTAACCCACCTACTTCAAACTCTCAGCAACATGTCCTTCGCCCGTTTCGGTCTCCGTACTTTGGTGAGTAATGGGCCTCGAGCAGGAAGGGGGGAAGCCAATGAGAGCACTTTGCTGACTCACTCTTTCTTCATTCATTCAGCGATCCCTTCCCCAATCCCAGGTCGCCCGCTCAACAAACCTGATCTCTCAGAGCCGGTTGCTTTCCACAGAAGCCAGGAAGCTTATCGATGACGTACGTTGTAATTTGACAAGCAAGATCGAGGCCAAGTTGCTGATCAGGGGCGTTTCCATGTAGGCTGTTCAATCCAACCCCCTCGTCCTCTTCATGAAGGGCTCCCCCGAAGCTCCCCAATGTGGTTTCTCGAGGGCTGTCTGTCAGATTCTCGATGTCCAGGTGAGCTTTACAGAACGGTGGAAAATGGTTGAAGTGCTGATGGATCATGTAGGGTGTCCCCAGAGAGAACATCAAGAGCTACAACTGTCTTGAAGACCAAGAGCTTCGTGAGGGTATCAAGGAGTACAGGTGAGACTTTTGAATAATTATGTCTCATTTCTGTGCTGACGGAGTCAATCAGCGAATGGCCCACTATTCCTCAAGTGTATGTGAAGGGAGAGTTCGTCGGTGGTTGTGACATTCTTCTCTCCAGTGCGTACCCTTTGCTCAGGAATGACGTCCAAATAAGCAAGGCTGACTATGTTTTGCGTCGTAGTGCACCAAAGCGGCGAGCTTGAGGAGCTGTTGATCAAGGAGGGCCTCGCTCCTCCCATTCCCGAGGGTCCCGAGTCCAGCGCTTGAGCGTGATATCATGTAATATATAATCCTGGCACTGAATATACTGCGCATTATGTGCTCCAGGTGCACCTCCGATCTGTGACACTGCCAGCAGAGAACGTTGCACATTGTGCGAGAGGATATAAATGATCCATGCTAAATGCCCTGATAATGCACAACCTCTACGAAACCAACACATCTCTACTGCTTTCCAAACCCACCCCAAGGGTTCACCCACTTATTCGTCTTGTTCCTCATTCTAGGCGCCGCCCTCTTGAAGTACTCCCAGCCCAAACTCATCAATTCTCCGCCCGCATCATATGGCGATGGGATTTCAGAGTAGTTCGCCCGCGCTGTAGGATGACGGACGTAGACTGCTGAGCAGGTGAGGTAAGAGGGGAGGAGGTAGGCGGGGACAAAGATGTGGGGTTGGGCAAATTCGGGGAGTCTAAAGTAGGTAGAGGATGAAGCGAGGGCAGAGGCTGTCTGCGGTAAGGGAATTTCGGAAACCTCTTCACCTTCGACAGCCTCTTCCGACTCAACTTCTTCGGCCGGCGCTAGTTTTGGTTTTGGTGCTTGGAGCATGACGATGGCAGAGGGATCCACGGTGAAGACATCTCCGGGATTGAGCATCACGTTGGGGTTCCGGATCTGGGCGCGTTAGCACTTGCAATGAATTACCGAACAACTACTCACCACCTGGCCATTCAGCTTGACATGCCCTTGCACGACATATCTCCTCCCTTCCCAGACATTCTGGGCAAAGCAAACCCTGAAGATGGCGACGTCCAATCTCCTCTCCACATCCGCAAACAGCATTGTTCCGATCGGCGCCCTGCTGTCCTCCGCCTTCTTCTTGACCCTCTTCTCGTCCAATGTTCTTCCCCCAGCCCTTTCTCTACCTTCAATCCATTTGCCCATCTCCGCCGAGGCAGCGCTCTTCTTCTCAGCCTGGTGGATAGCCGGGAGCTTTTCGGGCATATACCATCTGGAGAACTTTGTGAAACCAATGTGGTCACCGTGGTATCCTCTAATCAGGCGCTTGGCGGTGAAACGGAGTTGGAAGGGGGTGGCGTTTGTACGGGTAAAGTCGTGTTCGCGCTTCAAAGGAGAGTCGGGAGAGGTTCGTTGCCAAAGGTTGAACAGGTTCTCGGGAGCCCAGCTCTATAGATTTGTGAGCTCATATGCTTGGGCTAGATGGGCGACATACCATACGGGGAACTCCCCTTTTGTGGTTGAAGACGTTTCTTGAGGTGTATGGTCTGAGCGGCATGGTGGCTGGCGGAGTTCGTTTGATGGCACAAAGTCAGGCGAGCGACAAGAATCGCCAGAGGAAAAATGCCACTTTTCGGGCATTTCGGCGATATCCGCCCGCGACTGTCCTCTTTCAACGCGACGGTATCTCTTTCGACAATTACTGCGATGCATGGGGGTATTCTAAGGGTTCTAAGAGTACTAGGGGTGATGGAAATAGGGTATGTATATGCGAAAATGACATGACAAAGAGTTTGTGTACGGGCAAGATAAATGTCCAGGGCAACACGGCATAAAAGTACGTTACGAAATCGTTAAATGAGCAAAAGGCGCAAGCAGGCCACAGCAATCTAGCACAAGCACTCCTCAACGAGCACTATCCCTTCCTCAGTATACTTGGTCGCTCACAACCGGCATCCCATAGTCGAAGCTTTCTCCTTCATAGAATCTCTCAAAGCCAGTATCGCCCTGTGGCGTAGGAGCCAGATACTCGTATCCCTGCGGCGTGTGTGCCTCTAGGTACTCCATCTGTTGCTGCTGCATGTAGCCTTGTTGGCTACCGGATCTGGAAAAGTCGGCGCTGCCAGGTATAGGCTGGGAGAGCGCCGGCGGGGCAGAAGTAGGGGTCGGGGCAGAGAGCGACGTACTCGACGTCTGGGAGGAAGGGTCAATACCAGCAGAGCCGGGTTGAGTGATGGAAGGGTCGATATACATGAATGAAGATGCCTCTCCCTGCTGGTTGCTAAAGTCCTCAAGCATGGGAGAAGCCATAGCGGGTGTCAAATAGATGGGAGAGGGCTCGCCCATGGAGTGATGCCTCGTCATGATAGGCGGGACGTGGTGGTACCTCGGCACATGCTCTCCCATATGGCCATGCACATGAGGAGGGGGAGCTTGGTGGTGCTGAGGACCAAGAGGTACGTGAGAGAATGGAGGAGGATAGGGGTTGGGGTCGTGAAGATGGAGACCGAGAGGAGTGAAGGGAGGTTGGTGGTTGGGCATGTAGCCTTGAGGACGCCAGTTGTAGTCGTTGGGGTGCACGGGGGTGTAATTGATAGATGGTGTCGATCTCTGGCGCTTGGGAGCGGGCATTCGGGCGTTGAGCTTGTCGGACATGCCCAAGGGGCTCGGTCGCTTCTTGGTCTTCTCTACCAACGAAGACTTGGAGAACTCGACGGGGGGCGCTGATGCAGAAGACATAGCCTGCGACAGCTCTGCTTGGACTTCAGCCATTGCAGCCGCATGGACAGCAGCTCCCTCAGTAGCAGCTCTGACGGCAGCGGCACCAAGAGGAGCCTCGTTGGTGTACCGAGGAAGAGTCTCCCCAGCAAGCCATACTTCACGAAGGCTGTCGGGAATAGTCAACACAAGAGGCCGGTCGGTTTCTAAACATTGTCAGTGATGACTCTTAGAAGCGACAGATGTTACGCACTGCCAGACGCCCTCCAAACTTCATCGGCACGAGCCACCAAACAGATCTCACGGATGATCTCCAACTTGTCGGCAGGCAACCACGCCATTATCGTGGCCACCGACAATTCCAAGTCAGCCACCTTGGCAAGGTTGCCTCGGAGCATGTGGATGAGGAGGGAAAGTCGTTCTGATAATTTGACGTAAGTCCGCAGCAGTGCACAAACATCAGGCAATTTTAGACTCACGTTCTTTGGTGAGATGGTCCGGGGCACGGTGCTCAATGGATTTGGGCCACCATTTGGGCTTGGACTTGTCACCCTTGTTGTAAGGGAATCTGCTCTGCTTCTTGGGCTCAACGACCTTGATCCAAGCCTTGGCCACCTGCTTGCAGACCTCCTGTTGCACCGACGAGAAACGTTTCTCATAGTAGGGCACGATGTCGTCGGGTTGGATGGTAAAGACGGTCTTGTCTTGATCGGAAGGAAGTTTGCTGGAGCTGGCGACAGCAGGGGTGGGAGGTTCGACAAGGGTTCTGTCAGGGTCGATATCGTCGGCGTCGTCGTCTTCGACATCGTCCTCGTCTTCATCATCTGACCCGACCGGCAGAAGCTTCCCCTTGGCGCCCGGCACGATCTGAGCATTACTTTTCCCTTCCTCCTCTCTTCGCTGCTTCAGCTTTTGCTTCACTTGCGCGGCATGGTACTTCAGCGAGTCCATATGCAACAGACCGCCACCCTCATCTACCTTCTGCTTTGTTTCGAAAGGCTCTTTCAGGAGTGTCGATTGGAAGGAGTGGATCTCGCCTTTGGGAGAGATGAAGGTGATGAGGAATTGAGAGCCGTCGATGTAGGATGCTTTGCCCAGCATGTGAAGGATGTGGTCCCGTTTGGCGCGGTAGTGTCTGTTGCACTCGCGGATCGTGTCGTATGTTTCTGTGCGGGCGGCGATACGGGGCATGGTGGTGATATGTGGATGGGATAGGTAGGGGGAGAGGGAGGTGTGGGTAGACCTATATGGGAAGTATAAGCGGCGATTGGGGGGCGTTGCCAACAAAGCTTCCGAGGAACAAACAACTCACGATGTCCCCACAGAGTACTATACACAAACGAAAAGAATGACAGGGGTAGGCAGTAAAGACAGTGAGGTGGAGAGCACGAGGCAGGCCGGAAAGAAGGACGGGGGTGGATGGATGGATGGATGGAGATGGAAAGAAGCAAACAGACGGCCCAGCAAACGTCAACCCGTTTCTGTTGTTTGGCGAAATGATCAGCCGCGAGCCGATTCGAAGCCTGGACCCTGAGATTCTCCCGCGAAACAAAGCCAAAACGTAGAAATCAGTCGCGGTCACGGGCGAAAATGATCAGTGCCGCCGGGAACCTCCGGCGCGCAGCTATCGTCTCTCAACCCTTCTTGGGCATCGTATTGAGGCTTCGGCGCTATGCAGTACGCTCTGAGCCAGTCACATTTGGTACTGCTTCCCTATGGACAAATCCCAAGAGTCGGCCCTGTTGTGCTCACGGAAGATGGGCCATGGAATGATGATAAATAACACGGGAGAACGTCATTGTTGGATACGAGCATGCATGGATGAGGAGGGTGTGGGAATTTGGAGGCGAGAGATGGATAGGGACTTCTGATGCTACAGCTACACATGCACAAGACATCTTATACACGTCTGCCCCCATCGGCAGTACTCGAGAACTCGAGTACTCCTTTTGGTAAGCGAAACTACTTAGATGGTACCATAACCAGCCGAGGTAGCTAGCCCGGTCACATCAGAGACAGAGACTGCCGAGGCAATGTTGGAAAGAGAGCTGAACTGCTCCAACGCGGTCTCATCAGACAAGTCAAAGCTGCCCGAGTTGGTGAAACTGTTTGCAACACAGTCGCGGCCGATGTAGGAGGAACAGGCAGACTCGCCCGTGGCGTCGTTGACGGCGTATACAACGTCGTAAGAGCTCTCTTCGTAGACGGTAGATACACCGCTGAAGACGTTGCCCTCGGCGAGGATGTAGGCGCCGCTTCCAGCCTCGAAGGCGTGGCCGCTGGACTCGTAAAACTATATGATGTCAGTCCCGAAACAGAGGCAAGGCAGGGCACTCGCGTAGTTGTTGACGGCATGGAGAACAGTGTTGCCCGAGACCTTGGGAGCACGGCCGCTGAAGTGGTGGATATAGTTGTCCTTCAGGGTGATCTGGTCACTGGAACCAGTAAAGTACATGTTCCAGTAGTGGTACCCATCGCACGTAGCAGAGTATGTTGCTTCGCCGTCGATGTTGGAGTTGGAGATGGTGACACGGCCAGACGCCTCGGAGCCGAGAACTATGTGCTGCCTGCCGATCTCGTCTGTGGTTACGTGGTCGATCCACACCAAATCGGTGCCGTCGAGGGTGATAGCATCACCTCCCCAGACATCTATCCATTTGTTAGAAGGTGCTTCCAGAATAGACTAGATAACCTACACTTGGGGTTGAGGTCCGTGATACGGATGTTTTGGATGATGATGTTTGACACATCGTTCTTGAGATAAAGACCCTTGCCCTTGATGGTACCCGACGAGCCATCGCCGATGAGGGTCTTGTCTGAAGCAACCAAGATCGGGTTGAGACCGGCATTGTCATAAGTGACAGAGACACTGGCAGCGTCAGACTGATAGTTGGTACACCAGTCATCTTTGTTGATGGCGACCTGACAAGCATCGTCAGTGCCCCAAGGAGCACAGCCTGTGGCGGTCGTTGTGCCTTCGGTGTCGGTAAAGTCAAAGGTCTGTTGAAGAACAATCACTCGAGCAGAGCTGTCGGTGAGGTAGGAGACTCTAGAGCATGTGTCAGCGCGAAGTGGGAGTATGACAATGAGGAAGACTCACAGCTCGTCAGTTGTGGTAGGGTAGACGGCAGTGGCATCTCCACCGCCAGTGACGCCAGCAGCAAAGCCCTCTGCATTTCCGGTGACTGAAGTAGCAGCTCGCGCGACCGCGGCCAAGCTAGACATAAGAGCGAGAGTTGAGCGCATATCTTGAGGTGTGATATGAGGGGTAGGCGTTTATAAGGAGAGGGTATGTGTAAAAGGAGTGTACGGCAAGAGCTTGGGTGTTGGTCGAAGCTGGCAAGCCAAAGTTGGATTAGTATGAGGGAGAATCGAGCTGTCCATCGCGGCTTATATGCACCAGACCACAGCGGTCTTCAGACAGCTTGATTGGCCTTCGGGCCCTTCGGGGTGACTGCTTGACCGAGAGTGCCTTCGGATGAAACGAGCGCAAAAGCCGGATGTCAGTGTGTTAGTATGCAGTCGACAGGGGAGATGAGAGGTGGATTGTTTGAAGATCGATTCCGCGCAGCCGAGGACAACGACGGCACGGCAGGTGTCATGACTACACCCGGCAACGGTCCCTTCCAGGGGGTGATTTCCAGGTACATCGGGGTACCTCGGCCTATCGTCCTTCTTGGCATGCAATGTTTGGAGCGAGGCATGGGAATGTTGAAGTGCTGCCCAGTCAATGTCAATGGTATCGATTTCTGATTAGACTGGATAGGCTGAATAATAGAGAGACTGCAATGGAGGGGCATCGAACGAAGGAGCACGGACTTCGCCGGTCGGTGTCTCTGGACCCCTTGACGGTAAGAGGCAAGGCCTGAAAGACTAGGGCCTCTTGTATTGCATGCCCTATTCAAGTAGTGTACTGCTCCGATGGACTGTCTAGATCTCAGTCGACTTTGGGATGCCCAGGCATCGGGCAGCGGCCGGCAGCGGCGACGGTACATTGCTCTAGTCAATGTCGGAGGCCCGAGAGGCATGCGTTTCTGTTCTGTCAGTTTGTTTGCCCTGCCCCGTAGACTCAGGCGCTCGCTTTGGGATCAGAATGGAGAAGATGTCGCATGGCCAGAGAATACATTTTTTCACAAATACACATCTTTGTATAAGTACGTTTCTACTCCCTCTCTAGCCAGATGACCTTGCTGGCATAATCGCCCTTCGAACCTTTCTTCCAGTTCACCCTCAGCCCCGCCTTGATCAATGTCGACCCCTGATACCTCTCTCCATCTACTCTATACAACGCTTCTTCCTCCAGTCCTTGCATTTTGAGTGGCGGCACGACGAGAGAGATGGTCGAGCGAACTTGGAAGGCGATAAGGACGGCTTGGGATCGGTCTTGCGAGACAAAGAGAGCGGCGGGCCAGTTGCTCGTCTCCGGCAAGGCAAGCTTGTACATGACCCCTTGAACCACTAGGGGATTCACCCTCTCCGCAAGCTTGATCAGTTCCCTGACCTCTCCCTTCTCCTTATCATCCAACGTCCCAAGATCCAGCTCAAACCCAAAGCTTCCGCCCATCATCGCCACATGAGCGCGAAACTCCAAAGGAGTGGTACGCCCGAGCTGATGATTCGGCACAGTAGAGACGTGTGCGCCCATAGTAGAGGCGGGGTATGGGAGGGTGGTGCCGAATTGTATGAAGAGGCGTTCGTACGCGTCGGTATCGTCGGACGTCCAGCTCTGAGGCCAGTAGTACATGAGACCAGCGTCGAAACGCCCGCCACCCGAAGCGCAGCCTTCCCACAACACATCTGGGAAGCGGGACGTCAAGACGTCAAGGATGTGGTAGAGACCCAGGATGTATTGATGCGCAGAGGATGGATGAGGCATCTCGTGCATCCCGCGATTGTTGTCCCATTTGACGTATGTGATTTGCGCACTGTCCAGCAGCTTTGTCATGAAGGAGATGATGTATTCTTGTACTTCAGGCAAACCCACGTTGAGGACCAGCTGGCTACGCTGCTCTGTTTGAGGGTACCCAGGGGTGGAGAGGACCCAGTCGGAATGGTTTTCATACAAGGCAGAGTGGGGGTTGACCATCTCGGGCTCGACCCAGATTCCAAATCTCATAATGTCGTGTGCAGTGGTCTTGAGCGCAGTGATACTGTCGACAAACTTGCTCAGACCGTCGGGGAACCGCTGCGCATTGGGCTCCCAGTCGCCCAAGCCCTGTTCATCGTTTACACGAGCGTGCGTTTGACCATTGCCAAACCATCCATCATCGAGCACGAAGAGCTTGACGCCAAGATCAACGGCGGTCTTTGCAATAGCCTGGATGTCACCAGCAGTAAAGTCAAAGTAGGTCGCTTCCCAGTTGTTGATCAAGACTGGTCGGGGCTTGTCCACCCAGGGGCTTCTAATGAGGTGCCCCCGATAGAGCCTGTGGAATGCACGGCTCATGCCTCCCAGGCCTTCCTCGGAATAGACAGCGGCACATTCGGGAGCCGTAAAGGTCTTGCCAGGCGCAAGAGTCCAAGAAAGGTGCAACGGGTTCAATCCCATGAGGACTCTGGTGAATCCTGGTGTAAACTGCTCGACCTCGGTGGCGTGGGAACCCGAGTAGATTAGATTGAAGCCGTAGGCTGAACCTGTCGTTTCAGTGCTTTCTGGGCGGACGAGTGCGAGAAAGGGGTTGTGGAAATGGGAGGCGTAGCCCGTGGCACTTTGAAAGCTGATACACGGTCAGCTGCATCCTTGAAAAGTGGCAGACTCACCCTTGGACACCTGGGTAGACAGGACGTCTAATAGCCTTTCCCTCTCTCGCCCAATCGCCCGAAAGCTGCACCATCTCCCACTCGGCCGCTGGCATATCCACACTCCAGCTCATTGCCCTTTCCAACACGACATTCTCGTCTCCGATATTCTTCAGCTCAAAGCTGCGGGTGATGGCGCCAATGTCGGGAAAAATGGAATATGACAGAGTTGCGCGAAGATAGGAAGGGCGATCGACGAGGTGGATGAGGAGGGTAGAGACAGAAGAAGTATCGCCCCATGTTGCAGGGAGTCCTTCCAGAGGCGGCTTGCCTTCCAGGACTTGATAGCTCTCATATACGAATTGCGATACCGTATGACCAGAATCATGTCGAATGTGGAAAGCAGGTAGCCTGAAGTCCCCTCGACCTTGGTCTGGGAACTCTCGGCGACTCCTGGCAAGGGGTCCACGCCAGCCATTGCGAGATGCTGGCAGTTCGCGTACAAGATCTGGCGTGTATGGCCCAAAGTAGTCGTGAATAAGGTCTCCATCGTCGCCGACATGGAACTGGTACGATACCAGAGGACTGGAGAGGGTAAAGCTGAGACCGTCGACCTGGATAGGGGTCGATTCTGGTACTCTTATACAAGTGTTGTCAGGCGGTAAGATGGAGGACGAGGAGCGGGTGGGGAGACTGAGAAGGAGGTTCAGCGCACCGAGTAGTAGGGGTAGCATGACCTTCTTCCTTGGAGGCGATGGCGGTCGGTGGTGGAGTTGCAAACATGATTATCTATGTTGTGAGTTTGGGGGACATGGGTCGTATAAGGGGTATATAAGGGGTGACGGCACGTGCTGTCTCGCCCCCACACGAGGCAGAAGGGGTCTAGGCGTGTACGAGGTGTCCACAAGTCGGATGGGGAGGAAGGATAAAGAGGAAATGTACTCTACTTTAGAAGACTGCCCGAGTTACGAATGGTCCAAGCCTAGAGTTAAAGAAACACGTCAAGCGGCGGCCGACGGGCTCACCCAAAACATGAATCAAAAGAAAATGTCTTCCATTCACCATCTCAGCAATTCATTCAAATCTCCATCTACAATGCCCATCATATCTCTGAGGCCACTCCGGCTCCCTCCCATGGGCTCAACACGGGCGGCTTCCTTCATCAAGCGCGCTTCTTCGTCTCTGGCCGACAAGACCGTCCTGCAAGAGCTCGACGAGCGTGGATTCGTAGCAGCCATCACCAGGCAAGTAGATCTCTCGGATGAAAGGATGGCATACTGACATTCTGTAGCGAGAACCTAAAGAAACACGTCAAGTCACCGACAACGATTTACGCCGGTGTCGACCCTTCAGCTTCTTCGTTACACGTCGGCAATCTCTTGCCCTTACTCGGCCTCTTGCATTTCCAAACCAAAGGCCACCAGTCTATCGCTCTTGTACGACCATCCATTCATTCATATAGCACTGCTAACTCAAATGGAATCTACAGATTGGGGGCGCAACAGGCTCAATAGGCGACCCCTCCGGCCGCTCAACCGAACGCCAATCCCTAACCCCCATCGAACTCTCCCGCAATATCGCTGGTATAACCTCCCAAGTCCGACGCTTCTTCACCCGTGGACAAGAATACCTCAACAAGCGCGGCCTGCAAGTGCAGCGAAAGGACGAAAAGGGAGAGATCGGGAGAGGCGTGAGGGTGTTGAATAATATGGAGTGGATGAGGGAGGTTAGCTTGTTGGACTTTTTGAGGGGCGTGGGGAAGAATGCTAGGGTTTCTACTATGCTTTCTAGAGATTCGTGAGTACCCCTGCTCTTCGTTGTGGTACAAGCTCATTTGCGTGGCAGAGTAAAGAACCGCCTGACGTCGGACTCTGGCATCTCCTATACCGAGTTCACCTACCAGCTTCTCCAAGCCTACGATTTCTCTCACCTGCACACCAACCACGCCTGTAACATCCAGCTGGGCGGCAGCGACCAGTGGGGCAACATCGTCGCTGGTATCGACCTGGTCCGACGCGAAAAGGTCGCTGCGAGGGAAGAGAGGGAGAATGCTGTGGTGGAAGGAGAGGATGGGGAGGTAGAGATCGTACAGAGCCAGGAGATTGGAGAGGAGGAGGTGTATGGGTTGACGATACCGTTGCTGACAACGAGTACGGGGGAGAAGTTTGGCAAGTCGGCGGGCAATGCGGTGTGGCTGGATGAAAAGAGGACACCCGCGTCCGAGTTCTACCAAGTGAGTCGATCATAAGCTTGCGGGATATGTCCTGATGTCGTGCAGTTCTTTCTGAGAACGACAGACGCCGATGTGGAAAAGTATCTGAGACTGTTCACATTCCTGCCTCTGGACACGATCCAAGAGACCATGACTGCCCACGAAGTGAGTCCCTCCCTTGCCCTACCGCCCATACCTGACCCCGGACACAGTCTGCCAAATCTCAACGCCTCCCCCAGAAACTGCTCGCCGCCGAGGTGACCGAACTCGTACACGGTCCACTCGCCCTCTCTCGCGCCCTTACCGCCGCCCAAGTCCTCTACTCTACCTCCTTCGCCGACCTCAAAGCCGATGCTGTCAGGGAAGCGTTCAGAGGCGACAAGAGGCTCCACAACGTCAAGAAAGAAGAGCTGGAAGAGTCTGGTGTGGGCAAGGTTGCTGCCAAATATGGGCTTTGTGCATCCGTTGGTGAGTCGTTTGCGCACAGAAAAAGGATTGAGATGCTGATGAGTGACAAAAGGTGAGGCGCAAAGGTTGGTGCAGAGCGGTGGGTTCCACATCAACTCGTCAAAGGTGACCGACCACCGACAGAAGCTTGGAGCGGAAGACCTGATTGATGGGCATGTGGTCATTCTTCGTGCTGGAAGCAAGAGGCAGGTCATCTTGTATGTCGAGTAGGATAGCGTGTTAGAGGGGTATGGGAGCAGACATAGATTGTACAACCACCATAATATTTGCATGGCATCTCAGCTCCATGACCTGCATCTGTCACACGGTTTGCTCCCGATGCGCCGAACCTTGGGCCCATGCTAGCCATGCTGCGCCACTGATGGTAGTCCTGCATGCAAAGGCCGTTCTGGTCGGCGTTGCGATGCGCACATGACCATTTGATGCGATGGGCGATGGCCAAGTGGGGGAATGAATGGATGATGGGCTGTGGCACGGTGGGTGTCGCTCAACATTGCATGGCTTGCATAAGACGGACGCCCGTGTGCCAGGCACGTCCTCCACCCCCGGAATATCCACGCTCGATAGGTCGGAGTGATGTTTGGCTCTGCAGCTGATACATACAAACAGCCCCCAGTGCGATGGGGAGCGATGGATGCAGGCCGGCCACAATGGATGATCGGGTGTCCTTTCTGCCACCTGACAGCATTGGGAATATAGCGTAGAAAGACGGACGACTGTCGCCACAGGTCAGTCCGTCCTCGCCTTCCCGACGCGACAACGTCCGAGACGAGTATAAAACTAGACCCCGCCACAGCCTTCCCTTTTTCCCATACTCAGAAGAATATTACCGCTCCATCGCATCTACTCATCCCATCGCATCTTTATCCATACGTTCAGATGATCTGTCTATCGCCACCAAGCCTCCAAGCCATTCCCGAAGACAGCGCCTTCACCCCGCCGTCGACTCCCCCACTCACGCCGCTCCGCACTCCCCCAGACGAGGAACCCATGAATAGCCACGCAGATATGGAAGTGGTTGCGAGCGATGGAGTGCGGCTGTTGACGAGCTGTGAACTGCTAAGGAGTGCAAGGTATGTCCTTTCATAATCTTGAACGCGGCGGCTGCTGACAAGAGATGGCAGCTCGTCATTCCTCATCATGAAGCAGTGGCACGAATTTGGCACTCTTTCAACCATCCACTTTAAAGACCCCTTTATCGAATGCTCAGCCACCATCACCCTCTTCCTCCACCTCATCTCCTCGCGCACACTGCCAACACCATCCACGGCGTCTTTCTGCGACTACGAAAACCTGCTCCTGTTCTTGAAACGATACCAGTGCCACCATCATCTTGCTGAAAAGGTTGCGCGGTGTGTGCAGGGGTGGATGGAGGATGGGTATGTAACGGCGAGTAAAGCGTTCAGAGTGGGAAGTCTAGTTGGGGATGATCGGTTGTGCAAAGCAGCTGTGGAGGCGGGGAATGAATGGACATGGGCCGGAGAAAGTCGCGCTTCACTATCAGTAAGTCCACCGTACCATTCCTGGACACCATGCTGACATTGCCCAGCCGCCATCAGAGCATTCCAAACGACACCACCAGCCACCGGGCCCAAACATACACCACGACGGGATTCCCGGCGCTCCCGCCCTCGATATCACCGCCATGCCCTTCTCCTTTTTCAAGTCGCTGCCAGACGAGTACAAGTTTGCGCTCATGCGGGCGACACGGAATGTGGTGGGGCCAAGCGTTGCATTGGACAAAACAAACTGGGATGGGATCGCTAGGGAATTTGAGAAGGTGTTGGGGGAGGTGAAGAAGACTCGTGAGTTCTCGTGTCGATGATGAGAAAGCATCGCTGATTGTGTCCTAGCAGGGAGATCATGACCAATTGATGTTCTTGAAAGTTTCAATGTTGTAGATCTTTACCATAAATCTCGTCAAGATGACTGTAATAATGGCACACATCATGTTGGATAGATTGTATAGAAGTGCAGATGTAATTATAATGCCTAGTCGAAATCACCTGCACACTTGTCAGCTTGGCCCACACTTCAATTCTATAAACTCACCATCGTCCATGTCCTTTGGCACCTTTGGCTCCTCATCCTCCCCGTACTGCATCATATTATCAATATGACTCAGCACCGTGTTGACCGAGTCCTCGTTCGTCACATCCAAGGGGAGGAAGGACACGATATTTTGGTCTTCTATCAAGCCCACCACGGCGCGGTTGAGCTTGCTAAATTTAGAGTTACTATTGCTGGATGGGTCTTCATAGAGAAGGCTAGGATCCGGGTCCAGGTATCTGCGTACAGTCAGCCACTGCCCAGAACTTTGCCAACACACTCACCTCCCGACCTCCCTCTTTGTCCTCCCCTTTTTGTCCTTTACCAGATCCATCTTGCTCATCAAACACAGCATACTGATGCCCAGAGAAAGCATACAGCTCATAGCACTCATCACTCCCGCAAAGTATTTGCTCTTGTCCTGCATGAATTGCGAGTCTATCAGGTAGACGGCAGAGGTGCGGAAATTCAGGTTTGTGGAGAGGTAGGTGGCGAGCCGGGGAAGGAGGGGGACGTGAGTGTAGAGCTCGATTTGACCGGGACAGTCGATGATGAGGTAGTCATCTTCGTAGGCGCCTAATTCGTCGTCCAGCCAGTCGAGGTTGTTTAACAAATATCTGGAGGATTGATCAGCACCATTATTTACCCTCTGCTTCAAAGCACTCACTCAAAACAATATATCAAACCACCATTGGGACCAAACTCGAGCTCCTCCATCACATCCTCCAAGTTGATCAGATCTCTGATATCAATTGTCGGCTCATACTCAAACTTGTCGGCGGCAGGGTCGAGGTTGACAAGGTGGACGGAACGGCCGAGGGTTTGGGCGTGTGTGATGAGAGAAGCGCAGAAGGTGGACTTGCCGGCACCTGCGGGGCCTGTGACGAGGACGGCGTATCGCATGGCAGGGGGGGTGATTTTTGAAGAAAGTGGAGATGAGAGAGATGAATGGCCAGTCGCCGCAAGAATTCACGAACGGGCGGCGCCCACCGCTCTGGACATCTCGTTCCTCGCTCATGATGTCACCACCTGAGCCACTCTCCTCTATCTTTTTGCTGTCATCTCTTTTGTTCCCCCTTCTATTGCTCTTTCTCCGAAGCCATGTCAGAACAAAGATCTGCGGATACTCGCCCGTCAGCCATATCGCGCAACAACTCTTCCTTGTCAAATCTCATGAGTAGTACTATGACCAGCTTGGACCGCTACCAAGACGACTGGGCTGGCGCGTTCACTCTGATCGGTGAGTCTTGTTAGACCTCTCTTTGGGGAATTCCACCTCCGCCTATATATTTCACCAGTCTGTCGCTGCCGAGACGAGCTACGCTTTCTCATCGCAACCCCAACAACACAAAACGTGCTGAGCGGCCACGAGTTCCCACAACATCTCAGAACAGCCCCTAAATGCGATGCACCTCGCTGACACCTTTTTCCACAGATGTCATTGAAACGTTCTTCGACTCCCGCTTGGATCTTTTCAACCGCCGCCTCAAAGCTCAATCCAGCCGGCTCAAGAACCGCGCCGTCGAACTCTTGCCTAAAGGCCTGCGCACGCCTAAAGGAGGTGGTATATTGCTGTTGGATGAGGAAGAGGAAGAAGACTCGGATGAAAAGGCGGAGAGGGTGAACCCTGCCGACAAGTACAGGAGGGATGTGGAAAGAGAAGTGGACAGAATCAAAGTCAAGGTGTGTCCTTGCCGCATTGCTCGTACTGGAAGTCATACTGATAAATTGTAGCTTGCTGCCAAAGTCACTCACTTGTCAGCTACTTGGCGCTCAGACCAAGTCATCCGTACCAGGGACAAGGTCTGCTTTCTGTTTGGTGTGCTATCATTGGCCTTCACTGCTTTCGTCTACGGCAGATGTCCAGAATGGTTACCTGTGGCGTACACTGTGCAAGCGGCATTCTATCTACCCTTGAGAATCTATACGTACAAGAAGAAGGCGTTCCACTACTTTTTGTTTGGTGAGTTTCCTAGAATTCTCTGCGCATGGCAAAAGCTGACTTTTTGTAGAGTGAGTACCGCTCGGGCACCCGACCTTGCTGACCTGCCGCAGTCTCTGTTACTTTGTCAACGTTCTCGACCTTCTCTGGATCTGGATCTTCCCCTCTTCCACTACTCTTTTAATTGCCTCTTACCTCCTCACTCTCGGTCCCCTCGCATCCGCCATCATCACCTGGCGTAACTCCCTCGTCTTCCACTCCATTGACAAAGTCACTTCCATATTCATCCACATCTACCCACCAATAGTGTTGACGGTGATCAAGCACATGTACCCCGGGAGGGAGGAGAGGTTCCCGGGTCTGCAGGGCGTGGATGATTGGAGTTGGTACGGGATGATTCTGGTGGCGGGCGGTCCATGTGAGTCGGGCTCGAGCTGGACAGAGATCAGAGCTCACGGCTGTGCAGACATTATCTGGCAAGCGACCTATTACAAGTTTATTTCTATTGACAGAAAGACCAAGATCGAGTCTGGGCAGCGAGAGACATCTTTCCACTAGTACGTCATTTCAGTTAGAAATGCGAACCCACGCTGACCTCTGGCAGTATGCTCAATGACAAACGCGGCCCCATTGGCAAAGCCCTCAAGGGTGTACCAGTAGCCCACCGTGAACTATGGTTCATCTTTGGCCAACTCATCTACTCCATCATCTTCATGATCCCACCCGCCGCCTTGCTCATTCACTCTGCCAACGCTTCCTACATCTTCATCGTCCTCATCTTTGCGGCGAGCACGTGGAACGGAGCGAGCTTCTATGTGGAAGTGTTTGGACGAAAGTTTGAGAGAGAGTTGGAAAAGCTGAGAAAGGAGATGGAGGAGGCTAGTCGGACGTTGACGCCGGGACCGGGGTCAACTCCCGCTGAGCAGACTTCGCCCGCGTCAACTTACGCTACCATCTCGCCTTCTCCCACCCCGCCCCCGGAGAAGGAAAAAAGAAAGATCAAGAAAGACGACGAGCTCGCAAACAGCCCGTTAGTTTTGCCGGGGGCGCGAAAGAGTGAGACGGCGGGCGAGATGGAGGTGCCGGAGATGGTGCTGGGGAAAGCTGTTGAGGAAGCAGTCGGAGAGAGTGAGGGCGTGAGGCAAAGGAGGTCTTAGACTTGAATTCTAGGAGACGAGAGTGTCGGTTTTCTTTTGTATATCCCATCCTAATGGGGGGCTGGACGCGGTCGGATGCAAGCTCATACACGTAACGAAAAGTCAGAAGAGGTTATGAGGTTGCCGGAAAGATGCTGAATCTTGCACGAAGGACCACTATGCAATGCACCCGAGTAAGACTCTTTTAGGACTAAAGACATACGCTTGCATAACGTGCACAAGGCCTGACTGCCCCGCGACCATCGAGGTCTCAAGAAATCCGTTCTCATTAGCAGCGCAGCATGCAATGATAACGTAGTAGAGGGGTATAGTAAAGATCACAGGCAATGGTATATGGTCGCGACTTGACAGTAATAGACACAATCCAATAAACCTTACAAGAAAGAGCACAGAGCGAGAAATGGCGAAAGAAAACACAAAAGCCCAAGCAGAAAAAACAAAAACAAAAGCCCCATCTCTAGTTGCCTTGAGACTTAGCCAACAATCTCTCAGTCCTATAGTTCTCGTACAACACCTCTCTAGTCTTGTTCCTCAACACCTTGGTGTATTCCCCAAGAATGTTGTCTAGCAACAGGCCGAAATGCGAGTGCTCTGGCTCAAGCACTGTAGCGGTACCCCAGGGGAATTGCCGGACGCCTGCTGTCACTTCAGGACCACCGGAAACGCTCGGGGAGGGTATGAAAATGGACCAGGGTAATCCTGGAGCAGATAATGAGGCAGTCGAGTGGATGGAGTTCGGTGTGGGAGGTCGAGGGTCGGGTTGATCGACTTCCATATCCTCTTCCTTGATGTTGATGGAATCAGACTGATGTCTCTTGTAAGCTTTCTTCTTTAAGCGCTTTAGAGACATACCAGGCTCTCTTCATCGCTTCCAAACACACCGAAGCCTCTACCTGGGGTCTTGGAAAAGGCAGCAGAGAGATCACGCTGAACAGCAGCCTTGACAGCTTCGAGCTCGGATACCGTCAGGGTGTCTGTGCGGGAAAGGATGGGTAACACATTGGCCCGTATTGAAAGACGATCGATCTACTCGATATCAGCAAAGCTCTCCGTGATACCGCAATGCAAACTGACAATATCTATCTCAATGCTGGACAACTTTGGCCCGAAAGTACTGGTCTCGGTATCAGTCTGCTCGTGATCGGGATCTTGCAGGCCCTCGTCGTCAAAGAGACCCACACAAGACCAGTCGATCTCTTGGGTGGGTTTCCGAGCTTCTTCTGGGCGTAAGACTTCTCTGGCATCTATCAGATAGATCACTATATTTGCATCAGACGCGCTGCAAGGTTTCCGAGGACGAGATAGAGCTTACCTAGATGAACGAGACCCTCATCGGCCCCGACGCGTCTTTGAACCTTGCTCTCTTCCCTCAATGTATACTTGAATCTCTCTTCCAATATCCTCAAGAGCCCCTTCACGCCTCTCTCCCTCTCCTTGCCCTTCACACCTACACCGTGCCCGAGAGCTGTTGCGGCAGCAATACCTCCGACAATATCTTCATCGGGACACAGTTCGAGACCCGGAGTGTCAATCAGGCGTAAGAGAATGCGATCTTGAGAGTGAGTGGAGAGACAGGTGTGTGATTGTGGGCGACTTGTGGGAGCAGGGTTAAGGGTAGGCTTCAATTGTTCGGGCGAGGGCGCAGAAAGCGAAGATATCATCAAATTGATGAATCTGCGTTGCATCAGCACACACAGTCGTGAATGTGATTTGCAACTTGCGATGTCTTTCCTACACCCTTTCCACCGGCAACGACAACGTTCATCTTTTCCGCTGCCCCCTTCTTCCTCGACTTGCGCCTGCTCGCAACACTCGCCATACTTTGTCTCACATCTGGCCTCCCCAGCCCCTGTCCTTGCGCCTTGCCAGACGCATCTCTCCCCCACTGCGCTGCACTGACTCGAAAGTCGCCGCCCCAGGACACGTTGTGCGGGCTCGAGTTGATCACCAGCTTGGGCGTAAAAGGGCGATGGAACTGCACTTCTCCGCCGTGGCCGCCGACCATGCTCGGCTTTCGGTTCCTGGTCCCGGAAGACCGACCGAGGGGGCTCACTGGGGATCCTGGGCCGCGAGGGGAGACGGGGGAGTCGCCCTGGGCGGAGGAGAAGGTGAATGGGGGCACCTCCTCCCAGCTTGATGTGTCGATGAGGGGGGTGGTAAGGTCGGGGAGCGAGAGAGAGTGGCGGATGGCGGGGGGGTTCTTGGGGGCGGGGGTCTGGTTTGAGTGGCGGGGCTTCTTGCGGAGGAAGGAGGGTGGCATGGTGGTGGTGGATGATGAAAAGAAAAGAAAGAAAAGAAAGAAAGAAAGAAGAGAAAGGGAAAAGTAATTGTGTTGTCAGGATACAGAGGGACCGGGCGCGCAAGTACACACGAGGCCCGGGCGGGAGGTTAGTGGGCGGTCTGTGCGCGCGCGTGATGCTCTGGCTCTGTGGCGGTCTCGAGTCAGCATTAGTACAGGGAACTCCCTGGATCCACACTGAGGAGATATTCGAGAGGCCATCGCTTGCTGTTGGTCGTTCGTTGGGTGTCGGACGTTGGTCGATAAGCAACAGTTCCTGGTCCCTGGTCTTGACTAGTCACCTCACTCAACAAGTGTGTTGTTGTCGCAGCTGCTGATAGCGCGCCATGCTGGTCAAGACATCCATGACATGGGCGATCGTGTCCATATGCACTACGTGATAGAGAGTTGCTCTGGGTCGCGGCCGGCCCCTTTCCTCGAAGGCTCATTACCCATAGCGAATGATTTAATAGAAGAGGGTTCGGAGAGTGTCCGTGATCACAAATGACAGTCGATATGAATTAGCTAAGACCTAAGATCAGCCGTCATACTTAGAGATGCCAGCTCAACGCACCTCAGAACACCACACCATCACTGCTTCCTCTTGAACAGTCCACCAAAGTACCCGCTCTTCCTCTCCTTGATCGCCATCTTGGCCGTCTCATCCGGAGGGCAGCTATAATGATCAATCCCGCTCAAAACACCCCCAGGAATCTCCACGATCGCAATATTGGTTGTGCTCGACCCATCAGAGCTTCGCTCGGTGTTGACGGATACGTTGAAGGAAGAGTTGCTCCGAGACCTGAGGGAATGCAGCTGAAGCTTGAGCTCAGGTCCAAAGTCTGGATGGCAGGAAGCCCCGAGTGAGATGCTCTCGTTCGAGTGGCTCCTGACAATGGGTCCGCCTGCGAGAGCACTCAAGGAGATGACAGACGGGTCCCGAGTGAGATTGTTGGGAGTAGCAAGGCTAGTCTCAGAGCTGGTGACGCCAATACACGTATCACCCATCGTAAGCACAGAGCCAGCGCCGGATGCAGAGTGCTTCAGATCGGGTGGTGGATGGACGCTCCATTTTTGAGAAGCAGAAGCCGAGGTGTCGACAGATTTACCGTCGGCATGTCCGTCAGTGGCAGTGGTGCAGGGGAAAATGTGCGCAGAAGCGGCAACGGACGACGTGCGAGTAGCTTGTTTATACGAGGAAGCTGTCCGAGATGTTGATGTCGCAGTAGAACCATTCTCAGAGGTGGCAGACGATTTGACGGACCCCGGTTTGACGGACCCCGATTTGACGGACCCAGAGGTCGATTCGCTGACAGTCGAAGCCGAGCCCGAAGTAGCCGTATTCTCATCAACCTTCTCGAGGCGGGCAGCAGCATCCGCAATTTCGTCCCTCCCGGAATGCACAGAGCCATCCTCGCTTTCTTTCAGATACTCGTTGATAAAGTGTTCCGTAGAGGTCGAAGGGGTGTGGCCAGTCAAAAGAGCCTCGCTAGCATAGATGGCGGTCCTGTTGTGACCAGCCGATACTGAGCGGCCATGGCTCGGTCGCTCGACAGGTCCGGCGTGAGGAGCATCAGGACTGGGCATGAGAGGCGAAATTGTGTGAGAGCGCGCATGGCCTGGTCGCTCATTGGCTGTGGTCGTAAGGGCGGCCCGATGCATCTCGGATCCTGCACGATTCGCACCAGCTTGCGTAGCAGCAGTGGTGACTCTGGGAGGACTATTGAACTCGCTGATGGAGATCAAGGGAATCTTGACCGGCGGATCGTGGTTTGCTCGAGATGCCGCACCCTGGGCAGGCGCCTTGCAAAAGATCATGGAAGGGAGCGACACGATCTTCTTCAAAAGAAGAGGCTTCTTCTTCTTGGTCCTGCTCTCTTGTAGATCCAGCTGACGGGCTTGCTCTCTGGCCAAAACGTCTTGTTCCCTCGCCAGATCAACGTAGCTGCTGATCCTTCTCAAATGCCTGTGAACTCGGCCTTCTGGAGAGTACTGTCCCTCTTCCAGCAACCTCTCTGCAGTGTGACCAAGCGTATCCAAGAATGGCGTCACAGCGACGACCGGATCGACACTCCTCTCAAAGATCGACCCACCAGACAGCCTGGGATCAGACCGATTGTCGACCTGAGCATCAACAGACGGCTTGTTCTCCTGCTTGGTTGGGGGCATGGCAGAAAAGCTGGCATAGCCGCGACTCCCTCGCAGGGGCATGCGTTGACGATTGAAGCTGGGCTCGGCTTGCACCTGGCGAGGCAGCTCGGGTCGAGTAAGTAGAGAGCTGGAGCGTGCGCCAGGAGGAGGCGACTCTGGCTGAGCATCCCTGGATGGAGCGGGCTGGGGAGGAGCGGCGTGTGCGTACGTCTTTGGTCGGGGAAGAGGCGTCAACTCCGGATCGAAAGCGCCCATACTCCTCCTTCTTGCCGGACCGAGATCTTTTGCGGGCAAAGGGCTTGACGCCTCCCACAGCGCTGCCAGTACGGCCTGCTGCTCCACACTCGGCTCAAACTCGAACCCTCCCTCAAAGTATGCCATCTGGAGGAACCACAAGTACTCGTCTCGCTTGATCTCATCGAGCTTCCTCTTATAGTTGCGGACCCATAGCTGGCGGAACCGGTCCATGCCTCCTTGAAGAGCTTCAATGTTGTTCTGGTCGTCGACGAGGTGGTCGAGCGACGGGGGGACGATAGGGTACAAGTGCTCAGGTCTGTAGCCCTCGGCTTGGGTACGAAGGAGGTTGATGGGCCAGAGGCAGTCGCATTCAGGACAAGCGGGCGGACGAAAACGGGCCAGCTCATGGTTGGCGTAATCGATCGCACAGTCGAGGCAAACGACTGCACCAGAGTCAGCTACATGCCAGGGAACAGCTCAATCAACCTACTAGCTTCACACTGGTTGTCCCGTGTACATGCCCATACGCACGTAAACTCGTGGACCTCGCATCCTCTCTCTTTACACTCTTCATAGTGTCGGTCGAGGATCGTGGCCAAGCTTTCGGAGCAGATGATACATTCATTGCGCGCTGAACCGAAGCGTTAGTCCATTCGGTAGAGGAGATACAGGCGACACACGGTTGCTGAAGAACAAGACACGCTCCCCACACTTCTTGTACAGCCCATTCTCATCCAGCCTCCTCATCGGCATGATGATGCCGCCACCTGGCACCACCGCAAGAGTCTGGCAAAGGCTATCGCCACCAAGCTCCGGCTTGCTTTCCCGCTTGTGAGGTGTGAGATCTTTGGGAATGTGGTGGAGCTTGGGTGTTTCAGGGCCATCTTGAGCGCCAGAGACGGGCTCGGATGACGAGTGAGCGATAGTGTTGAGTGATACGCCTTGAGGATCTATCACCGCACTCTCCGCAGACTCGGTGTCTTTCCCGATGGAAGTAGCTTGATCAACAGTGTGAAAGCTCTTGTTGGATGTAGGGGGACTGGTCTCGGGGTCTTGCAGTTCGAGTTTGGGGACACGAGGGGGAGGGTGAGAGATCTTGTCCGAGCTGTCGTCCATGGTCCGAGTCTGGTCATGGGTTTGAGACGAGTCGGCCCTAAACGATGCATCGCCAGGGACCCCGAAGGTGGAGCGCGAGGCATTGACAGAGATGTCGGGGACGGGAGGGGTGTCTGTAGAGCTGGAAAAGAATGGGTCGTGTTTGGGGCGAGGATGGGTGCGAGAGCGAGAGCGTGAACGGGAGCGGGGGTGGCGGCGCTGGGGCCTACATGCGGGTCAGCGAGTGATAAGAGGGGATTGGTGTGGATGATTCAACATACCTGTCGGCGGGGTGCACTTCTCTCACCATCTTGGGGAGGGGAGGAGGCTGGGACCAAGAAGTAGGAGGAGGTAGGGGGCGAGGGTGAGGGGATGGCAGAAGACCAAAATGGATATATAGATGGAAGTGTGAGAGCAAAGCAAGATATGATCCGTCTCATTCAGATAGGCTGGTGGCGAAAGGGACTGTGGCCGCTGAGGGGCAAGCTACGGCGGTGCGAAAGGGGATGGCACACTCGGGGCGACGGATGGCCGGCACCGAGCATGGCAGCCCAGTAGCTGCTGGTATCGGGGCTGGTGTTGGTGGACATGCCCGAGTATCGTTGGCATCGCCTGGTCATGGCTGCTTGAGCATAGGACGGTGGAGAGTGGGTGAATATCATCGGGACGCCGAATACAGGTTCTCTGCGCGACAGATGACCGTGGGAGTCTCTGGTTCATGTGCTCTGTCATTAGGGTAATGATGCATGCGTCTAACTATGGGTTATACAGTACAGTACAGATCTACAAGATGCTAGGCAGATACTAAGATAGATAATCACCAGGTAGGACGGTCAAAGACTAGGACGACATCGTCCTCATCATCGCTGTCGGTTTCAATGTCGTCGTCGTCGTCACCCTCCGAATCGTCCACAATCTGCGGCTTCTATGCATAGTGCGTCAGCCAGCAGCAGTTTGTAAGAAGTCGCAGTAACGTACCTGTTCTTGGTTTGAACAACCATATGCGAACTTATAATCATCATCTCCTCTCGAGTCATCCGAACACCATGAGCCTCCTTGTTCCCCAACAGACAGACCCGACATGCTCTGGTAGAATCCCATCGCCCGCTTGAGCGAGACTACTCTCCGCCCCTGAATGTTGTCATTGGATTTGGAATGAAGTCGAAAGTCTGCCGGAGAGGAAGTAGGAGTAAAGGTGGGTGAAGATGAGAGAGATGGGGGAAGGGAAGGGGCAGAGATGGCCGATATTGGGATGCCCTCGAAATGTGTAACGGAGCGCTTGCGTTTTCCGGCAAGCGAGGGCTTGAAGAGCGAGCTCAAAGTCGTCGACTGCTACATAGTATCTCAGCAATCTGTACAATGCCCAAAGTCCGCCAGTTACCACCTCGCTCTGAGCGGTTCCAGGCGCTGATCTTTGTCGACATTCCGACAAGAGGAATCTGGCAACCTTGATCAAAACTGGTCGGGATGTTTGAATGGCAGTCAAAACGTGGCCAAGCTGGCTGTCAGTGTCCATTGCATGTCCGGAAGGTTCCCCGCAGCCTTGGCTTGCAGAAGTGGCGGCAGGGAATGATTCGCGGAGCATTCCAATGATTCAGCGGACTCGCGAAAGGTTGGCGGTAGAGTATACTGGAGTGGCAAGATCCAATAAATGAATACCGGGACAAAGGTGAAGAGACACAAAGGCCGCTTTATACACAGCGGAATGCCTTCAGCAATCACTCGCTCGTCCATCAGACCATTCACAGCCTCGTCAGCGTTAGTGTGCGTTTCCGCCCCGTGCCGGGGTGTGTCAGTAAAGGAAGTGGATGGGAAGGGCAAAGTCGAAAGAGGAGTTCAATGTGATGGCGGGGGTGATGCAAGAGGGCTCAAGACAACTGAGAGCGAGTTGAGATGTGGATATATAGGATGCAAGAAAGCCATATCGAGACGCGTGGACGTGATATGGACGTTTTCTCCGAATAACAGAGTTCGGTGCAAAACCCAAACGCAGCAAGCTTTCCCTGCCGTGCTCCGACTGACTGCAACTTTATTTCCATCTCTCTTCCCACCTCCTCCCATCCAGGTGCATGCCACACCCCCACACCGACTCCTCTATCCCCCTCCCCGCCACAGACGACTCCCCCTTCATATCCCTCGGCGTCCGCCACAGAAGCAAGCCTTCCTCTGCCACTACGCCTTCCCCCAAACGATCATCCAACAGCATGTTCAATGCCAGAAAATACACCCCGCTGCCGACCAGCTCCAATGGGCCCGTGCGAAAGAGGACCGGCGCGGGGCTCGTGGCGTGGAAAAGATGGGCGCTGCTCGCCACTGTCGTCCTGGTCATTCTTGGCCTCAGTTTCAGACGGTACGGTGGCCAAGAAGAGGCGGTGTACAATGAGGATAGTGAGTGAGACTGTTGATCTACTAGCAGCACTGGCTGATCGTTCTATAGACACCTACACGCCGTCTCTCGATGACACTACCGACGAGACCGAGGCGATCGACTACAGCTCGCCTCCCTTCCGACCTGAAGACTCTGACATTGCTGCTCCTCACGGCGACGACGAGTCAAAAGAAGAAGACGGATCTCTCCACATCCTTCCCATTGGCGACACTACCAACGAGGACCCTTCCAACCCCCACGACCCCACTTCCTCCGAGGCTGAGACTGCTGCAGAGGCCGACGCAGACTTTACCGAGATTACCGACGAGACCTCTGGCACCGACGGACAGTCCAACCTCCCGTCTTCATTCGAGGACGACGAGAACCCCGAGTCTACGACTGCCTGTACTGAGCCCTACGGCGACAAGCCTTTGGTCCAGTACGCCTTGACCATCGATGCTGGTTCTACCGGTTCTCGTATCCACGTCTACAAGTTCCACAACTGCGGTCCTTCTCCCCAGCTCGAGTACGAGACTTTCAAGATGCTCAACCCTGGTCTTTCTGCCTTTGCTCGTGACCCCACTGCTGCCGCTGCTTCCCTCGACCCTCTCCTTGAAGAGGCTTACAGAGTCGTCCCCGAGAGCTTGAGGAAATGTACTCCTGTAGAGGTCAAGGCTACTGCTGGTCTGCGTCTTTTGGGTCAACAGGAGAGCGTTGCCATCCTCGATGAGGTGAGGAACAGGCTCGAGACCAACTGGGACTTTACTGTGCATGGCGAGACCGCTGTCGAGATCATGGACGGCAAGGACGAAGGTGAGTTACTTGCTACATTTTAGTAATACAACTGACAAGTATCAGGCGTCTATGCTTGGATCACCGCCAACTACCTCCTCAACAAGATCGGAGAAGGCGCTACCTCTGATGACACTCTCGCCGTCATGGACCTGGGAGGTGCTTCCACCCAAATCGTATTCGAGCCCAAGTTCCCCGCCGACTCTGAACAAGCCCTTATCGAAGGCGAGCACAAGTACGAGCTCAACTTTGGCGGCAAGGATTTCACTCTTTACCAACACTCTTACCTCGGCTACGGCTTGATGCGCGCCAGGAGGAGTGTGCACAACCTTGTGGCCTTTACTTGGAGCTTTGGACAGGGTGAAGTCCAGTGGGATGAGCTGAGCGAGGAGGTCGAGGTGCCCAACCCTTGTCTGTCTAGGGGCATGACTAGGAGAGTCTCGCTTGACCCTCCCGGCAGGTCTGCTGTCAATGTCACCATGCACGGTGCTGTTGGTGGGTACGAGGCTTGCAACAGGGTCGTCGAACTGGTCATGGCCAAGGACGCGTGAGTGCAACGACTATCAACATGAGCATAGCTAACGTTGCCGTAGCATCTGTGAGGTCAAGCCCTGCTCTTTCAACGGTGTCTACCAGCCGTCCCTCCTCGACACCTTCCCCCGAGGCCAGCTCCTCGCCCTCTCCTACTTTACCGACCGTATCAAGCCCCTCCTTCCCGCCAACGCCCCCGGCCTCCTCTCCATCTCTGAACTCACCTCCATCGCCAAGGATGTCTGTGCCGGGCCTGATGCCTGGGCCGAACGATGGGGCAGCAACCCCACTGCAATGGATGAGTTGAAGGACAGGCCCGAGTACTGCCTCGACCTGACATTCATGAACGCCTTGCTCGGGCTCGGGTACGAGCTCAGCCCGGCGAGAGAGTTGATGGTGGAGAAGAAGCTGAAGGGTGTCGAGCTCGGATGGGCTCTTGGTGCTGGTTTGGCGCTTGTGGGTAAGGCCGAGTTGACTTGTACTGCCTGAGCGGCGTAAAATAGAGCTCGTTTGGATTTCAGGCCCCTATTGTAGTCACATTCATGAGATCTTTGCCAAGATCTTTACACAATCATTACTAGAACTGTCTTTTTTGGTTTCCGGATACATATCGTAGATCAGTATGCACCTCTATCATTAGTCTGATATCCTGCTGAACTCGTAATCTGGCAGACTGGTAAATCACAATCTCGATACATCCGTCGGGAAGAAGCAATACAATCTATTTTTTTGTACACACGATCTCCTTTCCAGCTGACTCTAAACATTTACAATTACAAAGGAGGTCCAGGGAAACGGATCGCCAAGCGTTCTCAGATCTCAGGCATGCTGCTAGAAAGTCTCACGCTATAGCTATATCAATCGAGCCCTCTTGCCCAAAGCATCTTCTTCCCCGCTCATCTTCCGGCCGTCACCAGCACCAGCCGAAACTGGACTAGGCAGACTGATGCCATGACCTGACAACTCATCTAGCCCATCAAAGCCCTCAAACCCCCAAGGCGTTGTCGGGTGTTTTGGCGCAGGCGACAGACCATCCTCTTCGCCTCCAGGCATGGAAACGTTGTTGCCCAATGGCCAGACGAACTCTACTCCATTCCCGTCATCTCCTCCCTCTCCAATCGCATTAGCGCTGCTACTCCCACCTCCATGACCATGCCTGGCGGCACCCACCCCGCCAAAGATGTCATCCAACAGACTCTTTTCATCCAGTGGCACACCGAGCTCCTGCAACTGTTGCCTTTGCTTTTCCAAAAGCAACCTCTGCTGACGCTGATGATTTTGCTGCAACTGGAACTCGGCATACTTGGCAAGCAAGCTTTGATCCCAGTGTATGGGCGCACCATTGGGGCCCATTGTTACTTGTCCAGGCTGAGGTGAAAAGTTGGGTGGTTGCCCCGGGAACTGGATCCCGGGGGAGGTCTGGGGATATAGCGAGGGAAAGTAGGGCGCTGAGGGTGGAGGCTGAAAGGAAGAGCGCGGCATGTATGACCCATACGAAGGCGCATAGTGACGGCTGCCGGGCAAGCCAGGTGTCTGCACTTGCGCTGATGTGGGAGTGCTTGACATCCTGTGGGGCATGGTGTCTGACGATAGACGGGGCGCTTGGGGCACAGCAAGAGGGGTATGAGAGGCAAGATATGAATCGGTCTGTTGGGGTGGGGGAGGACGCAGTCGAGACCGTTCGGATGCCGCGTCGGGGGCTGAGGCGTGCATACTGAGAGCGTACTGCAAGCCTTCAAGAGACTTGTTGTGGGACTGGGCATTCCTTTGTCAGTCGGGAGTTGGATAGCAGTGGATACCACTTACAGCAGCAGACCTCTCGCTCTCTTCCCTGGCACGGGGGTCTTTTCTCAAGGAGCAGCCTTGTGATCCCCCATTTCGGCGTCGGGACCTTTTGTCGTCCTCTTCCGTTTCGCTGCTCTCACTAACGATCCCATCGATGAAGCCTTTTCTGTCCCCTCCCTTGTCTCTCTTCCTCTTCTCTCGCTCTCTCTCTCTGCCCCTGCCCTCGCCTCTTGACGACTGGGCACGGACGGTCCGGGGTTTGAAGACCTCTTTGCCCTTGAGGCTTCGGGTAGGGGCGGGTTGCCCGTTGGGTCCAACTTTCGCTTTCGAACCCGCTCCCCGGCGAGGATTCTCATCGTCATCGTCGTCGTCGTCTTCACCGGCCAGAGCCATCGCTGCAAATTCGGCGGCTCGTCGGCGTTCAATCATGCCCTCATACTAGTCCACACCGTCAGCCGGTCGTCAGATGGATACCGATCGGTACTCACTTCAAAGTAGCGCTCGATCTGTTCATCCAGTTCCTTGCTCGAGAATTCGCACGCCTTGCCAGCAGCAGAGAAGATGACGATAGACACGTCGGCTGCGCATAGAACTGACAGTTCCCACGCCTTCTTCATCAGGCCAGCCTTCCGCTGTGAAAGTGGTCGTTAGCACTGATACTGCTCGATCACAATAGTGCCGCAAAGTCGGACGAGAGGAGACACGAACCTTGAGGAATGTGACGTTCCTGTTGCGCTCATCCTATATAAGAAGGCACGATCAGCAGACGGTCTTGGTATGTCGAGGCAACGTCGAATGCATTTGACTCACAGTGAGGGGACGGATTTCAATCTTCTTTCGGCCCATGTTGTTCAGATATAGCTGTTGATTGGAAAAAGCTTGACGAATTGGGAAGGCGGGGGAGACTAAATAGGGGGGATATGCGCGATGCTGGACAGCTCGGGGAGGGCGTCTGTTGTGCTTGTGCTTGCTTGGCGTGCCGCTTGATTGACCGGCAGCTGTATCTAGACACCTTTGGGCGCTGGTTGGAATGGAAGAGACAAATGAGCGCGGCCTCCTCTCTCCCACAGCGGCGAGGCCAAAACAACAGGCGGTGATTGAAGCGGCCATTCCCGCCGCAGACCCTTCAAATCGCCATTACAAAACACACCCTGAATACAAATCTCCCTAATCCGCCAAAGCCGAGATCTAATACAAAATAGCCTGCAATTACAGCCAATAACGATTTCGTAACAGAGGGTGGGTTGTAACCTCTCGGCAGCGTCGGCAGGCGTCGCCCAACCTCTCATCTTTGTGCTCGCTCTCACGTTCTCGCCTTCTATACGTACAGCTAGGGAAAGTTGTGGCTAGCCGCTGGATCCGGACACGACATGATGGTATGCTTATGATGAAATGGGGTTCGTACGGCGTTGGCGTGACACCGAGCTTCTCAACTCGGTCGATGAGAATGTAGAAGATAGACAGCACGAGCACAGTGTACTCGAGTACCGTGAGTTAATAATAGGCCTCATAGGCAGATATCGACATGCTCGAATAGGATGGGAACTTGCATAGATGTAAAGCGTTACAAGCCCATATATAGCACAGAGTGCATCATGCCAGCACGCGGTATTTTCTGATAGATGGAGTTACGCACAAGGAGACTTCCCATTTACTTCACCCTCTCATCTATAGCAAGGCGGTGGGAGCCCAATTGGCCAATCGATGATCTAGACAACCGTTACGCACAGCTGTCTCAAACCCCGACGGTGGAAATGGATCCTCACAAAGGATCGTGACGCCCCTCAACCACTGACCTCCCGAGCGTAAGCAGAAGAGTAGTGTATGTACATGCATCGATGAGTGTACAGATGATGCGGTCGATGCTGACATATGCTTTTGCTTGCTCTTGCGGTATTGGGGCTCTATTCTGCCTTCTTGGCAAGTGGTACGTTCTCCCATCCTTGAGACTTTTGGATAACGTCCTCTGGAGCATCGGGGACGGCGTGGCCCATGTCGTTCCTTCTCGCCCTGGAATGATTGTTAGTTTTCGGTTACACGAATAAGATAGAAACTGACCGGAAGAAGGTATAGTTGAGTACCACGTCGTCAAGGTTATCGAGGGCAGGCTCGTCCACGAGATCACGGTCGATGAAAAAGAACACTGGAAGATCGACTTCCTCCCCGGCTCTGATTTTCTGTTCTTCGAAACAGAAACACTCGACTTTGGCAAAGTAGGGAGCAAGCTAATTTTATGATGAGTAAGAGCTCCTTGGAAGAGATGCGCGACTGACCTTCTCGGGTGTGATATTATAAGTGGCGATACCAATAAGGTCCTTATCTCCATAGTTTCTCGCCTTGTAGAACGCCAACGCCGTCTCTCCAGGCAGCACCTTGACACTCTTCGTCACTGGCTCAAACTTCCAAGACAGAGCCTCAGCGGACTGGCACTGGAAATGCACAGTGATACGCTTGCGGTCGGCAGTCTCGGGGGTAACGTAGAGTCGGTCCGGGGTGAATCGGGACGAGTCTGTCATGGGGGTTCCTCCGAAACCAGTGGCACCACAGAAAGCGCGGTAGAGAGGGACAGCGGCGTAGGTGACGCCGATGGCGATGATGACCTGCTATACGTCAGTACAAGTCATCAATGCGCCACGAAATGGACACGTACGGTACCAAAAGTGTAGAGCATGACACTTCTACTCTTCTTTGCTCTCTCCTTGTACATCTCGGCTCGCGCGGCTTCCATCGCCCGACGAGCCTCTTCGGCGGTCACTCTGGGCTTGGGCGGTTGGGTCGAGTATGGCTTTAATGATCGTAGTATTGGTGATGTTGTTACTATTCTGGGGGAGGCTCTTGAGAGTGACGGAGCACATGGGAACTATTAAGGAAAAGATATGAGCTTATGTGTCTTGATGCAGGAAGATACTCACGAGCGATCTAAAAGCCCGAGGGGCGTTTCTAGCCAACGAGGCCATAATTCCTTGAGAGCGATAGATGTCTTGATACTATTTATGACGGGTTAAGTACAGTACCAAGGTCGCTGTCGTGGATGTAGAAGATGGCTTGTCAATCGTCAGACCACGTCCGATGAAAATACAAGGAACACAAGTCGAATCTTTTGCGGCCTGCTCCGGAATCCCGGCCGCCGGCCAGGTATTTGCATTCTCGGATTCAACTTTCAGTGTGTATATAAATATACTCGCGCTCAACTTGCAGAGAGAACGAGTGTATGAATTATCGCTACGGACGACTAGGCACTACTGTATTCGAGATGAACAGAGTTTTTAACCTGATCCGTCGCCATACATATACTCACATGGGAGAAAGAGGGCATGGTTCCGTGCGAGTGAGCAAGGAAACCTTCAGCGCGGAAAGTATAGATCGTATACAAATGCATGACCTTGCACGTTCATAATGTCAACTTCCAACCATTCTCTTCCATCTAATCCTTCTCTCCGACCCTGATCAGCCACTCATCCCTCTCCTGCTCATCCATCTGCCTGAACCTCCCTTCTTGCCCATCCTTGTGCACCTCTTCTGACGATACCGACGAGATTCCGATCTCGATTTCGCTCGCCTTAAAGTCGGTAGCGCAGACGGAAGAAAGACATTCGATGGCCATCTCGATGACGCCAGTACGGTCAAGGTCCTTGTCCTTCTTTTCAGATTCCAAAGTCTTCCAGCGCTTCTCAAGCTGTATCTGCACGTCAGACAAGAGTTTGAATGGAGTGAAAGGAACGCACGTAGTTGGCGGATTCAGTCTGCTTCTGCCCCGAAGATGTCGCCTTGTACCCAGTGAAATATCCCGCCGGATCAAGCTTGAACAGTTGGGGTCCTCTCTCGTCGTCTTGTCCGATCAGAATCATAGCTGCGAGGCGAAAAGTCAGCTCTGCGACTCATGGTTGGAAGAGTGGGACGCACAGATACCCATGGGTCGCATACCCGCACGCTGAGTGTAGACCTGGTTGATGTTGGCCATACGCTTGGCGACTATATACCTTGCGTCAGCTCTTGTGCATAGTCGGGGGGAAGGGCAAAGGGGCTAGACGCACGCGCTTCTGGGGTGATCTCATAACCGTACTTGTATCTGAACTGGGCGGCCTCGGATCTTGTTCGCTGAACCTGTGCTCGGGCGTCGGCTATATAACAGCATCAGTACCCCATCATGACTGAAGTCTTGGAGACAGGACGCACCGATCAGTCCGGTCATGACACAACCGATAGTAGGGGTGATTTGGAAGAGGTGGGTGATGGTTTCAGGATCGAGGAGCTTGTCCTGTCATCAAGTGTGATTAGTTGTCTGTCTGTGGTAATCTCGAAAGGGCAAACATACGGGGACTTTCCGTTGGGTGATGACTACAGAGGTGTCCTTGCCTCGAATAGCGACGGCGGTGATACCAGCAGAAGAGATGGCTTTGAAGGCATACTCTACAGATACGAGTCAGACAGTACTGGAATTAAAGTCTGGAGTTGACTTACCGACTTGGTATAGCTATAGCATTGACAAGATCACTGGTCAGCTTCGGTACACCAGTTCCAACACATCGCAGCAACATACCCTTCCTTCCGGCGAGAAGATGGTGAGATATCTGCAGCTCCTGTCAGTCTCTTCTCCTCTTGCTCCTCCCTGAACGTACCTGTCATAGGAGGATCTGGACATGGTGTATGGATGGACTCTCCATTCCATCCACCACCTCATCGACGACGCGCGGTCTGGCTCTCATGCGGACACCGCCGCCCCCCTCCCAATTCTTGCCACGCTGTTTTTGCGTTTTCTCCCCTGTATAATTACGTAAGCGTTGAGTGGCCGTGCCTCTCGGCGCAGCGTTTCGTGGTGGACGTGGTCGTCTAGTTGTTTGGTTGCCATACTATACCAGCATAAACCATCCATAATGTCCTGGTGAGTACGCCCCATGGATGGTGCAGACAGATGCTGACAATATATAGGGGAGGGTACGTCTATATCTGCCTCGGGCGACCCACATATTCCCTCATGGCCGACTGACAACTCGCAGATTCAAGAAAGCCGCTACCCGTGCGGGTACATCCATCATGCAAAAGACTGGCCAGGTGGAGAGGACTGTGGACCGAGAGTTTGCCGAAGAAGAAGGTCGCTTCAAGACGTAGGTTGCTCACTTGGAGAGGGAGGACAGGGTGCCTTTGGGACTTGGCATTTGCCTTGTTCCCTTGCCCTTGGGACAGAAAGTGACAAGGCGATGTGATGCTAACTTGCATATTAGAATGGAGAAGGAGACCAACAACTTGCAGAAGGAGGCCAAGGCGTATCTTGACTCTATGCGCTGTACGTATGCCAAAGTGTCATATCTAGCTGTGCTGACCGACTCTTCCCAAAGCTATGGCCTCTGCTCAATCACGCATTGCTGAGACCGTTTCTCTTTTCTATTCCACCGACAGAACGAGCGATGTTTGTCAAACGCTTTTGATTGTCGAGAACGACGAACTGATAGGAGTACTTAGGGAGCCATGTCTGCTCATTCATACAAGTCTGCTGTCGACGAGCTTGATTCAGGTGTTGGTCGGGATCTCGTCAGTACTATCTCGCCTGTACCCATGCCCTCAGCTGACCTTTGACCAGGATTCTCCCTTCCGTGCTACTGTCCTCGACCCTATAGGAAAGCTCAACAGCTACTATCCCAACATCAACAACGCCATCACAAAGCGAAGCCACAAGGTAAGGATTTCATATATGATATCAGACGGTTGCTTATCTCCATCATGTTTAGCTCCAAGACTACGACGCTGCCCGCTCCAGAGTCAAGAAGCTCGTGGAAAAGCCTGCAGACGACACCACCAAACTCCCCCGCGCCCAAGCCGAGCACGACGAGGCTCGTGACATCTTCAACCTCCTGAATGACAACCTCATTTCAGAGCTTCCAGTCCTTGTGGACATGCGGGTGCCGTTCTTGGATCCGTCATTCGAGGCGATGATCAGATGTCAGTTGAATTTCGCGACAGAGGGTTATGAGCGACTTTCGGGTGTGCAACGGCAAGTTACATCATCGCCAAGTCATGACAATACTGATGTGGTCCCTGTAGATACTTTGCCGATAGCATCCGCGAAGACTATGCTAACGGCGCGCTTGACACCCAGGTTGAGAGTGTGTTGGAAGAGATGAAGGAGCTGTCCATCTACGGACCTTAGACAGGGCGATCAGCGAGACGGGAGTTAGAGGCACTCTGTTGTACTGTAATGAGGCTGCTTGAATGGATGACTGTTTATTATCTGGACCGCATTGGGATCTTGAACTGGATCTTGGACTGGAACATGTGCTATGGGGTGCGGCGATGTCCGCCGTAGGATGTCGCTGAGACACGGGAATGGCTGTCTGTCCTGTCCCCATCGACTCACCCTTTCCTTTCCTTGCCTGTCCAGATACCATCCCTGGGGTACACTGTGTGAGTAGCCTCCGCCTTCTCCCCGCCCTGCTACCTTCCGCCGCACCCCCAGCCCGCTCACAGCCCTCAGCCTGCGACACCTCTTGGCTTGACCGTCCCAGCGATTCGCCTCTCCTCTTTGGCTGTATCCTTCTCGCATAGCTCACAGCCATCCACCCCTCTTCTTCTTTACCGACTCTTATTTTCTCTATCCCCCAACCTTTACGTACGTATCCCGCCTTCGACTTTGTCTTTTCCTTCCCCTATCCCACTCTTCTCAGAGGCGGGCGTCTTTCACCTGTATATCATTCATTTGATCGTTCGCTTATTTTTGCTCTTCTCTTCTTTTATCTATATCCACCCACATAACTTTACCACCTTGGTCATCGCCCACATCCACGGTGACTGCGCCTCGGTTTGTGTTGCCCGATAATCGACATACCACCTATACCGCCCCTCATGCTCCCCGCCAACACCGATACCCACCTCCCGGTACCCATACCTGTCGCTGCCGCATCGTCCTCGCAAATACCACCGGACATTTCGATTTCACCCGGCGGCCAATCCTTCAATACCCCGGCGGCTTATCTTCCTACCAACCTCTGGTCTTCTGCTGGTAGTCCGACGTATAGCCAGATACTCTCGTCTTCTCTTGGCGCTTCATCGGAGAGTGATCCGGATATTATGAAAGTGCGTCCCATGTGTTTACTCGGATGAAACAATGCTGACAAGGAACAAGCGACCTCTCGACAACGCTATGCAACCTCTTCTCGAAACCGGCCCCGCCGCCCCCCTCGACAACTTTTCCAAAAAGCCCCGCTACGACGGTAGCATCGACGCTCCCGGTCCCAACCGCTTCGCGGCCCCAACAGCTACCCCCATGCAGGGGCAGTTCAACCCTCACCAGATGGGTCACCAGCAGCAGGGCAACTTTGGCCAGGCGTCGCCTGCGATGGGCATGAGTATGTTGCAGCAACAAGGAGGAGCGCAGGGCAATGGCGCGCCCTTCGGAGGCATGGGTATGGGTTTGGGAGGATTCGGGATGGGTTTCCCGTTCGGAATGGCCAACATGGGCATGGTGAGTCATTCCAGGTGACATTGTCCCGAGCCAATGCTGATGAGGGTGTAGCAAAACAACTTCCAAGGCCCCATCGTGTCCCCTTCGATGAACCCCAACACCATGACTGGTAACTACGGTCCTGCTGCTGCTGCTGCTGCCGCCGCCGCCGCTGGCAATAGCACAGGAAGGACCGTCTACGTCGGAAACCTCCCCGCTGAAGCTTCCGTCGACGAACTTCTCAACCTCGTCCGTTTCGGGCCTATCGAAAACGTCCGCCTCCTCCCCGAGAAATCTTGCGTCTTCATCTCTTTCCTGGACGGCTCTACCGCCGCTGCATTCCACGCCGACGCTTGCGTCAAAAAGCTCGCTCTCCATGGGCAAGAGCTTAAAATCGGATGGGGAAAGCCCAGCGTCGTGCACGCGAATGTTGCGGCGGCTGTGGCCCAAAGCCAGGCCACGAGGAATGTGTTTGTGGGCAACCTCGACCCCGAGACGAATGAGCAGGATTTGAGAAACGAGTTGAGCAGATTTGGGCCGATTGATCAGGTCAAGATTGTCAGGGATAAGAACATTGGATTCATCCACTTCCTGAGTATCGGTACTGCTATCAAGGTGGTCACCACTCTGCCTACCGAGCCTGACTGGGAAGGCAAGCGGGTCAACTATGGCAAGGTGTGTACTCGGGACTTGTCTTGTACAATGCTGATGTGTCCAAAGGATCGATGTGCATACGTCCCCAAGGCGCAACAAGATGCCGTCCGCCAAGCCCAAACTCAGGCCATGAATGCTATCGCCGCCCAGCACCAACAAGCCACCGGCTCTCCATTCCCCCCGTTTTCCCCAATGTCTGCGGGCTTCAACTCTTTCCCCACTCCCAACTCTGCCGCCGGTGGAGCCTTCCCGTCGCCCGTATTCCCCGGTGGCGGTGCTGGCTTTTCGCCAGTGACCCCCGGGTTCGGAGACGCCAGCCAAGTCGGTAACAGGACAGTGTATCTGGGCAACATTGCTCCTGATGTGACTGTCGAGGAGCTTTGTAACCATGTGCGCGGCGGTATGTTGCAGCACGTCAGATATTTCCCCGACAAGCACATTGCTGTGAGTTTTTTTTTTTTTTTTTTTTTTTTTTTTGCTATGAGTTCCATCAACTGACGTGATGTCTAGTTCATCACATTCGTCGACCCCTCCGCTGCCATGCAGTTCTACCAGAACGCCCATGCCAGCAATCTCACCATCCAACAACGCCGCCTAAAGATTGGATGGGGCAAGCCTTCTGGCCCTGTGCCCCCTGCGCTGTTACAGGCTATCCAGGCTGGTGCTAGTAGAAATGTGTACATCGGGCAGATTGCAGACTTTGAGCTGTTTAACGACGAGAAGCTGAGACAAGACTTTGGAGAGTTTGGTGGTGCGTATGCCTCTCTGAGTCACCGGCGCATTGCTGATGTGCTGCAGATATCGACATGATCAACTTTTTGGTTGACAAGGGTGTTGGATTTGTCAACTTGTATGTACTCTGACCTTTCATCTACATCCTGCTGACAGCCCTTAGCACTTCCATCCAGTCTGCCCAGAAGGCCATCGAAGGTATCAAGCTCAAGCCTGAATACTCTACCTTGAGAATCTCCTTTGGCAAAGACCGATGCGCCAACCTCCCAAGAACCAAGTGAGTCGTCGTCATTCGATCCCTGACATGTTCTGATCAAATACAGCATGCCCAACCGCGGCCCTGCGCCCTTTACTCCCAAGAAAGCCGACACACCCATGCCTGCCGTTCAGCCCGAGGACGGTGCTTTAGAAGCAAATATTTACGATGACGGGGATGCTGTTCTCAGCTACGAATAGTTCTGTGGCCGGCTCTGAGTATATATGTAAGGAGAAAAAGAGCGAGGGGGTAAAACTTGATTGGCGATCTTTCTATGTAATAGGAATGGGATCTAGGGTGAGGGTGGAAGTCTGTGTTCATATAGAGTAGAGTTTCTGATACGTATCTTACATTTCTTCGATTGGCTTTGGGCATCATGTTCTTTCATCGTTCAGACATGGGTATCACCATGGCCATACCTGCCGACACGTGCTACAGTACACTCGAGACTAGCGCTCCTGCGCCATACTTCATTACAGGCCCCTCATCCCTATAGACAGGATCGCTGTCAAACCACTTGACCTTCCTGATCTTTTCCCACGACTCTTCCCTGTCTGCTTCTGTCCCATCGCAAAAGTCCCAGGTCTCTGCTCCGATGGGATACACTCCCGTCATCTGGGGATCAATGACATGGGGGATGTCCCGTCCGGCTTGACAACCTCGACTGAGGAGAAGAACCCTCCTGCCTCTTCGTGCGTGAGAGTGGAGGGCAGGCAGGAGCGGTAGATGAGGAGGGGAAAGTGTTGTAGGGAGGTGTTGGGGGAATCTGGTGGGCAGTCGAGGTGAGGGAAGAGGGGGGTGTGGGGGTGACCATTGTCAGCAGGCGTACACTGTTTGGCCTTGAAGATGGAGATGAGATAGAACGGTGTCCAGTTGGGGGAGGGCGGGCCGGGGCACCGAGCATGGCCACCCAGAGTGGAGGCAGCCGCGGGGGACTTCAGGTACGCGTCGGCCATCCCCGCCATTGAACTTTTTCGAGACCCCTGTTGACAGGTGCAAGGCATTCCATCTTGTATCCCCAACCCACCCACACTATCCACAATGGCCAAGTCGATCCGATCCAAAGCTAAGATGGCCTCGCGTGCCCGAAAGAGGCAGCAGTCTCACTACGCTGTTGCGGAAGCCCAGCGTACCCAGCGACTGAGCGACAAGCTCCTCGGCAAGACCGACAAGAACGATGAGGAGATCAAGGAGGAGGGCAAGGAAGAGGCTATTGAGGACGACGCTGAGATGAAGGGTAAGTGATGATAAGCTTTCTGGGTTGTGGAGCGGAGCTCCAAAGCAAAGCTTGCGACAAAATGTCAAATTGAAGGCAATGCTGACCATGCGTCTGCAGAGGAACCCAAGAAGATCTCCACCAGTGGTCTCAAGGGCAACAGGAGGGAGCAGTGGAGATCAGCCCGAGGTCTGGCTCCTAGACCCAAGGCGAAGTTGGGGGCCAAGAAGAACTCTAGGAGACGATAAATGGAGCATATTCCGAGACATGTTAGATGGGACGTGTTGTATGTAAGATATGTTGGTTTCTGACAGTCAACTTGTGGAGTCATACTTGGTGTGGAGGTACTGGTCGCAGAATCTGGGAAATGTGCAGGAGATCAAGTCAGACGGCTGTACAATTGATTCCAGGTCGGAATAGACCACGCTTTGAGATGCGCGCAACATATCTATCTTCATACACATGAGCTCCACCAACAGATCTACCATCTCGAGGCCGTGCAACGCTCTTGGCTCTTCATTCAGAGTGTCCACTTCCTGTGCACATAGGGGACAATGCCAACCTAGTTGACTCGGCAAGGACTCGCGCATTTACAATTTCAATGGGGCATAGGGTGGAGAACATATATAGAACGCGAATTGGTATGGATGATGTACAAAATGATATGCAAAAAGAGATAACGAAAAGGCGAAGAATGGATCTTTCAAATGAGAACGAACAAACCATCACCAAATAATGTAATCGTGATGGGGGTTGATTGTGTCTTGTCTATCAACATGCGAATAAATGACTATGGACGGGGCGTGAACATGATGGTTGGAAGCAAAGAGTAAGACAAGTGGTGTGAGGAAGGGGTATAAAATATGTATGTACAAGCGCCAAGCGATACAGTTGGAGAAGAATGCTACCGTGACGACCCGCTCGAGCTCGCCTCATCGCCCGACACAGAGCCTTGACTCATACTCTCGACACTTTCCGGTACAGCGACGCCGCTCCCCCTCCTCCCCCTCTCTGAGCCGATCGTCCTCAGCGGGCTGAGGCTCGCCCCGGTCCACGACCCAGCCCCCGGCAACAACATCGGCCTCTGCCTTGGAGACTGCGAGATGTACGGCGAAGAAGGAATGGAAGCGCGCCGTTCTTGGCGGGCTTGCTGGGCGGGAGTGATGGCAGAGGGAGGGCGGGGCGATTCATTTGTAGGCCCGGTGACGTTGGAAGTCACCGGGGGCAGGTTGAGCTGGGATTGCAGAGGGGAGGCGGAAGGGAGCGAGAATGCTCCTCCAGTCATCGACTTCCATGCTCGGGGCGACACGGTAGATGGTGAATTCTCGCTCAACGCCCCAAGGGACTGTCCTCCCAGCACGCCCATACCAGGTATACTCCCGCCAGATGCAAAGTGCTGGTGCCCGATGGATCTCGGTGCAAACCCGCCAATATTGTTTGGCAACGAAGCCGGCGAGCTACCCATCCTCGACGAAGTCCCAGAGTCGAATGGAACAGGCGTGCCCGACCCCGCCGCCGCGGAAATGTCTACCATCCCCCTGCGCACCCAGGCTGCTGGGTCCAGAGGGTCGAATTGTCCCGCGGTCGGGGCAGAAGGCGGCGGGTTCATCTGTCCTTGCATCTGCTGTTGAGCGGGCTCGGGCACATCTCCCCATGTCCCGTCTGCCATGGGCGAAAATAACATGGCACTCGGCGGTTCCCCCTGGACGCTCCGCGTACGCACATGCTGCTGCTGCACCTTGATTGGGAATGAGAACCCGCCCGAGTTTGCTGGGGCGCTTTGCGGTACGAGGCTTGTGGGAGACTTGTCGGCAGGCGCACTGGAGAGCGAGTGGGAGGGGTAGTGCGCTTGGAGTGGCTGACGAGGCAGGGGCAGAGAAGGATGAACGCGGGGAATGTCGATACCCACACGCTTGGGGCTATCCGAGAGATGTTGAGGGATGCCTTGGTAGAAAAGATCCCTTTCAGGGGTGCCGTAATCAAAGTTGACCCCAGAACCGACCACATCTTCTCCAAGCCCTTGCGCATGGCCAGATTTCCAACCGTCATAAGCCCTCGGGATGCTGCCGTACCCCGCTTGCGTAGCGAAACCAAGATATTCCTTGCTAGGGTAGATGGCAGAGGGAGGTTCCTCGGCAACGTCGGGCAAGAGGTTGATCTGGTAGGCGTCCGGTGGACTGCGCCATTCTTTGGCCTCACCTCCTCCAGACATGCTCTCCGAGCTTGTAGGACTCGCGCCGTCATCCCCAGAGCCCGGAAAGGCTGGGTAATTTTCCATGTTGGCGTAGGACGAGTTGTAGTTGGATCCGGGAAGGATGGGGTGGTAGCCTGTGCCAGATGCTGCAGGGGTAGGCCCGATCTGCGCAAGGAGGCTGCGTTTGGCAGATTGAGAAGGGCGTGGCGGGACGCGGCGTTTGAACTGGAGGATTTCCTGCGGGGAAGAGTCTCGTGTGAGGCTGGTATGGGCTGTATGAGAAGTTGGCATGGTTCTGGATCAAAAGAAATGGGCTTACACCATGTACTGGCATCGGGGTCACAGATTCCTCTTTCAACGTTGCGTAAACTCAACTTTCTGTTGAACCCATAAATCTACCCGAGTGTAAGCCTCGCATCATTTTTGTGGCGGAAACACGCACATTGAGCTGCCGGCTGAAACTCGCAAACCTGCTCTGGCGGTAGACCACAGGCAGAATCTTGTCGGCAAGCTCTTCCGGGTTTTCGATAATGATATTCTCGCCCGACTCGTCCCAGCGAATAATCTGCAGTGCGTGTCAGCGTGTGGCCTGGAGCAGCAGAGGGGGAGTGGCTTACATGGCTTGTCGCTTCATCGCCCCTTGATTAAGGTTCACGTCAGCACACACCACTACACACGAGTCGGCCGCGACTTACAAAAGTCTACATATCAGGTCAGCATTTGAACGTTACACGCGCACAGCCAGGCAGCGAAAGGGCTCACGAGTAGAGCTTTGTCAGAAAAGTCGGCTGCTTGCCTTCCGTCTTTTTGCTCCCCTTCTTCTTTTTCCCCACGGCCGCCTTGTCGTGCTGCTGCGGCGGCTCCTCCTCTTCGCTAGATTTTGTATACCCCTGTGGTCGTATTTGATGGTGAGGCGGCAGCAAGTCGTTGTATTGATACGAGTCATGATCCAAGTCGCCCGCCATATCGCCCGAAGGCCCCGGAGGGTGGTCGTACGAGGCAGAGGCGTGGTGGTGCGGCAACGGGCTGCGCTGGTGCACGATAGGCGGGCCGAGGGGGTACGAGCTGTACGAGTCTGGTACTGGCACTGTCCGGGGCTGGTCCCAGTTCCATCGATCGCCTGCTGCGGGTGGTGGTGCAGAGGAGTAGGTATCAGGGGACGACTGGGGCAGCGTCTGCCGCCGGTATGGCGGGTGCTGGTCGGGGTGTAGGGGCGAATAGTGGGAGGCGAAGGACTGGGGCTGGGAGAGGGCGGGATAGCCAAAGGGCGAGTGTGGTGGTTCTGGAGGATAGGCGGCCTGGTGGTGGGCGGGGAGGTCGTAGCCGCGGGGGGTGTAGGGGTTGTTCATCGATACTTTTCGGCGTATACTTTTTGGCGGGATGGATTGTAGGGAGAGGCAAGAGAGGCAAAAGAGGAGGCGGGAAGAGGGTACAGGCTGGGGAGAGTACGACGCTCTGGAACGGAGCTAGTGGGGCAGCTCTAACTCGGTAGTCACCGGGCGATGGAGGGCGTGTAGGGGTGGGATGGGAGAAGAGGAGAAGAGGAGAGAAGAGAAAGAGAAAGAGAAGAGATAGAAAGGAGGGGAGGATGAAAGGAGAGGAGAAGGAGAAGGGAGAGGGAGGCGGGACCAAACATGCAATGGTGGCAAGAGACACACCCCGTTTCATCTCCATCTACCTCGCGAGAAGCACGCCCTGCGCACAGACATGCCATCATTCCGAATCCATCCTGGGTGGGGGGGCGCAGATAACCTTAAAGTACATCAGCCTCATCCGGCTAATCCCCCGGACCATGCATCAGATCGCCGCTCCGGCCTTCGAGAACGGGCGCACGTCTGTGCACACACCGATCACAGATCAGATCCCTGGCCTTCACCGTCCCTTGCATGGGGAGAGGAGACAAACAGCATTCTACGTTGAGTGACGCCGAGTGGTGTGGCGCACATCTCCTCGCATCAGCCACTGTCGTCAGCCACCCCGCCACGTGAATCGCAGTGGTGCATGCACAGTACAGATGCTAGTCGAGTCCAATCTGCCGGCTCACCTCATCCTCTATTGAATTGTCCATCAACAGGCTCTGCATGCATCGTCAGCAACGTCCATTCCACGTGTAGACTCACCTCTGGCCGGAATGCCCACGTGTCGAATACCTCCACAATCCGCGCCCACTCTTCCACATCCAGCTGCTTGACCACCCTCTTTCTGCTCACAGGGATCCCCATTCCCTCATCCTGCTCGATGAGCGGCAATAGACTATCCGCCCCGAACGCGAGGTTCCCAATAGACTCTTCCACGGTGCACGATTCGCGCACAAACATTCGCCGGAGCACGAAATCCCATGCGTCCCGGCGGTGCATCGAGATGGGCGAGTCGAGTTTAGGCGTCAGCAGCACCCCGAACAAGGGCGTACGCGGCAACACCGCCTTGCTGCTGGTGTACGCTCCAGGGAAAAAGTCGGCGGTGTACGTCTCGGTTCGCTCTGCACCAAAGGTCGCCTCCGGGTAGCCTTCAGCCGGCGGGATATCTTCTGGGATCCCGACGGGTGTGGCCGTGGACTTGGGCTCCTTGACGGGTTTGATAGGGACGTCGCTCTTGGCCATATTGCGCTTGTCAATGTTGCGGATGTGGTGGTACGGCGGCAGCGGCGTGACATGGAACAGGGCGCGGGTCATGACGCTCATCTTGCTGTTCATCCGTTCAAGCGCCGTCGTCGTCAAACGCTGCGATATCTCGTCAGCACAAAAGTCATAGCCGGCAAGGGACTCACGTCATAGACATTTCGTCCACAGAGCAGTGCCAGCCGCACCCTCCCCCACTTCCACATCCACGCCCGTTTCTGATTGTCCCCCACCACTGACCGGATCCACTGCGTCGTAATCTGCTCACCCAGCATCCCATCTGGCGCCTGGAGTACCACCGTTATATGCGGTGTCGGTGCGTTCCACGGCCGTTTCGTTTGGTCCTCTTCGGCAGCCGACGGGTCCCACACTGGGAGGTGCGGACGCACCAGAGGATTGGACAGCAGTGCGGGGACCGTTTCCCAGGAATACAGCGTCGCGTGTGATAGCAACAGATTGTCTTGGTGTTTAGATGGCGCCACATTGTAGCCCAAATACCCCTCTGCCTGGAGCTGTGGGCTCGCCGCAGGCAGAGGATAGTCTAGCCCCCGTCTCAGAATTTCGTACGAGCTCTCTGTCGACATGACCAGCTTTGGTTTCAGCGTTGGCTCTCCTGTCGGCTCTTTCAATCCCGCGGTAGCAGGCAGGTCGTCTTTCCATATAGGATAGTCATCCGCAGGCTTCCTCGCCGTCGAACTTTTACTCCCTACAGCCTTCTTCCCCTCCAGCCCTTGCTCCCTCTCCCAAGCTTTCCCTTCTTCTACACTCCTCCCCCCACTGACCAGACTCCGCGTCAGCGCCCCCGGGCCAGCATACCCCTCGATAATGACTTCCCCCGGACGTATCCCAAGGGCGCGCACGAATTGGTCGCAGAGCGTGGGCGAAGCGAGAAGCAAGCGATGCGGGGCTTTGCGGAGGTTGTTGACTTTTGGAGGATGGGCGAGGGAAGAGGCGGGAAAGTGGTGGGCCCACTTGGCGGAGGGTGGGAGGGGGGGCAGGCGGGGCATCTATGGTGTGTTTTGTCTAAAGTAGCAGCAAAAAGTCGAAAGAGTTTAGACGTCGCTCTTCCGAAAGGTGGAGGCCGAAACTGGGATCGGGCAGCCCAAACACGGGTGGACTGGGCCGCCCAAAGCGTAAAGAGGGGAATGAATAATGTCTGTCGCGAAAACGCGCTCATGTTGGACGCGTGTTGACCCTGAATTCGTTCTTTCGTTCGTCTTTCGTTCTTTCGTCTCCCAACTCACAAATCGCCATGGTATGTCCCCCCTGCCCCTCCGTCCCCCGCTCACCCCTCCCAGGAAGAAGGCAGAATCTGGTCCGTCGGCGTCCTCGAAGGCGCCCAGAACCAAAACTCCCCCTCCGAGCTCGAAAAACTCTTCTACGAATTCCTCCAGGGCTTCCGTATCGACGGCAACTGGATATACCGCGATGCCCTCAGATCCGCCCTCTTGCTCAAGCATCACACCCTGGAGGTCGATCTGCGCGATCTGGTGGCGTGGAATGAGGAGATGGCCCAAAAGGTGCAGGAGCAGCCGGGCGAGATGATTCCCCTGGTATGTTTGGCGCGTGGGGAGGTGATGTGATGCTGACGGGGCATAGCTGGAAGCGGCCTTGCTGAGATATGCGCGTGATCTGGTGCGGCCTACCAGCGAGGCTGACCGTGAACGCGAGCGAGAACGAGTCCGGAATGGCCAGCCCAGTCTGGCAGCCGAGGAAGTTCCTGATATGCAGGTCACTGTCAGATCGGGCATGAACCTCTTGCAGTTCCGAAACCTCAACGTGAGTGTTCACAGTCGTAAAAGGATCGAGCTGACACTCTACCAGGCCAACACCCTCACAACCCTCGTCCGATTGCCCGGTATCGTGATCAACGCCTCGCAACTGTCATCACGAGCGACCGAACTCGCTTTGCAATGTAAATCGTGTCGGAGCGTCAAGCACGTCAAGGTGTCTGGAGCTATCGGCGGTGAACGCTCAGCTCTTCCCCGACGATGTGATGCGTGAGTCGCTTCCGAATCCTGCGATCCCACACTAACATCTCGCAGCGAACCGGTCGACGGTCAGCGCAAAGACTGCCCTGTCGACCCATTCGTCATCCTCCACGACCGATGCCGCTTTGTCGACCAGCAATCTATCAAGCTCCAGGAAGCGCCCGATATGGTGCCCGTCGGTGAACTGCCGCGACACATGATGCTCCATGCCGAACGATACTTGACGGGTCGAGTCGTCCCCGGATCTAGAATCATTGCCACCGGTATCTACTCTACTTTTGCACCTCAATCTAGAAGCGTGCGTCATCCAGTCTTGATGCAAGCATGGGCTGATGAGAATGCAGGAAAAGACCTCTGGCGCTCCTGCGCTCCGACAACCCTATCTCCGAGTTCTCGGTATCGAGCTCGATACCTCCGCCACCAGTACCTCAGGCAGCCGCGTTTTCACTCCCGAAGAAGAGGAAGAGTTCCAGCAACTCGCCCGAAGTGACGCCCTCTACGAACGCTTCGCCAACAGTGTCGCCCCCAGTATCTTTGGCAACCTCGACATCAAAAAGGCCGTCACATGTCTCTTGATGGGTGGTAGTAAAAAGATTCTGCCAGACGGCATGCGTCTCCGTGGAGATATCAATGTGCTCCTGCTTGGTGACCCTGGTACCGCCAAGTCTCAGCTCTTAAAGTTCGTCGAAAAGGTCTCGCCCATCTCGGTCTACACGTCCGGCAAAGGTTCGTCCGCTGCCGGTCTTACCGCCTCTGTGCAGCGAGACCCCGTCAGCAGAGAATTTTACCTGGAAGGCGGTGCGATGGTGCTTGCCGACGGTGGTGTGGTCTGTATCGACGAGTTTGACAAGATGCGAGACGAGGACCGAGTGGCCATCCACGAAGCCATGGAGCAGCAAACCATATCTATCGCCAAGGCCGGTATCACCACCATCCTCAACTCGCGAACGTCTGTGTTGGCTGCTGCCAACCCCGTCTTTGGACGATATGACGATATGAAGTCGCCTGGAGAGAATATTGATTTCCAGACCACCATCTTGTCGCGATTCGACATGATCTTTATCGTCAAGGATGAGCACAATGAGCAGAGAGATAGGACAATCGCCAAGCATGTCATGAACATTCACATGAACAGGCAGTCGGAGAATGAGGCGGTGGGAGAGATTGATATCGAAAAGATGAAGCGTTATGTCGCGTACAGCAAGTCGTGAGTACTTTTTTATCGTTCTCGATAGTCGCTAACGACTTGTAGTCGATGTGCCCCTACATTGAGTAACGAAGCCGCCGAAATGCTCTCGTCGCATTTCGTCAGTCTCCGTAAGGAAGTTGCCCAGGTTGAGCGGGACAATGATGAACGAAGCTCCATCCCCATCACTGTTCGGTAGGTATCCCTTATCCCATCCTGACCCAATGCTTATATCCTGTAGTCAACTGGAAGCCATCATTCGAATCTCCGAATCCGTCGCCAAGATCACCCTCTCCCCCCGCGTTCTCCCCCACCACGTCGAAGAGTCCATCCGTCTCTTCAAGTACTCCACCATGCACGCCGTCTCCGTCGGCTCTGGCATCGAGGGTCTTTCGAGGACCGAGCTCAACGACGAGATTGACAGAATTGAAAAGGAGTTGAAGAGGAGGCTGCCAATCGGATACTCGACAAGTTATCAGAGTTTGGTGAGAGAGTTTGTGACGGGACAAGGATATACACAGCATGCTTTGGAAAGGTGCCTGTATATCCTTGAGAAGCGAGAGGTGGTCAAGTATACTGGAATGAGAAGAGTCATCCAGCGGATCGGCGTATAGAGTGTGTCGGGTTTCATCTTTTGTCTTGGTATATTGTTCTTTGTACATCTATGATACGGCAATGCATAACTATAAAGTTTGTACCTACAAGATCTACAGAATCACATTGTCAATCCATCGCGCTGCAACAGCGCCAACATGGCCTGCACAACATCATCGTGCCCTGTCAGATCAGCAGCATGAGGCGACTCGATCTGCTCCGTCAGCTGAGCATCCAAGAGACGCCTCAATTGCGAACACAGAACGCCAATCCTCGTGTTCGCTCGGATCTTGACGTGGCCATCTGTGCCGAGCATGATGCCGCCCGCCCAGTGATTGATGGTGATCTGCCCTCCAAACAGGAGCATGCCGTACAAGGGGACCTGTACGGTTTTCCCTCAGTCAACCGAACAATCGAATGGGGTTGCCACTCACCTCGGTGGCGTCTCGCAAAAATACCTTGCTGGTCTCAGCCTTTGAAAAGTAGGCGAGGTATCCAGATTTGAAGCCCGATTCGTTGAAGAGAATGGAGCTGGGGTGAACGAATACCCTGCCCGCTTGATCAAAGAGTTTGACTTCTTTCGCTTCGTGCTATTACAAGGTCGGCAGTGTCACTTGCGCCCTATTGATCGACTCACGTCTTTTTGAATCGTTCCCTGCTGGACTCTTTCGTACTGAGCTTTGGGCATCGCGACCCGCACCACCCGAGGATACAGGCCACCCACGATAACACTCTTCACGAGATTGTCGACTTTGGCGTTGACATTATACTTGGCAAGCTCAGCAGCTGATGTCGAAGAGAAGAACCCCAGCGAGGAGAGTGCAGAGAGGAAATCCGTGCGGAGAGAGGTGATGTCTCGCAGAGTCGTGAAAGAGATGAAGTTCTATGCTTGGTCAGAAACGAAGCGCAATTCAAATGACCATGCTCACATCATCACAAAAGGTCTTGACAGCGCCGTGACTTCCACCCTTCTTCCTCACATCCATACACGCGTCGTAGGCACGAACATCGGTAAGCAAGTCGGACTTTGCCCACGCGAATGACTCTCGGGCCTTCTTGGATTCTTCACGTTTATCAATGGGCGAAGTAAACAGGGGCTTTGAGGACAGGATGGCAGCTATTGTGAGAACTAGAGCAGGTTATTAGCGGCTGAGCGGACCCCACACGATTTGCGTACTTGGATCAAGGCACTTGAAGATCGTTCCCAAAACTAGCATCTTGGCCAGTCTCAAGTCGACAGGGATGGAGCTCATCTAGGAGCCGTCAGTCATCAATACTTCTGCGTCATGTCCAACCCACATGTCTTCCAAGAGCTGTCAAGCGGCTCTTGTGATCTTCACCCTCGACTGCACCAAGGTCCTGCAAAGTCTGCCAGGCAGCATTGATAGCATCCATCTTAGGCGGGTCGATGGCTTTGCCCAAAAATGCTTTCACGTCGGTGTCTTCATTCATCGCCTTCACCTGTAAGAACAGTGCTTCCAGAGGTGTCCGCAAGATTTCCGGGATGGGGAAACGAGGCATAGAGTTATTCTCTGTACGCCGAGTGTAGAGCTTGTAGCACTGTTTCGCGTCAGTCTTGTTCAATATGCAGTATTATCCTTACCTCTCCTGGTTGCGTACGACCGGCACGACCTCTCCTCTGCCTTCCAGACGCCCTGCTAGTCCAGCACTCCACGAGCTTTTGCATCCCATTCTCCGCTTCGTACTGTGTCTCCTTCACCTTACCGCCGTCAACCACGTAGATGACATCGGGGATGGTGACGGAAGTCTCAGCGACGTTGGTCGCGACAACAATCTTTCTCCTGGGCTTCGTCGCGACAAAGACCTGTCGCTGTTCCGCGGACGAAAGGTTGGCATGGAGAGGCATGATTGCGACGGATCCCAGCGACGCTCTCTCGAGTTCGGTGATACATTGTCGGATTTCCATCACACCAGGCATGAAGATGAGCACAGCACCATCCGGCGAAGTAGCAGTGTTGACAATGTGTTTGACAACAGCCGCCACGAGCCCATAGTCGATCCTGTCAGAAGCAGAAATGACTTCAAGGGCGCGCTGATGGTCGGGTGAAAGCTTGAGCTGAGAAAACTCAGCTCGCAGGGACGCTTTTTGCTCTTCCGTCTGGCGAGGGCCGAAGCGAGAAGGCGTGGGCGAGTAGCGAAGTTTGGAGATTACATCTTCAAGATAGCTACATGCTGTCAGTATCAGGTCATCGGCAGATCGGCGGGCTCACATGTCCTTCACTGGGTGAGTGAAACCAGGAATTTTCAGACTGGGACAGCCGCCAAAGTAGTCGATGAATATTTGTTCTATGAAACCTGTGAGCTACGAGAGAGTGACAGCCGTGTATCCACGTACCGTTGATAGTAGCAGACATCAGAATGATCTTGATGTCCTCATTTCTCTCCAGCAGATCTCGTAGCAAACAGATGAGAAGATCGGTATCCACTCCTCTTTCGTGCGCCTCATCTACCACGACATGACTGACCCCTCTCAGATCAGGGTCTCCACTTCCCAGACGTCTCAGAATCACACCAGTCGTGCAGAAGAGCACACTGGTATCCGGCCCGGACCGACGTTCGCCTCGGATGGCATATCCTACTGTGCCAGGGGATTTGTCCAGATCCTCCATACGCTCTTGCGCGACTCGGGAAGCAACTCCCATGGCGGCTACTCGACGGGGCTGGGTGACGAGAATGTTGGTCGAAGCACCGCGACCAGCGAGAATCTCGTGATCCAAGATGAACTGGGGGAGCTGTGTACTCTTACCACAACCCGTCTGTGAGGTGTCAGCATCTACAGTCTGAACCAAGTATGGACACTAACCTCTCCGACGACGACGAGCACTCTATTCTGCTCCAGCGCATCCGTGATGCTATTTCTCTCCTTCCAAGCCGGCAGATTCATCCTCACATCCATCATCGCCTCGTACTCTCGGTGATCCAGCATTGCCTGCCTCCTTCTCTTCACCCGCTCCTCATCCTCTACCGTAGGCTTTCTCTTCTCCCCTCGATTTCTCGCCTGTTGCACTTTTCTCTTCTGCACGGCTCGAACCTCGGGGACGAGCTCTTCCACCTTGGGCGCTAGATACTTTGTGACTTCGCCCACGTCTGGCGGTCTATCGACAGCTTCTTGAAGAGTCGTCTCCAGATATTCAACCATACTCAAAACCGCTCCACCCCAGCCGCTCTCCAAGACCGACCTTAGATCATGTCTCTCGGGATCTCTAAATTGTCGCATCAGCTGAGCGTGGAGGTGTAGTCTGATATAGGCAGGGAGTGTTTCGGAGGAGAGGTAGAATGTCGGGGCATGGGTAGGGTGCTGAGCCGAAGGATATGGAGAGACCTCGTCAAAGATGATGTGCAGGTCAATGGAATCAGGAGTGTTGCTGAATTCAGGTGTGATGTGGATAGTGTACTCTGACGTCGAAACTTCCTCAAACCTCTCTCCCAAGACGGCCGAAAGAGCCATAACCTCTTCCTCTCGATGTTGTTTCCTCTCCTCTTCCGCACCTTCATCCCCAGCGATCCACCCACTTCCATACTCTTCCACACCCCATCCGTCCTCGCCTTCTTCCCACCCACAAAGCCTCCTCCCGAGCTTATCTAAGGCTGCAGACTCGCATTCTTCTTCTGCGAGAATGACCTCTACAGGTTTACGAGGAAATCCGGCTTGCTTGACAAGCTTGTCGATGAGCCAGGACTTCACGAGCGCAGATTTTCCAGCGGACTTTGTGCTGCTACCAGTAATAAAGTCGGCAGAGCTCGACGAGGGGCGATATCGCTGAGGAAGGTCGTCCTCTGGGACATGAAGAAGAAGCCATTCGATAGCAGCCTCCAAAGGCGACAAGATGCTCAGAGCGAGCACGAGAGGATCTTTGGTAGAAGTCGAAGAGGACTGAAGACGGGAGGTTGCCGATGCTATAGCACTGGTGCATGAATTGATATGGGAAGGTCGGAAGCCGAGGGTCGTGAGCTGAGTCTGCAGAGAAGACAGGTCGAGAGCGGGAGTATTGACCCCTGAGGGAGAGGTCGATGCTGTGGCCGTGGCATCACGACTGGCTTCGAGGACAGCAGACGGGAACTGCTGCATCATCTACGCATCATTGTCAGCAAATCGCTCGCATGTTCAAGCAAGGCCTCACTTTGCGAACAGTCCCCTCCACCATCTCTCTCAAAGCAGCAGCCATTTTGACCTCTGGGGCATTGTCCCAAGCCGCCCCCCGCCCTCCCTTGGCCTCTTGTCTGACCGCGGGCGTGTTCCTCCCGCTCCCTGCTCCAGAACCAGATTCTGCAGCCTTTGTTTTCTCTTCTTCCTTCTCTTGCCGTTTGTTCTGCCGGTCTGAAACTTCCTTCTTGGCCGCAAAAGGGTCGGGGTTGAACTCCCAGGCTCTATGAGGCGGAGAAGCTGCCTTGTCGGCTGTGAGGGTTGACCAGTACGGACGAATGGAGGGTGGGAGTGTCATGGCCATGGGAAGGTTGGAGCAGAACTAGCTTATGATGAGCTTTATGGCAGATTTCGAATTCAGCAGGACTTACCCGGAACAGAGCGTAGGTAGCAGCCCAATGCTTTGCCTCAGCAGCTGTAGCAATCTCCAAGGGCGGGTGGGGCACAAATCGAACCTCTTCAAGGTTGTACACATTCTTGGAAACGCGCTTCTTCAGAATCACGCTGCCAGTGAAAGACTGTGATCCCCTGTTTGCATGCTATCGCAACAACAAGATGCCCGATCAGCTTTCAGTCAATTTCATTTCAAGGCGTTCTGCCTGCTATCACTCACGCTCTCCACAACAGGCTTCTCCCACCCCATCTTCTGGCACTTCTCATTCAGAACTGCTATTGGCGTCTTGTATCCCGCAGGAAACAGAGGTGCTGGCCTTGGGGTTCCATCTCGAAATGTGCCATGGGGTGCGTTCGGGTCCACTGGGGCTGCCGGAGTTGCTGATGGTTTCGAGGAGTTGCCTGCATTACCGGAGCGGACGACGTTGACTGGGCGTCTCTTGGGAGCCATGGGGTGCTGGTGGAAACTGACGTTGCGTTTGTCGCCAGAAACAAATTATGATCGTCGAAAAACAACAAAAAAACAAAGACGCGGACAGCCGGATTCGGGACCTGGTCCGCGTACGGACTGGCGAATGACGATGACGGACATGACCTCTTGAAAGTTGGACGAGATGTCAAAATTCATTGTCTGTACCGCAAACACCTGATATCCATAATAGATCTCAGAGAGTGATGCCTAGCTACTGGTAGTAGATTTGTACATGCAACAGTTGACCAATGAAATTGAACTTTCACGGCGATGAAGTGGACCGATGCCAGTCTGTTGTCTTCTCTGCCCCCTTCTTTCCAATACGCATCTCTTGTGTCTCATCCCAAGACCTGAGTCACCACCCCCAGAACCTTCGTCTTTGCCTCTCTCAGCAAAATCAACTGTCCCTCCTTCATAAATTCACTCTGGTTGATAAACTCGAACACGACCTTGCTCCTGTCGCCTGTGCGAATGAGACCAGATGGGTGATCGAGGGATTTGATTCGGACGGTTTGCTGTTGCATCGAGTTAGAGAGGGGAAGGACGAGACAAGACAGAACGAGCTTACGCGAATAGCACCACAGTGCATCATAGCCTGATAGTTTGGCTGGATAGTCGAAGAGTGATGGAGGACCATGATCATTGCCTCAAATGACTTGACCGCTATGGAACTTGCATAAGATGACCATGCCAGCCTCAATGACACAAACCTACCTTTCGGTGGAACATCCGTCTTTGCGATCAACACCATCCCCTTTCTCACCTGCGACCGCCGGATCCTCTTCAACGCGAACGAGACGCTCTGACCGGCTTCGCCGCTGGCGACGGAAGCGCGTTTGCGTTGAATAGTCTTAACGGCAGTGGGGAGGAACTGCCCAACCGAGTCGGGACCGAGAAGCACCTGGTCGTTGGCTGTCTTGTCATCAGCATGATCAGACGAGAGAGATGGATAAGACAGACCGTGCACTTGACCAGCGGTAATCACCCCGCTCACGACGGTCCCGACGAAAGGTACAGAGAATGTATCACTGATCTGGAACTCGAAAGGCGCATCCACCACATACTTGTCGTCGCTCTGAGAGCTCGGTAAACAGTTCAAAAAGCTCCTCAAAAGCCCCAAGTTCTGACCCGTCACGTTCGACACCATAAAGATTGGACATAGTCTTCCTCCACCCACTGCCCCGCCGGCAGACGCTAAAGGCTTGGACAGGTAGCGCGCAGCATCTACGGCTTTTTGGGGCGTATCGATGAAGAGGGGAATACGGCGACAGCCAGGGGATTTGAGAACTTTGGTGAGCATGGAGACGGTTTGAGCGAGGATGTTGGGAGGGGTCATGTCGGTCTTGGTAACACAGACCGCTATTGGGACGTTGAGCGCGAGTGCTACACCGAGATGCTCCTAGGTATATCGTAAGCACTACCCCAGGTCCAGTATGAGGTACTCACCTTGGACATTCCGATCAGGCCTGCATTGCCGCCAACCATCAACATCACATAGTCGGGAGCACACCCGCTCAGTCCGTAAAGAGTAGTCTTGAAATATCTCTCATGCCCCGCCAGGTCGATGAAGCTGACCACCTTTGCGGCCCTCTTGCATATCTCCTCCCACCCGAGCTTCTCCCTTTTTGCCACTGACAATGGGTGATGGACATCTGCCCCCTCCGCCACGTGTGTCGTCGGCACCACCGCCTCTCCCTTTGTCGAAAAGCCGAGGATTTCCCCACCCACCGAGCTCGTCCGGCCAGTCTCGACTTCGTGCGGGTGCCGGAACAGCGCTACTCGAGCTTTGCCTCGACCGTCATCCAGGGCACCACGAGTGAGCACACCGAGAGTGGTAGATTTTCCAGCGTCCACATTTCCCACTACGGCTACACGGACCTCCATGATCTCCTCTACCCCGCGCGGTGTGAGACGGACAAGCCAGGAGCCGTATGATGTCGATCCGGTATCGGTTCGGTACAGCTCAATGAGATCCGCCTGGAGAGTTTGGCAGGCAGACCGTAACCGAGATACGCTATCGGAGAGAAGCTTCTCGGTGAGGGATTTGCCGACATGGGATATTGGAGCGTCATCTGACGGGGCGGGGTTGTACATCTGCACTGGATCGGGGTGGGCGCCAAGAGATAGCATACACTCGCCGTGGTTCTTCAGCAGAATGGTGGCTAACCGTGATTGGAGGTCTTCGGCCTCGCATTCCCCTGTTATCAGATCCTGTCCTCGCGTCAGCCTCAGGTGTCCCTATGACAAGCCGATACCCACCTCGATCGAAAGCTCAACATGCTCGGCCTCCTCTACTTGTACTGGCGCGACAGCCGCCGCCTCCTTCTCCTCTTTCTTCTTTGGGGGTAGCTTGCCGTGATGCCTCGCGAGCTCTGCTGCTGCGTGCTGCTCGCGGGCTTGCTGGATTGCCTGCTTGTGCTTGTCGTGAGAGAACTGTTCGATCTCTGCCTGGAAGGACTTGAGGGTGGACATTGTATAGATGCGGACTCAAGAAAGGAAAGCCCTTTGTCGGTATATATGTCTTTGGAGAAACGAGTCGAATGAAATATATGGGCGAGTCGAAGAGAGAGTATGCAACGAGGAAAGAAAGAGCACGTTCGGATCAGAAGACGGTGGCAAAATATGGTGCCCCGCATAGAACACTCTTCTAAGTAACCTTCCTCCCGCCATTGAAATTCGAGTCAGTTCATGCAAGCGCAATTGGCTACCAGTCCAAGCACGAGGGCAGGAGCAGCGGGCGGTATACTTGAAGTGTATGAATGTAACAGAGACTGTCTGCGGTCAAGCCAGCCATGACTTCCGGCGCGCGTCGAGCAGTATACAGCGGCAGATTTCAGAGGTATTCAGAAGGCCCCCAACATGCATTGTCTGGTCTAATAAGAGCTGTATGGAAGCCCTGAGTCACTCGCATGCCTGGAAAGGATTGAAAGGGCATGTATAGACTCGGCAACGAACAAGCGGAAAGGTGATATCTCTGTGCGTTTGCCATATAGCCCAACAAAACCCTGTCGTTTCTTGGTCGTTGGTTCTCCCACGGACCCCAAACAGACAAGGTATGCTTCGCTGGATTCTGCCATCTCCAAATCAGCGCGCAGGACATGTGAGACATGGCAATCATGAGACTCACCGCTTCGAGATTCTTTACATTAGGCTTATCAATCACCACCTTGACAAACCAAGGATCCATGGACTCGTCCAAGTCGGGCCACCACCCTTGTGAGGGCTGCCAGTGCCCGATTACCTGAGCCAACCTCCTCAACGCTCAGCGGGTGATGTGTATACCCTGCAGTTCCAATGTACAAAGTTTTTCTTTCGACGTGAGTTTATACATGCCAAAATGAGACAAGGCTGACTTGGAGTCAAACACGACCCTGTGTAATACGGACATCCCTGATTAACTGATTGGTATATCGCTCAGAGAACTGCTGATGATCGGTTTGCAGTACACTCTCAGGGTGATCGCCACACAAGTCCACATCAACGTCAAAAAGGACAAAGAATGAAAGAGTTGATGAGCGCATGAGGACTGCCACTTTGATGCCTGGGAGTGCCTTGATTTCTGGTCGGGTGCTGATGCCGCCTGTGCTGAAAGTTCCAAGGGGCCAAAGGCAAAGGGAGAAAAGAAAAAAAAAGGTAAAAAGAAGAAACGACACAAATGGGGATCGAACCCATGCGCGGAAACCGCACGAGATTGCTTGGATTAGGTAATCTATTCAAGTCTCGCCCCTTAACCACTCGGAGCATTGTGTCCTATTGGAATCCCCGAATTTTGTTAGGCTATATAGTAATCAAGGACGGCGTACTTGGTAGAGATGCTGCCTACCGCGGGCCTATCATTGTCTAAGCAGCGCTAAGCAGCGAGCACGAATTTCCTCTTGTGAAAGCCTCTACTTGAAGCCTCAGCTACGTCAAAGTATTCCATAGAGTTTTCTACCTTGTGTGCTATATGCTTCACAATCCATGCAGCAACGACGGAGTGGGAAGGTGGTCATGCACAGTGATACTCGATTGAATGAGCCTTGGTCTTGCCTTTGGCAAGGAGCTTCATGGCAAGGAGGTGCAACTGTGTTCAAGTAGTCCTGACAGTGGGAATGATGGAGGCCGATCAGAGATAGAGAACTGCGAAGGGACTCGGACAGCCGGAACCAAACAATGAGCTCAATTTCTTCGCGGCCTCGGGCCTTCTGATTTTATGACTTGCTTGCTGTCACGCACTCTACGGCGTACATCAAATCAACAGGCTTCCCTCTGGCATCAAACTTGAGCTTGGATTTCTTTCCAACCGTCCTCACTACCCTCATCGAAATCCGAACCACCCAATGCGAAGCTGCGTTTCCCTCCTGGCCAAGTCCTCATCTTCCTCTCGCTGGCTCGCCCGCCAGTCGCGTGACCCGTTTGTCCGCCAACGCTCTTCCAACCCAGCCTCCTCCTCGACTTCCAATCAGCCATCCTATAGATCCCGGTCTTCGTTCAAGCTCGTCTCTCTGGCTAAAAGTCACCCGGTGCTTTTGAACAAAGAGACGAAGAGCGTCGTAGATTTGGGAGCTGCGCCCGGGGGATGGACCCAAGTTGCTTCTAAAATCTTGGGCGTCGGGAAGAAAGAGGGGCATAAGCCTGATAAGACCAGGGTATGGGCCATCGACATTCTTCCGATGGACAGCCTCCCCAATGTGCACATCCTTCAAGGCAACTTTCTCTCGCCTTCCGTGCAAGCCGCCCTTCAGTCCCACACTGGCACTCCGGAGTCTGGAGCAGGAGTAGACACTGTCCTGAGTGATATGATGGCTCCAATGACCGGCGTCCGGACTCGGGATGTAAGTATGAGTCTGGAGCTCTGTGAGGCTGCGACGGCTTTTGCCAGAAGAGTTCTGAGAAGAAAGAAGGCAGAGGAGGAGATGGAGGTCGTCAGGGGCAAAAAGATCTGGCCGGGAGGAAATCTTGTGTGAGTGGAGTTGGCTATGATCACTAGGCCGGCTTGGCTCACCACAATGGCCAGGATGAAGTTCTTTGCACACCCAGATCTTGACGAGTTCAAGAAAGTCGAGTTGGATCCCTGGTTCGGCAAAGTAGTCATTGGCAAACCCAAAGAATCTCGTAGTGGTGAGTGGCACGACAAGTTTTGCTGCTGTGCTGACGTATATTTATGGCAGAATCCAGCGAGGCGTATTTCGTCTGTCTAGGCTTCAAGGGAGAGCCAACGACCAAGTAATAACATGTTGCTCTTGTACATCAAGACAACGGCATGCCGTACTTGATATCTGGCGTGCGGTTTACTACGTGATACTGTATCCACGGCGAGCATCAAGACGGGGCCAGGACCAGCCAGCGGATTGTTCGGAGAGCCTCCGAAACTCTCTCTTGCGGAGAAAGCGCTTGTGGAGGGACCTTACTCTATCCGGTAGCTACATAGCCAACAGAGCATTTCATGCCTCATTACTATGCATACCACACATTCTTCAAGTATGAGTGACCATTCAGAAGAGAGGCATACCATGGCCGTTGGGGCTTGAGGGACACGACCACGTGCTTTTTTCGCGTTTTTGGTTCCTTCAAAAGACGCGTCGCGAAATCCACCATCTCTCATTTAACCACTCTTTTCTTATATTCTCTTCTTATCACTGCCTGCTCGAGCAACACTCATAATGTCCAATAACGCCTCTCAGGCTCTGCGAGACAGCGATGGCTTTGCCATGCCTGCGCCTCCTCCCACCAAGCGCCACATCAAGCCCACCGAGGCGCAACCCACCACCGCTGAAATTTATGCCCAGAAGCACGGGATCCCGCTGGAGGTGCAGTTGGCTTTGCAGAACGTGGGCAGTCGAGCGCGAATGAGTGAGTTCTCTACTCCAAGAGGCAGGGGCGAAATTGACGCGACAAATCTTTTCAGGCGTCTCAAGGGGTCAGCGCACTTTCGACCGCCACCAGTCTTCCCCCGCCCTTGGCTCTGCCTCTGCCACCCCCAATTACTCTCCCTTCACTTCCTCCCTTGACGCCATCACCCACGCCCGCGGTGTCATGAACAAGGAGCTCATGCGCGCGCGTGAACTCCAGCCTTTTGGTTCCTTGTCTCCCACCAACTCTTCAGACAATCTGGACAAGGACAGGGCTAGGAGAGAGTTTGAGGACATCAAGCTCAAGTTTAGAGATGACGGCGAGGTGGAGCTTGAGGGTGAGGTGGAGAGGAGGGTCGCGTTCGGACAAGGGTCCTCTGCGTCTGCCCAGAGGCAAGGCGAGAAGTTTACTTTGACGCGCTCGACCAAGCGTGCTTCGTCCCCTGCTGAAGAGGACGAGCACGCCGGGAGCGAGACTGAAACTTCCGACCAGGAAGATGAAGAAGAAAACAGACCTTTCGCCCGTACCCCCTCTTTCAACACTGTCGAGTCTGTGTTCCCTCCCGTGTTCAACACTCCCGCTATCTCCCACCCCCAACTCTTCACTGCGCCCAACCCTGTCAACCCCGTTCAGCAGCCCGCTGCTCCTTCCAGGAAGGGGAGGGCATTCAAGGGTCTTCCGGGAGGCAAAAAGTCTGCGCTCGCCAAGGCGTACAGTGCGCCGGTGTTGGGAGGGTGGGCAAACATGGAGGTGGATGTGCCCGAGGGGTCCGAGAAGAAGGAGGAGCAGGAAGATGGTTTCGAGTTGGATTGGAGCAAGGACATGGACTTTTAATAGTGCGAAACTTTTGATTCTGGTTCTATTGTGTTTGAGGTGCTCTTCTTCAGGCTGCTCGTCAGGCTGTAAGACGTTTTTGTGTTGTTATCTATAGTTTTTCTGGTCCTTTTCTTCTAGCATGTTATTCATTCTCAGCTACGTATACATTATAAGTCACCCGAACCAGACCAGAGTACAGACCAAACAAAAGACAACTCATCAAGATGACGGGTGGAGGGGGCGGGGGATGCCGCTCGGGGTGGCACGCCTAACTCTGCATCTGTGGGATTCGGTCCCCTTCTCTTTCGACCGCTGCTTTCGACTTGGACCGACAGCCACCCAGCCCATCTACAGTTCTGACAGCGAGAATACACCACACACCCACAATGTCCGCTACTACCGAGAACGTCCAGGCCACCAACCCCGCCGCCCAAGAGGTCCAACAGCCTGCTGCTGAGGTGCCTGCCACCGCCACTGCCACAGAGACCCCTGCCCAGCCTTCCTTGAGGGTGAGTGATGTTGGGCCACACATGGCTGCACAGCGGGACCGTCGCGCTGGTTGGTGTTGCCAGGACGCGGTGGTCTGTGCGTGCGAAGGCGTCGATCTTGACACGAGCTGACATGTCCCCATCTAGGTCTACTTTGGCAAGGTCGCTCGTGGTGTAAGTTGCTCATCAAGTGGGTAATCCTACAACTAACCCTTGTATAGACCACCGAGGCCGATCTTACTGCTTTCATCAAGTCTGCCGGTGAGACGTGAGTCCCGGCCTCGCGGCGTCCTTTTTGCCCTTGGATACATATGTTGACTTTGTACCTGTAGCGAGAGCATCTCCATCCACGAGAGGACTCTTCCCGGCCGACGCGCCTACTTTGCGTTCGCCAACTACACCAGCCTCGACAGCTCCAAGAAGGCTGTTGAGCTTGACGGCCAGGGTACGTCGCTCCTCTCGTCATCTCCCCTGTGCTGACGCGTCATAGAACTCAACGGCCGACCCGTCATCGTCCAATACGCCAAGGGCGAGGAGGAGGCCAACGCTGACCGTCAGGCTAGGACCGAGAAGCGCAATGCCGCCAGGAAGGCTGCCGCGGAGAAGAAGGCTGAGGAGGCCAAGGCGGCGAAGGAGGCTAACCCTGATGGCGCCGCTGCTGAGGCTGGCGGTGAGGCTGAGAAGCCCAAGAAGAAGAAGAACGCCAGGGTTAGTCGACCTATTTTGTTCAAAGCGGAGCTGACGATATTTGCAGAAGAACCGCCGACGTGCTCCTGGAGACGAGGACGAGGGTGAGGAAGGCGAGGACGCCTCCAAGGCCAGGATCGACGGTGAGGAGGCTACCGAGGCCGCTCCCAAGAAGGCTACCAAGCCCAAGGCCAAGAAGGCTCCTCAGGAGAAGAAGCTCGAGATCTCTGACGAGGACTCTCCTGTCAGTTCATTGTGCCATGTTCCAGTGTCTTGCTGACTCGGACATAGTCCACCATCTTTGTCGCCAACCTCCCCTTCTCTGTCGATGACGCTGCCCTTACTGCCATCTTCACCAACCTCTCCATCCAGGTCAAGCGTGCCTCTGTCGTCACCCGAAGCGTTCGACGAGGCAACACCCGCAAGTCCGTCTCCAAGGGCTTCTCCTTTGTCGAGCTTGAGGACCCCAAGCAACAGGAGGAGGCCGTGCAAAAGGTCAACGGTACTCTGGTTGAGGGCAGGAACATTACGGCCAAGATTGCCAAGCTTATGAAGGAGAAGGAGGTTGTTGCCGAGGCTGCTGCGGCCGAGACCGAGGGCAAGGGCGAGGAGGCTGTGGCGAAGGAGGAGGAGCCCGCCAAGCTCACTGTTGAGAACATTGAAAAGGTAAACTCTGATGGGTGAGCGTATGATTGTCGCCCTCAATCGACGAGGAGAAGGGGCACCCAGAGAAGATGCTGACTCGCTCGTCCCTTAGGCCTAGTGGAGGTTGGTAAACCATTGTACATGATCATGACACCGACGAAAACTTTGCCCTTTTTATTGTACCAATTACGAGTGAGATGGCGCGCGGGAGGTGCGAGTGCTGCACGCAGAGGGTGTTGAAAAAAGAGAAGAGAAGAAGAATAGAAAACGGTATAACTATGCATATACTTTACAGGTGTACTCATACTGTACTATGTAGGTGGAGTCCTCTATGTCTACTGCTGTTCTGCCTCTTGCTACAACTTGGCGTCTTGCGCCTCGTTCTCGTTCTCGCCTTTATACAATCGAAAGTTCAGTGGAAGTCTTGATCCTTCGGACATCAGTGTACCCGACACGTAGGGCCTGTTGCTCATCCTAGGTCTCATAAGCTAGTGCTTTGGATCAATAAGGCAACCACTCACATGTTCCACCTCCCGATCCTGATTCCTTTGACAGGCTCCACTTCAAATTCTCTTAGAAGCGTAAAGAGCACCATCTTGATCTCCATCACCGCTAGCTTGTACCCAATACACCTCCTGGGTCCGTCTATAAATGTCATAAAGTTTGGCCAGATTCCCGGTCCGGCGGGGACAATAGACGGCACCGATGTACGTCGGCTGGAAAGTACGGGGCTGGGCTGAGGAGCCGCATCTGGTGGGAACGACGGAGTGGTTGGTGTTGGTGACGGGTAGGTTGAGGGAGCGTCGAGGAAGCGGGAGGGGTCAAACTCGGTGGCTGTCGGTCCCCAGATGTGCGTGCAAGCATGCAAGTGGTCGATAGGCACATGGATCTATCATGAGTCAACAATGATTGGAAGCACGTGAATCAACTCACAAGCTGTCCCTTTCGGATCCTAATCTCGCTGACCACTCTTCCATCATTCAACTTTACAGGCACAGCGAGCGGTATCATATCATCCCTCGTCGCCATTCTCACCGTCCCAGGAAGCGAAGGGTTGCATCTCAATATCTCCTTCACAACCGCATCGAGATAAGGAAGATCGTCAAGCTGTTCAGGCGTAAAGGTCTCGGCACATTCAAGAATCTCTGCCCGAAGTTTGGCTTGGATTTCGGGATGGCGAGCGAGGTCGTAGAGGCCAAAAGAGATGGTACCAGCAGTAGTCTCGGAGCCCGCAAACATGAAGGTGGAGAGTTGACCGGAGATTTCGTCGTCTCGAAGTTTGTCTGCAGGACTGAGATTCTTCATCATGTTGTGTTTCACTGATTCGATATCAGCAATTACCCTCATGAGCTGATTGGTACGTACGCATGAGTGTAAGCAGATCCTGCCTCTCGGCAACGTCGCCCTTCTTCCCATTCATTTCCTTGAGCTCGGCGCGTCGTTCGGCCATCTGGTGTTTGGCAAAGTCGAGCAGAGAGCCCATCCCATCGTTTACGCGCTTAGTATTTTCACTCGGCTACCCGACGTGTCAGCTTGACTTTATATCCCAGACAGACAAAACTCACCCAGATGGAGTCGATCCATGGGAAATACAAACTAAAGAACATCCTCAGACCCATTGCCCCCTTGCACAACAATTGCATCTTCTCATACTTGTGGAACAGATGGGCCCCAAAGCTGGTGTAGTCGCCCGCGGCATTGAAGGGTGAGTTGACAGAGTCGACAGCTACGGCGCCGATGACGTCAAACATGCAGCGAGAAGCGGAAGAGTAGACGTCGACTTGACGAGTACCGGCTGGGAGAATAGGGTTGGCTTGGGAGAAGGGGGTCGAGGTGGTTGGGCTGGCACAGAGGTGACGAAGGATCTCTCGAAGCTGGAGACGCCCTGTCAGCTGTAAGTCTCAGAGTGCCAAGTACTCACCTGATTTGACTTGTCTTGCACCAACACCCCCATGGCTCGCGTGCTGACAGTCGAAAAGAGCTTCTGCGTCACCTTTCTCTGTATTCTATGTCGCGTGCCTTCGGCCACGATAAGACCATTCTTCATGTACCTCTTGACCAGACTTCGCAAGATATCGGGCTTGGTGTATACGTCTGTGTTTTGGAGCACATGATTGAGAGCACGGGGGTCGACAGTGAAGATACGATGGTGAACAGCAAAGAAACCGCGGACCATAAAGGTCGGACCGAGCTCGTCAATCCATTGATTCGGGACTTCACTCCCTAGGCTGGGTGGGCTGGTTGAGCGTCCATGGGAAATGTGACGGCGAGGGTACGTACTCGAGAATGTGGTCGATATGGCCTCCTACAGCCCAGCCACCCTCTGGGCAGGGAAGGTGTCTGAGCGGCGATGTCAAAGGCTTGTACAAACAGATGTTGACGGCCCATACCACGAAGGCCAGGAGGGCCAGGCCGAGGCTCTCGCAGACGGTCGGTAGACGAACAGGTATACCCATGATGGCGGGGTATATGGTGTCTGCACAAGAAGGAAGAAAGCCAGGTGATCGAGAATAGACGGGATGGGTCAATGAGGCATACAGCTATATACCCGACGGACGACCCACATGGGCTTTTCTCTCCCTCTTTGTGCTGTGTAGGGAAATGCGGCCATTGTGACGCTAATTTGTTCTGCTATGGGGTACTGTAGGAGGATCAGAGAGAGAACAATAAGAAACTGGTGAATGGCTGCAATTTAGTGGGAATTAGTGCATTTCGGTACTCGGTCGATCTCTTTTCCTCCGAACATCTTTCGGCCTCCTCCATTGCCCTCAGCTCCCGTTCGGCCCGCCGCATCGCCCCATGCATTGCACTGGGCAGCTCGTAGCAGGGTAGGGGTGGGGAATGGGGCAGTATGGACCGCCTGAATGAGCGAGCGAGGTAGAGAAGTTTCAACTATGCTTGCTCTGTCTTGTTGTTGTTCTGTTCAGGGTTCGGTGGTTTCGGCTGGGGGACTCTTTCACGATACTTTTGTTGTTTACGTCCCCTGGCTGTCGCCTATCTATCTGACAGCTCATGCACCTGATGTCACTGGTCTGGGGCATTCACCTGGCACGGATAGAGCTAACATAGACTCTTACTGTCCTCGTTCCCCTCGTCGCGCAACTTCGGCAGCCCGGCAAGCCTCTTATTACGTTGCTGCAGTTTCCGACGGCCGCAAGCTGCAAGCCTACAACAAGCAGCAGACGACTGGTTGGGTGAAAGTCGACTCGCTCATATAGTGACAATCCAGTTGATGCCTTACACATCTACCAACGCTCCAGTAGGATAGATAGTCGCTGATCAACACCCATACACCCACCAGTTCCTTTTTCAGTAGATGCATGATGATTGTACTGTACAATGTTGTGACGGGGGACCTCGCGTTCACCACCAACGACTCTTCTTCGCCTCGACTGCCGTCGTACCTGCATTGAACGGCAATGAGGCTTCTCCTCCAGAGACCGATCCGAATGAAGAGTCTATAGGTTTCGATGTCGAGTTGTGATCTGCAGGAGACCGAAAAGTCAGACCAATTACCCCGTGCCGTAGAAAAGGGGCTTACCGCAACAGTCGTGTTTCTGCTCTGTTGCTGAAAGTGGTGGGATGGCGTTCAAGTGAGGAGGGGGACCTATCGGAGATCTAAGTGGTATATGTCAGCTCTCGTGCAAGATCGACATACAACCAGTATCCGACCTCGAAAGGCCTAGACATGAAGATAGCACCTACACAGGAACGTTCTTCCTCTGCCTTTCCGGGATGACCTCGGCTCCAAGGCCACCATCCGCATACTCGGGAGCCACCACGTAGTATGCTGTCCCGACTCCTGGAACCACAGGCAAGATCAGCTCCAAATAGCTCTGAAAGTCAGGTGTGAAGAAGAGGACGCACCGACGCCGACTGCGATCATAGCTGGGTATAGACGACGGAAAGCTTGCATTGTGGAGGTTGTTGGGTGCTGTGCTGGCAGCTGAGGATGGATAGGGGCGAGGAGAAAGACGAAAGAGATGGAAGAGGAAGCCGTCGGGCCCAACAAAATCGGAAGCGGCTGTCTCCGTCTCAGCCTCCACCTCGGACCTTGCCTCGGACCCCCGGACGTCATGATGCGCCACTCTCTTCTATCATTCCCCCTCTGTCCCTCCAGATTCCTCAGACCCCTTCTATGTCCAATTCTGCCACAGCTACACCCCTTGCCGAGGGAGACCGCGCCGCCACGCCGGTCGAGGAGCCGATTTGCAACGAGCTGCACCCGCTGTGGGCTTTCGACGTACTTGTATCCCACTTTGAAGGGCGTGAGCCAGTCAAGGCGCCTTTTGACAACTACCGGGACGAATAGTAGGCCTTTTTGGCGAGACTTGGGGTACAGCTGATGTTGAGGGCAAGTGCATTGTTCGTCTCGTGGCATGTGGTCAAGCCTGGACGAAAGCCCGCTCTTAGGGGGTGTATCGGCAGCTTCTCGCCAATGCCGCTTACCAAAGGTGTCAAGGACTATTCTTTGATCAGGTAATCGCCAGCCAATTGAAACTGACAGGCGCTCATCATCGTGTAGTGCGCTGAGAGATCACCGATTCTCACCTGTAAGAGCTAGCGAGTTGCCCACTCTGTCTTGCGAGCAAGTCTACACTTTCCATGCGATCATTATAAGAATCTGACATGGCCTCAGCGTCTCTCTTCTTACCCCCTTCACGTCCATCTCTGACCCCCTGGACTGGGTCCCCGGCGAGCACGGGATCCACCTCACCTTCTCTCACCCCACCTCCCCTTCCAAGACCTACTCTGCCACCTACCTCCCCCAGATATGCCCCGAGCAAGGCTGGACTAAAGAAGAGACGGTTCTCTCTGCCATCCATAAATCTGGCTACAGGGGCAAGGTATCTGTTGGTGACAAGGTGTGGCAGAGTCTGAGTGTGCAGGTATACGGGAGTGTCAAGGTAGAAGTCGTGTGGGAAGAGTATGTGCAGTGGAAGGAGGAGAGGGGAGAAGCTATCAGTGTAATCAAGGTGTAGAAGTGTAGATTATGCGAGATTGTAGAGTAGAGTAAGTTGTAGAATGACTCTGGTCTGTACTCGTAGTGGCTTGTTCGGTGCATGTAAAACCAATGATACAACGTTTGCTCATTACAACCTCTTCCTGGTGTTGTCAACCCTCTCCCTGGATACTTCTGGCGTCAAGCTCCTCTCACTTCGAGACTTGAAACTGTCCTCGCTCGCGGCCCTTCCTCTTCTGGGTGGAGGGCTAGGACTCCTCGAATCACTCGCATACCTCCTCCTCTTTCCTACCGGCGAAAGCGACCGCGTATAACTCCTCCCTCTCGAGTCATCTCTAGAGTCATATCTCCTCACCGGGCTCCGACTTCGAGAGTCACTGTACCTTCTGCCTCTGAGCTGGGGCGAAGGTGGACGCGAGTCGGCGCCGCCATGGGGGGGAGAGTCGCTGTACCTTGCTCTGCGGCGTGGGGGAGGGGATGGGGAACGGGAGTAGCTTGGGGAACGGCGGCGGCGGACGGGGGAGCGAGAACGAGAGTCGGAGGGAGAGCGACGGCGTCTAGGAGGGGCGGACGGGGAGCGGCCTCGCTTGGGAGGATTCAGAGCTTCTTGTTTCCTGAAATTCAATCAGCCTTGACCAGATGTTTACAGAAGCGCTACTCACCTCCTATACTCTTCTCGCCTCCTTAGCTTCTCCTTCTCCTCCCATGCCTTCTTCCTCTCCTCGTCCTCCTTCTCTCGCTTCAACGCAGCCTCAATCCTCATTCTCTCATTCTCCTCCCTTCTCGCGAGCCTCTCCGCCTTTTCTTCCGGGGTCTCGATCTTGAAAGCCTCTCCTTCGACATGGTCTTTCCTGACTCCGAGTGCCCTTCCAAGACGGCTCATCTCCACCTCCTTGGCAGCAGCCATCGAATGCGAGCTCTTTCCCTTTCCAGTATTCTGCTCCTTCACCAAGTTCAATCTTTGGCGCAACTTGTCGCATTCCTCATCAATCTCGTCCTCATCCTTGCCAGCTTCCTCCAACCCGTCACGCAACTCCATCACCTTGACCTCGATGCGGCGTTTGCGCTCGTGCTCGAGGATACCCTGGTCTGGGGCACGGTAGATGGGGGCTTTGTGAAGGTCGTCGTCGCGGTTGAAGCCGCCGAATGGACCGCCAGGGGGACCTTCTCTGATACGAAGGTGAGCCGAGTTTTTGGTAACATAACCGTTCGTGCCACTGTCTCTTGTCAGCGCCATCCCGCCATAAGTATCGCCAGCTCACCTTCCTCGAGCGGTCTGGAGACCGACATTCCCGTACATGGTGCTGGGTGATGCAGATATATACGACGATGAATGAAAGAGATGATGAGCGCGCAAGAGACGGAAAAAGTCGGCGATTCCCACCCTGTGGCATAGGCGGCGATCACCGCCTCCACCCGCCTATGCCCTCTTTCCAAAAAGTTGGACAAGAAGCAAGCTGCCCTGCGTATACAAGAGATAAGATAAGATTACGAACCAATACAGGATGGCCCAAGAACGCAGCAGTACACCAGAACAGGAAGATGATGAAGAGTTCTTTGGCTTGGACGATCTGATGCCGGTGCGTTCGAGCACCAGCCGAAGAGACAGAGCTGACGTTTGGACGCAGGAGCCAGAGTCGCCGGTGCCAGCTCCATTCTCTTTTGCCGCATACGAGATTCCAGATGGCCTGCTTCCGTTGCTGCCAAAGCACAGGAGACAAATGATCCTGCGGCTGGTCGGGAGCCATCCTCTCTGGGGCCACCACCTGTACGTCCCTCGAGCGTCTCTAAGAGATATGCGCTCACGGAATGACACGATAGATGGAATACTGCCCGCACATTCTCTACATACCTTCTCTCCAACCTCGCTCTCACCTCCTCTCGGAACATCCTCGAACTCGGTGCCGGTGCCGGCCTGCCTTCGATCGTCTCTTGCCTGCCCGGTGCGGATGCGCAAAAGGTCGTGGTGACCGATTATTCAGATGAGGGATTGTTGGAGAATTTGAGATTCAATGTGGAAGTGGACCTGGAAGCGGAAGAGAGAGAACGATGTGTTGTTGATGTGAGCACACTGATGAGAGACAGAGAGGGAAGACTGATGAGACTAGGGTCATGTCTGGGGACACAAAGTTGGGCATTTGCTGGATCATCTGCCGCAAGGACAGATGTTTGATCTTTTGATACTATCCGACTTGGTCTTCAACCACTCTCAAGTACGACTCTCTACATTAATCGACGACGAAGCTAATAATATCACAAGCACGACGCCCTGATCAAAACAGTCGAGTCCACTCTCGCCCCCGCCCCCTCCACCCCCTCAGATCCGATCACCTCCGCCCCTCTTACTCACCCCTCTGTCCTCGTCTTCTTCACCCACCACCGGCCCCACCTCGCGCACGCCGACCTTGCATTCTTCCCCCGGCTCGCCGAATCTGGCGGAGGGTGGGTGTACGAAAAGGTGGTGGACGAATGGGCGGGTGCCATGTTTGAGAATGATCCGGGAGATGAAAGGGTCAGGGGGACTGTACATGGGTGGAGATGTTGGAGAGTTAGAGATGGGGAAAAGAAGGGAGAGAGGGAGAGTGCGGTTGCCAAATAGATCCCCCGCTTTGATCTATGCCAATGTTGCAGATGCATGTTTGCGCATTACACTGGGGCAAAAATCTAGTCACAAAACCCATTGAGACTGATTGTCCGTCAAGTCAGGAAGAGGAAAAAGGTCTAAAACATGAGAGTGGATGTGAGATAATATAGGGGAAATCGAGATGATGAAAAGACGAGAAAACAAATATCAACTACTCTACTCTACTCGGCCTTCTGGAGGTAAGTCCTTCGGTACAGGTCGTCGACACCCTCGAGATAATAGGCACCAGGCCAGATGTTGTCGATGGAACCCTGGGGAGAGTACTTGACGGCGTTGTGGTTCTCCTCACGGAGCTGTCACATCTATCAGCAAGCACTCCAACTCGACGGGACGTCAACTTACCATAAGCGCGTCAACGTATTCCTGGCAAGGCCTGACATCCATAGACTCCAGTCTCTCCTTCAAGTTGAGCTTCTCAGCAATGTTCTTGGTGGAGCCAGCGACCCTGATGGCAAAGAAAGAGGCAGCACACCCAGAACCGAAAGCGTAAAGACCAATCCTCTTGCCGACCTCGATACCCTCGGGGTTGTTGGCGATGACACTGGACAAGGCACCGTAGAGGGAGGCAGTGTACATATTGCCGCATCGGGCGACACAGTCGGAACCGGGGACAACGGCAGACTTGTAGTGGGAAGCACCGGCAGCGATAAAGGCCTTCTCGACCACCTTGTCGGTGTAAGTCTTGGTCTTGTCCTGGGACTTGACGTCTTCGGGGATGTTGGCGAAAGCATCGCTGGTGACACCTCGGAGGTAGTCCTGCCATTCATGAGCGCCAGTTCACACTCGTCTTGTTGACTCACGTTGTAGTGCAAACGGGCGTGGCCCTTCTGCACGAGCTTGCCGTAAGGAGAGTGCAAGCACACATAGTCGAACTGGGAGATACCCTCGTCCTTGGCATCGCCGTTGAGGGCGACACCAGCCTTCTTGGCGGCTCGGGCCTTGGAAGCAGCGACCTTCTCAACGTAGGTAGAGTAAGAGTTGTCGAGGGCGCCGAGGTAGGCGGCGATGGTCCAGGGACCGTCAACAGTGGGCTATGGCGTGTTAGAGAAGGCAGATCAGATTCAAGAATGGACGCACGTATTCAGCGGAAAGGTCGGGCTTGTAGAAGTCCCAGGTGTTGGCCATGTAAGTACCGTGGACGGCTAAGACTAATGAGCCCATGTCTCCTCATTTCAGCAGGCGACTCACGCTCAAGCACCAAAGGCGCATCAGGACCGATCAACAAAGCACAAGCACCCATACCACCAACAGGCCTAGCGCTGCCCTCCTTGTAAATGGCAATGTCACCGCACATGACGATCGCATTCCTGCCATCCCAGCTCTCACTCTGGATCCAGTTGACGGCGTTGAAAAGCGCGGCGGTAGAACCGTAACAGGCGTTCTTGGAGTCGATACCCTCAATGTCGGTGTTGCCGGAGGGGGCAAAGAGCTCCATGAGGAGGGTCTTGGTGGACTTGGACTTGTCGATGAGGGTCTCGGTACCGACGTCGAGGCGGCCGATAGACTTGGGGTCCACGTTGTACTTTTTCAGGAGCGAAGACACGACTGTGCCACGCGTCAGTACTATTTCCCCACCTGACCTTAGTGTTCAGACATACCAGTCAAAGCGACAGAGTTGATGTCCTCCCTGCAGCATGGTCAGTGTATGCCCCCCGAAAAGTCATGATACCCTAAAAAAGCACTCACTTGTCATCGGCGAAAGCCATGAACTTTTGGCCAAGACCAATGGTGTACTTGCTGTTTATTCACCACCAGAAGGAATCGTACCACGATATGAACAATGCACGGCAAAAACAAGAGAGAGAAGGAACGACGCGACACCTGGTCAGCTCATGTCCTACAGTCCCAATGTGCAGGCAGCACTCACCCCTTGGCAGCACCGTCAAAGTCCTCGAGGGCATCCTCAGAGATGCACTGCATAGCCCGTCAGCATACGCGCGTTGAGCAAAAGAGACCTTTTGACTCACCCTCTTGGGGATGTACATCTCCATGCCGAGGATACCGACATTCTGGGGGCGGGCGGGGACGTCGTAGGTGGACATTGCAGCAGGGGAGTAGGGTAGAGAAGAATAGAGAAGAATAGAGAAAGAGAAGAATAAAAGAAATGAGATGGATAGTTTTGGGGAAACGCGAGGACAAATGTCAGTGCGCCAGCTCTCGGACGATGCCGTTTCAGGGCCCAAGCGTCAGGCACAGCCCACCGTTCAGCGGCTGACGAGAGCTACCAATGTGCATCGGCTTATTCCAGCTACGGACTCTGCTAACTACGTCGAGGATGGTAGAGACCCTCTTTAAGAAGCCACTGGGCCTATGTTCTTGCCCCAAGCAAGACACGGGGAACGAGGAGCCCGACATGTGTCAAAAGCACCGCGAAAACGACTTGATGCGCCATCCACGGATGTGACCCGGAGGCGGCCCTACCAGTCTTGCTTGGAAGCCATACCGCTTTCTCCGATTTTAATGAGGGATGGCACTATGTAATAACAAATTGAGCGCAACAACTCCTCTCGTGAGGAATACGGTGCGATCACGGGTACTCGCGAAGAGTCGCGATTGTCCAAAAAAACCACAGACCCATATCCCCTCATATGGTGGTACCCCTGATATACGTACCCCACCCCTCCTCTCTCCTCCCTTCCCTACTATCCCTAAACCCCCAAGCATAACCCCTCGCTTTCCCACCTAGCCCTTTGGGTGGAGCCCAGAAGTGCGGGGCGGTCCTCGAGGGGATGGCACGACGTCCTCTCCGGGTGCGTTTCTTTGACACGGGCGGCAGGGTTGGCGCAGGACACGAAGTATGTGAAGAGGCCAAGGGAATGGTAGAGATGGGTTTGGCGGTTGATTTGGATTTGGCAACGGGTTTAGAGGGTTGGTCGGTTCGAACAGCATCTTCAAAGAGAGTACCAATGAACATGTCCGGGAGAGTAGGCAAAGCCTGATGTGAGACGGAGAAATCTCGTGGGGTAACGTCTGTTCTTGACCAGCGTGGGTGGTCCGGATATCCTCCCAGGTTGTCCGATTCAACCGCAGTTTCGACTGCAAGCTGATGAATTCTGGCTTGTTGGTGGGCAGGCAGTGGTTGGTACCTCGGATTCCTACCATACAATGAGCAAAGTTCACTCTTGATTGACTAGTGCACATACGCGGGTATAGGATACACTTCTGGCGCAGGTAGCAGAGACACGGGCTTGACATTGCAAGTTGAGAATAGCCGAAAGTCTGGTGGGATCAGCTCTGGCAGTAATGGAAGCAAAGTACACTTACCGACGAGCTTCTCTTCCCTCACCTCGACCTTTCCAGCATCCCCTTGCTGGGCAGCCTGGGCTTCCGCCATCTGTCTCTCAATTTCCATCTTCATCGCCTTCTCTCTCTCCTTCCGCCTCTTCTTCTTGGCATTCTGCTTTTCACCTTTTGTCATGGACCGCTTCTCACCAGTCTCTGTCACCACCATATTATCTTCTTCGTCGACCTCGTCCCCTGCCAGCGGGTTGGAGGCCTCCTGGGCGACAAGAGTCGGCTGAGGGAGGGCATCTTGAGGAAGGGTGCTGAGCATGAGATCATGGTAGGTCTGCACGAGCTGTGGATCGGGCGTCGGCTGACGGTCGAAGGAAGGGCTGGGACTTGGTCCCTCACTGGAGGCTGTGTCTGGAGTCGAGGCCATGTTGGGTGACCAGCTGAGCGACTACCGTCTACCAGCCACTACCAAGTACTTTTGGTTGTCGACTTTGGAGCGGGAGCAGATTAGTTTGTCCGCCGGGATCTCCGGGAGTTCCAGACATATAGTTAAGCGAGTAATTACAGGCACAGACACGCTAAAGGGTGGTAGTCACCTGTAACGCGCCCTCGGGTGGAGGCTGGCCATTCCACGCTATTATATATCTTTATTTTTTATTTTATCATCCTCTCATCTCTCCCATCGCATCCCATCTCCAGCCATGGCACTCCCCGCCCTCGACGACTCCCCCACCCTCCCCCACCCAGGCCTCCCCTGCGGCCTCGAGCACCCCCCCCACCTCGCCTTCCTCCCAGCCCTGGCTTACCCTACTAAACTGGCACAATCCCTCGAGGACAGTCCGTCGCGCTCCGCGTCGCCACTTTCTGCCGAGTACCTCCTCAGCACCATGGCAGTAAAGGATGCTTTTCCCAGCCTCGTGTTGGAGGCCATCGACGGCGGCTCTGTCGATGCTGGCACACGAGCAAGAGCAGCGCGCAAGGGCAAGTTGCCAGAGTCTACTCTACACACCAGAACCATTGGCTGACGCGAAAACATACAGGCCGTGTAGACGACACGAGGGTGATCATGGGCGGCTCGTGGCGACCGTTCACTCAGCCTGAACGCCGGTCTTCAGACCCCGAAACTTCGCTGAGCACACAACGCCCGCCTCTCAAAAGCCACCACACGTCCCCGCCGAGCTTTTCCTCTGCAAGCTCAAGCAGCTCTGGCTCCGGGCCGAGCTCACCTGCCCAGCTGCTCTTTCCGAGCGGCTCTACTCGTCAGGGCATGACTCGGACACGTTACCACACTGTCCCACCTCCTATCCAGGTGCACAACCACTCGAGGCCACTCACGCCTCTGCACTCTATTCCCGAGACCCCCAAAGATCTAGACGTCTCGCCAGAAGGTAGCTGGGCTTTGCGCCAGTCTCGGACCCTTGGTCGGTCGAGGTCGCACCCCAACTTGCGCCTGGGCCATCGCCAGCTTCTGAGCTCTGTGGAGGTGCATGATATCAAGCTGAAAAGGAGCATGTCTAGCTCTGGAGACAAGGGCGATGCTGTGGAGAGGAAGAAGAAGGCCATGTTGGCAGTCTTGCAGATGCGTCGCGGGTCTGCCAGACCAAGTCTCGAGCTTTCAACCTCGGTCCTTATGGCTCGTGTCGACTCGTCTACGAGACCGAGCTCGACACCAAAGCCAAACTTTCCTCCCCTCCCCGCTTCCCCTCTCCGTCGCTCCCCGCGTATCCAATCCCTCACTTCTGCCATCCCCAAGCACATTCGCTCCTCCTTTGGCTCTATCGACTATCACGCCCCATCTTCGTCGTCTCCACTGGCGACACATACCAACCGGGCGAGGTCTTCTTCCGCGCCCACACCTGCATACCAGCTGCGCGAACGTCTGCAAAAGGAAAAGGAAGAGAAGGAAAAGGTAGTCTCGAGCCAATCGGCAAATGCTATCATCCCCGATCGCTCTGCCGCCCGAGGCCCGGCCCCTCCCAAGCTCGTGCTCTCGCGCGAAGACCCCTCAAACCGCGACAACGCCGCGTGGAAGGATAGCGAGATGGTCTCGCCCAAATCCGGAAGGATCTCTCTCAAGAGCGAGATGATGCAAGACATCTTTTACACCCCCGAGGTCGTGCCCTGCCTTACTCCCGATTGCGATACGCCTACAGAAGAACTCGTCCTCGGCGAATATGGAGATGGGCGGTTCACCGGTGCGGGCATGGACGTCGTCGAGGAGGAACCTGGAGAGGAGCGCGAGGAGCTTGTCATCCGCCCGGGCAGTGTCAAAAGCGAGGCAGCCGGGAGCGAGGACGGGCTCGATGCGTTGTGGGCATTCCCTGCTCCACCCACAAGAAGCAACCCTTCCACCCCATGTACGCCCACGTACCATCGCGAACCCGCTGTTTCTCCCCGTTCATCACCTCCTTCTTCCCCTATCCCTACATCCTCCTTCACTTCGCGCTCTCAGCCAGACTTGCTCCTCTCCTTCTCCAGTGCAGGACTCGAGAATGAAAGTACCGAAACCCTCGTCACGCCCAATACGTTCACCACACCTTTGAAACCCGGGTCGATATCTGCAGGCAGAAAGACCTCGTCGGTGATGGGTGCTGCTAGCGCTTCCATGGTATCTCTCTTGAGCCCGAACGAGTTTGGGTCGACTATCAAGAACAAAGGCGGTAGATTGGCGCAGTTGGAGAAGCAGGGGAAGGGTGAAAAGGATGACCCGAAGAGGTTCAAGACGTGGACAGGATCCATCACAAAGGCCAGGAAGAGCATGGGCAAGCTCTGGGTGTAGCTACCGTAGGAGATCTGTCAAAGAGAGAAGGGCGTTTGAATAGTATAAATGTTGTACGACTAGATATCTCGAGATATGACTTATAGACATGTTGATACTCGCCGCGTTTGCAACCGGTGTATATGTACCTTTGCGGCTCATCGTCGATGACTCGGTCGTGGATCGGTTCCACTCATACCAGAGAGCGTTCAAGAGCGTGGTCCAGGCGCCAAACAACAAACAAGGGCCACCCATAGTTCGGACTTGTTCCCGATCCCGCTCCCTTCTAATGCACTGTACAAAAAGTCAGGATCTCTATATATATTTTTGTATTCAATTTATTTTACAAAATTCCAGATCATCCTGCATGCAACATCATGCCTGCATACCACTTATATACATCCACAAGGCAGACATGGAGATATGAGACCTCATTGCTATCTTCAGCAAACTATGAATCTAAACAAGGGAAAAGAAGACACATCGGGCGTCAATGGAACAAATGGGAGGGAAATGCCTTTTTCTATATCGTAACAGTAAAGCGGTAAACATGAATAAATTACCTCTCTTTCTCTCTCAATCCCTACAAGTACATTATCTATCACAGGACCAATACGCTATGACGAAAAGAGAATCGTGAGGAAAAAGTTTCTGGACATGGAAAGAGTTCGTGTTGTGTTGTGAGAGTACGTATGATGATCGTCCACAAGAGAATGTCCATGAGGGTTAACGAGAGTGAGATGAGAGAAAATGCGAATACACAAATTAGCGGTCGGGAGAAGGAACAAGAGAGGAAAAGACAGAGGATGGTCTATGCGAATCGGTCGGGAATGGTGGGGACGGGAGGTACAGAGGCGCCATTCGAGATGCCCATCGCAGGAGCGAGCTGGGGTGGCTGATGACCGCCAGCAGAGACAGGTGTTTGAATTTGATTCAGTTGGGCAGCATTGCCATTGGGGCTTGGGCCTTGGCGGTTCGCAGACAATTGCTACTCGTCATCAGTCATCGTCCAACGAGACAATATTCGCGACATACCTCGTAGTAGGCGAAGTCCTGCAGCAGACTCGTCTTGCTCTTTGTCTGGTGATCCAAAAAGATCTGCAAAACTTCGGAACCGGCTTCATAAGGCAGCTCTTGGGTATCGCGCGAGTTGGTAATGGGCTTGCACTCGGGGGTGTTGGTAAGGCGGATGTGGCGCAGGGCGCTGTGGATCAGGGTCAGCTTGACGCACAGGAAGGGTGGTGGGAGCTTACGCAGAGGGGACATCCCGGACAAAGATCCACTTGACCTCAAAGATGCCCTTCCACTTGTCCTGGGCCCAGACCTTGGAAGTCTTGGTTTCGTCCACCCTGCGACCCCTGTCAGCTTCAACTACGACTGATAAGCGTTGATACTAACGGAGTGGTCATCTCGGCAACGCCACAGAAGTGCCTAGAGCCATTGACACTGAAGGCCAGGTAGATTGGACCTTTGCCGGCATTCTCGCGGTAGGCCGCATCAAGACGCTTGTTGCCGAGCACAGTGGAGGACCAGATTTCATGCTTAAGTGATTTCTGGACATCTTCCTCCTACTCTAATCGTCAGTTCATCGCCTATCCGAGGGAAAATGGATGGACGCACAGTGTAAGACTTGATGACGAAAAACCTCGCTCCCTGGGGCCGACACTCAAAGGTCGCAGGGTTCAAACCCTTCTTCCTTGCCAGCTCAATCACATCCTTGTCCTGCGCGCCCATTCCCGCCGATGCTGGCGGAGAGGGATAGGCATGTTGGCCTTGTCCCCCGTGCCCGTTCCCAGGCCCACCGAGCTGCTGACCATTGGGAATATATCCAGAGAAGCCTTGAGCGTAGCCCGGCATACCCATGTAGTTCATGCCAGGCATCGGCATCGGAGGCATCATCCTCCCCTGATGATTCTGAGGCATGGGCATATACCCGTTGTTGTTGAAGTTCATGTAGTTACCCGGGTAACCCGAGTACCCTTGGTCATTGCGGTCCCGCTCACCACCCCAGCTGTGAGTGCTGGCAGATCGGGGCATGTTGTGCCCCAACATAGGGGTGTTGTCTCCCCCTACAAGCTTGTTGACCCAGCTAGGCTCTCCATCTGCTCCAGAACCCTTTCTCTGCAGCTGACCAGAGGCGGGCGAACCAGCGTGCGAGTGACGCATGATGTTGGTCTCGAGGTTGAGCCTCTCGCGGTTGAGGCCGTAGCCTCCGTTGATGAGTGGTCCTTGGGCGAAACCGTTTTCGGGCGCCATCATCTTTCTGCCGAGGTTCATGGCCTCGAAAGCGTCTTGCAATTGCTGAGAAGCATTCTTGGTGCTGTTGGCCTGACCGGGAGCAGACGCCCATCCGTCGCCAAGTCTGGGGTTGTTGGACCACACCGAGGGCCCAACGGGGCTCGTGGGAGGTTCATCCTCGTCCAGCCTGCCAGAGTCCAGTCTCTGCCTGACCTCGTTACCTCTGCCTTCCAACGACACAACAGCTGGACTCTTTTCAAGCCTGTCTCGCACCCTAGAGTGTGATCCATAACCTTGGTTGAGACTTTGGTGGCGTTTAACGTCGGCAGGACCGGTAGCGATGGCGCTATCATACCCGGGCAGGCCAAAGGGCGGGAGGGCGGCGGTGGAAGAAAGAGGGGGTGGGGTAGGGGGAGAAAAGGCATTCTGGGGCGACAAGACGTTGGGCGGGGTCGGCTGGGAATCAGGGTTGATATTGGACATGGATGGGCGGTAAGTGTGCTGATATTCTGGTCAGCATCATCGATAGTACGATAGCGCTCTGGCTCACCTCGCCAACGGCCTTCAGACTCGTGCTTCTTCCCAGGTTGCCAGACGATATATGCTTTGCCTGTGCCCTCAAGCTCTGCGTCCTTGACACGCCCGCACCGCCTCCATTCCCGCCAACACCAGCATTGATCGGTTCATCCAACCCCTGGTTGTTGTATTGCGGCTGCGAGAGCATGGACAAGGACGAGAGCGAGTGCGAAGCACCATGCGCCGATTGAGGCGGGGTGGGGCCTGTTATTTGCCCAGCGGTATTCACTGCGAGCCTGCGAGATGGACGGGAGGGAAGTGGCTGGTCGGGCTGCTGAACTGGGTTGAGACCTGATGAAAATTATTAGCATCGTGCAATCATACTGCAAAATACAACTCACCTCGCCTGGAAGGCAAACTGGACTGCCTGCTCAGACCCTTGTTCCACTGCTGCCCGCCCATCTCATGGTTCTCTCCTTCGACCTGGCTCTCCAGCACCACCTCCTTCCTAACCTCCCTCCCGCTTCCTCGCCTTACCAACCCGGGATCAGGCAAAGCAGCCGACAACGATCCGCTCCTGAACCTGTTTACACGGCTCCGGCCACCGGACCCTGTGGTATTACCAGAAGAGACCGAGTTGGTAGAAACAGCAGGACCGTGAAAAGCTGAGGACGCCGCAGGGTTGGCCGAGATGGAGGCGCTGGCCTGGTGATGGCGCGGGTTTGAGACCGTGTTGGCCCTCTTGAGAGAATCCTGGTCAGCTGCTGGTGGGCCGCTGGCGGTGTTGCCCCCTGGCGGGGTGGGCGAGTTGCCGGTCGGGGGCGCGGGGGGGGAGGTTGATGAGAATGAGTGATGGGACGGGCCTCGGGGCTGGCGGATGGGGGCTACGGGGGCGGAGGACATCGCTGTGGATATTGTTTCCTCGGGGGAGACAGAGGGGGTGCCCAGGAGACGCTGTGGGGGATGTTGGGTGATGGACAGAGGAAAGAGAGGTGAGAATTGTTGGCGGAAGAGGATGGCGCTGGCGGTGGAGGCGGTGATGACGGCGAGGATGTTTTGGTGCTATTGGAAGTGGGCGGGTATCTCTTCCCTTGCTTTTCTCGGGCTACCAGCTATATCCTCTGCGTAACGTGTTCCCAGACACCATGCATAGGAACCTTTCATCGGCCCCGGCGTGCAAAGGGTCACCCTCCCACTGCACCACTCTGCTCGGCGGATCATCGCATGCACCTCGTACACGGCAACAGACCTGCATACGCACGTCGACTATCTGTGGCTCTGCTGCCGCTATGTACATCCTACATTCGTATGTGGCGGCTGATCATCCTTTCAAGGATCACTGACTGGTCGGGCTGCAAAGATATATGTGTCGTGATGGGGGCCAAACAACGAGCTGCAGTCCTGGCATGCATTGCTGCTTCCCCACGCAAGCCGTTGCCACCCAAAGCCCACATGTGGCGCACAGGCTCGTCTCCTTCACCGCCACTGCCACAGTCCCTCAACACCGCGTGAGACCATCAGTCAGATCTCATAGCATGCCGCAAAGATCAAGCGGTCCTGCAGGGTAAGCCATCTCTGCAAGCACTATCCAGATCGACCCTTGAGCAAGCGGAGAGCGGTAGTGAAGCTGCCACAGGAACCCGAGCAGGCGTAACTAACTCATCGATTCATCAAATCACAGAAGAGACGGGCAGGGCGTGTAGGAAAGGGGGCGATAAAAGGGGTAACTAGAATTGAAATGAGCAAAAAAAAAAGTGGAATGCTTGGAAGGTCGATGGATGTATTGGGTAAACCATTTCGCAACAAAGTAGAATGTTGAAGGGGAAGAGGTATAGAGAAACGCCAGCCAGTTCCGTCTTAACAAGATAAAGTACAACTTTGAGAAAGGGATAAGGGGACTCGATGACAAAGTTCCTCTTCTCAGAGCACGACGCATCCCTTCTTGCCGCTCCTGCTCTTGCCCTTCTTGCTCTGTGGACATGTCAGCACTGCCCTATACAACACACAAAGCGACGCACCTGGAGAGCATGCCTGGTAGCAGTCTGGAACACCTCCCTCACTCCCTCGCCAGTCTTTGCACTGCACTCCACGTAGCCCTGGGCGCCAATCTTTTGCGCAACAGCAACACCCTCAGCGCGGGAGACGGGCCTCTGGTTCATCCTAGCGAGGTCCTGGGTGGTCTTGGGGTCCTCTCGGAGATCCTTCTTACAAGCGACGAGGACGATGGGGAGGCCTTGGCAGAAGTGGAGGACTTCAGAGATCCACTGCGTAGAATGTCAGCTATGCATGGCAGCAAGGACAGGCGGCCGCACCTTTTCTTGGACGTTGTCGAGGGAATCAGGAGAGTCGATGGCGAAACAGATGAGAATGACGTGCGAGTCGGGGTAGGAGAGGGGTCGAAGACGGCTATTTTGCGCACAAGGCGTCAGTAAATTCCACAAACAAAACGCATCCACACGTTTCCGCCATCCACGCGTTATCCATCGGTTCGAGGCGAGACATCAACATACTCATAGTCTTCCTGCAAGGCGAAAGCAAAGACGGTCAGTGCGTCAGCATACGGCCCTTGCCACCCGAGCACGCTCCCCTGGGAAAAAAGGGGGGGCAAACGCACCTGTCCAGCAGTATCCCACAAGGCCAGCTCGACCTTCTTGCCATCGACCTCGACGTCGGCGACATAGTTCTCAAAGACGGTGGGGACGTAGACCTGTTTCGCGCACAGTTAGCCGTCACGTTCCGTTGTTTTTCTCGCGCATCCGCCCGAGGACCGCCCGAGGACCGCCACGCGTGCGCACGCGCGTACGACTCGCTGGGTTTGGTCGTGGACGGAGAGAAAGCGGGACTGACCTCGGGGAACATGCCCTTGCTGAATACAATCAAGCTGGGGGATGTCAGTGGTCGCTGGGGTCGGGGTGGGCCGATACGTACAGACATGTCTTTCCACAAGCACCATCGCCTGGAGGGGGTAAGCTGGGCCGGGAGGAGGGGGCAGCACGTACCGACGATGACGAGTTTCCTCCTGATTTCTCCAGACATTGTTTATGGGGATATGGATGGATGGAAGAGAGAGAAGAATGGCGGCGGCGTTAGAGCGTAGAGGTCTGTGGCGGGGAGGGCCCCTAGGCGTGCAGGGTACTTTAGGCGTGCAAAGTACTTAGGCGTGCAGAGTACTTTAGGCGCGCACGGTACTTAGGCGCGCTGACGGGCCTGCTTTTACGGGACGCGCCCTCGTTGTCAACACCACCGCCATTATTGATGTCTGCCCACCACGAAGACGAACTCGCTCCCAGCCAGACAGAGGGCTACAAGGTGTGTTCTCTCTTCGCATCCAGCTGCCGCTCACCCTCCACAGCTCGGCCAGTCCAAAACCGTCGCAGAGCTCGCAGCCCTCGACCAGGTGCGTGCGCCCACTACTCCATGCATGCTGTACTCACACTGCACAGGAAGACGAGTCCCTGCAGCGATGGAAGCAGTCCCTCGGTATCGGCGCTGCCGGCGGTGCTGGCGGTGAAAAGAAGGTATGTCCTCATGCGACCCCACTGCAGCGCCCTGCAAGGCTCGCGCACCCGTCATCCCAAAATCTACTAATCTACTGACGTCCTCGGCCCAGGCTATCCTCAAGTCTCTCTTCCTCACTTCTCCCACCCTCCACCACCCCATTTCTATCGACTTGTCTCAGTCCAAGGACCAACTCGCCCAACTCAAAAAGGAACCCCGTAAGCCCGTGCCCTTTTACACCGCCCCGTCGTCAAGCCACCTTGTACTGACTTTGCTTGCCAGTAACCATCAAAGAGGGCGTCGAGTATTCTGTCGGCATCACCTTCCAGATCGCCAACGAGATTGTCTCGGGTCTCAAATACATCCAGGTCGTCAAGCGGGCTGGTATCACTGTCGACAAGACGGAGGCCATGCTCGGGTCCTATGGCCCCCAGGAGCAGCCTTATGAAAAGATCTTTGCCAGTGAAGAGAGCCCGTCAGGTATGCTTGCCAGGAGTGGTAGCTACGTCGTGAGGAGTCGTGTCATTGACGATGATGCGACTGTCTGGCTCGACTTTGAGTGGGGTGAGTGTGCCTCTGATATTAGTCCGAGTGGAGCTGACTGTCGGACAGGATTCAAACTCGGCAAGGAATGGTAGAATGCGTACAATACGCGCTTGTAAAACTCTTTTGTATATATGTTGGCGGTAGATCTTGTCGCTTTAGGAGAGATGAATTGGTGGAACTGTTCACTGTGTCGATGTGTGCGCTTCCAAACAACTGTATAGACACTCGCAACATTTGTACTGTACACCTTGCGATTGTATCTAAATTTGTTATCATGGACTCTGGGATCGCCCCAGTTGAGGCAGCTTGGAGGGTTGCTGCCCTCGCGTTGAGTGACAACTGCACGTATTAGCAGATCCCTGGAGCTGAGCCCTAATCATTCCTCCGGCCACTTCATGCTCGCTGTGCAAGGACTTGCTAGATCTTGTTGGCCCAGCGCGAATGCAATGAAAGAGATAGAATAGACCCAGCATCCATGGTATTGGGCTCGGGCGGTTAAATGGGGGTGAATGCTCAAAGAAGAGTCGCGTCGTGGTGCGTCGGGTTACTCTCTTGCTTTACTCTCATGCTCTTGCCGTGCTCATCTCCTGTCTAGCCACCGCAAACCATAAAACACCTTTTCATCCCTAGCACTACCTCCACTGACCATGGCCTCTCTTGGTACGCTCGCTTGCTTCCACTCAACAGCTGCTGACCCTGTCTCCCAGTCGCTATCCTCGACGTCAAGGGCAAAGTATGTCTTCAACTCTTTAAACCATGTTGAATCTCAGCTAACATGTATGCTTGGCTAGTCGCTTATCCAAAGATCATACAAAGATGACGTCCCACCATCATACATTGAGCGATTCCTGCCGTTGATATTGGACATGGAAGAGGAGAATGTGCCAGTTGTGCCTTGTTTCAGCGATGAGGGAGTGAATTATATGCACATAAGGCATAACAACCTCTACTGTGAGCGGAACTGATTAGATCGGCTGGTAGCTACTTACGTGGGAATTGTAGTATTGGCATTGTCAAAGAGAAATAGCAACGCCGCCGAGGTCATCTTCTTCCTTCACCGACTTTGTTCTGTAAGCTCGGCTTCAATCCCATACCTATTATCTGGCTAACCATGCCCAGGTCCTTACAGAGTATTTCAAAGAGTTGGAAGAAGAATCTATCCGTGACAACTTTGTCATCATCTATGAGCTTTTGGACGAAATGATGGACTTTGGTTACCCTCAAACCACAGAGAGCAAGATCCTGCAAGAGTGAGACCTCTTTCTCGTCACCCCGTCCTGGTACTTATAATCCTCCAGGTATATCACGCAAGAATCACACAAGCTCGAGGTGCAGGTCCGACCTCCTATGGCGGTCACGAACGCAGTGTCATGGCGATCTGAAGGCATCAGATACCGGAAGAATGAAGTGTTTTTGGATGTTGTTGAGAGCGTCAATCTGCTCGTGCGTATGCCGTTATCCCCGGGGAGGCCAAACTGACAAAAGCGCCAGGTGAATGCCAGCGGGAGCGTCATCCGATCCGAAATCCTCGGTGCCGTCAAGATGAAGTGCTACCTCTCCGGCATGCCAGAACTCCGTCTAGGCCTCAACGACAAGGCCATGTTTGAGACTACCGGCCGCTCCGCCCGCGGAAAGTCTATCGAGATGGAAGACGTCAAGTTCCACCAATGTGTACGGTTGTCGAGATTCGAGAATGACAGGACCATCTCGTTCATCCCGCCCGATGGCGAGTTTGAGTTGATGTCGTATAGGCTGTCGACGCCTGTGAAGCCACTGGTGTTTGTTGAGGCTAGTGTGGAGAGCCATAAGGGGAGTCGGGTGGAGTATATTGTCAAGGTGAAGGGACAGTTCAAGAGGAAGAGTACGGCAAATAATGTAGAGATCTATGTGCCGGTGCCGGACGATGCGGACAGCCCGAAATTCAGGGTAAGTCCATCTGCCAACCATCTCATCCTGCAATGCTGACTTACGGACAAGGCATCGGTGGGCTCGGTGGTGTATGCACCCGAAAAGTCGGCGTTCGTGTGGAAGATCAAGCAGCTCGGGGGTGGACGAGATTACCTCATGCGAGCGCACTTTGGATTGCCAAGCGTCAGAAATGGTACTTTCAAACCATGAACCCTACGTGGCTGGTTACTGATGACTCTTCGCAGAGGAAATCGACAAGCGCGCCCCCATCTCGGTCAAATTCGATATTCCATACTTTACTGTCTCGGGTATACAAGTGCGGTACCTCAAGATTGTCGAAAAGTCTGGGTACAAGGCTCTTCCATGGGTCAGATATATTACGCAGAACGGAGACGATTATGTCCTCAGGACAATCACCGACGCAAAGCCTGCACCTTTAACGGGTGTTTGATCTGTAACAAGACGAGTGTTGAGCGTATGGTTGGCCGGGATAGATTTCACGTAACGCAAAGAATGCATTTGTATTGTACCAGGCTTCGGCATACTTTGCTACGATCTGTCTGCTACCAATCTAGACAACACCGGCTTTTCACCGCCGTCCCATAATAGCCACTCAGCTTACACCCCAGATACTTCAGTGACCCCTCCATCAATCCCAACGCCTTCGTCCTCTTTTGCATCTCAAATTCATCTGGCACTGCGACAGTGACCAACGTAGGCCCTCTGAACGCGTACGCCAAGTTCCACATCTTCTCCTCCCAACCACCCGGCCCATTTGCCAGCTGGTCAATCACTCCTGCCCCAAAGTGTATACCCTGACACCTCAGAAATAGCACCTCCTGGGAATACCCTCCGTTTCCCGCATCGCCCCCTAGAGTGAGGTAGGCCGACTGCTTGTAGTACAGCATTGCCGCGCGCTCGGTGTACTCGAGGGCCTCGCGGTCGACGAGGGTAATGTCAAGAGTGAGGTTGATGAGGAGGATTTTCCGAGCTGTGGGCGAGAGGGAGAGGAGAGGAAATGAGGGGGAGGGGATAGGTGGTGGGACATTTCGGTTGAGCTGGAAGGCAGCCTTGCGGGCTGCCATAGGCCATAGCTCGGGAGGTTCTTGCCACTCGTCTTCATCATCGTGGCCGCCTATGGCGTGGTAGAAGGAGGGAGCAGTCTGGGCATTCAGGACGACGCAGGTATACAAGCGACAGACATGTCTCTCGTAGTTCTCTCTGCAGGTGAAGATAAAGGAGAATGAGGGCGAGAGGGCGAGCTGATAGTAGATAAGCAGCTGTATGTCGCTGGGCAGGCGGTGACAGGCGGCGAGGATATCCTCGGTTTCGGGAGGGAGAGTCATCCCTGGCGATGGGAAGGAAAAGCAACAAAGGGATGTTGAGATTGCCGTGCTCGACTCATAACCGCGCTGTTGTGATCCATCGGCCGTGCAAGTCCGATTCACGTGTCCTTATCTAATCTGATTAAGGTGCGTTTGACCACGGATGTATCTCAAACGCTGTGATACAATACATCGGGTAAATAAATCAGTTGCTTGGAGGGACTCTAGCCTATGCTGCAAATCAAAGGAAAGACAGGTACCATGTTCGCAAGAAGATCGTATCGTATCAAGAAAGGTGTATAGAATAGCTCTCAAGAGAGCAGATCAGTGTATTCGTAATGTGCCACGGCTTACAGGCAGATCCCGGTGCTATCAAGGTGAGGGTGCAGCTCTTCTCCGGTCACAGAGACGCTCAAACACAGCTCAAACAACAAGTTGTACAAGCACTGGTCACATGCCTTACGCTGCAAGAAGATGATTATTCGGGCTTTGTCCTGTCGCGATGGTGTGCATTTGAATCTGCCAGGCTCCTCGCATCGTTTGCAGAAAACCCCTGTGATCCTTCTCAATGCCGTGACAGTGGCCTCGAAGGGTGGCTGAAAGGAGGCTGCATATATACATACAGTTACAACAGGTTCTGACGGAACCAAAGCAGCGGGGACCTCCACTGGTGCGCGGCTTGTGCCGCGTCACCATGTGCTCTTTCATTGTTGCGCGTCTTGTCTCCCTCCATCGCCACAAACCATGTCAGAGCTCTTCAAAGACATCCCGGAGTTTGTCGAGGTATGTCATTAACGCTCAAGCTGACTAGTCTGACTCCCCGCAGGCCGACATCGGCGAGTGCCTCGCTGCTAGGACAGAAACACTCGGTATGCCGTCCAGCACCTATCATCGACCGCAGCTCACATTCATGCAGGTTCTTTCAGAGAACTGGGCCCCCCCGATCTGTGTCACGTAATAAAGGTGTCCGGCAAACCTCCTACTCAGAGAGACGTGCGTATACATTGAGACGAACGGACTGCAGCTGATGCTTTTTATAGCTCGGCTCGTATCACTACTGGTACACATATCTACGACTGCCATATTGGAGTTGCTAACCTGAATATAGCTCTGGTGTGGAAGCGTCATCGTCTGCCTCACTTGCTGCATACCTCAATTCGCTCCAGTTCTCCATTGAAGACTCCCAAGCATGGTTCGGAAAGGGGTCAGCGTGGAAAGTCCGTAGTGGTACTTACTGGTGAGATCTTACATTCTCCACACATGCGAGCGTAGCTTATTCGTGTAAAGCTGCTTCAATGCTTTCTCCAGAGTCGACATGCGTGTCGAGGCCAACATCCCAGGTGGTGTTGAAGCGTTCGTCGTGGACCTCCACGGCAATCGACATGCCCCTTCCCCCGAGCTCTGGCAGGAGACGTATCTCTCAGCCCTTTTAAGAGCAATCAGATATGCGGACGATGCGAGCTATAGGCTGGCGGGCTACAGGAAGCTGGATCCTATCACAACGCCCGAGGCGGAAGAGAGGTTTTTGAAGGCTGCAGAGGCGCTGTTCTTCAGAGGTGAGCGCCTTGTGACAATAGAAGGAAGGTCGCTGAACTCTTCCAAGGTTGGCAGCTGGGGTCAGATCCGGAAATCCAGGTCGCCACTGTAGTGACGAATCACCTGACTTCGGCCATCATCAAATACTTTTCTGAATCTTTCAGACTGGACCGTGCAGCCAACCTGTTCGAGAGGATGGTGGTCAAGGAGCCCGAGGTGGCTGCTTTGGTGGCCAAGAGCTACATCGGTATGAGTGAGTATGGATGGGCCAGTTGCATGCCTTTGCTGACGCTGCGCAGACGAGGAAATCAAAGCGGTCAAAATCATGAACCTCGCCCTCCAGTCCAATCCTCAGTCCTACCCCATTCTCCATGTTCAAGTCGATTTCCTTCTCTCCAAACGCAGCTTGGAATGGGCCCAGAAGGTTGCCCAACAGGCGGTCAACTCGGCGCCCTCGGAATTCGTCACTTGGGCCAAACTTGCCGAGACATACATTGAATTGGGCCAATTCGACCAGGCATTGTTAACTCTAAATTCTTGCCCAATGTTTACGTATAACGAAAGGGATCTGCATAGGATGCCAGGGCCCGCAAAGACGCATCTCCCGGTGAAAAATTTTATCGCCGAATCGAATCTGCTGGGTGAAGACTCGCCTCGCGAGAACGAGGTGGGTCATGAGATGGTGAGGTGGACACCGCTGACATCAATGCAGGCAGACGTCGCCCTCTTCCGCCTCCCTGCACCAAACCTCCGAGGCACCTTTGCCAAAGCTTACTCTCTCCTTACCCTCCTGGTCTCCAAAATTGGCTGGGACGAGCTCCTCAGAACTAGATCCTCCGTGTTCGTCATGGAAGAAGAATACAGGATGCACAAGACTGGGCCTTCGGTGGATGCTGTCGATGGTGGTGTTGCCGAGGGCGACTTGAATTCGTCAACCAGAGGAGTAAAGGGGACGTCTTCCGTGGCTAGTGAAAGTGAGACTGCGACCCCGACTGAAATACCTACCATCCGGATCTCAACCGAGTCCTCTCGTACTCCCAACGTATCTCATGCTCGCACACCTTCGCAACTCTCACCCACCAAAGAAGAAGAGTCTGAGGATGCGAATAGCGACGACGCGGCAGAGATGGACGAGCCGTCTTTGGAGAAGCCTGAGACGGCCCAAGCGAACGAAGAGTCACATGCGCCCCTTGGGTTGAAAGGCGAGGGCGAGGCGCCTGCTTCATCACCATTTTCCAACAAGAGACTTTGTGAGCGCTGGTTGGATAACCTCTTCATGTACGTAAAGTTCATCTACCCCACATTCATTGGCTCACAACCTCATAGTGTCTTGTATGAGGACCTCCGCGTCTACACAATATGGCGCGCCGAAATATCGCACTTTAAGACTCAACACATGTCCTACCGCAAAACCGGCACCGAATGGGAGATTCTGGGCGAGCTTGCATGGCGATTGCATCACAAGGAAGAAGCCAAGGATGCTTATCAGAGATGTTTGGATAGCAAGTTTAGTGCAAAGGCGCTTATGAAGTTGTTGGAGGTATATGCGAATGAGGGAGATCTGGTGAAGAGCTTGACAGCTGCTGTGAGACTCACTACTTATCATCACCGGTGAGTTGTTTCCTCATGATCATGTTTTTAGAGCGCTGACCAAGAGGCAGATGGTACATGGATGCCGCTTATCCTTCACTCGTCGCACATTACCTGTACAAGCTGGGACTTACCCATGGCCACGCCAAGATACAATACTCTCTTCTCAGTATGGTCCGTATACTATCCCACGTTTTGATGATAAAGCGTACGGCTGACGGCTTTGTAGAACTTGCCCGTGGGTATCTTCGAGATCATGCAGCCATACATGAAGTATGCCACCGTATTCAATGTGAGTGGTCTTCGTGTATCTCCAAAGATCCGAAGCTGATAGTTTTCAAAGGTGGGAGGGGCAGACTTCTAAAGAGGGCAGAGATAGCATTGGGACATTTATGACATTGTGGATTAGAGTGTGACATTTTGGGATGAATCCCTTGGGTCATTGTGTATGCAAAAGTAGATATACACCAAGCTCTGACAGTGATATAATACACGCTGGTAGGCCGGATGTGCCCAAAATCTAGTGAGAAAGAAACCTCAGCGCTTGTAAGGCAAAGCAATGTTCCACCAAACCAGGGTGGCGATTTCACCGATGGCTGTATCGAACGATAGCAGAAACGCATGTGATTGACACAGACGTCTCAATATATACGCACTGGACAACGACGGACAAGCTACATCGATAGATGACTTTCGCGGAACAACAACAACGACGGACGAAGAACAACACGGGAAGGACGGGGCGGCCTTGTCCGCAAAGCTAGCCGACGCGACACGACGACTGCTACAGGTGATGAAACGAATTCCTCTCATGCATCATAGCATTCAGAACCATGTCCGACAGTCAGGCAAGTCCCCATGAATACTACGCGCCTGGCTGCCTCTGACAATACCCACAGGTCGCAATTGAAACTCCCGGCGCTGGGCCGTCCAGACTGCCGCTGTCTGTCGAGCCCGAGCTCGAGGAGGCGTATGAGGAAGAGTTGGATCTGGATGAAAGCCAAGAAGAAGCAGACAGAGAAGCGTGTGCGTGTATTTGTTATACATACTTCGATCCACTCTGACAGCTCGCAGTTCTCAAGAAGAAGAACGATTACATTGAATTGCAGCACTCTGTGGAGGCAAGTCGTCACTGCCGGCGTATCGAGCCCTGCTGACACAGTAACAAATGACAGTCAAGTGACGAGCTCTTATCTTCATTAGCTTCGTATCTTTCGACATTCCAAACCGATCTGTCAGCTGTGTCGGGACAGATATCCGAGCTGCAAGGCAAGAGCACCGAGATAGAAGGGCGTCTGAATGGTCGCAAGGTATCTTTTAATACTATGTCCGCGCTTGTCTTTGCGACTAACAATGCACGTAGGCAGTCATACCTGCCCTCAATAGCCTCTTGGCCGATATCAGTCTACCACCTGCTCTGGTCCTCACTCTCCGAGACACCGTTCCAGCTCAGAATCCCGACCTCTGGCTGTCAGCCATCACTCAGCTGGACGAGAAGCTTGTCACCCTTCGAATGAGATCCGCCAAAGTCCAGGCTGCCTCGGAGCTACAGCCTGTGGTAGACGGGCTTCGGATCAAAGCTCTGAATGTTCTGCCTCCATTCCTGTTGAGTTTGATCAAGCCGCTCAAGAGCGCATCCAAAGGGCTGTCGACAAATCTCGCCGTCCTCCAGACGTCATTGCTCCTCAAATATCAGCCCTTTTACGCCTTTCTTTACCGCCACTCGCCCAGGATAGCAAAACAGGTCGAACGAGGCTATGTCAATGCCGCGAGATCATACTACGAAACGGCCTTCCGCCGGTATGCTCGGTCATTGACGCAGATTCGCACGAGGAGTCCCGAGAAGAATGAACGTATAGGTGTTGTCGGTGGAGAGGCCTTGCTGAGTGGAGAAAAGGAGGGATTATCGGAAGCTTATGAAAGGTTGGGGTACGCGGAAGTTGGAGAAGGAGGAGTTGTTTTAAGTTTCATGGCCGATGACAAGGACTATGTGAGTCACTGGACAGTGGAGCTGTATACAGGACACTGACTCCAAACAGAAACTCCCAGTGGAGGCTCTATTCCGGTCATTGAGTCTCGTCCTACTCGATAATGCCTCTGCAGAGTTCACATTCATTGTTCGCTTCTTCTCTCTCCCCGCGCTGCAATCCCAGCCTCCTTCTTCCGACCGCCTCAATACGCTCTCCCCGTTATCGACGCCTCTCGAATCATCTTCCGCTTCATTTGTTGATATCACTTCTGAAGCAGGCGGACGGGGAACTCCAAAGAAGCGGCCGAATGGCCACACACCTGATAATAACAGTGAAGGGCTCAAAGAGGCGGAAAGGATCTGGCACGAAGTCTTTGACTCTGCCCTCGAATCTACTTCCCAATTCTACCATTCCATCCTCTCCCCTCCTCCCCCGGCCATCCCTCTTCTGACTATCATCCGCCTCAATGATCGTCTCCTCAATATTGCGTCTCTCCGGGGGACCATCCCTCTTGATTCGTACTTCACTGCGCAAAAGCTTTCCTTGTGGCCAGTATTCAGAAAAGAGATGGACCAGCATGTGGATAGCCTGAAAAGGATGGCGGACGATGCTGAGGGGAAAGGCTTCGCTGGTCTTGTGAAGGCTGGGGTCAAGAACGGAGCTGTCAGAAAGGTTGCGGGAAGGTATGCGGGGATGTTTGGCTGTGTTCTAGGCCTGAGCGAGGAAAGTGACGAAGCAATGTTGTTTTCCAGGCGAGTGAACCTCTCTTTATCTGATCATTCTCCAAAGCTGACTGTAGTGTCAGCATGACCCGCCTTCGGACTGAGCTCGTCCGTCTGATCCAGAACCAGTCTCTCAAGATCAAATCTCTTCCCGAGCGTCATTCGTTTGTATCGTCAATCTACGAGATTGTCATGCACGAGCTCGTCTCGGGTCCAGGGCCAACGACCCACCCGCGACTGCAGAGCGAGCTTTCATTCTTCCGGACGAGGGAGGAGGAGGCACGGAGGAAAATTGGGAGTGAGTGAAAAGGGTAGATGCACACGTATACATTTATCATGTATCACCTTGTCAACTTCATCCCAATGCTATCTGTTGTCATCGTAGTCCTGATCCCTTTCGCATGCACGACTATAAACAATTAAAGATGCAGCATTGTTTCCAGAATAAAGCAAAAGCATAAGAGTGCACTTATTATAGAATCTATGGCATTACAAGACCCTCACTCTGTATGTAGCATAGCAACAGTCGGGCCTCGCTGCCACTCCACGATTTGTCCCAACCATGATCAATCCCTTCAAGCCTTTTGTCCATTCTCGTGCCAGCTCTTCACATCCTTCAACAACCGCAGTACTCCCGCCTCGTCTGCCGTCCTCACATCATTGATGCTAACCCCTTCAATTCCGACACCACTGTCCACCAACATGTCCATCATCGCAAACAGTCCCTCGATCCCTGGCTGTCCGTTAGGGTCAGGCTGGAACGCTTCAGGCCCGACGGGCGGGGAAGGTTCGACATTGGAGAGGGATTTGACAAGAAGGAAGATGACTTCGCCTGAAGCAAAGGCTTGGGGGAAGGAAGTCACCCGAGGGTAGATCTCCGGGAGATGCTCGTTAACCCATTGGACGAGCTGAGGAGCTTCCGAAGCATCTACAGGGTTGAACGAGATGCCCTGTTCAATTGTCAGATCTTGTCCCAATTCTGACTAAAGAGACGTACACTCAAAGCCTTGCCACTTCCTCGGCTTGTGACCGCTCCCAAAGCTTCACCTGCACCGAGAGTCGAGGCTCTCTGGGTATTTTGTGTAGTCTGACTGACGTGGCTAGAGGGCCGTCTTGAGTCTCGATCAGGTCTGCCAGGGCTCGGGGCACCTGCTGAGAGTTGAGAACGCCTCTTCTGTCCAGAAGATGTATCCAAGCTCGTCTGTGAAATTGGTCAGCTTTGTCGTTCACTTGTTGAAAGTTCCAAAATTTACGAGGATGGTCGCGTCATGCGGCGTCAACTGGTTGGGGTTATCTCTCCTGGTGGCCCTCTGCGTAGCCGCCCTGGTAGCGGGACTGGGCGGTCTGGGAGCCATCGCCTGCGCCTCGGCCAGAGGAATGGTCGGAATGTTACAACTACTTGTCACTGGCTTTGTGTAATCCCTTTCAATGGTAGCTTTAAGGAGCGCCTTCATCCAACCCCTGACAGTCGTCTGCTCGTTGGCGGAGAAGAAGTGGGCAGGCTCGCCCGACGTATTGGGGGCGAGGCGGAGACCGTACGATCCCGAAGGGGCGGAGGCATCGGCCACGACACGGTGGTTGTGAAGATTGATCTTGTCCTTGAGACTGTCGGCGTGCTCACTCTTGAGGACGTACAGGGTAGGTCCCTTGAGCACAATGTATCGACTCTTCCAACCACCATAGCGCTCGCCCTTCTTTTTCATATAGCCAGAGTAGTCGGGGTTGCCAATCTTTTGCAAGGCAGAGCCGCCAGGCACGGCACCACCCTCGGCAGATCCGCCCAGGTTGGAAGGTCCAGAGACACGCTTCGCAGGAACGGCAGGAGTCACCTGATGGGCCTTGTTGCCTCCACCAAAGCCCAACCTAGAAACGCTCCTATTGCCCTCTGCCGTCGGCGACCCGGCAGGAGCGGGCTTCTTTCTGCCAAAGAAGGAGAGCCTGTCTTTGCCTTCACCGCCCAGACTCGGCTTACCGCGCTTGTGCGACATGCTGCCGGTGGACTCGCGTTTGTTGAGGGTGGAAGTCGTGTTGGTAGAGTTGGCAGTGGCAGGGGTAGCGGGAGTGGTGGGAGAGGCAGGGAGGGAGGAAGCTGCCTGATAAGTTGAGGGTGCAGTGGAAGCAGGCTGGCTAACGCGCTTGGGCTCGGGCTCTTTGGGAGATTGAACCTGCTTTTGGGCCTGCTGTCCCCCGTGCTCATTGATGCTCTCCATGACGGGCACCGAGGCATGGTGTCCACTGCTCTTTCGTCCATGCGCCCAAGCGCCATACGCAACACCTTCCTCGCCAGCGCCCGAACTTGCGCTCAAAGGCGGAGTCGACAAAGGTGGGGTGCTGGGGTAGCCCTGGTACCCGAGGCTGGAAGGTGGAGCGCTCATACCTCGAGAAGAGCCGCCGTAGCCACCTTGGCCGGGAAGACCTGAAGGAGAGAGTTGCTGAGAGTGGGAGGAGACGGTAGAGGAAGGTCGGCGAAGTTCAGAGATGGCGGCTGCGATGCGCATGCGCTTTCCGAACGCGGGTATATCGAGCTCTTTAAGAAGGTTGACATCGAGCTCGAGGAGAATGTCTCCAGAAATCTCGTGTTCTGGTTCTTTGGTCAGTACTGGTCATGTATGTAGATGTACAACGCACCTTTAAACTTGTCGACGATTCCCTCATCAAAACCTTTTGCTTGCGCCCAGGCAACAACATCGTCGACAGTCCAAGTCGTAGGTGGCTTGGCAGGGATGTTGCCAGACTTGTGGGACACATTGCTTGAAGTTAAACCGCCCGCCCCGTTCGCGGGAGACTGGGTCTGGCCTCGAGCGACGGGAGTCTGGGATACAGAAGGCGTGGTGGGGAAGAACGCAGGCTCGAGGGTTCCGGGAGTTTCGAGTCTGGGGGTGACAGCCGACTTGGAAGTCTCGGGCTCGGCAGCCTGGGGGATAGAGTTGTGGGTAGGTTCGGGAGCGATGATGTGGTTGGAGGGGGGAGGTGTTGCCCTTGGTACTGGAGCAGAAGTAGGGATGGGCACCGCGGCAGCAGGAGTCTTCACAGGAGAAGGCGCTCTCGCCACAGGCTCTGCTTGGACTTCCTTTTGAGCTGTGGCCATTGACCCGTTCCCGAACGGCGAGTCGGCCGTCCCCAGGCTCGTCCTGCTCTTGGTCGCCAAGGGCAAACTCCTTCTGCGAATATACTCGTCCTCTTCGTCGTCGCTCTCATCAGAGTAGATGAAACCGCCATCATCCCTCTCCCTCTTTTCGTTGGCCAAGCGGGCCTGCTCGACAAGCTTGGCGCGTGCATCCTGACCGATACCGAGCTCAGAGTGGTCGTCCCCGTCTTCCGACTCGGCGGGAGCGGCGATGGACTCGATAGCGTCTTGGATATCACCAATAGTCCTGTTCATGACCGTTCCGACGCTCGCAGCTGCGGCACCGGCGACACCAGCCGCCGCACCCACAGCTGTTGAAGCGGAATCGAGGATCGGCCCGTCGACTGTACTCGTGCCGTTGGGACTTTCCGACGGGGCCAAAGATTTTGATGCGGCGACATTGTTATCCGAGGGGTACGCGCCAGGAGCGGTAGCATTGAGGGCGTTTACAGATGCTGTTGCGGGAGCAGGAGCAGGAGGCGTGGGGGTGGGCGTCTCGGAGGATGCAGCTGTGCCGTTTGTTGCTCCATTCACCAGATATCCGGTTTCCTTTTCGACTGGTATGTCCTCCTTCTCGGTGATAGCTTCCGCCTCCGCATGTGCCGGCAGGTCCTGAGAGATGTAGGTTGCAGGAAAAAGACCTTCTTCGCCTTTGATGTTGCGTCCCTGGGACAGTCAGCGGGACAGTGTCTCTAAGGTCATAGGGACTCACTCTCCACCATCCATCTCCGAAAGCATCGTCTTTTTCTATGACTTGAATCTCCTCGCCCGCCTTAAAGTCGAGCTCGTCGCCATGCTCTGCGATGAAGGTGTGGATGGCCCAGACGGTGAGGGGCGCCATGGTGGTGTCCGACCGGGGTTGTGTGGGAGACAAGGACGTGCGCGGTAGTACTGATGTCAGGGTGCCCGCTGTGTCTGTGGGCAGGGCAGGGGGAGGGGTCGATGAAGAGAAGTAGAAATGAAAGAGAAGAATGAATCACGCATCCGGTGGGGCACTCCGTCATCCATCTATCTGACCCCGCAACCCGTTATTTGGCGCCACCTGGGGTCAGAGGGGGGACGGGTGCTCTGCAATGCATGGGTCGAGAGTGTGTACTGGGCACTGCAGCAACTTCCTATGCATGGACCGAGGCGAGGGCTTCGAGCCTCCTATATGCCTTGCGAAGGCTTCAACATCGACAAGCAGGCCTCAGGCAAGCATGGTTCTTCAAGGGTATAATCTGCTACTTGTAGGCCATAAACCCTTCTGCACACATGTTTCCTGGAAAGAGACCTCTGCAATGGATCACTGGGCATTCACCACTGCGGCAACTCTCTTGCTCGCCTCATTCATGCTCCCCCTCCTCCCCCTCCTTCTCCTCCTTCTCCTGCCCCCCGGGCGACTGTTCTTCCCGGCATGGCCATACAAGCCCCAGCCACCAACGACCAACAGCATGCATCTCTGCGCTGCGTTCGAGATCGTCCAGCGGTGAGCGATGTGCCTGAGAGATTAGCATCGCGGACTCAGGGATGGATGAGCCTCTCGTCACTCTCGTCGCTCCCGCCTCTCCTCTTCCATCCATCCATCCACAGCCATGTCTGCCACCAAAGGAATCATCCTCGTCGGCGGTCCCTCCAAGGGCACCCGCATGAGGCCCCTCACCCTCGACTGTAAGCTCCCCTACTCCATCGCCTCCCTCGCTGACACCTATCGCGTTTCTTCAAATCAGGCCCCAAGCCTCTCTTGCCCATCGCCGGCAAGCCTATGATCTGGCATCCTGTATCCGCCCTGTCCAAGGTCGCTGGCCTCACAGAAATCATCATCATTGGTTTCTATGAAGACTCGCAGATGGCGCCCTTTGTCAAGGAGGCCAAGCGAGAATTCCCCAACATTCGCATCAGCTACTTGCGAGAGTACAAGGCTTTGGGTACTGCCGGCGGTCTCTACCACTGTCAGTCAATCCTTTAGCCCCATGAATGAGGTACTGATCCCACTTGCCAGTCCGAGACTCCATCCTCCGCCCCCCCGTCCCCCAAAACATCTTTATCTGCAACATCGACGTCTGCTGCTCCTTCCCCTTCGCCGACATGCTCAAGGTCCACACCTCCCACCGTGGCGTCGGCACCATCCTCGGTGTCAATGTCAAGAAGGAGACCGCTACCCAGTACGGTTGCATCGTCACGGATCCCGAGACGAACCAAATGGTTCACTATGTCGAAAAGCCCGAGGGATGGATCTCAAACACGGTGAACGGCGGTGTGTACCTGTTTGACAAGTCCTTGTTTGATGAGATCAAGGTGGCTATGGATGAAAAGACTGCCCGAGCCGCGTGAGTACCATCCATCCCGGGGCTTTACATGAGTATGACTGACTCGACGCGTTTCAGGGCCGACCCTCTTGTCAAGCCCGATGAGATCTTGCGTCTTGAGCAGGACGTCATCGTCCCCCTTGCTGCCGGCAAGAAGATGTACGTCTACCAGACCAAGGAATTCTGGAGACAGATCAAGACTGCTGCGTGAGTACTTTTGCTTCCCATTGGCCCAGATCTGATCCTCGCCAAAAGTTCGGCCGTCTCTGCGAACGCCCTCTACCTCAACAACTTTTCAAAGATCTCTCCCTCCCTCCTGACTGATGCCCAGCCAAACCATGTTCTCGCCCCAACCTTCATATCCCCCTCCGCCTCCGTCCACCCCAGCGCCAAGATTGGCCCCAACGTCGCTATCGGCCCCAACGTGACCATCTCTGAAGGCGTCCGAGTCAGGGACGCCATCATCCTGGAAGGGTCCGTCCTCGGAGAGCACTCGTGTGTGCAGAACAGTATCATCGGGGCGGATTGTCAGATTGGCAAGTGGGGCAGGGTCGATGGCGAGGCCGAGCCCGAGAAGGAGGTCAAGGGCAAGATCAGTGTCACCATTCTTGGTGAGTCGCCGCCCACTCTTTCCAGACAGTCAAAACTAATGTAATTGTAGCGTCTGATGTCACTCTTGCTCCAGAAACACTTGTCAGGAGCTGTATCGTCCTTCCAAACAAGTCTCTCAGCAAAAACTCTACCAACCAGGTTCTCCTCTGATCTTTTGGATCTCTTGTTGCCTTTTGTATCTTTCGTTGGAGTCATGTGCCTTCCTCGGCGTTCTTGAATCCCTTGGTCGACATATAGACCACCAGAATCTATTTAGACATGCATCTGCTTTCTTGCATCTAAACGCGCTTGCTCCAAGTATGAGCCGAAATAATGTATTACGGGCAATGTGCTATAACTACTATACAAATCTACTGTATGCTATGCACACATGGGCGAAGCTACATCTCCAATAACCGATCAATAGCCAGCCCCAAATCTTCCCCGCATCCATCCAATACTGCTTCCACCACATCCTCGTCCAGGGCTGGAAACATTTGTCCCAGAGTTTGAACGTTGGCGCGATGTGTCATCTCGGAAGAATGAGACTGCGCATTGGAGGCTTGGAGCTGGAGGGACGAGAAATCAGGAAGTGTTTCTGAAAGGGGTGTCGTGCTTCGGTATGATTAGCACACAGTACGTCAAAAATGGGAGAAACGTACGATCTGGAATCGACATCCTCAACACCCAAGAACCTTAATGGGCTATCTGGTGTTCCCGCCCTCTCCCTCTCTCTAAACCGTCTCACTCCGAATACATCCCTATCCCCTCTCCTCGGGCTCTCCTCGTCACTCCCATCTTCACTCCTCTGCCCTTGCCTATGTTCCGATCCCGGTGCAGGCGACATTCCCTCCAAGATCTTGCCTATCGCACTGAGAGGCCTCGACACACCTTCCTGCACCAGATTGCCCAAGTTGCCCGCCGTAGTCCCCGCTGTCTTTGTAAACCATCTTTTCGTACCTTCCAACGACGCCTGTGCAGTCATCATGGAGAGCGGGCGCGCCGCTTCTTCACCTGGCGCAGGGGTCTGGAAAGGAGAGACGCCCGCAGCGGCCCGCTCCCGTTCTTTACGGTCGTCCTCGCCCCTTCGCGGCGTCCTCACCCCTCTTGCCAGACTGTCCCCACCCATCGCATCGCTAGGCGATGGCGGCAATTCTCCGATAGCATCTTCCACCTTCTTTTCAAACTCTTCCTGGCTTATCCCCGATAGCGACCCGGCATCCATCGTTTCTACAAATTGCACCGCTCCGTTCAGAGAAGAGAGGTAGTATGCGGCTTCTCCAGAAAGAGCAGAGGGGCGACGGAAGCGTTGGATGTATTCAATGTTGGAGATCAGATTCGGTGGATTGGCTCGCAAAAGTGTGAAGATCAGGATGGGGATGAAGGCATCGGCACTACCGGACGAAGGGCCGTACGTGTTGCGTATCAGACCTGCACCGTCCATGAGCGATCAAGACATGAAAAGGCAAGAAAGAGACATGCCAAAGATGACTTTGCAGCAGTTCAGTAAGCAGATCATCTTGTCTCTTGGCGCTTTATAGTGACTGATCTTGAGTAGCTCTACAAGAGGAGGTTAGCCTTGGCTTCAACAATCCAGCAGAAGACGTACCCTGCTCTGCAAAGCCCAAGAAACCAACGGCCGCCTCTCCCTCGGGTACGTCCAGATGTTTCTCTCTGATCCATCCGAACAGCCTGACTCTTTGCTGGAAGACGGCGTCTCGTTCCAAATCGTCGGTGGTAATGGGTTGAGAGGCGACAAGCTGGGGTGTGAATGTGCTACAGGGTCCTTGTTTCAGTCCGATATGTCTGAACAAGATATGATGACTTGCTAGTTGTATAGCCGGTTCATAACAAGTTTCTCCATAGCTTCCATAGCATTGTCAAACTCTGCTGGTGATTGGGATTTCCATGGCTCCACCAGAAGCATCTTCTCCGAAATGAACTGTTCTTGTGTCATCAGTCTACACAGACAACCTCGGGGGCAAGCACGTACGTCGAGGAAATCATGTATGAGCTTGATCTGCTCATTCACCGTGAACGGCTTCTTCACAAAGTTGGATAGGAAGCTGTATAGAGCACGTGAGCTCCCATGAACACACTAGAGCTTGATACAGAAGTCTAGACTCACCTCTTGAGATACCGGGCAACAGGATCCGCACTCTTCATCTTGAGATCCTTCAAGAATTCGGAAAAGTTGAATTGTGGCTCCTTCGACTCTTCCGCCTCCTCTTCTTCTTCTTCACCTCTCTCTACCTCGGATACGCTTTCTTCTGGACGCTTCCCTGCTGCCGCCTCGCCCGCCCTAGCACGGCCTTGAGAAGAGGAAGTGGGTGTCATTGCTTGGCTTTCCTCTACCTTCACCTTTGATCCCGCGCTCGCATCCTTCTCTTTCTCTTGCCCAGATTCCGAGCTTGACGGCACAGGAGTAGCGTAAGGGTCAAACTCTGCCAGATCTACGCCCATCCCGGCCGCGCTGCCTCCGCCCGGAGCGGGCGTTGCACTGGAGGCAGGCGTCTGAGCAGGGGGCGCTTGAAGGGCAGGATTGGGCGCTGGTGCATTGGGTGCTGATGGAGTAGCGGCAGAACTGCGCGAAGGAGCGGGCGTTTTGAATGTGTCGAGGGGTTGTTTGTGTCTCGATCCTTCTCGGGCCTCTTCCAGCTGCTCCTCGCCATCTTGAGAGCGCTCTTCCTCAGATGAGGTCTTCGCAGTCTTATCCGAGGCAATTGTTTCCGACCGCTCGGCCTCTGCATCGTTGTTGGGCGCCCCATCTGCTGCGGTCGCATCTGCCAAGGGGGAAGGCGCGGGGTTGGTAGCGAACGGCGAGCTCGGGCTGACTATTGTTGGGGCATCTGGCTGTATCTCTTGTTGACCCTGCTTGGACATGGCGATTGAGTAGAGCTGCGGAGATGAAAGGAATGAAAGATCGAAGATGAAAGATGATTTGAGGATGCAAGGACGGCGGAGGCAAGCGATGATGTTGTTGTTGGCCCGTTGCCCGCGCCTCTTTAGTGACAGTATTATTACGGCAATATCCCACGCCATCTTTCTCTGGGATCTCTGCACGTATGTATTCGCTGTGGGATCCTCTGCATGCGCTTGTATAGTGTATCTTCCAAGCGCACGACTTCCTGTGACTCTCCCATGCTTATAAGCTGCTCAGCAGCTTGTATTCAAAGTCCACTTAGAAACGAGAGTCCTCCTCGTTGAACAACTTTCAAATGATCTACAGGTTGAGACGGTCCGGCCGACCTTCTTCATACCCGTAATGGAAGAAGCGTGGCACTATCAAAACGGGCGAGTCCAATTTGATATGGCGAAACACACAAAGTTTATAACATCGCACAAGATAGAGCCCAAGACAAAGAGTACAGTCGACGGTGTATGATTTGTATAGATTTCCAACATCTAGATAGCGCCCTCCCTGATCCTGGCGCTGTAGTACCTGACCATCTCTGCATCATGTCATCAGCTTCTGTTGACTTGTGTAGTGTGTAGGAGACTCACCCTCAACACCCTGCCTGACGTTCCACCTAGGCTGCCACTGAATAGTCTCCTTAGCACGGGTGGTGTCGGGCCTTCGTCGCTGGGGGTCATCGATGGGGATCTCTTTGTGGATGATGTTGACCCTCTTGGCGAGAGGGTTGTTCTCCTCCTTCTGGACCTTCTCGACAATGTCCTGTGGCATATATCAGCATATATTCGACTCTCCAGAGGGAGAAAACTCACCCTGACAGCCTCGGCGAACTCGAGGATGGTGAATTCATCGTGGTTACCGATGTTGACGGGTCGGGTCTCATCGCCGTTCATCAAGAGAATAAGACCGTCGATCAAGTCGTGAACGTACTGGAAGGATCGAGTCTGGGAACCGTCGCCGTACACAGTCATGTCCTCACCCTTGAGGGCCTGGATGATAAAGTTGGAGACGACTCGGCCATCGTAGGGGTTCATCCTAGGACCGAAAGTGTTGAAGATACGGGCGACCCTGACGTCGACTCCGTCACGACGGTGGTAACCGTAAGTCAAAGTCTCGGCGACTCGCTTGCCTTCGTCGTAGCAAGCTCGAGGACCGATACAGTTGACGTGACCCCAGTAGTCTTCACGCTGGGGGTGCTCCTCGGGGTCACCGTAGACCTCGGAGGTGGAGGTGATGAGGAATCGGGCACCGGTTCGCTTGGCGAGACCGAGCATGTTGAGGGTACCCTCGAAAGAAGTCTTCAAGGTCTTGACAGCGTTGATCTGGTAGTGAGGAGGGGAAGCGGGGCAAGCAAGGTGGTAGATTTCTACGAAAGGATCAGCAAGAACACAAGCAGTGGAAGGTGAGACGTACGGTCAACCTCGATCAGGAAGGGCTCGACGACATCGTGTCGGACCATCTCAAAGTTGGGGTGACCGACCCAGTGGGAGACGGTGGTCCTGGAACCAGTGAAGAAGTTGTCAAGGACGGTGACTTCGTGGCCGAGGAGCATGAGTCGGTCGACCAGGTGGGAACCGACGAAACCGGCACCACCAGTGACTACATTTCGTCAGCTCAGGATTGAAAGGACTCTTAGGAGACGTGCTGAGAATCCTCTTTCGCTCAGAGTTGGGCAAGAGCTTGACGGGAGGGAACTTGTTAACGGTGGAGTACTGGATGCTGTTGGTGTTGTGGTCGTAGGTGGTCTCGGAGTTGAATTCCTTCCTGGGGGCATCAAGAGAGATCTTGACGTCCTCGCCCTCCTTGATGTAGGCGGGGGACTGAGGTAGAGTAAGTATATGTGCGGGTATATAAGGGGTGACATGGTGCGAGTCCCAGGCACTGATCGTATCTTTAGCCGCAAAGGGCAAAAGATGCCGCTGCGCGCACGGCGCGTCTATCATCGTATCATCGGGTGGGGTGTTGGGTCGAAGTTCAACAGGGAGAAAATGGAAACAATCACAGAGCCCAGGCAGTGGGGTCCATTGCAAAGGTTGTGGATACACGCGCGACGGGTTACTACCCCAGAATAGCGCGGCGCGTAGCGAGCGTTAAAAGAGAACAGGTAAAAAAAAACTTTTGACCTTGCCGCACTGGGCCCTCGCAACGCATACAAGAGGGCCGTCAGTAGCGCCAACGACGCTCAAGGAGCGTGCGGAGCTTGAAGACTGCGCAAAGCCTGCCACTGTTGCCACGAGGGATGATAACCACACAATCCCAGCGTCTCCGCAAATGCGCGACGCGGAGCGAGCAGAAAAAGCCAGCAGCCAGACTCACAAGGTACAAGCTCCTCAAGAGCTCGATCTCGACAGTAGAGTCGAAACCAAACTTGTTGTGACCAACGTGGGTGATGACTTCCTATAATGTGGGTCAGCAAAGACGATCGGGATATGGTGATTGGAGCCGCGTGAGAGACGGACAGCGGGAGGAGGTTGTGGCACGCGACGGGGCATTGACTCACAGACTGGCCGGCGGACATTATGGATGAGGCTGGGTGGTATGAGGAGGAGAAAGGTGGAAGAGATCCAGAAGAGAAGAGATACAAATATGCTCCAGGCTCCTCACTGCTCCGAGGAGATCCCTGGTTTCAGGCCCGAAAATCTAGATTTGGTTCCGCTTATGTAGTGGTGTAGAGACCCTGAGATTTCCCCTTTGGGCAATAATCCGGTCTGGGGTGACTCAACGGTAGTGACTGCAGCGGCGGGAGGGAAGATGCATCTTTTGTGTTCGGACAGCGCAAATAGCCCAGGCTGTCCCCACACTCCCAAGGATACCTGTGTTGCAGCCTGCCATCCTGCATGGCCTGCATAGCTGTTCAAGCCGCCTTTCGTTCTGTCTCGTGCTTCTTATTTTTAGCTTTTATTGTTACGTAATGACTCTGAGCGGCATCAAATTGGCTCCATACGCGACGCGTCGAATCATTACCTCACACATTAAAGAACTTGCACATCTTTTCTTCTACACTGTTCATCTATCCACAAATCATGTCTACCGAAGAAGTCAAAACTGCTGCCGCCCCCGCTGCTGCGCCTACTGCCGCCCCTGATGCTGCCGCTCCTGCTGCCGCCCCTGCCGCCGAGAAGATTGAGCTCGCTGCGCCCATCGAGACTGCCAAGGAGCCCGAGACTGGCGACAAGAGGAAGGCCGAGGAGCCTGTCGTCAGTGAGGCTGAAGAGAAGAAGTATGTCCTTTTCAATCTCGAGCTCCGGAACGTCGCTGACCGACTGTGCTAGGACCAAGGTCGACGATGTCAAGGGCAAGGGCAAGTCCACCGACAAGCCTCCTGTCGAGACTACTGCCCCTGTCGACGAAGAAGAGGAGGACCTTGACACCTTGATTCAGCCTGGCAGGAGGAACAGGAAGCCTGTGAACTATGCCGATGTACGTCTACGTCGGCTATCTCGGATGCATGCTGACGCGACGCCTACAGCCTGAGGCCTGGAAAAAGGCCGAGCTTGACCCCAACGCGCCCGAAGATGACGATGACAAGGAGGATGCTGTTCCCGAAGAGTCTGGCGATGAGGATGAGGGTGAGTCGACTACGGCCGGTACAATGTGAGAGAGCTGACGCGTCCTATTGCAGATGACGATGCGCCCGAAGCCCCTGCCACCGCTGAGGTCGACGACGAGGACGAAGAAAAGTAAACGGCCTTGTCAGACGCGTCATCGTACGAGTAGGGTAGCATGTTGTATTCGAAACACTCAAGAAAGTGATAGGCGGAATGAACAGGGTACATCGGTGGTTTGCTACGGGACCAATACGGGACGCGAGGAGTGTGGTATTCTTTGCCTGTTCATCCCACGCTGACCGCGGACGACTGGACCCACAGTCCCGACAATGCACCATAAGTCGCTGCAGCTTACTTTTCAGATTTGCTACAGACCAAATTTCAGAACTGAACGGTTCTCACAGCCCCTCTCCTGGCGAGTCTCTATGCGTTCGGTTCGGTGTGACTTGTTGGGTCCGTATACCATATGTCGACGGTTTTGGGGTGTGTCCATCGAGTTTTTCTCGCGTCTTCTGTGAGGCGGGATACACACTTACTCATGTCTTTGAGGAACAGATGACACCCTGGCTAAACGCAAGCCATTTTAGCCATGGCCCATGGGTGAGAGGTCTTGTGTGTGGGTCGGCGGTGGAGGCCGCCTTTCTCACCGCCCCCTCAATCATATAAGGGGCCTGAAGGAGATGCATCTTTGCATCTCTACTTGCTCTCCTTTCTTCGCACTGGGCCAGCTCGGAACTCACAGCCAGGCGTCTCACCTCGTCATCTGGTCTGCCCGCCCCACCCTCACAACCCTCACAAGACACTCTCACTCGCCCTTCCGATGCAGTGGTGAATTCTCATCACTCAACCCCATCCCACAAAAGTTCACAGAATGAGCTCGTCCCAGACTACGTCTGCTTGGCTCATAGATGACCTGCTCATTGGCATGAGGCCCGGTGCTGACTATGACAAGTGAATGCGGGAACACAACCAGAACTGATCGCCCCTACCTTGTACTAGTCTGCTCAAGAGCGCCTTCCATCGCCTCAACTTTCGATATATCAGCGTCGCATCATGAATGACCCTCTGTCACACGTAGTAATTCCCTGCGTCCCAGCTAGGTCGTGACACCCTCTTCCTAGCTCGCAAATCATATGTAGAGTCTGAATGTAACGTACATGATGCAGGAGGCCTGCTTTCAATCCCCTTTTGTCTGATAATACAATATGCCCCCACTTGGTCTATAATGGTATGATGTCCTGCTGCGAACGGTCTCTCTGTTTCGATTTTACAGAACTTTTAGCACTCTCCCTATGTAGGACGATTAAGAATTCTACAACTGAAGGGGGCCTGAAAACTGCGCAGCTCCATCTCCCACCAAGCACTCGTCATCCAGGAGGCTTTCCTGCCGTCGGGGTGATAGCTCGAGTCGCTCGAGTCTCAATAAGGACGAGGACCACCGCCCATCATGACCAGTCGAGCCGGATGGATACCTGGGGCCGAGCCGGGGGTGAAAGAAGTCTGGGTAGGAGTGGCGGCGGCGGTAGGAGGCCTGGCAGGGACAGAAGGCTGACGATACGCCATGTGAGGAGGTGCCTCGTAGCTGTTGCTGTTACCACCGTTGCGGTTGGCCCGATTGCCCCAGCCATTGTCCACACCACGGCCAGAGTCAACGCTAGGAGGGGGTCCATAGTTGTCAACGGGAGGCACAGGCGAAGGACGAGGATCACCGCCGAGCATCGCCAACCTGGAAGGGTGTATACCGGGTGCGGGGGCCGCCGGCTTGGGTTGAGTAGCCGCCTCTTGGGGCTGGGGCTGTTGACCCCATCCTCCTTGCCCATTGTCCGGTGCGGAAGTAGGTGCTGGGACCGAGGGGTGGGGAGCCGGCTCTTGGTACTGTGGCTGCTGACCCCATCCCCCTTGACCATTGTCAGGTGCGGGTGCAGTCGGCTTGGGTTGGGGAGCTGCCTCTTGGGGCTGGGGCTGCTGACCCCATCCTCCTTGCCCATTGTCTGGCGCAGAAGTAGGGGCAGAAGTAGGCGCTGGAATCGGAGCAGGTTCAGCACCCCATCCCCCCTCGACATGCGCGGGACCCCCAGAAGGCGCAGGAGGTTCTTCAACTGGCGCCACAATGGGCACCGCGCTCGACTTTCTCTCTCCCCACTCCTGCCTCTTTCCCGCACCGTCCAAGGCGACACTTGGCTCTGCGCCTCTGGATCGGTACCCATTATATCGAACGGCGCCGAAGCCGGAGCCACCACCAGACTTTTTGGTGAAAGACGATACTCGCCCCCGGCGCATTTCTTCCAGGATTTCCGACACTGGTTGAACGGGAGTGGTGTAGCTATCAGATTTGTCAGTATTGTAACTATCCGGAAGGCTGCAAACGTACGTATAAGACTGCCACGCCACATACTCTCTTCCTAAAGGGATCAGCTGCTGTTGAACAAGTGCCGGCTCTTGTAGCTGAGGCTGGGCAGAATACTTCATCGGCTGTGTCTGTGTATTGGCAGGGACAGGAGACTGTTGCTCGAAAGAAGGAGTGGAAGCAGGAGCATTAGTGTTCCAGGTAGTACCAGAGTCGGCTGTCAAGGCGGGAGTAGGCGCTGCAGTCGCTGGAGCGCCCCAGCCTGGAGTTTGCTCGACAGTGCCAGGGGTAGAAGCGAGAGTAGAAGAAGGTGGAGGTGCGGTAGCACCCCAGCCACCAGCGTCTTCCGCCTGAGGAGCCGGAGATGGCAACGAAGCGGGCTGACCCCAAGCCCCTTGTTCGTGCCGCACTGGAGCTTCGGCGGGAGGAGCTTGAACTTGAGCAGGCGGGGGGAGAGTTTGTGGCTGGGCGACAGGAACAGCGGGAGCAGGGTGCTGACCCCAACCTTGTCCACCCTCGCCTGCAGGAAGCGGCGTACTCGGTGCCGTAGAGGGTGAACCCCAAGCAACGGAACCACGATTGATAGCCGAAACTTGGGTATGGAATTGAGCCAAGGGAGAGGGTGGCTGACCCCATCCGGCGCCGTTCTGCCCTTGAGGCGCAGCTGCACCGGCGGACATCGGGGTAGGAGGCGTGATACCATCGGCTTGCGCTCCAGGGCGCCAGGAGACCTTGTCGGATGGCCGTTTCCGAGGTTGGGTAGGAGGCTCGAGGACATTGTTGATCTGCGCGACAAGGGTCGAGGATCGGGAGGGAGGGGGCTTGTAGACGGCCTTGGCGGGCTCTGTAGATGCCACTGGGGACACTGAAAGAGCTGGTGGTGCGGGGTTGGTGGTAGGTGGCTGTACGGCAGTAGAGTCCCAGCCGCCGCTTGGCGAAGCCTCAGTAGCTTGGAGAGAGATATTTTGAGTCTGGGAGGCAAGGCTGTCGATGGTCAACGCGTCGGGCGGTGGGAGAGGGGGCGTAGGTGCAGGCTGAGTGATTCCAAGGCCAATTCCAAAATGTCACACGTCAACACCATACTTCCAGCTTGGATACAGCGATGAAGAGACGTACAGGCGTAGCGAGAGCTTCAGAGTTTGCCTTCTTCCAGGTCAAGAATGCGAGGTATTCTGACTCGGCGACGGTCAAAGTCTGGGAAAAGACACCTCATCAGCCACATACCCCCGAAGAGACCATGCCGAGCGACACGCCGGGAGAGGTGAGACCGGCGAGTGTGTGAGAGGTACGCACAGGCAGAGGCGGAGGAGCTGCCATGTTGAGTGATGCTGGTGGGGTGAGGGGCGGGCGAGAAGGTGGGTGGCGGGGAGATGGAAAGAGAAAGAAGTGGGGATGGGACTGTGCGGGCGAGTATATATACTGGGCGGGAAAGGGAAAGGAGGGGGCGGTGGAGGTGGAGGCAGGAGGCCCGAGCGTGCTGGTCGTTAACATCAACAACAACACTGGACCCCTTACGTAACCGTCCACAGCAGCCAAACGAAAGACGTCCGTAACACTCCGAGCCACAGCAGCGGCCCACCGTTGGATCCTGCAGCCGTCCTCCCACCCAGCGCCTGGCCTCGGTGTGCAGCTGTCATTCGCCAGAGCCGTCCATTTTTTAATCCAGATGCATTCCCTTTCATCCCAAAATCCCCGTCCTCGTCTCCCCTGCTCGAGCGTATTCTCTCCCAGTGAGGCGGTGTCGGGGGGTATAGTTTGGTATGTAGAGGATTGCTTAACCGGATCGAGCCTGCTCAAGCTTGAGGTAGTAGTCGTCCCTCTTCTTCACTGTAGATGGGGTTAGTCTTTCTTTGCAGAACGAGACAATGGGCAGTTGATCTTACTCATGGGGAGGTGGACGGTGTACCAGAAGGCGTAGCCACCAGCGGTACCGAGACCGAGACTATGCACGAGGGTTAGTATGGTGCAGTCGGGTGTTGAAGCGAGGTCGGGAGTTGTAGGGATACGCACCCGGCGGTAAGGTCAGTGATCAACCTCTTTCGGAGCTGCAGTGGGTGAGCAAGTGGCCCTCTTGGTGATGAGCGCACGCACCTTGCCAACAATAGGAGCGACGGGCATGATGGATGTTTGGGTGAGGGGTGGATGGAGAAAGCAGTTTCGTGGGATGTTGCCTGCGTGATTGGCGGAGGAAAAGGGCGGGCGCAAACGGCGAGCGTGGGAGAGTGCGGCGGGGGAGGCCGCAGCGGCAGTCGACATATGTCTTCCATCCCATTCCCATCTATTCTCCATCTGCATCTCTACAACCTCGTAAGCACCCCCCACAGCACACGCCCCAGCTGACACCCACTCCCGCCTCCTCCCATGCCCCCGCCTCCCTCCCAACCCTCTTCTTTGCGCACCCTGCTCATATTCCCCGTCGTCCTCTCTCTTTTCCTCTACTACGTCTCTCCGCCTCTTGGCTCTCTCTTCCATCTACTTGCCGCAACAGAACAATCCAAAATGTCTCTTTCCTCCAAGCTCAACATCACCGACCTCGACCTCAAGGGCGAGAGGGTCCTCATCCGTGTCGACTTTAACGTCCCGTGAGTCTCCATCTCCACTGCCAGAGCACGTTACTGATTGGAGTAACAGCCAGGACAAGGAGCAGAACATTACCAACCCTGCTGTATGTCCGGGTCACAGAGAGGGGCTGAAGCCGATAACCGCTGACACCGCCTATAGCGAATTGTTGCTGCTTTGCCCACCATCAAGTACGCCATTGAGAATGGTAAGTATATGTCTCTGGCCTCATGTAGATGAAAGAAGCACCTTACTGCCTTTGGGCAATGGGGAGTCCCATCCGTGTTGAATGGCATCACGTCGCCTATACAGGTGTCCTGTCAACTGCTCCGTCTTTGCTTCTCTTCCTCGTCGCGTCAACCATTTTGTCATTGTCTCTAATTCTCGTCCTCAGGTGCCAAGTCTGTCATCCTCATGTCCCACCTCGGCCGACCCGACGGTTCTCCCAACCCCAAGTACTCTCTCAAGCCCGTCGCTACCAAGCTCTCCGAGCTCCTCAAGAAGGACGTCGAGTTCCTCCCCGAGTCTGTGGGAGAGGCCACCAAGGAGGCTGTCCTCAAGGGCGAGAACGGCCAGGTCTTCTTGCTCGAGAACTTGAGGTTCCACGTCGAGGAGGAGGGTAAGGGTAAGAAGGGCGACGAGAAGATCAAGGGTGAGTGTCCTCTCAGAAAATAAGTCTGCATGCTCAAAGCGTATAGCCGACCCCGAGAACGTCAAGAAGTTCCGTGAGCAGCTTACCGAGCTCGGTACCGTCTACATCAACGACGCCTTCGGTACTGCCCACCGAGCCCACTCTTCCATGGTCGGCGTTCAGCTCCCCAAGCGAGCTGCCGGTTTCCTCATGAAGAAGGAGCTCGAGTACTTTGCCAAGGTCCTCGAGAAGCCCGAGAGGCCTTTCCTCGCCATCTTGGGTGGTGCCAAGGTTGCCGACAAAATTCAGTTGATCGAGAACATGCTTGACCAGGTGTGTAAACTATATCGTGTCGACGAACAGCGCTGACGGAGAACAGGTCGACACCCTCATCATCTGCGGTGGTATGTCCTTCACCTTCAAGAAGACCCTCAACAATGTCGAGATCGGTACCTCTCTCTTCGACCAGCCCGGTTCCGAGAAGGTCCACTCTCTTGTCGAAAAGGCCAAGAAGAATGGCGTCAAGCTCGTTTTCCCCGTCGACTACATTACTGCCGATGACTTTAACAAGGATGCCAAGGTAAGACTTCTCCATCATCTATTGAAACAAGCTGACAAGAGCAGACCGGTACCGCCACCGACGAGTCCGGTATCCCTGCTGACTGGATGGGTCTCGACGCTGGACCCAAGTCCCGCGAGATCTTTGCCCAGACTGTCGCCGAGGCCAAGACCATTCTCTGGAACGGTCCTGCCGGTGTCTTCGAGTTCCCCGCCTTTGCTGGTGGTTCCAACGCCCTTCTTGAGGCCTGTGTAAAGGCCGCCAAGAACGGCAGCACCGTCATTGTCGGTGGTGGTGACACTGCTACCCTTGTGGCCAAGGCCGGTAAGGAGGATGAGTTGAGTCATGTCTCTACCGGTGGTGGTGCTTCCCTCGAGTTGTTGGAGGGCAAGACTTTGCCTGGTGTTGCCGAGTTGAGCGAGAAGAACTAAGCATGACCATCGACTCTGATGTATAGATGATAAAAATGGGCGACAGCACGCCAAGAAATGAAAAAAAGATATGTAGTGAAGGGAATAAAAATGAAGACAATGCAACCGTTGACCTTCTCTAATCTGTGGCTTGATTTGAATGGACAAGCAGGCCAAGCAAGATATAATTTCCAATGAGCGACTCGGCTCAAAGGCTGACCTAGCTTGAATTGACGTGAGTTGTTGAGGGCGGAACTCAAGGACGATACTCTCGGTATGATGGGTCTCCTCGAACATGGCAGTACTTATGTTGTAGGGTGCACTTGTCGGGGTTACGAATAAAGAGATCGATTAAGAGATATAAACTATCACATCCACCAAGTGTAAGATAGAAGGCCAGATTGTCGCGTAGATTTGCTTCTGCTGCAGAAGAGATGGCACTTGGGATCAGGAAAATGGAGGCAGCCACGCGACTACCACGTGGAAATGACCTCCGAGTGCGCCTCTGTAGAGATCGGGCATGCATGGGGCGGCGGCGGCGGCGGGGTAGAGGGCAGCGGGATGCATAGGGCACCGGAGTGCGTCTGCGTCGTCGGCGAGGCATGGCGCACTGGCAGCTGGCGACCGCCGACAGCGAGGGCACCGCACGACGGGACTCCTCCGTTCTGTCGTCCATTCTCTCTTGTCTTTCCTTTCTTGTTTCCACTTCATATCCCGCCACACGTCTTAAACAAGCTAGTATCAGCTCGACAGTCTCCAAGCGTACCCTCTTCGCCCGACCCCCCGCATCGACACGCGCAACTCCAGCCGCTGACTCAGCCCCGACCGCCACGCTCTCGCCATGAGAGAGTCCAACGTCACTGGGCCGCCCCAGAACAGGGCCGTCACAGTCATCACTAGCATGATATATGACAGACGAGGTGCGTATGTTGTGGCCACTAATCTGTATGTTGCTGATCGCCCACAGCCCTCGACACAAACAGCCCGTTGGCCCTCCTCAACTCCCTAACAGCCCTCACCTCCTTGACCGCCACTTCTCCTCGCATCCGTGAGATCTTGACCATCGACGGTGGCCTGGAACGCCTTCTAGACATACTGCGCGAATCATCACTCCCTAAAGAAGCACCCGTCCCCCAAGACCTCTGGGGCCTGAACGGTCCTCCTACCGCGCGAGTGATCACTATGGAGAGGGCCAACTCGCTCAAACACAGTCTCGCCTTCCAATGCGTCGTCAATGTCGGTGTACGAGGAAGCGAAAATGTCAGGACGAGGGTTGTCCAGAGCGGGACGCTAGACATCGTAGCGCAGATCATTGAAAGCTGGTTGAAAGACCACGGTATATCAATACATCCGGGGCCGCTGGGGAGTCAGGCCGCGGTAGACGCGTTCGCGACGGGTGTGCCGGTATCAGGTACGGACAGTCTGAGAAGAAAAGAGAAGAGGGAAGGAAGAGACGAGCGAGACAGGGACAGGGACAGGGAAAGAGAGCGAGAAAGAGACACAGGCGAAAGAGGAGAGAGGGGAGAGAGGGGAGAGAGGAGCCATCGTGGTCGGACTGTCCACCATCATCATCAACAAGCAGAGGAGCCCACTCCTACTGCCACCATCGGCCGAGGTCCGCCTGGAGTACCTCTTTCCACGGATTCAACTCCCGACCCTGCTGCCCCCCAGCCTCGCCGGCCGTTTGGAGAGCCCGATACATCTCTAAACGACACAGACGTGGATATGGCGGATGCCGATGTTGAGGGCGGAGAGTCTACAGACGCTTCTATGGACGCAGACGATCTCAGCATCGATGTTGATATGGCAGTCACAGAAGATGCCTTGGGCTCTGGGTTTGGCGCATCTCAACCATCTACCACCCCTCGTGCCGCTACCACTGTTTTGCCCATGTCTATCCCTTCTACTTCGCGCCAAGGCCGCGAAAGAGACTCCCATTCTGGTGGTGTCGCCGAGTCTTTGTCGGGCGACGACGCCGCACCTCCAGCTGGGATACCCCGTATCACCTCGGAGAGTAACCTCGTTGCGAGCAACCCCGGGATTCGCCCACCTACGCTCACCATCGGTGGTCCATCTCGCCTGCCTCACCTCGCCCAGGATCCCACCAGCACGCAGTCAAGCCCAATGGCTACTCCCCCTCCTCGGCAAGACGGCGAATATGTCAGCTCGGGCGCGTCCGTCCGCCACGGCAGGCGGGGCACCATCATCGCTCGCCAAGGCAACCTCGCACCTCGCAACGACCGCGAGCGCGAACTGACTCGAGGCAACGAATCCGGCCAGTCTGATGGCGGAGAAGATATGGACTTGCCCACAGCTACGATCGCGGCCGGGATTGCCGCTGTGAACGCCCAGGCGATGGAGAACAATGGGCCGATCGTACCGGATGAGCCAGGGCCACCGCCGAATGTGGAGATTGTGGAGACCACGGGAGCGGGACAGGAAGAGTTGGAGGGTCCCGATCCAGAGGTAATTGCAGCGGAGCAGGCGAGGCTGGATATGGAAGCTGGGGCGCCTCCTGGGCAACCTGGGGCTGCACAAACGCCCAGAGTCGCGCCCACTGAAGCACAAACGCCTAGACAAGCTCCTGGTCAAGACACTGTACCCGCTGTTGAAGCACAAATAATCATTGCCAACGGTGCTCCGAGAAGCTTTGACAACCTGGGCAGCTATGTGGGTATCAGCTCGCTCTTGAATCCAGACGGCAATCGATATTCAGACGACAGCATCCTCCTCGCCCTTCAACTCTTCGCCTACCTCTCGAAATACCCACATCTTCGCTCAGCATTTCACCATCCCCGGCGACCCATCCATGCGACCTTTGATTACGGTGATGATTGGGCCAGCCTGGCTGAACGTCCCGGAATATCCGAGAATCCCGACATATTCTCGCTCGTCGAGAGACTCACTTTCCGACCCTCACCTTCTGATCCTGTCATGTTCAAAGTTCCACTAGAGATTCAATACTGGGCTGGAGTGACCATGAGGAACTCGTGCAGGAAGGACGATGCTCGAGGGGGGATTAGGCAGTGCGCAAACATGTCTTGTGGACGGTGGGAGAAGTATTCGAGGGAGTTTGCCAAGTGCAGGAGGTGCAGAAAGGCCAAGTATTGTAGCAAGGAGTGTCAGAGTAGAGCTTGGCAGGAAGGTCATAGATTCTGGTAGGTCAATTCCCTAACTTCCTAACATCTTACTGATGTCATTGTAGGTGCTCCACCGGTAAAGACCACGATCCAGCTCTCGAAGGCTCCTCCCGATATGCCCCGCCGCAAGCAGGTAGAGGCGGGGACGACGATGAAGATTACCAAATTGGCTTGCAGATGGGCCTCTCTCCTGAAGTCGTCTCTCGCGCTCTAGCGGCCGCCCGAGCCGCTGGAATCATACCTCAAAGAGGTCAAGAGTTCATTGAAGGCGACGGTCCTGAAGGTCTCACTGGACCGACTACGACGGGCACGGTCACTCCTGCAGGAAACACCGCCGCAACTACTGCCGCTGTAACTCCTACCAGAGCTACCACAGGGCCGGCTGTGGCTCCTTCGCCTCATGCCCCCAGAAGGCACGTTGAGCCTGGACAACAAGTACCGCCTCGAGTAGCGGAAGCTTGGGCAAGGTTCCAAAATGTCGGTACCTTCCTGGGTATACGTTCACCTACCGCTCCGGCGACAGCCGCTGTGGGAAACAATGATGTGGCTTCAGGAGCATCCACGCCAGACGTGCAGATCCCTGAAATCTTTCCACGTACTCGTCCCCAACCTCCTCCGGCTCTCACCCCGAACACTGTCCAGGCGATCCGATCCGCCGCCAATGAACAGGTTCAACAAGAAGCCCTCGCTCACCGAGTCGAGGAGGCTCTGGCGGCCCAATCACGTGCAACTGGAGGCGGATTGTCGGCAGAAGATCAAGAGGCCCGAAGGTTGAGGCTGGAGCAAGCTCTGCAGCGAGTGCAAGAGACCCAGAGGTTACAGGCGGAGGCGCAACGGGCCGGGGAGAGCGTGCCTGTACCGCATGGAACCGTTGGGAGTAGCTTTCAATCAGCAGGCAGGGCGAGGGAAGAGGAAGGGGATGCAGTGGATGTGAGAAGTGCGGTGGCCGATAGCTGGCTGGCAAGGCAGAGGAGTCCCCATGCGGCTGCGTCTGGGTCGTCCGGAGAGCGGCAACGGCCGTTGGGGAACAACCAAGGGAGCTCAAGGAGACATGGGAGGGGACCGGGACATTGAATCTTAGATCTCAGGAGTGCATGGGCCCTGTTGGTGAGCTCCTTCCGCAGGAATGATGTCAGACTCGCGCTGATAGTATTTGAAGATACGCATTGAAAGCACATAATTGGATAAGGGCTTGGTCTGTGGGACTCGCGTTGTTGTCTGTGACTAGCATGGATGGTTTTCGAAAATTTATGACATTGACTATTTTGAAGAATCATCATATACCAATGAAGTACATATATATGTAGGATGCCAACCCACGTCTTAGTACAGGATAAACAACAATAGAGCATGTGAATGTGCGACGGTATAACTGTCAAAGCACGATTAGTGCACGGGGAAAGAAAGAGGTCATATTCGGCCTCCAGCGTCACGACTTTTGAGCATCTCGTTGGCTTCTCGACCATCATGAGGTGTGTTTTACGCGTCTACTCAACGTCTACTTATCTGCTGAATCAAGCCAACGATGGGGACAAACAAAAGGCCGCGCAGGAGCAACAACCCGCCACAGTCCCCGCCTTCAGCATTACTTGGAGAGGAAGACGGCTCTGCCCCTTCTGCACCGGACAAGCCTATTGACACGCAACAAGAGCTCGAAGCGTGGCAGGAATTTGCAGCAGATCATTACGAAACAGTCGAGCAGCTCCCGCTGGAGCTGCATAGGAACTTCAGACTGCTCAGGGAGCTGGATGATGGCGCACTTGGTGAGCCTACTTGCTGTCTACACGGGAGAAGCTGAATATGGGCTAGCACAATTGGGGATGTTGCAAGATTCCATGCGACAGTACATCCAGGAGAGAGTAGCTTTGGAGCAATCCGAAGCTCCTAAAGAGGTACCGCAAGACGTTCATGAAGAAGATCCATCGCGTGGGTCTCCGATTCCGGGGCCAAGTCCTGCAGAAACGCCTCTCGAAAACACACCTTCCCTTGCAGCTCATGGCGAAGAGTCAGCATCTCAACTCGAGAAGCAAGAACATGATGAAGGCAAAGGAGATTTGGACGTGGAGATGACCGAGCTGCCTCCGCATAAACATCATTCTCCTCCCGATCCTGCTTCTCAAACCATCGACACACTTGAAGACGACAACGCGCCCGAAGCAGAGGGTCCCGGAGACACGACCCCCGCGAGAGACTCGAGCACCCTAGCAGATCCGTTGGAGGGACAGATCGGTCCTGTCGACGAAGTGGCATCTGCGGATGGAGTCCAATCTGAGGGGAGATATGCCAAGGCGGTAGAAGCGGAAAGCGGTACCATCTCGTCGCCGGGTCAATCACAGCGTCGAGAAACAAATGATACCGCATCCCAGCAGCCATCCTTCCTCCGCCCTCCTGGCCCTCACTCTCTCCTCCCCGAGATTGCTCGTCTCTCCCGAGAACTCGTCCGCACTAACGATGAGAAAGTGGCGGTTGCCATCGGTGCTTACAACGCCGTAAGTCTCCTACCTTCTTCCAGATCCCATCTCACGACTGACTCAATGATGTGCCAAAGATTGACAGGCATATCCGCGCTCTTGACTCTGCTCTCACAGCCCAAGAAGCCGCCATTCTTCTCGGCCTCCGCCCCTCCACCCTTCCCTCAAACGCTATCGACCACACCCTCGCACACGATGGAGGCAGTGCCAAGACCGGCCTTCCAGGGGATTCTGGCCCTGGTGTAGGTAGCGGCACTTTTGCTGGGGCGAGCGGCCTGGCAGAAGGGGATGAAGGGGAAATCAGCTTGGGGCTCGGAGGCGGGGGTACAAGGAAGAAGGGAAAGAAGCGAAGAAATAGAAAGGGGCGGCAGGAAGAGGCCGGGGGCGTCGGAGCGCTGGGTAATGAACAGGAAGATTGGAGCATACCAGTTGATCCGCAAGTTTTCTCTGTTGCTACTGGTCTTTGGAAGGCTGACACGAGATGTTCAGGAACGAGCCGAGATACTGTTACTGCCACAGGGTTTCGTTCGGCGAAATGATTGGATGCGACGTGAGTCCCAAGATACCTGTCTCCTCCATTTAATGCTGCTGAGCAGCTCTCACAGAACGACGATTGCCCCTTAGAATGGTTTCATCTCCAATGCACCAACCTCACCCACCCACCCACTGGCAAATGGCTCTGCAACATGTGCAGACCTCCAGCGGCGGGCGAAGAGGGCGGAGAGCCAAAGAGGAGCCATAAAGCCGGGGCGGGGAGGAGCCACAAGGCTGGTGCTGGTACCAGCCACAAAGCGGGAGCGGGGAGGAGTCACAAAGCTGGTGCGGGTGCAAGCCATAGAGCTGGACTTGAGGAAGGACTAAGAGCAGGTGGAGCGGACGAACCACCAAAGAAAAAGGCAAGGACCAGATGAGATTCGATCCCTGTCACGATCCTGTACTTTGTTGTAGTATGCCACATATGTCGTTGTAACAATGGGCCGATGGTACCATGGCGCTTCATGCCCGCAGGTAATAAGAAGCAATGCATTATGATTATAAACTTCTCTTCTACGGGTGGGATATTACAAGTGTTCCGGACCCGAAAATCCGCTGGCATTTAATACCAGTATACAGGTCGTTGACCCTTTTCCCTTTCTATACTTCAACTCCGCCCCTCCTCTCCTCTTCTTTCCTGCTCCTGAGGACCGCCCACCCTTTTACCGCCATGACCACCACCCCCCAGCAGAACACCAGGCATGTCAGTGCAATGGTGAAGTTCAAAAACGCCATCCTATCATCCCAACCCGCCCTCATCGCCGCCCATGCAATCTCTTCATTGGAAAGCATGAACACAATTCCACCAGCAGCCCAACCGAAGGAAGTGAGGATTTCAGTCGGAGGGCGGGAAGGGAGGGTTGATTGGCTCGGGGGGGAGAGGAAAAGGAAGAAATAGGTGAGGCAGCGGAAGACCGAGCCGCCAAAGAGAAGGATACCCCAGAGGGAGTGGATTTGAACTTGGAAGACATAAGTCTGGTGGTGGGCGGCCATAGCAAGGCCCGTCTATTGGTCTCATCAGCATGGTCACTTGAAGAGTATATAGCGACTCACAACACCGATAGTCAACGCGGGGAGAGGATTAAAGCTGAACGCATAAGTGTCGGGTTCCTTCGTCGAGCTCCTCCTCCCCGTCGACATGAGGCTTCCCAAAACCCTTCTCACCCACTTGCTCTCGAGCAGCATCCCCGATAAACCGGCAAACCAGAACATGACCGCAATCGAGATGTGCTGCACCTGTTTGACGGTAAAAGGACTGCCGGGCGCAGCGCCGAAACGCTCCATCCAGGTGTTGGTGATACCGTAGGTGAAAATGACGGCACATTCGACCATCTCGGCGGAGATGCTGTGAGCACTTGGGCGGCGGTTCCAGGCCCACCCAAGGTCGGCGTAGGCACCGAGATAGCGGGCGAAAGTGAGGAAGCCATACCAGAAGAAAATACTGCCTTTAATGTAGTGGGCGGCGCACGAGTTGACGAGGTTGGCTCGGCACATACCCTACGGCTCGAATGAGCTCCATTTTTAGGTGGATCGTCTTTGACTCACAGTGTAGGTGACAATACCCATGATCATAACCACATACGCGAATACAACCTGCGCCCTCCTGACCCAAGTCAGGACGACCTCCAGAGCCCTAAGACACCCATTTGCCTTGCTACTCTGCCATATCCTGTTGTTGTGCTGCTCGTCTCTCTCTCGCTCGGCTTCGCTTATAGCCTCGAGATGGTGAGGGTGGGCGTCATAGGCACCTAATTGAGATGCCTTATGGGGTCCAGTAGGGTGAGACGAGTGAAGGGTGTCTTGGAGAGTGTAGTCTGACCCGGTAGAAGTACGTGAAGGCGAGCTGTATTGGCGAATGAAGACTGTTGGGCGGTGGGGTCTAGTGCCCTGGATGTCACTTTGCGTGACTTCGTGGGCATCTTGGAGAGGTTCCAGCTCTGTAGTCTGTAGCGGCTCCTCATCGTCATCGTCATCGATGGTGAAGACAACGCTGCTGGGTCTGCCTCGGTGGACTTCCTCATCGCTCGAATTTTCGGTGAGGCCGACCATTTCGTAGCGACTGGCTGACCATTTCTCATCATCTGGCACGGATGCTGACCGTAGGACGTCATGGACGAAACCCTTCCACGAGAGCTCGCCGCGCCTGTGAAAAGCCATGCCCCTCTTGATGAGGCCGAGGGAGTCGACAACAGCGAGAGAGATGGAAGTGAGAACGAGGATGCTGAGGAACAGTGGATACTTTGAGCCCTCGTAGCTATTTGATTTGAGAACAGGTCAGCAGGCGGCTCCACTTTTGAACGCATTCGGACTTACTAATCGGGCGTGGTCGTACTGTAGGCAGCACCGACAAGCCAGCCGACAATGGCCACGGCAAGAAACACCAGGTTTGCGAGGTAGTGAGCCGGGTGATCAGCTGATCTGAGTGCGAGCGCTATAGAATAGTGTTAGCTGAGATCCACAAGTGTCTTGAGAACGTTACAGAACGCTCCCTTGACTTACATATAGGAAGTAGACCAAAGTACGCCAAACCCATCAAGAAAGCATGCGACAAAGCAAGTATTTTGTGACTTTCTATATCCTCAAGGTTCCATGCATCGTCAAATTGCTCACCAAAGATGGCTGAGCTGGCGTCGAGTTGGAAATCTGCATCAAGATAGGTCGGCGGAAATTTGTGCCGTCGATGGATGTCGGTGTCGTTGAGCACCGTCAGGGCCTCTTGGTTGCCCCCGTGCGAATGGGGAGCTGAAGGAGGATCGTGAGACGCGCCATGAGAATGCCCAGCAGCAGCATGGGATGAGGAAGTCGCGGCTGAATGGACAGTGCTAGTGGCCGAGCCAAGCGCAGAGGCCACGGGAGTCGGAATGTGTCGAGTCTGCGTCGACTCAACGGCGTCCCCCATGTCCATGGGTACATCGCCGTCTTCGCCTTCATGCCTGACTTGCAATGCCGGTCTGGCAGCGTTGTCCGGAGTGGCGAGGACAGGAAGAACGGCCCAGATAAGTAGCCCCACCCTCATGTTGTTGGGTGCTGGCTAGCGGATTCGTGGACGAATTTGGCTTCCGGTGGGCGGGTGTGCGGAAGATATAATAATATGTAGAGAGATGAAAGGAGAGGGGAGAGGTTCACAACGGCTGCTTGGATTTGTCAGAGCATGTCCTTGCTTTATAACACAAGAGGCACACCGCATAGGCCTCTACCTTTTTCATGCATCATCAGGACACAGAAGAGAAGCTATGCGGGACCAAACACAGGCGCGACGAAGAAATCGGACTTAACATCGAAATGCTCCCGCCACAGGTTCCAAATTCCGCGGCGTTCCTGGATTCTCTGCTCTCACTCTGTGGCGGGGTGTTGGTGAGTTCGGGTGGGATAGAGACGTCCTCAACCATCAAAATCCAACCGTGAGCATCCCGTCCCATACATCCCGCCAGCCCACTAACCCCAGCCTCTCCTTGTCCCTTCCCCTCCCACCTCGCTCCATACCCATCCCCTCCACAACTCTCTCCGACTCCGACTGCAAATTCGACAACTTTAGCTCAAAATGAAGGACCTCTCTTCCGTCGAGACTTTGAACGTCCCCGAGGGTGTTACCGTCGAGGTTAAGGCCCGTACCGTCACCGTTGAGGGTCCCAGGGGCAAGTTGACCAAGAACGTTGGGCACATCCAGATGGACATCCAGCTCGTGAGTTTTGTTGGAGGTTTTGGGTGAAATTTTGGAGTGGCATGGGTAGACGGGGCATCAGGAGGGGACAGAAAGAGGCAGCATGTCAGGGGGATATGGAGGGGGAAGAGCAGAGCAGACGTTGAGGAGGAGAGATGCTGGACAAATTTGGCGAATGAGAGCGATGCCCCATGCCCCACCAAAACCGCCCCACCATCGTCCACCCCGCTAACTCTTCCCCCCCCAGGTCAAGACCCCCAAGGGTTCCAAGGTCGTCTTCACCGTGTGGCACGGTGCCCGAAAGCACGTTGCCTGCCTCCGAACCGTCAAGTCCCTCGTCGAGAACATGATCATCGGTACCACCAAGGGCTTCCTCTACAAGATGCGTCTCGTTTACGCGCATTTCCCCATCAACGCCCTCCCCGCCGACGATGGTTCTTCCCTCCAGATCCGAAACTTCTGTACGCCCCTCTCGCCTTTTTGATCCAGGCAAAGGAGGAGAAGCTAATGGAGGAGTAGTGGGTGAGAAGATTGTCCGAGACTGCAAGATGCTCGAAGGCACCACCGTCGCCCTCTCTGAAGTCAAGGATGAAATCATCCTCCAGGGTAACGACATTGAGAAGGTCTCCCAGTCTGCTGCTTCCATCACCGACAAGTGCCGAGTCAAGAACAAGGATATCCGAAAGTTCTTGGATGGTACGCTTCTTCTTCCTGTATGAGGCAAAAGCTGATTTGGAGGATAGGTGTCTACGTCTCTGAGCGAACAACCGTCGTCCAGGCCGAGTAAGGAATTTCTTTCTTACTTGACTGGAAGGAGGTAGAGAGGGGGTGGTTGGGTCCGAGTCTACTGGTTTGGGGTAGATCAGGATGTAACATTCATGACGCATACACAATGGTTCCGAAAGTTGAGAGAGGAGTGGTTCATGGGGCTGTGAGATAAATGGGACAAGGAGCGGGCGGATCGAGGACCTGACAGATGGTGTGCAGAGCAAGGAAAGGATCGATTGACACGGTGCATCTCGGCCTGGGTTGATATCAAGTCCCTGGACCCCTATCGTGTCTTGTTGGAGAAGTACCGTGAAATCTGGCTGCTTGTACAACTTTACAACCCAATACAACGAGCCAAAGACGATCGATCGCTCTTGTCAAAGCAGCCAAGCAGCGCTTCTCCTTTCTTCCTATTGCACATGCGTACATCTGCACCGAGCTTTTAGACTGGAATCTTCCCTTCTTAAAACCTTACTTGAGGGCTTGGGAGCCTGCTGCGTTGAATTTCAGACTTCAGACTATACTCGTTTACGTAATGCCCCCCCGGCCGCTTCACTTGTTGCATTCAGCGAATTCCGTCCAAACGTCAAGCATTCCCTCAACCACATCGACACACCTTTCCCCCAAGTCATTACACCCCCCCTCTCCACACTCTCCTCTCCCATAGCAAAGCAAGAAGCGAGAAGACGTAGGAAAAAACAATGGCCGAAACGATCCTCCCCCTCGAACTGATCGACAAGTGTATCGGCTCCCCTATTTGGGTGCTTATGAAGAATGAACGAGAGTTTTCGGGGACGTTGATGGGGTTTGATGATTTTGTTAGTACGTTTACCCCAAAGTCTCCCGCTCTATCTTTCTCCGTCTGGCTTTCTCGAAAGCGAGTCTGAAGTCTGGATGCTGATGGGGTCGTAGATATGGTGCTCAAAGATGTCAAGGAATAGCAAGTCTTCTTCTCAATCTCCATATATCTGGGAGTCATAACAGGGAGTATGGGCTAATGTGAATTTCATAGTGAGGTGACGAAAGAGGGCATCAAAGAGACGGATCTGGGAGATACGCTGTTGAATGGAAACAACATTGCTATGGTATGTCTTTCTTTCCTCTTCTTTTCCCTTCATCCCACTTCTCCTCTCCCTCCTCTTGAGTAAGATACCTCTTACTTGGGCAGACGGCTGGGATTCTGGGAATATGGGAATGATAAGACGCTGATGATGGGTCGTTGTAGCTCATACCAGGCGGGAAGGGTCCTCAATAAGACGCTCTTCGTGGGGGATTAGACACTGTGAAGAAGGTAGGGAGGATTGGGACGGAGCGAAGGGCATGGGCATGGGAGTGGGAGAGAGTGGGACAGATAGAGGAAGGGGTGCTGGAATGTATTAATTATCAATATGACAGGACAGATGGAGGAATGTTTGCAGGCCTGCCGTGGTGTATACTACTGTCGAGAGGTGGTATACAGGATGGCTGGTGGTAAGACCGATACAGTTCCTGACAGGCATCTTGACACTGTGCCCCAGCTTGACTCAAAGAAGCGAGATCGATACAGTCAGAAACGCAACACGGCACGCTCACTCGCCAGAACGCAGAGGATGTAAGATGCTGAGATGAGATACATTAATGTTGCCGACTACCACAAGCCTTTCCTTCATATACACTTCTCTCTTCTCTTCATACTATCTCCTTATTGGCCTTGCATTTGCGCTAGAAAAGGGGACGGTCAGCTTTCAATTATGACGCAGAGTTCGAGACAAATGTCAAGATGGAGACATACCAGCGTTGTGCTCGGCAAACCTCGCTCCAACCCTCTCAGAGTGCTTCAACCACTTGTCGGTACAGTTCTGGACACATGTAGTCTATTTCAAAAGTCAGCGACCGAACACGAAAGAATGAGGGGCAGGCGTCATAGATCGCAAAAGCGCCAGGTGACCGATGGGGTAGGATTGCAAACGCACTTCGTTGGAAGAAAGCGACTTGGTGGTAAAGTCCTGAGCACACGAATTGAAGCACTTTTCGACGAGACCAGAGTAGAGCCTCATAAAGTCTTGCATCTGTCCATAAAAAAGTCAGCGCTCTGTCTCCTGCTTAATTCGCCACGGGGGGGGGGGGTATATGACTGACCTGCTTCTTCTCAATGACCTTGGTCATGTGAGCCTGCTCGGTACCGTTGAATTGTGAAAAGTCCATGGTGTTGTTGTGGGTTTTGGACAGGGGCGATGGTGATGGAAGGAATTGAAAAGTGCGAAAGAGCGAGGAGGATAGATGGCGGAGGTGGCCGCCTCCGAGCTGTGCTGGCGCTCTACCTGAGTGCCATGTCCTCTATCATCGCGTGTCCACAGCGTATACCACGCGTCGAGCATGTTCAAATCCTTCCCCAAGCTTCCCTCCCTGCCGCAGGCCATCGGCCTCCCCTTCCTCTCCACCCAGGAGGACGCACAGCTCAAGTTCAAGTCCAGCCCGAACGGTATCAAGCGTCTCTATGGCGAGATCCCTATCCCGCTCTCCGACGTGACGTATTGGTCACAGTACTATACGCTGTTCAATAGCTCGGCGGATGTGTATTCTTTGATATCTGTACAGGATGGTGAGTGGCGTTCGTCGTTCGTTATTGGCGCAGCGCGCTGACTGCGCTGCTAGTTCGCCAAGCCCTTACTGCCAACCCGCACAACCTCGCCAACCTGCTCCTCACCCTCTCTCATCACCTATTCACCCTCATACCGGACCCTTCCTTCCCCCGTCCCCCGCAAGGCTACCAAACGACGCAACAAGATCTCGCCAAAGAAGCGCTAAACTGTCTGAGAGTGCTGGGCCGGATCTTGGTGGTGGTGTACGAGGCGGAGGCTGATGCACGTGATATCAGAGGGAGAGGGGTGGACTTGGGAGAGACGTTTGCGGAGAAGTGGCTGTATAGCCGGCAGAAGATGGAAAAGACGCAGGAGGAGACGGGTGAGGAACAAGCGGAGCAGTTCAAGCTTGAAGACTCGGATGATGAGGGAGAGGACGAAGCGGACGTTGGGGATTTGGATGAAGGTGCGCGGGCTTTCCAAGCGACTGTTGGGAACCCGCCCAAGGCTGAGGAAGAGCCGGGAGCGAAAGATGAGGCGATTGACGATCCTTTGACCAAGGCTGCAGAGCAGGAAGAGGTTGAGGAAGATGTCGAGTACTTGCCTTCTCTCATAGACAGGCTGTTTAGCTGTGTTATCGACCTTCTCTTTTGTGCTGGGTTCACTCTGCCCCCCAACGTTGTGGGAGACGACCACACTGACAAGATCAACGTAAGTGGATATATCTCGAGGCGAATGAGGCTGACCGGGCGCAGTATGTGATCTGGGAGAAGGGTGTAGGAAGCACAAGCGAGATTGGGAGCACCGCAGAGCTCGACAGAAACAAGACCGAAGTCCTTCGTACGTCCTCAATGACACTCTCTTGACTTGACTGACCCCTCGCAGACTTCCTCCTCGTCCTTCTCTCGACGACCATCTACACCTCCCCCAACTCGCTCTCCACCACCCCCAACATTCCCCTCCAAACCCTGACCCACTCTCTCGAACGCCGACTCGTCCTCTCCTTGCTCTGTTCATTCCTCAACACATCCCTCACGCCGTCAAAATCAAATGCGTTGGGTCTTGGAGTGCCGAATTATCTGATGGGCAATGCGGCGGAGGAGAGGAGGACGTTGGTGAGGGCTAGTTTGGCGGTGTTGCTGGTAGCGCTGGATTACAAGGTGGAAGGGGAGAGGAATGCGATGGGAGAGGCAAAGGAGGAAAATGCTTTCAAGTATTTCGTGTCCAAGCTCGTGAGTCGCCCCCAGCTTTGTAGGTGTCAAGCTGACGTCGAGCAGCATCGCAAAGAAGACTTTGCATTCATCCTCGAAGGCATCCTCCGCACTCTTTCAGAACACAACGCCATCACCACCACCTACCTCCCCAACGCCAAGCAGCCCATACCCTACATTCTCGAAACATACATGCTCCTCTGGCGCCTTATCGACCTCAACAAACGTTTCCGACAGCACCTGCTCGACTCTGGCAAATCTCTCCATATCGTGTGCTTTATCCTCCTCGCGTGTTTGGAACACAAAGACGACCCAGCACATCAAGGTCTGCTCAGACTATTGAGCTACCTCCTTCAAACGCTTTCGTCCGAACCGGCGTTTGCCAAATCCCTCAACCAAACTATCCCTCCCTCCATCCCCATCCCAAGTAAATGGTCCGTCCACGGCACCGCTGCCGATTTCCTCATCCTCTCCATCTACTCTATCGCCACGACGCCGGGGTTGAACCAGCTGTTCCCAGCGTTGACGATTAGCGTGGCGAATGTGGCGCCGTTCGTAGAGGGGTTGGGCGTACAAGCTGCAGGGAGGTTGATGGGGTTGTTTAAAGCGTTTTCGGCGCCAAATTTCTTGTTGGCTGATGAAGGGCATCCGAGACTCGTCTACTATCTGTAAGCTCTCTCTTAAAAGGTGATGTGAGGTGAAGAAGAAAGCTGATGGGGGATAGGCTGGAAACGTTCAATTCGGTCTTGTACCACAAGCTCACGGAGAATCCGAATTTGGTGTATGCTATTTTGAGGTCGCATCAGGATTTCCAGACGTTGGCGACTTTTACGTTGATGTCGGGGTTGAGAGATATCCAGAGGCGAAAAGCTTTGCGGGCTGCTGGTACGTCTTTCCCGACCCTCTTCTCCTTGATACCTCTGACGCGTGATATAGCCGCTGAGAAAGCCGCCAAAAAAGCGCCAGCCAATACCACCCTCTTCTCAGCCGACGACGTTGACGCTCAAAACCAAGCTGAAAAGTCCGCCCTGCTCGGGGATAACGGGAACGGACAAGAACTAGACGAAGATGACGCGCAGGCTTCGTTGTCTGCTTTGAACCGCTCGTTGCCTGGGGTGGATGGTGATGGGCAGGGGGCAGGAGGGGAGGCTGTTTCGGATTCGCTCCAAGGACCTTATGTCAACAACCCTCCTCCACCGACGAGTCAGGCCATGTCCGAAAAAGCCCGCGGCAAGATGCGTGCGACAGAGTCTACGAGCTCGTTGACGACTATCCACGGTACCGCCGCCGCCGGGGAAGGTAATACGGCAGGAGAGGGCGGGGAGGGGGTGGTGGATGAGGCGGATGAAGAATTGTTGAAGGTTGCGTTGGCGGGGGTGGGGCCGAATGGGTATGTGCCTACGCAAGAGTGGGTTACGAGCTGGCAGAAAGGGTACGTCTTCCATCCTCCCTCTTCCTTCCTTCTTTCCCTCCCGAACATTGTGAGAACTAAGCTGATGAGATGTGACAGATTGCCTCTCGATCCCGTACTCGTCGCGATATCAGAACTGCTTCCCAAGATCCAAGAGACCCAGCAGCCGATGGTGGGATCACCGAGCGGAAAGGTGTTTGGGATCTTGAAAGGCGTGGAGCTTGGGGATGTGTTGCCGCCTGCACCTCCTATCGTTCCTCGTCGATTCCAGGCAAGTCTCTCTCCCCTCCCTCCCCTCCTTACCTCTTTGCAAGCCAAGTACTAACACAAAGCAGTGGTCCCCCGCCTCAGCAATCTGGCTCACCTCCCTCCTCTGGGGCGACATCTACGTCGCAGGCTTGACGTCTTCCGGGATATGGCGGGATACGCAGGTGAGGCTGTTTGGGATCAAGCAGGCGCCTGTGGGGAAGGGAAGGGGGGCGCAGGTGGAGAGGGTTTTGAAGATGATTGGGGTTGTGTAGAAGAGATGGATGTGTAAGGAGAGCGTTCAAGGGTTTTGGCATTGTAAGGAGGTGTTGAAGAATGTGCATGCAGATTGATATATATGCCGCGTCTTCTGTCGTGTTTTATCTGAGGCAGGTCCCGTCGCCATCATTCAGCAACCCCTATGGTGCCAATGTACTGCAAAGACCAAAGCTGGAGGAAAAAGGTCATTTGACGACACTGAGCGCTTGGGGGAAGAGTAAGCCTCTTTCGCTCCACCCGGCAGAACGACGAGCTGACAACCGAGTCACCAAGGTATCTGATAGAGCCGGATGTCAGTATCTACCTCTGCTCGCGACTGTAATCACTCTCCAACATCACCCACAGTGGTCATCATTCGTTGTCGACGTCAACGAAATTATTAGGCGACGGTGTTGAAGAGACAATGAGAAAAATGGGTGAGGAGCTGGATAGCGATGTGCGTTCGAGACTTGGACAAGGTGGTCCTAGTAGATACTTGAACAAGATAAGTCCATCCCTTTCTCGCATGTGGCAACGCTGATGAAAGACAGATGAGCTTCAATATCTCTCCCACCCGACGGATATGTCAGATTCCGTAGCCTCGCCGATACCTTATACGCAGACAGCTACCGCCCGTTTTTGTATATCCATTATGTAAGTCAAGCGAAGTTGGAACCATGCTACAGGGTATATAAACATTACTCGTGACCTCCCCATCTTCCTCTCCGACTGCCTCGCCGACAACTGCCCTGCGATGTTCGGGGTACGCCTCATGACGGAGCGCGACCCTGCGACTATCGGGGACTACCGCCGGTTGCTCATCCTTGTCGACGGCTGCGCCGCCGAACGCTCCACGCCCCAATCCGGCGACATTAACCACGATGTGGACTTCCGGTACGCTTCTCGTATCTGGTCCGAGGTCCCCACCGACCAGGATTTCGCGGCGATGTCACCCGACTACCTCACCAACCCCCCAGTCCACGTCCGTCATCGCTCCTCCCGTCGCCGTTACTCCAGCCCAAGTCCTTCTCCTCGACGCTCCTACTCCCCTCGCCGCCCTGCGCCGCCGCCGTCGACAAGGATGAAGAGTTTCGCGAGCAACCGGCGGTAGTCCCCGATAGTCGCAGGGTCGCGCTCCGTCATGAGGCGTACCCCGAACATCGAGGCAGTCGGAGAGGAAGATGGGGAGGTCGGATGCGAAGAGGAGGTCACGAGTAATGTTCTCGTGGTACGGCGGGAACGAAGTGATGGGTCGGCCGCCGGCGGTGGGACATGCCGAAGATGGTGGTGAAGAACAAGCACAAAACAAAGCACGTCACTTGAGAATAGCCCAAATTGAAATCAATGAACTCTGTGTATTTCAACTTGTCAAATATAAAACAACAACGGTCATGGCCCATCTGCAAACACCATATATCCAGCGATCTCATGCCAGCTTCTTTCCGAGGATCTGCATGACCACTCCCGAACCTCCATCTCCTGCCTCTTTGCGCCTTGCTCTCTGCTTTCGTCTTCTTGCTCCTTCTTGACACTCCTGACATTTCCTTGCTGACTATTCTTTACTGGCTTTCCTTGCTCCTTTTTCCCCCGTTCCTCTGGTGTTCTCCCAGCTAAATTGATGGAAGAGCTGCCGTACGTGCTACTTCACAGGCCGGACAGAGAGAGGTGTCCACTGTCACGGTGAATGGCGCTTGAGAGATGTAAATACGCCAGGATGGTCTTGTAAAGGATGTGTTGGCCGTATGCAGACGTGACGTCGGTGAATTGGGGGTGATGGATTCGGAGACTTCGGGGGAACCGTGTGTGGATAGAGCTGTACCAAGAATTCAGATTCGAAATTGACAGTAGGAGACGACACTTACCTTCTTCCAGCTCGGCTCTCATCCAAGAGACTACCCCCTCAACTGGTGCTTCACACGTTTCACCTCCTTCTAGCCTCACAGAGATCGTCTTTGGATGGTTGTTGGATAGAAAGGTCCCTGACTGTAAAGTGGCGAGACTGGGCGGCAGGGTTGGCGACGTGCTGGGTGGTCGCAATGTAGAGTGAACATAGATGATGGCTTGGAGAGATTCATCACCGCTCCGGCGCGGGGGAGAGGAGAGCGAGGAGTGGAGGGTGTTAGAGAGGCACAAGCGTACAGGGGGTTCCCGAGCGCAGGTGGATAGTGAAAAGGCCAAAAGTCGGGGTCCATCATCCACATCTCCGAGATTACCACAGCTACAATGTTTGGGAACAAGGGTTGGGTAAGGAGGACCGTTGTACCGCTCGCACGAGCTGTGGCATTGTAGTACGCTGAGGATACCGCATTCGAAGCTTCCGCGCTCTCCACAGGATCCGGCACAGCTCGACCTTCCCGGGAGCTTCTCTTGATCCGCGACATAGAGCCGATACTCAGCAACTGTGTTTTCTAAGTGCTGGTCAGAAAATCACCTGTGGCCGCATCTTGTGGAAAACCTACCAATCGTTATGCGGACGTTCAGAAAGGTCGCATCAGTCGTGAGAAGAGGAAGAGCTCTCTTCAGCGACGCAGTAGAATGACGGTGAGATGGCGGATATGAGACATGTACTCGGTGTAGAAGCGCGGCACTGAAACTCCCTGAGGGTCGTCGGAAGCCCACGGAAATTGGTCCACCAAGACGGATCTGTAGAGTGCTCTCGACTTGGTAAGCTCGGCAAAGAGCTTGCACATCGAGCGGAAGGAGACAATATCATCCACTGGGAGGCAGCTGAACGTCATCATGAGAAGCTTGTTGGGGAGGTCGAGCAGGCTTCTGGTTGGGTGGTGTTCGTTGCGAAGACTTTGTAGCTGACAAAGGAGGTCTTCAAACATCTGAACAACATAGAGGTCGTCGAGGGCGACCAGCAGCATGGACTACCTACACCTTGGACTGCTGACAGACTGTAGAGTCTACTTCATGAGGCGTCTCATCGCTGTGGGAAGACATATGAGGGCTGCTATCCGGACTCATGCTATCCTCCCAATCCCAAGGCCAGTCCCGGAGGAGATTTTTGGAGAAGGGAAAACGGGCATATACTGGGGGCTGGATGGACCGGGCTTTCGAGAGACGTAAGGAGGAGGGTGGCGAAGGACTCGTCTGAATGGGTTGATATCGCGACTCTGTGCATGAACGTAAGCCAGCTGCAGTGTACCAGTACAAGAGGGCGAGTAGCGTCAGCCTCCTGCTAGTGATATATGTGCGAGGTGGGACTGTACTTACACCTGGCTTATCCCATCATCCCAATTGCCCACCGCCGAGAATTGACCGCTCATCAGAAGATAGAGACCAGCAGGACGAGGTGGAGACACCATCTGTGTGTGGCGAGGGAATGTAGTGCGCTGTTGACAAGCGGATCCAATTTTTGAATCAACCATCCGGCTGAGGGTTGGCCGTGCGGATGCGGAGTACAAGTAGCAAGCGATCGTTAAGGATGATGGGGGTGATGTCCCAACTGGATGGGAGGGGGGAGAACAGCTCCGCCCAAGTGCAGTAGGCCCCGGCACGACATTTGAAGGTATTGACAGACTCTGCTGGCGGGGGTGAAGGAGGAGGGGACGTCGAGCACGGATACCTCGAGAGGGAGAGAAGGGAGTGTGATGGCTGCTTTCTCGAAGGGCACAAGGGTTCGGACAACGAGATATGGGGTGGAGGAGGTCTCATTTCCTGGAAGCAGTGTCGCGTGACTGTTCTGGTAAGGATGGCAAGAAGGCTAGAGGGATATCAGCAAGAATGTACATCTGTCTCATCAGATGGACGGCGACGTACCTTTCCATAGTAGTAGAGAGAGCTGTGGGGATGACCGGCAACAGCCGAGGGTAGAAAAGATAGCCTCCCGCCCCTTTGAGAAAGCAACCATCACACTCCCCTTCTCTCCTCCGCGAGGCATCCTTGGTCGAACGCGAGGGGTGTGCGAGGAGATGAGGAGAAGAGTGTTTTTGAGCGGGAGAGGGGGATGAAGAGAAAAAGAAAGAGGAAGGAGATATATATACGGGAGAAGAAGACGTCGTGGGGATGATGCCTCACGACGGGCGCAAACAGGGCGCACAACACCGCCATCACTCGTCAACATCACCCGGCCGCCGCATACAAAGAGGTGTGTGCTGTGGCTGAGGTCATTGCAAACGTCTGGTATCTACACTTGAACTCACAAATGGACATTGATGATGTGATATGTAATGTAAGAGCTTGGAACGCGCGACAGAGGTTGAACGACGGCATCGAAACCAGATCGAAACATGGTCCCAGGCAGACCGGCCCGCAGCCGAAATGCACACCTTTTGCCTTCATCCGCAGGCATCTGCTTATTGTGCATACGTACACAAGTCGTGAGTCAAACCAAAAGCTTGCAGCAAGCTGCGAGTAAAGAAGGATGTCCATCTCACACAAGCACCACAGCACCCATTCCTACACTTTCTGCGCTGTAACGAGCTGCGACGGCAAGACTCACATGATCCCATGTCATGGTCTCTTTACAGCTCGTCATCCGTAGTGAAGCGCTGCCGTTGACGTGGTTGCGGATTGCGGACGTTCCGATGACAATCAAGAATCCGATGCCGGTACCTGCGACTTTCGAAACGAGGTTTGTCACCTTGCATACTGATTGGTCAAGGATGTAGCTTATCACGCAACGCCCTTCTATTCTCGCACGGTGCTAGCTACGATCCACTCTGTGCAGATCTCACTAGCCTTACAAAGAATGAATGAGTCTCGTGAACACGCAATGATTGATGATCCTGGCGAGGCTAGTGCATGCCATGGCATGTGAGACAGACGACTGTGGCTTGGATGAGCAGTGCTTTCTAGTGTCCTTCGAGCCCTTTAAGGGGCCGGCGGATTGAATGTCGTGCTTCGAATAGAATGTGGTCTCCAAGGTATATAAGGGAGGGTAATCTGGAGAGAAAGAGAGCCCCATCAGTCTTTCTCTCAACAGCCCCACTTCACTCACTTCGCGCACTTTATCACCCAACCACCACCAACGAAACTTTTTATCATGCGATTTGCTACCGCCTTTGCCGTTCTCGCCGCCGTTGCGGCTAGTAAGTGCTCTCAACGATACTTATGGTACTCCAGACTGAGGTGATGTTATAGCTGCCGCCGCTGCCCCCACCGGCCAGCTGCCAGCCTTTCCGTCTCTGGCCCTCCTCCTTCCGGCACCGGTGCCCCTCCCCCTCCCCCCTCTGGTGCTCCCCAACAGAGGCGAGCGAACAACGCTGCTCGTATGTTTCATGTTCTTGACTACCGTACTATCGTATGTTGTAGCTAACTTTCCAATAGCTGCCGGGCAGGAGTCTGCCAGTCTCTCCTTCTCTGGACCTCCTCCTTCTGGTTCTGCGCCTGCCGGTCCTCCTCCTTCTGGCGCGCCTCAGCAGAAGCGACAGGATGCTCCCTCTGGTTCTTCCCCTGCTGGCCCGCCTCCTTCTGGCGCGCCTCAGCAAAAGCGACAGGACGCTCCCTCCGGCTCTGCCCCCGCTGGCCTGCCTCCTTCTGGATCTGCCCCTGCCGGTCCTCCTCCCTCTGGCGCCGCGCAATCCGGTGGCCCTATTAGCCAGTCTGCTTAAGTGCTGGCGTCGTCTAGACGATCTCGAGCTTCCTGCCTGCTCTCAAAGGTAACTGTTATGCGAATGGACAATTTGAGTAGAAGTATGTACAAAGTAGAATAGGATGGCAGTTGAAGGAGTGAATGATATGCACTGTGTGCCCCTTACTCGCTCTGCAATGCCTCTTTGACACTGCACACAAACGGTGTGACCTGCCAGCTTGTCTCGTCGGATCTCGTGATGACGAGAGACTAACGACTAGATTTATGATGCACCTGGCAAAGTAGATACAGGCAGTGCATCTGGAGCTTGCACAATATCCAGAGAAGAAGTTTACAGACATAATCATGTCCATGACGAGATCCACAAGAAGGATGGCGTCAGCCACCACTGCGCGCATCCGGCCAGATACAACGACAGTACACCGCTCTACCGTGTACTCGTACAATCAGATCACTTCATTGCAATAAGAGAATACAGTTGTCAACAGATTATCTACAAAACAAAGTACTAACAAGCGAAGGTTGACCGATTCCGACGGGATAAACACCTCGGCCTGAAAAAAGCGGAGGTGCCTTTAATGCCGACGCCGGATCACCGAGGGGTGACTTCCGGTTGACTGGAGTTGACTGGACCGCCCCCCGCAGACATATATATACCCCTCCCCCTCTATTCCCTCCCTCTATCTCATCCCCACCATCTCTTGCCACAATCTCGCAAACAAGTCACCATGCCCAACATCGTCGCCATCACCGGTATCAACGGCTTCATCGCCACCCAAGTCGTCCTCCTCTTCCTCACCCGCAACTGGCACGTCCGCGGCTCTGTCCGGACTCCCCTCCAAGCCCAGTCAATGAAAGAACATCCCGTTTACAAAGAGTGGGTGGAAGGGGGCAAGTTGGAGGTTGCTGTGGTGCCGGATATGGCGGGCAGGGAGGGGGAGGGAGGGGAGGTTGAGGGGTTGTTGGACGGGGTAAGGGGGGTTGTTTGTTTGGCGGCACCTCTTCCTGGGTGAGTCATTGTATCTTGGGGCTGGAGGAAGGGGTGAGGGTGATGAAGCAGGAGCTGATAGGGGACAGGGCGGATACCACTTCGTGGCCAGGTTTCCGAGACCCGACCATCCAAGGTATCAAACGAGTCCTCGAATACGCTCAAAAATCATCCAGTCAGTTCCATCCTCCTCCTTCTCATGAAGTGGATGTGCAAAAGCTGATGGAGGAGTGTAGCTATTAAAAGTGTCGTCATCATGTCATCTGTAGCCGGTGCAGTCGACTGGTCCGCCCCGCCCGGGAAGGTCTTCACAGAGGATGATTGGATCCCTTTTAGTGATGACGATTGTCAGGCTGATGGCGCCGACATGTGAGTCCTTTCCTTACTTCGACGATCTGTAAAGAGGGAAAGGGGACTGATGGGGTGCTTTAGTAACCCGGGCATACTTATGAAGTGGTATGGGACTGCGAAGAAGATGACAGAGCAGTATGCTCTGGAATTTCAAGAGAAGGAGAAACTTGGATTTTCTATTGCTACTGTTGCGCCCTCTAGTAAGTATCCCCTTCCCTCCCCTTCTTCTTCTCTTCCCCTTATTCTTCTCCCTACAAAGCTAACCCCCTCCCAGTGGTCTACGGTCCCCCCATCTACATCCCCACCGCTTCCGACCTCCCAAAGCTTCAATACTACCAACAAGAATTCTTCTCCCTCTTTGCCGGCGGGAAGGACAGAAAGCTGCCGGAACAGATGGCCCAGAGCTGGGTGGATGTGAGGGATGTGGCTGAGGCATTTTATGTTTTGGTGGAGAGGGAGGGGAGGGGGAGGTATTTGATTAGTGGGGGTGGTGAGTTCTTTTGGTATTTTGGGTTGGATTGGGACTTGAGGAGGAAAGAATAGTATTGATGCTGATGATTGGGGATAGAGTACAAATGGCAAGAATGGGCCGACAAACTGCACACTCTCCGACCCGACCTGGACGAACACCTGGCGCTGGGCGAACCGGGAAAGTATCCTGATTCGAGGTGGAAGGTGGATGGGAGCAAGTCTGTTAGGGAACTTGGTATGAAATGTACGCCTTTTCCTTCTTATTCTTCTTCCCTCCTTGCTTCGCCAGGGGGTCTGAGGACTGGGGAGAAGGGGTGTAAGGATGAAGAGCTGATGGAGCATAGATCGTACGGCCGAAGAGACGTTGAAGGATACGCTCGCGTACTTTGAGAAAATCGGTGTCTTCGAGGAAGCTGCTGGTGCATGGAAGATCTAGGTCGTCTTTTGTTGTGTATAATGGCCTGGCAGATAATCGGTGATGCATGGAATGTTTGTTGTTGCAATGTGGACATGGTGCATTGAGAGGACGCGAACAGCACATGGGCTGCACCTCTCATCCCCTCTCTTTTCGTTCAAGCAGACTTCAAGCTGATATAAAGCAGAGGATCATGTGTTTGCTGGGACTATGGCGATGATCACCTCGAGTGAGGAGATGATGATGGCCGAACTGGTGTATGTTATTGTACCGTCATTCCGCCGTTTCAAATGAGTCTATTTCTTCCTCGCCCTCTTTTTGCTCTTATGCTTGTTGGATACTCGGCTCAAAACAATATATGGTTCATCATGGCAAACAGCGAACCCACGTCCACACCCACGCCACAGCCCTCCTCATGCACCGCATCCTCGACCTCCCCTCCCCTCCGCCGGCCTAGGTCTGCGCAGATGCCAGTGGTGCGCCAGCTCGCTCAACATGCGGAGCCAGGCTGCTGCTCTCCGGATGGGCTTTCTTTTTTTGAAAGGGTGCGGAAGAGTAGGAGGGTTTTGGCGTCTGGGAAGGAATGTGCGCGACGAGGAAGGCGAGTGGAGGGGGTGGAATGGGAAGGGGCAGGGAATAAGGGGGAGGAGAGGGATGCGAGGGATGATTGGGTAATTGGCTTGGTTTGGTATGAGTGGGAGCATGGGGTGAAGGAGAACGTTGATGGGCTCATGGCCCGGCAAGGATAATACGTAGCGTCATATTGGGGACCGGATGGGGAGATCAGTGTAACATGAATGCACATACTTTGTCATGGTCGCAGACACCAGAAGGCCTAAGTGAAACGAAAAGGCCCAAGAAAAAACTGCATACGTTTTCACAATCAAGTCCAACTAAGATATAGCTGTGCACATCTAAGATACAAGCATCATTACCCATATTTATCCTCCCAAGAGACCCAAACAACGCCCACGTCGCGAACAGGAGACCTCCTAGAGAAAAGTATCACTCAACGTTCCGAAACCACCACCTTTGCCTTTTGCAAAGCCTCCTTCGGGGGCCACTTGGCTTCAAAGACCGTATTGAGCTCTTCCAGCGTCCGCCCTCTTGTCTCGACGCCGAAAAAGTACCAGATAACGGCGTAGACGAGGTTGAGCCCGACAAAGACCAGATAGTATTTCCAGCCGATGGCTTCGAGTGCGACGGCGGTGACGTAGGTGTTGTAGAGGTTGGCGCAGTTGGACATGATTACATGCTGCAGGATTGTCAGTTGGTATGAGTTGGGGATAGGGATGGGAGACGTACGATACCCATGCCTTTGGCTCTGGTGTGGTTGGCGAGGACTTCAGCGCAGTATGTAGCCGTTAATGGTGTATAAACAAAGCTGCACACCCGTCAGCACGCACTCCCACCACAAATGATCAGCCTTACCTATAGACACAACCAAACAAGAAGATGAACGTTACACCCCCATTACTCAACGCTTGCGAGACCTCTTTTCCACCATCAAACTGACTCGAGAAGCCCGTTACACCAGCAAACATGGCTGCCAAAGCGATAGACCCAACCCAGAGCTTGGTACGTCGGCCAATCATGTCGTTGGTGGCAGATCCAGCAACAGCGCCGGCGCAGGAGACGATAGAGTTTGCGAAGGTGAGGAGGAGACGGCGGTCGACGGAAGTGATACCGAGTTTGGTGTACATGGAGGGGAGGTAGTAGGTCAAGACGGAATTCTGCAGCCATGTTAGCCAAAGTAAAAGGGATAGGAGAAGAGCGACTAACGCCGGACAGTTGGGCAAAGAAGGACATGCAAGCCATCATGAAGAATCTCCATCGCTGATTGTGGCTATCCACGCTGTTCATCTTGTCAGTACGATCTAGCCCATAGCCGCCTCGGGTACTCACAGATCGTAGTAGTTCCACCAACTCTGCGCCTTCCTGACTTCAATCCCCTCTTCAAACTCTCTCAACTCCATCTGTACCACTGGGTGGTTGACGTCCCCTCCTCCGTGGTATTTCGCGAGAATCTCTTCGGCTTTCTCTTTCTTGCCACGGGCGGTGAGCCAGCGGGGTGACTCGGGAATGAAGGGGAGGCCGATGAGAATGAAGAAGGGTGGGAGGAGCTGGAGTCCGAGTGGAAGGCGGAAGGCGAGCTGGCCGGAGGCTTTGTTGGACGCGTAGGCGACACCGGTAGATAGGATGGAGCCGGTATAGAAGACTAAACTCTCATCAGCTCCCAGCCTCAACTAGGTGTCAAGAGAACCTACAAGTGTTGTAGAATCCAACAATCCTCGCTCGCCACTGCGGTGGTGCCAGCTCGAGGGCATAGGTTGGTGCCGAACTTGTACCGATCGAGATCCCAAAGCCGAGTAAGAATCGACCACCGAGAAGGTAAGAGTCGTTTTTAGCAGCGGTGAGGATGGCTGCAGCGGCCATGATGATGACAGCACCGGTAGCCATACCAGCGCGACGACCGAGATGGTCACAGATGGGTCCAGTAAAGAGCGAGCCAACCATGTTGCCTATGGTGTATATCATAAAGATGCTGCTCGAGGTGTCAGCTCGGTTTGCGAAGAGTGTAGATAGGACTTACATGCCTGTCGAACTGCCGAGCTCGGTATGGTGAAAGTACTCTCTGTACTGCGTCATGGCATTGATAGAGCTGAAGATGGACTATTGTGATTGTCAGCATGAGCCGAGGGATGAGCGTCAGACCCACCCCATCGAATCCAGAAGAGGTCGCATTCAGAGCCGCCACAAGCAAGATCCCGTACAACTTGAAGCTCGTCTTGGACCAGGGGTCAAGAGGCGCTGCGCTGACGCTCTCGTAGAATGTTGCATTCTCGGTCTCGACAACGAGAGAAGTTGCTTTGTCCTTGTGAGTGGAAGAGGAGGAGGATGTGACGGGGTGGATAGCGGAGGTGATGTCGGCTTTGGAGTCTACGTCTGTAAAAGCGGTGGACATGTTGGAATCCTGAATGTGTGACAAACACTGGTGACTGAGGAGAAGTGGGTGGGATCGAATGACCCATACTACTAGATATACGATTCGCTGCGAAGCATGTCGATGAGCTGCCATCCACTTGAGCGGCAAAGACTCCCCACTCTCCCCCACTCTATCCCTCGTCCCGTGATAAGCAGATAGCGCATTTTCCAAAGTGATATCGCGGGCTGGTCAACGGCATCGGAGAGTACATACGAAGACAAGAAGGTATCCAGCGCCAGAGGAGAGCGGGATAAGCTCTTCGGACAAATCCGATCGGTCAGGAACTGGGCCATATTGATGTCCGCTCCGAATGTCGGCATTCGGCATAAAGAGGGTTTCTGGGTCACTTGCTTATCGCCCCCCCACCCAGTATATCCCTCCGATGTCGCCCCCCACTCTTGACTCGATGAGTCCTTGCTGAGCAGATGCGCTTCTTGTCAAGGAGTCATTACGGAGGCTGAGCTATCTTGTGGTCGGTCGCCGCCAACAGCCGTCTTTACCAGCTGCGGGGATGCGATCCGGCATCAGCTGTTCTGAGATCAATACGTTGCACCCGCTCACAGCCTGACCCACAGGCCAGCAGATCGACAACACGCCTCACCACTTATATCGTATGTTACCTCTCTCCCTATTCCTCATAATCTGTAGCTGAGCTATACCTCGTTTCACAGCCATCACATTGTTCGCAATGACACGCCTAACCTGGCTCCAGTCCCTCGAGACGGACGGATTCGTCGTCCTCCCCTCCGTTATTCCCTCCGAGCTTTGCGTCGAGTTCCAGCAAGAAGCCTGGGAGTGGCTCGAGAGTTTCCCTTACGGCTTCAAGCGCGACGACAAGAATACTTGGAACGCCGAGTGTCTGCCTTACAGCACTACGTGAGTCATTGTCTGTTATGTGTTGCTGTCGCTGACATCCATCGGAGCGGCGGGCTGTACAACAGATATTCTGTCAACCATGAGGCTTTCGTTTGGAAGATCCGCACGTTCGTCATCCTTCTTTCCATCATCTGCCGCCTGTGACTGATATTGTTATATCACTTTCTACAGGCTACCCGCCATCCGTCAGATCTTTGCCGACATCTGGGGTACCGACGACCTCATCGCCTCTTTTGACGGTATGAATGCTTCTATTCCTATCAACGCTAGCACCGGTCGAACGGATATCAGCCCCACAAAGCCTTGGCCTCGTATGTCTTTCCTGTCCCCTTGATGGCGCTGCCACAGGTGATGATAGTAGGATTAAAGCTGACACTTGGGTAACAGATATCGACCAGAACCCCCGCCAGGTAGCCAATTTTCAGCTGTACCAATCCATCGCCTGTCTCTCCCCTTCAGGTCCTTCCGACGGCGGGCTCTGCGTCCTCTCAAAATCGCATCTTTTGCATCAAAAATACTTCAAATCCATCGGAGGGTTCAAGCCTGATCAAGACGTTGGCGTAGCCGAGAATGGGTACAACTATAAGGATGGGGATCTGGATTGGTACAAGGCGAGAGGATGTGAGGAGGTCAAGATCTGCGCGAATGAGGGTGACTTGATTCGTAAGCTCCAACTCTTCTCGGTGGCGGGACAGGTTAACTGATCGAGCACATAGTTTGGGACTCGAGGACGATCCACTGGAATGCTTCTCCCACTGGCACCCAAACCCGATTCGCGACGTACATCTGTTACTCTCCCCAGACCCACATGTCGCCGACAGAGTTGGAGAGCAAGATCGAGATATTCAAAGCGCGCAAAGGGACGACTCACTTCCCTGTACGTTTCCTCTCTCCCTTCCACATCCTTCAATCAACATCAGAGTGCAGTGCTGACGATGTATCTCAGTATCTCAACCGAGTCCCAGCAGAACGTCCCGGGTACTATAATGCCCTCCCTCGCCGACCTGATGGATCGCTTGATCCTGCGAATCGTACGAAGCCTATGAAAGAGCCAGTGGAGACTGCAGAAGTTCTGAAAGCGGCCGGGGTGAGAGCTTGATTAGCTCTTTGTTCTTTGGGGTGTTGTCACACGTAGTAATTCCCTGAAATCACACAACTCCGCGCTCATGCCACTTCAGGGAATTACTACGTGTGACAGGTGTGCGTTGTTGTTTCTGTCTCGTTTCTGCCTGTATGGATGTGGTTTTCTCTTCTGTGATGATTTGTAACTTTTAAAGCACCCACAACTCACATACACTGCTTATGACGTGCGTTATGTACACAATCTCCCACACAAAGGACTACCGCTACTACTCCTCGTCATCGCCCGGATTCCACTCTCGCGACCTATAACTACGCGTAGAACCTCCCGTCCCTTTACTCTTCGGCTTCTTCCTCACACCACTCCCCGTATGGTCTCTCCCTACCTCCTCACTTCCTCTCCTACTCCTCGATCCACCTGCCGATGATGTATAACTGTTTCTGCGAGACGTTGCCTGCTTGCTATTGCGAGCAATGTACTCTTCCGGGGTCAGGCCAACGTCCTCAGCACGAGCAGTGGGTGCGTAGAAAAAGTAGCCGCTTGGATCGGGTGCTGAGATAGGAGGAGGTGGAGAAGGGGCGCCGGAGGCTTCGTCTTGTTCATTGTAGTTTTCAGGCTCGGTTGAGATAGGGATGAAGGCGGTGTTGTCATCCCTGTCGTTATCATAAATGTACTCGCCGCCATCATACTCATGGCCATCAGGTTGATAATCATTATATCCAGCCATAAGTGCTGATCCAGGGAGCTCAGGTGCTTTGGGTACCCCGTAGCCCCCATACAAAGACTGAGACTCCTCTCCGAGGAATATACCTTTCCCTTTACCTCTCGAGGGACCAGCGGAAGACTCGCCCATATTGGCTGAGGCCATACGGGAGGTGATATCGTCGCCGTAGTCATAGTCCATAGCAAAGTTTGACATGTTGTTTACGAGGTCGTCTGCCGTGCCATCATCATCTCCTCTATTGTGTGACGACATGGTATATTTCGCTGCTGGTTTCTAGAGATATATTTCGATAGTCCCCTCGGTGGAATCCAAGTACTTTAAAAAGCTCTTATGGAGATTTCACCTCCGAGGCATTACCGAGAGACCGTGAGAATTAGACATGTCCGTCAAGGGAGAAGATCAGCAATTATCACAGACGATAAACACCGCTCAGTACCTTTCTTGCGGCTGATTCCAACGTGAAAGGACAGTCGTGTAATGAAATCACGGGGCGTGCTAGACTGCACCGAAGTGCATACATCCTTCCACGGGCTGCGGTGGGCTGCGGCGTAGATATTATCGTCTCTCAAGTTGAAGTTCCCTACGTATGCCATCAGGAGAGCAGCCTCCTGCAAGTCTACGCTCAGTAGTTCACGAGCAGTATCACAAGTTCGTTGCATTGGTCATGACTACCAAAAGCGCCGCCATATCACTGCTGGTACTCATCCTGCTCCTCGCCGTCATCCGGTCTCCACTCCTGCCACCTAGAACTAATACTCGTAGTACTCGTCGTCGATTCCCCCGTTCCCTTCCTCTCAGTATTGATTTTCCTCACGCCGTGCCCACGATGTCGTTCCCTTCCGTCATCACCCTCTCTCCCAGCACCCCACTCACTACCTCTCCTGGTACTGGCTTCACTGCCTCTCCTATCGCTGACGCGACTGGAAGCAGCACTGCTTCTTCGGGACGCCGATCGACTGCGAGCAATGTAATCTTGGAGGCTATTGATCTCTTGCGCGTACGATGCCATCGCGTAGGCATAATAGTCGTCTGTCTCTTGATCGTCAGCTGAAGGCACAGGAGGGACAGAAGGCGCCCCTTGGTCGTCGTATCCTTCATAATAATTGGTGGGGTGGGTGGGATCGTCGTACCCCCTGTTGGCATATGCGCTCCAATTCTCTTCTGCTGGAACTTCGGGTACTCTGTGCTTGCGCCACCCTCCAAGTTGGAGGAGGTTTTCAGGCTCTTCGGTCATCTGGCCAGATCCCATGGAGAAGTTGGCCATGCCGTCCCCGAGGGCGTCGTCTGCGGCAAAACCGTCTTGACGGGGTACATGATGCGTTTGGTCGGTTGTTTGGACGGATGGTCTGGGTGTGGTGTGGTGGGTGTGGCTGCATGTTCATATGTATATCCAGGGGAGACGAATGTGGCTCGGTTGGTACATGAATAATCTTACAAAGCAGATATATATGGAAAAGAACGAGTTGAATGATCATTTGCAGCTCATGGCTCCGCTCGTCACCTTGTTCAGCGCTGGTTCGGGCGTGAAAGGAATCCAGCACGCCGTCGCGGGGTGTATCTCGCCCTATCGAAATGCTTGTCTACAGCCTATTTAGAGATGCAGCATGATCGTCTTTAGAAACAGCTGATGCTACGCAAAGACACTCTCCGAAGGCGGTTTGATAAATGGACAGAGGCTAAGATCGCAAAAAAAATATCAACGCTTGGCTCAGGATACTGTATCTATACGGCAGCCAATCTGCAATGGTATGCTTGATTGGGCAACCAAGTCAAGCCTTCGCTGGCTTTACAGTCGCATCAGGAACAAAAAGCAAAAAGAAATGATCGATGACAGGATCGAACTGCCGACCTTGGACTAATGACTCGTTTGAATTATTAGGTCCACAATCTAAACCAACTGATATAATCGACCAGTTTATGAACAAATTCACAGCAGGTGGCTCCCATGCTGCAATGGGATCAGCTCCACAGCGAACCTCGATAGAGGGACCGAAGACATCATAAATGGTCGGCCATGATTTGCCACAGAGAAATCGATCTGCACCGCTGCGTAACAGTTTCGAGCTAAGTCTGCCTAGGGCGACACATAAAGTAGTTTCAAGGCGATCGATCGTTCGATCGATGGACTGGCCCACCGACATCGTCCTCATAATCTGACCACCGACGACGTTCCACCGAGCGTTGTACACAATCCATTTAATTGCTACCATCACGCGGCTCTATGCATTTCTCGGAAGTTCCAGGAGCCCTCATGAGTTGCCAAACGATTCGGTAGGCTTCGGATTTGCAGCAACACGGACGAGCGGTGCCGACCGCCGCCGCCGGATAGCCGGGTCAAGTAACCGGTAATGGTCCACCGAGTCGCTCTTTTAAAATCTATCCTTTTACGAAAACAGAATCTTTTCATCCCTCAAACACCACCTCGCACACAGATATATATCCACCCCCAGGACATCAAGTGTCGACGCAAAGCTCGGGATGTCAAAGTACAATATCACAAATGCGCTCATGGAGCGTATCCATCACTTTGCCTCGTTTCCTCAAACAGGAGGTGAGTCTATTCTCCCTCCGATCTTATCAGAATTGACTGACATTGTCGCAGTATCACTCCAACAGATGATTCACTTTGGCCAACACCCAACGCCCGGTACGATCCTCAAAGCCTCCCAGTTCTTGGCGGAAGAACTGCCGATAAGATTATCGCATCGCGTCGTGGAGCTCGATGGGCTGCCGGATGGGCTCAACAAGATGCATAGTATACAGAAGGTGAAGGAGTGGTATGCTCAGAGTTTTGAAGTGAGTCTTGTATCGAAGAGAGGTTGGGGAGGTAGAAGGAGGTAGAGCAGGGGAGGGCTTATTCCCGATGAATGCCGCTCTGAGGAGCGATGGCAGTATGAGAAGGCCGGGGGAGTGTGATTATAAGCAGGCAGTGTACTGACAATGGATCTACAGGAACTAGTATCATTCCCGAAACCACGTTTCCGGGACCTCGCCCTCATCTCCGAGTACGCACCCCTTCATCTCCTTCCAACACTTCCCCTAACCAAGCCTTAGATCTCGCAAACCCTTCCCCAGCGCCACCCCCAACCCCTCCCTCGACCCCCTCATGCAAGAAGGTCCCTCCGGCGGCACCCCCCTCCCCTCTTCCCGCCCCCAAGGCCAAATCATCCGCACCCTCAATGGCACCTCCCTAACAACGCACAAAACCCCACCTTCCTCCCAAGGGCAGCACAACCTCGCCAAAGGTCATCCCAACCGCTACCGCCCCCCTATAGAAAGACGGCACTATTCCCCGCCTTCTGCGGCGGTAGAGTACCCACCGGAGGTGTTGGAGTATAACGAAAAGTTTACGAAAATGTTGGAGAATATTAAGAAGAGGCATGATCCGACTGTGACGGCGGTGGCGCAGGGGGTGTTGGAGTGGAAGAAGAAGCAGAAGGGCGGGAGGATTGGGGCGCCGATACAAGAGTTTCTAGACCGGTTTTATATGAGTCGGATTGGGATTAGGTTCTTGATCGGACAGCGTGAGTCCTGCCTTCTTATACTAGAAGACAAGCTGATGAGAAGAAAGATGTGGCGCTGAATACGCTCCAACCCCACCCGGACTACGTCGGCATCATCTGCACCAAAGCCAACATCCACGACATCTGCCACGAAGCCATCGAAAACGCGCGCTACGTCTGCGAAGAACACTTTGGTCTCTTCTCCGGCCCGCCCATCCAGCTCCTCTGCCCGCAAGACCTCCATTTCCCCTACGTCCCCGGCCATCTCTCGCACATCTGTTTCGAGTTGCTCAAGAATTCCCTGAGAGCTGTGGTGGAGAGGTATGGGGCGGATAATGAAGACACGTTTCCGCCGATCAAGGTGGTGGTGGTAGAAGGGAGTGAGGATATTACGATCAAGATTAGTGATGAGGGGGGCGGTATTGCCCGAAGCGCTATCCCTATGATCTGGACGTGAGTGCCCTTCCCCTTGCCCCTCCCCCTTGCCCCTTGCCCCTTGCCCCTTGCCCCTGCTAACAATACCCCCAGCTATCTCTACACAACAATGTCCGACGAAGGCCTCGAAACCAACATCGAACAATCCGACTTTAACGCCCCCATGGCCGGATTCGGGTACGGCCTCCCCCTCTCTAGGCTGTATGCACGATTCTTTGGCGGGGACCTGAGGTTGATCTCGATGGATGGGTATGGGACGGATGTTTATATTAGTTTGAATAAACTGAGTTCTTCGTGAGTCTACTTTTTTTTTTTTTTTTGCGATTGGGGGTGGAGCTGATGGTGGGGTGTAGGATGGAGCCTCTTCAGTGAAGTGTGTCTGGCGCATGCTTGTACGATTGCCGTCTTCCCTACACTTGTTACTCATATATACCATCTTTGTTTGCAGTATCCATCATAAGCTCGTGTTTCTGTATCTTCTGTACCACTAGGGGGTTTGTTAGGAGAGAAGTTGTCGGAGCGAATGAGAAAGAAGCCAAAATAATATGCAAAACTATGCCTTGCCATTTTTCGCTTTGTGGTACAAATGCATTCAGTCATTTCATAATACTCCATCAACCATCCCCTCCTCCCCTGTCATGATACAGACACACGCTCTACTTTTTCCCATCCTTCTCCTTCTCCTTCTCCTTCTTCTCCTCCTCCTCCTTTTCCTTCTTTGCCCGGGCGACGTCTTCAGCCTTAATGCCGGCCGCTTCGGCGCGCGCTTGGTCGGCTTTTTCGGAGGGAGATTTGGAGTCTTGGAGATCTTGGTGGGCGTTTTGGATTCGGTTTTCGACTAACCCCACTTTATCAGTACTGCTTCAAGAATGAAAGACGGAGACGGAGAAGGTAGACGAAGAGAAAGGAGAAGGAGAAGAGGGAGAAAAGACTCACTTAAATCATGCAGCGCCAAAACCGTCCTAATCAAACTACTCAAAAACACCACCAACCCCGAATCATTCACCCCCTGCCTGAACGCCTTGCCCAGCTCCACATCCCCGCCCAACTGGGGCAAAAGCCCGACAATCTCTTGGAGGTGGTAAATGACTTGATGGTTGATTGGCAGTTTGTCGGCGCGGACGGCGGAGAGGTATTCGCCGATTTCGAGGAGGCGGGCGTGCAGGCCGCGGAGGGCTTGGAGCTGAGAGGATACGCGGGTAGAGAGGGATTGTGTCGTCAGCAAACTCGAGCTGGGAGCACCAGCAGAAGCAGAGATATCCCTCAAAAGATGCTCCACCCCAATCTCCTCCGCCTCCTCCGCCTCAATCGTCGTCCCCACATGCGTAAACGTCCTCTGCGTGCTCGAGCCGTCATCTTTGATCTCTTCGACGGCGAAATAGGCGTCGGTGGGGATCCCGGTCTCGCCCCGGCCGCCAGAGGTGCGGGTGTCGACGATGAGCATGAGGGGGCGGGAGGAGAAGCGTTTGAAGAGGGAGGTGATTTCGAGGTCGGAGGAGCGGAGGCGAGGGCCGGTGTGGTAGAAGCCGATGGGACGTTCCTTGGCTTCAGGGAGTGTTAGTATTTTAGGGGGAGGAGGAGGGGAGGGGAAGGGGGAGAGGGCGTACCGTTTACTTTACGAAACATTCTCCACATCTCCTCGACATAGTCCAAATCCAAGAAGAACGTCTTGGGATCACGCTCATCTTCCTCAAAAGGGATAGCAAACCTGTTGCCCATCAGCATCGCCTCTGCGTTCACCCAAATCGAGGGGGGAGGGAGGGAGGACTAACGAGTTGGCGACGTTGACGGTATCACCTTCATCTTGGCCTAACAGCACGCCGAGGACACGCTTGTTCTTTGATAACGGCACACGCGCGGCATGGTCGACTACAGACAAAAGTACGAGGGGGTGGATCACGCTACATAAAGATCAGTAATGGGGTGGGGACGTGAGGAGAGAGGACGAACACGTTGGTCGCGCTGAGTTCTGTCACCTGAATATCGGTCAGCACGGTGTATCTAGGGAGGGGAGTACTGACCTGGGCAGTTGTGAGTCCCGGCATGGTATGGAGAAATGGGGGAGATGGATGGATGTATGGAGATGGTCGCGATGAAAGAGAAGAGTGGGACGCTGACGCGTGCGGGATCAAATCAGCGGGGAGTGCCGCCTCCACTCTCCGCTCCCACCTGGGTCTGTAAGGACCTCTATCATTTCTATTCTCTTACAATTCGATTGCAATGGCCAGCCCTCTAGATCCCAACTCTCTGCTCAACACGCTCCAAGGGCTGCTGCCGAGGGGCACAACTTCCCCCCTCCCACACCCCACAGACGCTCCCGCCGCACTCGTACACGCCATACACACTGCCCTCGGCTTCCGCCTCGTCCCCTCCCAGACATTCCACCCCCACCCAACTCCCGGGCCGAATGATGATCGAGAAGAAGATGTGGACGATAACCAATCTGAGATCACCGCCGTCGACCCCGACCCCACCGACGATGCACCCACGCCGAACGCTCTCGGCCAAGACTGGAACACCCGGGGAGAAGATTCATACACCTTTGAATACAGGCATGCGCAAAGCGCCATGGTCTTCAGAGTCAGGGTGGGAAGGATGGGGGGGAGAGTGCAGGTTGATGCTATGGCAGAAGTAAGTGACAAGAAGTGGCGACGTTAAAGGATTGATGCTGAGTTTGGATGTAGGATGGCGAACCACACAACCTTTCTATCGTCCTCGCCGACCTGGTCCAGCCGGCGTCTTTCCCCATCCCGAGTCCAGCTACGGCTTCCTCGGCGGAATCTAGCGATGGTGGTGATGCGGCCAAGAAGCTGGGGTTCAAGTCTCTTACCGAGTACGTCCTTCCCCAGGCCAAGCGGGATTTGAATCTGACGAAGGGATTTGATAGTGTGAATACCTTTGTGGAAAAGTACGATCGCGAAATTATATCAAAGCTTCTTCCAGGACTTGACATTCCAGGATACACCCAACCGTACGTCCCCATCCCTCATCCCTCATCCCTTCTTGCCTTCTTACCCGTTGCTGACGTTTTGGATACAGAAGTTCATCAAACTCGCGCCAACCACCCAACCCACCCGGCTCTTCCAACCCTGCAGCAACCCGCCCCACCTACCCCTCCCTCCTCGAAGACCCTCCCCTCCGCTCGGGCATGAACCCCGCCTCCATCGGCCATCGCGACCTCGACCCTTTCTCCGGTCTCCGCCCCGGCGCGGGGTCGGGGTTCAACCCCGGGTCGGATGGAGGTGGTATGCTGGTCGATTTCAACCATCCCCTCTTTGCTGGCCGACGCCAAGGCGGAGGGCTGGGAGGAGGGTTGGGAGGGGATGATATAACAGGCCCAGGTGGGAGTGTACAACCGCCTGGGGCGAGGTGGGATCCTGTTGGACCGGCTTCTGGGGGGATCGGGCCGAGACCCACCCCGGGTGCGGGTGGGTTTGGCGGTGGCGTGGGAGGAGGAAGGAGTGATAGGTGGGGCGACGAATTGGCACCTCCGGGAGAGTTTGGGCCTGATCTGGGACAGCTCGGTGGACGTGGTTCAAGCGGTGGAGGATTTGGTGGTCTTGGAGGTGGACTTGGAGGCGGGCTTGGTGGGCTTGGTGGGCTTGGTGGAAGAGGCGGTCGAGGTGGAAATGGAGGTGGCGGAGGAGGAGGGTTTGGTGGGTTGGGAGGAGGGGGTGGATTTGGTGGTGGGATGTATATGTAAGAAGCAGATGGGGTCAAGTCGTTGTATTTAGGTTTCATGAAGCACAGTGTCATGTATGTACCATACTCGTCTGTACATAGTCTTGCAAAGATGTAACACCACATATGTGCATACCACACCCTCTCTCCCCTCTTCCCTTTTACAGCACAGCACAGCCCAATCTACCGCTTCAGCGTCCTCTGCTTCTCCGCACTTTCCACAATCTTCCTTTCCACCCACATCCCCTTCCTCCCTCTAACCGCATCCACATACCCTTTAGCAACATTCGCCCGGTCCGCTTTTTCCCCGAGGTCCTCGAGTTCTTCGAGGGTGGTGGGGACCCAGAAGGGGTCGAGGGGGAGGAGGGTGTAGCCGGAGAAGATTAGTTGGGGGGAGGCTGCGCCGGAGGTTCTTTTGCGGATCTCTATGGGACGATAAGGGGTCAGTTTACGAGTGAGGAGGGGGCAGGGGCAGGGGAGAAGAGGAAGAGGGGACGTACCATCAGCGAAACCAAAAGATTCCACCACAGGCAAGATCGACCGGATCGTGAAAAAGCTTGTACCCTCCTTCATCTCTTCCGAGACGATCCTTCCCCTGCGTCTTGCTACGACTCCGTATACTTTGCCCAATACATCCGCTACGCCCAAACATCAATATCAAAGCCCAAAGAAAAGGAAAGGGGAAGGGAAAGGGAAAGAGGAGAGGGGACGTACTGGAAGCTTGGATGTCGCAAGTGTACATTGCAAGTTTGATCCTCGGGCTCCAGTCGAGCATACCTTGCCTACACGCATCTCGTACAGCTGAGATCAATGCGCCCCCAACAACCTGCCCCCCTGCTCCTCCTGCACCTATTCCGCCGCTTGCGCCAGCGGCGTTACCGCCAGCGAGCTCAGAGTCGACCTCGACATACTCTACAACCCACGCCATCCCCACTATCGGTTCAGCACATAACGGCCCTTGGAAGGTGGCTAGTTGGAACCCGGCGAGGAGGGAAGATTCGTAGTCTCGGATCAGCCTCAGCTTGGCTCTTGCGGACTCTGATTGGGCTGGGTCTTCGGTGGAAGAGGAGGGAGAAGCGTCGGAGTGGGCGAGTTGGTTGAGGGTGATGGCGTTGTCGGCTGTTTGGAGGGCGTCATCCGCAGATTGACCTTGGGCGCGGGCTTTGGCGAACAGCTGTTCTTTCCCTCTCAACCTATTCCTCCATCAGCTCCTTGTCCTCCCCTTTTCCTTGAAACGTGGAATGGCAAGACGTACCTCAAAACACCCTTCTGAACAGGGTCCAAAAGCACATTCCCCCCAACCCTCTTCGGCCCAAAACTCCAGACCCTATCCGCAGCCCCCACCCATTCCCCGCCGGCGGTGTTGAACAATCGTTCGAGCTCTTGCCAGAACTCTTCCGGGTTTGCCGCTTTTTTGGATTGTTCGGTTTCGTCTTCGGCGAGGATGGGGTCGGATTCTGTTTCGGCGAGATCGGTTTCGTCGGTGTTGGGGTCGTCTTCGGCAGGGTCGGGGGTAGAGTTGGAGGAGGAGGAAGAGCGTTTACCGACCAACATCCTTCTAATTAATCCTCTGTTCTTGCCCAAAAAGCTTTCCACCCCTTCCGCCAGGGGTACCGCCCTCACAATAAACTTGACAGCTCCACCCCCAATCTGCCCCTCCACAGTCCCCCTCCCCTTCCCCGCCGGCGCCTTGGAAGGATTCATATCTGTCACCTTCACCGCCGTCTCCCTAAAAGGCACAATCGGCGCCGAAGGCTGTATAGCACACCTCGCAAAGCGCTCGCGAAGATCTCGAAGACATCGTTCGAGGTGCAGTTCACCAGCGGTGAGGATGACGTGTTCGCCGGTTTCTTGGACGAGGTATTCGGCGCAGGGGTCGGATTGGTGCAGGATTTGGAGGCCGCGGATGAGTTTTGGCATGTCGCCTTTTTTTTTTTTTTTGGTCAGCATGTTTGGAAGAAGGGAAGAGGGGAGGGAAGGGGGGACGTACTAGGATTCTCAGGTTCCAGCGCAACTCGGACAATGGGCGCCGCCGCATTACCAACCCCCGCCAAATTGACCATCTCCCCTCTCCCTTCTCCTCCACCAACAAGCTCGTCATACCCCTTAGCATCCCCAGCCCACAAAGTCCCACTCCTCCCCACCCCCCCTTCCAGTCCCCTAATCGCACAAACATGCCCCGCCGGCACGCTCTCCACTGAGACGAGCTCTCGGCCCATCATCATGTAGAGGTCTGTCGCTATGAGGGGGACTATATGTTTTGAATTCGAGGGGTGGAGGAGCGGGGAAGGAAGAAGGGGGTTGAATTTGGGGAGAAGGCAGAGGAGGGGAGTGTGGCGGTGGAGGGTACCGGAGAAGATCCGGGAGAAACCGAGGATGATTTCAGAGTCTTCTTCTTCTTCTGTCTCTTCTTTGCCTTCTTTGCCTTCTTCAGCGTTCTCCAAGTTCAAGTCTTCGAGCGGCTTCATAACACTCTCCACCCCCACCCCCGCCCCCGCTCCCTCCACCCCATCGGCTCCCTCACCCCCAGCTTTTCGCGCCTCCAACAACCTTGCTCGACGCTCACGTTCTTCTTTACCGCGAGCGCGCATTTCTTCAGCAGAGATTTCTTTCGGCTTGAACTCTGGTAGTTCGGAGTGGCGGACAGCAAACATTTTTGAGACGTACGCCGTCACCGGCGCGCTTTCGCTTTGGTCGCACGTGTAGAGGGCTTTTTCGAGGGCGTTCCGCGGTTTCAGAACCGGCCCTCCTAACCCTTTCCCTCCTCCTGCCCCAGAAGCACCCTTCGCCTCTTCCGGATGTAACATATGCGGCAATCTGATACCCTGAGCGCTCAAGGGGGAGGGGATGATATCAATAATGGCTTGGAAAGTGGTAGTGGAGAGGGGCAGCCATTGTTGCATGATGAGGTTCAAGAGGTTGCGGGTGTCTTTGGAGCGGAGGTCGCGGGGGGGGATGCGGAGGGAGAGGGAGGAGACGATTTTTTGGACGGCGTCGGGGTTGCTGAAACAAACGTGTTGGTATGAGGATGGGCTAAGGGGGAAGGGGGAGGGGGGACGTACTGCTCTTCGAGGACGGTTTCGTACACTTTCCAAATATTGTCGAGCACGAACTGGACAAACATCGGCTTCAAGTTTCTCCCCGCGAGCTTTTTGCGTCCGACGACGCGCTTGGTCTTTGGGTCGAGGTACCAGTCGCCCCAGAGGACTCTGCGGAGGTTGCTTTCTTTGACTTTGAGTTTGTCGGCGTAGAGGCGTGCAAACTTGCCGAGGCGGAATGCCCAGCCGTCGATGGCGGAGGCGAATAGTACGTTACCCTTGTCTGGTGCGAAATAGATATCTTCGTCTTCCTTCTCTTCATACTCTTCGTCATCATCCAGATCATCCCCTTGCTCTTCCATCTTCCTCGCCATCCTTTTCTCCCTCTCCTCCCTCCACCTCAAATCATCTTCCATCCTCTCCGAGGCGTACAAAGAACCCATGACGGCGTTGACTTGCTCGATGAGCTGGGCGATGTGGTGGTATGCCTCGGTGGGGGTGAGTTTGAGTTCGGTGATGAGGCGGTCCATTTTGTTGATGACGAGGAGGGGTTTGAGCTTGTCCATCCATGCTTGGCGGAGGACTGCGATCGTCTGTGTACACACGCCTTCCCACACATCCACTAGCACCAACGCCCCATCACAGAGCCGGCTCGCGGTGGACACTTCACTAGCGAAATCCACATGCCCCGGCGTATCAATCACATTACAAACGCACTTCTCCGTCCTCACTTCCCCAGAGGGAGGGTGGAGGCGAGCCATGTCGAAGCGGAGCGAGACGGCAGAGGATTCCATAGTGATACCGCGGGCTTGCTCGTCTTCGCGGGAATCGAGGAAACGGAGTTTGCCAGCGAGACGGGTGGAGATGATGTTGTTGGAGGAGAGGAGGGAGTCGGCGAAAGAGGTTTTGCCGTGGTCGACATGGGCGACGATTGTCACGTTCTGAGAGTGTCAGCGTGGGGGTCGGAGGGGGAGTAGGAGGGGGGCTTACTCTAGTGTTTTCGAGGGGAACTGCGAATGATTCTGCCATCGTGATATAGAGCAAAAGTAGAAAGAGGGAGAAAGAATGACGAGTGAAATATCATGTCCGGATCCGGCTGCCCGTGTCCGCATCCGGATCCGCCGCATGTCCGGGCGGGCGACTCTGCAATTATTTCCAGATTATTTCCATCTCACCCATCGCATACTTACCATGTGGCCCTTCACCTCTGCCACCCCTGCCCCCGCTCAGCATCCCTCGCCAGAAGCATCAGCAGACAAATGTCCTGTCGACCATACTACACGGCAGACATGGCTCGCCAATAATCCTTCGACGCCGCATCCCTTCTCTGCCCCCGCCGCCGCTGCTGCTGGCCCCGTTGCTGGGCCGAGTTCGGCGCCTGGACAGGTCTCGAAGCCTGCGCAGCAGATACAGCCGAGACTATCCCAGCAACGAGTCATCTCGTCCATACCCAGGGGTTCGTCCGAATCGCCGAATGCCGATTCCCCAGGCATGTCCCTCCGCGAAGACGCCCCCTCCTACCCCCCTTCCCCCTCCTCCTCCTCCTCTCCGGCCCATGCACAACCAGAAAAAGACGCCTCAGGCAACTGGATCTACCCCTCCGAACAACAATTCTTCAACGCCATGCTTCGCAAAAAACACAACCCAAACCCCTCCGACATGCGCACGATCGTGCCGATACATAATGCGGTGAATGAAAAGGCGTGGGAGGAGATTCTGAAGTGGGAGCATGGGGTTGATGATGGGGGGAGGGGATGTGGGGGGCCGAAGCTTGTTAGTTTTGTGGGAAGACCGCAGGAAAGGACGCCGAAGGCTTTGATGAAGGGTCTACTTGGGTATGTCCCCTGTCTTTCTCTCTCTCTTCTCCTTCTCCCCCCATTCTGTATCGCTAACCTCCTGCAAAGGTACACAGCCCCCTTCGACAGACACGACTGGGTCATCGACAGGTGCGGTACCCACATCCGCTACGTTATCGATTTCTACACCGGCCGCGCGGGGGTGGATCAAAGAATCGCGTTTCATTTGGATGTGAGGCCGGCGGTGGATGATTGGATTGGGGTGAAGACTAGGGTTGTGGGGTGGTGGAATGGGGTTTAAGCCTTCTAGGCGTCTGGGGGCTTGGGGGTTTGGGGGTTTTTGCTCTATCGCTAAAGTGGATACGGGCGTTGCTTTTGTGTCTCGTTGTTGATCATCGGTTTTCCTCCCAGTCCATGAAGGTTCATCAGGTATCTCCCGGCTCCAAGTGCATGGCACAGTAGCACATGTCTTTCGGACCACCGGAGGAGGCACCCGCGAGACGGCTGTCGGGAGGGAAACAGTGGACTTTGACTTTTGTCTTTGCTGCCGTTTCTTGATCGAGGATCTCTTCACCTTCCCTTCTCTTACTCCTCCGATCTTTTCCGACCCCCGACGCTCCAACTTTTTTACTACGAAAGCAACTCTAAGGACGACATACAGAACCGAAAAAAAAGAACGAATTCAGTGACTCACGCTATATATCCGCGCTTCCAATTCTCATAGTTGAGCCGATACCTTTCCACATTTGCATCATTCATGTCGTGTCATCCCAAAGACTAAAGGCTATTTCCTAAAAGACAGAGACTAGAGACTAAGAGACTCGAAGACTACCACCTAACGCTTCCCCTGCCCCGGCCCTTGTGTCCAAGCACCATCATACCCCAACTGACTCCGATCCCACCCAGCTTCCTCTTCCCCTTCTGGTATGGTACGCATGATGACGCCGGCGGCTCTTTGGAAGAGCGTTCCGTCCACCTTTTCTAGCCCTTGCAGCTCGGTGCCGTTTTTGGATGATGGTGGAGGGGAGAAGGAGCCCGCAGGCAGAGAACCAAACAACTGGGAGTAGAAGACGAGGGAACGGATTGATTTGACAATGTGAGAATCTATAACCCTTGATCAGCACCGCGACAAAGAGACAAGAGACGAGAGAAGGGCAAACGGGGTGGACGAACCTGGGTAGGATAGGGATCTGTCGATGATGTCCAGCCATACATTCTTGCCTTTTCCTTTTCCAACGGGGGGGGAGGGGTCGAGTAAGGACTCTATCGTCTTCCCCTCCTTCCCCTCGTCCTGCTTCGACCCCACATCAGAATCAGAGGAGGGATAAAGATCGTAAGACATGATCAAATTGGGGTTCAACGGCGGTCTTCCCCTCGAAATAGCGATCTGAAAAAGCACCAACAAGTACGTTTTGAGGAATGCGCGGATTTGGGGTGGGGAGAGGAGGGGGAGGTAGGCGGGGATGAAGATGGAGGATGTTAGGGCGTGCATCTGCCTGGCTGTCAGTCGCGTTCTGGGGATGAGAGAGAGGACGCGAGGGAGAAAGAGAGCAGAAGCAGAAGAATGGGAAGAAGAAGGGAGTTAACGTACAAGGAAGAAATCCACCCTCGGCTCATATCCTTTTCGCCCCGTCCCACAAGCCAACAAAGTCGTAAACACACCCATATCTCTCATGAGACCCTCCCATCCAAATTTGCCTCCTTCCCCTTCATAGTCTTCCTTGAGAGAAACCTCCCAACCTTCGACAAGCCCGACCAAAGCTTCCCCACGGCCCTCAGAGACAGCAGAGAGTAGTTGATCGTTGATCATAGATTCGGGGTTGTAGGGTACTGGTTTCAGGGTAGGATCGTTGACCAAGGCTGTATACAGTTCGGCGAGAGAGGGGGCTGGTGAAGAGGGAGAAGGAGAGGGGACGGGAGAGGTGAGCCATGATTGGGTTAAGGATGGGGAGATAAAGGGGGTGATGAGTGAGTCGGGGTGGATGGCTGCTTCTGCTAATCTGCATCTCATTTGTTAGCTAAGCTTCAGCATCCGAGAGGGGATTGTCCAAAAAGAGAACGGAAGTAGAGAAGAGAAGGATAGAAAAAGAACTCACCCTTCAGCGAGAACGATCGGATCCGCAAATTCGAGGCCAAATCCTACATGGATCATGGGATGTAGGGCACCAGCCATGAGGCGGTTGAGCATGTTGGGTGTTTTTGGTTTGCTTTGCTGTCCCGTGGATGAGTAGGGAAACGGGGTGAAGGGTTCCCAGTTGGCTTGCGGGGAGAAGATGTATTCGATCAGAGCGCCTTGGGATCCGAGGCGTGCGATTTCGGAATGGAAGAATGGGAGGTAGAGAGAATAGTGCCTATTCCAACATCAGCACATGCTCCTTCTCCACCAGGATAGATGGGATACGTACCCCTTGTTACCCAGAAACGCTCCCCAATTCCCACGATCAATCTTGTCCGGCAACTTGTCCGCATTGACGTCTTTCCGGTCTGGTGCCCGGGGGTCGAGGGAGACGAGATGAGACTTATCATGCTCCCACGTTTTGCGTAAGAGGTGCGGGGGAGCGCCGAGGGCATAGCGGGTGAGGAGGGAGTGGGGGAAGTGGTTATGCGCGACTGTTTATACGTTATGAGTATGGTGCTGTTAGAGAGGTCCTCTATTCCGGCTAGCGCGGGGTTTGCGCGGGAGAGAGGAAGTGGACGAACATCGCCTTGATTCGTATATATCATAGTCCCTGTTGTTCTCCTCCAGCACCTCTCTAGCGACTTTCGTACTCTCGGAAGAAAGACCGGGGAAATGAAAGTAGCCGGAGGGTTTTGTGGTTGATGGGGGAAAAGCGGAGGGGGCAAGGGTGGACATTGTTCCTCTGAGGGAGGGAGGAGATGGGCGGGGGGGCATTGCTGGTGGGGAAGAAGAAGAAGAAGAAGCCGGGATTATATGGACGGGAGAGAGATAAAGTGGAGCATCATCGGCGACACCCGGCGATGACCGTCGGCTATCTCGACACACCTACCAGATGCCGGATCTATGATTAGTCCATGCATCACTGCTTCCGGAACTGGAGTTGGTCCCATTATAAGAGAGCTCACTCTCTCTGCTCGTCATGATGGATGCATGCCGAGAACAGTTGCACAGGTCGACCCATCCGAAGGATTTCTGCCGGAACACACACACTTTACACTGCCGCACCTCGGTAGTGAGCCCCTCGTGTGCGAGCAACAGGCCTCTGTCTGCCTCGAGTGTCGTAATAGTATCATAAATACATATTTTACAAGACATTGTCCAGCGAGCCTCGCGCAAAGTCAGCTGCTCAAGAAATCTGACTTCTACACTCCACGTCGACCCTCAACAAGCATCTTACCAATCCCCCGCATCTCCTCTCTCCCATTCCCCCGCTTTCCAGAACGTCCCCAGCTCAACATTTTGGAGCGACTGCACAGCTATCCTAGCGTACGGCAACCACGACCCCTGCGCCTCCAAAATCTTCTTGATAGCGTCCGCCTTGGAGCGGAGAGAAGAGATACTGGTTCCGAATGTGGTATGCGAGTAGGGGGATGTGATGATGTGTTGGGAGGTTGTGATCAGGACACGACCGATGATGAGAAAAATGACAGCAAGGCAGACTGTGTATGATTCTGTTTATCGCGTCAGCTCTGATCATAAAAGTCTATAAAAAACGAACGGAGTGTAGGATCGCCAGATGATTGAACCACATGGGTGTGTTCTAGCATTTGTTGCGCGGCATCGAGGAGTCGGTCAAGGTGACCATGTTTGTGAGTATAGCCAGATTCAAAATCCTCTTTGGCGTGGAGAATACACATCGTGCTATCGTGACGTTAACTCTGAGCCATGTGAAACCTCTCAAAACTCACGCGTAGAGCAACACCCATGCCTGCGTGGCCTCCGTCGTCTCGGGGCCCCACTCTCCCTTGACTTGTCGCAGGTATTGCATATACTCGCTCGTCAACTCTGAGATCTTCTCCCTCTCTTTCCTCACATCCGCCTCCGACCCTGACGCGTCGAAGAGGTGGAACGCCCGATGGAACAGAGTGATGGCTTTAATTTGCGCACAGAAATCAGAGTCGGGTATTGGCGTAGAAGGGAAGGCATGTTCGGAGGAAAGGAAAGTGCGGACGGTGGAGTTGTCGAGGAGGGTTGATGGGGTCGTGGTGTCCTTGGGAAATGGGGTGGTGATGTCCGTCTCCGAGTAGGCTACATCTCCGTCAGTCCGTAGCACATGGCATATGACTGTCAGACTTACACGCAGGCCAGCCACACCCTGCGGAGGACACAAGGTCAAGCATATAGGAAAACCAGCTGAGAATAGTCAGCGACCGCTGGTGGATCCAAGAGCAACTTACAAGAGATTGATCCTCTCGTACAAATCTTGAGAACTTGTACACGGCGGAACGATTGCCCCTTTGTGCATGACAACCCTCAGCGACCTTTCCTTCTCCAAGCGCTTCATACTGGTTTCCAACTCATTGTCGTAATTTCCGAGATTCGCTACAAATCTCTCGCCCACATGGCCAAGCTTTACGAATCCTCCCGCCCTCAGCAGCCCCGTCGACGTTGCACACTCCACCCAGCCTTCGATATGCTTTGCATCATTGAAAAATGCAAAGGACCGAAGGGCGCTGGCGATGACCAAATCGTGCATGCGGTGATCGCCTTGGGCGATGGCATCGACGGCGCGTTGCCTTGATTGTGCGAGCAAGAGGGAAGGGAGGGAAGGGTCGTGGAAGCAAGGGTATGGAGAGAGGACAAGTATTGAGGGGAAGAGAGCAAGGAGAAGAGAGGGGTGGATCGGGGCTGTGGATGATGGAGATAGGCGGCGTTCAAGAGTATCGGGGGGCATGGCGTATCGTATCAGGGGCATAGAAGAAGCGTTGATGTACAGCCGAACCCTGTTTCAAGATCAGCATATCGTTCAGTCCAGAAAAGGGGAGCTTACAGATGAGTCACCATACTCTCACCAACACCCTGCTGACCATCTGCAGCCTTGACGAGCTCTGCGGCTACTTGATTCACGTCCATCGTCTGCCAAGTCGCATCTCCAGCACCGACTCGAGTATTGCTCGCTGCCGCATCGGCGAGTGTCATGAGATCCGGTTCGGGAATGACTCTCTGGTCGGAGGCAAACCTGCTCAACTCCAACCCGGCCAGTGTGATGTGGTCTTCGTAGACTGGCTCCATGACGCCTGATCCCGAGCCTGATCCTGACTTTTCTCCGTTCCCCATCTTCTTCTCCAGTTCCTGCAACCTATCTTCCAGCATCTTGACTCGACTCCGCTGCTTCTTCTGCGCATATACACACTCCCGCCCGGTCTTGGTACAGTTGGCGCATGCTGGCTGCTCGGCTGAACACTTGAGTTTACGCCGTTTGCAAAATTCGCAAGCGCCCCCACGTGCGAGCATGTTGGCGCGAGATGTGGCTTTGCGCTTATTGGATGTGAGCTGAGATGGGGAGTCCGAGGTTGAGGCCGAGGTTGAGGCCATATTTGACAAGGCCGGGTCGATGTTTGGAATTTCGTCCCTCTGCTGGCCGCCCAGAGTACCGAGCCCAACTACATCCTCGCCATCTTGCCCTATCGACATGCCTCCATTCTCGCCGAACAGCGTCCTGAGCGCTGAAGCCGTCTCGGTCTCTCCTTGGTGCGTGCCGGGGTTTGGTTCGGCGATTTTGGACGGGGAGACATCGGCTTGGGCTGATGCAGCGTCGGAGGAAGAGGTAGAGGGCGGTGGGCGGTCGGGTTGAGTCTCGCGAGAGGGGGTGTTCGATGTGGGGGTCGAAGAGGACATGGCAAAAGTCCGGCGCGACTGAGATTTGGAACCAAATTGTCAACAGCACGGAGCAGACAGGCGAACTCCATGTCGCGGCGGGAACGAGTTTGGCTGATTATGTAACCAGAATGGCCGTCGTCTGTTGGATATGATGGGTTGATGATGGGGCGATCTGCCCTATGCCCATCCAAGAGAGAATGATATGAAAGATGACTCACTCTTTGAGGTTGAGTGTTGCGCAAACTTCATCGGTGTAAGGAGTCCAGTCGTGTTCGGTCTATACTTTGCCAGGGGGTGTTTCAAGAGAGAGAGAGAGAGGATGCCACAGACGACATGAGCACGACACACTCTTAATGGCTACATGCAGTCGGTCAGTATCGGTGATGTAAGGCACACAAGATGGGAGAAAGGGTCAACGGCGTGAGAAGTACTAGAAGACTCTTGATCGTATCGGAGGATCCGCAGAACGGGTTCATTGGTCGGGCCCTTGTAGTCTTCCCAAGTGTGGTTGAGGCTGTCAAGTCTGTCTTCAAGTCAGCATCTATGAAACTTAAACGAGGGATGAAGCGGAGATACTCACGATACTCACTTGGGAAGAGATGCCCCCAAACTGGCAACAGCATCGACTCCGTCCAACAACCCGGTCAAGTCACCCTTGGTCAAGTCTGGGACAACAATGATTTCGAGCTCGCTGTAAGAAATTGGAGGCAACAGAGCGTCCACGTTCCGATGGAAATTGTGTAGAGGCAGACATCGCATTAATTGAGTACACAACTCTGGGCTCAGCGAGCAAAAAAGGAGACATGATTTCAGAAAGACAAAAAAGAAAGCCTCCGGCGGGGCTCGAACCCGCAACCGCACGATAAACTGATGGCCCGTAACCGGTTCAAGCAGACTCGTAAGAGTCGTGCGCGCTACCGATTGCGCCACGGGGGCTTCATGATTGATGTGTTTATGGGCACCCCATGATCATAGTACAGGGCCAACGTTTACTTCAACCGCTGAATGGCGTTCTTCGAAACGGGGAGGATTGTAGAAGGGCCATAAGCATAGACTGTAGATGAAGAAGGGACATTGCCTTGAGTGAAAAGAACAGCAACTTTGACCACTCTTGCAGGCTTCATTTATACGTAGGTGTTGCGGTAAGCGGGATCAGATTAGCCGCCTGCTACGTAGCGCTGCATTTTAACGCCCATCACCATTTGTGTCTCTGGCATCTACAACACAGCTTGGTCCCAGCAGCTCATCCCCCATACACTTGGTGCCCTCGCTCGATCTCTCTTACCCCTTCAAGCACCCTCAAACACCTCAAGAGGCCCAGATCAGAAGCCCATCTGAAGTCCGCCATCCGCCGTAATCTTCCATCAACACTCGCGACAGATGTCTCCCTCTGCCCCCACTCCAGCTACTCCATCCAACTACGCACTATCAGCCTACGGAAACTACCCTTCCACCTCCGCGTCCGCATCAGCGCCCACGCCATCGGGAAGCCACAGCGGGAGCACCACCACTCCCGATGATGGCCGCGTCGGCCACGGCCAAGGGGATGGACAAGATGATACGGAACCGGGGAGGAAGAGGAGGAAAGTGACGAGGAGTAGGCTTGGATGTTTTACGTGTAGGAAACGGAGAAAGCTCTGTGATATGGGCAAGCCGGTATGTCAGGCGTGTACGAGATTGAAGATGGTGAGTCTCCGATGATAGTCGCGTTGGTGCAAGCTAATCGTGTGTAGGAATGCGTTTACCCCCCAGATGGAGGAGCGAGGCCGCCAGAAGAACTGCGGCGTAAATCGGATCCCGCCAATCCGACAAAGGCCAAGGGGCATACACCTTACTCTCAAAGCGCCAACGTATACCATCCGCATTTATCTCCCAAACAACTATACGATCCTGGGCGCCATGTCGCCGAAAGTATGGCAAGGTCCACACCTGCGTCGAATACGATGGATGATTTCGTCACTATATTCGGAGAGATTGGAGATACGCGAGGGGGTATGACTATGGGTGGACCGACTGGGGGTATAGGTTACAGCGGGCAGATGTTGCCGCCTCCTGATCCTGGATTGGCAGATTGGTTCAGTGGTGGATCGAGTCTTGACGAGGTGAGCGTGTTTTCCATATTGCTGGGACGAAAGCATCTGACGTTCTATCAGGCAACTCTGCAACTCTGGGCCGCCGACTGTCTCGCAGTCCCCACTACCCAGACATTCAACGCCTTTGAATCCCTCAACAACCTACTTCAACCCACTCCTCCGTCTCATAACCAGCAGGACCCTACCGCTACATCCTCCAACAATCAAGCTGATGCAGCTGAAACAGGCTGCGGCGCCGCCTTGCACTCTCATCCAGGATCTCGCCGGCCCTCGCCTTCCCGTAGCAGCGACCGCGACACCCCTACTACGACCTCCCAGACCGCCCTTCTCAACTATTTCCATGAATCCCTCGCCCGGCTGGTATCATGTACCGGCGATACCGCCCCCAGCGCATTCGAAGCCTTCACAAAACTCGCCAACATGACTGCCGGCGTCGGCCCTGCCAGCCAGGGCCTCCATCTCAGCATCCTAGCCTGGGCAGCGAGGCATATGGTCAATAGGGGCTTGGTCAAATATGAGGCTGTGAGCGAAAAGTTTAGTGGGCAGGCGACGAGGTTGGTGGATAGGCGCATGTCGGAGTTGTTTGATAGTAAGGGGGTGGAAATTAGTGGGGGTGTGGAGGAGGAGGATAGGGATAGGGAGTATATGACTTTGTTGGCTGCTGCTGTTATGCTGATGCAGTTCAAGGTGAGCTTGGCTGTTCTGTTGATGATTTGCGCTGATGGGTTTGATAGATCTGCCGGGGCGACGTGTGGGCATTCAATACGGTTGTGAAGCATCTGACGCGACTTGTGCCGTACGTCTTTCGTACGGAAGTGGACATTGCTCCAGACTCGATGTACTTGCAATTGTAAGCTTCTCGCTCATCATTGGCCGCGCTCCCGCTAAGAGATATCTCAGTTTCGAAAACGTACTATACCACGACGTCCTCTCCTCCTTCATCCTCAACCAAGCCCCCATGGTCCCCGAAGCCCTCATCAAACACTACCACCCCTCTTCCCTCGAAACGCTGCACACCCTCACCGGCGCATCATTACCACTCTTTTCAACGATGCACAGGATCGCGTCGTTGGTAAGGCAGCGGCGGGCAAAGCGTGGGAAGAGGGCGGGGTGGAGCGATGAAGAATTGATGGATGTTTTGACGCCGGCGAGGGAGTTGGAGAGAGTTTTGGAGGATGAGAAGAAGAGGTTGGATGCGCTTGTTCTTGGTATGTCTTTCTCATAGTGGCCTTACTACTCAAGCTGACGGGTATCACAGCCAAGCCCCACGTGAAACCCCATCGATATCTCCACGAAGCTTTCCGCACCGCGTGTCTTCTCCAACTGCACTACCACGTCCTCAACGAAGCCCCCGCTTCTCTCCCTATTCGTTTACTCGTACGACAGAGTTTGTCTCTGCTTGAAGCCATGTCGGATCAGAATCTGCCCGGGTTATGTTCGGCGCATTGGGTCATTTTTACGACTGCTTTGTGCTGCGTACCGGGCGGGCAGGAGGCGGGGGAGATGGATGATAGGGAGAGGGTGGATCGGATCTATGATGATATACTGTGAGTCCCTTTTGTTCAATGTCACGCTGTGGGGCTGATGAGTGTATAGACAAGATTTCGGGTTCTTGAATGTTGAGAGGTCGCGCAAGATTGTGCATGAGGTGTGGTCGCGTAATGTTGGTGGAGCAGCTCATTTCGACTGGCTGGACCTGCTTGAAGAGTATGATTGGGAGATTTTCGTGGTTTGAGCAACACATAAGGGTTATGCATCTATAACTTCCCAACTTCGCGCACTATCCATCCACCGTCACCTAGCATAACTAGTTCGCCTTTCTTCCAAGACTCTGGAATTTCGATAGGAAGAGCAGGCAGGAGGTGTTGAACCTTGTCCGAAGGACCAAACGTGTAAAGCCGGGTCCAAGCACCGTCCTTCAACTCATCTCTCCAGCCCCAGAACTCGTCTCCGACCTTCCCAAGACCCAGTGCCCGATCTCCCGTCCTCCCTAGAAACCATACCCCCTCTTCTCCGTCCGCTTCCCTCTCGAGCACAAAGTACCCGGCGGCAGCCGGCTGGGCAAACCTCCGCCAAGTCTCAATATAGTCTTCGTTGAGTCCCGTTTTGGGGTTGAACATGATCCCCTTTTCTTCTACATCCCCCGAGGGGAGGGTTTGGAACGTTCCTTGGTCGGGGAGGGAGGAAGGGGGACGAGAGTCGATGATGTGGTCCCATCTCAATTGCGGATTCTCTACCCCTCAATCAGCTGCATTCCCGTCATCATAGCGAGCCAGACACATACCTGCCGTCGACTCGGGAAGCTCGGTGACTTTCGCGACTGTCGCCCAGTCTATGTTGCCCTCGTCTGGGCCAGAGGTGAACACTCGCAAGTCGAGCGAGTAGCCGCCGATAGTGAGGACGAGGGTATCGGTATCCTCGATAGGGGCGGCGCCGGACCAGGCGATGGATATGCGGGTGGATGCTCGGGCTGCCATGTTGTTCTGTTCTTTGAGCTTTGCAGTTTGGTGGGGAAGGAATATGGAAAGGGTTTGCATTGACCGTATACACACATTTGGCATTGCCAGGCGGATGAACCCGATAAGCTCGTGGGCGCTTAGCCAAGCGCTGATTTAGCGCCATCTCATGTGTGCTCTCGTAATCTCGACCAATCACTGGCTTTTCAAAGACCCCTATAAGCACTGTCCCCTTTGCTTGCCACTTGCCACGTCCGCTCATTACTTGTTGACTTGTGAATACACGCGAGAATAAAGATATGGTTTCAACTGCGGAGGCGACAATGACATTGGCGAGGGAGGAAGAGAATCTTAGCTTTGATTTTGGTCCGCCCCCGCCGACATTCACAGACAAACTTGAGGAGCGGAAGTATATCAAGGAGCGGTTGGCTTTGGCATACAGAGTCATTGCGAGGGAACACTTGTGTACGTGGCGAGTTGGATCAGACATTGCGGAAAGAGCTGATGGTTGTTCAATCTAGGCGAAGGAGCGTCAGGGCATTTGACTTCGAGAGATTCGGTGGATCCTTCTTCCTTCTGGGTGCGCATTGCCTCTCGTAACTAGCCTTATCGACACGAAGCTGATAATGGTGAAATAGGTCGTTCCCTACGGCCTTCACTTCTCCCGCGTCAAAGCATCCGACCTCCTCCTCGTCTCCCACTCCGGCACCGTCATCGCCGGCGGCCATCCCTCCCGCCAGAGCTACAACTCCGCAGCATACATTATCCACTCCGCTATCCACGCTGCCCGGCCCGACATCAAATCTATCGTTCACTGCCACTCTCCCTCTGGCAAAGCTTTTTCGACTCTGGGACGTCCGTTGCCGTATTATACTCAGGACAGCGCGGTGTTTTACAATGATGTGGGGCTTTATGGACAACATGGGGGTGTGGTGCTTAATAGTCAAGAGAGTAGAGAGATAGTGAAAGCTATGGGGGAGAAGAAGGCGGTGATACTGCAGAACCACGGGCTGCTTACGGCTGGTGGGTGTATTGAGAGCGCAGTGTCGTGGTTTATGCTGTACGTCCATCTCTTTAGTCAGCTATGGGCAAAGCTGATGAATGTCAGGTTGGAAAATGAATGCCGGTGCGTGTTAGCGGCGGAGGCGGCGGCTGCGATGACTGGTCAGAAGCCGATTAGTCTTTCACCGGAAGTAGCAGAGTTCACGTGAGTCCCGGCACAATGATATCGGTCTCTTGTGGCCCTCGTATGAGTAACAAGCTGATGGGGAGATAGGTGGAGAGAAACTGGCACCGAAGCTGGTGGCAGGTTTGAAGGAATGCCCTTTGTACGTTGCTGCCCTCGAAGGAGATGGCCGTGAAGCTGATAAAGATCTGTGCAGTTTGATCTCGTTGAAGAAGAATGTGCGGGTGCCTATCGGGGTTGATCTTCTTGTGCGATGAAGGGTGCTTATCGGAGGTGATCTTATCGTGCGGTGAGGAGGATACAGATGTGTACATGTATATAAACATGCTTTTTTTGGGTATATACCACCTATAGTCAGGTCGCAAACAGCGTCATCTACATTCTACTCTCCTCTATCCACACATCTCTCCTGTATTATATCTCTCCCTCCGCAGGTTTCTCCGTCACCATCTTCGGCTCCACCCACCCCTTCTTCTCAAAACAAGCAAACACCAAATCATACCCATCAAACTCATACCCAATCCTATCCTTCCTCACAAACTCCTTGCCCAGCAAACTCGGGCCGAACGAGTTCCACGCCTTCTTCTCAGCTTCTTCTTCTTCTGCCGTCGGGGATGGGGAGGGGGTGGATACGAAGAGGGTGATGGAGAGACGAGAGGGTTGGAAGATGTTGACAACCTTCTTGATGAGGGTCTGCAAGTCTGGCCTGTTTTGCAGACCTTCGGTCGGGGAGGAAGAAGTGGGGAGGGGGACGTTGCACTCGAAAGACGCATAAGACCATCCCTCCTCCGGCGTGACGTGGATCGTAAAGTATCCTCCCCCCGGCTTGCCAGAAGAAGATTCCGGCAGGCCAGAGCCGATGACGGCGTTGGCAGAATAGCCGCAGGGGTCAAAGCCGAATGAATCGAGGTTGGTCTCCTCCTTGGAGAAGAGCTGGTCGATACCGAGAGTAGAGGAGATGGCTTGGCCGAGGACATGCCCTGGGGTGGTGGAAGCCTGGTCGGCGAAGGATTCGTGGAAGAAGGGAGCGCGGGCTTGGGGGGAGAGGTGGGTCATGAGGATTTCGAGGGTGGTGTCTTGGTATTGGGTTGTCGGTTGTGGCAGCGCAGCGGGAGCGGGGATGGGGGGAAGGGAAGGAGGGAGAGATGAGGGTGATGGGTCGGAGGGGAGGATGGGTTGGGAGTTGGGGGTGGTGAGGTACAGGAGCCAGTGGTCGCGGTTCATGGGGCCGACAGTGTACGCTGCTCCGGCCGTACCTACAAGCTGTTAGCAGAGTTTCCTATAGAAAGTAGAAGACTTACCAAATACGCGGTCGAGGAACTGCACCTCATCTCGCCAGTCTCTATGCGGCCCTTGCTGACGTTCGGGGAAGAAGAATGACTTTCGCGAGTAGAAACATCGGTATACGGTGTTGAAACCGCAGTATTGTCGGGCAATTTCGATGATGCGGTAAAGACCGAGAAGGTTGAGGGTGGTACCGCAAGTTTTGAGGATGAGGAGATGAGGGGCGACAAAGAGTGATGATTCGCTGCAACTATGTCAGTAAAGTTGCTACATTGTGGAGCACACTGACCTCAAAAGATAGGCGTCCAAATCATCTCCCTCGACGGTGCTCAGCACCTTGCACTTGACGATATCCAGCATCTCCTCCCAGACCTCCTTGGGCACTTTCCTGAGCCCCTTCCACTGTTCTCCATCTTTGACAGGGCGAGATTTGAGGCCACCGGCGAGACTAGATTCCGGCGCGTCGGGGAGCTCTGCGAGCGAAGGAGCGAACCAAAGCTCGAGCAATTTTTCGGGGCCCTCGAAAGGACCAGGGGAGGTGAGGGCGACTTCTTCCACAGACATCGCAGACGAAAAGGGGGTAATGAAGACCGGGGGCGTCGCGGGTTGCTACTTTTGTGCTGAAAAAAAAACAAGGCAGTTGTTGAAAAACGAGGAAACTTCGTTGTTCAAGACGTTGAAGTCACGTGACGTGGAACTGGGACATCGCTAACGGCGCTATGCATCTCTGACATTTCGAGCGCATTCAACCACACCATGTCCGGACGGCCAGTATTCGGAGGAATGTTCGACATGATGTACAAGGGCGCCGCGCCGAGCAACGAGCCACCAGCCGAGGGGGAGAGCGGACAGGGCGGACAGGCGCAGGGGCAGCGACAGCCCAACCCACCGACCACCGGTTTCAGGATGGGTATGCCGCTGCAGGGATTTACCAACAGACCGAGGGCACCGGCGATGATCATGAAGAGAGAGGGAGAAGATGGTCCCAGTATTGGGCTCGATCAGAGACCGTTCGGCCAGCAGGAGAAGAAGGCAAAGGTGTGTCACTGGGGTCATATGGACAAGCGCTGACTTTGTTCAGCCACCTCAATTCGACTTTCGGTACGATGATACGGACACTCTGATGAATGAGCTCGAAGAGTTCTATCCGTACGTCGAAATGTCAGACATTGGCACCAACGCGCAAACATTCAAAGAGTCTTTCGACGGCGGTACGTCTCTCCTTTTCCCCTTCTATGGGTACTGATGGTATATCAGACTGGACAGAAGCAAAACTTTCCGTGCGCAAGTCTTATATCGAACTCCAGCTCGAACATTTTGAGTCGCCCAATCAACAAATCCGCCGTCTCGCCCAGGGTCGCCTACTCTACCTCCTCCAGGGCTGTTTCGAAGAGACGACATCGCCCGAGATGCAGTTGCATTGGGTCATTGAGAATGCCAAAGCGGTGAGAGCGGTGGACGGTGTTGCGACCATTGTGTATGGGCTGAGGGATGCCTCGAGAAGGTACAACTCCTCGTCGTGGGTACATTTCTTGCTTCGCGGATGACTCTGACAGGTATTTTAGCGAGGAGAAGGACAAGCCTTCTTCGGGAGCTTTACCATCTGGGACTGTGCCAGCTCAGGTTGATCCTTACGATGACCACAGTGCTGAGCTCATGGACCTGCTCGCCATGCTCTATTTTGTCGTCGAAGTGCTGCGTACGGACGACACCTTCGGAGACGAGCTGAGTGCGTACTTTCCCCATCCCCTTGGTATCACTACTGACCCAGCGCAGTGGCAATCACTCCCTCTCTCCCTCTCATCCTCTTTCAAATGATCTCCACTCTGCGCGACAAGATCCCGCGAGGATACCCGGTCAAGAAGGTGCTGCTGCTTCTATGGAAGACGTTGTTGGCGTGTTTGGGTGGTATGCGAGAGGTGCAGCAGGCTATGGCTTTATCTCGAGAATCCGCAGGACTGCCCAACACCAAATGTGCGTATTCGTACCTCCCCTTCTTCGCCGTTCTGACCCTGGTGTAGATTTCACGAAAGCCTCTCCTATCGACATTGCCAACTGGCGCCGCGACACCTCCACCAAATACCCCACCTTCGCCCCTCCCACCACCTCCTCCTCCTCCCTCCCCTCCGATTACTCCGTCCCCCACGAAAAACTCGCCGAAGGAATCCGCCCCATCCCGCCCAGGCCAAACTACCACTCCACCGAACTCCCACCCACCCTCCCCCGCGCCTATCCGCCAGCTAGTCAGGGGCAAGGCGAAGCAGGGTACGCGGGGAATATGATGCCTGGAACCCCTGCGCCGTCTCCCCCGCCGTCGCCTGCGCCGATGGTACAAGGCCCGGGGCCGCAGCAGAAGAAGAAACAGCAGTATCAGACGGACCCCAGTCGGCCTTTTGTTTTTCCGTACTCGCATACTTCTGGGGCGACGCCGCTGGGGCTGGTACCGTTTGCGATATCAGAAGCGGACCGGTTGTATCATCGACACGAGTACATCTCTCTCGGCTTACTTCAGATGTGGGAGACGCGCGAAGAATATATGCGTGAAGAACGCGGGCTGGGGCGGAAGGGTTTGATCGGGTTTACGAATGGATACGACGGGGATCAAGAAGAGGACGAGGAAGAGGTGGAAGCGATGGTGAGGGAGTGGAAATATGAGCAGGAAGAGATGGAGTGTGAGAGTGCGGGGGATCGGGAGGGGGCGAGGAAGGCTAGGGAGAGGAGGATGGCGTCGAAGCGGTTAAGGAGGGTTGATGAGATTCACGTATGTCCCCTCTTTCTCTTCTTTCTTGGTTGCATGGCTGATAAGGTTTGGGGACGAAAGAAAAAGACGTTGCCGATAATGCATTCGTGCATGATTGCGCTCCTCAAGCTGCTCCTCGCGACCGTAACCTCCCCCGGCGCGGGTGGTGTCAATCTTCAGAATTCCAATCTTCCTCCAGGATTACATTCGCCTACTCAAGAGATGCCTCGTACGTTTCCGCTTTCTTCTTGAGGAGGAATGCTGATATATGTGCAGCTACCGATAAGGGAACAGCGCCAGCTACACAAGAGGAGATTGACATTTCGAGGCACCGAGAGATCACGTCGAAAGCTGTTTCTGCTATCATTATCCTTCTTTTGAAATGGTTCAAGGCGTCCCGTATGTTTCATTCCTCTTCTGGCCGTTCTCAAAGGCTGACAGCTCTTACGCAGATATACTCAAGTTCCACCTGTTGACGCAGATGCTCTTCGACTCGAATTGCGTCTTGCTGCTGTTGAAGATGTTTGGGTTGACCGAGATTACGCCGGTGATCACTGCTCGTAATGAGATCGAAGAGCTCAAGTACGTCCTCCTCCACCATCTCGCTCCCCCCCCCCCCATTAACGCAAGTGGCACAGCTTTTTCAATTACTGTTACTTGAACCACAGCCGCAACCCTCCCACCAACCACGACCCCGCCGAGCTCCGCCACGATCGCCGTCCTTCTCCGAACGATCCTACCCCGGAAGGCGCACAATTTTCGAGCGATTACTCGTGGAGGAATTTCTTCTCGACGATCAACTTTTTAAAGGTGATGCAGAAGGTCACGAAACATAGGAGTCATCGGACTTTTGTTATGAGTTCTTATAAGAGCTGGGTGAGTAGTATCTTGTCGAGGAGTGGGGAAATGATGAGGGTGGTGAGAGCTGATGGGGAATTTTTTTAGCAAATTTTGAAGAGGATGTTGAAGGTCAACCATCCGATGATGCAGCTTCAGATCTTGAAGCTTATCAAGAGTCAAATGCCTTGGTGTGGACGAAAGTGGCGTCAAGGTGAGTCTTTTCTTAATGTTATGGGCGGATCTCTAATGCGTTTGTAGCGGCGGGTAACATGAAGGTCATCACTTCGATATATCTCAACTGCCGACCTGAGCTGAGGGATGATTGGTTGGCGGGGACGGACCAGGACTCGGAGCTAGAGGATTCTATGGTGTGTCATATTGACCGATGTGTCGCAGAAAATAAACTGACGTTCATCGTAGCCACAAGACAACGCTCTTCGCACCCTCGTAAGCTTTTACAACATGCGCCTCTACACTCCACCCACTCCCCTCTCCCCCGACGCCTCCTCCCACGCCCGCCGCCAATCTACCTCGCACAACCCCATATTCGAAGACCCCGTTCTCAACACTTCCCAAACGCACTTTGGCCCAGGCCAACCCCAACACCGCCGGTCAGACTCCACCTCGGGCCAGTCAACGGGCAGCGAGCACGATGTCTTCCCGCCGAGGAAGAGCGACTCGCCCGCAGGCGCTGGGGCTGGGGGCAGTTATAATCCGGATGAGATGATTGAATTTTGGCTGCACGAGTATGAGGATGTGCTTGGGGAGGTGTTTGGGGTGGAGGGCGGGAATGAGGTGTTGCATGAGTTTGGGCTGGCCAGTGGGATGGCGAGTCTGGGGATCGGGAAGGGTGATGATGATGATGATGCGCAGACGCCTGGTGTGGAGGATAGGGCGTGGAGCCGGTTGAATGAGATTATGCGAGGAGGTAATGAGGAGGATATTAGTGATTCTGAGAGTGTGGTGTCTGTTGGGGAGCTTGGGGATGAGGCGAGGATGGGTGGAACTGGGTTTGGTGGCAATAGAGAAGTCGAAGAGGACGGAGAGGAAGTGGTTGATGATGGAAAGAGTCGAGTGGGGATGGGCAAGGGACGGAGGAGGAGTGGTGCTGGAGAAAACACTTGGGAGGTGAGTTGCGCGATTACTGCATCTATTCATCTGCTGACTATCTTCTCAGCATATGTCCCCTACTCTTGCACTCCTTCCTCGTTCTCCCATCGAACGCCGCCGCTCTTCCTCCGGCGGCTCTCCCCTCCGCCCCATCGTCCCCACTTCCCCGCTCAACCTCGACCCCTTCGGACACAACGACGTCTTTGATGAAGAAGAAGAGTTTGAAGTTGACCCGAGAGGACCGATGCCGATCAAGATGGATACGAGGGATCATGAAGAGAGGGAAGGAGGGGCAGTGGATGAAGTGGAGTATACGTATGGAGAGTAGGTAGGCCGTGGGGGTGTAGTGTATAAAGAGGAAACATGCATTTTACGAATGAACGAGCGTCTGATGGGGTGGGCAACCCGAGCTGCTGTCACGTCTTCTTATTGCAGGTCTGTATAGCGAGCAGATAGCGAGTGAAGGAAGAGCGGCCATCAGCACGAGAGCGCGGCCGCCGCTGTTGACACTTTACAAAGCATGATAAATCCGGGCACGAACAATAACCCTTGATCGCATACCAGCTCCGTCTCTTTCGTTGTTAACTCTTTTTGTTCCACAACGGCGCCCGTCTTGGATTGTCAAGCATCTCTCGACCCTCCACCGCTGCTGACCAATCCATAGTTCCGGCGAACGGTATATAACCCTGTGGCTTCTTGCTTCTGCCCCCACTCATACAGAAAACGAATAACCCACAATGTCCCCCAGCTCTCCCCTTATCGCCATCACCGGTATCAATGGCTTCATCGCTACCGAGGTCGTCCTCCTCTTCCTCGCTCGAGGCTGGAACGTCCGCGGCTCTGTCCGTGCCTCCACCCAAGCCGAAAAGCTCAAGAGCCTTCCCGCCTATGAAAAGTACTTTGCCAGCGGCCAGCTTGAGGTGGTGGTAGTGGAGGATTTGGCCAAGGCCGATTTTACCGAGCTGTTCCAGGGCGCGCATGCTGTGGCGAGCCTCGCGGCGCCTCTCCCCAAGTGAGTTACATCTTCTTTCTTTGGGAGTCGTGCTGATAGACATGATAGGCTTGGTGATCCCACTCTTACTTGGAGCGACTTTAAGGGTCCTACTATCGCCCCTGTGCTGAGGATCCTCGACTATGCCAAAAAGTCTACCAGTACGTTCCAGCAGACTTTATTACTCTTGAGATGGTCATACTGATAAGATTGATAGCAATCAAGAGTGTCGCTCTCATGTCATCTTCCGGCTCCTCCCTCAGTTTGGAACAGGAACCCAACAAGGTCTACACCGAGGACGACTGGACGCCTTACACTGAAGAGTATTGCGAGTCTCTTGACGCTGCTACGTACGTCTTCTTGCGATCTCCTGTTTGACTCGTACTGACCATGGGCGTCTCTAGCAACCCTATGGCCTCTGTCATCTGGTACTTTGCCGCCAAAAAGTTTGCCGAGGAGGCTGTTATGAAGTGGCAGGAGACTGAGAAACCTTCCTTCGCTATCTCTACTTTCTGTCCTCCCAGTACGTCCCCTCTCTCCACATACTCCCTCATGTTACTGACTCCATCATACAGTGGTCTACGGCCCTGCACACTATATCGCCTCCCTCGCCGATCTCAAGGCTCTCAAAGGCTCCACCGACGAATTCCTCAACCTTTTTATCGGTAAAGACCAGCCCTTCCCAGGACAGTTTTCAAAGACCTTTGTGGATGTTAGGGACGTTGCGGAGGCATTTTATCTTGGTATCACCAAGGAGGTTTCGGGCAAGTATTTGGTTTCGGGACATGGTACGTTCTTCCCCTCTGGGTCTATGAAGGGTAGAAAGCTGATGGGCGGATAGATTACTGCTGGCAAGAGCTTGCGGACAAGCTCAGGGAACTCCGACCCGACTTGGACGCTTACTTCCCGCTTGGAGAGCCTGGGACGCGGATTAAGGGAGAGTGGACTATGGATGCTAGCAAGTCCAAGAGAGAGCTCGGTCTTGAATGTGCGTATCTTTCATCATCTTTTCCATCATGAAGGCGGCGCTGATGGGGGCTGTAGACCGCTCGACTGAGGAGACTTTGAAAGGTACTATCGATCTCTTTGAGGGCCTTGGGCTGTTCAAGGAGGCACCCCTTGGAGCGAAGACGGCGTAGGATCATGGTCGAAAAGATACGGCTGCTCTCGATGTGGTATTCTTGGTAGATGCGTACATAGGTGCCCATGTAAGCTGTTGGCGATATCGGAGGATGATGATGCTTAGGCGTATTGCCCCATGATCGGCGTACAAGACAGCATGTAGTGGCGAATGGCGATGAAAGGTCTTCTTGAACAACCAAAGGCTCTCATAGAAATGATCGGCGTACAAGACAGCTTGTACTGGCGAATGGTGATGAAAGGTCTTCTCGAACAACCAAAGGCTCTCATAGAACGCGAAAGTATCCTTCATCAAAGAATCAAAGTCTCATCAGTGGTACGATCTACACTCCTTCATCAGCATTCTACCAGTCTCTAAGGGGGTGTTCGGCGCACGAATTGTGGATGTCGTCCCCATAGTAACGGAGTCGGCAACCTGAGTCGTCTCATAGAAACTCGTCGTGGCGCGTTCTGCACAGCTTCGCAAACCCGGCCCTTCCACCGGCACCACTGTCGAACTAACGCAGAGGCAGTGACAATATGATGCCAGGAGTCGCCCTAGATACGGTGAACGACGACGCGCTGGACTCTCAACTGACTCAGGATCCCACACGGTACTTATGACCCAAAGGAGCACAAGCCCAGTCAGGGCTGACACTTTCCGTCGGATCATTGTTCGTTTTGACTTGTCTAATCAACTCGGATTGTTCAGCATCTATCTACTGTCGTCCGTCGGCCAGTCGTCACAGCTATGTTGGTACCTTGTTCATCCTCGCCGCTTGCCCGGGAGGTACGCGCCGGTAAGATGACGATCTGGTGGAGTGAACGGATGGTTGTCAGGGGCATCTCCGGCGACTGGTCTGTTGACAATAGCAAGTCGAAGAGAGAGCTCGGTATTGAATGTACGCATTCGATCGTGATATTGGGCGGCGGGGTGCTGATGAGGAGTATAAACCGCCCGACCGAGGATACTTTAAGGCTACGATCGAGTTCTTCGAGAGTTTGGGATTTTGTTCAAGGAGGACCTGCCGTTGATCGAAGAAGGCTTGAATCTATACGTCACAGCTGTGAATAATTGACTATTCTACTGAAATGTAAACATCAAAGTGCACGATTAACGCCATGGATTGCAAGAAAAGTCGTGGATAGCAAAACGAGTAGCATGGTGGCAGTCGTGTCATATAATCATCTTCCAAGTGTACTGTGGTCGTCTTAGATCTCGACTTGCGACGCGACTGCTTTTTTCGTTCTGTATCGCTCGCCGCTGCTGACAACGCCTCTTCTGTTCGGCCATAAACTTCTGCTCGGCCATACACTTCTGCTCGGCCATAGGCCATGTAAGCTTTCTATGAATGTTCTGGATAAGCTGAATGCAAAGGTATTGCGTGCTGACAAGGAAAGTGGCCACTGCCCGACTGCATGCTGTCGACGGTCACTGTCCACTGATCAACCTCCGTCGGAGGCGATATGGCAGCCGTAGTATTTAAACAAATGTTCACTATCCACCCTCCCAAGTCTGCTCAGCGTCCACAATGTCCCCCAGCTCTCCTCTCATCGCCATCACCGGCATCAACGGCTTCATCGCCACCGAGGTCGTCCTCCTCTTCCTGTCCCATGGATGGCACGTCCGAGGCTCCGTCCGCACCACTGCTCAAGCCGACAAGCTCAAGATCCACCCCGCGTACGAGAAACACTTTGCGAGCGGCAAGCTCGAGGTGGTGGTGGTTGAGGATTTGGCGAAGGCTGATTTCAGCGAGCTGCTTGAGGGAGCTGATGCTGTCGCGAGTGTAGCTGCGCCTCTTCCCAAGTGAGTGTTCCTTACGCTGTCTTCGGCTTGGAAAGTATCGGGTCAGTACTGACAGATGTCACAGGATGGACAACCCGAGCCTTACATGGGACAAGGACTTCAAAGGCCCGACTATCGACCCTGTACTGAGGATTCTCGAGTACGCTAAGAAATCTACCAGTACGTCAAGCTACACTCTTGATGATGCCAGCCATGCTGATGGTTTTGATAGCCATCAAGAGTGTGGCCCTCATGTCATCTTCCGGCTCTTGCTTCGATCTTACGCCTCCTCCCGGCAAAGTCTACACCGAAGCCGACTGGACGCCTTACACCGAAGAGCTCTGCCAGTCCATCACCCCGGCTACGTACGTTCTCTTCTGATTTCTCTCGTCGGCGATGAATCCATGAACTGATGAAGAGTGTTTCTAGCAATCCGGCTGCTTCTATCATTTGGTACTTTACTGCCAAGAAACTGGCCGAGCAGGCGGCCTTGAAATTCCAAGAGACCGAGAAGCCTGTCTTCTCGATCGCCACTTTCGCCCCTGCCAGTACGTCTCCTTTCTTTCAGTCTCCTTTCTTGCAAACCGATGACTTACCAGCCTCATCACATAGTGGTATATGGCCCTCCGCAATTCATCCCCTCCATCGACGCTCTCAAGGGCGTACAAGGCACCTCGGACGAATTCCTCGGCCTTTTCTTTGGTAAAGACCAGCCCTTGCCGCCTCAGTTTGCGAGGGCGTACGCGGATGTACGAGATATTGCCGATGCGTTCTACGCGGCCATCACGAAGACTGTTTCGGGCAAGTTTTTGCTTGCGGGTCATGGTACGTCGTCTCCTGTCGTTTGGGGCGAGTATGGGCCTGATCAGGTGGAATAGAATACAAGTGGCAAGCGCTCGCCGACAAGCTTCGGGAGCTCCGCCCCGACCTCGACGCATACTTTCCCCTCGGAACTCCTGGTCAATACATCCCAGACGAGTACTTTGCGGACTCTAGCAAGTCTCAGCGAGAGCTCGGTATCCAGTGTACGTATTTTTAACTACTTCGGGTTGTCTTGATACTGACAAGAGGCTGTAGACCGTACGACCGAAGAGACGTTGAAGGACACTATTGATTTCTATGAGAATCTTGGGCTGTTCAAGGAGGCGCCTCTCGGGCCGAGGAAGAAGGCTTATATCTGAGGAGTAATTTTGATCGGTTGTATATAGATCATACAGTGAAGTGTCGAATGAATGTAAGTACCAACGAGCGATGTTGTTAGACGACCACGATATGACGGTTACCCACGTCAAGAACAGAGCGATCATAATAAGCAGCTGCGCTTCGAAGACGATGATTTGTACTGTTGCCTCAAATAAAATCAAGAGGTGCGGGCTGCGATTATGCGTTCGGGCGCTCTATTACTGGGACGTTGGCCACCGTCCGAACCGAGGACTGTACCGAGATTGGTCCAGACACTCTGCTCTGTGTTTGATTCGGACACTCTGATCTGTAAGTTCCCCATCGTCCGATTCACTATAGCCCAGAAGTAGTGCGGGCCGCACGGCGAGTGGCCATCTCCCTGCTGTATAGTTATTCGACATCGTATGTTGTCGCCTTTAGGAAAGAGCGACTGAAACCTCAGGTCAATTCCCCGAGGCAGACATGCAGGATGCCTGGTAAGGAGGTGGAGAGAGCGGACGCCGCTGCTCTTCTTTATTCAGCAATGTCCCTAAGCGCTGATAAGCTGGCAGAGCGGCGGTATCATGCGTGATGTTGTTGAGGCTTGGGATGGGAAGAGAGGAGGGCGTTGGCAAGAGAAAGGCGTTCTAGCTGTATGTTCTGTCGCATATGCTGCTGCGTATATAACGGGGTGGAGATGGAGACACGGCTTGCGCTCGGGAAGCAACTTGAAAACCCAGACTGGGTCCGGACCACTCACTACGAGCAACTCTGATTTATCATCACGCACATTCAATTCCTCTTTTTGCTACTTGTGTACGTGAAGCTAAGGATGATCAATCGTGATGTGTCTAGTCTCTCTATAGGTACGCACTTATAACAGACTTGATCAGTGACGTGGAGGGAAAACAGAGCGTCAACAAGAGACGATAGCCTCGATAATTGTGACACAAAGACAAAGCTCGGCGTGCCGAATCTATCTCTCGTTCAGTATGCACATCAAGTTCTGATATTCTGCGAGGTGTAGCAATGTCTGATATGAACATGCATGATCCTTTCTTATTCTATGCTCAAACGCTTCTCTCTCATGCACATCTAACATCTCTTTTTTTCTTTTCGCTATACGACAAAACCCCATTCCACGCAAGAAGACAAAAAAAAAAAAACAAGAAGCCTACCCCCGCACTTCAGCAGCAGCAGCCAACGCCAGCAGCTCTACCCCCTGCACCCCCTCCGCTGCCCGATCAAGCTGTTCATCCCTCTGCCTCCTCCTCTCCGTCTCCCCGTCCATCCCTTCCACCGCTTCCACCGCTTCCATCCCTTCCACCCCTTCCACCCCTTCCATCCCGTCCAGCCCGTCCATCTGCACTTGCCCGCTTTGGCCTGGTCGTTCTTCTCGTCCCCGCATGCTCACTTGGATCTGCTGTCCTTGCCCTGGTACATACTGAGCCTGACCTTGACCATGACCATGAGCTTGAGATTGGGCTTGAGCCTGAGCCTGAGCCTGAGCCTGAGCTTGAGCCTTAGCAACCCGAAAAGCAACCCCCTCCTTCCTCAACCTCTCCACCCTCCTCTCCTTCCTCTCCCTCTCCTCCCTGAGCTCTTCTTTCGTCTTTCTACGGGCTGAGGCGGGGTCGCGGTGGGCTTTGGAAATGACTGATGTTAGGGGGGGGAGGGATTGGTTTTGGTTTTGGTTTTGGGGGTGGGGTTGGTTTGGGGAGATGGATACGGATACGGATAGGCAGAGCGGGGGAGGGTGGGTCTTGGCGTTGGATGAGAGGGAGGGAGGGAAGAGGTGAGAGGGCGTCAGGGGTGTTTGGGGGCCACCTGCCCGAGGAGGGGAGGTTGAGTTTGAGTTTGAGAGGGCGTGTGGACGAGGTGGGATACCTTTTGTCGGGGAACCTCTTGGGGGGGAAGCGGTACTGCCAGGCGAGTCGGTAGTATGGGGGATGCCGCTATCCCACCCCGGCAAACCCATGCCCAACCCAACACCCGCACCCGCACCCCCGCTTCCACCTCCACCCCCTGCAGCACCACCCCCTGCAGCACCACCCCCTGCAGCACCGCCCCCAATAGTGATAGGCGGCAAAGCCGCCGACCCTTGTCTCCCCAACGGCGAAGGCAGGAGGTGTGGTTGGAAAGGCGCCGGCAAGTGCGATGTGTTTGGGGTGGGGTATGAGGGGGAGGGAGGAGGGTGGGTGGAGTGGGTGGAGGGGGCGGAGTGGTGTTTGGAAGAACGGGTTTCGAGCACGGGATGGTTGGATGTCCATCCTCGTCCTTGTCCATCTTTACCTTCTCCTCCGGCTCGGCCGCGTTCGGCGTCCCGACTTGCGCCTTCCTCAGCACCATCCCGCCCAGCTTCCCTCTCCCTGGACTCCCCGAAACCCACAGGTATCTGATTCCATACCCCCACCCTTGGGTTATCCAGAGGCATATCCCAATCCGGCCTTACGAACGGCCGATGCACCTTTTCGCGAGGTTCCCAATTTGGCCCTCTGACGGGCAGCTCGATGGGGATGGAGGGGAAGACAGAGTTGCGGGCGCGGTATTTTTTGATGCGTTTGGAGATTGTTGTGGAAGAAGAAGAAGGGGGGAGGGAGGATTTTGATTTTTTTGGGGATTGGCCGTGGGGAGGGAGGTCGTCGTCGGAAGAAGAAGAAGAAGAATCGTCTTCCTGCGCATACCGCCTCTTCGGATGCTTGACACCCTTCACAAGCTTTCCCATATAATCCACCGTATACCCCGGTGGCACCTGCCCAACATGCTGCCGGTCGAGAGAGTATCCTGCAGGGATCGTACTGGGGTCGATGGGATACCCGTGTGGAAAGTGCGTGGTGGAGAGAGGAGTGAGGGAGAGGGGGGTGGTGGGGGTGATGGTGTAGAGGTCGTCTTGGTGGGATTGGGGGGCGCGGGGTTTGCCTTTGCGGGCTGTCCTTCCTGATAACTAGATATCACGTCAGCTTTTGCCCCTTTTGTCTCGAGGAAGAAAAGAGAGAGAGAGAGAGAGAGGAAGCCGTACCTTGTCGTTGACGACCCAGTAACCGCCTTTCCCGCTGCCGCCTTCATGATTGGGCCTGTCGGCGTTGACGAAACAGTCGTTGAGCGAGAGGTTATGCCGGATAGAGTTCTGTGGTGTACGTAAGATTTGTGATGCGGTTTGATGCGGATGGAGACGTACTTTCCACGTGGACCCGGCTGTCTTGTGCCATGGCCAACGTTCTTCGATCGCTTGGTAGATCTACAGCAAAGAGTCAGAAGAAAAGAGGAAATACGGGAAGAGGGACGTACTTGGGCGAGGGTCATCATGCGGCGAGGGGAAGCTGAGATGACGAGGCGGATGGCTTGGATATGTGTCATTTCGGGTCGGTACTCTGTTGTTCCATCAGCCATCATTCCACAGCACAAACGGAAAACTCACCCCGTCCACCCTTATCATACGCAAAGCGAAACAGCCCTCCAGCACCTTTCGCAAGCCCACCCACTTCTTCCCACTTTCGCCAGACCGCCTCGCTGACCGTCATCTGGCTGAGAGCGTCCTTGCTGACCGGCCCTTCGACATCACACGACACCCTGACAAAGGCCCCGGTTCGATACCGCCGCATATCCTCGTGCGAGATGCTAAACTCTTCATGGCCATTCGCGATTGCCGCGCTAGACGCTGCTACCCCCAGCGCTTGCACCACCGGGTCGTCTGGCTGGGGATAAGTGAGGGGAGGAAAGTTGCTATAGTTGTCCTCATCGTCGTCCGAGATGGGGGAGAAGGAGTAGCGTGCTTGGTCGTCGTCGTCGTCGGAGGAGGGCGGGGGGCGGAGGTTGAATTTGTTGATGGGGGTGATGATGGGGCGGCGGGGGTAGGGGTCGTTGGGGTCGATGTGGGTGATGCCGCTGGTGGGGTCGTCGTCGAGCGGGGGCGGGGGTGGAGGCAGCTCGGGCGGGGAGAGCTCGTCTTCGCCCTCTTCGGAGCGCTGGGGCGGGGGGGACATGCGGTGGGCGGGGAATGGCGGGAGTACAGTCAACAATTCAACAAGCAATCCACTTTTGCTCCCCCACGCCCAGGCACACCCGATCGTCCACCCACCAGGCCCAGCAACTCGCAACGGGGCCCTGTGTTTTGGGGCTAAGGCCCCCGTGTTTCGTGTTTCTCCATCCCTGTGACACACCCAAAGGAGGCCCGGGACACCCGGACGGCGGTGCCTGGCTGGTTGGGTGCGGGGGGAGGGGGACGTGCGGGTGTGGTGGAGAGAAGCCAGTGGCATCACGGGGTGATCGTGTTTGTTGTCGTCCAGGTGGTTTTTGCTTCCGCCCTTACTCGTCGCCTCCTGCATTTATCGTTTTCACGTCTGCGTTTTCTTCCTCGACAGACCTGCTCGTTCGTGGGCAGTCGCAGTCTGTCTGTAGCCCATGCATCTGTGCTTCCGTAGCTTTCCACCGTTTCATCCGCCTTCCAACACTTTCTCGAAGGCCCGTGAGTCACCCTCACTACCTGAATGCCCTGATGATCGCCGAGACAGCCTCCATGGTTTCGGATAATCGCAACGACCAGCGTTAATTTTCATCGTGTGGCTGACGCATGGAGCCACAGTCCAAACCAATTGATGGTGCTCGTCAGTTGCTCTTCGCCACAGCACAGTACTGCGCGCATAATACTAATAGAGCAGTCGCCAAACGCCAAACAGACACAGGGAAAGAATGAGGCTTGCTCGGGGCACGTCATTGTCGCAGTCACAAGTCCACAGGTTATGGTCCGAAACAGCTTACGCAATACGTATCATCTATTGACAGATTGTTGAGTAGGTAACGACGGCTCTTCTGATGCGCCGGAATCACAGGTCACCATAAATATGTACTCTCGGGACGCCGAGGAGCAAAATGGCTGAAACGAAAGGGGCGTGCGGTGCGTGCGGTGTACTCGTACCGGTCGTACGTGTATGTAATCATTTGCGCCGGCTCTCTCGTTCCATTGTCTGTTTGTCTGTTTGTCTGTTTGGAGAATCTCCAGTGCAGCTCGGGCTACGATCAGAGGCTACAGGCTACGCATCCATTATGTACAAGTATCAGCTGGACGAAGTGAAGACACAGCTTGCACCCGGAGCGCGCCTCATCCCGCCACCATTCTCGCTTCCCACTCCCACCCCCGGGGACGGGGTGAGGGGCGTACGACTAACGAAGGGGTATAGAAAGTAGCTAGCAGCTTACGCGATACGCTCTTCTCCATTCTCCCCTCTCTCCCTCCTCGCCCCTCGTTCATATCACTCTGTCTCATGTGCCAAGCTGATGAATGTGAGCAGCAACGAAGGCGGCTGGCAAACCGGCATGATCATGCACATGGTCGCCTACAAATATAAGATATACGCCCAGCTCTTTGCGTGGGAACAGGACAAGGCTGGGCAGGCGAGGGGTAAGACGTGGAGTTTGAGGGCTATTATGGCCGACTATGATCCTTGGGCCGCCTAGTGAGGGCCACGTTCTTCTCCCGTTCTTCTCCCCTTTACTGCTTCTCCTCCACCTCCGCTGCATCTCTCTTGAATGATCAATCGCGGAAAAGCAAGCTGACCATGGGGAAATAGTCCAACGTATTTATCACACCGCCTCTCTTGATGAGCAGTTGTCTCAACGACGGTCATGTGGCTCCTAGCGGGAGGACCAGGATCGATGGTCGTCTCGCCTCCTGCTTCTACTTTATTTGGGTCATCTACGTGAGCCTCCTCCTCCTCCTCCTCTCTCTTCTGCCTCTTCCGACTCGGGATGGTGAGGCTGATGTGGGTTGTTGGGTGGGTACGTGATTGTGCGGAAGAGCATTATCGTGCGGGCGATCAAGGGCAAGACGCAAGACTGGTAGGTACCATCAGCGGCTCCTGCAGTACGTCCGTACGTACGTCTCTCCGCTCTCCTTCATCATCGACAAAGCTGACCTCCGTCGTTTACCCGCCAGTATACGATTTCCAACAACAGATAACCGAGCTCGTCCCCCACGCTCTACCCCGACCAAGCCGCACAGGTTTGTTGTGTTATGTTGGAAGAAAGGATTGCGGAGATGGCCGCCGGACGTTCGCGCTGGAGTGTTCCATAGTGGTTTCCATATGTCTTCTTCTTCTTCTTTATCCATGAAACCTTATAATCTTTACAACAAGGTTTGCTAAAGGAGAGCCGGGGAAGAGGCTTAGTCTCGACCCTGGGTCTTATGGGATTGAGAGTAAGATGGGGGAAGAGTTTGGGATTGAGTGAGAGTCTTGTTTGTTTTTTCTTTCGTTTTTGACTTTTGACGAGAATGTAGATCGAGGACTTGAGACGGTTGTGAAGGATACGTTTGATAGGCTTTTCGAGTTGGAGAAGCAGGGGTTGTAGTCTTCTTGTCCGTCGCTCTAGTTGTGCTCGTAGTTCTCTTGATGATTGCTTGGTATTGTAGCATGGTGGTGGTTCTCTGATGTGGATAGATGTCACATATGTATATGTCGTTGAATTTGTGTACTTGTTATGCCTACGCGCCCCGACTGAACTTCTCTGGCAGATGTTATGAAATGGAATTCTCGCCGTCCTCTGAAGCACCAGGATGAGTGAGATGTCGCTGCATGAAACCAGATATTGCCAGACTATGAGAGCTTTTTTTTGCGTTTACTTCTTCAGGGTGTTGAGTACGTCGTCCTCGGTGACTACTCGATATCAGCTCTACCCTCCCCAAATATTTGAAAAGACTCACCATCAAGCAACAAGCTCTTTCCATCAAGCATAACCCTGTTGCCACTCTGAGCCAAAGTCGTAGCAATATCCCTCGCCGCCTCGAGCTTTCGCAACTGCAAGAACCCCTTATTTCCCCTCGCCGCCTCCCCAATCAACTCCGCACTCCTCGCCTCTCCCTGCGCCTTTACGATAATACTCTGCTTCTCCTGAATCGCCTGGTCCACCAAAAACGCCGCCCTCTGCGCAATCTGCTGCGCCACCTGCTTTGCCTCCACCGCATGCGTAAACTCGGGCGAAAAGGCGACATGGGTGATGGAGACGTCGTCGAGGATGAGGTTGAAGCGCCTGGCGCGGCGGGTGAGGTTGTCGCGCACGAGACGGGAGACCATTTCGCGTTGGGTGATGAGTTGGGAGGCGTTGAATTGGGCGACGACGGATTTGAGGACTTCGTTGACGATGGAGGGGAGGACGCGCTCGTCGTAGTCGGTGCCGAGGTCGCGGTAGCTAGGGAGAGTGTTAGTGGGGGGAGGTACATGGTGGGGAGGTCGTTCACCGAGGGTTTGGAGAGGACACGACATGTGATGTTGACCTGCCAGATATCAGCTTCTGACTGGGATGGATGGCAGCGGGCTTACCATCTGCAAATCCTTGGTGCCAGTCAAGGAAGCAATGTTGCGTGGCTTGGCCCTGACATCGTACAGGACAGGAGTTTCGAGCCATGGGATCTTATCGATCGACGTCAGCCTTCTGCCCAAAAACGAGTAGGAGAGTGTACGCACGACAAGGTGGGTACCTTCGGGGTAGATATCAGGCCTGATACCGTGGATCCTAGAGTACTTGATAGCCCGGTGACCACCATCGACTATTCCAAACAGTCAGCAAAAAACGTCGTCGCTCGATCTCCGCCCCCCCTCCCCCGCCTTCAACCATTGAAACGGAGCGTACCGTTGAAAAGCGCAGAGTTGAGGGCGATACCGCCAGCAGCGAGGGCCACGATAGCACCACCACCAGCCATGAATCCCTTTGCCGGGCCGCCACCACCGCTGCCCCTACCCCCACCGCCGCCGCCGCCGGATGCCTGGACCCGGGCGCGGTTGAGTTGTTGGGCGATCTTGGCCCATGCTTCTGCTCCTTGCCTGCTGTTCATGGTGGATGGTCGGGAGATGGGGGATGGGGGAGAATAGAGGAGATGATAGAGGAGAATGGCGGAGGGGGACGCTTGGTGGGCGGCATCGGCTGCTTTTGGCGGGTCACGTGACTGATGCGCCTATTTCCTCTGACAAAAACAGTCTTCTATGGATACTGTCCAATTCAGCATGGCTTCCATACGGCATATACCACGCCTCATAGCGAGAGCACCAATACGCCCGATATGTGCAACACGAATCAGAACGCTCAGCCCGATACGGCATTACTCGACACCGACTACGACTGCTCCTGCGACCACCTCGCTCTTTACGCCTCCTGGTGACCCAGCGACGTCAAAACCCTTCTATGTCACCACCCCCATCTTCTATGTCAACGCTTGTAAGTCTACCCCCACCATACCGCTCCGTCCTCAGCTCACTCCAGACATAGCCCCGCACATAGGCCATCTCCACTCCCTCCTCCTCACCGACGTCCTCGCCCGTTTCTCCCGCTTACGCCACCCCGAGAGAAAAGCAATGTTTGCTACAGGGACAGATGAACATGGGATGAAGATACAGCAGGCGGCGATGAAGATGGGGGTGGATGAGCAGAGCTTTTGTGATGATGTGTCGCAGCGGTTTAGGGTATGTCTTTATGTTGAGATGGGGGGGCTGGAAGGGTGCTGATTGGTGGGGGGGTAGGACTTGGCGGAGTTGGTGAATACGTCACATACGGATTTCATAAGGACGACAGAGCCGAGACATCAGAAAGCCGTTGAACATTTCTGGGTTCGTGCTTTCCCTCTTCCCCCTACCTCCCTACTAACTGTACCTTCAGAACAAGCTCGTCGAATCAGGAGATATCTACAAAGGGACGCACGCCGGCTGGTATTCTGTCTCTGACGAATCCTTCTACGCCGCCTCTCAAGTGACTAAACGGGAAAGTGACGGCAAGATGGTAGCTGTGGAAAGTGGGAATGAGGTGGCATGGGAGGAGGAGACGAATTGGAAATTTCGCTTGGAAAAGCATAGACAGTATTTGACAGAGTGGCTAAGCCAGCCCGAGTGTAGGTCCCATCTCCCGCAGTATCGACAACAGCTCATAGACCCACCAGCCGTCCACCCCAACCCCGTCCGCCTCAACCTCCTCAAACAAATCCCAACCCTCGAAGATCTCTCCATCTCCCGGCCCCTCTCCCGCGTCAAGTGGGGTATCCCCGTCCCCGATGATCCCTCGCAGTCGATCTATGTCTGGGTGGATGCGTTGATCAATTATATTACGGTGGGAGGGTTTCCGGGGGGGTTGGAAGGGTGGCCGGCGGATGTGCATGTTGTTGGGAAAGATATTATCAAGCAAGTCCTCCTTCTCTTCCCTCTGTCTCTGCATCAAGCTGACGGAAGCTACAAGGTTCCACGCCCTCCACTGGCCAGCCCTCCTCCACTCCGCCTCTCTCTCCCCTCCCCGCCGCATCATAGCGCACGCCCACTGGACGATGGATCATTCGAAAATGTCAAAGTCCAGGGGGAATGTGGTGGATCCGATAGGGGCGGTGGGGCAGTGGGGGGTGGATGGGGTGAGGTGGTATTTGATGAGGGTTGGGGGGAGTTTGGCGGATGATGCTGGTATGTTCTCTTCTTCTCGTGATATTGTAGGTGGGAGGGATGTGGGCTGATGAGAGGAATAGACTATGCCCCAGACCAACTTGAAGTGCACTACCGTCTCCTAGCCTCCCAGATCGGCAACCTTCTCTCCCGTCTTTCATCACCCAAGATCTTGAACAAGGCGACAGCACCATTCTCTTCGGAGTCGGATAGAGATGCAGAGTTGGACGGGTTGCTGGGGGGTATGAGAGGAGAGTTTGAGAGGAAGATGGAAGTGTATGGCGTGGGGCCGGCTTGTGTGGGGGTTATGGATGTTATTTTTGCTGTACGTCTCCTTCCCCTCTCCCCTTCCCTCTCCCCTTCCCTCTCCCCTTCTCCCCCCCGCTTGTCTGGAACACCGAGCTGATAGATGTCACAGGCAAACAAACTATTCACAGACCTAGCCCCCTGGTCCCCCACAACCCCCTCATCAACCAAAGCTGTCACATACGCCTACCACTCTCTCCGCTTGGCGTTCATTTTGTTGCAACCGATTATACCGGGGAAAGCGGGGGAGGGTTTGGATAGGCTGGGGGTACCGGGGGAGAGGAGAGGGTGGGGGGATGCTGTTTGGCCTTTGGAAGCGGAGGAAGGGCAGGGGGAGTTGGTGGAGAGGATGAAGGAGGCGGGGAAGAGGTGGAAGAAGAAGGGGGTTTTGTTCCCTTTGCCTGCGAAAGAGGAGTCCGTGTAGAGAGAGAGAGAGAGAGATGTATTTGAAGGTTTACACTTTTCGTTCGATCATTGTGGGCGTCTTCGCGTTGGAGTGGGGTATTACGAGAGTCATGGGAGATGGGTCGTCAGGCTAGATGGAACGTGCATATGGCGACTTTGTAAGCATCAACGGGCAAAGTAAGGATCGGAGTGGTGCGGACGTCGGTAGTTATGCGACATAGGGGAATGGCGAGTTGAAAGAAGACGGTCTCTCAAAAAGCACCGATTGAAGCTGCGTCCAGCAAGAGTTGCAAATCCCCGTTTCTACCTATAGAGGAGACTTGAATGACACGGAGAGGGTAGGATGTATCTTGGTTGTGGATGATGAAGAATATCCTGCGTATGATGAGAAGAGTCGACACCAAGCATCTGGACACCCTCCCCCGCCGAATAATCAGAGGACTATCGCCAATATAGAGGTGCCGAAGAGCTCTTCCCTTGAATCTCGAGTCGAACTTGTGCGGACAACAAAGAAGACTGAGACTATCGCTTTAAAACGACCTATATCAGCCCGCACAGCTATTGTCGAACGACTATTCTGTGTCCCATATAGGTCTTTGACGGCACTGTTTCTCTCGGTATTATGCCATCGCGCGGCTTCGACGTTCCGCCTTTCACCGTCCATCAGGATTATGCGTCTTTCTTCTCTTCCGCCCTTCTGACAGAAACCGTGGATGACAGTGCATACACAGACCTGGACGCTCACAACAGCTCCCAATTCACATTTCTACAGATGATGTCTCAGCTCACCGAGAGTGATTGGGACGAGGTGGCAGCGATGGATTTTGGTCTGGGTTCGGACTACTACAATACTTCTTATCACAGTGGGGTATGCATATCCTCCCACGCCCTAGCGAGCGTCCTCATACATAAACAAGCATCTAATATGAAACGTTGTTTGCAAAAGTTCATCCATCCCTTTTATAAGAGTGAGCTCGTATCGAGAGAGTGCATGAAACTCGGACTATGATGGTCAACAGATATCGTATACGTCTATACTCGCAGCGTCCTGCGTACTGAACTCCAGAATACAACAGGGCATACCGTCAGTCGACCTCATTCTACCACTCGTTTCAACATCGCCTTTGAAATAAGGCTGTCGCAATCATGAGTGCTGCCGTTTTGAGATAGCAAGCAGTGTCGTTCTTACGTGCGCTCAAAAATAGAGTGTTTGTGGATTCTGCCCCAGCTGGTTGAAGGTAGCAGTGCGAATGCGCAATCAACTATCTCCTTGGAAGGAAAGAGCTCTGCGCAGCAGGGCTCTGTCATTTCCCCCCTTGCTCTTAATCAAGAATACGACTCCTCGTCATCTTACGCTGCTGTAGATGCCACGAATGGGAGCAGATTAAGTGCGGTCGTCATGTCGTGAAATACATTAAAGTCGTAAAGCACTATTACACATCGTCCCTCTCTCTACAACAAGCTCTTATCATCATCCAGCTCCAGCTCTTCCTTCTTCTTCTTCCCCTCCGCCTTCTCCTGCTCATGCTTCCCAATAGTTCTGGGCTCTTCCCTACGCGCCAGCCGTACATACAACATCCGCATCTGCACGCCCGTCGTCTCAAAATCCCCCACTTTCCCCTCTCCCGTCAGCCCATCATCGCTCCTATCGAAATACAACGCCCACAGATCTTTTTCCGCATCTTCTTGTACCACGACCCATCCTTCCCAGCCTTCAAACAAGACACGATGCTCGATCTCGGTACAGCTCCAAGGGCCGGGGTAGTGGTCTTCGGCTTCTTCGGGCGGACCGTATTTGAGCTCGTGGGTGGTGAGGTCGACGTATATGAGGGAGGGGGAGGAAGACGGGGTAGATGAGGGAGTAGTAGTGGTGAGGCAGTCGCCTTTGTGCCCGACTTTGGCCCAGGCGGCAGAGTACTCGGGGGAGGATTGAAATCGGCCACAGGCGGGGTGTATTGAGTTGTGTGCGAAATGTGAGTCGGCGTGTTCGACATATAGCTAAATGATAAGAGATCAGCCAGAGCCCAAGCCGATTCGAGGAAGATGAAACGGAAGCTGTCGAGGAGAGAGGACAGAGTACGCACCTTGCCGTTCATCAAGACCACTCTCGCACCTTCGAATTTGCGCCTATACGGATGTCCCCCCGGGAACCTCACATAAAGCTCCTGGTTGATACTCTTGTTCCCTGCTCTCTGATTGCCCTTTGAGCCGCCGTCGATAGCTTGTTTCGTGGCGATGATGGCTGGGCAGAGGGCGGTCGCGGTGATGATGTCGAAGACCATCGGGAAGAGTGTATGGGCGAGTGAAATATCGTGTATTGAGGATGCGTTGTGAGGTCCAGACGAGGAGGGGCGGAGAAGATGCAATCAATGAGAGACAAAGCAACAACGGTCGAAGACAAAAAGTGGAAGAACACAAGGAACCTGTGACGTCATTTATTGATTTGTTGACAGAAACGCGTCCATCTACGAACGCGACCTGAACGCGACCAAAAGGCGACGCTTGTTGAGTCCGCTGTCGAGAGCTCTTACTTGCATAACTGGTCAGAGGTATCTAATACGGCTCATGATCTAGGAGTAGGTATACTATCGTTCAGATCAAAGACCACAGGCAAGCCACGACATGGAGATCCTTCGGGAGAATATCTCGTCTTATACACCGACGCGCCAGCTCTCAATACCACAAGATGCGCACTTTTCATGCAGATCTTGCATAGAATGTAAAAGAAGTGAGATGATACAGGCCGAGATGCTCTTCTTTTGCGAAATCTGCCGTTGCAACAAACTGGTACGACGTACGAGTACGTACGCTCGTCGGCGTCGACGTCGGCCAGAGCTTCGAGGGGAGATGTCAGCAAAAACGCCCCATTGAATAGATTCTTCCCGTTGCTACATCTCTTGCTACCACGCACGCCTTTCATATGCAAAGAACTTTATCTCAATACACTCGAATGCAAAGTATAAATGTATGAGCGAATTACGGTATCTATGGAGAGGCACGGAGGCACGTGACCTGTTGTGCCTGAGGCTTTTACAGGGAATAATTGGCTCAATGCTAAATGGCTCTCGACAAATTGGTTGTCCAGGGTTACTTTCGATCCCGGACAGTCACTTTTTCTCCTCCCGACCGCTGCGTGCTGCTAAAAGATGCAACGGGTGTCCCCTGCTCCCATCCTGCTTATATATCACATGCTCCTTCCCACGCGCAACTTCCATCTGCTTCAATTTCCCTTCACGCCCCACCGACACACCTAAACCGCGTTCATCATGGGCAACGCTCCTTCTATGGCAAAGCCCACCGCCCTCGCCACGGATACCGACCTGCGCAACTCCTCCTCATGTGCTGATACAGTGTCTGACGACGAGTGCTATCGTGTCGTTCTTGGCTCAAAATGGCACAATTGGTACGTCACGTCCTGTTCCCAGTCCGAGTCTTGCTAATTTCCTCGCAGGTACTGGGCTGATATCATGTTCGGTCAGTCGGCGACATGGTTCTACCTTGCTGGCATTGGATTTTTCACCCTCTATCATTTGTGGAGTCTGTTACGCAAGAGGTGGATTGACTCCTTTGACCCCCCGTTGACGTACGTTTACCGGTATTCGCAGAGTCAGGTACTCCGGCTTGCAGTACAATCTCTTCTATATCTGGTCGACCGCCATGTGGGGATACCTCAGCAGCCGGCAGCTCAGAATCCACCGGAATTTCGGCTATACACTCACCTTTGGCGAAACTGTGATAGTGTTGGCGATGATTCTCTTCTTTGCCGGTGAGTCCGAGAGATGAGTCTCGGTCAGGATGGCGCTGACTTGAGATCCTTTTGGGCAGTCATGACGCTCGCTCCCCAAGTATGTCCTCCATGTTCTCTGGCAGTCTCGGCGTACAAATGACTGACAAAACGATAGCCGTACTACTGGCCCAACACCATGGATTTCGGCGGCAGCCCTCCCATCGCTACCCGTGCCGGCTTCCTCGCCATCGCCATCCTCCCCTTCCAAGTCATGTTTGCGACAAAGTGGAATCCCATCACCATCCTTACCGGCGTTTCCCACGAGCGGCTGCAAGTGTACCATCGGTGGTCGGGTTGGATCATGTGTGAGTCATAACGCCAGCGCCTGGAGTGTGTACTAAAAGAGTTTGTAGATGTGCTCGCTCTCGTCCACACTTTCCCCTTCATTATCGTCGACATTCAAATGGGCATGATGGAGGAGACGTGGAAGACCGACTTTTACACTTTCAGCGGGGTCATCTGTCTCATCCCGCAGACGATTCTCGTCCTGTTTTCCATCGCGGTCATACGGGACCGATTCTATGAGACCTTCAAGTCGTGAGTTTCGTACGACCAACACTATATTGGCATATACTGATCTCGACTTGCAGTGTACATTTCATGTAGGCCTCAATCTTTCCGCATCCACTTGCTCGAGCTGACGTTTGATAGTATGGCTGCGTGGTTCATCGTCATGCTCTTCCTACACTGTGGCTTTACGTTGACTAGCGCGTGAGTCTCCTGTTACGAGGAACGCCAGGTATGATACTGATATACCTGCAGGTACTACTTTGTCGGCTTCGCCGTTACTTACGCCCTCTCCCTCATCGTCCGCTGGGGCATCGTCCTCCGAAACGGCTTCCACCACCGGGCCCACATCGACCTCCTCGATCAAGACATGCTGCTCGTCTCCATCCCTACTACACTCAAATGGAAACCCGGCCAACATTACTTCTTCCGTTTCCTCACCCGCGACCTGCACGCATTGACATCGCATCCCTTCACTGTTGCGACCTCGCCTGCTCGACATGCGGCACAGGGGGAGAGTCGGATGAAGCTGTATATCAAGAAACATAGGGGGATGACGGAGGGGTTGTTTACGAAGGCGGAAGGGGGTGATGTGGGTGTGGTGTTGGATGGGCCGTATGGGGGGATTAATGGGGATTTGGGGGATTATGAGCGGGTGTTGTTGATAGGAGGAGGGTCTGGTACGTAGAGATGTGTTCCGATCTTCATCGCCGCCGATCTGATTTTGTCTAGGCGGTTCTTTCATCTCGAGTGCTCTGCAAGACTTGCTCGACCGACACTCGTCGATCACTTGCAAGGAAGTGACCGTTGTATACGCCTGTCGCACGTTGGGTAAGTCTTTCGTAGCAAGTGACAGCGACCGAGCTTATCGTATAAAAAGCCGACTCTGCGTGGTTCCTCCAATCCTTCCTCAATCTGTCGCGGTCATCGGATATCAAAGTCAACCTCTTCTTCCATGTCAGCTCGTCGGCGACTACCACCCAGATCGAGAAATCGCCAGCTATGGATGACGCCAACGAGAAGGTACGCACCCAAACTCCAATTCTAACACTCGCGCTGACAATCGCTGTAGCTAATCCAACCCCCTTCCCCCTCCACCTCCCTCCACTTCCTTACCCCCTCCCACTCCACCTCCCCACCCGCCGAGACTACCAACACCATCCTCCCCAACCGTCCAAACCTCTCTCAACACGTCCGCGAGCTTACGGCTTTCCACGGTACGGCCGGCGTCGCTATCTGTGGACCGAAAGAGATGGCGTTTGATGTGCGGAATGCGGTGGCGGGGGAGCAGTTGAAGATCTTTAGCGGGAATGTGGGGTGTTCGGAGTTGTTTTTGCATACGGAGGCTTTTGGGTGGTGATGGCGCTGCAAGGGGTTGAGCTTTGGATAGGGCGCGTACATGGGGTTTGGGAAGTTTGTAGATATTATAATGTCCATTTATATGAAACACGTGATTAAATGCCGTACACCGTGCATCACGAGCTCGTCCAATTCTATGTAATGCAGATATTTGAACGGCGAGGCTGACAATGAACGTCAAGAAGAGAAAGATCTTGTTTGGTTCGAGGCGGTCGGCGACCGCCGAACATCACGTGACACATAAATCCTCCACTCGCCTTCTCAAAAATCGACAAGTCCCAAAACCTCGAAAGCATTCACCACTCTCTCTACACCAACTCCACTCCCACACTTCCAACATGCGACAGAAGCGAGCCAAGACATATAAGCGCGTGATGGCGCTTTACACGCAAACGTTTGGGTTCAGGCAGCCGTTTCAAGTTCTGGGTGAGTCAAGCGTAAGCGTCAAGCGTCAAGCGTCAAGCGTCAAGCGTCAAGCGTCAAGAGGTGACTGGATGGGTGGCTGACCTGGGTGGTATAGTCTCTCAGGATGTGTTGATAGAAGGCGCCAAATGCGAGCTCAACATGCCCAAACAGTTCCTCAATGTCACCCAAGGCGAATGCAAGCTCAGTACGTCCCTTACCCCCCAAACTCTCCCATGCCGGAAGCGTGCTGACTTTGGGGCGTAAGTGATAACCCAATGTTGTATGGAAGCGCTCTACAAGATGGGTCGAGATGTACAAAAGACGACGGATTTGGCAAAGACGTTTGAGAGGAGGAAGTGTAATCATCGGACTGCTTTGGAGCCGGACAAGTGTTTGGAGGATGTCATCGGTAAGACCCTTCCCCTCTCTTTCTTTGGCGCCGTCATTTGAGAATGAATAAGAAGGGCTAATGAGACAAACAAGGCCAAACAAACAAACATCGCTACATCCTCGCCTCCCAATCCACCTCCCTCCGCCTCGCATCCGACCGCATCCCCGCCCTCCCCCTCATCCACTTTAACGCCCGCGGCGTGCTCGTGCTCTCCCCGCCATCTACAGCAACAGTGCGAGAGAAGAACAAGGCAGAAGAAGGGAGGAGGCTGGAAGGTGTGAAGGTTTTGGAGGGGGTGGTGGATGGGGGGAATGTGCTTGGTGCGGCGGAGGCGGGCCCGAATGTGGAGAAGAGGGCGAGGAAAACGAAGGGGGTGAATCCGTTGAGTGTGAAGAAGAAGAAGGTGGAGAAGAAGGAAGGGGAAGGGGAGGGAGGGAAGAGACGGAGAGAGGTGGATTTGGAAGAGGAGAGTGCGGATGTTGGGGATGGGGAGGGGAAGAGGAAGAGGAAGAGGACGAAGAAGAAGACGGAGGTGCAGGAAGCTATTGAGGAGCTCAATGAGACGAATAAGGTTGCGGGTGGTGAACCCGAGGGTGGAGAGGCCAGCGACTAGGTGCTTGATTGTAATATTTGTATAGTGAGCGTCACGAGTATGCAAGAGTAGAAGGGCAAGGTTCGGGAACCTCAAGCAAGTCATCCATAATGCATAATCATGAGCGTCGTTGATAATGATGAGAATACAGAGACACGTCGTTATGGTTTGAGTGGGACAGTCAAGACGGTTCTAACTGGGAGACTCGAGAACGATGTCCATCTGACATATGGTCAGTATCATGAGACGGGGGAAGGCGGGCGGAACGTACATAGTCGTTATACGTGACGGTAATCTCGCCCGTATTCCCAGGATCGTGCCTTCAAGCCATCAGCACCCTACTACCCCCCCATCAAAGAAACAAGACTCACCTCCTGAACGCCTCCGTATAATGCTTCACAGTCACACAAGCCAACAAGAACCGATCAAAGCTGATCCCCGGCTGATACGTCTGCCCCGGCGCGGGGGGCGGGGCGAAACGCTTTTCGAGCTTGGCGACGAGCTCGGGGGGGAGGGAGAAGCCAAAGCCGAGAAGGGCGGAGTGGAGTTCTTTACGGTCGATGAGGCCAGAGTTGTCGCGGTCGAAGCGACAGAAGATGCCGTGCCAGTCCTGGGGAGAGGGGAGTTGGTAGGTGGTAGGCAGTGAGGGGTAGGTGGTAGACAGCGAGGGGGCAAGTTGGAATCAGCAAGGGGAAGGAGGGACAGGCAAAGGCACACAGTCAGCGAACGATATCACCAGGAATGCGAGCGACTTGCTTGGATATATCGATAAAGACCCTCGAACTCCATAAAGTTGATACTGCCGCTTCTGTCGGTGTCAAAGATGTCTACGATTGATAGTTAGAAGGCATTGGAAGCACTTGGCGGGTCGAAACTCACTCATAAGCTAAGCAAAAGTCAGTACTGGTCACGAGAAAGTAGGGGAAAGAGACGCACCATCTTGACCGCATCTTCTCTAGCCTCCATCGTCGCGTCCTTGGCGAGTAATCTCTGCAAGTCGAACGCGTGAAGCTGGCCCGAACGAGAACTGTCAAACTGAGCAAACCTATATCATCGATCAGCATTGGCCAAGACTAGAATGGACAGGTACTCACAACGACCTCAACTCGGCATCTTCTTCTCCTGCAGGCGCAACCGGCGCCGCCCTCGCCTCCTGCTGCTGATACCCTCCCTGCTGCTGCGAGCCCACACCAAGCCCTTGGCCCTGAGACGCCCCATTCCACTGCTGCTGCTGGTGGACAGGCGCCCGAGACTGGTACGCCTGTTGCTGCTGTTGCTGAGGCGGCGACTGGTATCCACCCTGAACCGGGCGTTGCTGGTGGTTCTGCGCGGGTTGCTGATGGTATTGCTGAGAAGGGGGAGGGTGGGATTGTTGGGGAGGAGAGTGGTATTGCTGTTGGGGAGGGGGTCTTTGCTGGTGCTGTTGCTGGACGGGCGCGGCGTACTGCTGCTGCTGCTGCTGCTGCTGCTGCTGCTGAGGGGCAGGCTGGTAATTTTGAGGGGCGCGGTAGCCCTGTGGCGGCTGTTGTTGATATAGCTGCTGGGGGTATCCCTGGTGGACGTGGGCCTGGGGGGGCGGTTGCTGGTGGGGAGGAGGGGTGTTGGCTGCCTCTGCCTCTGCACGGGCCTTTGCTGCTTCCTCTGCGCGTTTTCTGGCGTAGCGCTCTTCGTAGCGGCGGCGAGCCTCGTCGCTGACACTGCCGTACGGGCTGGGGGCCGTCATCTTCGACGCCATCTTCGCGATGGGCAAGCGATAGCGTGTGGTGCGAGAGGAGAAATACATTAGAGTACTCTACATTACATTCCATTAGCGGGACCAAATGCAATCGTAATCCATTACAAAGCAGTCCCTCCACTTTTCACTCCACGCTGCAGCGTCATCATCTCGTTTTGATTTTCTTTTCCTCTTCCATCTACAAACATCTCCAACCATGGCTGTAAGGGTTCCCCCCCAGACACCCCAGGAAACAGCTGACCCTTTCCTAGACCACCACCGACCATCTTTCCGGCCACCCCGGCCATCTGTGCGTCTCCTCCCCCCTATTCCGCGCCCCCATCTGACCTCTTCCTTTGTAGCAACGAGGCCCAGCAAACCGCCCTCACCCAGTTCCGCGAAAACCTCACCAAAGACGCCCTCATCCCCGCCGACAAGGACACGGTGGTGCAGACACTTGGATATGACCGTTTCGACGACCAAACCTTGCTGCGATTCTTGAGGGCGCGCAAGTTTGACTTGGTGAGGGCGCAGGCGATGTGGGCGGATAATGAGAAATGGAGGAAGGAGTTTGGGGCGGATGAGATTGCTGCGTGAGTCTTTTGTCAGGGCGGGGTGTCTTTCTATGGGTGGGCGGGCGGGGGAGGGGGGCGGGTGGTGGGGGGGGGGGGGGGGGGGGCGAAGCACATCATTGTGCTGCTATCACCAGTACCCCTCACTGTTTCTACCCCTCACTGTCTCTGTTTGATCACGCTCGACATTACAAGACACAGCACTGACACCTTTCCAGCAACGGTTTCGACTATCCCGAAGGCCGCGAAGTCACAAAGTACTACCCCCAATTCTACCACAAGACCGACCGCGAGGGCCGTCCCGTCTACATCGAGCAGCTCGGCAAACTCGACGTCAACAAGCTCTACGCGCTCACCAACCAAGACCGCCAGCTCAAGAAGCTTGTGAGCGAGTATGAGCTGTTTTTAAAGGATAGGCTGCCTGCTTCGAGCAAGGAGAGCGGGCATTTGGTGGAGACGAGCTGTACTATTATGGACTTGTACAATGCGGGTATTTCTACCTTTTACAAGGGTGAGTTGTTTCGAGGGGGGACTTGGGCGATGCTGATGCGCGTACAGTCAAGGACTATGTCTCCGCCGCTTCCTCCGTCGGCCAGAACAACTGTAAGTCTCCCTGCCCATCTTGCCATACGCAGTGCTGACGAATCCCAAACAGACGTAAGCACAGACACCTATTTCTTTCCGACTTCGGATCATCTCCCTTTGCGAAGAACTGATGGCTGATGGATGTTTTGTGTTTCAGCCCGAAACAATGGGTCATATGTTTATCATCAACGTACGTTTCTCGCTTATTTCCCATCATGATCGCATTTGCTTATCAATTTCCGCAACTTTATCTTCATCTCCATCATCGACTACCTTCTACCGTCCCTCCCCTCCCCTCGCTCTCCCGACAACAGGCGCCATACCTCTTCTCCACCGTCTGGTCCCTCATCAAACCCTGGCTCGACGAAGCCACCGTCCGCAAGATCCACATCCTCGGCAAAAACTACAAAAAGGAGCTCCAAGAGTATATCCCCGCGGAGAACTTGCCGGCGAGTTTGGGGGGTACTTGTAATTGCGCGGGAGGGTGCGAGTATAGTAATGCGGGGCCTTGGAACCCGACTTCTCAGGCTTAGGGGGTGGGTTCTGGGGGGGGGGTATATGAGAGGGATAGATGTTGTATCAAAGAGCATCTCGTGTGGGGTGTGTATATGCATGATAGAATGTGCTGTGCTGCAGGATGATTGAGGAGATGTTGCGCGCACAGGGAGCGTCCAGAGTACTAGTACTGCTTTGCATGTGTTGCATGTATTCTGACCTAAGCATAGGATACTCGATATCACCCAAACGTATCTATATACAAATCCCACCAATGAAAGAGCCAAAATAGAACGAGAGAAAGGAATGAGTCCGGAATGATGGAAGAATATGATAATTCGTTCGATAAAACCCGTACAACGTGTATGATAAGCGTAGACTAGAATACTTATAAATCTCAAAGATCGAGATGAAGAAAGCAAGAGCGTAAAGACATGAAGCTGGCTTTGAACAGAGACAATCGATGCCCGACAAGTAAGAAGCGAGACGGTGATGGAAATAAGGATGAAGACATGGCCCTGCGAGGAGCGCAAGGATGGAACGCAAAGTCAAAGCTCAATGACCCATACCCCCCTCCGTCCCACCACCGCTCAACCTCCTCGAATGCCACCCATCCCCTCCCTGCCCTTGCACCTGCCCCGGCCCCGAGATGGGCGACGCGTAGCTTCCGATCGGACTTCCCAGTACACTCCCAGCGCCGCCTCCAGATATAGAGGTGCTCGAGATAGAGCCTCGGGAGGGGGGCGCGTAGCCTCGGCGAGAAGCGTAGGCGTGGGCGTAAGGGGACGAGGCAGAGTGGGTGTGGCCGTAGTATCTGTTGGCGCCGCTTTCGCCTCCTCCGCCGCCGGCGCTGGTCGTATCGTTGGATATGATCGGAGAAGCGAAAGGGGGAGAGGGAATGGATAGATTTGGGAGCTGGGGCTGGGTACTGGCGGGACGGCGAAGGTAGGACGAAGACGGAGGGTATTCGGATGAAGAGGATTGAGGGGCGGGGGTGTACATCGGAGGGTAGGTGAAGCTTGCCGACATGGGCGTCGACTGGGTGCCAGAAACTATGGTTCTGTTCAGTACGCATAAGACAAAGGAGAAGAAGAGAATGTACAAGGACTCCTAGGCGACCCGCTTCCGCTACTCATGCTCATAGTCTGCAGCGCGGGCGGCGGTGCTGCTCTTCCGTTTCTTCCTCCTCCATAACCTCCTGCGTTTGCGCCGCCGAATAATGGATTGGGGATCTCGGAAGCTTTGCGAAGCTTTTGGTCGTCGTTCTGGGGAGGACGGGGACGGTGGTGAGTGCGTTCAAAGATACCACATTTGTTACAGAGCTGAAACACCTGTCAGTATGCAACGAGGGGAGAGGAGGGGAGGACTTGCAATTCGGCCGGGGCTCAGGACGGACTTGCGCCAGCTTGGAGGATTTCGACTTGTGCAGTTGAAGCATTCGCGTTTGATCTACGTGATGGTCAGCGCCTTGCAAGGAGAAGAAGACGAAGAACTCACGGTAGCGCACTGCTTGATCTCGGCATCGGTCGTATAAGTAATCTGCCTCGGCACCTCGTCCTCCGAACTAGCCGGCGAACCTCTGCCGTTCTCTCTCATCGGGCTCTTATTCTCCCATCTCCCATCACCGCCACCACCAGTACCATTCGCCGAGCTCCCCGGCGACTCTCGAACGCGATCTTCGGACGAAGACGAGATGTTGAATGAGAGCGTACCCGGCGGGCCTCGACGGTCTTGCCCCCCACTCTGGGCGTGCTGCTGCTGCGCTTGCCAAGGCGAAAACACAGAGGGCTGGATGGTGGCCTGCATCTGCTGCTGCTGCGGTGGGGGGTAGAAGGAGTAGTCGCTATGCCCCGAGACGGGGGTAAAGATCTCGGGCGTGCCGGCGGAAGAAGCCGAGTTGGGCGGCATGCCTGGATGACCGTGTACCTGGTGAGGAGGGTAGTATCGGTGAGGGGGATAGGACATTGGATAGGGGTAGTAGCCCATACCGGGTCCCTGGGAGATCGGCGAGGCATGAGGTCTCGGTGTTCCGGGCTCGAGGGGGGCGGTGGCGGAGAGGCGAGGGTCAAGACGATGATCGAGGCGGGGATCGGGACGAGGGTCTTGGGTGGTGAGTCGGAGAGGAGGAAGCATCATTGCATGCGGGTGGTGAGTTGGGCTGTGAATAGGGGGAGCGCCGGCGGGGGATTGGATCTGGGGGAGAGTAGGGCTGTATTGCTTGGTACTGAGGGGATGCGTCAGCGTTGAGCGATGCTATAGAGGAGGCGACGTACAGTTGCGTCTTCCAGAACTGCTGCTGACCTTGACTTGCGATCTGACTTGGCGAAACTGTACTTCTCCTTCCGCATCGTCAGCCATTGCTAGCGTGGTACGAGCAAGGACCCACTCTGAAGACAAGCTGGGCGTCTGGCGATACGTATAGCCCGCGTTTCTCTCTCCCAGGCCGTTGGTGGCGATGTCTTGGCCGGACATGAGCGAGTAGTGAGATGATATGGGAATGTCGGGGGCCGGGGGGGTGAGGGGAGGCAGGGGGGATGGCGGAGATGCGGAAGAGGCGAGGTGGTATAGGCTGAACGAGGGCGGTGGGGGAATGCGCGCGACAGACATTTACTGAGGGGGTGAGTCAGCGATGTTGACCTATATCAAGAGGTGGGGCGAGCTGTGGCGCTGTCTGTGCGGGGTCGAAAGGTACTCGGGGAAAAGACTAATTGAGACTGCCTTCTACGCCATGCCCTAGCAACAAATGACACGCAGCCAAGACGGCCACAGCTTCCGCGGGAGATGCGATGGAAAGGACAGAAGGTGCTTACCTGACAGTGCACTACCGACAGCCGCCAGATAGCTGGGGGACGCTAGGGGAAAGGTAAGCTTCAGTGTGCTAGAGGAATTGCCCGCCCCACCCGGAGAGTACAGGGAGAGCTTCAATGAGAGTGAAAGGAGGGGGACAGGGGGAGGCCGACAACGAGGTGGGCACGAGGAGCGCGCGCTTACCAAAAGCCGAACGTGGATGGGGTAGCAAGTGGCAGCGTTGCGAGGGGGGCAGGCGAGCAGTAGGTAGCTGGGATGGCGTCAGTAAGAGGAGAGGCGGAAGAAGAGGGAGGGAAGAGGAAGGAGGGAGAGATGAGGGGGAAAGCGACTCACTGTCACTGATTGTGCACAGGATCACCGCTTGATGTGATGGTGATGGTGTTGGGAGGGAACGCGAACTGGGAACGTTTCGTCAGCCTCATATACTGCATGTTTGCCGATGCAAATCTAGCCGACAGCCGCCCACAACATGTCCCTCCCACTCACAAAGTGTGTCCTTTCAATACACCCAAGCGCCCGAGGGGGTTCCGTCTTGCCCGCAGTGGCGTGGCCGAGCTAATATATCGTCAAGCTAGGTGAGGGAGGGGGGGAGACTATTAGACGAGGGGGAGCGATGGGCCGGATGGGGAAGGTAGAGAGAGACGACAGGTGTATCAGTAATGTACACTTTAAAGAAATCCAGTCACTCACCTGCTCGTCGCATCTTGTTCTTCCTCCTCTGCAACACCTCCGAGTACCAGCTGAAGGCATATTATTGTTCTGACGAGCGAGTGATGTGAGGCGTGACTAACCCCTGCAAAGCCCCATTCCCCGAACATGCATGCTTCTTCAATTACCCCGATGTTTCACCTCGGCAGTGCCTCCGCCGCGTAGCGCGACACGCGTGGCTTCCTGCACCTTCTGGACCCAGGGGCCCGGCCTTTGACCCGCGGAAGGACCGCCGTGCTGTGCCTTGCTGGTGGTTGTGAAGGGAGTTTGGCGCAGGGAAGCGAGTAAGGGTAGGGTGGAGGGTGGAGGGTGGAGGAGGAGGTGAAGGGGTGACGCATTTCTTGGAGTTGTGCCGAGAGTGTGGTGCGAGGGTGGGAGAGGAGGATGGGGGATGGATGGTGGTGCGCGTGGGATATGGAGATTGATATAAGGAGGGGAGGAAGGGGCGGATGCTGCGAAAGAACGAATGAAATGTAAGGCAAGTCGCGCTCGATTCGGCCTGGAATTTGCATCCGCCATTGTTCTTTCGCCACGACCTTCCATCAATACATATGTGAGAATATCTCAGAATGAAGGTAGTGACAGTATTCATTCCTGCAGTGCTCTTCCCACCAGAGATGGCCGCAACCACCATAATATTGATGGGGCAGGTGCAGAGGGGGGAGGGAGGGGTGAATAGAGAGGGGGACAGAGTTTCCCTTCTGCAATTTTTGACTCACATGGCAAGTGGGAATTTGATACGATGCTGCAAGGAGAGACAAGAGACATTTTACGTGGGAAAAAGAGTTGGTCTTCATATAAATAAAAAGGAGAAAGCTTGCTGAGGTCAGCTACGTGCTCATTGATCGGTCTCTCTTGGATTGATTTGCATCGAAATTCCCCTCCCCAAATACTGATGGAGAAGATCAAGGAACAAAAGAGAGTGAGAATGCTACTTTACCACATTTCACATGCTGCTTGATAAGCTGTGAACCGTGTTCAAATTCAGGATATCCTTTACTATATAAGGCTGCCGCCTAATTTGCCTCTCAGAGTAACAGCTTGTCACTTGAGTCAACATGTCATCATCCCAAGACCAAAGCACTCCCAGTAATACTGGCTCTCAACAGAGCTCTCAGCAGGCCTCGACCACTACCTCCCAGGTCAATGAGCTTTACACACAAGGTGGCCTGACTGGCAGATATTACCCCGTCTCAATGATGCCCGAGAATGACTCGTCACGCCAAGGTGATCGACTTTACTATCAAGGTGGAGACGGCTCCATGAAACAGGCCTTCAGTGACAACTATTATAAGCGAGAAGAGGAATCTAGGAGGCGTTGATGAGAGCAGAACAGCTAAGGAGAGCTGGGGAGAGTTCGTAGACACAGGAATGTGATCAAGAGAGCACTCATGTGGTGATCAGGCCTGCTCTGGGGGGACAGCTGAAGTTATCACCATGTGTTGTTGCGGGTTGAGTCCAAGTACGTGAAGAGAAAGACACAGATGTGATTGGATGAGGTCTCGAAAGGAAGTGTAGAGGTAAAGGAGGAAGATGAGGGGAGAGAGGAGAGTCAAAGAATAGGTATTTGAGGTCTCTGTCCCCACACCCAGCCTTTCTTATATACATGAATAAATGACCAGACGATAGACGGACCGACTACGTGATGCATCTAAGGCACGAAGCGAATAAGGGTACAAGGCGACCAGCGAAGCGTACGAAGAGGCTAAAGACAATAAGAAAGAGCAGACGGGTGGAAGAAGGTCAGGGTAGCGAATATGGGCGTGTCGACGTATGTCGGACAACCTTACTAGAAGAGAGGAAGAGAACGAGAACGAGTAACCATAGCGAAGACGGAGACCGAGACGGGAGCGCGACGGCCTTTATTATACTGCTCGGCTTGGCTTTCCTGCGCTCTCATGAGAGAGTCTTTTGCAGCCATAAGCTGTTGCACGAGAGTTTCAAGGAATTGGTCGGATGCCGGGTTCTTGGTGCTATCGACCGGATAGGGAGGTACGGCTCGAGGTTGGTAACCAACGTCGAGTTCGAAGGGAGATTTGCCAATCGCAGCGTGGGGAGCGGAGTTGTAGGCGAATTCGATCGCAGGGAGGAGGTCATACCAGTTGTTTGACTTTCTGGAAATGAAATGGCGCAGCATCTCTTTTACAGTCTGTACCATGCGTTCGTCTTGGCCGTCGCTTTGAGGATGGTAGGAGCTGGACAATGAGAGCTTGGTGCCAAGGCGAGCAAAGAGAGCACGCCAGAAGGTAGAGGTGAACTTTACATCTCTGTCTGAGATGATGTTCTGAGGAAGACTGTGATGTTTCACGATATTGTTGAAGAAGAGATTGGCGATGTGAGAAGCATTATCCCTTTGGAAGCACGGGATAAAATGAGAGCGTTTGGTCAACTTGTCAACAACGATGAGGATCATGTTGTGTTTAAGAGGACCGGAGGGAGGGAAGGGACCAGCAAAGTCCATGTTGACTGTGTGCCAATGAGCGGGAGGAATGGGGAGGGGACGCAAGAAGCCGGAGGGGCCTGCGTAAGAGGATTTGTTGGCTTGGCAGGAGACACAAGGTCGAACGTATTTTCGAACGTCTTTGTGCAGGCTGGGCCAGAAATAGGCATCGGCGACTCGCGTTGATGTCTTTGGGATGTCGAGGTGGCCAGAGGTAGGGATATCGTGGGCGTCGTGCATGATATCGAGACGGAGTTGTTTGACATCTGGGATGCAGAGACGAGTTCGGCCATCTGAATCAATGAGGTACAGGAACTCGTCGATCAGTTTGTATCGTATCAAATGCGGAGGCACCGGACCAGACGAGAGCCCATCAATGACACGTTGGAAGCGATCGTTCTTGTAGCCCTTGATGATACTATTGCGCACCTTGGGAGAGAAGTGGGC